ATGAGTGGGGAGGGGATTCCCTGCTGCTGCAATATAAGGCAAGAGGATGGCAACTCAAAATCGTTTTTAAGGCGTTTTTTTAGATATATGCATCCTGTAAACGGTTGACCTTTGACGTGAAATACATACAATTTCAGAGGGCTGTTAAAAGTAATCTGTGTTCAGAGCTATAAAAAGGCAAAATCATTTTAAAATAATCACATTTGAGAAGCTTTAATCAGGTGATATTTGATGTTTCTAGTAAACATGGCTTCAACCTTTGTTTCCTGATCTGAAACGGCTTTTTACTCCTTCAAATGAAGCAATACGAGTGAGTTTAAGAAGAAATGGTAATTTTTTTGTCTCGCACTTTGTTGTGTTACAGCTTCAGGCATCAGCAGTAGATCAAATAACAGCTTGAAGTGATGAAGCCACAAAGAATTATGACAGGGCACCCCTCTTCTTCCTCCTCTGCTCTCCTGATGCCTTTCATGGAGCTCTTTTTGTTTTATGACCCATGACGGCTGCTGTTTTCAGCAAAACAGCAGCTCCAAAAAAGTACACGACCTGCTACAGCAGCAAACAGCAGACCGGCTGATTTAGAGGCCGGCTGATGAATAAAGTGAAGCATTTAGCTGGGAGTCAAATAGTTCTTTGAGAAGATGGTAGAGACCAAATAGGTTTTGGAGTAATCCAAGGACAGAGCCGCAGACTGCTCCGAACAACTGGATCAAAAGTCTTCCTAGGATTAAACCGTAGGGACATGAGATTTACTTGAGTTGTTCACATATGTGGGTAATGTGTCATTTTAGATAGAGAGACATAACTTTGTTGCATGGCAACAGTGGAGGAGGCTTCTGAAGTGATCGTACAGCGTTGTTTTTGTCGTACATGATGTACGCACTACTTTTTCTGCAGATGAGGTGCACGCTACTCATCTTCTCTGGTGTTTTTGTTCTTGGGTTACAGGGGCATGGCGCATGTGCACATTCACCGACCAATCATACTCCGACTACGCTGGTTACATGGTAGAGAAAATCGAATTTCAACCGTAGTGTCATGTAAATGTACCAGTGGCAGAAATTAAGAATTTTAGATAGAGGTTCTTAAATGGGCGTTCCTACCAAGCGGTTTGGTTAGGGTACAGGTTGTTGCAGTTTGGTTCAGTAAATGATCTTGCTTGCATTTCCAAAGGGGAGGTCCCCCTTTTGACACAAACCTTAGGGGTCTTATGTATACAGTATGCTTGGTACCCTTATAGAAGGGTAAAGAAGGACACTATGGATCAGTTATTTTGGGGTCCCTCCTAGGGCTGGGCGATATGGCCTCAAATCAATATCATGATATATTGAGCAGTTCACCTTAATAATGGTAAATGGACGATAACTACTCCACATGCTTCTCAGCCCCTCCCACATTAACTTTGTCTACTTCAGCCGCCGCTCCAGCTGCAGCAACTTTTGAACCGTCCTCCATCTCCTCACCTGTCTCTCCCTCTTTGTTACAGACTGGATGGGGTGGAGTCACGTCTCTGATGTAGGACAGCATCTTAAAGGGACATGAGACCATAGCCTACTCACACACATCCAAAACCAACTTTGATTTATTTATTTATTTTTGACACTAAATAGACCGATATGGGCAAAATGACGTTGGTTGTTGTCGTAAATTTCGGTATCTGTAAATTTTTGGTTTATCGACCAGCCCTAGTCCCTTTCCAACTTTTAGTGTACTGTACTGAACCAGATGACTAACCAAAAAACACCAATGTGAGGTTGGTAGAGAACTTTTTGAATTTGTTAATCATGTAAAGCTACTACAAAGCTATGCAAGGGCCACAATGTGAGTTTTTGTGCAACTGTGAGGCCCTTTCTTGTGCCGTTTGTTTTCCACCGTTCTACCAGCTATCAGTACTGTCGATAACAAGCATCGAAAAGGAGCGCTGCTTTAATTGTCGACCTTGGCAGCATCCTAGAATGGTATATTGGTCGCACTGATGTGTTAAATGATGATATAATAATCAGAAGAGTGTCTTATTTTCCAAATTTTATGGTAAATAGAGTACGCATCGTCAAAACTAGGATTTTAAAGATTAACAGATAAATGAGTGTCTGTCTGTCTTTTGCAAGTTGAGTTAAACCCTTCCTCCTCCTCCTCCTCCTCCTCTTCCTCCTCCTCCCTCTCCTCCTCTAATCTCAAATACAATGCACAGCTGATTGAGCTTATGGTTCACTGATAATAGTTTTTTGCATCTACAGCATTCTTCTGTATTTAACTGAGAGTCCACTCAGTTTTCCATGAAAAATCCATCACCCAGCAGTGTTTGCTGTTCAAGAGAGTCAGAAGGTGTTGTACTGTTCACTCTCCCCTCCCTGCTGAGTTGTACAAAGTGGTTTTCTGGCCGAACAAACAAAGAGGAGATCAATAAAGTAAGATGCTTGAACCTCAGATACAAGTCCATCCATCCGTTTTCTTTCCGGTCACAGTGGTGGTGGTCTAAGCACTCAATCAAAACTCATTTTCTATCCCTGATCTCTATTTTTCAGTCACTTCCCACAGCCCCTGGTAGGTTAGGGTTCGTATGAAGATTGACAGATACATTAAAAGCTTTGCCTTCCAGCTCCCCCTTCACCACGATGGTCCAGTACAACGCCAGAGTGCTGATGCAGCACCGAGCTGCCAGTCAATCTCACGATCCATTTGACTGTCACTCATGATCAAGACCCTGAGATACTTGAACTCCTTCAAAGACTCACTCTTCACCCAGAGAGGGTGATCCACCATTTTCCACGGTCCAACACATAAACAAGTGAACCCACTCAAACATTTCTAACTTGTAATTTTAACCAAGCGTGGATCTCTGTTTAAGTATCATCCAAACAAAAACTGTCTCATCGTTACCATAAAGAGGACAAAAATTCTATCAGGACTGATGCTGATTTCTCTCTCCATTCAAAAGAAATAAAGATCCTGTTAACACAAAACTTTTTCTGAATCCAGACAACAAAACAGAAATGGTTGAAAATAAAACCATGAAAACAAAACATCACATCGTCCAAGATTATTTCAAGTCACGAAACACTAAAACGTAAAAAAATAAAAACAACAGAAAATATGGCATCTCAAAAAACAAATCCACAAATGAAACCAGCAGAAAAAAAACTAATCACAGAAACAAAACAACAAATCAAGACACAAAACACACAAAAATATTTGCACACAACAGCGTATAGATAAACAAAACAACAAATCAAGACACAAAAAACACAAAAATATATAAACACAACTGCGTATAGAAAAGCAAAACAAAAATTTAGCGCAAAAACAAATCAGAAAACCAAACAAAACATTAAAAAACAAAATTAGACAAAAGTAATCACAAACACTACAACGTGTAAGGAAATAATATTTGTTTAATTTTGTTGTTTCTTTACACTTTGTTGTTTTGTGTTTCATTAGTGTTTCCTCTAATTGTTGTGGTTATTTATTTTTTTTGTTGTGTTGTTAGTTTTTTGTTATTGTTTACACTTTGTAGTTTTGTGTTGTAGCCTGTTCTGTTTAATTATTTTTTATTTGAGTGTTTTCATATCTGTTGTTTTGTGATTTGTTGTTGTGTCTTCTTTTAATTCATTTTTGTGTTTCATTAGTGTTTCCTTAAATTGTGGTGGTGATTTTTTGTTGTTGTTATTGCTTTTTGGTGTTTGTTGTAAGTTTTTTGTTGTTTTTTACACTTTTTTTGTTCTGTGTTGTAGCCTGTTTTGTTGGCTTATTGCTTATTTGAGTGTTTTCACAATTGTGTTTTGGGGTTGTTGTTGTTTTTTTTTTTTTCATTTGCTGTAATGTTTTGTGACTCGTTGTGTCTTTTTTAAACTCGTGTTTATGTTTGTTTCTATTTCCCCTCCGGTTTTTATTGAGGTGAGACTTGAGCTGCAGCTTTAAAACTCCTAAAGCTCCAGAAGTTTAGTTTTAATTAAAAGTTGTTTATCTGTTTTCTGTCATTAGTTAATTTATTGTTTCTTTTTTGCACTTATCTGAGCTCACTCACACTTACTGCTCCAGCTTTGTCGGACTTCTTCACTCTATACTTAATTTACTGTAAAAACCTCTCCAGTCTGTGGATGCTGAACTTGATCGACAGCAGGACCATCTGTTCCTTTCAGCCTCTGGCCAGATTTGCTGAGTCTGTTTGTCACTAATTCCGGTGAAACACGGGGACACGTGTCTGAAGGGTCCTCCTATCTCAGTCTTAATTAGAGCCTCTCTTCTTTCGGATCCTCCCGACAAAATCCCTCCACCCCGGACCCGTATCTCTAACTTTCCCACTCCACTGACGTCTCTCACATGGGGGATTAAAGATTAGGATCTGGAGCAGCGCGCCACCGTTGCATAATTAACTCCACGAGGAGGAATGGAGTTGTTCCTCAGTGGCGTCGCGGGCTCCCAATGAAGTGGCACAACGTGGGCGGCGCGTCGAGGAGGAGGCGATGTGAAGCGGCGTAGCGCAGGACTCACAGGCTGGATGTGAAGCAGCGGGACATGACGGTGCAGCTCAGGGTTTCCTGCGGACTAAACCACGTTTTTTTTTCTTCTTCAGGGAGCTCTGGTTCTGGGCCAGGACTGAAGGCTTTACAGCAGTGATCGTGTGATGGTGCGCGTCTCTCCAAGGTGGATTCAGCTCCAGTGCGGTGATACAAACTGACAGAAGGACTTCGGTGCAGTATTCAGAGGAGACCTGAAGACCTGCTGACACATTTAAACCCTCAGGATGGATCATAACCTCTGATTTTCTCCGGACAGCTCACCCGGAGTCCTGATTCCGGCTGCGCGCTCTCCGCTGACACAAGTGACATTTCCAACAACAACAACCGCACATTTCAGCTTCAGCAGACCCTGTTTGTGCCACTTTTTCCCTCTAAACTCTCAGGATAATCTCAGCGAAGGAGGACTAAAGGAAGCAGAAAAGTCATACGGAGACATTTACAGACACACGTGAAAATTATGTGAAGATTAAAGGTGTGGAAATGCGTCGCAAATGCTTCTATCTGCTCGAGGTAAGTTCTGCGCTCTGACTTCGTCTTCTTGTAAAGCTTTGAGGAAAAAAGTGAGTAAATCTGCCTCATTCCCGCGAATATTACACAAGTATAATCTTTAGAGGAGAGGATTTAAACACCAGCTTCCTCCTCCAGATGTCAGAGTGAGAATTTGTCACCATCTCACATCATAGTTCTAAAAATACCCTCATTATAAACACAAAAAACAAACAAATTCTCTTATTTAGAGGCTTAATATTTAATTTAGTCCACCTTTCCCCTGCAGCTCTGACTATCAACAACAAAATGCACCATGTAGGCACAGCCTCTGTACGCGCTGGAGCTGCACACAGCACGTTTACGCACAGGGAGTGATACATACAGCGGGACTTTTGGGGTTAAGACGCGTGAGAAAACGATCCTAAGTGACATGATTCCTCCTCTCTCTCTCTCTGGTGGAGTTGGGCTTTAATGCTGCTGCTGGAAAAAAAAATAGGAAACGAGGATTTGGGACTCTGGAGATTAAAAAGTGTTAATGCAGCAAGTGCTCCCCCTACTAAAAAGAGAAAAAGGAAAACAAATTAAAAATGTTTGAGCCGAGAGAGTCGTCCTGGGGTGAGTCATACAGCTGTGGACAAAAAGATGAGAGACCATGTAAGACTATGTATGTACATGTGCGTTAAAGGAGACATGCCTGAGGTGAATTACTTCATCTACCTCCTCCTTCCCATTATATGCGAGCAGAGCAGCTGCTCCAAGAATAACCAAGAATCCTCTGAAGCCCCCTTGTCCTCTGTGAAGCCTCCTCATTGTTGTGATTTAAGACCAGGCAGCCCCCCTCTCACATACACACACACACACACACACACACACACACACACACACTCACTCACATATCAGCTGTCTGCAGGGGTAAAAAAGTACCTGAGAGCTATTAATCATGTCAGTCTAGAGGTGTATTTCTATTTAACGAAGGTGGAAGCAGAAGAAGTCAGAAGATAACAGTGTGGAGATACTCCGTCCTGCTTTATATATCTTGGTGTAAAAGTACAAGCATTAAATCAACTTAAAGTGTCTGAAGTTTAAGATCTTATCCCGCAGAATATCCTGTTACACACTTGTTTATTTTAGCTGCTAAACATGGATTTGACTTTGAGTAAGAGAGCAGTGAACTCTCGTCCTGATCTGTTGTTGTGGTCGACTGATGGCGTTAATTAACCCTAAATTCCACCAGATCCCTGTTCGTGATGGTCCGTCTCCGCTTCACTGCGGGTTTTCACTTTCATCAGTGTGTTTGCCTCCACTGGCTCCAGTGTTTTTCTGCTCCGTCTCAGCTCCAACTATCCAGAGCTCGGCTTCTATTTTTGACGAACACTGGAGCGCAGGGCAGAGTGAGGAAGACAGGAGGTCAGACACCAAAGCAACATTAGGGTCGTTTTCACACGTCTGAGGGGTGAATCGCACTTTCACGAAGTCGGAAGCTGCAAACCAAGACCCCTGTCTCCAAGCGGAGAGTTAATTTGGACTTTCACACCACTCCAAACGAACTAGACTACCCAGGGATTGGTTTAAAACGACCTTAACAGTTCTAAATCTAAAAAAAATGGTTAACCGTCAAAGTAAAACACAGACGACAGATTGTGTTTCACTTGACTACACCAAAATACGGCCTTATTGAGTGGAGCCAGGCCTGGAGTCAAGACAACTCTTGATTCTAAATCCCTGATTGTGACTCCAGCTGTGCTGAAAGCACACAAGATTGGCGTTTACACACAGGGAGCGTGGAGAGGAGATGGATCTGGTGGAATCTGGTGTTACAGATCAGGTCGTTGGATGACCTCTATCTAAATATAGGCGTGCATTTTATCCAAAAAACGGTTCAGTCATGACAGCCAATATTTTATGCACATTACAATCCAATATGCATGACTATCTAAGCCGATAATCTTAATTAAATCATAGAAAAATACATGTCTGATATGACAGGAGCAACATCAAACTGCATTTTCCTAAAACTTTATAACTTGTTATGATGCAGGGCTTAACGTTTCATGACAGCCGCCACACTGACTAGACTGCCTGCAGTGTTTGCAGACATTATTTGCTTATTTCTTTAATTGGCCACATGAGTGCAGGCATCAGTTAATAACAAAACGCCTTAATCGCCCTATTAGTCTGTCTCTGAGCTGTGATAATACTGAAGAGTTTCGTGTGTCGTACATGTCTGTAAATGTCAGATACATTTAAAGGGGTGAAAAATGCAAAATATTTACATTCACTCAAATACACCCTAGTTGCTTCTTTTTACTCCACGTCCATCACCTCTATCAGAGAGAGTTACCATGCAGAGTTTGTTTGATGCCCAACTTCTGAATTATGATAGCTGAAAATCCTCACTCTTATGAAGTCATTTCTGTCTGAAAACTAGTCCTCAAACTTCTATTACTCTCTAAAAAGTGCTCACTGTATATGAATATTTCATCCTTTCGATGCAAGTCAATGTTTTTTGAAGAGTTTCGGTTTTGCATAACTATAGCCCCGCTGCCTCATGTTCTTCTCTCGCTCTCAATGAGGCGCAGAGCAACGAGAGCGGAGCGGAGCTTTGTGTGAAGTCATGAAGGTGAAGTGAACTTGCTCTGTGCTGCTCCTTTATGCGTGCGACAATAGAGATACTATAGGAAACAACATTCAGCTGCAAACATCAACAGACGCACAGGTCTGGAAGTTGATGCAGGTGCTGAAGTGACCTTAGAGTAGAAAAAAAAACGAGCAAACGCTGAAAACATGTTCATGAAATGTGCTCAGCCATCAGTGAATCTCTTTCTCGTGTAACAGCAGCTCAGTGGGATAACGGCCGTTTAATGTGGAGGCTTCAGAGACAGATAGTCCTGCTCAGATGATGACTAACCAGGTGATGTTTAATTCATACAGATATTAATAACCAGTTATGTCCAGTATCACAACCTCTTAATGATTTATCAGCAGGAGAAGTCAGAGCAGGGGCTGCGCTGCCTGAAGATATGAACACGGTGATGCTGACCACCAGCTGAATCAGGTTAAAAACGGCATAAAAAACTCATAATCATGAGAGGGGATCTTTAAAAATGATAATGAGATGTCCAAAAATAGACTGGAATGATTCAGAGCATTTATTACTCAAGTTTATTTGAATAAAAAGATGAAAATAAGACTTCCAGGACCTGGTTTTAGACAGAAATGTCATTATGACATAGAGGATTTTAACAATCTCACACATTCACGCACCTGTGAGAATAATCCAACATCCCTTAACAGTATTAAAAAGAAACATTCAGTTTTATTTGTTCGGTCCTTTAGAGAACTATTCGAAGGACTATAAGAGGGAAAGTTGCCCTGATAGAATCAATCAAAAGTGAGTGTTAAGTTGCAACTAAATCAACCCTGCGCTGGAGTTAAAGTCGCTAAAGTAGTTAAAGTAGCTCCTTGATTACTAAAGTGAAGCTAATTTCTATCGCCTTACACAGCCTGCAGGGGCGACCACATGATTTTCAAATATTCGAGGAAATGAGTTGACTTCACGCTCGAGTTTACGAGTTCATGGTCACTTTAAAGTTTTCTCAAATTCAGCTTGTTAAGTTTGGAAGTTGTGGTCCAGCTCAGAGGAAAATAGCTGAGAAGGATTCATCTCTGGTACCTGTGTTCAGAACGCCCCGAAGCCTCTTATTTCCCAAGAATATAAATGAAAAATTTTAATCCAACAAACCTTCAGCTCTTAAAAACTCCCAGAAAGTAGTCGAAACAAAGAGCTCTGTGCTGTCTGTCATCTGTTCTCGTTTATATCCAGGTAGTGGAGTATTAACCTGAACTACAGCCTAGACACGAGACGTGAGCTGAATTTCAGGCCTATAATGATTGAAATATTGATTATTCCTGTGCCAACAATGAAGGGCCATCAGGTTTAATCCATGAGTCAAAACTCATCACATCCCCAGTTCAGACCCCCGTAATTATACCCCCCTTTTTTCGAGTGAGCGCCTTCTCTTTGAGACGAGTTTTCCAGCCATCCTAAAGTTACATTTGAGTTTATAACACCCTAAATTATTAATGGACCTCGCCGAACACTGAAATTAGCTGGTAAATTTAGAGCCTAATCCCCTCGCTCCTCGCCTGGTCACCCTCAGGTGCTATAATAAACTGAGTCTGCGCTCATGAAACCAAACAAAGCAAAAATAAATGAATGAATAAAGATAAAAACAAACAAACATCTGAGGCTACACAGTGAAAGCTCCTTTACTGAAACACAAAATCTAATAAGAGTTTTGACAAGATGATTGCTCATTTCTATGGCGTTATTAAGACCTGGATCTACAGGTGAAGGCAGAAACAGACCTGGTTACATTTACAGCTGCAAAGTGAATAATGCACAAACATGTAAATATGGAAATAAACTTGGACAAGCTGCTGTGTTACTCACAGACAATAACTAGAGTGGTTGACACAGGAGCTTTAAAGTACACTCAGAAGTTTGTGCTTTCACCTCTGAAATACAGTCTGTGTCTAAAGTAAGATAACTGTCCGCTGTGAAGTCCACCGGATTAACTAAAGTCACAACAAAGAACAAAACAACAAATACAAAGCTCTGAGGCCTTGAAGAAAAACACCCTACTCTCAATGAAGGAATAATCACTAACTACAGAGACACACACACACGTCACACACGGCCCACCTGCACCAGCTGCCTCCCCTCTCCTGCTCTTTATACTCTGCTGTGATCGACTATTGGTCAGAGATGAGCTGAACCCCCTGTTTCCCTGAATCAGAGCAGCAACTGGAGAAAACTTAGGAAAGGAAACATCAGTAAAAACACTCGACACTGTGGAGCCTGACAGACAAACAGCTGAGAGGATCCAGCAGCAGATGTAGTTTCTGTCTTAAAGGGATTTTCCGGCAAAAAATTAATTTAGGGTCAAACCCTCAAGAGATGAATGTTGCCGACGGCTTCCTTTTCTAGTTTCACCAACTTTAGTAACAACCACACGATAGCAATACACAGCGGTCTGAGGGGCCATAAACAAACCTCAACCAAAACACCTACTCACCTCACCTACTCTCTTCCAGCAGCCGCTTGTTTGTAGCGAGACCTCAGGCCAGTCCACTACGGACTGCAGCGGGGTGACACAGCTAAAGGAAGAACATTTATGATAATTTCTTTATCGTTTCCTTGAAGTAATAATCATCATATTAATCATTTTGCACTGCAGACGCGGTAGTTCTTCTGCCTTAGCATCTCAGTCTGATTGCATTTCTATGAAGAAATGATCATAAATGTTCTTCCTTGAGCTGCGTCACCCCGCTGTAGTCCATAATGGACTAGCCCAAGGTCTTGCTACAAACAAACGGCTGCTGGAAGAGAGTAGGTGAGATGTGTTAAGTCTCTTTGCTAAAAAAATAAGGCAAAGTTAAAAAGATGTTTGGTGTCTAGTACTATGGCTGTGACCCTATATGTCCTGTTGATGAAGTTAGGTGCTGTTCTGAGCATTATTTGTGTCTATAGAGTGGTGTTTTGGTTGAGGTTTGTTTATGGCTCCTCAGACCGCTGTGTATTGCTATCGTGCGGTCGTTACTAAAGTTGGTATAACTAGAGAAGCAAGCGGTCGGCAACATTCATCTCTCGACGCGGTGCCTAACTTGGTGTTGTGGTGTGTTTGACCCTAAATTAATTTGACGCCGTAGTATCCCTGTAATGGTTGTTGTTTTTACATTTCAACTTCCACAGAGTATTTTTCATTCTTGTCTTACCACACAGACTTGAAACACTCCTAGAGGCCCCTGGATGAAAGTGATTCACCTTTGAAATGACTTGACCAGCTGCTTTCTATCCCTCCGTTTTGGATCGGGGTTGTCAGTTGTTGAGCTTTAATTACTTGGAAGGAGATGGACAGCGGGTGCAGTAGGTTACCGTGCTGTGATACCCGCCCAGGACTCACTGAGCGTGAAACAGATACAGCCAGTCATCGGGAACCCTGCTCGAAAATCTGGGTCATGTTAGCATTTTATATGAAACGCTACACACAACACTGGCATTTCACGCTGCTGTAGCCATCAGGTATGAAGCCACGCGGTCTTTTTCCTCAGGAGAAATTAGATGGAAAATGATGCAGTTAAAGTGACTTTCTCTTCGTTTTGCAGGCGTAGAAAGGTGAAATGTTTACAGTTTCAGCGCTGCATAATTAATAAGGATGATTTATTTAAGACGGAAATGCAACATTGGCTTTATAGGTAATAGAAGCTGCTCTCTTGAGTCTGCAGGGAAGGCTCAAGGACAGCTGCATTGACGTGTAACCCAGTTAGGGGTCAATTAAAAAGGCAAAACAGAAACTGAACTGATGACACTTTACGGTCTTTTGTGGCCCTTTCTGTCGCCCATTAAGCGGCTCTGACAGATGCTGGCTCATGAGCAGAGAAGCCGTGGATCAGTGGTTTCCTCACATCAGCAGTGCGACATGCAGTCCAATATTCACTGGATGTTTTCTGGATGGTTTCCAGCTGTCACTGCAAGAATCCAGCAAAGATCAAAGTGTGCAGAAACGTGAAACCAAACACTTGGATCCACTGAAGTGTCATTTTATAAAAACAGAGAGGCTCTGACCTTTAATCCTCCACGTGTGTGTTTGCAGTAAATGAAGCAGATGCTGCTTCTCGCTGTTTTTGTGTCAGAGACGAGCAGAAAACACCGTCACATGAGACCTGGTGCGAGCAGATACAAGTGCAAACCCCTCCTGAGTTACTGTACTTTTATGATTATGTGCATTATTTAATGTTTTCCCTCCTGCACATGTAAAGTAGGCTAACACAACCATGCATGATGCAATGACAAAAATACATTGTTTTTGCATTTCAGCTCCTCCGAAAAGGCGGGGAATCCTCCGCAGCGTTTCTATTCCGCTGTATCGTTGTATCCGCAAACATGAAAGAGGCCTGACGGGGAAAATGATTACGGACTACAAAGCAGGCCAAATTAGGAGCCTTGCATGCGGAGACGAGTTGTTAATACATTCAGCATCTGCTCAAGGGCACCCAGAGTTTTCAGCACAACTTCGTGAGAGGATTAGAGACACAGCAGAGATCCAAACACCAGCGCAGAGACGGGGAGAGTAGTATTTTTTATTATGTCATCTGGACTCTGCAGCAACCATTACCAGGCTGCAGTTCTGATCGACATCCACTTCTTGGCCGTTGCTTGAACTCGGCGATAACTGCGTATTAGCATAAAAAACGGGGACAGCAAATATTGAGATGAGCACCCGAACACAAATACATGATTTTAATGTTACTCTCACAGTCTGGACTGAGAGGAGACCGGGCTGTATGTTTGCTGGTGGGTTTATACCAGTGTTAAAAAAGTAAAAACCCTTTTAAAGACTGAAATCCAAGAACACGTCATCATTTTTAAGACTTCCAAAAGACCGTAACCTGCATTATCAACGTTTACAAAACTACAACTAGTTTTCTACTGAGAGTATTTCCCAGTGTGAGGAAATGTACATAAAACCCAGAGGTGTAAAAAGCATTGGGCCAAAGCTACTCTATTCTGATAGTCAGCTACTCATCAATAATTAAGACAATTGATCTGGTAATTGGACCTTTTACTGGAACAATCAGCTTTAAATGTAACAAAGCAAACAAGCCGTTAAGAATCTTTCTGGCCGTATTTTTGCTCTTTAGATTAATCTTTAAAACCCTGATTAATCGCAAAAATCTTAATAGTTAATCGCAATTAATCGCATGTAAATCGCGTGTTTAAGATTTCATTATTTTGCATTTTAAAACAGGTTTTAAGTTCATTAACAATGTTGAGCAGTTCTTACCAGTGAATTGATGTAGGAAACAAATGAATCTGCTACAGCAATGTTGTCTGAAACGGTCCCCTAGAGATAGGGGGTTGTTTCAAAGTGCTCATTCTATCAAATACACAGTTTGTCTTAGTTTTAATGATTCTTTTGGGGGCTTTTTGCCGTAATCAATAGGGCAGCTTAGAGAGAGAAAAGAGAGAGAGAGAGAGGCAGAATAACATGCACCAAATCATGCTGGGGTGAGGAAATAATCCTACAGCGAGTGCGTTGAGGACTCCAGCCTCTGTGCATGTGTGTGTGCTTAAACCACAACACCCTGTGGTGTTTATTTTTATTTGTTCAAAGGATAACGCTGTTTCACATAAAGAAATATGCAGGAGTGCATGTACAAAAGGTCCAATCTGTGCCAATTACAGGGAAATTCCGCCGTAAAATTAATTTAGGGTCAAATACATCGTAACACCGAGTTGGACACCTCCTCGAGAGATGAAAATTTGCCGTCTGCATGCTTCTCTAGATATACCAACTTTAGTAACGACCGCACGATAGAAATACACAGCGGTCTGAGGAGCCATAAACAAACCAAAACACCACTCTATAGCCACAAATAATGCTCAGAACAGAACCTAACTTCATTAACAGGACATAGCCACAGCACTACCAAACATCTTTTTAGTTTTGCCTAATTCTTTAGCAAAGAGACTAAACACAACTCACCTACTCTCTTCCAGCAGCCACTTGCTTGTATGGAGACCTCTGGACGAGTCCATTACCGCGCCAGGGTGACGCAACTCAAGGAAGAACATTTATGATCATTTCCTTAAAATAATTATAACCATATTAATCAATTTACTCTGCAGACGCGGTAGTTCTTCTGCCTTAGCGTCTCGGTCTGATTGTATTTCCATGAAGAAATGATCATAAATGTTCTTCCTTGAACTGCATCACCCCGCTGTAGTCTGTAATGGACTCGCCCGAGGCCTCGCTACAAACAAGCAGCTGCTGGAAGAGAGTAGGTGAGTTGTGTATAGTCTCTTTGCTAAAGAATTAGGCAAAACTAAAAAGATGTTTGGTAGTGCTGTGGCTATGTCCTGTTGATGAAGTTAGGTTCTGTTCTGAGCATTATTTGTAGCTATAGAGTGGTGTTTTGGTTGAGCGCGTTGTTGTCTGTATTGCTATCTGCGGTCGTTACTAAAGTTGGTCTAACTTGAGGAGCAAGCGGTCTGCAACATTAATCTCTCGACGGGGTGTCTAACTTGGTGTTACGGTATGTTTGACCCTTACTTAACTTTACGCCGGAATATCCCTTTATGTCTGCAGTTATTCCAAGAGAAATTTTGAGACGTCCAGGATCCTCTCTGTGAATCTGACAGCGTTCCACTTTGGTTGCTTTGTCCAGGTCCTGTATGTTTACGAGTGTCACTGTGTGGTCAGTAACATGCAGACAGGTATATGACGGTGACTCGCTTCAGCTTCCCATTTTCTCTTCCAGACAGACATATATCATTACCCTAGACATGGCTTTATATGCAGACCCTGTGCTTACCTCATGTTAAATGCTGCTTATTCATGCGTAGGGGCCGATCTGACCGGTAACTCTTGTGACTAATACACTTACTATTGACAGGTGCCTCATACAATGACACTAGAAAAACATGAACTATCCTTTTACAGGCTGTATGAACAGTGTGAGCAGTACGGTCTTTCTGAAGCATATAAATCTGTGTATGAAAGCAAAGTACCTTGAATACTTTTATGAAATTTATATTCTTGATTAACAGTGCAGCGCCATACTGATGCTGTCAAAAGGCCAGATTGAATAGGCTTGCTGCTGTGAATTATGAGCAGGATGCTCTTTTATAGAAGTCATACCAAGTTCAAACATTCCTTTATGTCCCATTTTCATTAAAAGCCTGACGTCTTACTCTATAGCATCTCGTTAAATCAAATTACAGAGTGACTAGAGAGAGGAACCGCATGTTCATGTTCAGCAATCAAAATCTGATTCCTGTTTCCCGGCACGGCTGACACTTGAGTGCTGTACATCACACTGATAAGAAGTGATTAACTGTGACCTCTGTGGCCTTTTTTCTCACTCTCCTCTTATCAGGTTTGTGCCATCGTGAGCCTCCTGCCCTCGGGCTCGTATGCAGATCTGACATGTGAAGCTCTCCTCCTGCTGTCCGGAAACGTCTCGTGTAAGTTGAGGACAAGCATCGACTACACTACACAGTGTGTGAAAGAATCTCTTAAAAGGCAGAACAATCCCGCCTGAGTGTTTCATGTTGATCCACTTAAACGCTCTCATCAGTTTGGATTGATTTCCAGTCTTTTCCCATCATGTCAATACCCACAAAATGCCGAAACCCTCGTCCTCAATCCTAACTTTCCCTGGGAGGTTATTGGCAGTGTCTTCTCTCATCTCTGTACTCCTGTGTAAGACTTGATTATCAAACTTTGTAAACCTGGGAACATGCCCGTAGTCAGCCGAGCAAAGACTCTGAGGAGCATCTTGTTATTTGCCCCGGGGTAAAATGTGTTCCAGGTACCCGCGAACAAACTAATAACAATGATAACTCTGCTGTTGTTGTTATTATTATGCTGTCACAAACTAGGGCTGGGTGCCTTATTCACTCCTGCTTCAACATGAACTAAAGTGTGTCTTTGAGATTCGTCAAAATAAACACATAAATACAGGGAAGCAGCCTGTCGGAGTTTCAAAAGACCAAGTTCAGACGAAACCAATTCAAGCAGTCAGTTCTCACATTTGAAGAGCTACAATCAGGACAGTGTGAGTCATTTCCGATCAATCGAGTTAATTGTTTCATATGTTATGAGAGACGTCGGAGACAAGTATGAGTTTACTGCTGTTTTAACGATAACTGAAGTGTCTTTGTACGATCTGACAGGGATTCTTTTTCAGCCTCAGTGACGTGTTTCTCTGTGAAATCTTTAAATAAACACAGAAAGTTATAAAGACGCTTTACAGAAAGAGCAAAGAGAGCCAACGTCAAGAATAGATCAGATTCAGTCTCATCATAATCCAGCATGAATGTAACACTTTAGTGAGGAAGAAAAAAAACTTCCTTTAACAGGCAGAAACCTCGGGCAGAACCAGACTCATGATAGACAGTCATCTGCTGAGACTGTAATAGGATTTGAGCGAGGGTTAGCGATCCAACAGTGACGCACAACGACAGAAGCTCATGCAGATTTAGTCTTAAAGTGCCGATAATAACGGCGAAAGTCTGTCTGCAGGAACTTAAAATTATTAATAAGGATATCCTGACCTTAATAATAATGGTAGTTAAAGTCAGGTCTCAGACAAGCATGTATAAAAACAACGCCGATAGCTGATGCTGATAATTCAAGAGCAGGTCTGGATGTATGCCGCTGATATCTTATTATCTTAGATTTCCAAACATGAAGGATATTAATGCTGGAAGCAGTTAAACTGTCAAATGACTTTAAACATCAGAACAGAATTAATCTTAAACACAAACTAGCAACTCTCTGGACTTTATAAACATCATTTAAGATGGAAAAAGCCTGATAATTGACCGCAGCTTCACTGGTTAGGCTGCCTGCAGTGTCTGCAGACATCATTTGTTCATAATTGAAATGTTTATCTTCAGTTTTTATTGTGTTGTTTTGTAGTATTTGTTCATTTTGTATCATGAGTGTGGACATCAGCTGATGTCGATGTTTTTACGATGCCATCAATCATCCTGTCCAATAACGCCTGTGTGTATTTTAAGATCTGCCAACGATTATTTTACAGTTTTAGTGAATTATTTGGTCAAGTTACACGCAAACATTAAGAGATAGAGCCTGTTAGATAATTAAAAAGTGAAATTACAGAGTTTGTGATCAGAACTGACGGTTTGAACTCTAAAATAAGTTGAGCTCAGCATGGTGGGAAACCAAAAAAGCAGCAAAAACACCCAGTTAAGGTGCTGGAATCGAGATGGTGACACTTAATTGTTAATATAGGTGTGTTTATTGATTAGTACTTTTATCAATACTGTTGGCAGACAAACAAAGCTGAAGTGCCGCTCGATTAAACCACCACATTAGAGGTGTATTTGTGAGATCTGTCAGATTGATCCCAAATTGGTTATTATTATTTAGAAGTATTTGTTTTAGTAATATGTCCAAATAAAGACAAAAATAAGAGATGAATGGCCTGTTAGAGTGTTTACAGTCAGAGCTGATGGGTCAACCCTTCAAAAAGTCACATTTAGGATGGTTTAAACAGAGAAAATGAACCAATTCTTACCTCTCAAACCAGGAGACTAAAAAGCTCTCAAAACAGTGAAGTTAAATATTTCATCAAAGTGTTAGTAGACTATTAAAACTAAAGTGCTGCTCAAACTATGACGACAGAGTGATTATGACATCCACCGAGGGTAACTCTTCAGTGTCTGTGAATTATTTAGCCTGTGAAATGTCAAAGTGCACATGAGTAAGGTAAAAGTTATCCGCTCGTTTTTCAGAATCAGAGTTCTAGTTTTTTCAGGATCAAGTCGAAACCTGAACGTAACATTCCTCAGTTCCAGTCCAGCTTTAAAAGTTGGACTTACCTTGTTTCTGTGTCACTCTATCAGACACTTCCCTGTCTCAGACTCTGTTTTTGTGCAGATGTAGTTCCTTCAGTGACTCGACCGCATTCAGGTATCATTTTGCTCATGATATTTACACAATAATATGATACCCAGCCCAGGTGAAGACTGAGTCCATGTTTATGTTTCAGGAGGTGTGTTGTTACCTTAATGTACGGGGATTAGTTTCGCTTGTCTGGAACCTTGGTAACAAGAGGAACTTGAACTTTAGGGGGGCAAAAATAAACAAGGTCTCTTATTATGATTAACTGAACATTTCAGTTGTTTGTCAGGGCGTTTGCACAAACAAGAACATTAAAATGCTGCGTGCTGATTGGCTGAAAAAGCATCTGAGTGATTTAGCATCCTTAGTTCCCTGAACTCAACGATACATCCTCCTATACTTATAAAGCAGTTAAAATAATATATCTTCCCTTTAGATTCAGAACTATTTTGAACTATTTTAACCTCATGTAAAGTTTTATTTTTGGACTAAAACTGGTTGGAGCAGAGATGTAAGTTTATCTTTGCAATGTGAGAGGAACACCTTTTAACTAGTAATGATACATCCACTAAAAATGGCTGAAAAACAGTTTTACTTCTTTTCTATAGCAAAGAAATAATCAAATGTTTGGAAAAAAAAGGCAAAAAAAAAGGAATTTTTCTTTTTTAGCTCCAGGAAAGGATTTTAGGCACTTAACATGCTGGAGGGGATTTAAAATAACAATACACAACGTTATTAGGCTCTTTACATACACTGTCTATTTTACTATTTTCTTCAAGTTTATTTTTAATCTCAAAGAATTAATTTGGTCAGTATCTTGCAAAGTAGTCTTGCAGTTAAGCTCAACAAAAGAAGAGTGATAAATCTTGACTCTGATTCTTCTTTTAAAGAATTGTGATTTGGTATTTCTGCCGTCTTGCTCAGCCCCACTATCACTTCAGGTACTGAAGGTCACGTTTCCTTTCCAACACCTCCAGCTCTCGCACCCGCTCCATCTTCGCCGGCCCTCCCCCTCTGAGAAACATTTTAAAGTTAACACAACCAGACAGCAGCCCGTGTTTCCAGAAACGCTGACAGTCGTGCGGAGAACGCCAACAGGTCCCAGGAATCAAAGTCACAGTTTTCCTGATGCAGCCGGAGACTGAGAGGGATTCTGGCACTAAAGCAGACGGACTAGACAGTCATAATTCATGAAGTCCTTGTCAATCAAACATAAATATGTGTTTTTAGGCTATGTGTTTGATGTTTTCCTTCTGCGCTTTTAAAACGGCTTCCATACTTCACTCCAAATCCTCTAATTTCTCCAACACAAAAAGGCGTCAAAGCCTCGGTGCAGAGATATATCTGATGGCATTAGAATGAAGGGTCAACTTTGCCCTGCAGAGCATCCTCATTTCCGGATTACTGAATTAATAGCCTGACCTCGGGGGCACGTCTAGATTCATATTTGCTGCTGTCGCCCTCTTATTGCTCCGGGAAGAAAGGTCTGTCACCAGTGTTTACCATTGCCCTTTAATGCTCACCCTTTGTTGCAGTTAAGCTGAATCTAATGAGATTTCCATTGCCTCTTGTAAACCGTGCAAACAAAGATGGAGGTTATTGATGATCTCTTCCTCTCTCTCCTCTCTCTCTCTCGGTTGCAGTACAATCCCTGGCCTCCTCCTGGAACCAAACTCTGAGCAATGCATCAAGTCAGTGGAGCGGTGAGTTGGACAAATTGTATGAAACTGATTCCCTTCACTGTTGCTACAAAACAGGGTTGTTGTTGGAGTTTGATTTGAACTCAGATTATAAGGACTAACATCAAAGACGACAACAATGCTGGAAATAGACTTTGGCGACGCTCCGCTGGAGACGCAGTTCAGCTCAGGAGGAATCATTAAGAGCCTGTGTACACAAACAGCTCATCCAGCTCCACCTTTAATTGCCAAGAACTCTGGAGAATTTCACCCTGGCTATATGTAGTCCTCGGACATGTCAGGAATGTGCGTCTATGAATGACATTTCTGTCCCCACGCTGCAGGCTCGGGGGTCTTCTGCGAAACCTCCATCGACGGCATCGGCACCTGCTGGCCCAGGAGCGGCGCAGGCCAGATGGTGTCACGACCCTGTCCGGAGATGTTCTACGGTGTCAGATACAACACCACCAGTAAGTCCCTCCCCCTCACTCAGTCCAACATCACATTAAAAAGAAGATTCAATTTGAACCCCTCTCCCTCGCTCCCCGCTCGCAGTCCCCTCGGGCAGATCCTGTTTACGTAATTGTGTATCCAGAAATTAGCATGAGCATACAAATTAGTGAGACACACGCAGACAAAAGTGCAAGAAAGAAAGAAGAACACAAACAGGATAAAGAGTATAAAAGGAAAGAAAAGGAGCGGGAAGATATTTGTGTCAGGACTTAAACGACAAAAGAAAGAGAGGATAATATTGCAGCGTGATCCCACATGGCTAAGCCGGTCTACAGGGATGGAAACAGGATATAAATGTCACAAATGGTGCTCATGATTCATTTCACTCATCAGTTCAAGTCAAAACTACTCTTTGAAACATGTCAGGGCTCATAAAATCAAATAATTGTGCGCCTTTCTTCGTGCCCAATCACATTTTTGGACTTTGAGGGTTTCTTTAAGAGCACAAAGTTTGTTCAGGTTTGTGTTTTGGCGCTGAACTATTCCTGAACTCATCCGCACCGCAGTTTCTTCTGAGGTCAAACCCTTAAGTCCAGCTGAGATTAAACAGCTGCAGCAAACACATCTGATCCGTTAATTACACATCCAGAGCTCCAATTTGGAAGAAAATAAGTTCTCAAAGGGTAAAATCAATACTTTACTTCTGTTTTGTAAGAGTCATTGGTCAGCCACCAGACTTAATCACCTCAGAAACTACAAAATTAAGTGAAGTTAGAGTTTTATCAACAAAGAAAAGTCAATGATAATGATGCTCTTTTTGTTTGCTTTTGGTGCCAGTGAGAGGTTTACATTTCTGTCGTCATTTTCACAAAGTTTTCTTCTTTGAAGAGTTGCTCCTAGTGACAAAATTCGCAGAAAATCATGAGAATTTTGACGTTTTTTTTGAGCGCAGTGTTGCCAGACCCATTAGCCATCACGGAGCTGTCTTATTTCAGGCATTAAAAATCATCAATCTTGTCCCTGATGGTCTTATTGCTTTTGATATCATAAAAAAGCATCAATATTAATTAAAGTTTGTTTCATAGATAGAAGAAAACCTCCTCACAGGAGCTTTAAGACTAAATTAGATGATTTAATGGTATAGATTACACTGTGATTACAATCGGGTTCACATCTACAAGCTATGCGCTGATGCAATATGCAAGAAATGACAGGTGAGCCTTGCATCAAAAGGTTAGTAATTAAAGATGTATTAAAACTGCTAGAGCACAGAATAACACCGACAGCAACGAAACAGTTGAAACAACAGCCTTAAATGATTCATAACAACCGTTGGATGTCAGCTGCGATCAGAGTGTTTAAGGAGAGATAGAAAAGCCGACACCGCTGCAGAGCAAAGGCAGATTACTCACCAATTTATCAACTTTTACATCAAATATCACAGTATCAGGATGGATACCTCTGTGGTTATTTTAAAAGATTTAAAGCTCAGAAACTCTTCTTTGGAAACCATAATTTTAGCTGCTGTCTCTTTAAGACCCTCATGAGCCCACTTTATGCCAGCTCACTAGAACCTCCTCCGCTGTTGCCATGCTACAAAGTTGGAACCACTGAGATAACTACGGTAGTATTTCTCTAACAGTGCAGAGAGGCAATTACAAGTGTTTAGCAGAGAAAGAAACGGCAAAGAGAAGTGTGGACTTCTGAAACATCAAGAGACATGAAAATAAAATAGAGCAATGCATCACAAATCTCAGCGGTTAAGGATCATAATGTGGACCATCCTTCCTGATCTGTGTGTGTGTGTTTTTTCATGGACTGTGCAGGTGTCATTTTCTGCCGCAGGTGTTTTCTGACTAAGCCTGTATTAACAGTCACTGCTCCCAGTGCAGAAAGGTGCCAGTGTCCTTTATATAAAGTGTAGGCTGTGCCTCACCTCCCCTCCCTCACACACTCAGACAGACGGGCATCTTTCTCATGCTCGTATTGATTTAAACTGAGATGAGTGCTTCTGTTTTCATTACGTTAATATGAGCTTTTTATATCCCCTCCTACTGTGTCCAGCTGCAGCCACATCTTCTCCACTCTCTGCCTCTGGAGTGGCTTTTCATGCTTTTTTTGTGTTTTGCTGTCACTCTAGGTTTCCCTTTAAAAACAGAGGGCTGTTTGTTTCTGACACAAGTCTGCAGCGTCCACCCCACATGCAGCCAGATCCTACTGTCATGCTTAATTTAAGATTCCTACGAAAGAAAATCCTCATGATAAAGCAGCACAGAGTGGATTCTTTGTGATGTCCAGTTTAAATAAAACACATTTGCGCGTTTTTAGGTTTATAAGATGAAAAAACAGGGCACAGACTGGACTTCCCAAGCAGTTTGAGAAAATATGCTTTTCATGTGAAGACAGTAAATCACAAGAGATTTAACTAATATGTATTTAATCGAGCCCCACTGGACTTGATGTTTTTCCGTTAAGGGATTGTTTCTTTACTTTCTTATGAATAAACTCAAAGAAGCCTGCCGGAAATTTCTTGAAATGCCCGCTTTGACTAAAAGATGAATTGATCAGCTCGTGAGAGTCAAAGGTCACTCAGATCTCAGAACCATTTTTGGCTGTAGCTTCAGTTTTTACAGCACTTTTATCTAAAACCTGCACAAAAGTTAAAAAGATAAAATACAAAAGGGGAAGATTGTTCAAGCTTTAAATGTTATATTCACTCCAACATTATCATGCCCTAAAAAAGGGTCTGATGCTAATCAGGGACCGCTGAGAAGTTTTTGTCAATATTTGATGTGTAATGGGGCAATGAATTTGTAAATGTACTCCTATCTATCTATCTATCTATCTATCTATCTTGGCTGCTCTTTGCAGGTGGAACGGTGGTGTTCTGTTTGAAAGAGTTACCGTGCAATTTGGTGGCTTTCGAATATGTGAGCGGTTAAAACTGCCGTTTGAACGCGGAAAGGCTCACGTATTTATTCATTTATTTGTTGAATTCTATGAAAAACTATAATAGGCAGCCCAACTATATATGTTTCAGAAAGCTAATGGCATTTGTAGGAGAGACCCACTCGGCTGAAAGTCAGCGCCCGTTGACAGGGTTACCGTTTACGCCGGAACACCGCGTTCAATACGCTAACAACCGTTGGCCAGTTAACCAAGTAAAAAGGCGTAAGTCGGCTTGGGTTGGCAAGGGAGTATTATAATTTAGCGACTGAACACGTTTGTTAAATGTTTAACATAGAAAAAGAACAAGTTTGGTAACTACTTGTCTTTATAACGAGTGGTCGAGAGGCTTGAACCGCGCTGCTTAGCAACGTCTCCCAACGGCTACGAAGCGCCTATGTTCGGGCTAATGTGGAGGCTCCAGTTACCAGAAAATATACCCTTTTTCTGTTTGGACGAGTTGGCTACACTTTTTTGGTCCAAACAGTTCAAGTTGTGGACTCCTGTGATGTTGCTACGCCTGAAACCAGCTCCCCTGCTAACGTGAAAAAGACGGACGCAGTGAGTAGTAACGTGAACCTAACGCTAAAATCATGCTAACCGTCAGTTGTAACCGAAGTCACCGAGCAGCTGTATCATGGCTGATGTTAACAGCCAACAGGACTAAGTTCTCCCTTCCTTGTCCACTAAAAATGAAAATAAACAGTTTCACAAAGTTGATAAATTGATTTCATTTGTGTTTTAGAGAAAGCTAGAGTAGTAACCATACCAACTGTTCACAGATTAGCTCATAACATCTCTAAATGAGCTTATTTTTTGTCAGCCTATGCACAGTAGCATCGTCTTCTGATCTCATTCAATAATAATATGAGTGACTCAGCTCTCCCCTTGATTTGCTGAGCATTTGGGCCAACTCCATTGAGCCCAGAGGCCATCTACATTTTCTCAATGACACAACAGCTGTGGTACAGACTGTAGACATGATGCTTGTGGACAGAGAAGTGACAATTTTTTGAAATCGTGGGTGTAAGCTTTAAGGAAGTGGATTTTTCTTTTCTCAATCTTGTTCTTATGTGTCCTTGAACGTAAAATTAGAAGTAAGGAGACTGGGGACTTATTGTCCAAATGATGTACAGATAATAGAGGAGTACAACTACTGAAATCAGAAGTTTTGCAGGAATTGGTTTCAACAGAAGGATGGACTAGAGCTCACTTTTCTCTTTTCTATGATTGTTATAGGTTTCTTGGTTACATTTGGTTTCCTCTTTAAAGTTTGTGTGTGTTTGACCCTGAATTAATTTTACGCCGGAATATCCCTTTTAAGCCCTCTTACTCCCTTTACCGGCAGTTGTTTTATTTTGTATGTTAAAAATGACACAAACCACACTGCTAGAGATAGTCAAGCTGTGGGTGTATGTGTGGATTGTGCATGTATGAAGGCAGCAGGTAGATGATAGCGTCAAAAACTGAACTATTGTGTTGTATTGTGCAGTAACTTGCTGCCTAAATCCAATACTGCTTTGGCAGCTTCACCTCCTCTGGGTTATCTTGGCTTGTTTTTCAGAGAGCAGTTCCTGTGTTCACACTTGTCCAAATGATCTGAGCCAAGTTTTTTTTCCTCTTTCAGAACAAAGTCACAGAACAACCCAGGTGTGAAAACATCCTTTAATTTTGTAATGGCTTTGCAGCAGCATCCATATTTAAAATCTCGTCTCCTATCTGAGCCATCGCAATTGCTCAATCAAGCGAACACACAAAAGTAATTTGACTCCACTGAGCGGAGCAGAGAACAACAGAGCTTAACAAAGTCATATCAAATCAATTTTAATAATATGTCAGTATCCGAAAATCTGCCTTCAGGGGCCCCGTGGTTTTCATACGCACGCACAAACACACGCACACACAGATCCAGGGCTGCAATTAAAATATATGTTAAATAATTATAATAATTATATCGATAATTATCAATATCGATCAATATGATTTATTTTTTATCGATAGCCCATCTGTCTATAAAGATAAATGTCAGAACTCTACGCGGGGTCTTCACAGGTCCAGTAGCTTGTAATAATAAGAAGATCCAAACCTGGGTCAGAGGATATCAGGTCCAGATTAGACTGAGTCTTCTCTGAGCTCTTTATAGCTCCACATGAATCTGAGTGAATCATCGCGGACAGGCCGAGAGTGTGAACACCGACAGCGACTGCCTGCTAATTGGCTGAACACAACGCTGCTAATAGTGCTGCTCTGCTCCTCTATCTCTCTCTCTTTGGGTTTCAGATCAGCTATAATTATCCGAAGGTTCCCCATCAGATCTGATTGCCGTGCTTTGTTTGATGATAATGTATGTTTGCTTGTCAACCGTGGACGGTTTTCCCACGGGTTTGAAACAGATTACCGCATGAATGGCCAAACAAACATTCACCCATGGATGGATGGACCAAAACTGGATCCAGCATTGTTCATTCCTCTAGAGAAAAAAAACAAAAACAAAAAACATGCCCACTGAGGGTAAGTCAATCAGCTTCATAATCTGCAGAGAGCGCTGGAACACACGAGCCAAATCTTTACAGCTTGTTTGATTATTGTGTTACAACATGTTTTAGTGTTGATTGGTTCCCAGAGTCTAAAAACTGAAAATTAAACTTCACCTTTTCACCCCACAATCATTGAGACTAACAGACTTCAGGAGATCAAAATTATTCCAATATTTATCTAAAAATCCTCAACCTCTTCTGTGAAACGGATGGAAAGTTATCTTCATCATTATGGGCATATCTTATTCAGTGTAGTTAATTGATAGACATATTTTTACTGGCATAATGTCCCAGGAGTCGTAATCACACAGTCTGAACTTGATGTCAAATTAGCTTCAAAGCTTTGTGACTTCCTCTGGGGTTCGGTACTACCACATGAAAGAGCTTTGTTAACATCAGTCTGCAGGGCCGAGTTTGACACTGAGGATGCCGAGGTCACTCTGTCACTGCTGTTTCTCAGATTTCCATGACCCCGGGTGGAGCTTAAGTTCTGTTTAATTGTTCTGATATGGCTGTCGGATAGATGTGAACAACAAGAACACTGCGATCATGTCTGACAAGCAAATAAGACACTAAAATTTAAGGCAGGCTGAATATAGTAACTGCTGGTTTTGCAGATAAAAGTCGACAGCAAAACATTGAAACATGGTTGAAAAAGATTTTTCAAGGAGTTTGCAGCTTCTTTATATTAAACGTTTAATTTTTTTGTTTTTTTTAGGGCCTGTTTCCACAAACTGCATATTGTGGAAACAGCACTTATCCTCCATACAAAACAATGCTGTTTAGTAAATTTAGCAATCAGCATCTTAAAGGTCCTTTGACAACGGGACCGTTTTTATCATGCCATTATTTTGGACGTCAGTATTTTTTTTTGAACCCGTATCCTGTCAATACAAGCGTTCACATCAGCGACGTTTTCCCGTCCTGCGAGATTGCGTCAAAATTCACCTCAGAATATTTCCTAATTTCGCATTCTATATTCGCATCAGCCCTGGTGTGTAAGGACCTTAACTCTGACCAATCACAGTCAAGAAGGGGTGGGACTTTTTACATCAGTTTTGTCAACACCAGTAACAAAGGTCTGTTGGAGATGGAAATGACCACCCTTGTTTCTTTAAGAGAAGAATTTCTTTGTAGATTCTATATTTAGAAAAAGGCAAAATGAAACGTGGAGTTTTCTAAAGCACGCTAAATGGTCACTACGAAGAATGCATATTTAAAGTATCTTACATAATTGATTATTAGAAACGTTGACAATCAATTATTGATCACTAATTTAAAAATTGATTCTATTATAACAAAACAATACCCAATGCATTTTCACCATAAATCACATTATATTCCCACAGCGACATACTGGTTTTTATTATTGATAGTATTACTTAGCTACAGAAACTACAGAGGCGTAAGTATTGTTTAACATGCTGAACATCAACATGCAGGTCAGTCACATAGAAACAATCCCTGCATATGAAGTCATGCAGCGAGGCTCAAACTACTTAATGTAGAAATCAGTGCAGGAACTTCATAAAAATAGGCCTATTTAGCTGTACCATACCCAGTTTTCTGCATGCTTGTTCTTATTGATTAAATAAGCATGCTCATATGTTAGATTGCAACCAGAGTCTGGCAGCAGAAAACATGCCCCAAATGGCACGAATAGAGATACATGCCAGCTTTGCCCATCAGGGAAATCTCTCTGCACTGACTTTTCATCAGTCTATCAGCATCACATCCAGAGAAATCTTCTCATAAAATAGCAAAAATAAGTGTTGGTGCAAAATGTTTTTAAAATTAAGGTACTGGGAACTGGTAGAGTAAATAATGCCGTCTGTGGAAACAAGCCCTTGCATCTCAGAACCCCTGAGAATTCATTCAACAAATTATCTTTAATAAGGGTAAAGAAAAAAAATAGTGCATAAGGTTCTTTTGAAAGGGTTAAAATATTCCATCTTTCTCTTTTTCAAGGAGGATTAAACTAAACTAAAATGATGTAGTTCAGTATTTCTGCAGCAAACTAAAACTCCTGGTCATGTTAGGTCAGTCAGATTTTTTTTTCTTTTTATTGAAGGTGGGGGAGGGGAGTTTGGAGGGCACTCTTGCCTTAATTGAACAGGACAGCTACAGAGTTTTAGGTCATATAGGGTGTAGATATTGTGGGTAGACCCGCAGCAAAGTGTTAAGGTCAGAAGGCGAACAAATGACTGTTATGACGAGGACTGTAGCCTTTGAGCACATGCTTTAACTGCTAAGATCTAAACTAGTGCCTCATCATGCAGGATTTTTAGTCAAGTAAATTAATATAAAATATAACTCAGTCACAAACGTGTTTGGACTCATGACTGCAGTATGTCTGACATAGAGGCTGCGGCTCATGGATATCAAACCAGCGGTCACGCAGTGAGCAGCTTTAAAGCCTGACCTGCAAATGTCACTAAAGGTCATTTGAAATGCTGCTGTTCTTCATCGTCTCTGCTAACCAAACACTGTGTGTGTGTTTGCTTTGTGACTCTTATGAGCCCTCAGCTGTCAATCAAATATCATCAGAGACTATGCCGACATTTCTGTATTTTTTATAAGATACTCGATCAAGCCGTCATGGCTATGAAAAATTAATGACGGCAATTTTTGGAGTCTATTTTTATCCCTTTACAAAACAGGATGTATTTACTGAAAATCTGCTTTCAAAGGGTTCCCATAAACAAAGAGAAGCAGGAGATTTTGTGGATTTGGCTCATTACTGTGACGACTGATCCTGGTGGTCATGCAATATGTACGCTTAAACTCTATAGTGGAGGAATCAGTCCGCTGTGTAACAAGACTCCCAAGGCAAACAGCAGACCTCCAAATATCTGAGGCGAAAAGGTCAGAATGTAGTGTCTAGTAGGGCCCGACCGATTTATTGGCGAGCCGATTAAATCAGCCAATTTTAGCCCGTTTGAGACTAATCGGTAATCCGCCAAAACTCGCTGATTTTTGCCAATATTTTCAGAAACAAAATGGAGAGAATACGTTTCGGTTTCACTCAGAAAATGTTCATGAATCGGCATCGGCCCCAAAAAATCCTCATCGGTCGGGCCCTAGTGTCTAGATGGCAGGAGATGCTACGGCTGAGAAAAATCCAAAGATGACAAAACTTGAATTCTCTTCCACAAAGGTGGGCTGGTCGTCTAAAGTGATGAATTCAGTTAGTGGTGTACTCTAGGGGAGGAAGGGGTGGGAGTATTAATGCCATAAAAATGCTTTATCAGTGGATAAAATCTCTGTGCCCTCTGGATGTTTGTCTGCTGAATAAAATCCCAAAAAATGAAGCTCCATGAAAGCTTTAGTTGAAGAAAATTGTGCCCTTTGAAAATCTTTCTAGTGGATAAAATAAAAAAAAGGCCCTCAAAACATTTACTCGTGTATGCAGTCTAAAAAAAAAAAGGGCCTCTTGAACGCTTTACTCGTCTTTAAAACCTGAAATAGTTCCTTCTGCCAATCCTCCAGTTGAATTTTGTAGGATTAAACCTGGTAAGGAGACCCTTTGGTGATCACACGGCCTTGTCGGGGTGCCTTGTAAATTATTTCATATTTGAATACGGCACTGAACTTGACCGCCTTCGCCGTCATATTTCTGTTTTGGCCTGTTGAGGTCTGCAGCTTCAGTGAACGCTCTGTACTCTCCGGCATGTTTGTTTTTTAGATGTTGTTTTAAATTGTTAGTATTGAACGCGGCTCTGCTGTTGCCGCCTTGTAGAACAGTCATGTTAGATAACTTTTGACTGTTTTTGTTGTCTAGTTTCAAATGTTCCCTCTCTGCTGACGTTTTAACAATATTTTGACAGCGCTGTTTCCTCTGTATGTTTTTATATCACCTGATATTTAGATAAAGCTCAACCTGACTGTATCCTTTAAGCGTGGCTGTGCTGTTTTAGCTCCTTCAGAACATGGAAAAAGCGACAGTGAGCCCGTCAGCTTATATCGAGCCTGCAGGAGGACTTTAAACGCACATGTTAACATACTGAGGATAATACAATCCACATTACTCAGTGACTGTAATACCTCCCAGCATCTTAACGGAGGATATAGACACGGTTTGAGTCAGGAAGTGCTGTGGTGTGTCTGTCAGTCACAAAGAGATGATTGATTAGCACCTCCGAGGCACAGAGAGTGTAACACATCTGTTGTTTGCAAACACAACAGTAAACTTGGCCCTACCTCCTCGTCTCAGTCGCAGCGGGAGCTCCCTCTTGGATGAGTGTTCAGTATGTGTCACCTCGGGGCTACAGTCTCGTCCTCACAAACCCACGCGCTGTTATTGGCTGCTGACTACACACCCACTGTCCACGGATTTACACCCTGAAACATTAGATCACAGGAGAGTGAAAAAAGAAAAAAAAAAAGAAACAGGCGGAGGGCTGAATCTCTGCAGATACTGACACCTCCTCACATTTCCTCTGGGTCATAAGAAACAATTGACAGGGTTATATCTTGTATAAGTCTGCAGATTGAAAATCCCACTTAATCCCCTCTAATCTCTTCCTGATCTCGTTTTTATGAGATAAAATAATTTTGACACAGAAGTCATTACTGTGGGATAAAGACGAGCTCATTCACTTCTCTAGTAGGTGTAACGCAGATATACAGAAAAAAACAAACTAAAGTCTCATGTATTTTTTAACTGTACTCTGACATGAATTAATTCAGATATTTTCAGTCGTTTCACGTTTGTATTACACATGTTATCGCTCCAGCTGCACAACAATCCATTCATTATCTTTACCGCTTATCTCTATCGGGGTCACAGGGGACTGAAGGCTGATCCAGCTGTCATTGAGCAACCCAGAGAAGTCGCCGGTCTACCACAGGGCTGACATATAGAGACAGACAACCATTTCCAAACAGTCACACCTATCGGCAATTTAGAGGGACCAGTTTACCTGACGCTTTGGACTTTTAGAGGAGGCAGGAGAGAAAGACAAAAGGAGATCATACTGTAATATACTACGATGTTGTTTAATTGGCCTGAATAACGTCAAGCTAAGGTGATGTGCACTTATGTTACAACATGTGGGAGTCAGTGAGGATTCAAGCTCTCTGAAGTGGTTTTGCTCATTTGGCTCAGCATGAACCGGCTCTTTCTGCTCTCAAACGGTTCTTCATATTATCACTCATGAACAAAAGATTGTTGATTGTAACTGACGTCCGTGATTATTTTCACCTCAGCTGTGGCTACTTTTGAGAAATGTCATTTCAGTTGTTCAAGAAGAGATGATCAACATCACCCGTCATCTTTCCTCCTATCACATCCATATCATAAATAGTCATACTAAAGGTAGTTTTAGATTCTGATCTGTTGAATACAGCAATGAAAACATTTCTACAGCATGATTATAGAACAGTTTTGTACAGAAGTTTGATTCCTCCACACAGCAAACCTCGACTTTTCTCTCCACATTGAATTCAGACTCTGTTCCACCAAATTAAATTTTGTCTTTTTTGAAAGTTTTATTCTTTAAGTGGGAATGATTAAAAATCTAGTTTCTCTCTCGTTGTCCTCGTCCCTGGCTCTAAAACTTTTCAATAATAGATTATGACACTTGAGATAAGTCATGCAATTTTGGTGGCTTTGATAAAAGGTTTTTAGCAGATGAAAAGGCAAAATCAAATGTATTTGTCCCTCAGAGCTAAACAAGGAAGAATTAAACCACCTTGGATGAGCACTGTCATATTTTTTTTTAATCAAAGATGTGAAAGACTAAATCTTCCAAACAGTAACCACTGTGTTAAACTGGAAAATTAGCAGATGAGATTACCTAATCAAATCTGTGCGGTGTGGGTCTATGTGGGGCACTGCGGCACTCTGAAGGTAAAACAAACACAGGCAGGGAAATACAGTAAACACAATTAAGACAAATTTGAGAGATGAAAGCAAATGTGTTTGTTGGTAATTTTAAACCCCCAAAGGACCCCCGAGGTGAGAGAGAGAGAGAGAAAGAGAGGGAGGTGGGCTGTTATTCAGCGGTAGCTCATCAGTAATTTGACGCTGTGAGGTTCATTTCACCTTCAGGATTAACGTAATCTCTATTCAAGCGCAGCATAAAAGCCCGGAGATGACGGCAGAAAGGTCAGAGAGAAAAAAGGGTTTAGGATGCAAAGAGGTGATGTTTACTTTAGGGACAATGAGCGATTCTGACATCCTGAGTGTTGAATTTCTCCATGATGTGATCCCTGCTGTTATGTATCATGAGACATTTGAACTTTTAATCAAAAATATACAATAAATCCCCCGAAATAGTTTTATTCTCCATAAATGAGAGGAGAGGAATCAGGGAAACAGCATTCACAGTGAAAACACCTGAGCTTCTGCCTCTCAACACGATGAGCTCTTTTTGTTCTGAACACTACAATCTCACAGACACTTCACGCGTGTCAATTAATTCTCAAGGTCTAACTATCATCTCTCTTTGCTCAGTTATGAGCTCTTAATTTGAACACAAAGCTGAATCCTCTCACAAGAAGAGCGGCTCAGAGAGCTTTCATCGTAACAAACTTCCAGGAAAGGATCACAGGTAATGTGACATCCAGGTTTATACAGCAGGGAAAAAATCTGAGGATGGTATTTACCTCTTAGACTGTGTTAAAGACTTGAACACAGCCTCAGGGTCAAGGGGTAAAGCCCGCTATCTAGTGTTTAAAACCTGCGTTCTTTCAACAGCCAGCAGAGGGCGACTCTGCTGGTCAGAGGAAAGGGAGCTAACGAATCAATAGGCGGTGTGAGTTGCGATGTCCATTTCTAGGCTTTGATAAAAACAAAGTCTAGATGATAGGGCAGAACCTACTAGATGTAAAAGCTAGCTGTTGTACCAGATACCTGATCACCTCAATATTTAACGCATGATGCTGATTTAACCACCGTCTTGATTTTCTGTACTATGAAAACATCAGATTTTCACACAGTAAGAAGTTATCAGCTTATATTCAGTCATAAATCCCAGCACACCAGCAGCATCTCTCCTGCCGGGCTGCTGACAGCGCCGTCAGCCGCTGCAGTCAATCACAGTGACACAGTGAGCGTCACAGCAGCCATGAGACTAGTCACAACCCCGGCCTCACGCTACACGGCCTCATGCTGCTCTGTGATTCGGTCTGTCCTCTCTGCTTCCGTCACAGAGCCTCATACTGACCTCAAACTTCCACACTTAGTCACTTCTGAACTGCTGTGTGAGCATTGTCAGAACTACAATAGTGTCCAGACCTGATATTATGATTCTAGGTAAACCTATTTGTAGGCGTCACATGACCCCAGTTTGGCTGTCTGGTGGTCTTGATCAAGGCCGTTCAGTCTTTGTGGGCATGGAGGTAATCCAAAGAGGGGAGGCACCATGAGACTTGGTCGCAATGCACAGTTAAAAAAAGCTAGTATCTGTGATGGTATAGGGGTGCATATGTACCTGTGGCATTGGTTGCTTAAGCTGCGTTCCAGTTACCTCGAAAGTTGGATGTCGGAGCGTGTTTTGCAGGTGTTACAACAGCATGGCTCTGTAGTAGAGGAGTCCAGGTGCTTAAATGGCCCAACTTTCAATCCTAACTGTTCACCAACTGAAGACAAGTACTACAGGGCAACAGTAAACATCCCAACCTTTTGAGACATGTTGCTGGTAACAAATTTTCATGAGCATCCATGGAGATCTATGAAGCTGCAGATACCTCGAGCAGAGGCAGACTCATTTGTGTAGAACCATCTGCCGTGACAGATGGGCTGAGATTGAAAGACATCTTAAAATTTAAATTCAGCACAGTGCTTGACAAAATGTACCTTGTACTCTCTAAACTGCTCCGTGATTTCTTGAGTATTTTGTGCGATCTACATTCCTCGAATTCTAATATTTTTTTCATGACGTCAAAGTAGCTTCAACGGGTCGTACATGACTTATTGATTTGAAAACACTTTTCAGTTTAATTCTGGTCTTTGAGAGGCTGAATTTTTCATGGTGGTGTTGAAACACGTTTCCTTTAATTTAAAAAAGCACTTGATGTTCCCCACAATGACCAGAGCAGTGACCAGAGAATGTGCAGCTTCAGACTGAACAGGCTGTAACCTTCAGTTTACACTCCATTTCATCTCTAACTGATTTGCTGCCACAGAGACGTCAGCCTACTATCAATTCCTCTGTTTCTATGTAGAGCAGGACAGAGGGTCTGTTGGCACACTTTTCACTCCCCGCTCCATTTACCCCGGTAGAATTTATGTTGAAATATTCATGCCAGCCGCAAAATAAAGGTTAACGTTTGAGCTATAAATAGACATATTTAATACACATAAATGCGCTAATTTCCAGTTTAAGTCATGAGGTGGGCTCTTGCCAAAAAAAGACCCATAAAAATTGTGTTTTTGTCCCCATGATTTTGCTGTCAAAGCAAAACCTCGGGCTCCTTCTTTTTGTGGCTGAGGCTGTTTTGATTTGCTGAAAAACGTCGTCCCACTTTCTGTTGTCTCAAGGCTAAATGATTGTGTAATCTTTCAACATTTATAGGTAATATTCCTTAAAAGCATCAGAATTAAGTGTTGATCAGAGATAATGTGGCTCCTTTTATCCTGTCCATCCTGACTAACTCATAAAAATGAACATTTTAATGACAAGGTGCGCAGGTTTGGCCGAACAATAACAATAAATTAATATAAAATATCTTATTTTGTTACATGTATTTTATTGTATAAAATTCAGCGAAAATACATACTCTGATTTAACTGCTGCTGCCAAATGTAATGCTGCTATGAGTCAATTATTTACTTTTACTAATTGTTTTTATCATAAAGCCCTTTGTAATACTGTTTTGAAAGACTGTGTTATTTAGAGGACCAACTTAACAGTAAAAAGTAACACTGCTGACATCTCTATTGTGCAAAAAATAAACTCTAAGACATCTTTATAAAGTAAAACAATAAAAACAATAAACAAATAATCAGCGTTTTATAATATATATTTGATTTTCTGTGTATGTATCAAAAACGGACACAAAAGTGACAAATTTCAGCTTTGAAAATTCTGTGCTGCAGAAAGCTGCAGTTCCTCGAGTGTCCACTAGAGGCTAGTTCCAAAAGCCAAGTACCCTCATTAGAAACAATGTTAATTTGCTTATTTCTAATTTCTTAATTTAACATGTTTGAAGCTGAAACCAAAGAACAGTTTTGGTCTTTGTCGTCAATTTCTGAATTTGTGACAATTGTATGAGGGATGGATTTTTTATAAATTGAGATTTGATCATATTTAGGCTAAGGCTTGTGCATAAAGCTACAAATTACTTTAAGTGTCCTCAAATTTACCATCCCCAATCATCAAGGGGCTTTATTGTGCTTTATTATGATATCTAATGGACAAATAAGGATAAGGACACAATTAGCACATATCCCAGAGATAGAAATAGCTGCAACATAGAAATAGAATAAGTAGAGGTCATTAACTGCAGCTTCACCCTACGACAAACAAGGTCTCAGGCCTGATCCCAATTAAGTCCAACTTGGCAGCGGGAGCTGAGGTGAAGCATTGTTAGTGCTGCCAGGACAATGATTAGTGGCTTTAGGTGGGAACAGGGACACATAAATGAGCCTATCGTCTGAGTGGACTTGTTTTCTGTCCTCACAAACAGAGCAAGACGACTGCTGAAGTCTTCCTCCCAGTTTGTCAGAGTTGTTGGTGCAGAAAGAAGCTGAATTTCTGAGTCGTATTTCAGTTGCAGATCAACTCACAATCCAACGACAAATCCATGAAATTCATTACAGACAAGGAGGAGGATCTGAAATTGGATTCTGAAATTCTTGCCTCTGCTCCAGTTACAGATAACGTAAAGGGTTGTGAACTGGAACCAGAACTTAAAATATAAAATCTGAAGAGCAAAAGACCCCGTTCTCATCCTGACCCGTCTGTTCAGCACTTTATTTCTCACAGCAGGCAGATTGAAGGGAGAACCCTGTAACAGCCGAGTGGATGGTATTCAGATCCTGAACAAAATCTCCAAATATCCGACAATCAAAACACTCAAAAGAAGAAATCCTTCAGTCAGAGCCTGTAAATAAAACAGCAGCTGTAAAACTTGAACTAAACAACTTTGTTTGGAAAGAAAACAGCCTTCTCGTCTCATGAAGTGTCCTCAGTGTACAAAGACACTAACAAAGTGATAGCTCCTGCTGAAAGTGATGGATGTCAGACCTTGGAGAGAAGAAATAATGCCTGTTAGGAGTATGCAAGGTCACGGTGTTTGTCCACATTTAGAATAAAGCATCTCTGTGCAGTAAAGGTACATTTATGTGGCGACACAACAGCAAACAGCCAAGGTGATGTGCTTTATTATATGTTCTTTTATTTCTGTCAGCTCAATGTAAAAGAAAACATAGAAGTTTACCATCATCTGGCACAAGAATATTATATTATCCTAATAACTCAACAATGCCTGATTTAGAAACTCCATCTTTATGACGATATTCTCTCTTTCCAATGTCATCAGGTCTTAAAAAGATGTACAGACTACCATCATCTCATCATCATGTCATATCTCTTCCAATAACTAAATCTGTTCAGTAGGAACCAACTATAGTGGCAGAAACCATGTTCGAGAGAAATTATTTGATAAATATAATAATTATATTGTTTGACCCATGTTCCATTGGTTTACATGGAGGATTCAGGCTTTAATTTCCCATATAAAGATATCATCATCCAGTCCCACCATGTCCTGGTTGTCATGAAGCGGTGCTTTGGATTCAGTTGGGGAAAAACCATCACTTATTCAGCCTCCATGGAGAATCTGCAGCTTCTCAGTTTCTCTGCTTCTCAGGCGGTACAACTCCACAGCAAAAAGCCGCCACACCTTAAAAATGTTCTTTATTTTATGTGAAAACAAATTAAAGTAATAAATTGCATCATTGTTAGTGTTTCCCATACATTCATACAGTCCCCAATGTCTTCTGAATGCACCTCAGATACTGGTTTTACCCTCAGTTTTAGCAAACAGTCAAATACCCGATGTCTGACTACTTTTAGCATATAAAATACTACATTTATGAGGCTATATCTACGACATCCAGGATAATTTTAGTGTTTACATGCTTGTCTTTATTGCAACCCTTGTCTGCACTCTCTAACTGACATGGTTTACATTGTAGTTATTCTTTTAAACGTTTTTATTGATTCAATATCGTAAGTACCCTGTAAAAATAAACCCTTTGATTTATTTTGGCATATTTACAGTAATGTCAATAATATTCACTCCTTGAGAATTGGAATTTTGCCATATTTGTAGCTGTAAATAAAAGGGTGTGGTTAAATCTACTATGTAGCTGTCAGCGATTTAAAATGTCCCCAAAGACTCCTTGTTTTTCAGATGTGTTCGGTAGATTAACATCATAGGGGACCTATTGTGCTGATACAAACATATAATGTTACAGTGTGAAGGAAAGTCCCAGAGACAAAGAGCAGACAATGATATGATAGCTAACGTACGCTAAAGCAAGAGTGGCGAAGTGGGGCGAACAGCTAGCCTTCGAAGTTTTCTGTGAAGGCGTAACTTTAATGACGACAAAGCTGTGTAAAAAGTAACACCCATGAGCTGTGTCTCAAAGATCCCAGTTTCAGATAAATGAAGATAAAGGAGGAGTTTTTAGGATTGCAAATCACGCAGAGCTTCTTCAAAGGGATTCCAGCTAATAAGTAAAATGGGTCTTTAAAAACTCCCCTTCAATTGAGCTTTTTTAATTCATTTGACAGCTATTGTTCAAAGAAAAGTACTGTTCACCTTTAAATTATTGTAAAGAGTAACTTCAAAGTGTCCCTTTAAAAGAGGTCCAGATACGGTGCCTGCTCTTTTATATTCCAGCAGCAGCAGCAGACTGAACATTTGAGAGTGACGAAGTTGCAGCCAGCACATTGTATAAAAATAGACTCTGTTGCTAAAAATGCTAAACAGGAGTAAACCCTTTGCCTGTGAATGTGTCCCTGCTGTACTTGGAAACAGCTCGCCCATGAACCCAGCTGGATTTCCAAAATTAGATTGTGACAAGTCCTCCGCTTATCTCGCTGAGCCTGTGAAGTGTTTTTGTTCAATTCTGCATCTCGCCATCACGTCTGAATTAAACTGAACAACCAGGAGGAACACAGCCGACATCTTCACCTCACCAGACTCAGAGTTTTATCTTTCTATGAGACACGTGTGACTTTCTGATCCCAGCTGTATTCTCTTGATATTCAGTGTTCAGGACATTTCTGACGGTCAGCTATAGCCAGTGGGTGTGCAGCCCCCCTGCTAACAACAACGGCAGGCTGCAATCAAATCCTACTTAATCTATTATTGAAACCAGTGACATTATGGCCTTTAAGTGAGGCAGGAAAAGTTCGCAGCAAACTAAGACACAAACAGATCATAGAGTGAGTGATAAGATTTTTTTCGTCAATTTGTCAAACTTTTGACTTCAATATGATACTTTTCCTTTTTCCTAGTTAACCACTTGCTCATTTTACCTTTATATTAGCCAGTCCAAGTTATAGAAGTGTCAAACAGTAATCTAAATCTGTGCAAGATACAAAATACTGCTCTTTAAAGGGATAGTCTGGCATAAAAATAATTTAGGTTCAAATACACCATAACACCTAGTTAGACACCCCCTCGAGAGATGAATGTTGCTGACGGTTTGCTTCTTTAGTTATACCAAATTTAGTAACGACCACACAATAGCAATACACAGCGGTCTGAGGAGCCATAAACAAACCTCAACCAAACCACCACTCTATAGCTACAAATAATGCTCAGAACAGCACCTAACTTCATCAACAGGACATATAGGGTCCCAGCCAAAGTACTAGCCACCAAACATCTTTTTAACTTTGCCTGATTTCTTTAGCAAAGAGACTAAACACAACTCACCTACTCTCTTCCAGCAGCTGCTTGTTTGTAGTGAGACCTCAGGCCAATCCATTACAGACTACAGTGGGGTGACGCAGCTAAAGGAAGAACATCAGTGGTCAGGGGCAACATTCATCTCTCAACGGGGTGTCTAACTCTGTGTTGCGTTGTGTTTGACCCTAAATTAACTTTATGTTGGAATATTCCTTTGAAATACTCAAAATTCAAATACCTTGGCCCCCCTTTTGAAGGATAGAAAATACACACACACACACACACACACACACACACACACACACACACACCACACACACACACTCACTTTACAAAATGAAGACAGAAAGAGCAACATAAAACTTATTCAAACACCAACAAGGTCATTAAGAGTAATTTCCTCCCCTTTCAGTCATTTCAATTATGCAAACAGAAAAAGCATCTCTTATCTCATCACCATTTATCAAGCCAATTTTTAGTGACATTTACCGTCTAATTACTGCACCATGTAAAATTCTGCATGTTTTTTTAATAACAGAGAAAATCACTTTCCAATAAAACATTTTCCAGTTTGAATTCAAAAAACACTTTGTGACATTTGGCACTCAACTCACTCAAAAATACATCTGAACACTTTCGACGAGATTGCCATAAAAGAAATCTCCAAATTTAAAGAGAACAAAACACTTTTTTGTGACATTTGATTGTAAATGTTTATGACATTTGCAATTACAATAGTAGAGAAAAAAAACATTTTAGTTTGAACAAACCCTGCAGACTTTTGTTCATGTCACAAAACCTAAATATAACTCTGACAGAAAGGCTGTGAGGTTTCTTGTACCCTCCATGTTTCACTGATGCAGCTTTCTCAAAACAGTGAAATCAGCATGATTGGGATGTAATGTGTTTAAGTGTCATTTTAATTTGATGGGTCTCACACTGCATACAGTGAATACCGATCTGTCCTCATCTCCTACTGTAAACCCAAGAGCGACACAAGCTTCCTCCTGTTTTTAGTTGATTTCTCACACCTGTCTAGTTTGTTTCCAGAGATTTGGCCGTTTCTTTTCCCTGTTCCTGTCAGCTCTGGGTTTAATTGAAAACCACCGTTAGCATGCACGTCTAACTTGTTTATCAATCTGCTGTGAAAATCAGTCTGACATAAATGCGATGGTTCTGCAATACAGGCCAAACGCGGCTGAGGTACAACCCTCTGCTTTAGAGGAAGTCATCCCTCTGCTTCCTGGGAAACCCTCCTCAGTGTTTGTTTCTGAGCTGTAGTTTCTCCAAACAGCCCCCAGATCGAGGCCCCCTGGATTTTCACATACATGTTTGTGCATCTGCGCTTGTGAATACACTTTGTTTAGATGGATGCACATAAAGAATTCAGCTGTTTTCCACGGGGGTCTCCTCCCTAAGTATTGTGAGTGTAGTCACCCAGCTTTTTGTTTTATCTTATTCATTTTGTGCTCAATGAAAACTGCTTAAACACATTTCAGGAAATACAGTTTTTAACTTACAGTTCCTGTGAGGAACTTTTCGTTGTTAAACGATGGCGCCCCCTGTGGATAAAGTAGTACCATTGTTTTTAACCTCAAATAATCCCAACCAACTCTATTTGTAGAGATATTCTGGCGTAAAATTAATTTAGGGTCAACCACACCGCTACACTGAGTTCAAAACCCCGTTGAGTGATGAATGTTGCCGCTTGCTTCTCTAGTTATACCAACTTCAGTAACGACCGCACGATAGCAATACACAGCGGTCTGAGGAGCCATAAACAAACCTCAACCAAAACACCACTCTATAGCCACAAATGATTCTCAGAACAGCACCTAACTTCATCGACAGTACATATAGGGTCCTAGTTATAGCACTTGCCACCAAACATCTTTTTAACTTTGCCTGATTTCTTTAGCAATGAGACTAAACACAACTCACCTACTCTCTTCCAGCAGCTGCTTGTTTGTAGCAAGACCTAGGGCCAGTCCATTATGGACTACAGCGGGGTGATGCAGCTCAAGGAAGAACATTTATGATCATTTCTTCATAGAAATGCAATCAGACCGAGACGCTAAGGCAGAAGAACTACCGCGTCTGCAGTGCAAAAAGATTAATATGGTGAATATTACTTCAAGGAAATGATAAAGAAATGATCATAAATGTTCTTCCTTGAGCTGTGACACCCTACTGTAGTCCGTGATGGACTGGCCTGAAGTCTCACTACAAACAAGCAGCTGCAACACTTGTTTCAGACACATAGAACAGCGATATAGAAACAGTCACTCTCTATGCTGATGATCTCATTGTCTCTTGTTGGACCTGAACAGATATTTTTATTGATTTCAGTGAGTTTCAAAACCTCGTCACAGGAGCTTTATGACAATTTTTGTATCTCCACAGAAGCTAGAGGGATTTTTTTATGATGCAAACTCAATTTTAAACATACTTCTCTGTGAGTTAAGTGAGGACCACCTCATAAATCATCACTATATGACAAGATGTCCTTCACTGTCTTACTTGAGCTTGGAACATTTGTCGAAGTAAATGAGCTTTTGAGATTATTCTGCCCATTTAGGAGAAACCTAATGAGAGCTCTGAATTCTCCAGTGACGGTCTGAGGAGAGAGACTGAACTTGATGTAACCTTCATGCTCAGACACGGAAGATGCATAATTGAAGTGATCTCATGCTAATCATGCAAATCATAAGCAGTTCTTCTGTAGCTTTGCTGGATTCTGACACAGTTGTTTCTTGCCGTCAAACATATGCAGGGAGGGGCCCGCAAACCTCCAGGGGTCGCTGTCCAGACTGCTCAGCCATGACGGCGGCCTGCAGCGCTGCGCGGCCTGCTCCGGGTTCGTGACTCAGTCTAGCGTTGCTATCTTTGTTGATGCTCGCCTCGCTCTTCCCGGGCAACTCGCCTCACTGTTTGTATCCGAGCTCTAGTTTCTCCAAACAGCCCCCAGTGAAAGGCCCCCCGGACTTTTCACATGTACGTCTGCGCATCTGCGCTTGTGAATGCACTTTGTTTACATGGATGCACATAAAGAATTCAGAGGCCGGTTGAAAGTTGTTTGGTGGAAGAGGCCAAAGAAGAAGAAGAGGATCAGGAGTGCAGCTTTATTTAGAGCAGCGCTCGCAGTCAGCCGGTGGCAGAGATCATCACCCGGGCTCACCCTCCTGCTCACTCATGGGGAATATCTTTTTATTGAATGAGAGGCGCTCAGCAGAGCATTGCTTTGTTATTAATTCATGAATGGACGCGGGTGTGCAGACTGGTGAAACCAAAAATAGAAAAATACAAAAGAGAGAGAGAGAGTTTAAAAGTCTGTTCCTGTTTGTCACTTGTAGACATAAAAAAGCAGATGTAACGATTAGAGATGATTGTTGTTGAATACAGGAAAACAGTTTGTATGGAGAGCAAAAACAGGCTGAAGATGAGTGTGTTTACCTAGACTTGAATATTACGGCTTTGACTAAGTCTTTACAGTATCTAGTTTATGAAGATCTTGATCTCAGAACGGGGGAGAAGTCCTTATCCTGGTTTTGAGAGACCAGATTTTGCTACCTGGGGTAATTACGGTACCGGGCAGTTTCTGACAGTGGCTGTCTGCCTGCGCAGGTCTGGACTCATGATGCATCAGCAATGAGAATGTTGCAGAAACTTTATTCAGCCTTTCTGCAACACCATGTCAGCATGTAACAGTACTAATCCAGCAGTAAGCCACTCTTTTGTCTCCTTTTGATGCTCCTCCAGCGTAAAAGATGCACATGAAGTGTCCTCTTTGATTCCCGTCCAGTGGATAAAATGTAAACAAAGTGCTCCCTGGATTCCTTCCCACTTGTCAGATGTGATAAAGGACCTTGTTTATAATTAAAACCTCTTCATGTGTGTGGAGTTGGTGCCCTTAAGGCTTTTTAGCACCAGTTGTTCTCTGCACTCAGTGGCAGTTTAACTCCCATTTTCAGTAATCTAAAGATGACTTATTAATCTCTATGAAATATAATAATGAACTGTGCTATTTGTTTTACTGAAGCCCTGTTATTTATAAGCAAATCACAAGTTGTTTCACAAGCTCATATTGCTGAAGTAAACCAGAGTGACGCCTAGGGCTGAGCGATAAACCGGAATTTACCGATACTGACATTTACGACAATAAACAACATCATTTTGCCCATACCGATATCTTCAGTGTCAAATAAATAAATAAATAAAAGTTTGTTTTGGATGTGTGTAGTTAGGCTATGGTCTCATGTCCCTTTAAGACGCTGTCCTACGTCAGAGACGTGACTCCACCCCATCCAGTCTGTGACAAAGAGGGAAAGACAGGTGAGGAGATGGAGGACAGTTCAGAAATTGTAGCGGCTGAAGTAGACGAAGTTAATGTGGGAGGGGGTGAGCAGCTTATGGAGTAGTTATCGTCCATTTATAGTTACCCAGTCGAACTGCTCAATATATCGTGATATTGATTTGAGGCTAGGGATGCACGATATTTATCGGACCGATAAAATATCGGCCGATTTGGGGGGAAATTACGTCATTTTTTATCGGTCCGATAGGTGCATTTTTCCGATAGAAAGATCCGATATATTAATGAAATTACGAGTAACGTTTGCAGGTGGAGTAGCCGCCCGTCCGAGACGCGCTGGTTACGTCATCTATCGCGCCTTACTCGCAGGTCCCAAGCCTGACCCCGTCACTACCTGACAGATAATAAAATGTCTTCACCAGCATGGTCGTTTCTCTCAGTGGCAGAAGATGACAACAGCTGCTATATGCAAAACCTGTTCAGCGAGGATTCCAAGAGGAGGAAAGAAGACGTCAAGTTTTAACACAACGAATCTGATAGCTCATCTGAAAAGTCGCCATCGCGGCAAAGCGGTAGTAAAAGAATATGAGACAGCCGCCGAAGCTGCTAGCGGTACTAAAGCTAAGACAACAACACTACGGAGGATCGATGTCCCCATTCAGCAGGCGTTTAAAAACTGCAAAAGCTTCTCAAGAGACAGCGAAAAGGCTAAAGCCATTAACGACAAAGTGATGGAGTTCATAGCGGTCGACGACCAGCCTTTTTCCGTCGTTGAGAACCCGGGTTTTCGTAAGTTCATAGCACACTTGGAGCCACGTTACACTCTTCCAAGCCGCCGCTTCTTCTCGGATGTGTCTCTTCCTGCACTCTATGATATTGTCGCCACATACATTCACAACCTGGTCGACAAGAACGGACTACACGTGAGTTTTACCACAGACATATGGACGTCAGATGTTAGTCCGGTCAGCATGCTAAGCCTAACGTCTCATAATGGCTCCTTTACAGTTTACAGTTCTGTTGAACAGTTCAGGGGATCAAATGAAGTTCTGCTTTTTGCTCTGTTATTGTTATTTATAGCAAATGACCACATTTGAAGAGCCAAAAACTTTTGTTTGTTGTTCTAGATAGGCCAGAGCAACAAAAACATCAGTTTTCAATCGCTGCATCCTGCACAAACTGCAGATTATATGAAGATTATAATAAATGTAAAAATATGAATTTATCGGTTATCGGTATCGGTATCGGCCATGAGAAGAAGAAAATTATCGGTTATCGGTATCGGTTGAAATTTTTCATATCGTGCATCACTATTTGAGGCCATATCGCCCAGCCCTAGTGAAGCCTTTATGTAACTTAAAACTGACAGTGAAACTGAGACTCACCAGAAACAGAAGAATGGGCGCTAATTTGAGGATATAATGAACCAAGTATGATACTCTTTATTTTGCAGAGATATCTGAAACTGGTCTAGAAACAAGACAGTCATTCCTCGCTAGTCGCATGCTACATCAAAATGACTGAAAAGTGGCAGCAAAGTTAGCCTTTGCTCCCTCAGACATGCACTGTGTCTTAGCATGTTTGATGATTGGCTCTCTTTTAGCTTTAGCGGAGCACCTCAGCTGAAATAGCATCTTTATACAAAATACAAACAATGACAAGTTTGGCAAAGCATTTAATTACTCACCACTCAGCCTGAGATGAGATCATAACAGCAAAATAAGTTGTTGTTTTAATAGTTTATTTCACTTGGACTTCTAAAGAGACAGCTTTGATTTCTCCTCTTTTAATGTTTACAGCCAAGTAACTGAAGCTTTGACACATTCCCCCAACAAGTAAGACACAGAGGGTAAATTATTCCTCCAAAACAAACCCTGCAGTCCTCTGCAGACCCTCGCAGAAGCGAGCCAGAACACACACACTCGGCGTGAAAACTGGCACAGGCTCCCTCCAGTGCAGACGCCTACAGTTTCTCAGGAGTTGCTCCAGTTTCCAGTTTTTCTTTAAATGATAATGAGGTGGCTGCAAACTTTTTCCATGAACAGTGGGGATGCGTGTTTTCACATCAGGTAGAAATGCTCCCTTGAATAATTTCTCAGTGGAAAGTGGCAGTTAAGTAGCCGCTGTCTGGTTTGTTTCAGAGGCAGTTTTATGGCAATAAATACGAGGAGTTGGTGAATGGGTCTGTTTGAGGAGGAGAGCTCTAATACTTGTGTTACCAGTAAACAAGGACGCTTACAAATCCTCAGAAATATGTGGGAATAAGCAGGATAAAGTCAGGTTCAAGTGACGAGCGCGAGCTTTTATTTTACCCACTTCTTCTTTCTGTGTCTCTGCATCTCAAAGGAAATATTGTGCTGCTGTTCCTCTTTATACATCATCTCTTTTACCAGTTATTGTGCGTATTTGTTAAGTGTTTTTGGTGCATATTCATTCTGCTATCAGCTCTTTCAGGACCCAGTCACGTCCTTGAAGTTTTAAAAAAAGCGGAGTTATGAAGATCTCAACCTCTTTTGAATGCAAATCAACTTTTGTGAAGAACTTAAGCCTGAATTTTCTATGACTCCAACACTGCTTCATGCTTTATTCTTTCTAGATTCAGAAGAAAACAGGCAACGAAGAGAGAGGGGTGGGGGGTGAATCTGTCGTTTTTAAATCTGCAAAATGAATAGTTATCGGGCCAGTGAAGGAATCTGCTCGGACAGTCTGGGGAGTATTTAAAGCCTTTTCTTTCGTTGTGTAAACCTCTGTTAGCTGAGATGATGTGTGTTTGAAATGAGACCAGAGCAGAAAGATCCTCTGAGATCCTCTATAAGGGGCCATTTCAGATCCTCTTTGAGCAATCTGAGAACCCAGCAGCGGATGTCTGACAAGCTCCAGTGAGTAAATGTTTCACAGCTCAGAGTGGGGCCGGTCTGTGGGAGGACTGAGTCCTTACCTCGAGTGAAGGAGTTTGAGTATCTCAGGGTTTTGTTCACAACTGTGGGTAAATGTGAGCTCAGCAGGAATGAGAGTGATACGAGCATGGAGGGAGCGAAGCCTGAAGAATAAACTTTGGATAGAATTATTTACTTGCTCGATTTGCAAATATTTGAACATCTGAAATTAACTCGCCGGTGTCGCCTAATAAAAACTCATGTCCAGCCTCGCTTTACATGAAATTCACAGTCAGTATGAACGCGACAATTCTGACTGTAACCCCAGCTCAGACATCTGAGTCGGTGTAGAGTAGAGCTGCTCCTGTGCTGCCTGTCTGGTTTAAACTGATGTGAGAAATGTGCAGAGAGGAAGATGTGACACACGCTGTGATTTAATCCGAACACCAGCTGGATCACGATTATCTGCCTTTGTTTTCTGCGTGTGTTCTGATCAGACACACATTTTAGATTCACGCGTCTGAACGCCTTCTTTACATGTTCACTGCAGTAAATTCAATTAATGGCTTAAAAATAACCATACTGTCACATTTGTTCATTTTCCTTTTGTCTTTAAACTCAGATTTTTTTATCAGCATTATTTTTTTTTTCGTGTGTCTTCGGCGAAAGACTCTGTCAAGCTGTTTTGTATGAGAGGAGCTGCTGCAGCTTTAGTTTTTGGTGCAGCAGGTGTGCCACATGTCTTCTGGCTCCCATAATAGAGCTTGGCGTGTTTCATCTTTAGGTGGTGGAAGAGGTTGCTGATGTTTCCTCCTCCAGCAACAACAGCGACATGATGCTCTTTACCTAGTATTGGTTTTTTTTAATCATTGTCGGATTTTCTAAATCTGAAGAATCTCCAGACAGTTAATGTCGCGACTTGCGCCCTTTTTCGGAACGAGTTCCTCCTCGTCTTCCTCATGTTGGGTTGGTCGGGCTGCCTCCGTTTGCTTGGTACTGCAATTAATCTGTGTTTCCGCCATGACCACCACCAGTAGAGCTGTTTCTTCTTTGTCAAAACTATGCCAAGCAGTCTGCTGGATATGTTGGTGATTATAGGGAGTGCACCCAAACCTGACCAATCAACCGAAGTGAACAAACTCCACACGACACACTGGTGAATATACGGAAGCGCACCCAAACAATTGAGCTACGGCTTTCCTGTTAGCGAGCGCAGACAACTACACACTGACTCAAAGAGACGCAGCAGACATCTGCTCTCTCTCTCTGGTATAAACGGTATAGCAAAATTCCTACCGGTAGACACTTCTAAACCGTTACATGGTTTATACCGTCGTACTGCCCAACATAAGTGCAGACAGTTGCATTAAGCCTCCATTAGCCCCCACTTTGAGAAAAACAACCAAAGTCAACATCTAACAAGATGACAGCCAGGAGGTTAGCGGTTAAATGCTTGGATTAACCTTCTATTGACAAAACAACTTCATTTCAGACACCTCAGCAAAAATGTCGACCTCCCTGCCGCAGCAGTGGTGGGTCTGTTTATGAACATCTATGATGATTTAAATGAAGTATTAAAGGAAACCAAACTCAGCTTTCTGCCTCTAAACCGCTAAATAAATTCAAGCACAGATGTAGAAAATGTGTGTTTTGATTTTTAATTGAGTAAGAAGGTCAATTAGTCATTTCCAGACATAACTTGATAAGACGCTTTGAGACGTGACATTCAAAAAAAGCAGCGGTGTGATTATTTCTCATCAAGTCGGAAGAAGGAAGACACTACAGCCGCTTAACTCGATGTCCATTTAGTCCCAGATTAAACTGGTAATTTTAGGTCTTAATCTAATCCGTGTTAACACTGACAGCCTTAAATTAGGGACTGAACATGATGATCATTATATGAAGTGCCATCATGAAAAACTGCAGCTCCCTACATAATTTTATACATATTCCACCTGCACAAACATCAAAAGCACCATGTTACACCTCAGATTGGAGTTTTTTTTTTCTTTTACACTCGTGCAGAAATCCCCGGACTAATTATTGCAAAAATCTGTTATTTCCTCCCCGCTAAAGCTTTCCTTTAATTGGACTCAGCTCAAAATGCACAGAGGGGGAAGATGCTTCGAAGCACTTGAACACATAGGATCAATGGCTGCAGCTAAGCAAGTGTGACTAAATTTGGGTCAGCATATTTGCTCATGTAGGGCCTCCAATTACAGCAACATTTCTGCTCTGTTGTGCATTTTGAGCCGCTGAGAGGATCCTCTCCACAGCCGCCTTTTGTCTCTGAGCGGCGCGCTCTCCTGGCCGGCCTGTAGTGTGTTTGGAAATGAATGAAAAGAGGATCGCTCAGCCCCCCCCGGCTTGGAGGGGAGCCTCTGTTCCATCCACATGTACCTAGAGCTTCTGTTTCCAGAGAGAGGATTTAGCACCTGGCACAGAGTGGAGGCTGTTTTTAACACCCATTCAACCACAACAAAGACCGGCCAGTAAGTAAAGATTTAGACTGATAGGTCTCACATACCCCACATCCCTGCAAACCATTAAATCCACTGTAGGATGCCGCAGACAGACCCTATCAGATGATGATAGAAATCCTGGAGAATCACCAAACTGGCAGCAGATACTGAATGATATCAGCAGTTATTTTAGGGACCTTGAGCTTGTGACCTATTCAAACGATGGTTTTTATGACGCTTTCAGCCGCTCGTCTCCCTGAAACCTCAGAGGACGACGACAGGAGAATAACAATCAAGTGGAGTCACTGCAGCACAACAGAAATGTACAGTATGAATGTCATCTCATCCTTACACGGTTTATACAGCTGTTGTAGACCGTGACTGCGAGAACAGGCTGGAACTTTTAATGAAGTGACAATGAGACAAATGTTTGCCAGAAACCTCAGGAGCTGGTCTCCTTCCCAAAGTAACCACACACAGGCTCAGATATTTCCTCCTTTACGTGAGAAATTCAGAGAGGATTGAAATCTATCTGGTGTCTGTACGTAAAACAAACCTGGAGTTAGGGAGTGATCAGCATAGTTTAGCATGAACACACCTGTATGTACTTCTACAGGTCACAGCTCGGCCTTTCACGTGATTTTAGAGGTAAATATAATCTCAAACTAAGGCTGCACGATATTGGAAAAAAATAATATTGCGATTTTTTCAACCCTGCGATATATATTGCGATATTAAAAATACAGTATTTTCACCAGATGACCTGAATAGCTCTTAATGTTATGCTGCACTGCTGAAATCTTGAGGACAGTTAATCTGCTCTGATCTTACCTCTTTTTGTGAATGTTAGTAGAACGGCTTCTGTCTGTCTCAGAGATATTTTTAGCTTTTATTGTGCTGGGACGTTATTGTGGCAACAGGTGAACACAGGAGACGTGTTTTGGTCGACATCATCCTTCTTTTAACCGAAATAATTCCAGATAACTGACTTTCCTTTTCTTTTTGGCAACAAATCTTCATTTTCGGTGGTTTTCGCTTGTTCGTTGTTCATTTTGCGATCGTTGTTGTTGTTGTTAGCGGTGTCGTGCTGAGAAACGCATGTCCTCCGAGAATTGCATGCACCTCGCAAAACGCGCACTGCTTATAGTAGAGTGGTCCACGGAAATGTACAATTTAAAACCCATACAGTTCTTATTTGTTGGGCTTAACAGTCATGAGTAAAGTTCCGAAAGTAATTCTCAGCGGACACACGTCTCCCTCCATGTGCAGAACATGTGCAGGGGTGGGTTTTCTCCGCCCTGATTTTGATTGACAGCTGGCAGGGTAGTCTGATTGGCAACTGAGAAGTGAGTCTGATTTGCAACTGAGTTAAGGACGAAGGCGATTGGTGGATCGCTGCACAGCACATGCAGAGTCACATGGAGTGTATCTCAGTCGGTTACCCTTGAAATTAAATGAGTTCATTCACCTCCAATATCGCAGGCTCTGCGATGTGACTATCGCACACACGTACATCGCGATGACGATGTTCAAACGATATATCGTTCAGGCCTATCTCAAAGTATTTTCAGGTAACGACAATTCATTCACACTCGGGTGAAAGTGTTTCAATCCATCTGTTTTTGGATGCATTTTAGATTAAGTGCATCAGAAAGAAGTGGAGTGAATAAATCATGAGGTGTGAGGCTTGTGGGATGCAAACATCAGGTCTGTGAGGAGCCATAAAGAGACCTTATTTCCTCTTTCACGAACAGAAACATCTTAATTTAGTTGCACTTGCCACGCGCTTCTTTCAAATTTGATTAGAGGCTTTTTTTTATGTTGTGCTTTGGGCAGTTTTTGTCGGTGTCGGTGATGTAGGGAGAGGAGAGCACAGCTAAGGGTTGAGTTAAACCAGCAACTCTTCAATCGCTGATACAGTCTTGAGTAAAAGTGTCTAAATGTGTCCTAACATCGACCATATTGTTCATTTTTACATTCCTCCTGCCCTTTGACAAAGCAGGAAGGTCAATGAAAGAATATCTTAAGTATTTTCCTTTGCAGTTTTCAGGTCATTTTTTAGTCTTTTCTCTGACAAGTATCTCATATTTCAAATAAGGACATCTAACTTTATGGCATCTCTCTCATAATTCCCATGATGCTGATGACGTTTGATGGTGAAACGGGGCCCAAAACTGCTCTCCCATTTCAGCTCTTCCTCTTGCAGCTCTGCCCTGAGGAGCAAAGTGGCCCTCGAAAAAATAATGGGTGGGGATAGAAATAGTAATGAAAATGAGAAATGGGACAGAGCCTGAACCTCTCATGTCACCCTTGGAAACAAAAATAAACCTAAAACGTGGAACTGGCCCTTTTTATGAAGTGTGGGATATTTGACACATTTGTTCCCCTCCTTCAAACAGGCTTTTATTCTGCAGCTCTGTGTCAAATGAAACAACACTAATCCCATCACCAACAGCACAGCTACTGTAATTAACAGATAATTAAAAGGTGCCGGGGCAGAGAATCAATCCACCTTCAGATGCTGCAGCTGTAAAACTCTTTTCACCTCCTGTCAGGCAGATGAGGACAGAACAAACCCAAAATATGAACATGATTGAACGTTTATCCGTCGAAACACTTGAAAGGATTATCAGCAGGAGACTTGATTGTCCTCTCACATAAAAAAAAACCTCTTTAGAGACATTAATTAAATGTTATTTATGTTTAATTACATACTGTCTATTTTCTATCAAGAGCTTTAAGAGCTATAAATCACGGTGATCCAGATAGGATTAATCCAAGGTCACAGGGCTTAATTTAAAAGCTCAGACCTTTTATACCTCTAATCTTTTGGCTCTGCGTGACGACTTCAGCCGTGACATCCCAGTGAGGTAAACCCGTTTTAAAAAACTGTGCCACACTTCGCTTAATAATGTGTGTTTCTAAATAAAGACGATAATCTATGCAAATGGTTTGCCACGGTGAGCCCAGAGGGACCAATCATGCAGCGTTGTGTAAATTTGATTTAAATGGAAGGAGAGAAGTTTGGGAGGAAATCTGCGTCTTTGGTCAACTTTAATTTAGTCAGGGACAAGTCAGGCGGTCTGATGCAGCGGGAATCCAAATGGACCAAATATTGATTTTGCACTGCTGTGTATAGACTTAAATGGAGAAGGAGCGCTCCTGAAACTCCAATTATTTATTCATCACGGTACCAGAACTTTGTCCATCTGAACTTCCTGACTTTGACAAAATTCCCCACAGACAGATTCCTCTCTAGGTTTTTGCATTAGGGGTTTAGGGAATATCTCAAACTAGGTAATCTTGATTGAGAATGACAGTCCCAGTACACTGTCAACATGCTATTTTTACAGCGCTCATTGCACACGATTGCCCTCAGGCAACCCATTCCAGTTTCATCCCTTATCCCCCGGAAAATTCCCCTTTATTCAAACAAGCCTCTCTGTGTGTATCAGCCTGAACTGAAGATGGTTTACACCCTGATATATCTGCTGTTTGTCCCTGTCCTCCTGCTGTTCATTTAGGCTCATATCAGTAAACACAGAGATGAATTAACAGTGGACGTATTTAACCCTTGAAGACCCACTCCAATGAAAATCCTGTTTTTCTTGTTTTTTTACGTTCATATGACATTTTTCTGATGCTACAGGTGATATCATGAGAAAAATAGGTGTGAAATTGCATTTCTGAGTATTTCTGCATTCAAATCGCTGTGAATCTCTGACAGACCCAAACAGCAGGTTCAGACACAGTGAGATTTCCTACGTAGCAAATCCAAGCTCCGCCCCCGGAGCCCCACTATTCAGGCCAGACTCGGAGAAATAGAGAAATGCTCGTAAGAAAGCTAATCATGATATTCACTTTCATCATGTCCCCAAAAACATTTGTGTCCGAGAACTGAATATCTCTCATATTACCTTCTACTTCTACTACACCAGCAATGTTAGGCTGCAAGCTAGCGTGGAGAGGAGTGTGCAGAACAGCGCTGTCTCCGCCCACGACTCAGAGGCAAAATGCTAATGAGCTACAGGAGCTCTGCAGAAAAAAAGCCCTTAAAAATGTGATTTTTGGTAAAAACCTGATAATCACAATTTAAAGACCACTGAGAACACTTTAAGTAGTAAAATTAAAAAAAGGTTCGGAGTGGGACTTAGATACACTGCAACAGGATTGGTCGGTCAGTTTTAAAAGGATGTTGCAGATTATGTCAAGGTCATGGTTTTTGGAGTATTAATTAAGCTGGAATAGAAGTTTGATAAATATAAAATATTTATATATTTATAAAAACAAATCTCTGTGACCTTGATTCTAGGGCCCGACCGATATGGATTTTTTGTGGCCGATGCCAATTATTGGGGGGAAGGGTCAGATTACCGATAAATTGGCCGATTTTTAGAAAATTTCATGCGCCATCTACTGGATAAGTCGGGGGAGTTTTGGCTGATTGCCGATAAGTCTGAAACTGGCTAAAATTGGCCGATTTAATCAGCTCGCCGATAAATCAGTCGGGCCCTAGTTGTTTCTGCAGGTTTTGATCTAACACATTTGTCCGACTTCGCTGTAGCTGAATCTGTGTTGTGCCTCAAGTTTAGTAGCTCATTAGAAACATGCGAAACAGCTCTCTGTAATTTCCCCTCAGTATAAAACATTATTAGGACTTTCTAAAAGATGAGGAGGACTGCAGTTCTCCCTGTCTTGGTGTTCCCGGGGGTTGTGCCCCATTTTTACCCCTGGTTGTCTGGATAAATAATTAACAATGAAAAAAAAAAAAGGTCACACACCAGCTAATATCTGCAAACCATATACTGTATGGCCTTTTAATTTTCCATATCATAATCACTCAGTTCATTTAGTTTGCGTGAGCCTTTGCTTGCTCTGCTCCTCCTGCCACTATTTACTTAAACAGACACACACATACACATACTGTGATAACAGTGTGTGAACACAGTATGTGCTTCTGTCTGTAGGCTGCTCTGTAATCTGACCATGTTGGTTTTCGTTGTTTAAATACGTCATGTAGCTCAGGTGTGGGAAAATAAATGTAAAGTTGTGTTTAGATGGGATTGAATTAAACACACAAGCGTTCACGAGTGTTGGCAGTGCACCAGTGTCTACCCGTTAACTTTAAGCAGCTAATCTGTCCTGTGGGGTCAGCCGAGATCATGTGTGTTTAAAACGAGACCAGGGCTAAAGGATGCTGCTTCTTTGGTCTGAGAGCTCCACTCTGATCCAGAGATATCTCGTCTTTATTTCAGGAGGGCTGCTGTACATATTATTGCTAACAGCAGCGACGATTCCTTCAGACTTGGAGCAGACTTTTTCTGTCAGCTCTCTGTAAAAGGTCAGCATGAAGTGGAGCTGATGTGTGAATGAAGCAGGTAGAAGTGTGGAACATTCGCAGTGAGCAGAAGAGACGAGTGGTGATATTGTTCACACCGAGCAGAGCTTCTGTACTTTTACACTCCTTACCAGTGACGTAGTTAAGCCACCGAACCTCGAGTCCTCCTCCCCTTCCATGTAAACCTCAGAGTTACCGAGTGTGCCAGCGTGTGTTTCACCTGATGATCCCACAGAGCTTTCATTATTTGGGAGAACCGCCTTCGTAAGTCGGCGCGCTCCTTGGTCATATCCTCCTAAATTGAAAGAGTGCAGTTCTCCCACCGTATCTCTCTTTTTCTTCGCGGCTGTCAAAACTTTCTGCCGAGCTGTGAAGCGTAGAAATTTCACCAGAATCACCCGCAGTGGTTGGTTGTCTCTCGATCTCATATTCATGCTCCTGTAGCCCCAATCCTTCATTCAGTTTTTTCTTTATCTCATCATTTATTGCACTCCCCGCTTCTTTTCCTTCTTCCAGTCCAACCAGTTAAATGTTTTTACATCTTCCTCAGTTTTCTTGGTCTTCGACACAGCTCCAAAGTTCCTCCACTCTCTGTTTCAGCATTTTACTTTCATCCATCATGCTAGCGTTGTTATCCTCCACATCAGCAATACGACTTCACTGTGTTTTTGAGTTCTGTTGTGTCCGACTTCATTGTCGATACATCGCTCACCACTTTATTCAGAGTTGAGCTCATCTTTGAGATGATGTTGTTCCGCCTTGTTGTTCCTTTGGCTAGCTTCGCTGCAAGTGGGGCCAGCAGGGTTAGCTTGTGTGGTAGCTGAAGTCGAGCGTTTTCTATGGTTCATTGTGCGATTCAGACTTTGACTGTATAGGAGTACCGGGACGGGAGCTTATCTAAGACGCGGCCATCTCCCAGGTCTTCAACACGTGACTCTCCTCCCTCTTCATGAATATTATTTAAGGAGGAGGACCTTTTGACTCCAAACATGGACTGCATGAACCTGAACTTAGACCTTTTGGGAGGTTGATACCACCATATAGCTTCTTGCATATGGATAATAGTTGTCGAGTGTCTGAAGCGGCCCTGACTTAAATCTGGTTGAGACTCTTTGCTCTCTCAGCTGTAGGAAAGAACCATTAATGAGCACTGAAACATCTGGGCCCAAACGAACTACCTGCTGAGTGGACTGTCGCTGTTTGGCTGAATCCAGTCTGAGAGAAAAACACAATCTGTCTCCTAAAATAGATGCAAATAAGCTCCGTCTCTTTCTCTCTTTTTTTTTTATTGATGTTTTGTTTGCAGTTGATGACAGCTTTCAAAAACAGCTTCTCTCTCGAACAGAAAATCACAGCAGCCTGAGCCGAGTCTCAGGCCGCTTCACTTCCATTAAAACCATCCGCCTGTCACTGGGAAAGGTGCGTAATGACCCGAGGAAACCCGCCCCAGGCTCAGGGTCAGAGCTGTCCACATCAGTCAGTGAGAAACTTTTTTTTTTATTTTTATTCCTGTCGGGGAGGAGCGATTAAACGTCTGACACATCGGTACGTGCTCTCACTGCTGATTGTTAAAACCTTTCCCCCGCTGACAGACAATCTTTTTCCTGAAGATCAGACGGCAGACTCTCAGCGTTTCCGATGTCTGCCTCATCACCTCAACGTGTTTACACAACCACATGACAGCCAGCTAACTTTCAGTCATTCAAGCTTATCATTAAATAAACCGAACATGAAACTGGAACGTTTTATTTACCGGCTCCAGGACTTTTATTGACCGACTTCAAAGCCGTCTCAAGCACCTGCATTCTGGCGTCTTGAAGAGTGTTTGCTCACGCTACAAGAGGATAGATCCTCATCAATGCAAAAGCCTCTGTGATGGTTTTTTAGCCGGTTATGAAACAACTAGAATAATACTGACGCCTCGTTTATGAGCTTCAAAAGCAAACAAGCCCATAAACGAGGAGATTATTCTTTATAGATATTTCTAATGCCTGTAAACGCCGCTGTAATTACATGTGAGATGAAGTGAGTAATAGCACTCTGCGGGAGCAGCTTTTGGTGACATTTTCTACAGCATGAGTCACAGTGAGGGACACATTTGACTGTCGAGAGAAAGCGGGTAAATATTTTTCAGCAGTACTGGAAAAAGGTAGGCCTGCAGGATGACGGTGTAATTATTTTGATAGCTATTGAGGTCGTGATCATTAAATATATTTTTACTCATGATTGAACATCGAAAAAGCTCGTGTAAAGCAGTGAAAGGAACATTGCTTCAACTCTTTACTTCAGTATTGAAGCTTTTACATTATTTTAAAAACAACGTTCAGTAAATTCAACCCCACGTTTGACTTGTAGTTGAGTGTTTGTAAACTGTGGTGTTTAAAAACTGAAAAATCAAGGCTTATATTTTATCACAGGCTGCAGATCCAACATCTAACTCAGGCTTTTATAACCTCAATACTTATGTAGTTGTTTATCCTGGCAGTCTTTAGCATTTGTGCATGCTTGTCATATCTTCAGATCTAAAGCCTTTCTCTTGTTTTACTCCGTCCCTAAGCTTTTCAGGCACACATCTGCCTCTACCTGCTTCTTACTCTGCTCTCCTCTTTCGTCTTTGTCTACTAGTCCATGTCTGCTTTCCCTTTAGTTTTTATGCATTTATATCTCAGCTTTTACGCATCCTTGTGATTGCCTCTCTGTGGATTATTTCTAAAAGCCTAACCACAGAAAAGGAGTGCAAACTAACCATGGCTACTACTTTAATTAGACATAACAATGCGCATATGTGTTGTCCCTGTTAAATAATCTCATGAATAAATGAACACATCATCTACAAACACAATGTCTTATTTTACAAACTATGACTGCTTTCCACTGTGAACCAATTAGTTACCGTATTTTCTGGACTATATGTCGCTCCGGAGTAAAAGTCGCACCAGCCAAATAATGCATAATGAAGAAGAAAAAACATAACGATATAAGTCGCATTTTTGGGGGGTAATTTATTTTACAAAATCCAAGACTAAAAACAGACGTTTCATCTTGAAAGGCAAGTTTTAATAATAATAATAGAATAGAGAACAACAGGTTGATTAGGTGTACGGTATGCTAACGTAACATGTTGATGGTTATTTAGCTACATGAAGCATAAACATCAAACTCAATAGGTGTCCGGTATATTAATGTAACATATTAACAGTTATTCAGATAACTATAGTATGAAAAAAAAATTATAAAACAAGTTTACCAAACTCTCGATCTCGCTCCAAATCACTAAATCTTTCGAATTCTTCATCCTTTGTGTCACTTCTGAACAACTCCACCAACTCCGAGGGTGGACGAAACGCAGCTTCTTCTTCTGCGTGACTGTCGTCAGACTATATGTGAAATTACATATTTTAATATATATAAGACACACCTGAGTATAAGTCACAAACCCAGCTAAACTATGAAAAAAAGTATGACTTATAGTCCAGAAAATACGGTATATGGTATTACTGTACTTATTTTAAGCTTACAGTACCTTTAAACACACACTGTACCTTTTAAGTGACATATTTGGACATGTCTGCCCACATGCACTAAAAGTGTTGTCCCATTTCTGACACAACAGTCCGAGAAAAAAAAAAACAGTTTAGGTGTCTATTTATTCAACTATTTTTAAAAAAGTATTTTATATTGATCAAATTTGATCCCCTCTCCTCAAACATCCCTGCATGGACTGCAGCATCCAGTCGTCTCACCTCCTCCTCTGCAGACGTCAATTGACGTTTGAAAAAAATACAAAATCATCCTTTATAAAATGTCCGACAGTTCTCCTTTCAAGTTTAAATTGCCTCATTTAGAGTTTTTTTACTCCGCAGCGTCAAAGCTCCCCGCCAAAATAAGTGTCCTTATTTGACGATTTGATTTCCTTGATCTCGAATGTGAAATGACAAATGTGAAATTTGTTCCAGATTATGTAACTTCATTCCTGTGAATGCAGACAGAAATGTGTGCGGTGATGGAAAAATTTAATTTCACTCATCACTTGTCAGAGCTTTGCTGCATTTTCCCTCAGTGTGCAGAAATGATACTTTCTCAGACAGGAAAATAAACCCGGTTACACTCGCTCGCTCCATCTCTGCTGCAGACTTGTTCTTCGCTCTGAAGGTGGACAGGCAGGGGATTGGATATTTAAAAATACACCTGTAAATGTGTCACAGCTTGATGCAGACCTGCTGAACGATTCCTTTTTATGAGGAAACACTCTCGTCTTTCTCACATCTTCGTGTGAACAGCTGGACACATGTTAAATATAGATGAACAGGCTTTATAGCGAATGTTAAAAGAGAGCAGGACTGTGCAGGTCAGCGCTGTTTTATGTAAAAAATGAAAGCAGTGTTCTGGCAGAGAGTAGGGGACTGTCCTCCTGACAGAAAACGTGTGAAATATCACAGCTTCAGAGTCCGCCTCGAATGAAATCCCTCCCTGTTACACTCAACAGCAGAGAGTGTCGCAGTGCCGTCACATATGACCCGTATTTAACTTTAAAGAACACCAATCAGATATTGATATCTAAGATTTCAAAATAGTAAACACAGAAAATAAGATTTCCCGACTGATTACATAAATTTGTATTAGATTAGTATCATTGCTGGGTATAAAAAGGGAGTCAGAGAGACCGAGTCCCTCAAAAGTAAAGATGAGAAGAAGAGAGACAGTGTGAGCGAAAAGTTCATCAGTTGTCATCATTAAAGATACTAAGAGTCTGGAGAAATCTCTGTAAGATGATAACAAACCAAAACACAAGACAATCAGTCAAAAAGAGTCATGACTCTGTAGTGGAACTCACCGCATGGACTCAAAGTCACCTCCAAAAACCATTATATCTGAATACAAATGCAGATTAAAACTGGACCTTAGGAGGAGGAAACCATATAAACATGACTCTGAAATGCTGCGACTTCTCCGGGATCGAGTTTGTTTAAGATGGACTGGGAACTGACAGATCTGAATCTGAACTTCCTTTTGGAAATCCTGGATGCTTAAAGGGATATTCTGTCGTAAAATTAATTTAGGGTCAAACACACGTTAACACCGAGTTAGACACCAAACATCTTTATAGCTTTGCCTAATTTCTTTAACAAAGTGACTAAACACAACTCACCTACTCTCTTCCAGCAGCTGCTTGTTTGTACAGAGCCCTCCGAGTCTATCGACTGCAGCGGGGGGATGCGGCTCAAGGAAGAACATTTATGATCATTACTTCATGGAAATGCAATCAGACCGAGACGCCAAGGCAGAAGAACTACCACGTCTGCAGTGCAAATTGATAAATATGATGATTATTACTTCAAGGAAATGATAAAGAAATGATCATAAATGTTCTTCCTTGAGCTGTGTCACCCCGCTGCAGTCAATGGACTCGCCCAGAGGTCTCTGAAGTTGCTTTAACTAGAGAAGCAAGCGGTCCGCAATTCATCTCTCGAGGGGGTGTCTAACTTGGTGTTATGGTGTGTTTGACCCTAACTTAATTTTACGTCAGAATATCCCTTTAATCCTTGATTTTAAAGAAGGGAGGGACGGCCTGGTTTGTTTAAGTGCCAACAGCATGGACTCAGGGTGCTGAACTGGTCCACCTGCAGTCCCAGCTTGTCACCTTTTAGACAGATTTGACGCACCATGAAACACAAAATATGAGACAGGAGACGCTGAACGGTTCAGCGGCTGAAATCCTCTATCAGGCAAGAATATGACGACTTTTCAAAACCTCTGAAACTCCTGAAACTGGTCTCCTTGACTACAGATATTTACAGAATGGAGTTATAAGAAGAGACGATGCAGAACAATGGTAAACATCCCTGCTGTGTTGAAATATGTTGCTAGTATATAATTTAAAATAGGAGCATTTACTTTTCATTAAACCATCAAATCTTCTGTCTTACAGAATCAGGGTTATAGACTCAGAAAAACAGGTACAAAAATCCGATATTTCAATGAAAAACTAGAGAAAAGTGTGTGAGAATGTCTCTAATAACCTCCTTCTGTGTCTGTCTTCTTCTTCTGTCTCTGCAGACAATGTTTACAGGAAATGTCTTGCAAATGGGACATGGGCGCTGAAGGGGAATTACTCCATGTGTAAGGCCATACTTCATGAGGAGGTAAGACGTCATCGCAAGGAGTCTGTGCACATTACCCTGAATGATGAAGCCTCTTATGGAGACACCCTCAAAGCTTGAAACATGCATTAACCAGGACTAACAATGTCTGCAAGGTTTGTTGTGCAGCAGGTTGGCTGGAGGCAGGTTTTATTGTGAGTATGAATGCTGGGCTCGGTTGCTTGGAGCCTGCAGCCTTAAGGGGCATCACAATGAAGCTAAAGATACTGTGAATGAAAAACAAAACACCCCAGGAGCATCACTTGAAGGACTCTGAGTCAAAAGCACGGTGACTGGTACGAATTTGCATGAAAACTGCGGCTTTAATGTCATCTTGCTCCAGGTTTTTAGGGCTTGGCGTGCCTTTCTTCTGAAGGTGTTAGTCTGAAATCTACAGATGAACCTGCGGCTATTTCTCTTCTGATTGCACTTTAAGTGTTTCATTTGGAAAATTCCTTAAAAGAAAGCCGCGACAGGCAGCATTGTCCTCCGGCGACACGAATGAGTTGTGAAAGCAGAGAGAGGAAAACGCAGTCGGCGGGGTTTTGGTTAAAAGGCAGCCGTTAGGATCCTCGCTCTGCTCCAGATTTTTATCCTCTCACATGCTGCTGTTTTTCTCTTGTCTCCACCTGGGTGCTGCTTTGTGATTTGCAGATGTGGTGGTGATTGGCGCCTGTTTCTGAACAGGGTCTGAACAAAGCGTGCAGAGAGAACACTCTGACCTACATGGAATAAGCAGACATTTGATGTATTGTATTTAAAAAGACAGAAATTACAAGAGGGGAAAAACACACGTAACACAGCTTGTTTGTTTCCCTGACCTGACCATCTGCCAGAGCTGAATATTGAACAGACAAGTTAACATGAACACTGTAACCTCCTTCCGGTTTAATAAGCTGTCTCTAGGCTTTCTTCTCTGTTTTAAATATGGCATCCTTGCCCTTCATGTGAGCATAAAAGCTGGCTTTATGCTCCATTTTTCCTATTTAACACAAATCCCATGTAAAGACACAAAACAACTAAGTGTCCATGCGTCTTAAAGCACTTGAACCTCTGCATGAGTCTTTTTCATGCATGTCCTGCGCCTTTGTTTGCATTTCTACCGTCAGCTCATTGATGCCTTTTACAGCAATGATTAACCTTACTGATGTCCTCATGGCATCTCCATTAGTGTTATGCTCCGGTTCATTTGAGTCATTTTTCACTCACCAATCTGTACAGAGTCAAAGGTTGTACAAGACTCGGTGTTGGAAGTTGAGTCAGATTCAATAAAAGGATTTCCTTTACATCTCTATTCTTCCACTTTAGACACACTAAACACTCACACCACTCAAAGGACCTACATATCAGAGTTTTCCAAGAGGTTACCAATAGGGCTGGGCGATATGGCCTCAAATCAATATCACAATATATTGAGCAGTTCACCTCGGTAACGATAAATGGACGATAACTACTCCACAAGCTGCTCACCCCCTCCTACATTAACTTCGTCTACTTCAGCCGCTACATCTCTTGAACCGTCCTCCGTCAGTTATTGTCGGTACCAGTAAATTTTCGGTTCATCGTCCAGCCCTAATTACCAATATATTTGTGGTTCCATTCCTCTTGTATTGTGTTTACATGTTCAAAAAATGATTTATTGAGTTAGTTTGACTAAAACTGACCTTTAAAAAATTCCTATGAACACGTTTGTTTGATTTCTCAAACTTCTCCCTGGAGCTTTAACTGAGAATGTTAATGTGAATCAGGGAAACTGAGCGTGGAAATGGACTTTTCAGCTTGGCAGGCGGGTCAGGTGGGCTCTCCCCTGAACTTTGTCTTAACCCAACATCAGACAGGAAACATGCCTGGGTGTTGCACCAATATCTGTCTTCTGTTAGGAAACTCTGCATGGGTTATGTAAGGACATCCAACACTGTAATATTATACGTCCGTATCAAAATGCAGATCTGGACATAAAGGGAGCTCCTCCTCACCGCTGTTCTGCTGAGCTCTCAGATGCATGGTTGATACCACTCTCAGACTGTACGCCCAGCTGCAGCAGGAGGTGATTAATCAAACATTAAGGCTGTAAGCAGGCTGAAATAGCTCACCAGGCCCCATCCTAAAATAAAGACACACACACACACCACTTGAGTTCACTATTAACACGTTGTCACGTTGTTATGCAATTGTATTGTCTGCACACAAATAGCCGTGTAAAACCGCCAAACTGCGATTTAAAACAGCTCCCACTGCAGCGTCCTCTGCCCTGAGCTCCTGATGCAATCTCCTAAACACCCAAACGTGAGCGTGGCTTCATGCTGAGATCCAGATTCCTGCAGGAAAAGCGTTCTGGTATTCCAGCCAAAACTCTGAGCTTCTCCAGTAAATGTTATCTCCATTATGAGACTTACAAAAAAAATCTGTCTGCAGAACTTTTGTTTCTGTTTCTGGCTTTGCCTCAGAAAAATCTGTGTTCCTAATCCTCACTTCAAAGCCCAGATTGGCTCCGTTTGTTTTAGAGTTTTATCAGGACTTAGAAACACACTTGGTGCTTGTTAGCAGGATAAGACTGTCGTTGGTTTGGCTCTTTTTGTTTGATTTTTTAAGAGTAAGAAAAATGTTAAAAATCCCCTTATCCCTTCAAGAATTATGTGTGACCTGTGAGGCATGTTGACGTTGTTCCTCGCACATTAATGCTTTATATAGAGCTGCCAGCACCAGGAAAGAGCTGCAGACTGAGAGCCGTCCTTCAGTGTTTACCCAGAGTCTGATATCCAATCGATCCCTGCAGAAGATGGATATAGAGTGTCTGACCTTTTAAAAATGTGTGTTTGATTTTTTTGTCCTTTTGTAGCCATAAAATAAATCACTGGATGGTGTGATTGACATCAGGGAAAAGGTAGAGGAGTACCAGCAGCCTCTCTTTAAAGTTCAGTTTGTGTTGGACTGGATTTCCAGCTGTCCCACCGGGAGGAGAAAGTGTGCGGATCACAGGCTTATTGGAAAGTTTGTTTGAGGAGAAAGAAATCCTCTTTTCCTTCTGGGACTCGCTTGAGGTTATTTTCTCAAATAAGATAAGAGTCTTTGTTTTTTCTTGGAAGCAAAGTGAGTCAGGTTTGGTTCTGGCTCTCCTGGCCCACACATTTTGTAGACCTGAAGCTAGTGGTGGGTTGGAGGGTCTTATATTATCCTCCTGTTGTCCTCCCCCTCCTCTCAAATCTGCAATCCATCTGAAACCATCCTGTCCACTTGATTTATGCCCTGATGTGTCAGCCAGTCCGGCACCAGTCACTGTGTATTAATTTCTTCCCTTTTTCAGGTCTATATTACCGCTCACATACTCACATTGAGAAAGCAATCCTTCATTGTGTAATCACAACCCATTGTAATCATTCCTCCTGTCATAGCACCTTTAAAAGCATCCTTTTTTTAGCATCACCCTGCTATTGAGCTGAGTGACAGAATCTGCAGTCCTTGTTTGGTGAAAAATGCTTTTTTTTTCACAGCAGCAGAGAAAATATCCCGTTAGTTACATTAAGGTTTCTGCTACAGGAACAAAAACAAGCAAAATGCGCACACAGTCGTCTGGATGATGATTCCCAGGAGGCGTCTCCTACTCAGGCGGCTGGAGCCTCGTGTTTGTTTTGGGTTTTAAAAATGTGACTGTGGCTCAGGACGCATGGAAAAGAACCCGTTTGTCAGTTTTACCAGATTGTGCTGAGACCAATTTTTGTTCGATTGCACCTCCTGTCCACAAAATATGATCATGCTGTGACCTTGGACAGCATTGCAGTTCCTCTTTCAATTAGGGAAAACTCTCACAGCAATCTCAGTGTTTCCAGAACATAGGAGGAACACTTGGTCGGATGCCCAGGTATATTTTTGGACGCCCAAGTGTATTTGCAGTCTGGTGCTCTGTTTAAAATTGGCACCACCTCTGGGCAAATTGGTAACCTACACTGTGTTTTAATAATTCAGTCGCCTTAGATCAGCTGCAGTTCTCTATTGTTTGTAAAGTGAGTACTTTAGGTGCCTTATCTGAGCTAAATTTAGTCTTTTTCCTCCTTGTCTGTCTTTGTTTAAATGGAACTGTTGTGGTGTTCAGTCTAGATGAATGAAATCTATAAGGCTGCTGCTGCTGCCCACCTGAACAGGAAGACAGTCGTTATTTGAGCAATGTGACAGTTCCCGTCCAGCTTCTTTCTTCCTGTTTACAGTGGACCGGTGCTCAGGCTGTAAAAAAAGGTCAAGTGTTCTGCGTTTTCTGGCGTGTAAATATGGAAGGAAGTAATTACAGGACAAGGCGAGGGTGAAATTTTGTTAAGGGGTTGTCTGTAAATGACAAAAGAAAACAATAAACTAAAAAATAAAATCGGTGCTAAAAATGAAAGCTGCACAGCAAGTGGAGACAGTGTAAACCTTCTTATCTACCAATACTGATACTGATACCAGTACTGCCAATACTAATAATACCAATACTGCCAATACTAATACTGATACCAATACTGCAAATACTTATAATACCAATACTGCCAATACCAACAATCCCAATAACAATACTACCAATACTAATACTGATACCAAGACTTCAAATACCAATAATGCCAATACCAATACTGATACTAATACTGCCAATACTGATAAAAACCAATACTGCCAATACTGAAAACAATACTGCCAATACCAATAATCCCAATACCAGTGCTACCAATACTAATACCAATACGGCCAATACTGATAATACCAATAATGCCAATACCTATGATGCCAATACCAATAGTACCAATACTAATACTGATACCAATAATGCTAATACCAATACTGATACTAGTACTGCCAATACTATTACTGATACCAATAATACTAATACCAGTAATGCCAATACCAATACTGCTTAAACTTATACTGATATCAATACTACTAATATAAATACTGATACCAAAACTGCCAATAGTAATACTGCCAATTATGATACTAATACCAATACTACCAGTATAAATACTCATACCACTGCTACCAATACTAACACTGATACCAATACTGCCAATATCGATACTGCCAATATCAACCTTGCTAAAACTAATACTGATACTAATGCTACCAAAACTAACACTGATACCTATACTGCCAATACTAAAACTGATACCTATACTGCCAGTACTAATAATGCCAATACTATTTCTGCCGATACCAATATCAATCATGCCAATACTAAGATAAGATAAAAGAAACCTTAATTCATCCTACGATGGATTAAGGTTTATATTCATACTGCTAATACCGATACCGATACCTAAACTGATATTTATATTGATAATGATATAGATTCCAGTTGGGATATTGTGGTTGTGATACTGATAGTGGTATTGATTCTGTGTGTAAGATAAAAGTCATCTGTACTACAAACCTGAGTCAGATTCATAACTCCTACAGAAAACTCTTATTCGGTCACATTTGATGGCACATGTCAAAGTACATGAATGCAGATCATTAAGTGACATCCCTTCCACCAATCAGCATAAATCTCCGCCCATAAATTGCTAAAGATGACCATATAAGGAAGTATGGCTATGAGCTTCCCGTGGACTGGCAAGCATGGCTGACTGTGTGCTCAGTGACAGCCTGAGCCCTTGTTGGGGGTCTTTATGAGCCTGCTGCCCTGGTATGTGGTGGGTCAGCAGAGCCAAAAGCCACCGCTTCAGTGAGTGACCCTTGTCTTCTGATCTTCAAGGTTGTTAGGTAAAGAAAAATTAACAGTCAGCCACGTGTAAATCCTGACAGTCTGTGCCTGGGGATGAAAATGCAGATGGTTTTCTTTCTTGATCTGGCACCTGCCGGGCTCTGTTAACATGCAATTAGACCCAAGTTGTACTGATAATCCAGCCGTCTTTCACTGCTCTAGTCTCCAATCAAAATAGTGATTTCTGATGATTAAAAGCAATATCTATGTGTGTTCTTCACCTACACAAATACAAAGAACCATCAGGAGTAGATGTAGCTTTTCTTGGTAGCTACAAAAAAATCAGAGCTACTGAAATATTGATGAATGTCCTCCTGCGATCTGTTTTCACACATACTCGTTCTGCTCACGTTTCCTGAATGAGACCAAAACTTCTGATGGGAAATGTGACTCAAACAGACTTTGTGAATCAACCGCGGTAGAAAAACTCCGTCCTTGGCAAGTTTGAAGGTGAAGTTTGTGGAGTTTGAATCAAACCGTGAGCCGCTGCCTGGAAGTGCTGCTCGGAAACTCTCTGTACCTTTTGTGAATGGTGAAAGTGAGAGCGGGGATGAAAAGGCTGCTGTCATCACCTCCTGGCTGCATCACGCCTCCTCCACAATCTCTTTAAGACGCCACTCTCTTTTGTTTATTTGGCTTTGTCTTTTAAAGTCTCTCCTTGAAGGCGTACTCCGTGTTTTATCCATGCACAAAAAACAACAGGAGTGATGATGTGAGAGAGGAAAAAAGAGCTTTTCAATCCTTTCAGTCTCTTCTGAATCAGCTGTGATTACAGCATTAATTGCAGCTTTTTATAGACAAGAGTTTTGTTTTGGAATAGACTTTAAAAAACTCTTTTAGTCTAAACTGAAGGCATGATGTGCAGTCAGATATCGGAGGAGAGACGGTTGATTTGATGGTATTTGTCAGAGACGATGAAAACATGTGTAGACTCAGAGGTTTGAGAATAAAGTGAATGAGAGAGAAACGCTGTTTCAGGAGGGCGGGGCTGGGATTAAACATGTGCACGATTAATCTGGACGTAGACACCAGTAGTTACATAAATCCACTTACAGCAGAGATTACTGTTGGTAGTGTGGGCGGAAATCCGATCACAATGAAGATGTGAGGCGCAGACGGTGGATAGAGAACGACTCAGAGGGAGAGTTTTTATTTCATGTTTGGTGTCACAGGAGGTCCACAAAGGTGCTGCATACCTTTGAGCAAACAAAGAAATATAATGACACAACAGGTGCAAAGAGGCCACAAAGAAAATGCAGAAACGCCACGCGAAGCAGTAAGAGCACCACCAGACAAAATAACACCTCCTGCAGAATGAGCAGAAATCAACACAAAACTTCATGTAAAATCTCTCCTAAGAGGAACAAAAGCAAAACGCTACAAAAAGATGAGAAATAACAAGAAATCTTAACAACTTACCACAAAAAGTTGCAGAAAAAACTTTGATTTAACACTTCTGAATAACAACGAGGCGCAGTCAGATAGGAAACAGCGTTTCTCAGAGACCACAAAGGGACGCGGAGAGGTGCAAAATCATCACCGAGACTGTTCAAGTCATCACAAAAGTGAATAGAATAAGCAATGTAAGGTGTGAAATCATAACAAAACACTTAAATATTCATGCTTAACTGCAACACAAAGCAACATGATGACACATGACAGACGAAATAAAAACAGAGACACAAAAAAAGTGAAATTGAACACAGACAATCAGCCATATCATATTCATTTAAGACAGAAGGTTTGGAGCCGATGTCCCTCTAAAGGTCTAAACCTAATTAATCACAGTCCTTTATGAAAGATGGCAGAACAGGTGTGCTGCTTTAGTCTATTTAAAACTACCAAGGTGTCCGTTTCTGTGCCGACTGTTTCAAACAAACCAGACGATGTATTTTAAAGAAAAAACAAAACCAAAGACCTGCACATGCGGCCTTCATTAGTGAGAAAAGTCTGTTTCTTTCCCCCTGCATGCCTCGGCCTGTTTACATTTCTGTTGCTATGCGCTTTGTCCCATGCTGCATTGATCTGAATGGTTGCAGACCTTTACAATCACTTTTGTATGCGACTGTTGCTAATGGTTTGAATCGAGCGCCGTTAATTGGTCCGGTGACGAGACAAAAGTCCTTGATCCTGCAAAAGAAATGAGTATAAGATTCAGAAAGAACAACATAAGAACACGACTGAAAGAAACACCAAATAATATCAAAAGAAAAACACACAAATAGAAAAACTGAAGAGCTTCACTAAAATACCACAGAGGAGCTGCAGAATAAAAACACAGACTGAGCTCAAAAAGGGCAAAAACCAAGAAAGAAAAGATAAAAAAATAAACCTCAAAGACATTTCCAGAATAAGAGGCGAAACACCGGGTGGAAACAGGAATACAACACGAATGATAAAAAGCAGCCGAAGAAGAACTAGCGAGGAACAAAGTGCTGCTTACGAGTCAAACACAGAAACACTGAGGGGGAAAAAAAGGCCCTCAGCTGTGACTTCAAACATCACAGAGAGTCCGCTCATCTGAATCCCGGTGGAGGACTTTTCCAGAGCCTGAAACCCAGATCAGCAAACCCACAATCAAACAGCTAGCAGTTCTGGTTTGGAGGACCTGAGGGGGGGAAGCAGCAGCAGTGTGCAGCGTTATTGGTAGACTGATGTACTTAGAACCGTTCAAATGTAAATTTAACATGAAAGAGATATCTATGAAGAGACCTCACTGTAATAAAGATGTCAAAGAGGCAAAAAAAAACCTTTTATATCTAGATTAGTAAGTAGTTATATGAAACGTAGCTGCCAAAGAACATTTTTGGCTAATTTTTTGACCATTAATAAATGAAAACAGAATCAAGCTTTTATCAAATATTAAAAATAATGTTTTATTAAATTACTAGTATCAATCAGCTTGACATCTGGCATATTCTGAAAATACACACTTCAAGGATTAAAAACAAAACAGGTGGCATAAAACACATACATCTAGACTAAAAGAAATGTGAAATATGGAGGAAATGATGTGAACTGATCATCAAAAACAAAGACAAAGATCAGTCCGTGTTTGTGCGCTGGTCTGATCTGGAAAGAGCAGCAACTTTTTTAAGAGTATTTGACTTGAAAATATTCAAAGTTGTTTGTCTGGCCTTCATTTAATTCATGAATAAACTCAGTAACCAGCGAGAATGTTCAGTTTTTTTATCACTTCTTAAAAACTCTGCCAAGTTCTGCCTGTTCTCAAAGTTTTTAAATCAGCCTCTTGTAAAAAAAGAAGAAGCGAGTCGGAGCCAAGAGAGGGAAAATAAACTAAAGAGGATTTTCAGCCTCTTTTCTTATCCTGAGAATATTGTTCCTGTAAATCACAAACACCCTCAGGACTCATCCTCTTTCTTCTTCTTCTTCTTCTCTCCTCGCAGAAAAAAGGCAAGATGCACTACCAGATCGCTGTGATCATAAACTTCCTCGGTCACTGCATCTCCATGGTGGCTCTGCTCATCGCCTTCTTCCTCTTCCTGTGTTTGAGGTGAGTGTCGCCGTCCTCGCCGCCGCCACCACCAGGCCGCCTTTAATCCTCGATGCATGATGTGACAGGAACGTCAGTGTTCCTCAGATCCGGCGTTCAAAGCATCTCTCTCGCTCTTATTTGAAAACCGTTTGGTCATGGGATGAAACATTTCCTATCTCCATCCCGCAGATGTAAAGGGGTTTAGACGCCCGCAAAAAAAAAAAAAAAAAAAAAAAGGGAAACTAGGGCACATTCCCGCCTCTAATGGGAATAATATACCCATCTCAGGGAGCAGCAGGAAAAAAAAAAAACGCCAAAGCAGTCCTGCTGGGACGAGAAGTGGAGGTGGAGTGGATTTCTGTGACAAACCGCCAAGCTAACGCCACATTAACTAGAGAAAGGTCTTAGCACCCTCAACAGCCGGGGTCGTTATCGATCCTCGCGACACTGTGGGGAGTGAGAAAAGCGTGAAAGGGCAGAGGGAGAAATAATAAATACAGTTTTTACATGACAGCATTTATGCACAACCCGTGTCAAGAGAGCCGCTGTGGGTCAGGCGGGGGAGGGGGCAAATGTCGGCCGGCTAAAAATGGCGTTAGTCGAGTGGAGGAGTTTGGCATTTACTACTTAGTTTTCGCACTTGATAATGAGATGGAGCTCTATTTAAGGGAAGGTAGCGGCTGCCAGGGGAGTGACGAGAAAGGTTACCACCGGATGAGTTTCAGAGTGCAGCTGGAAGAGGGAGAGAGAGAGAGACACACAGAAACCCTCGGAGAGGCCAGGAGAGACGAGTGAATCCTGGAAAGACTTACTAATGAACTGAAGTCGGGTAGAGGGAGTCATGCTGTGTCTGATCTCGCTGAAAAACGAGAGTGTAAGGGTGCGACACGGACACGACCAACTCTTTATTAGATGTGATGGTTTTCCATTCTTCCCTCATGTTGGATTTCACCTGCCTGACTCATTTTTGTTTCATGATAAAAAGAATTGTTGATTTACATTTATCACCAAAATCAAAGCTCATACCATCATGTATGCTGATAACAGGTTACATGGTCCCTCTCTTGTGAGATGATTAGAAGATGCAGCATCCGTGATTTCCACTTTGCCTCACTCCACCTTCCACAGGCTCAGAAGACTCACGTTAGTCATGCAGACAGTTTTCTCTTTACCTTGTTCCTGTATTTGTGGATGCAGCAGTTTCTGCATCCAAAGACATGGAGTTTTGAGCCTATGCAGTGATTTCCTCTACAGAGGTGTGTCTGTTTTTACTGCGGTGACGGTTGAGACCCCAAAGATCCCAGCCGTCCAGGATTAGATTTCAGCTTTTCCGCTTATTGTGTAGGAAGGATGGTTAATTCAGCTATTTCTGAAACCAAGTGTTTTACTGTTTTGCACCATCAGTGCCTACATGAACCAGGATGCATTGCACATATTTGTATTTTGTATTTATTTATTTAAGACAGTTTAAAAACAGTGAAAGGAGGGAACGAAGCTAGTAGGCTTATACAGAGTTCCACTCCAGTCAGGGCAGTGAAGGCATAGAGTGCAAACAACAAAGTGATTAGAACACAGACAGGTTATAATATACAATGAGTTGGGAAAGGTCAAATCATATTCAAATTGTTGTAAATATAACATAGAATAATTATCAACCAGCCCAGCCAGAGATAGAGAAATTAAAGTATACATAAAAAGAAAAGAAACATGAACATAACAGATAATGACGTGTGTAAGACATGATTAGATGTGATTTCAATGATATTTTTAAGGATTTGAAGGATAATATTGATTTTGGAGATACATTCAGATCATTCCATAGTGGAGGAGCGTCTCAGTCTGTAACCACTGCAGCTCTTTGGCGTGTTTCCAACACTCTTTATATTTCACTCCTTCTTGATGCTCCGTTGTGTAACTTTTATTTTCTCTGTAATTGGAGCAGCTTTTACTAAATCTCCTATTATTCTGAAAAAATATGTTTAGATTAATCAAAATGTCAAACGTATTATTGTCTGTAACTTCCACTTCATTAATTTTAAAACGCCGTCACAGTTTTTTGGCGACTTCAAAGCGCGGTTTTCATCTCAGGCTGAGGCAGAGACAACAAATCCGAGCTGAAATAGTCTGTTTTCTTCTCTGCCACCAAGTACGTCAACTGTCTGCGCCGATGACGCAAGTACAGAAGATTTTACAACCACTCATATCTGTTCCCCGGAGACACAGCACATCAGCACTAAATTAAGCCTTTATTTTCACAATATATAAAGCTGACTGGGAAAATCAGGAGGAAAATCAGCCATCCACTCCAGTCTTTAAGAGCAGCTGGGTCTGCTCTCTCTCTCTCTCTCTCTCTCTCTCTCGCTCTCTCTCTCTCTCTAGTGTCAGTGATCAGGTGTTTTCACTGGAGATTAAAAGCCAAGCTGTTACAGACAGATTGCTGCTTCCACATAAAAATCATACTGAAGCTCCGGTGAGAAGGCGGACACGGTCTCACTGTCTTTGGCTCTGTGGTTTCAATGAAAATATAGAGCTGACACTCGCCACTCTGCTGGTCGATCGGCTCTCATCAGTCAGAAACCTCATTGGTCAGACAGTCGCGTTACCTGTTACTTTCATAGATGAGAAAGCTTACCTTGAATGGCTCCGATCCAGAGGAGGAAATCCACCTCTACACTTCTAAAGTCAGAATCTCCTCATCCATGGTGTCAACGGGGAGAAATGATGTCCATAAACTTTTCACTTGTTCGTCCCCGCTAGTTTGTATGTTTGTTTTGTTGTTTTATTTTGAAAAGAAGCAGGATGTTTTATTTTGTGTCTGTACCCGACTTCCTTTCCAGCACGGGTTAATCTGTGCTGAATTTATCCGGCAAAAAATAGAAATCTTGCGATCAGCTGCGGAGTCCGGCGATCCGCAGTGGAACGGAAAGAAGCCGGTGGAAACTGACACATTAACTTGAATGGTTACGATCTGCAGATACGGCCTTCTCGTAGCCGTTCCGGATGCGGTGAAAATTGAGGGTTAGGGGTTGAGACCTGATGTAATTTATTTGGAGTGATATTTAGTTAGTAAACTCTGCTGCACATCTGCACTTCTGTTCACATTCGACTCTTATTAGTTTTCCATATTTTCTGTCTGCCTCCCTCTCTCCTTCCACCCCCCTCTAGCATAATTGTGTAACACAGTGCGTGTAAATGTTACTTTAATTAATGCTGAGCGCCCTCACGTCTTGGTTATTGCGTGTTAGCATGAGAGTAAAAAGCTTTGACAAGCACAAGTGTTGTAGAGAAATAAGTATTTATGACAAACGGATAAAACAAATGATATTTTCACAAGTGATCACTAAGGCAGCGATGATATTAGTGTGAGGCTACAATCTGATCATGCAAACATCTCCACATGAGAGGGTACGGCTGATGCACAAAAAATCAAGAAGTGAAGTGTTAGATGCTCTGAATTTCCTGGAAGAGCAGCCCCACATGTTCATCAGTAAATATGTTGATGCAAGAAGTCGACCAAAAGATTACAAAGCCCACGGCGTCAAGCATGGGCACGCTTCTGAGCTGTAAATAAAGCCTTAAAACTGTGGACTTAAACTGCTAAACTCAGGACAGTGTGAATCAGTGTGTTGCTGATATAAACGCTCACTAACGTGGATTCACTGAGCTTTAAAATGCTGAGAAAAGACAGAGCAGTGAGTGCAGTAGGCGTCAACAATTCGTGGTTATAATTTTCATTTATTTTCCTGTTCATGTTTTTTTTGCCCCAGCACAAGACTGTCCTCTTGAATGTGCAAAAAGGTGCTAAAGTGCCCTCTGCTGTGGCCCAATGTGCAAGAAAATATGACTCAGTGCCACACAGGCTGCTCTCAAAGCCAGAAAAGGGTTTGGAAATGTTTCAGAATAAATGCAACACGACTGTGTGTGCACAGATGTCCCGCTGCATACAGCTGGTGGCTCTCAGACAGCCTGAATCCTCCGCTGCTTTACCTCTGACTTTTAATCAACAAACCAGATATTTTCCTCACAGCTGCGCAGCTTTCTGTGCTGATTATTCAACCGGGAGAGTTTGTGTAGTCTATCCAAGGAGAGCTCCAACTGTCCAGAAATCTTCCACTTCATAAGCAGGAGAATAAACGAGACATCCACTCCAGCTTAAATTGTTTCAAGTGTCCTGCTCTCAGCCGCAGATGCCGTCTAAGAATAATTTAATCAGGATAAATCTGATCAGGAGTCCAAAGTGTACATTTTCACCCTTACTAACACCTCCTGTACCCGCCCGGATAGGAAGAGGAGGACATTAACACTCTGGAAATTGGATTTGAAATGTTAACAAGGATTTCACCGACGGATCTTCAAACATAAACCTCTGACCCCCTGCTGTGGCCGCACGGGCTACCGAACCAAACACACAGGGAGGTGGAATGAATCACTTTTACTCAACTCAGAAATAGTGTTTTTTAGGGAGGGGAGAGAAACTCACAATAATCTCAAAAGTGTTTTCTCTCTCCTGATATTCAACATATGATTTATGAATGGCGTGACGGTTATTGCTACCCGAGGGTAAAATTCAGAGTCAGGACGGTGAGGTCAGAAAACACATCAAGAATGAATGAAATAAATATCACCTGAAATCAGACTCCTAAAAAAAATTAGAGAGGTGACATTTAAAATGAATTATACACAAAACACACAAAAACCTGTACACGACAGCATGTTAGAGGAACGTATTTCTATTGCTCACACTGTACTTCATGTTTTATTACATCACTACAGTTCACAAATCATTGCTGAGACAGCTGCAAACACCGTCACTGTTTACTCATAAATACATCATAAGAGTTTCAGTATTTATTTTCTCACGCTTCCTCTTTCATTTAATTTTAATTCTTCATTTAAATGTTTGTTTACGTGTTTTTCTCTCACCAATCAGCCTGTCTCTGCGCCGCTGTGTGACATGCTCACGTTGATTTCCCCTCGGGGATCATTGGAGTCTCATCTCATCTCATCATCTGAGAAACACAGTATAAATAAACCATGTTAAAGCGGTGTGCCCCAAAGGTGCAGTTTGTGTTGTAGATGCTCATCGTACAGTTATGAGACATACAGTAAACACAGAGGTGTGGAAAATCGGATCATCATGTAAAGATTTGAACAGAAATAAGCATGGAAATAGTTGGTATGGTTTAGGTATGCTAGTCCAATGGCGAGAAATATGACTCGGCACATTTCAGTCGGTTTAACGTGTTTACATGTATTTTAAAAGTTAGGTTAAACATTTCTAATAGCCGTCCTCCATTGATAAGTGTCAGTAGAGGCACAGATAATCTGAATAAAGGCCTGATCGGTCTATAAAAATGCGTCATGTAAACATGTCGATCGTAAGATTCGGATCCAATTCGGCTCATTCTGAAAGAAATTGTATTCCGATCCAGAGGGGTGGTTTATGCCGATCGTTGTTCCGAAACGCGTCCATGTAAACACTTACTCCGATCGTGACTCTCTTACCTAACTCGGTCTTCACTCTTTATTTCTACTTCTAATCTGGATAAAGTTTGGTGTATGTATGCGCACGTCATGATTGGATAATTCAGTTTTGCACCTATTAGGGGTGGGAGAAAATATCGATACAGCATAGTATCACAATATTTTATCTGGTGATGTATCGTATTGTCTCATTTATCAAGTATCGATTTTTCAAATCAATTGCATATGTGAATTTAAATCTATGATGATGAAAAAATAAAATCAGCAGTTTGTCCAGTGAGGTTGGCAGAGGTGACATCATAGAGCGGGAGAAAGTTAGTACAACAAATATAAATATATAATGTTTGAAAATAAAATACAGTGTAAATAAGACAAACAATAAAGAAAGCCAAATGCTAAATTAGCTAAACAGTTGAAAAAATTATATAAATCGCAATATATTGTATCGCAATATTCACTCTATTGCAAAATGTTAAAATCGCAATAATGCCGTATCGTGATAATGTCCTATTATGGGACCATTAGTGATTCCCACCCCTAGCGCCTGTATAAACAGTGGATTCAGATTTTCCAATCCCTCAAATTTTAATCAGATCAAGAAATTTTGCTCATGTTAACGTGGCAAGTGTTTCATGTAATCACCAATAAATCCCACAAACAAGTCCTTTCAAATCATGATCTAAGGTATGATCAACAAACAACATAAACAGAAGCGGTCCAAACACACTGACTGCATTTAGAGGAGGAGTACAGTAACAGAGCTCCTCTGCCCACTGTCTGTCAGTGTGAATTTAGAACAGGAGGAACAGAGCGGGCCCTCAACCCTCAGACAACCCTCCACAGTTAATCAGTGTGACTCTCAGGTAAAGTCGAGGTATGACAAACACCGGATGTTATGCAAATACAAGACAGCAGAAAAAAAACAAAAACATCTGCATACCGGTCCAGGGTTGGGTAACACCTCTGCAGACCCCTCAAACCCTGGACTCAGACCGGTCAGCCTCCTGTCAGGTAGACGACTCAAAGCTCTGTCCGTCAGACACAAAGACGGGCTGTTCCTGTGATGAACTCTTTACAGACAGAGCTCGGAACAAACACTCGGCAATAACATGCGAAACAAACACTGACTGTGACTATAATAACTTTCTCTATAATCTCATAATTACCATAATTGATTATAATCCTCGATCACACACTTTAATCATGTGAATATCATCCTCTCATCTACACATGCATCTGTACACTGTTATTAAGAGGAGGAAGATATCCTTTACTAATCCCCTCAGGGAAAAGTCATGCTGCACACACACACACACACTCACACACACACACTCACACACATGTGCCCAAACAGGATCCTATGGAGTGAAATTCCCAGTATGTTCACACCTTCCCGGCCAATAAAGCTCATGCTGTTAGTAAGACCGTATGCACAGCGTGGTCTGCGTGTATGGAGCGAGGGACGGCACCGTGCAGCTTTAATGCATGAGAAGCAGTTAATGCACAGCTCTGATTTGATAAGGAACAGAAAAAAAGATTCATTAACAAACTCAATTAGGAGAGATTTACATTCATATCATTAAGCATCAGCGGGCGACTCTGAAGCTATTAAACCCATGACTTATCCTCCTCTGTTTTGAGCGCGGGCTGCTTTATTCCTCTCTGCTGCAGTTCTTCTTAAACGTTCCCCTGCCGTCGGGTTCGATTTAAAGTAGTTTTGTGTTTTTTCCTGATAACGGCGTACCTTCATCCTCCATGCTGTCGTGTCATGTTAAACTCCTGCTGTTTCATTTCAGATATGCTAATACCACGATGACTGATCAGTGTCGCTTCGCTGTTTGGAAGTGGTATGCATCACCATGAAGAAGAGGAAGGAGGAGACTGCTAACTAGCTGGCTGTAGCAGTTTAAGATAAATTATAAACACAGAAACGACGTCAGAGCTTGCACCTCTTTAGGTTAACAGACTGGAAGCAGGGCCAGGCTGACTGCTTGAGGCCTAACTTTTTGTGTTGTGTCGTTCGCAAACGATTCGTTTAAAAGAACCGAATCCTTTAAGTCAACGTACTGAACTGAATCACTTCCTCTAGAGATTCATTTGTTTCTCACTTCAGTTGACGAACGAGGGACCACGTACACCGACGCCTGAATCACTTGGTGAACCAATCACACATTGAACTACACTCTCTGGAATCATTTCTGTCAGACAAAACTACCTTCTTTTTTCACTAATAAATTGCCACCACAACAACTTGTGTACAATAGGACACAGCATGTAACAAGTAGTGCATTAAACCTGCAGCATCCTATCATTGCAGCGGTTTGTGAGGGACATGATGAGGATGAAGGTTAATATAATAATTAGCCTCTTTAGGAGCATTGCAATCCACTACCGGAAACGCTTGTTCCACGATCGTCCTCTCTGTTTCTCCAAGCCTGGCCTGCATAGTGGAGCTGCGGGGGCGGAGCTTGGATTTGTTACATAGGAAATCTCCCTGTATCTGATCCTACCTTTCATTCAAATCGCTCATTCATAACGATTTGAATGCAGAAATACTCAGAAATGCAATTTTGCACTTATCTTTTCTCATGATACGTCCTGTAGAATCAGAAAAATGAACATGTAAAAACAATAGAAACATGATTTTCATCGGAGTGGGTCTTTAAGACAAAACATCAAAATTAAAGCAGGTAAAGGCCTGAAGTAGTCCACTTTATGTGTCACAAACTAAGTTGACCTTTTTGAGTTTTTGTGTTTTTTTCCTCACCAAAGCCTTTATCTGGATTCCTCCGGGACGTGACAGAAGCAAATTAATTCACAGCCGTCGCAGTTGCACCTCCCAACCAACACATTCTGGTTAGAGGGACACAGTTTCACACCAGGTGAAATTAGAGATGAAAGCAGCAGCACAGATAAATCACCTGAGCTGTTAGACCAAGTGTTGGATTGAAATGATAACAGCAGTTTGGAAAAACATGTCCGGTGATAAAAGTGCGTCCACACAGGTGCTTGTTTGTGCGTGTGACCCTGTTACATCAACAGACTTCTAAAGCGAATGTCTCCCAATCAGAGCGAACACGTGCTTCGAGTCATTCACGCAGCTAATGATGGCGTCAAACCAGGCTGTCACTCCTCTGACACAGCCTGGTTTGTCATGTCCGTCTGGTCGTGTGCAGCTATTTTCATCGCTCACCCGCTCGCTCCGAGGCAGTTAAAGCAGATCTTAATTGTGTCCTCGAGTCGTTTTTATTTTTTTTACAGCGTTAAAGAAACATCAGAGATTCAGGCGGTGACACAAACAAGAGCGAAGAGAGGGAATAAAATGTTACCTCATGTTATATTAAGCAGGACGCTGGTGGGAAACGCTACTCTGAGGCGAAATCTCTTCATTATTCATGTTCATCATCTTTATTTCCTGTTTCTGCTCGACTTCTTCATCAAGGATGATCTCACAGTTGAGTGATGTTTTACTACAGTGACGTTCAAACGCGGCAGACAGAGCTGTTTGACTCACACACGTCAGAAACCAGAAGTTAGGTCACATGTTTTCATCATACTATCATCCTCATCTTCCTCCTCCCAGCAGCACAGAGGAAAGGTGAATAAAAGTCTGACACGTGTGGGTTTTGTTCCCCCTTCTGCTCGTCTCACAGGAGCATTCGCTGCTTGAGGAACATCATCCACTGGAACCTCATCACCGCCTTCATCCTGAGGAACGCCACCTGGTTCATCGTCCAGCTGACCATGAGTCCAAAGGTGCATGAAAGTAACGTGGTACGTAGACCTGCATTTATGTGATTATTGGTCTGCAGTATTACACTTTTCTTTTTCTAAACAACTTTGTGACCAATTTTTTGAGTTTTCTCTGGCTTTTCCACCCAAATTTAAAAAAACAACATAAACCCAAATGGTAAAAAAAGACACCAATATGAGCCGCGGTGTTGCTGTAAATGACTTTATTGCAATTTGAAGTCTTTATTTCTTTTATTCAAAAGTTTAACTCAACTCAAAGACCTTTATTCATCACTGGAGAGCGATTCAGTTTTGCGGGCCGCCCGTAAATCAAGAAAAAAAACAGCAACACGATAATCAGCAGTATTCAATAACATATTCGAGTAAGTCCAAGGTCGGATCTGCATGGTACAATTTTAATAATGTGGTGGTATGAAAGAAACTCACTGGTGAATCATCGGTGACGCACAATCGAAGCTCATAATTTACACGCTCACATCTCACAGTTCGACAGATTGGCACGGCGAGAATTCAAGCTGTGCACGTTAAACTGACAGAGCGTTGACGGCTGATTAAAGTCCAGCATATAGAAGTTAATGTCAGAGACTTGAATCAGAAGTATAAGGAGCAATTATCAGATTTTTGACATGTAGAAGCTCGGGAAAGTTGTTTCATTCGATCACACAGGTGGTCGCTGCTCAGTGTGTGTTTGCGTTGTCGGTTTGTTGGTTCTTGGCTCTGCTTTGACTGAACGTGAGGATCCAGTCAGCCAACCAGAATTTCTGAAATTCATCCGTCCGGTCAGGAGCAGCCGATGGGCCACGAGGGGCTCTAGTGCCCTCCTGGACACTGTCTGGCATATGGAGCAGGAGCCGGCTGTGATGGTGCCGCTATCAGACTCAATCACACACTGTTTTCTTGGCCCAACTCTTCTAGTTCGCGTCAGATAATTATGGCCATTTTCAAGGATTTTTTTATCCGTTTGTCCATTCTGATAATGAGACACACTCTGATAGACATTGTGATGGAAAATCACCAGTTTAGCCACATGCTGCAGCAAAATCTTGTTGTATTTTTCTGCACTCGCTGCTAGAGCACCAACTATGGATTCATCTGCCACTAAAAGCAGCCCCGATCGAAACCATCATTGTTAGTTATCAGCGCATCTACCGACGGAGCGACTTCAATTTTCTCCTCTTGGCGGTGCAGCAGGAGCAGCATCGTCTTTTTCGCTCTTTTCTCAGAGCTCCAGAGTTCAAAAAAGTTCTTTCTCTCTTGGGCTCTTCGAAGATTTTCAGCAAATTGTTTCCAAGTGCCCTCTGCCCCGTACCTTTGCTGCAGATAACAGGTGTCATATTAAATCAAAAAGAAAAAAAAGTGCCATAATGTGATTCAGAGAGGTGCTCTCTCTCCAGGAACAAGCCGACCAGGTTGACTTCTCCTTGTTATCGATGCTCCTGTGTCTGTTAGCTGTACTGGAGGGAGGAGCAGCAGCGTGTCACACTAATTTGAAACCAGTCTGACCTGTCCCTTTTTTTCGCAGTGTGTAAGTCTGAACCCATTATAATTCCACGTTCAGGCTGAGAAACTCTCTGGGCTGTTGGTGATCCTGTAAACCAGTGATTGTTGTCTCAGTCCAGGACACAGCGACTGCAAAACAGTGTCAGGGGGGAGCTTGTTAGTCGGGGTTATTTGCATAAGGGGAGGTAAACAGAGTCAGGTTGCCTTAAGCCCTATTCAACGCTTCATCACATTATACCATCTTTAGTCTGCAGATTTCTAGCGACAGGGATTTGGAACGAAGTAGCACCCATCTCAAAAATGCCTCCAGGTTTCTGGAGATCTGGCACGGATTCACACTCAGACTCACGGATGAACTTGGAAGAGGATGGTGTTAAAAGGTCAAATGCACTGAGGCTCGAATCACTTATTTTGGCAATATCTCAAGGCTAAACTTGTAAATTATGACACAGGTTAAACCGAGGGTCTATCAGGACCAACTGTAACCATGACCCATGGTTTGGAGCAAATGTATGGAGGAGGATTAGGACCACAAAACAAAACGAATAACTGGATTCATGTAGAATTCTGATTTTTTTTTTCCTACAAATTCTAAGAGAAGTCTGAATTCATGATTTTTACATCAGAATTCTGAGTTTAAAAAAGATCATGCACGTTTTCTAGTCATGTCCTTTTCTCAGGTCTTTCTAAAAAGGGGTAGAGCATCAAATTTTAGACATTTTTTTTTTTTGTATCTGTCTGTACCTTGAAAATTTCTTGGCGGCCCCAGTAAAAGGGACATTTTTTACTTTTGACTTTTAAAAAAACCTGGTTTCCTACAAAAAATTCTTAGGTAGAATTAGAATTTATTAATTTTTCCTCTAAATTTCAGGTTTAAATTCAGAATTTTGTCTTTTTTTTCCTTAAAAATGTGTAATTAAGGTCCTTTCACACCAGGACCGTTTTTTTCGTGTGATTATTTCAGACATCAATATTTTTTTTGAACCCGTATCCTGTCAATACGAGCGTTCACATCGGCGACATTTTCCCGTCCTGCGATATTGCGGCATTTTTTTTTCGGATCACGGTTGAATTTTCTAAAGTTTCGCATACTGTGTGTACACTTCTGACCAATCAGATTGGGTGTTGTTGCGACGTCAGATTCACCGGTATATCCAACATGGCCGACCGGCTGATTGTTTACGTGTCGGAGAACAGAGTGATTTTTGATAAAAGACACAAATATTACAAAGATAACGACCTGAAGGACAACTTGTGGAGAGTCATAGGGTCAGATTTCTCATATAACGATAGACCAGCACCATTAGGTCTCGGTTGTTACATTACGTTTATGGATTATAGTTTAATGTTCTTATCTGGTACTGGCCCCACCTCAGTACATGCTATCATGACAGACAGACATCTCAACACTAGAGTCTAATCAGAACTGAAAACACTCAGTCTGCTGTTGGGTCAGTCTTCTCGCTTCCACCCGGGACACGTCTTTTTTTCCTCCCGGAAAGTTGCAAAATGGCATCGGGCTTGATGTGTATAGTCAGGCGCGTCAAAATTCGCCTCTGAATTTTTCGTAGTTTCGCGTCGTATATTTGCGTCGGTCCCGGTGTGTAAGGACCTTTAAAGTCTGACTTTTAGTGGTTTTCTGTAATTCTTACAATAATGCAAAATGTATCAGTATGTTATAAAATCTGTCCACTCCTGACAAATCCCTGTGCAGTCCCAGTGACAAAGACAGGACAGAGTTTTATTTTATTTTGAAGGGCGGTTATTACAGCTGTAATGTTATCACTTTCACACAGGACAAATTGGTGTGATCTAATGTTATAATGATGGAGGGAGGACATCTGCTGTTGTGAGGTCAGAGGTTAACTCATGACAATTATCTTCACAGGTGTGGTGCCGCCTCGTCACCGCCTCCTTCAACTATTTCCACTCCACCAACTTCTTTTGGATGTTTGGCGAGGGCTGCTACCTCCACACCGCCATCGTGCTCACCTACTCCACCGACAAGCTGCGCAAGTGGATGTTCATCTGCATCGGCTGGTGTACGTACACAGGAATTCTAACCCCACAACTCTCTTTGGTCCACAAGCACTTCCTGTTAGATGAGGAGATAATCACACTTTTAATGTCACTGCATAAAAAAAAGAACAAGAGCAGAGAAATCAGCAAAGTTTAGCGTGAAGTCTAGAAGAAAGTTTTGAAGCCGTGCTCTTGTTCTTCTACTGTGAACATGGACTTGTGTATAAAAGGGTGAATTATCCCTTTATGTACTGGAGTGGACACCCTCCACTCACTATACAGTACACTCCAAGGGGAATTACACAGTGCTGTACCACTCATGTCATTATGCCCCACACAGTGGACTTATTGTTAGCGGTCATGTACTGTGAAGAACAGCAATTACTGATGGTTTCATGAAAAAGCAATTTGTGAACCATCACACATCGCTGTGAGGAGAACAGCAGAACAACAACACAGGGAAGACGGAGGGAAGATTTTCACCATTTTCACAAGTAGGAAACAAAAACAACAACAATGAGAGGGTTTGTCCACAAGGGGCGCCAGATTCAGCTCAGAAAGTTCCTCATGGGAGCTTTAATTGGAAAAACTGCAAAGACGTTACATCAAATCTTAAAGCTGAAAACTGTATTGTTATTTACAAAGAGTTTGTTTTAAATTTGATGTCAGCAACACATTTCAATAATGTTGGGACAGAGATAAACAACACTGAAACTCCTCACAGGTGCACAAACATCACAAACGTCCAGAAAACTGAAAAAGTAGAGACAGTTTTTTCCAAATTTCTTGTACTTTCTCTATATAAGGGGTATTTGACATTAAGGCTGTCAGTTTCCATGCCCTTAAATAAGGTTAAGTCAGCATCAGTGACCTAAACCTGGTCAGTGTGCCGAATTGTTTCAGCTTTCTGTTCAACAAAACACTGAAAAGGTATTTTCTTTTTCTGTGAAGACACCTGGAGGAAAATCTCCCAGTTAAAGAGGTTAATTTGCAACATGACTGGGTGTGAAAATGCCTATTCCAGAGAGGCTCAGTCTCAGAGTAAGAAAGATAAGAGGAGGTTCATCACACTGTGAGGGACCACCTGAGCGAATAGTTCAGAAGAAAACTGCAAAGATCTGCAGGATTTCATCAGTTTCAGTACTTAAAAGATTCTGAGAATCGGGAGAAACCTCCGAACAAAAGGGGAAAGACTGAAAACCAGCACAGGTTTGCTGTGATCTTTGGATCCTCTGGCATTGTTGCATTAAAAACAGACATGACTCTGTAGTGGAAGTCACTGCATGGGCGCAAATTCACATTAAAAAACCCATTGGTGACTTCCTTGGACCCAAACCAGCTTCTACATTTGTACTTCATTTTGGGAATCAGTTCAAACCACCAGAGAGAAGAGGGGCTTATTAAGTAAGGTCGAATTTATTAACGGTATCAGAAATATCATGCTCAGCTAAACTCATCCGCCTTTGTCTTTGGGTGAATTGCTGACTGTCAGATGATCTAAACTTCCTCCAACTTCAGGACAGAAATGAAAAGGCAAACTCTCCCAAAACTATCTGAATAACTTTAGTCGGTTTTGGTTCAGCTCAGCGGAACCAACAGAAGGTCAGGAATAAATTCACTCAACAATAGAGGAACCTGACTTGATGGAGATTCATTGATTTCAAATGGCAGCTGGGAAATATGTTGTTGTGGGGTTCACTGACACCCTGCTTCACTCTGTCAGACTAAAGTATGTGCTCCTGAGATTAGGTGTATTGTGCCGGCTGGATTACATTTCCCTCGGGGCGGCGTGAAGCCTCCGTGTGAAGGGAGGATGACAGCATGGCTGTGAAGACATAAATAAGATCAAATTCGATTTGCTCCGCTTAGTTTTGACTCAGTCCTAAAGAGCAGGAGTGTTATAAAGGCGGAGAGGAGTGGGTAAGGGAGGAGAACAACAGAACAAATGACGATTTCCAACGCTGTCAGAGGAGACCTTCCTGAGGTGTTGCGTTACACTAATAACAATATTTTGCTAATGAAGTGGAGCAATTCCAGACGTGAGAGACTTTCAAGTGTGCCGTAGCAGCTGGTGAGATCCTTCAGTGTCATTTAAGAGTGAGTAATAGGTGTTTATCTGCAGTATTATACTCCTATTAGTCAGTAACTCAGCCGATCACTCCACATTACCGTCAAACAGAGTCCATCTTTTCTTTTATTCACAAAGAAATTCAGATGGTGACAAGTCCTGGCTTACATCTGTGGATCTCGGCACACAAACGAAGATTGCTTTTGACAGAGCTTGGCAGGGGTTTGGAGCAGGGCTGACAAAAACACACACACACACACACACACACACACACACAAACACACACACACGCACAGAAGAGGAGTTTATAAGTGCAGTGCAAAATCCCTGGAGTCATATTTTCTGATCTGAGTAGCCGAGAAAGATGAAAGACGAGCGTGTCACTTTGTCTGTGTTTTCCTCCACAGGTATACCCTTCCCCATTATTGTGGCGTGGGCCATTGGGAAGCTGTATTACGACAATGAGAAGTAAGCTCTTTGTTGTGACTCGTGATGAGAGATGGGTTTTGATATTCAAAGAGACGGCTTTTCTTCGGCCGGTTATAAAAGGACAAGGACAAAGTCAGACTGTATTGCATTAAGGAGATGAATGTCTATTATCAACCTGCTGTAATCACATTTGCACTGTGCATTATTCTTAATTACACATCGTTCCCTTGGCCATCCTCACTTTGATTTGGACTGCTTAGTACTGGAAGTGATAGTAGTCGTCTCAGGTGCATGAATCACATCAGGTGAACATGGATTCACTCGATAAAAACTGATCATGAAACTAGCAAAGATTTTTTTCAACAAATTAGCCTTTAACCCCCAATTTTCACTGCATCCGGAACGGCTACGAAAAGGCTGTATGCATCGATCGCAGCTGATTGTTTCCATTCAAGTTAATGTGTCAGTTTCCATCGGCTTCTTTCCGTTCTGCTGCGGTTCAGCGGACTCCGTAGTCGATCGCAAGAGTTCTTCTTTTTTTTTCCAGATGCTGCAAAGGAAGTCAGCACAGACACGAAATAAAACACTGTGTTTCAGGTGGATCGTATTTCACGCCATGCAAACTAGTGGCGACGAACAAGTGAAAGGTTTATAGAGGCCATTTCACCCCGTTGACACCATAGATAAGGAGATGCTGATTCTAGAAATCTAGAAGTAGATTTCCTCCTCTGGAAGGACACAATCTACTGCTTTTATGGTTAGTCTCTGTGGCTGTCTTTATCAAGACAACGCGTTATCGCAAGATTGCACATATATCCACAGGTTCTTGTGAGTTTTCGCGATTCCTGCTGTCCCAAATCTGCAACAAAAGTCGCCTCACAAACGCATACAGTAGGAATTAGCGGAAAATTGCCACTGTTCTGTAACGCAGCCGTTCCGGATGTGGTGGAAATTAGGGGTGAGACTTCTCCCCATTCATAGGTATCCTGACAGGCGGCCTTTCGTGCATTTTATTACAGACAGCCAGTAGAGGGAGCCCTGAAGGTTTTGGCTTCATCAGTGAAGAGCTGTCAATTTAAAGTGGCAAAAACCTGCAGTTCCTCCCATGTCCACTAGATGCTGGCTGCAAATGCAAAGAATACCCATTTAATCCCATATTAAAATGCCGAATTTTAACTCCACATTAATCATGTTTAAAGCTGAAATCAAACACAGTTTTAGGTTTGAAGCTCATTATTGAATTCTTCTGCACTGTGTGATGATGGATTCTTTCTAAATAACATCCATTTAAAGCTGAAATTAGACATTTTAATAGGTTAAGAAACAGATTTAAACTGAATGATACAGATACTTCTCTTTGTTCTACATCCATCAGGACATCGCCCCAAAAAAACAACTGTTGTTATTGTTATATTCAGTCTCTTTCTGTGACACCTCCTTGGAGCTTAGAGTCGCAGGAAATCAGGAGTTGTCCTCCTGTTGAAACAATCACAATAACTTCAAAAATCTTTCTCCCAAAGCCCACTGAGATTAATAAACGTGATCTTTTTAGTTTGTTATTTCATGTTTCATCAAATATTGCTGAAATAATCCATTATTTTTCTGATTTCTTGGCTAGAAAGCTTCTTATTTCCACCCAGAGACACTTGAAAATCACTGATACATATACGCTGATATTTATTTGAAATGGTCTCATTACACAGGCAGGTGGTTTCAATTGCAGTCAGAGAAATGTGCTTTTAGGATCTGTGCATTCTGGGTAAATTACCGACTGTGAGACATGTTTTTAAACCCCTGGAGTGAAGAAATTGAAATGAAATCTGACTCATACAGAGAGCAGAGGTGAAGCGTTTCTGACCGCTGATGACTGACGTTATATTTACATCTGTCAGTGAGGAGGAGGCGTGACTGATTGCTTTTGTTGGTGTTGCAGATGCTGGTTCGGGAAGCGAGCGGGGGTCTACACAGACTACATCTACCAGGGTCCCATGATTCTCGTGTTGGTGGTAAGAGAGTTGGTGTTTTTGTCTTTCGGCTCACAGTCTGGATAACAGCTCGTGACCTGCTCGAACGATTAGTCTTCATTATGTGGTTAAAAAAGCCTGGCAGGAGAGGATTGTTGGAAACCTCGGCTCATTCTTCATGTGAGCGCTGATAGATGTGACGCTCTGACGTGTAACCGATCAGGATTTAAATCTCCGCTGTTGGCAACTTTCAAGAAATATGGAGATCATTTTGAGGCGAAACAAGACGGAAATCTGAGGTTGTGTTCAGACTGGTTTCCCTGACAAAGAGTTATTTCTGATATTGGGTCATTTCCATCCCTGCAGGGGAAGTTTGTCATCATTTTATTACAATGCTGTATCGGGTTTAACTCTCGTGAAATGTGTGCCATAAATTTGACTGAAAAGCGCTCTCATCTGCATCCAAAGTGGCAAACAAGGGCGGGATTATCATCAGGAGAAACGTGCTGCAAGTGCAGGAATGTGAAAAATGCAAACGGAAAACAACATGTGCTGGGGCGAGAAAGAGACACACAAACCAGGGCGTTGTACAAATAACAGCTGAAATGTGCAGGCCTGCAGGGTTGTAGGTCTTTAGTGCTGTGTAGGGCTGGGTAATGAAACGATAATAATATATGTTGAATATCAATATGAAACAAGGTCAATATCCTTTTCAATAGTCGGCATTTTGCCATGTTTTGGTAGACTATAGAAATAGCCAACTTTGTTTTAGACTTTGTTTAGGTTAATTCAATATTAGTTTATATTTCTATTATCAGCTTTTGACTCTTGCAGAAAACTTGAAACCAACAACAGTACATACAGTTATTAAAATGTAAAAAGATGTTTATTTTAACTCACATTTATCTCTGCTTACAAACTCCCCTGTGAGTTAAGGTGAATTAACTTTAATTAGATGTTATTGAACGTGAATAAGAATATTAAAAACTTGAATTACAGCCTTATAGAGATGAATAAATCTTATATTATGGATATGATGTTACAGTCAGAGTGGAGATGAAAAGAGAGGGTAAAGATGTTTTAGATTAAAACCCCTCAGAGAGTGATGGAGAGCTTGGAGGAGAGATAGTTGAACATCTTTCAGTGGACAGTAAGCAGCTGCTGTCCTCTTCTCCAGCCTCCAGAGTATATCTGTGTTATTGTGACTCTTCCTCACCCCCCCTCTGACAAGTAGTGCCAGACGCTCGGCCCTGCAGCGAGACTCATGAATGATCCTGCAGATTCTGGAGATTGGCTGTAGACTCAGCTCGGCTTCTCCTACAAGCTTGAGTCATCTCTCGTCAGTGCCGCACCAACTCCCTCCTGGCACATCCTCCAAAATACCATCCTCAGTCATTATCCACTTGTCTGCCCTTACACTCCTCCGTCACTGCCGGCTCTGCCCTCTTTTTGGCTTTTTCGTCCGTTTCTCTGCTCGGTTTGGTCTGTTTTCTCCCGTCGGGTCTCCGGTGGTGGAGTGACCTTCCCATCCTTGTCAGATAAAGCACATTCGCTTATCTTTTCTCTAAAGTTGAGAAAGTCATCCGTCCAAAAGGCGCTGTGCGTGCAGCCTGACTGTCCCCCTGAGCTCTCATCTGTCCTTTTCAATATCTCCCTGCTTCTTTCATAAAATTTTTCCTCATTCTTTCTTCCAACTTTTTCTCTCAGGCTTTTTTCTCTGCGTCTGGCACTTGATGGCTCTGGATCATTGACAGGTTACCTCCATTTTTGTGATGTTTCCTGTGGGTGTGAACCCTCCGTGACTTAGCAGCGGTGGTTTTAATGTCTGCTAAAACAGCAAGTTTGAGAGGAAGTTTACTGACTTTGGAGAAGACGGCGGAGTCTCCTCAGAGACTGCAGAGCTTCTGTTCAGGCTAAGGCTCGAGTCAGTGTTGTGGAATAAGGACACAGAAAAGAGGGTTCCTGTGACACTATGAAGACTTGTATTTAAGCACTCTTTACTGGTTGCCATGACAATGAATGTAGACTTGCGCTGCATACATTGGCACCTTTATCTGTTTGACGTAATCCATAAAGCTTCACTGAACACTGAAATGTTCACACGGATGCAAAATGAGTATTTGCTCGCTTGATTCGTACAAATAACTCGTTCCGTTTCTGAGCCAAACATGTGAGTCAGTGTGAGAGAAGAGGCGCCCCTTCACGCCATTTCAGTCTGTCTCCATCAGACATGGTTGAGGATGACAACATTGTGAGGATTGTTATATTTTCATCTCACTGACTTCTTTTACTCCAAGAGAACAAGCAGTATCATGAACCCACGAACGACAATTAGTGCCGACTTTTTCAGCCTCCTGTGCGGTCGGACTTAAAGGGATATTCCGGTGTAAAATTATTTTAGGGTCTAACACCGAGTTAGACACCCCCACCGAGAGATGAATTTTGCAGACTGCTTGCTTCTCCAGTTATACCAACTTTAGTAACGACAACAGGCTGCTGGAAGTGAGTAGGTGAGTTGTGTTTAGTCTCTTTACTCAAGTTGGTATAACTAGAGAACTAAGCAGTTGGCAGCATTCATCTCCAGAGGGGGGTGTCTTACTTGGTGTTTGACACTAAATTAATTTTATGCTGGAATATCCCTTTAAAGGTAGAGTTTGTAGATAAATGGGAATATTTATCAGTTTCTAGTATTCACTTCCTGAATCTAACCCTTGCTTGTCCCTCCTGTTGGTGGGGCGATTGTGTCCTTCAAGGTCAAGAAGCTCCTGTGTTGCATGACAAGTTCGATCAAGATTTTACCATCGAAAACCTCTTTTTATACTAATTCTTTCACCACAACAATCTCCTCTTTTGTTTTCTAACTGGTGGCCCCTCACTAAGTGTTACCAGTTAACGAAGACTTTGGAGCAATGAATCATGTCACATAACTTTGCAGTCTATTGGAGGAATCTGGACTTGGAAACAGAGCCCATTGGAAAGGTTAGACCTCGGCCCGTTCTCTGAAGAAAGTGAACACCCCAGGAGGATCTGGAAACAAAGGTCACCTGCCAGGCTGCTGCTTTTCTGACCTGGAAAATGTCTATATATAGATGTCTGAATGGATATTTTTACCACTGACCGGTTTACCAAACAAGAAGGTGTGCAGCTGACTGGACAGTACTTAGACCTCAATATGTCTGTGGGAGCTACAACCAATTTCTAAACTGTGCATGTAAAGAAGAAGCTGCTTTTGTTCACTAATCTGCTTTTTTCCGCTCTTTCATTGATTCAACCATCATTATAGTATCTCTAGACTCTTCTTTTCCCGCCATCTTGGGTGTCCGGCAAACACTGGCAGAGAAAGTTTCACACTGTGAGAAATGTGTGAAGATAAAATCAGTCCTGAAGTTTTCCAGAAATGTCCAGGAGTACATGCTGTATGTGAAAGGGCTTACGGTACGCCTAAGAAGGATTGCTGTGTGTGGATGTCGGTCTACGGTGATTAAATAAATCTTCACTGAGTGGTTTAACAGATCAGCCTTGGGATTACATTACCACGATACATTTCACCTCATTTGATCTCATGGGACCGACCGAACAACCCGGAAACTTCCAACCCCGATAAAGTCCTCGTTCTACCGCAAATACGGGCTTCATCTGTTTGTAGAGATCAGCTCTGCCAAATCCTGATACAGCTCGGTTATGTTTGCCACCGAGCTTCAGTGTTGTCCAAGAAACACTGACGGAGAGTAACATCCAAACACGCTTAAGTGTATTTTAAGTCAAACCCACGCTCACACCGTCCTGCTGCCTTCCTCAAATCATAAGACCCTGAAATATGACGGCTTGGGTGGTTTTTATTCCATGTCATAAATCTGTCCTGGCACACCTCCAGGAATAGTTCCCGTCTTCCGGGTCGACTTCCTCAGCATGCAGCGCTCTGAGTCCGTGCAGAGGTGTTTCCCCCAGCTGGACTCGGCTATTTCCTCCATGTCACACACGTTTAGATTACATTTCTCAGCTCGGGGGGAATTTTTCTGAAATGAAACCTTCACAGATCAAAAGTTCAGGACAACACAAAGAGTTGTTTTCACACTTCTTTAGTAGACAAAGGACGAGAAGAGTCCTGTCAGCAGCTCTGCAAATGCATCTTCAGCTGCATGATGTTCGTTTTATCATCCCTTTAAAACAGAGTAGCTGTCTCTTCATACACACGTCTCTGATAAATCCCCCCGCCTGTAGCTCATGATTCATCATTATTACCGTTTTATAAAACAAGAAAGGCTGTCAGGGTCAGTGCTTTAATTGCCTTTTCCTTTTTGGCTCGGAGTCGTTGTGCCACAGCTGGGTCTCCTCACAGCTGTGGCACATTTCCGTTTTAAAAACTCCCAAAAGGCTCTTTTAACAATTAAAGAGTCAAATCCACTGTGTGCCAAACAGAATTAACGAATTATCACCAAAATACTTTGAGGCAAAAGTTTCAAACATGCCAAGACCAGTGCGGAACAGAAGGGACTAGGGTTGAAAAGGGGCGGAAAATTTCTGGTAAATTTCCAGAAACTTTTCATGGGAATTATTGGAATTTATGGGAATTGACTGGAAATTGGGGGTGATTCAAACAAACTATCATATCCAAACATAAATGTTGATATTTTTGTCACAAGCAGATATCCATGCAAAATTATACAGTTAATGTCATGAACAGAAATAAAGTTGGCTAAACAACTGGAATGGTCTTCAGAATATTTGACAGTTGATGTATAAATTATTGTTTGGTTACAGAAAACCGTCTTGCAGGAGTCTGAAGAAACAGCATCACATTTGAGGTCGCTACCACCACCATAATAAGTTATCTTATTAGGCTATAAGCTATTTTATTTTTGCAAGTTAAATATTAATACTGTTATAGATCAAATATATTTACCCCATAATATTATCAAAACTTACTTGACTTTATATAGTTCGTGGGCTCAAATGTCTTGTGCTTTGGGCTCCAGGGTTAAAGAAATCATCTGTGCGTGTGATGGTGGAATGCACATGCATGTAGGGGGTGTGGCCTCAATGGTCCTGCAGTAAGCAGTGTGCTGTGTGGATGTGATTGAGGACTGTACTTTCATTAAATCTGGTTGTTTTAGCCAAGATTACGCTACAATATATTTTCTCCAACTATATTTAAGTTCTCTGTTGAGCGCCAACCTTCAATTTTGTAAATTTCAGATTTATTCTCATTAATTCTCATGGAAAGTTTCCAACTTTGAAAATCCCCAGATTTTTGCAACCCTAGAAGGGATCATTTACTTCCTTGATGAAAAGGTTCCTGGAACTTTTGGTCCAAAGAAACAAATTTGAACTCCTGAAAAGTGCAAACCTTGTCACATTAACATCAGACCAACTTCTCCTCGGTGTTTGAAACTTTCCTCGAAGCCCTCTCGGAGTTGTTCGTCCCTCTCCGCTTGTTTGTGTGAAAATTGAAAATGTGTCTTTAATGAAGGTGGACGGATCCCCAGCTTACAGCGTGTTTGAAACCGATAACAGCCCCATAAAACAGCCTTCCTCCGACTTTAATACGGGCTGTAATGTGTTTTGAAGAGACTCTCATTGCCGTTTGATTTTCCCGCAGATCAATTTCATTTTTCTCTTCAACATCGTGAGAATCCTGATGACCAAACTGCGAGCCTCCACCACATCAGAGACAATCCAGTACAGGTGAGAGTAATGAATACATGAAGTGATCCGGCTGTGCGCGCAGAGAGCGACCTTACAGGCTCTGCTGTGTTTTCACACCCTGAATAATTCACACGCTGTCAGCGGGGGTGTTGACTCGGTCTGATACACAATAGCACCCGCAGACAGAATCTCCCCGTCATGCTTGTCTGATCCCCCCGTCTGCTTATCTGCAGGAAAGCTGTGAAGGCGACGCTGGTCCTCCTTCCTCTCCTGGGGATCACTTATATGCTTTTCTTTGTCAACCCGGGCGAAGATGAGATCTCTCAAATCGTCTTCATCTACTTCAACTCTTTTTTGGAGTCCTTTCAGGTACGATTGAGCTCAGAAATATTAAAAATGACAGCTGTGTTGGTCTGGGTGTTTGTTTTCATTGATAAAGTTTTACGTGTTGACAGAAAAATGAAGAAGTGTAGCGTGTGTGTGCGATTAAACAGGATCAGGGTGTTCCTCATTTCGTTGTTGTTTGTTCCTCTCTTTATCTCCCTCCTCCTTCTCCTCCTCTTCCTCCTCTCTCACAGGGGTTCTTTGTGTCCGTGTTTTACTGCTTCCTAAACAGTGAGGTAAGCACATTTGCATCTGCTTATTGATCCAGTGTTTCCTCCCTGCTTCACATTATTATTTATCCTCCTCCTCCTCCTCTTCCTCCACTTTCGGTTGCTGCTGCTGCTCTGTGATTTTGCAGAGTGATGACGCTCACGGCTCTTTTATTTAGGGCACAATTAAGCCTTGTCATGTAGCAACATAAGTGACATCACTTTGGACACTTTATGACAGTGTCAGGCTTCATTTGGCTCCACCGTGAATCATGGGGTAAAAAAACCCTCCCAGTAAAGCAGAGAAATATTCAGATGCATGTGCAGATTTATCACCACAGTTCAGAATTTATCTACAAGTCCGACAAATAATACGGCTTATTAAAATGATCAATCTGGCAGCTAATAAAGTGTAGGGCTGCACCATAAATCAGATTTTTATCATTACGGCGGAATGAGCGTCCGCAAAAAAACACATCCCTAAAGTCTGGATCGATCTCAGTGAACATGAGAAATGATTTTATGTAAATAAGCAGCTTTTTCTCACCCTGTATCCTCGTGTATTTTACTCATGGAGTCACACGGAGCTCAGGCTTTCAGCGACCCTCAGACTGATCGAATGGTGCTAATTTAACCAGGCCCACGCTGATAAACTTACAGAATCAAAACAGACGTGAAGGAAGTATTTTATTATGAAGCTAGTTAAGAACAAAAGTTCAAATTTGGAGGATAAATTAAAAGACGAGTTCTGGTTCAAGCTCAAATGTTTGAAAATAGGAAGAAACGTGACGAGTCTTGTGTGAATTACTGTTTGTCAACGACAATGACAAACTGAAAATGTACAACTGATGATAAAAAATCTGATTTTATTACCTGTCAGATCTTCAAATCGATTATATTCTCCCTAGTGTGTCTTGAGGACATGAGGGGCTGAGTCTGGACCTCCCACCCCCAATCCCAAAATAAGAGGAAGTCGGTGAAAACAAAGATATCACTAGATGACAGAGATAGTGTTTTGTTTTGTTCTTGGCTTGGAGTAAAAATCTTTCTTCTGTATTACCTCAGTCGATCTGCAGCATCAATGTTTTGGTGGGAGAATCTAAACTGAAAACATCTTTCCAGAGTGAGGGGTGCGAATGTTACAGGAGGGTGAAAAATAACAGATTTAAAGACTTGGTACAAAGCTGATTTCAGTTTCTGATCAGCTAACTGGCTGAAAGTAAAGTATTTAACTAGTGTTATTATTTTACTAGTGAAGTACAAGTTTTTAAGTATTTTTTTACAAGTGTATTCTGTCTATTTTAAAAATATTATGGGCATCATGTCATTTTATTTCATATTTCAATGATTTTAATATTGTATCTGTTTCACTTTACCTGCCCAGGAAATACAGGTAGAAATTGGCAATTATTGCTATAACCTGGCTCAAAGCATCTCTTCTTGTCTTACAAAATTAATATTTTTTGCGTGTTGTCCCTGTTATAAATAAATCAATTCAATTCAATTCAATTCAATAAAGAGTCAAAAGTCAAAAGTAATAGCTAAGTATTTAGTCACAAGGGTAAAATGATGATGGCTGCACATTGACAAATGGAAGATTTTAGATTTGTTCTCCGACTGAAGAGAACGAATAAAAACAGCAAAACAAACACTAAAACTCATTCACAACCAGAGCCTAAACTCTCATATATATATATTAAACATGGCCACAGTCCACAGAGCGTGTCCTCAGCTGTCCTCAGAGCTCCGCCCACACACCATGACACCTGATTGGATTATATGTAGGATATTTACAATATCATGTAAGCAGATCAGAGGGAAGTGAAATCCCTCCTAATGTACCTCACAGGGAAATCTATAACCATAAAAGCAGAAGTGGAAGTTTCACTGTTGCTTTGTGTAGGTCTCCTGAAGAGTGACGGACGTGTAAACACTCGACTCGCCCAGATTACACGATCTACAGAGGAACAGACAAACATGATTACATATGGAGCAGTCAGAGCGTTTGCATTACCTCGGTTAGATATCATGTTTCTCCTTCTTCTGTACAAATACGGCTCTAATACTCCTCTTATCTTTAACTAACCCCCTCCCCTCTTTGCACAATCTCCACAGATGTTTCCCAGCTGCAGAGACTCGCTATTGCAAACACTTATTTCATAGTTTATGTTATTTTTTTTATTATAAACACTAAACAGTACAAACCATGCCACAGAAGCGAAACAGATGGTACAGAAGAGTTTGTTCTAAACTTGGAGCTCAAACAGGGAGTCTCCTCGACGCTAAATCAAACACAGAGCTCACAGTTCAGCCAGCAGCAGCAGCAGGAGGAGCGAGGCTGAACTCAGAGTCAGCGGGACACGCAGATGGGGAATTAATTAGTTTTTCAGGTGTTTAATCTTATTCCAGATTCAGATTTAACCCGATGACGGCATTAAGCAAAATGTTAAGTGTTCACAAAAGATCTTAAAATCATCCTGAGGGGGCGAAATGCCTGAATAAAATGAAACGATTATCTTCTAATGAATGTCAAGATGTTTCATTCAAGACCACAAATGTCAGCTCCATGACGGCCCAAGAGAGAGGAGTCAGACAATCACAGATATTTCAAGAGTTTTGGGAGGTTTTTTTTGGGGAAGAGTGACGAACATCTGAAGATATTTCTGTCCTTATACAACCCAAGATCCACGCAAAGTTTGGAGGCTTCATGATCCAGCGATGCCAGTGACTCCTCAAGGCCTGAGACCATTTAAGACGGACCCAGGCAGAGTGGAAAAACTGCCCTTTGGTCTGAACGAATTAAAGTTTGACATCCTGTTCGGAAATCATGAACAATGAGTTAACAGGCCACCTGGTTTGGTATCAGCACGCAACTCAAAACCAGCATCCATGATCGTATAGGGACCCAAGACACGAGAAACCAGATTCTGCACGACAACAAGGCTCAACAGTAGACGGGTTCAGGTGCTAAACTGACCCGACTCGTCACATGCCTCCTTTCTCTGTGAAATCAAATTCTATTTTTATGAACATTTCCCAACTTTTGTATGAGAACAGTAATAATAAACATAATAGGAATCCTTTCATTTCCCCAAAATTGTGCTATGAAGTGCTTGACAGGGATATAAATAGCAAACCAGAGGAAACGAAGTGAGCGCAATCAAGGAGAAAATGATGAAATCAAAGAGTCTCCAACAATTCTGGTCCAAGTATGTTTAAAGAGAGACGAGCTTTCAGAGCGGTCGGAGAGTCTGCTAACCTGATCTCCTCGGGCAGCTTGTTCCAGAGCTGCTGTGATTAAAGGCTCCGTCACCCGGAGTTTTCAGCCCAGCCTCAGGAACACGCTCAGCACATCCACTGAGGATCTGAGGCTGCACGCTGGCTCATGGGTGACCAAGAGGTCAGATATGTAAGATGAAGAGAGGCTATAAAAAGCCATAAAGGTCAGCAATGATGAGAATTTAACTTTGACTTCAGAACATCTTCATCTTCTAGAAAGTGATGTAAATAATTTCACATGTTTGGATCACAAACACTAAAAGCAGGTTTTTCATATTCTGAGTTAAATCATGAGACTTGAATCAAAGTGATGGTGTGGTTTAGTGGTCCAGTTGAGCAAACATACTGGGAACGATACATTAGGACACGATATGATACTATACAATATGATACGATTGGACACACTCCCTCCATCTAGGAGTTTCACTTTATGCAAATCAAGCAGCTTCAGTTTACGACACCAATCCTTAGATTTCTCTGCGGAGGAGGATGGAGAAGTTGTTGCTGTTTTAAGGCTGTTAGGAGATGAGGGCGTGTGAAAAGGTCTCTGTGTCTTAAAAGGATCAAATAGACCCGATTGGGCATTGCTTCTTAGATATTAAAACAAGACTGCGCTGGTTTTGTTGTGAGATACTCAAAGTTTTGGTTCAAAGGGGGCAGAAGAGGTAAGAGCGAGTCTGATGAGAGGAGGAAAGAAGAAGAGAGAGGGAATGACGATCTCTGGTGTGACGTCGCTCCTGTGAATGTTCGTAGTGGTGTGACCTTTCCTGACCCACTTATTCTATTTTGGCGAAATGTAATGATCTAATAATCTCACATCAACCGTACCTCCCTCCCTCCCTCACTTTCTGGGAAACACTGAAGCAGGTAAACTAAGTCTTAAACTCTGATTTGACCTTTTTGGCTTCAGATTTTGAAGTTATTATGATTAGAGGAGGCGGTGCTGTTTAGCGTGTACATCCACCTGCCTCCGCTCTGAAGCCTCATAAGACCAACCACGTGGTTGATGTGCCATGTTCTCTCTAAACCCGGCTCAGTCTCAGCAGATGACTGTCTAACATCAGTCTGGTTCTGCTCGAGGTTTCTGCCTGTTAAAGAAAGTTTTTCCTCTCCACTTGAACTTGCTAAGCGCTTCACTCAGGTGAAACACTTTGCAGCAGTTGAGCCATAAGTGTGAAACAGAATAAAGAATAATGTGACAGGATAATTGGACAGGCGCCACAGAGTTATACGATTTCAGAAGTATGTTTTTAAAGCACATTGAAGAAAGACAAAGAGTCGAGTCTGACTGTAAAAAATAGATTTTTCATCCCTGGAAAGGTTTGGTCGGAGAAAGGAGAGCTTTGTTCGAAAAGGCATAAATTACCCCCCGTCACTTCTTCCCTCGTGGTTTCCTCCAGAGACTCGAACAATACCTATTTGGCATCGGCAACAGCTCCTGAAATACGGCCTAATGTTTCCTCAGCGGGGTTTTACAGCCACCAGAAAGAAGACGCACCAATTATATTATGTCTTGACCTTTTCGCTGTGATTATCTGTGTTATCTAACGTGATGTTTCAGTCGGCGTGAGCCAGTGTGTCATCTCAGAATAATCGCTATCACACCGGTGATTCCTGGAGACGCATGTGGATGTGATATCAGCTGACTGCTGCCGAGCGTGGAAACCGGCTGAAAGATGAATGAATATCTCATCATGGGATATTCGTGTTGCAGCTCCGATCAGGGATTATCCGGTGTGTGGATCTCAGAGAAGATATTGATCGAGTGTTAGGTTTGGGGCCGAGAGAATCAGGGGGATAAAATGAGACAAATCAACATAAGAGACGCAGAGTCACACTCAGCAGAATTTCAAAAAACGGTTCGGACTGAAGCATCTGCGGGAGATTAAATGAAACTGGTCGAAACAGAGAAAAGACTAAAAAATCAAAGTGTGTTAGGACGACGTTTTAGCCGTCTCAGCTTTAAGGTTCAACATTCTCCTTTTCAAAGTGCTGGGGCAGCTGGGAAAAATGCAGAGGTGGGGGACATGGGACGATTGATTCTAGTGCGAGGGAGGGGGAAAAGCTTTTTCATCATCATTAAAGTGATTTATAGCATGTTGTTGTATGGATTCTGTTTAACATATAACATAGGAGGAACATGAAAGCGAGGTGTAAATTCAGTCCGGCTTTGGAGACACTAATTATGTAAAAGCCCACAGGGGAAAAAAAACACTGAACACAGAGAAAGTCAGAGGAAATAAAACCAGAAGTCTTCAGAGTAATTCAAATAATTAGAAAAGAGGAGCTGCAGGGAAATTCAATGAGTCAAATTATGAGATGTAAGATCAGTTTAAAAATCATGATTCTGACGGACTTATTCTTAATTCCTGTAGATCTAATTATGTACATTTGTTTTTAGAGCCATGACAGCCGCTTCATTACAAGCTTTCAGTTTTTAAAAAGTTTGAGTATATTTTGGAGTCACAGAAGGCCAGTTTTTACTTTTGTTGTTACATTTTTAATCTTTGCATAAAAAAAAACCTGCCACAATCTTTAAAATGTTTTGTTATCCACTTTTTAGACCTAGAGTTTTTATTTACTAACTTTATTAGAATGTATGTAAACATGTTTCATCTAAAAAATGTTATGCTTTTTTTAAAATGGTTTTACCAAACACACATCCTGTCAATACAATCTGATACGATAGGATACGACACGACGAGATATGACATGATGCTATGCAACACCATACAATACAATACAACACGACAAGATACGATAGGACACGACACATTACGATACGATATGACACAATACGACACGATACAATACAACATGATATGATACCATACAATACAATAGTATACAATATGATACGACACGACAAGATACAATACGGCACGACACATTACGATACGATACAATATGACACGATATGATACGACATATTACGATACCGTACAATACGATAGGACACAATACGGTATGATACAAAATTACATGATATGATACAATAGGACAAGATACGATAGGACACAATACGATATGAAATGATACAACATGATACAACACCAAAAGACACAATACGATAGGACACAAGATATTATATGTCACGATATGATTTGATACGTCACGATACGATATAACGATACGATTGGACACACTTTCCTTCATCAGGGAGTTCATCTTAATTTACGTTAAGCTGCCTCATGTTGATTCAAATAAATCAGTCAATCTGAGTGTGAACAGAGCGGCTCAAAGAAACAACAACCAGCAGCTCTTTTCTCAAAACGGTCCCTCTTCACTCCCTCTTTGCTTCAGATGGTTCTTTATCTAAACTCACACCCACAACTGTAAACTTAAGGACAAACCCACCTCACTCACATCAACAGGATCAATTTGTTTCCACGGTTACACTTCCCTAAAATAATATACAGTTTACGTAGATAAGTCGATCTATCTTCTGAATCTTCCTGGTTTTCCTCTCTCAGGTGCGCTCAGCTGTGAGGAAGCGTTTCCACCGCTGGCAGGAGCAGCACTCGATCCGAGCCCGGATGACCCAGGCCATGTCCATCCCCACGTCACCTTCACGGGTCAGCTTTCACAGCATCAAGCAGTCTACGTCGCTATGAGGGACGAGACCCGCTCCGCCCCTGGAACGTGCTCAGAGAGGAGAGAGCTGGAGCTGTGGACGTCATCATTTTCTGCCACATCACTGAAACACAGAGAGAGAGAGAGAGAGAGGCTGCATCAGACTCAGACCTCCGGAGGATTGTTTCACAGACCTTCAGATGAAAGTCGACGGGGGTGAGGACACTGCAGACTTGGTGAAATGTGAGGTTAGTGGATCAGGAGACCATGCTGGATCTGTTTGACCTTGGATGTGAATGTACAGCACTCCATGTTCGTTATTGTTCGCCTACTGTAGAGAATCTCTGTCGTGCTCCTCCTGTCACACTTTATTCTTATTTCGTTTCGTTGTTTCACGTCAGTGTGAACTGGGAGCTCGTGCCGCTGGACTGCACTGAACTGGATTCCCTCCCAGCGACTCTGGAGCGTAAAAAGCTTCAGGAAAAGCGACTAAGTTATTACAAACTCAGATTTTATTTTTGTTTTTCTGTCACAAACAGTTGTCTGGTCAAAAGTGTTTGTCAGTTTGTGTTGTGCTTTCCTCTGTTCGGCCTCTTCATCGACTTTTTAGACGCTTAAACACATTCCTTCATTTCAGCCTGAAGAGTTTTGCTCCAAAGTCACACGCACACGTACGGCGAATACTGCTGTCAAAGCAGCTCGGCGCAAAAGGAGTCAGAGAGACAACGAAGGTCCAGTTATTATTACAACTGAGCTTATTTGTGAGCATGAGTACGAAAATCAATACCTTATTTATCATTTAAATTAAACTAGAATCAGGGCCCAGCATTGGTTCAAAGTGATGTGATGATCTGAACTTTAAATTTTTTTTAACAGTGGATCTCACCAGTTTAATTCAATCCTGGTTTTGATCTGAATAAAACTTCCAGTTCCTGTTCAAAACTTCTTAGAAGATCCTTTAATCTGGGATGGTTTTATGTGTTCGGGTTACCTCAGAAGTCAGAAGTCCGAGGTGAAAATGACTATGAAAGTTATTTTAGTGCTTGTCTTGTCCGAACATAAGGCAAGCGCTAAAATGACTTTCGTAGATGTAGCCATCTTGTTTCAGGCCTCAGATTTAGCTTTTTTCCGACTCTGTAACTGAAACGCCTGGAACTTGAGTGTGACGTCATTTTCAGCTCCGACTTCTGACTTCCGAGGTAACTGGAACGCAGCATTAATCCACAAAATCAGGATTATCTAGGTCCCAGCAGAATTCTGGATTCAGGACAGATTTCTGGAAAATAGACCAATAAAACCAAAATCAGCCAGAGTTTCTCATATGTCAAAATCATGTTGGTACTTTTAACTTTTTAAGATATTTTGCTCTTGAATTTCTGAACTACTGCCTGGGATGTAGAAAAGTAAAGGAAATTGTCCATATTGAATAATTAACCATGTTGTTTTAATCATTTATACTTTACAAAACATGGACACAGATATTAACACCAGTTTGGCCCAGAGGTGAAGCTGTGCGCCTGTAGTCCCAAGTAGGTGACCTGGGTTTACGAATCAAACCTGTGCCCCTCTCCTCAATATCACTCCCCACTGCTGTGTCACTTTTATCCAAAGTTCATGTATTTGTTGTATTATTGTATTTAATGAGCTGTTCAGAGCCCAAATATTCGGTTTATTAACACATCATGCCATTTAGAGCAGTTTGGGGTCAGATCCAGCAGAGGGCACTCTTGTCGTAACCTGACCATTAAATACCACTCTTGACCTCAGCGAATTAAAACAGTGATGGTTTCCTACCAAGATGGCGGATGATACCGAGCAGACAGGGCTCTATGTCCGCTCAGCAGCTCTGTGGTCACCGCTGCAGCGTCAAAGACAGCTGCACTCAGTCATGATGAAGTCATTGACTCTACATCGAATGTCTGATTAGGCTCACATCTTGATGATGTTGTTCCACAGTGAATAAGTCAGTAAAAGGAAGTGACATAATAATTTAATGTGTTCGTGCTGCGGCCGGGGTTGAGGGCGGTCGATATTCATTCAAATTGATTTTATGAAAAGTGGCAGCGTTGATCCGCCGTCCTATCCCCTCTCAGAAGATCTGGAGCGGAGGCCAGCTTTGAGCCTCCCAGCCGTCCACCAACAAAGTTATCCAAGATGAACTTTTTTTAACTCAATTTAAGACTGACAGGAAGCAAACCCCCAATTTCCACCACATCCGGTATGGCAACAAAAAGGCCGTATCCTCCGATCATAGCTGATCGTAACCATTCAAGTTAATGTGTCAATTTCCACCGGCTTCTTTCCGTTCCGCTGCTGATCGCCGGACTCTACAGCCGATCCGAACACTGGAGCATGACGGATAAATTCAGCACAGATTAACCCATGCTGGGAAGAAAGTCGGGCACAGACACAAAATAAAACATCCGGCTTCTTTTCAAAATAAAACACTCCGTATTTCACACCATGAAAACGGGGGGGACGAACAAGTCAAAGGATAATAGACAGCATTTCATCCCTATGACACCATGGATGAGGAGAAGCTGATTTTAGAAGTCTAGAAGTAGATTTCCTCCTCTGGAGGGACACAATCTACTGCTTATATTGTTAGCCTACGTGGCTAAAGACAACTTTGTTATCGCGTGATTGCACGTGTGGGTTCTTGTGAGTTCTCACGATTCCTGCTGTCCGTTATCTGCCACGAAATTCGCCTCACAAAAAAGGTATAAATTCGTTTTTCATCTCCAGACTATTAAGAAAATAGTAGGTGGAAAAATTTCCTGACCCCTTGAACTTTTGAAGACTTGAGGCTGAGGAAACAATTAGCTGATAAGTCTCCTCTTAAAAAGGTACTTAACTCGACATAATAGCACAAAACATCACTTTAATGAAGGTCATTCTCTAAGTTAATGATATTTAGCCAAACTTTAAAAGTTATCAGGAAATTGGAGCAAAACTCTTCAGCCGAACAAAGAGACTTCTTTCTGTCGCCTCTCTACCAGCAAACCAGATAACAGGAACCATCAGCTGAGGAGAATACCCGTCAGGAAGGTGTTCTCTCTCTCGCACCTGCAGTCTTTGTTCGCTCGACTTGAAGCATGAAATCTGAGTCGGCTTCGCAGTAACGCCATTTACTGATTATTTGTAAATATATAAACAAATGAGCGGAGCGAGGTGCTGAGGATCCAGCTGTCGTCACAGGTATACAAAAAGACAAAAAAAACACAAAAACCACACACTGTGAATCATATGGACAAACTCTCCATGTGATCAGAAGTTCACAGTCCACATTCCTACTGAACCAGTTTGCCTCGCACCCGTGCTTTTTATCGAAACGCTGTTCTTGTCTGAAAAATGTAAATGAGCCTCATCTTCCTGTCACCTTAAGGTTGTGATTTTCTTTTTTTATCCATTTCATGTGATGTGTGAGCTCTGGCTGCGGAGGATGGGAAACAGCCCGTGTTCTGTGTTTGATTCAAACGCTCATCATCTGTTGATATTCAGGAGTCTGTGGAGCTGCTTCTTCAGAGGTCAGAGGTTTGTGAGACAGAGCGCCAAACCGTGTGCTTAAATTAAAGACAAGTGTAGCTATTGTGTATTTTCTTGGATGTAAATGTGTTTTCAGACCAAAACGTGAAGCCGATTTTTCCTTCTTGGAGTATTTTTCTCCGCATGAATATTCACCAAACTGATAGAGAGACACTTTGTGGAAGTTCTGAATGCAATGTCAGCCACCACACAGGATGAAAATTACATCCTTTTTACCCCAAAACAGACCTTTTTTATGCACTGGTACAGCTTGTAAAATCACTTAAAAGTCGCACCAGTTTGTAAATCGCAATCTGTTTTTTTTAAGGGGTTCCTAAAGGTTCAAACCGTCCTCCTGCATCAAGGCTCTATTTTCGGTCAGCAACGTGCACTTTTCATGAAGATGTGAAGCATCTCCCAGGACCATCTGTTACCATCACTTTGCTAGCTTATATAATTGTTGACGTAGTTCAGCATGGCTTATGGTCACATTGATAATTGTGAGGTATCGACAAACTCGACTAATTGGCAGAGATTCGCACCATCTCCCCCTGCTGGTCACCTGTAAACTAATAATAATGCATCAGATCTCATGTAGTGCTTTTATCAGAGACCCTCAAAGCGCTTTACATTGGATACATCATTCATTCGCTCACACAGTCACACCCTGGTGGTGGTAAACTACCGTAGAGGTCACAGCTGACCGGAATGTGGCGACTATTTTGTGCATACAGCCTCTCCGCCTACCACCACACAACACTCACAATCATACACCACACTGGGAGCAAGGTGGGTTAAATGTCTTGCCCAAGGACACAACGGACAGACTTGGGATAGGGGGGAATCGAACCGCCAACCTACCGGTTCTTGGACGATCGCGCTACCTCCTGAGCTACTGCCGCCCGAGTATTTCTACAATCACAGCAATCCACTTGGTTTATCTACTTAAGAGTTAACCAAAGTTTTCTATACATGACCCGATTATAACTTAAAAGTGACACTAGGGGGCACCACTATCTAGGCGTGTGAGTCTATGGCGATTCTGCCTCACATGGGCGGCCTGGGTTTGATTCCAGCTTGTGGTCCCTTTACGACATATCACTCCTTGTTCTCTCTTCCCATCTCCTGTTCCGTTCACTGTCCCGTCCTCTCAGATAAAAGCACAAAAAAACTAAAAATCACTTTTTTTTAAGTGTCAGCAACAAACTGGCCTGCCTCTCTGTGTACCCAGCATAGATTAATACACTGAAGCACCCCCCCTGCTTCTTCAAGCGCCATCTTCTGGGTAAAACAGTGCACTACAACAAAAAACATTGTGTTAGGCTCTCTATGAAACAAATATATAATTTTTCCAGATATCTGTTTTTTAATAAAACAATTTTATCTGTAACAAATTTGACCCCTGGACTTCACACCACAAATAAGGTCAATATAACCTTTGCCAAATCTTAAAGGACAACAAACCTGCGTCATCTTTAATGACCAGCATTGATCTTTTCTTCTCATGCGTGTACGTTCACTCCCAGCTCCAAAGAAACAAGAAGATGACCACCAAAACATCAATTCTGAGTCTTCATTAACAGACACATAACAGATGAAAATTTACGTCCATTTATCTTGTATGGGACGCCTTGTCATGCAGAGCATTCTGGGACTTTTGACATTCCAGATGTGCGTCTCTTTTTAATCAACTTTTCACCCTTGTTATGCCAAAATCGGTGTCAAAGCCGAAAAAGCATCAAGCAAACGTAAATTTACACAAAAGGAGTGAAATCCTGTCGTTCTTATAACCTCATGTTGTTTTTTCAAACTTCTTTCTGCCCAGTGGAAAAATCTGCTTCACTTTTTGGAACTTCTGAGACGGTTTCCCAGTTTAAAAGGTGTTTTTATTTTTTATTATATTTTGTTCTTTAATGCATCTACCTGAAAAGTTTCATGTAGCAGGTGTGCGTAGCAGAGCATGTTGGTGACATGTTTTCATTCCAGCACGGTGAAAAGCTTTGGGTCAAACAAAGAGATCATCAACTCTGACGGCTTCGTTTTTCATGTGGTACATATGATGTTCAAACCAAATCACCATGTAATTCACAATTTTATTTATTGTTATTTATTTTAATGTTGTTGTTTTCATACTTGAAAATGTGAAAAGAAAAATAAACGGTGTGTTGCATTTGACCGAATGAAAAATTCAACAAGCGGGTGGGATGTTTATTTCAAGAGACAACAGAGCGGGCCTCCATAAAAGAGAACACGTCTCCACGTTCAGCCGGCGTTATGGGATCCTCGCTTTAAAGGCTGCGTTCAGGATCACTCTGCCATTTGTCTCCGCACTCCCAGGAGAGTCAAGCAAACAAGAAATACATTTTGAGCACTGTGTGATCCTTTTAAGCTTTATGTGCGTGCGTCTCAGAGGGGGAGACAAGAGCCCAACATCAGCTTTTAAACAAGATCCTTCTGCCCGGCCGAGCTTTCGCAGGTTTGTTCCCATGACCGCAAACACAGAGAGGGTCCTGCTGCTTTCAATCGAGGACGTCACGACCATGCACCACGGAGAGGAATAGAGGACAAAACGCACGCAGTTGAATCGACTCTGACGGTGTTTATCATCATTTTAAGGAATCTTTGCGGCGCTGAAGTGTGGGGTGAAGTTGGGGTGAATTATCAACGCCATCTGACCATCTTCATACAGTGATTTTTAGCTGTAGGAGAGTTAGTCATTCTCACAGTTTATGATTAGACTTAGTCACCGTCCTGTTATTCTTGTTAATTTAACACGCTCTTCTCATGTGGAGCAGCTCAGCGATCCCGTCCAGAATAACTGTCAGTTTAGATTAGAGAGATGAGAGTGTTGAAAATCTGAATCTGAACCAGCTGTATCAGACTGACATGTGCGCACATGCAGGGAATTAAACTCCTCTGAATGTAAAGTCACATAAACACGAGGTCAACAAAGAAACAAACAACGGAGAAGCAAACACGACACAAACGGATGATTTCAACATCAGTACAGACTGGAGAATCGCAAATAGCCAATCGGGGTCTAGGATTTGAGTGGTATCTTAGGTGGCCAATCAGATTTCAGCCAGCCCCTGACTCCACCCCTGTTTGGAGACGGGCCCGAAAGTCCCTCACAGGAGCTTTAATGAGATAAGAATGTCAAACTTTAACTGCAGTTTGTTAACGTCCGAAACAAACCGGAGTTCGCAAGTAATCAGCTGAGTGAGTTATTCATGATTCAGGTTATTATTCTCGATAAACATGGAACAAAACAGAATTTACACGATCTCTCGTTTACAACTGACTTTGAACATTTATGAATAAAAAAGACAAAAAAATGAGTAAGAAAACTAAACTGTCTATAAGTGACAAAAATGATCTTATGGCTTTTAATATAAAACCCTAAAAGAACTTTAACCCTTTAATGTCTTTTGTATCATATTTGATAAGTTTATATACTATTTGTAAAATTTCAAGGACATTGTGTTTTTTGGGTTTTCAGTAGTAAATTGAATAAACATTTCAGCTCCAGAAAAAATGGACTTTTCTGACCATGACTTGTGGTGTCCGGCATTAAAGGACTAATTTGTGTTGACTTTGGCGCCCCCTGTGGACAAAGAGATACTTCTAATCTTCTTGTTCAGTCCGCACATCAGCTGTGTTTTTAGTGAAAAAGTCTCCTCATGCTGTCTTTGAACATCATGGAGGATCTTTGCCGTTAAAAAAGAATAAAATGTTTGTTTTCTCTTTGGCTCCTCCCACCCTTAAAGCGCCACTTCAGCCTTTAGTAATATCAGTCCATAAACAGCGAGTCTTTATCCCGATGATCGTGTTTTGTTGCTCATAAATAGGCAGCCGTGTCAACAGCAGCCCGTTTCATAACCAGATAAAAACTCCTCACATGTCTGTTTTCATTCATCTAAAGACGCCTAATCACTTTCAGAGCTGAGTCCAGCTCCACATCAACATGATCCAATTTTCAGGAGCAAGATCAATAAATCTTCTCATCCATCATCACCTTAGTTTAACCTCGAAAACCCCTCTGACCTAATGTCGACCCGGACTGTTAATAAACTCATCTGTCAGTCACACCGGAATCCATCTACAGCCCGACTCTCCAAGGACACAGTCTGTATTTTAGGCCTGAAAATGACTCACAGGAGATGTATACATTTATGTTTGATGGAACAGCGCGGCGGCCATGAGAAGTCATGAATATTTAACTCATTTTGTGGCTCTGAGGTTGAGCTGAGAGAGGTCGATACAGAAAATAAAGATAACATCAGACACTCAGAGGCTGAAGTTTAACCTGGAAGTTCACCGAACATTTACACTTGGTTTTGTTTTCTGTTTTAGTTCTGTAATTTATGATCTACCAGGAGTAATAAACTTCAAAATAAAAGCAGAGTTTCATAATGTGAAAATCTGATATTGTGACGGATCTAATTTATCTATTTTTTATCATAAGAAGAATTCAGGAAACCATGAAGAGTAAGTCAAAAATCAATTTTAAGAGGGATAACAAGTTATGAGAGAATTTTAAAATTATGTAAAATAATCTTTTTTTATCTGATAACTTTATTTTTTTGTTCCATAACTTCGACTTTCCACTCAAGACAATTATATTAGAAAAGATTTGAGTCGATAAAATTCGATTAGATGGAATTTTATTGATTCTTTTGGGAAGCTTTCCTCAGGGAAATTAAAAATGTGTCATGAACATTTATCATGTCGTCATACCTTTGACTTTCTATCTCACAGTTTTGGCTTCATTTTCTCACAGTTTTAACTTTTTTCTCATGTTTAGCTTTGATCTCAGAATTTGATTTGGACCATTTATCAGAATTTTACTTTAATCTTATAATTTTATTATTTGACTTTTTCTGGTAATTTTCTCAGAGTTTTGACTCATTTCTTAATTTTGACTTTTTCTCATTTGTTTTTTTTTCCTCATATATTTGGTTTTTACCTCATAATATTTGTCCTGATTTTGACTTTTTAATCTTTTGTTTGACTTTTTATCTCATAATGTTGAATCTAATTTCACAATTTGACTCTTTATTTTACATTTCTGTTTATGTTTCACTTTTATCTCATTATTATGACCCACAAAAAGGGAAGTTATGAGGGAATGGTCCTTTAATTCTGTCCTTGTCATATTGTGCGACTGTGTATCAAAAATATTGCAGTCTTAGCTCTTTTATTGACTTCTTAATAAGAACCCCAAAGTTTCCTATTTACACCTGTGCCTCAGAAGGAAGTTTTCACAGTTGGACTTGAAAGTAGGAAGTTAGAAGATGAGTATGGATATTAAAAGCACACTGTGAAGTGTGTAGTTTAATGTTAACCTTATTGTTTTGTCTTGAAATGTTTCATAATTTCTCTAAAATATTCGCGACTGTGTTCACACATGAGCTCACCCTGACAAAAATTAAACTCAGGACAGGCAGGATAAAGTCTGGGTGAAATAACTTAAATCTGAAAATAACTTAATACCGTAGACTGAGTCAGAGACAGCATGTTACTCCATGGTGTGCCCACTTTTCTCAAATCAAATTAGATGACCTCCAACATCAACGCTCTGTTTGGCCTCCCTGACTCACCCCGAAACATCTCTTGATACATGAAGTAATTTACCGTAAAGCTGAAGAGGAATCAGGAGGATCAGACTGTATGTGTGAAGGTTAAGTGATAAAAAGGTCACTGTTATGAGCTGAGGGTCTGATTCATGAAGCTGCCGTGCCAACATGCTCTCAAATCAGCACGAAACCTCGGCTCCTAACGCAGTGACTCAAGTACCCGTTCATATGTGAACAATAGAAGTGTGTTAGCTGAGCTCATGTTCCTCCACTGAGGGAGTCTGGAGGAGATTAGATTTCTTTGCTGCTGCATGAAAACTCTTAATTCAGGACTTTTGACTCAAACTTGAAGACAGGAACCACAGCAGGACCCCACAGAGACTGTAATCTGTGTAAACACTTGAGTCCAAACACAAACTCATCTGTCAGAAAGTCTGTCACGGCAGAGTCCTGCTGAGTCCGAGTCCGGCTAAAGATCACAGGGATTCTCAAAATGCCAAATGCGTCATTCAGAGTTAGAGATGCAAATAAAAAAGGCAGAAAATAGATCCTTAATAAAGCAGCTTTATCATGTTAATGAGAGTTCTTGTCGTCTATTATCTCCCCTGTATTACAGTAATTGGATGATCCTGCATGAAACAGAGCTTTTGTCTGCGCGCACGCTGTGGAGAAGCCCATTTTAAATTTGATGATAGAAACATGTTTCAAAACACTCAAGACAGACACAAACAAAACACTCGAGAAGTTATGTAAAGCTTGAAAAGACCCGGAAAAACATACCGAGACTAATGAGGAGGAAGAGGTTTGAATCATCACTTTAAAGAGGACAAACGTGACGTCTGATATGTCATCTTTTCACCGTTTTAAATTAAAGCTGCTGTAAGGGACTTTTGATTTGGCGCCCCCTGTGGAAAATTAATATTCTTAAACAAAATCTTCATCCTGTTGTCTTTTTAGAGTGGATTATATCTCTCAATTTGAGTATTTGCAGCTGAAAAAGGTCACTTAAGGGTGTTGTTATTGAATTTTCCTTCAGGGATCAATAAAGTTCTTCTTCTTTATTATAATTTTTATTTTTTATTATAAGTAGTATTATTATCTTTTCCTGTTCATACCTCCTCATAGCTGTTTTAAGCATCCCAAAATTATTCAAACGTAAACATGAACCTTCTTGAAAACTGACTACTTTATTTTCTTGGGTCATAATGAGGCATCAGTATCAGTTTCAGTCTGTTTCTTAACCTGTTAAAAACTCCTTACTGTGCCTTTAAATGTATAGTTTAATGATTTATTCAGTAATATTTACCAAAGCATCTCTCTCCATTCGACTCAGTTTGAAGGGAGTTTGTGTACAGTTCACTTTACATTAACCCATCTATTGAGCATAAGTTACATTATCTACATTTAACCAATCTTTATGACACACTTAAGTTAAGTCTTGTTTGTAAATTGATAGTCAACCAATGCAAGTGGAACGTACAGTGTTGCATGAAAGGTTTAATGATACAAAACATGCCTTAAAATGAGAAATTAATCTCATAAATCGAGACTCTGCTGTAAAAATGATTTAAAAGTACCAATAAACAGCGTGAAAGTGCTTTAAAGTTTATTGGAACATCTTTATTAAACACTCTAATGTTCCAATTACTCACTCACATCCAAATAAACATTATAAAGTTAAAGCAAGATGACTTTTATCCTGCTCACGTTTCTACCTGAGAGAATGAGCGCTCAACGCCATCTAGTGATCATTTACTGCAACTGTATTTAAACATCCTCTCAGTGTTTGGGGCCGAGAATTTGATGTTTTTCCTTAAAAATACAAAACATAATCCTGATAAATGATTTCTAACACCATCCTGGTCAAAAGTTTGTAGATTTTCAGAAAGATTTTTTGTATTTTTTGCAAAGTTAAATGTTTATTGATGGGATCCCAATAAATTAACTCAACTAAACTACTGGACTAAAGTAGCAGAGGGTGTAGAGACAGAAAAGAGGGTCATGAGACGAGACGAATCAACGTGGAGTTATAAAAAAATCACACTGATCTATTATGAGTTGAGTAAACAAAACTCAGCTGGATAAAGATGTTTTCTCGTCAATAATGCAGCGAGGTGCTGTTTCTAAACTTGTCACAAGTTAAACACAACATGTTAAAATTTAAAGGATGGAGACGTCACAGTCTGAGTCACACTGAGCTTTGTGATCTTAGGATGTGTCTTTTTACTTTATTCAGCAGCATCTCTAATATTTATGACTGTGTTTAATGAAAATATATTTTACTGTACTCTGTGTCATGGATTTATTGTTTTATTATCGAAAGCGTCTTTGTAATGCTGGTTTTGGTTGTTTTTGAGTTAATTCTACTCTATAAATCGATTTTAAAACCTCTTTTCGCTCATAAAAACATTTGAATAACGTGATTTTTTTTTTGCAAAGTTCCTCATAAACAACAAGCGCGACAAACTGATCATAGACAGAGATTTCATCATAAAGTTGTAAGTAGTTCATGTGAGGATTTGAAGGTTTAGGTGGATTTTGGCGCCCTCTGGGGGCAAAGATATACACCTGGGCTCTTTGTTCATTTTTGTCCTGAGATGTACATGTCAAGGTTTTATCTTCTAAAAACAAAAATCTTCTAACTGTCTCATATGTCACTCAGTGTGAAAATATTAAGTGTAAAAAATGCAGAAACTTTTCGTCTCACATGAACCTTCTTCCTCTCAGCAGCTTCAGGCATAAAAAACTCTAATTTAGAGATTGTGAATCTTTTTACTGATGGCGTCATTTGCTTGTATTTGTCATAAAGAGGCATCAGTATTAATTTTAGTTTGTGTTATAGCTGAAGAAGTCTGCATAATGCTTAAAAAAACACCAAACTTTATGACATGACTGGGAATAAAAGGTCATTCCAGAAATTATGGTCACTCAGGAGTGAAGATGGGAGAGCGTTCACCACTCTGTGAGGGACTGTGATGTGAGAGTGAGTTCAGTGATTCCAGAATAATTTACCTTCTGCACAAAAATTTGCAAAGACTTTGTGGATTTCATCTTCCACAGTGAGTTCTATCAGCAAAGACTCAGAAGATCTGGAGTCATCTCTGCACTGAAGGGACAAGGATAAATACCAAAACTGGATAGCTATGGTATTCAGACCTTTGGGAGGCTGTGCGATAAGATCAGACATGACTTTATTGTGAAGATTACTGCACAGATTAAAAAAAATCTTCCTATAAATATTTCTGTGATCACAGTTAATCTCTGTATCAACAAATTCAGGTTAAAACTTTAGTTTGCAAAGAGGAAATCATATAACGATGACATGATCCGAGGCAAAGTGGACATGAGGTCGATCTTGTCAAAATGTGGTGTTCTTTTTTGGCAATCATGGGTGTTCGACACAAGAGGGACCTTCCTGCTTTTTACATCTGTCCCATGTGGAGAGAATGGGGGAAAGAGGAGATGCTCTAGGAACTACATGGTGCCAGATCCTCCAGGCCTGTGTGACGGTTTGAAACACAAGAGGATCTTGTATCAGCAAACAGCTCAAAACCCAGTATCCACAGGCACAGTAGTAGAAGAGTCCAGGTACTAAACAGGCCGGCCTGCAGTGTGGACTTAGTGCAACTAAAGCTGAGAATCTGTATCAGGACAAAATTTCACTTTTAAAACTCCAGGAACTTCTCTCCTTCATTTTCAAACGTTGACAGAGTTTTGTTAAAAGAGTAAGTGATGCAGCTCAGTGATAAACATGCTCCTCTCACAAGTATTTTTATGAGTGTTGCTGGAATCAAATTATATTTTAAACAGTAACAAATATAAAACTTTTAACATTTGATATGTTGCCTCTGACAGTGGTGTACTGGTTAGCACTGTCGCCTCACAGCAAGAAACTCCTGGGTTAAAATCAAGCTCAGGGCGTTTCTGTGTGGAGTTTGCGTGTTCTCTCTGTGTCTGCATGGGTTTACTCCGGGTACTCCGGTTTCCTCCCACATCCCAAAAACATGCCTTAGTGGGGTTAGGTTAATTGGACACTTTCAAATTGCCGGTAGGTGTGAATGCGAGCGTGGATAGTTGTTCGTCTCTATATGTCAACCCTGTGATGAACTGGCGACTTGTCCAGGGTATCCCCTACCTTCGCCCGAAGATGCTGGGAAAGGCTCTAGCTCCTCCACAACCCCAGGAACTGGAATAAGTGGTAGAAAATGAATTAATCTAGGGGTCCTATATAGGTAAGCAAATCGCACATTGCAATTTGTTTCTGCATTTTATCTTATGCACTCTGCTCATGCAAAAAATACTGGTATGGCTGACATATGATTTTCTTTTTATCTTCTAAATCATCTTTGATACTTTTTACCTCCTGAACTGTTTTTTTACGCAGATGTATTTTATTTTTTTATGATGTATGGCAGTGTTTAAAATATCTGTGCCTGCTTCAACCCGATTTGCCCATTTTTGGGACATAATAAAGTTGAAGTGACGTGAAGTGGATGTTGCCTCTGCACTCTTCTTACTCAAATAAAGGGTTTTAATGATGTAAACCATCAAAATATACATCTATATTTTACATGTTTCAACACTTTCAGGATTAGAGTTGTAATTAAGGTAGGAAGTCATTTACATCTGTTAGACGACAACATAAAATCACATGTAAATCTAGGTTTTAAAAGTTGTTTAGTCAAGCTGATACACATGCGTGTCCATGTAAAAGTCTCTGAATATGAATGTACGCTGTCTTTTTTTAGGCCCCTGTTGCTAAGCTGTTTGAACATGAGCTGCTGGTCATTTCTATTTAATATTAAACTGTGTCTCGATGTGAGGAAACCCCCTCATGAGAAGTTTTCCCAGTGGTGATGAATATTACAAACTCTGCACATACAGTAAACCTCAACACACAGCTGCCTCCTCCATTTGTATGTACACCCATCCTCTTCCTCTTGCATTTATTAGTCTCCCGTCTCTCCAGCTTCTTATAAAACTCTTGCAAAGTTAACTCTTTCCCTCGTTTCTTATTTTTGATGTAAGGAGCTGGTAAATATCTGACTCCACAAGCAGAATCTGCAGAGCGTTTACTCGTAAATTGGATCTAATAAAATGCAGCGAAGTAACTACTTGGAAGTAATCTGCTGTACGTGTCTTTAAAGTGTATTTTGCAGAGATAACCGTGCTTAATTTCTCAGGTGAGTCACAAACTAAGAGTAAATATCTGATATTGTACTTATATCGACTGAAAATCCATCAGTGTGAGGAGCTAACACGCGTGCGGTGTAAGCAGCACTCACATGAAAGCAGATTAAAAGCGGCCATTTTCTAATAAAGAGCAGATTTTAATAGTCAATTCATAATTTGGAAATAAAAACATTATTTAACGATAATGAAGTTTCGTGCTATGAACTTTCGTACACATTTCCGCTGTACGGGTATTTGCAAAGACCGACAGCTCTGACAGCCAATGGAAAGCCCCAAAACCAAACATCGACCAATCGGAGCGCGGGGGGCGGTTGTTATCAAGTCGTAAACGGTTAGTAACAGGACAAGCAGGTAAGTAAGATTTTGTCTTGTTATTTTCTCGAAATAAACCAACGCTCCGCTTGTCAGGAGGAAACAAACATCGCGTTAAAGACTTGGTTGATCGATTTGAGTATGTTGATTTTTTTAAACACACTTTTCTGTCAAATATGCAGAAAACGGCAGTCATTGAGAAGTCAGTATGGGATCGGGAAGCAAACAAGCTAGCAGGCATTAGCTTAGCCTGCTTGCTAAATCGGCGGTGATTGGTCAGGCTCCCAGCGTCAACTTACTACGTCACTGCAGCTCAGGCTCAGACATTGTGCTGCATTAAAGACTCCTCGGACAAAGTTGTTGCGCTTGTTTGAAAGTCGCTGTCTGGATTTAGAGTGGGCACGTTAAAACTAAAAAAAGATGCTAATTAACTGATTAATTTAAAATTTATGTAGCATTTATTAATGTTAGTCGAAATGGACGGAACCTTAAGTGTAAACGCCATCATCGTGTTACTTATTAGAAATTAGCGCAAGTCTCATATGCAAAATGTCTGTCAAATAAGCTATTAAACGTTAAGGATTTCCCAACAATATTTCTGATAAACTAGTACATAGTGTTTTTTCTCCTCACTAATTTTCCAATTTTTTTGCTTCCTCTTAGAGATCCTCCTCATAGTCTCGGATAAACGGAAGTTCACTTTGCCGTTTATTCCAAGTCCCCTTAAAGTAGCATTAGCTAGGCTAACGTTAGCATCTCAACTATCGTTTTAGAGAAAGATGTGTTAATTTTATTACTTGAATGGTGGGAAAATTGCTGTTTGACAGGATAGCTCTAATGGTAACGTTGGTATAAGCTGTGTTCGAAATATTCAAGCCTGGTGCTGAAATTATTCAACATATTAAACTTTTATTTTAAATTTTCAGTCATAACGTTCCTGCAGAGGAGGTTAGCCAGTTAGCGTTAGCTTACCAGCTGGACGTTCAAAACCATTGAGACTAAAAGTGCTTTTAAAACTGTAAATAACTTCATCTTATTAGTATAATTCTCTTACCATGTATGTATTTATATTAATTTATTATTTTCCATGTTTCATTTTCAGGTGTCATGTTATTCCTTCCCCTGGTATCTGGAATTATGGACACTTGGATTACTGAAAGGAACCCCTCACCAATGGAGTCAAAGGTATGTATAGATATCATAATTATAATTGTTGATTTATTGTTTTTAAGGTGTTTCTCATAGAGTTGAGGATGACTTCTATAAGTCCTCACCTGTTGTACTCTCAACAAAAAATTGAGGTTGTGGATACTGAGAGTTGAAACAGGTTTAATTTTATCATCTTCAGTAACCTTGATTAGAACGGTCAGAAATAACCTCCTGGTTGCCCACAGGATGTTAATCTAATCAGAACATGCATACACATCAGTGGTGAGAAGAGCCAGGCCATTCATGATACCAAACTCACTACACAATACTTTCCCCTTAAAATAATGATACAGCAAATACTGTGATAATAAGTATGTTGCAAGACATTAACATAGTAATCCATCACAATATTTTATCAACTGCAGAATACAAAATTTCTTCAAAGGAAGAGTGCAATATTAAAGAGTTATGTCACTTAAGTTGGTTAGATAGATAGATAGATAGATAGATAGAAAGATAGATAGATACTTTGTCAATTCCAGTGGGGAAATTCAGACAACAACAACAAGTGCACCTCGGCAGACCAGCCAAGTAGAGTAAAATCAGTTAAAACCAGTATAAAACCAGTATAAAAAGTGCAATAGATGCAGTAGTGCTAGCAGTGCAATATGTGCTGGGGTGCACAGATCCTAAAAAGTAATTTTGGGTTGTTTTCGTGTGTATATTATATTCGCATAACTACAGAACTGTGTTAAGTGACATATTAAAAATTATTACAGTTTTTATCATGTAGCACTCCATGAACCCTGAAAGGGGAATCTGTCTAGAGCGCCATCTTTCTCTGTTTACTTCTCCTGTTTACTTCCCCGGCAACTTACAAAAGTGAGCAGGAGAAGCTCGACTCTGATTGGCTGTTGTGACGCACATTTCCGCTATGTTTGATCGAGTAAATATGCTCACAGCTGATCACCGTGATCGAACTGAAATTTATCATGATCATATAATCGCCCAGTCCTAGTAGAGCCCACGAGCTGTAATAGCCAAACAGTCCATTCCCAGACTACACAAACTCAAAGAGCATGGTTAAATTTGCAGTTCATTTTTTGCATCAATCACCACAGAGCGTGCCAGACTGCACTGGAGGCAACATCAGCGCTTTAGCCTAGCACAGAGGCCTCATGAGTTTGGCTTCCATAGCTGTGCAGATTCATGCAAGGCTGACATCACCAAAAGCAAGACCACTTCTTGGATACTATGGTGTACAACTAGCTGATACTGAAGCTTTGAATCAAATACAAGGTCCAACAGCATAGTGGACATATGTGGATTTTAGGAAACGCCAGGTGACTGGACATGGATACATGCAGTTCATTGGACAGCCAATTTCATATACATCTCCTTGTTCCATGTGGCCTAGAATTTTAAGACGTAGGTGGAGGATTTTTCTCCCTCATATTCAAACACTTTGATAATGACTTATTTCGAATGCGTATCTACTCTGGTCGTCTGATAATCTACAAAGGCCACGCATGGCCTGTAGGAAAGAAATGGTATGCATTTATTTGCATTGTTTGACAGTAAATGTGGCGTTTAACAAGTGTAAGTCATAATTACCAAACCAATCTCAAATCAAAGTAGTTAATCAACCCATTACCAGTGATCTTAAGGTGCATATTAATACTAAATCACTTTAGTCTTGACAATCATGTAGTTCACACAAAGTCTTGTATTTTCTCCAAACCCTTTTAATTATTTAAAGGCCAGACAGAGACACCATGAACAAGGGAAGCAGTGACTGTGCAGCAGTTTCAACTTTCTACCATTATCATTTACAGTTTGTTCTTGCTAAAATATTTTAAATAAAAGACAGCCGATTTCTAAAGACAGTTTTTAATATAGAGTACAAACACAAAGGGCTGCTACTCCCACTCACTCCTTTCAGAAAGCTCAATCTGTAGGTAATTAAAATTACCCAAGAGTACAGGGAGAGGATACAGGGGAGGGGGCTACGGTTTCAACTGGTTCCAGCTGCTTGTGTTCAGGTAACATTTAACACAACACTCTGCTTCCTCTATTTAACAAAATAGAGATGACGTATTTTACTTAGGAGCTGTAGGTTTGAGAAAACAAAATGAAGTTATTAACAAAAGCCAGAACTAAGAATATATTAATATAACCAGTTAGTCTGAAGGTGAATTTCCAACACATTTAGTCATAGTCCAGAATATACATAAATAATCCTGTGTAATTACACAACCTAAAGATGACTAATGCAATTATGACAGTAAAAATAAAAAATGAGGAGATGATGAAAAGAGGAAAAAAATATAAGAAAGAGAATTTAAAACATTTTTTTTGCAAGAAATAACAAACTGGAATAGTCAAAATAAAAATAATAATCTAGTTAGTCTTTAACTTCTTATATCATCTAATTTTAAAAGGCCAGTTTGCTCCAGCATCCACACCTTAGATTCTAGTTATCAAGGGTTTTTAGGTTGAATATTTTAAATTACCCCCTTACTGAGCTAGTAGTTGTTTATCTTTTTGCATGTCATCTGTGGTTGTATTTGGCAATAATGTGAACAAGAGCGCCTTCATGTGGCCACCAGCTGCACCTTCCGTCAGGATGCAGAGGCAGTCAGGGATCTGGTTCCTGTTATAAATGTCATGAGAGCCAAGCAGACACCACTATTAAGGGGCTGCCTTCCTCCCTTCCCTGCAGAGGCACATCCAGAGAGGTGATCATAGCTGGCTTAGCCCCCCCTCTCTATAATCTGATTGGCCACTCTTGGTGCCACCCCAAAATTCCTGAATCATGATTGGCTATGTGCCTTTGCAGAGGTGGAACTTGAAGTATGTCTGAATCATGTATGTTAAATGGATACTTAGCACATTTATTTCACAAGACAGGTGTATGGAAGACAAAGATGATTTAATAAGTTGAAAGATTTTGGAACCAAACAATGCCAGAAAATCGGTTAAAAAAAAAAAAACAAGTGTCCAGGATTCATTTGATAGAAATAACCAAAAAATCAGTTTTAACTTTGACAAAAATCTCCTTATTGCTTATATTGTACTTAAACCAGATAGTGATTTTAAAAAATCCACGCAATAATATTCTATTTGTTTTTTAAGCATCATTTTATGACATATAGTTTAAATTTATGACATATGTCAGAAGCAGGTAGTAGATGAAGTTTAAGTAAAATGTCAATTCACCCTTCTTTTGCCTTGCCTTAGGAACAGATTTTTAAGATCTCCATACATAGCACAAAATAATATTTTTATATTGTTGTTAGCACATTTATTTCATAAGACAGGTGTATGGAAGACAAAGATGACTTGATAACTTGCAAGATTTTGGTACCAAACAATGCCAAAAAATCTGAAAAAAAATAAACAAGTGTCCAGGATTATTTGATTGAAATAAAAAAAAATCTGTTTTGACTTTGATAAAAATCTCCTTATTGCTTAAATCTTACTTAAACCAGTTAGTAAATAAAAAATATATCAAGGCAATAATCATTTATTGATTTTTTTAGCACCATTTTATGACAAATGGTTAAAAAATATTACATATAAGTCAGTAGCAGGTAGTAGTTACATTTTAAGTAATATGTCAATCCACCTTTGTTTTGCCTTGCGAAAAAAAGTAGATTTTTATGAAAATCGGCATATATAGTACAATAATATTGTTATCATAAAATAATTGGAAGCATGAGTTGAGAGTTTATTATTTTGACAGCTCAAATGCCACCTCTGCATAAACAAGTGCTGGGGTTGGGCCACCTCAATCCAAAAAGTGTGGACACACCCCTGCAAAAGAGGGCCACAAATTCACGGCACCTGTTGTCTTAATTATAAATGAAAGAAGTCAAACCCTTTATTTATAATTTATCTATATGTATCTATATATTTATTATTTATCATTTATCTATTGAAATAATTTCAGAATGTGCGTTTTTATGGCCAAAAACTGGGTATTTGATGTAGGGAACAGTAAGGCACATTAGCACAATAATGTATGTAAGACGAAGAATGGTGTATTTCCAGTCAAACTACCAGCAGTGCATTTTAAAAGCCTATGTAACAAGTTCAAAAATTGACATTGCGCTATCTTTTTGAGAAGACAATGCCCTCCTGTGGTATCTTCTTTAGAGCTTTTATGTCGTTTCTTATCTGCCCTTTACTCTAGTGGTGAGTATGAGAAATGTCTCCCGCCTACCAGCGAGCGGCGCGCGCACACATACACACAGCCACAGAGCTCGCGCGCGCGCACACACACAGCCCTTCTATGTTTGTCAGACTCAAATCCGAGGGAGAGGAGCTAGCCGCCATTTTCTAAGCGTCTCTCCCTAAAACGAGAGAAAAACGCTCGCGACAAACTGCCATCTGGATTACCTTTCTCTCACTGAGAATCGGATTTTTTGGTGTAGGATTGCGGTGAAATCGCCTACAGTTGAAGTAAATCGGGGTAGAAAGGAGTGTTTCACGGCCTTGTCTTATATTCGAGCTAGCTGGCGAGGCGAGGAGGTGTAGATCGTTGATTCGCCCGTTGCCTGAATCCGGAACGAACCCGAGCGGCTCTGCGAACCGGGCCTTTTTCGCCATCCGGCTGTATTTTTGGACTAATTAATGGCAGAGTGACTGAATCAAGCCGTGTTTTTGTGTTAGCACCCTTTGGTTTTTTTCCATTAGAACTGCAGGGGATTGTTGCCGAAATTCCCTCGGATAGTGCAACCTCGTCACGTGGTAGGTTCCTCCTTTTTCTTTGTTAGCGAGCTAGCTAGACTGGCAGGGTATACTCCCAACTTATCAGCTTTTCACATATGTCTATAAACGCTACGTACATTTTAATCACACACCTGCTTGCCTGCCGAAGTAGGCCACAGGACGGTCCAGTATAGATTTACAACAACACACTGCCTGTATTTATTTTCACAGTCTAATTGCAATGCACACCATGTCTCCAGTCTGCATAAGCGGTGTTTAAAATAAGTTGTGATCCATAGAGTACAGGTGTCCTGTCATTGTTGATGGATATAAATGTGTGATATACCTCTGGCGTCCGTGCATGTTTTTTTATACCCTTTAATACACATCACTCGGGGCGTTATTGACTATAAACTATCACTCGGATGCGCGTAGGTTGCGTAGTAAGTGACTAAAATGTTTACTTCCCCGGTGAGGTTTGCGTGAACCCAGTTAATCCTCAATCACACACGTCAAAAAGCTGAGATGTGCCTTTTTTCTGTTTAACCGAAAGCAACATAATGCTCCATAACGTGATAAGGGCAGACAGCGTTGCACTGCAGTTGGCTATATCTTTGGAGCAGGTTGTGTTTCTTGCATCAGCAGCTTTTCAGAGCTAACGCTAGCCACTCGAGAAGCGCATTAATCTGCACGCAGTGTACCGAGTGACAGTTAAGCGAGATAATATTCATATTCATCATTTGGACCGCGGATAATCGCCGAATTTCACCGGGAATCACTCTGGTCCAACCCCCGCTTCTGTTAAATGGTTAACCCGGGCAGCTGTGGGAGAAATCCTGGTTATGAAACAACCTTATAACACTTGAACGCACCGCGGACAGACGCCCTAACCTTCCTTTAAAACGCTCTGATGTTTTTGTAAACACCAGGAAGACGTTTCGGTGATTACGTTATGCTTGGCTAACGTTGGATGTGGACATATTTGTCGCATCTCCAGCCAGACAGAAACGAGATAAGCTGGTGCTATAGTGCATAATGGATTAATGTTATGTGCATACTGGCTGTCTTTATTTGTTTCCTCCCCTATAGCGTGAACTAGTTCGGTGTGTTTGGAGCGGAATGGGCGGTTTAAGATAGATGAATTGCATTGCATAATCTGCTTCGGAAATACCAACATGGCGTAGTGCGCGCTGACTAGAAACTGCGGTGAAATACTGAGCCCCCATTCATCTGACCCTGCAGACGATACGCGGGGATGCAGCTCGCTTTTATCTCTTGTTTAATGTGAAGGGAGGCTTTTAAAAAAGGTTTAAATGAATATACAGGCAGTCTTTGTGAAAGGCTTGTGAATCAACGGGGCAATACTGCCTCTTAATATCGTGTTTATCCGTCTCGTTGCATATTTAATTAAGAAAAAAATCGTGTTTTCAGGATTGATATTCGAAGAAATTGTTAGAGTTCAGTAGGTTTGTCTGAAATTGACACAGGGACCTAGTCAGGATGACATCATGTGCTTTGGACTAATGCTGAGGCCTAAATCCACCTACTTACCCAGGCTGTGTGGAGCTCTGCTGCACACTGACTTACCAGGGCACATGTAGGGCAGTGGGGTTTGGATCATTTGCATTGGTTTTTCCTGCTTCTTCGCTCGTCAGAATATAATGGCAAAGCTCATTCTGTAAAGAGTAGCCTTGTGAGGAAATGACAATGAAGGCTTGTTCACACATGCATGGGTGTAGTGGGAATTATTTATTGGCCTGGGATGTAGCTCAGATGTCTGCTGTTATTCCATCTTTATAGTCAGCATCCCACGCACCAAGGTCAGTGCAGATCATTAAATTTTTCAGATGTATTTCAGCCTCTGGACTGGGCCTTTGTGTACAAACATACTCCTGTGATTATACCTAAATTAAATTACATTTTTTGCTCTTTTGTACGAGCTGCTGAACGCTTTTGACAGTAAATTTGATCTCCCCTTATGTTCTTTACCTGTAATGTTTCCCCCTGCCTCTTTGTAGGATCATTTTTAGCAGCGCTGGCAACCAGTAGGTCAACCAAATGTCAATGAGTCACCGGTGCATTTGATCAGGCCTTAGACTAGATAAGGTGGTAATCATTACTCCAGTTCCCATCAGTCAGTATGTCATACTTGACTTAAAGCAAAGGTTTATGCCACATTTCAGGGTTTACATTTGTACTAAATATTTCAGATGCTCTTTCTTTTTGGGTGGTGGTTTGTAATTTTCCACTCCCTCTACTGGCTCACAGAACCTGTAGTGCAACTATTCCAGTAGTATGTTTTATTGGACATTAGTTCAGCCTATGCATTTGTTGCTTATGCTTCCACTTGGTGTGTCATCATTTGATGTGGAGAAATATGTGAATAATATGTATTTGTTTATCAAATTGAATGATAGTTTTTGAGTCATTTTTTGTCTTCAAACACATATTAGCTTTAACCTTATGTCCTTCCATTGAAGTGAACCATCTCTATGACTATAAATATAGCAATACAAGTTCTAGACCTTTTGAGGTCTGCTGTTTCAGGATTAAATCAATATTTTTTTCATGTTTTTTTCAGTATTCTTGCTTTTGTTTATAGAATGGGGTTATAGGTATATCTCTGTACATGATTTTTATTCATATTGCAAAATAAAGACACTACATTACCTCATCAAATACCCTCCCACACAATTTAGAATTAGGATTAAATGTAAAATATTTGTTGTAAATTTAAAATTGTGCTTCTGAGGTTTATGAAAATACTCCATTTGACTTTGTCTTGTCCCCCCGCCCTCTTTGTTCTGTCCAGGCTGTCCTCAGGTGGGGCAGTAAGCGGGTGGAGTGGAGCAGGCCGCGGTGCCCGTCCCTCTGCACTGCATGGCTGCGATGGCGCCCGCTCTCACCGACGCCCCAGCCGAAGCTCACCACATCCGCTTCAAACTGGCTGCCCCATCCTCAAGTCTCTCACCGGCCAGTGCAGAGAACAACGGTAACGCCAGCAACATCCTTATCCACAGCAGCGGCCCCGCCAAGTGTAAGGCCGCCCCCGAAGAGTGCCCCCTTGACTTTTGTGGCGGCGACCAAGAACAGCAGCAGCAGCCCCAAACAGACTCTGTGGCTCAGGCTTCGGCCCTGGGCAAGCTCCAGCCGCTGGTGGCTTCTTACCTATGCTCTGATGTGACACCTGTCCCCTCAACTAAGGAGTCAATCAAACTGCAAGGAGTCCTCATCAAACAGTCTGTGCTAAAGAGCCACAGAATACTGGACAACTCGCTGTTCAACGGAGGAGGAGACTTCCTGTTAAGGAAGAGGCAGGCGATAGAGCTCTCTGGCAGCCAGCTCAAAAGCCTCATGAGTGGCAGCACCAACGGAGGTGGCCAGCCTATGGCACCTGTCAATGGCCTGGCCAAGAAGCTGGCCACTATGTCCAGCCCTGGCTGTGTGGTGGCAGTGAATGGCGACAAGCCGCCTGCCACCACAGACTCTCAGACCCAGAACCTGCCCCTAAACTCGGAGACCTTGACAGCTACCTTATCAGGGCATATCCCGGTGAAAGGAACCCTTAAACAGAAGCATTCCTCTGGGGTTTCTCAAAATACTGATGGAAAAAATCTTGAACCCACGGTGCTTCAGTCTGTTGCACTTTCCCCCTTTACCCATGGCAACCCTAACCCCACTGAACAAGTTAATCTGCAGGAGGCTGATTCACAAACGCATACCAGTCAGACACAGGGTGCTGACAGGGAGACAGCAGGTAGCAGTCAGCAGGGATCTCCATCCTGCACACCTGCACCCGAGCCTCCCTTGCCCTGTAGTTCCTCCTCGGACAGCCTTGATGCTGAAGTAAGGGAGCGCACCCTTCTCAACAGCAGCCGCCAAGCTGAGATTGAGAACCGACTAAGGCGCCTGCGCAAGCGCCTTCAGGTTGTACAGGCGAAGCAGGTGGAGCGGCACATACAGCAGCAGCTCAGCGGCTTCTTGGACTCGGCTCTCAACCGGCTACTAGCAGGTAATCGCAAATCGGAGACGGCGACCCCCACGGCGACATGGAGGACTGGGCGCCACTCTTCGTCAAACAACAGAGACAGCCTCAGCCGCTTCCTGAAAAACGGCGCCATGCCCTTGGAACTGGAGAGGCTTTATCTGAGTGGGTCAGCAAACCTTCATTCAGTAGAAAGCGCCTTTGACTCAGATGTAACAGAAAGTAGCTCTGGAGGGGACTCTGACCTGGAGGAGGAGGAGCTGGCCCGAGTGGACATTGAGCAGCGACATGTCAAAATGTAAGTAAAGATGACCTCACTGAGACATGAGGCCTGTATGTATGTTTCAGCTTGTATGTATACGGTCCTGTGGGGGTGGAAATTTCACTTCTAAGGCTCAAGTTGAATGTTGAAAGCAGCATTTGTGTGGAAAAACTGTTTCACAGTGACCAGGATTCTTGACACTTGTCCAGGTAACTCACATTACTCTCAGTCCCTGTATTTCCAAGCCCTGCAGTGTGCAGCTCAGGCCTAGCAGGTGCTAATGACAATTATAACTGCCTGTTCTGCTCCAGTAGTGGTTGGGTCAAACTCCAGGGAGGGGTAGATACCAGAGAGCATGTGTAGTGGTGTGGGTGGTATCATCCTGTAGAGAAAATACAGTTTCGAATGGACTCCAAAGTAAAAAAGCTCTCTCGTCACACGGTGCTTCCTCCTGAGAGGCTGAAACTGAACGTTCTGTTTATCTGCAGAGCGAACAAGTGAGCGCCCACAGAGCCAGTGAGTGTTTTGATTTAAACCGAAACCAAGAGGAAACAGAGAGTTTAGGGTGGCGGTGGTTTTTGTAGGAGGTGTGGGTTTTTATGTTTTGTACATGCTGCCCGTTGTGATGTCAGGCTTACCTCAGCAGGTGCTCGCAAATCTATTCCATGGGAAGTTGGCAACAGAGTGCTTATTTCTCTGACATTAGTGCGTTAAAGGGAGGGAACAAGTGCAGCAGGTGGGTCTGCGGCGTTAATGGACCTCCTGATCTGTGCAAGGTTGGGTAGATTATTAACTGTGTGGCTGAGAAACACAGATTTTTATTATCCTTAGCTGTGTTGACTTTAGACCTTTGACCTAAATATCTTCATAACTAAACAGGAAGCAGGAAGTGTCTGTGTGTCTTTGTGTGCTGCATTCATGAGACCAAAGTAGAAAAATTGCTTGAAATGTATTCAAACGGCGTCTCAAGCCTTTTAAGGTCAAATGTGATATTATAGCAGTTAATGTGCAAATTTACAGCGAGCAATTTCCAAGGAGAATGACCAATGAGGCGCCTCAGAGGGCCTGAGGTAGAAGGAGGATTGTGATTTTGCATTTTTTGTTGTCTCAAAGTGTGATACCATGGTCTTCACTGAAAAAGTCTCAAACAGCTGTCGTGTCATTCTTTAACAAAATAAGCTGCGATAGACAGAAAGGCTGCAGGATTATGACCAAAATGATAATCCCCATTACTTTAATCAGCGTTGAGATCTTGATTAAAAATCACAATCATTTATCACAGTTAGAGACACAGCTTCCTCTGTTTTATATAAACTCTCAGTCACATGGAGCGTAAGATTGCGTCAAAGCTTTATTTTTATTACTTATATATTATTCATGTTAATACAGTCGAACATGGATTTTTATTTTTAGTCGAAGTGAATTATCTGAACTTAGATTCATATGATCACAACCCAGTTACAGATCTAACCTACTACACTGTATTAATTTTTCAAAATGATACAGACTCAAAGGTCACTCAGTGTTTAATGTGTAAATCCACGTCAACCATCTTCTGCGCTCGTCAATGTTTGTTAACGCAGCACTGCTCCTTTTGCCCCTCTGCTTGACAAACACACACCTGACCCTCTTTCTCTCCATCTGCTTTGCTGCAGGTGTTTTTTTTTTCTTGCTCACATTAAGTAAATTTTTAATTGTGTGAAGGCCAAAATTTTAAGTGCAAACTTAACTTGATTAACCCTGCATCCCTGATAAAAAGTGAAGCTAAAATCTTGCAGAGAGGGAATCAGCTGATCTATAAAGATCATCTTATTAAAGGGAACAAATGTGTGCCTTACAACAGGGCAGAGTGCTGTGTACACAAAGGTGCAGAGATAGTATTTTACAACATTTGAATGTCCTTTGATAAAGATATTTTAGATGTTATGCTTGGTCGAGACATTAAAAGCCTCTGATGTGAAAACCAAATACTTTGCCTTCATTTGCATATAAGCTCTGTATTGTTTCTGTATAGGAGCTGGGAAGGTTCTTGTTTGTGTTTGATCACTGCTGCTATCCAGATCAGACCAAAACAGCGTTTGTATTTCGTTGATTTAATGCAGTAGTGTGTTCTCAGTACATAGTCAGATGAACAGTTAAGTCTTAAAATCTAAAGAGCAATTCTTCATATCCTGATAATACTTTTTAGTTCATGCTGTTATGAAACTGAAAGCGGTGCTTATCTGGGGGGATTTGAAATTGGACACTGTGAAGTTGTCGGTGCTTTCCACAGTTGGCAGATCCTTCAATATTACTACTGAGTAACTATATTGCAATTAGGCTCATGTGAGTGTGTGTTACTGGACGAAGAACTCCAGAGGACCATCTACATCTTGATAGGAATGAAAACTGGCCACATTTTTGCTAAAATACCGTTGTAGATGAGTGAAATTATGAAGATCACATGTGATATTTTGGTACATGCCTGCATTTTTATCCTTTCATAAAGAGCTTTAATTACTTATTTGTTTTGTGGACATATACAAGGGATAAACAGCTCATAAATACTAACACCATACACAGGAAAATGAAGCTGCAGGCAGCATTGATTATAGACAATCGGTGTTTATGAGCAGGGGGTTGATTCACAGTTGATCATATGATTAACCTTTTGTGGTGGCGAAGCTCCAAACAGATCACCATCATGCGGTTTTTCTCCACCCAAAGTGATTTTGTTTCCTAAGCTCCTTGATTCAGACTCTGGACGTCTGATGGATTCTTCTAGTCTCCAAACAGTTTGTTTACCTCCATGTTGTTCCAGATGCTTCTGAAAGACATTATTCCTATTTAAAAGTAGGGATAAGACAGATGCATCACTCACTGGTATAATGACTCCTACCCAGCTCATTACAGTCTTGAATATCCTTCAAGTTCCAGGGAAAATTACCAGCAGCAAACTCGCCTTTTCCCCCTCTGAGCTGCAGTTAATCTTCTGTTATAGCAAACATGACACATCTTGTTCCTGCTTTACCTTGAAAACACTTCAGCAGCCAACCATTGTCAGGCTTTTATTGTCACGCTGCTGTAGCTTCTTGCAACCTTAGTCACTGTCGTTAACAACTGTTAACACTTCTGCGGTGCTCTTATTTAAATGACATATTCGTTGTGTGTCTTGTCCCCTATATGCCAGCACGTCGCCAAGAAACAACCAAATGTTTCAGTTTGTCTTTACCGAGAACCAAAAGCTGTCTAACTCATTCTGGTGCTGAGGGTTACTATTTATTCTGTCAGTAAAAGCTTCCTCAAACTTTCTTCCTTAATCAGCTATGTAGATTTTCACAGCCCAGATTGCAGAAACAAGAAGTAGCACTGCATGCTTTGCAAACCCTTTGTGATTGTCCTGACTTCCTGCTGTTTACATGAGGTTTTATTTTCCACAATTCTGTGGCCACACATGATGAAAGTAAGTTCTTATTTTGTAAACACTGATTAGTGTATGCCGCAAATCTGGATGTTGTCTTTATAATGAGACACACAGACATGCAGAACCAAAAATCTGAATTTTAGATTAAAGCTTTCCCAGGTGGAATTATTATAAATAAAACAAAATGTTTGATATTATGGAGAGAAAGAACTTCCCAAATAAAAACGTCATTGTGTTTGATAACACTGAAGTAAGTGTGTTGTATTACATGAAACTTCCAGGAATAAGACAATAAAAAGGTTTTATCTTGAAGTTAATGTATCCTGGTGTATTCCCAGAGTATGGATCATATTGAACATTATTTCATGAGTCATAGTGTGTAAGCTCTTGAGCGTGCTAATACTGCCATACTCATTTGTTTTGTATTCAGTGGTTTCCTGGTATTTATTTAAAAACTAACTGCTTCAAAGCATTAAAATCCAAAACAACAGGATATCATCAGCACTGCTCGCAAAACAGAGGTTTAATCACTTCTGTAGCTTATTAATTTATGAGCTTTTCATGAATTTCATCAAGAGCCAGAGGATTGTTACTCCTGAGTTCTTTATTTTAGATGATTAGATTATAGATGGCAGAATTAAGTCATATTTCCCCAGTCAAATACCCTGTTAGCCTTAGTAGGTAGACCCAATTTAGAGTTAAACAAGTATTCTTGATGATGACGTTTAAGTCAGTGTCTATCACAGCATTATACATATATAGTTAATGACATAAAGCCTGTGTATTTATTCACTTCAGCTATTCTAGAGATGCACAAACTGGATTTATGTCTGTGTTTTCAGACTCATTTTGGCTGAAACAAAAATGCACACACCCTTTTTTTCATCATAAAAAACACCAAATTTCTCCTGGACTTGAATTCACCTGTCACTTGTAGTGGTACAGTCTGTTATGTAAACATAAATAAATAATTACGGCATAAATAATATGCTGTAAAATCTGAAATATAAGCTGGACCGGTGTATAAGACACAGTCAGGTTTTGGGGGTGTCCCAGAGGGGAAATGGCTCAAGCTTCTCGCTGCAGAAGATTCTATTGTTTTTAACAAACGTCTACAATGTGCAGTTTCTGTAAGAATGAAGCTGTTATTTGCTATCTTATCAGCTACCAGTGCAGGAGTTAAATTCAGAGACCATGCAAGTACATTCCCTTAAATTTGCATGAACATTAGCCGCTGCCCGTGACCAATTGCTTATCGATCCAATTCTTTATCAACACAGTACACATGAATAGTTCATCCCCATCAACGACGCTGATTTACTCCCTCTTTTATTACTTTTAATTTCTCAGCTGAAACAATAGAGCCTGGTTTCTGAGTTAAAGGTCTTTAAAGGTCAGCTGATTGTGGATCATAATAATGATAGAAACCTACAGCTAACAACAGAAATCCCACTAAATCATTAAATCGAAAACATAAATCGTCACAGATTACTTTTGAATTAGAGGGACTGGATCCAGACAGTCTCAGGAATCACACCGATCTTCTCTGTGGGATAGAAAAGCTCCTGAATGTTAAAGAGACATGCAGATTGAAGCTGTCATGCTGCTGGCCTTATAAAGCAAGTGTATCTTACAGTGAGTCAGTATGTTGTAAGGTTGTATTTTTAAAGCTGAACGATATTGGGTTGCATTATGATAACACTTATGACCGCGCCTGTCTTCCGTCTGCCATGACTACTCCTGCGGTTGTCGTTAGCATCGGCTGCCTCTGGCGATCCATTATGTCATTATTTTCCAAGGCACTGACAACAATTGAACCAAGTGGAAAGCGCTATTAAAGGAACTGTTATGCATAAAGCAAATGATGTCGATGGCTCAAACTAGCTGGAACCGGTTCTGATCAGGAACCAGTTTTCAATTCCCACCCTTACTCTACTTATGGATTACGGCTCTGATTCTTCTGGGAGAATCCTTTTTTGGGGGGAAAGGTGTTATAACGTAGCTTTGCTAGACTTGTCGTCCCCAAAATGTGTCCTACATCTTTTGTCGTTTGTCTTAGAGCGCCATCTGTACTCTACTGTATAGAAATTAAGACTATAACAGGGCTCTGCTCTGGTAGTAAAAGTGTGTCTTCTAACATTTCGAACGTCTTCACTATAACCCACATGTTCAGGCTTGTTGTTGGTAAGCTGTCTTGTGTGTGTATAATTAATACATTACCTTAAACTGCTGTTGTACGTTTCTGCAGGAATGTTCAAATCCACCATACTGATTATTTACTTTGTAGGTTATAACTGTTGATATTGATTATATAATACAGCCCTAGAAATTTCATTCTTGGTCATCTCTATTGAGAGGAAAGGTCCTTTCACACTGGGACCGTTTTTTTTTTTTGTGCGATTATTTGCGATGTCTGATTGTTTACGTGTCGGAAAACAGAGTGCGTTTTCATAAAGGACACAAATATTACAAAGATAACAACCTGAAGGACATTCACCTTTGCGTTTGTTTTGTCATAAATTTATCAAATGTTCTGTTACTGTTTTTACCTGGGACGCTGTCGGATGGTAAGGGAAGGTCCCGCCCTCCTTCACCTCTGATTGGCTTTAAGTGCTGACCATTTGGCTTGAGCGTGTGATGACGTTTCCATCTTTTCTAGCCAATCAGAGGTGAAGGAGGCGGGACTTTCCCCGGGATGCATCTTTTTTCCCCCTGGAAAGCCGCAAAATCGCATCAGGCTCGATGCGTCAAAATTCGCCTCCGAATATTATATAATTTCGCGTTCTATATTTGCGTCGGCCTGGTGTGTGAGGACCTTAAATCTGCCTGGCCATATATACTGTCAGTGTTTGAAGCTCAGTGCAGTTTCTGTTGACTCAAAGTCTTCAGTCCATTTAGGTTTTTTAGCTGTTCTTTTGTTCTAAAAATCAATATGTCAAAGACACAAAGCAATCTGAATGCTTTGACTTCATTGCACAGTAACTAGGAGGGGGAGAATCAGTCATTAATCATTAACTATAATCTGTAGATGCTGGCTGACCTAATATAAGAGCCTTCTGAAGTGAATATCTACATGTTGCTTTCCCAGCAGGAGTTTGTGTTCAGCGCCCTCATGCTGTTTTTTTTCCCTCACAAAAACACCTCGACCTGAGCCCACTTGACAACAGGTCCGGCTCTGTTCTATAAAAGCAGAACTGTTTTATTGACCTGTTTTACCTGCCGCACAATGCTGCAAAACGTAGTGCTTTGAGAGACACAAAACAGGTTCATAAAGCGGCGTTGATTTGTTCAGATGCTCTTGAATAAGCCCTCCCCCGTGTGAGAGGTTCTGTATGGCTGTCACAAAAGCACCTGTCACTTCTGGCGTTTGTAAATGTTTGCCAAGCGGTGGCACATGTAAGCCGAATAGTTTTCTGCACGCTGAGTGAAAGCTGCCATGGAAATATAAAACTGTTCATCTGTAGTGTCTTTAGAAACAGCTGGGCGATGCACACTGAACAATCATCCCTCCCACAACGAGAAAGAAACTGGTTCTGAGCTCCAAACCTGATTGTGAATGAGTCGGTCTGCAGGGATTGGGTGTGTGTATGTATATACCCATAATGCCACATTTTCACAACTGACACTTTGCCGTAGTTACCAATTAATGGCTTACAGTTGTACAGCAGTAAACAGAGCAGACAATGTAACGTCTTCTCCCAGCAGCAGCACCTCAATTATTCAACCTCAGCTGAGTGGAAAATAACCTATTTGAGCAGTTTGTTTGAATGCGGCGCACTGCTTACAACTAATCCTGTCAACCCTGTCCATACTGTAGACGTGGTTTCCCGTATCTCAGAGGATTGGGGGGTAGCCAACATCTGTTGTCGTGCTTATGCTGCAGGGCCTCTGTGCTCGAGCCAGTGTGTCTGTCTGTAAATGTGACGTCCATAATGGCCTCTATATATGAGGGTGTGGGTGCTTCTAGCTTCAGAGGACGAGGCCTGCCCTCAAACCAGCTGCAAAGTGGCCGACACAACACATACATTAGAAGATGACGTTAAAGCGGAGCGGGTTATGGAGGCATGTTACAAAGAGCAGGGGTTGTTCTGCGTTAAGGAGCGAGTGGGCACAGTCTCTTGTTTCTGAGGCAACAATAATGCTCATCAGGAAATCTCAGAGCTTACATAATGGCTCATAGACAGAACAATGAAAATGTCTGAAATTTGTTACCGGACTGAGGCTCACGGGCTTTGTGTCTCTCAGATGGTTGGATGATCCGGAGTACATGTTAGTACGCAGTAAGACAGCTAACATGCCTGTCTGCCTGCTCTGCTGCGGCTTGTGAACTGGGGTAACCAGGCTGGCGGAGGCTACAGCGTGCCTTTCATGCTTATGGCTCAGCATTACTCTGCAGTCTGAGCAGCTCGGCTCTGTTTTTTTCCCCCTCTCTGTCCATTCCTCTGTGTGTGTCTGTGTGTGTTTGTATACGTATGTGAGTTCCTGTATAGGTTTCTGTCCCGTTTGACACATCTGGATGTGTTTAGCCAGGCCCAAGTTCCTCAACACGAAACCCACAGGCGTTACATAACCCCCCCTCTTTATGTAATGACTGCTGCAGATCTCCGGCTGAATATGCCCTCTCTAGTTTTTCCTGCCCCACACCCTGTCGGCCGGCCTCGCTCACAATCCCCGGCTCCTGAGCACTCTCTTCCTGTTAAAGAGGAGTTTAAGCAGCTGTCTTGAGAAACACCAGCCAGCCATCCTGGCAACACCAGAATAAAGTGAAAAAAAACGAGGCAGCTTTCAGCCTCCATAAATGTTTCAGTGTTTGGGTAATTTTCAGCTCTTTAACTGTGCTTTGAAAATCCTTGACTCCGGAGAACAAAGAAATTAAAATGACAGCTGCTGCTTTGATTTCCCTTGTTCTTGTTACTACGTGTGAATGATGAGTGAATGTTTTTCAAAGCATAATGGCAAAATGATTCCATTTCATTTCATATGGGAGGAAAAATGTCTGCGGGCTTTTGTTTTGCCTCCATACCTCCATTACCTGGATTTATAACCACGTCGCTTTGGCAGATTTTTGTAAAATGAGCTTTTGTTTCAAAATGTGGTCATGGCTGAAAATGAGAGATTCATAAGCTTTTATCTAATTCACATAAGTGAGATAACTACACTGGAGCTAGCCTATTCTGCGCTCAAGTGAAGAATCAAAAACCGTAGAGATGAAATTCTACAGAAAGTGGGGAAAAAAAAGGAAATCACATCATGGTCTAATGAAATATCTAAATCACAGAGGCTGCTCTTCTTTGTTCGCTGTGAAGATGCCCCGACCTACATATTTTGTTCTCAAGAAACAAAAGAAAGATGAGTAGACTCTCGTGTTGGTAAAGTATTGATATCAGCCCATTAAGACTTGATGTTGAACATCAGAAACAAAGACGATCAAATCTGCAGATAAAACTGACTGTGGTGAGAAGAACTCCACAATGCAAACCTAGATTTACATGCCATCCAAGTCGAAGCCGTTTCCTCATTATCCCAGAGTTTTACACATTTGAGAAGCATTTTACTTCATACTTACACAGACTGTCATAATAAGAGATTATAAAATTACTCCTAAACTAAACAGATGACTGCTGATCTGTACAAGGAAAAACATCTCATCTTTCAACATCAGAAATTGTCTTTGCTTCGCTGGTTAATGTCAGGATAAAGAACAAACCGATCCTGATCGAGATCAATATCAATATCATAGCACTTTAAATTTGACAGTTTTCTGATGCTCAACATGAAACAGTGATGTGAAAATCTTAAAGTAAGGATTTAGACTAAAGCCTGATTTATATTCTGAACTAGGCCTGGGCGATTTGGCAAAAAAAATGATCACAATATATTTTGTCATGTCATCCGATCTCGATTATTGTCACGATTTTTTTTACTGCCTGTTTTAAAGCATCTGTACTAAAAACTAAAGAAACTAGTTTAGTTAATTCAACATTTTTTTAACATACAAAGTAACTAACAAAGAAAATTCGCCAACATACCTCGCACATTGGCTTAGTTGCTCGACGTCACTTAGGAGCTCCATGTTCGGTCATTCTGTTTATTTCTCCGACAACTTACAGAAGTGAGCAGAAAAAGCTTGACTCTGATTGGCTGTTGTGACGCACATTTCCGCTACGTTTGATCAAGTAAATATGCTCACAGCTGATCACCGTGATCGAACGTAATTGTAAATATCATGTGTCTCCCCGGAGGTTACCTGTAGAGAGCTCAGGCTGTGCGCAATCATCAGTCACTATCATCAGACATAAACAAGAGACATGTTAGAAGTAACAGAGGTTACTGTTATGCTAACTCTGGGTCTCAGTGCTTTGGTAAGTGACAGATTCTTGAGCCGAATCGGGCGACTGATGATCGTGGACAGATTCCACCGCCAGCTCTGCCTCTGCTCAGTTTTTCCAGTGTTCCCACACCTCAGTCGCAGCGTTGTTTTTCTTGTTAAGGTTTCCACCAATAAAACTGAACTTAAGTGGTAAAATACCTCGACCTGCCTATTTGTTACGTGGCGATTATGCGCTGTGCAGATGTGAAAAACTGAAGACTTGGTCCTTTCAAACTCTCTGCTGTTGTCTTGACCCTCACGTCCCCCTTTGCCTCTACACCACCACTACATTCATGTGCTCTGAAGTATGTGCTTCCAGCGCTTGGGGTGCATGGCAGCTATCATGAGTGTCCACAACGTTGCTCTGCAATACTCCACCCAGACGCTAGTTGGCAGTACAATTTCTATTCTGGTCATATTGCCGGTTCTCGCACAGGAAACATGACGCTTAAATCTGAGAGTGTCATTGTTGGAGTTGGAGCTGATAAATATTGAGCAGCAGCTGATCACACTGAAAGGAAAAGAGAGGTGACATTGGAGAGGACAAGGGAATATCGTGACGAGACTGGAAATGCTGTAAATGCAGGAAATAGGATGCGACCCAGCGGACCAGTCATAGGTCTTGCAGTCTGAGGAGTTGAATTTTTTAAGAGGTGCATGTGAGGCTATGTTTGTGGGCGTCAGCAAAGGTACAGGGCTACGCAAAGCTTAGAGTGTTTGTTCTAGTGTGGAGTTGACACAGAAACACGAGAAGAGAAAATCCTGCCCTATTTGTGTCGCCGGAATATTCCAGCTTGAAGTCGTTTCTTAGCTTTAGATGTAGGGATGTTTCCTTACATACAGGTTTCACATCACCTTCAAAATCAGGCTGCTAAAATGTGATTTTCTTCCTACTTACAGTGAATCATAACCTGCATTGTTGTTGTTAAAGCTTTCATTATGTTAGCATGGCACCCTGCAGTTAACTGCTCGTCCAGCTGCTCATTTTGCAATATTTGACAATATTTAGCATTGCAACAAGAGCATATCCAGATCAGTGTTGTCAGGAACCTGATTTCAACCAACAGCAGCAACTGAAATCTGTGACACAGCAGCACCACCTCACAAAAACAAGGAAATGACTCCAACTTAGGGAGAGGGACAGATGCGAGCTGCACCTCCAGCAACAAAAACTGTGTTTGGAATATTTTTGTGCATTAAAGTGTCACAGCAGACAGCTGAGCTCGGGTCCTGAGATGACGCATTCAGAGATGAGCAGCTTGCATGCGAAGGATGTAAGTTGAATGGCTTCATGTGTTGAGCAGTGTTTCGCTTTCAGTTTATCTAGATGAAGTCTTCCGGATTTGTCCTTGGTCATTTTTGTCCATTGATTTGCATCAGGATTTAAAAAGCTGTTACGGTATATTATAAGTGTTTCACTCTTGTAATCCGTTTCGGTGTGTATATTTGTCATAACTTGAGGTTGAAAATGGCAGTTTAACCACCAGAACAGGAAAGGCGTCAAAGCTGCATCAGCAGCTGTTTCTGAGGAGGTTCACCTTCTGCTGTTCAATAAATGTGGAGGAAGTAAACTGCTGATGATGGTGCAGTCAGGCCCCTTATGTGCACAAACGTTCTTATTTTGGAGCCCTTGTCTCTCAGAACTGATACCCCCTATATACAGGAAACTGGCGTGTAAACAGTGTACTGCCCATACTGCTGTGAGATGTAGTGATAACACATGACTGAGCTACTCATTACAAAGATCAACCAAAGAGAGTAAATCTTTCTTTTAGGAGAATTGTGTGTCTGTCTCCAAGAGAAGAATAGCCCGTCACCAAACACAGTGTAACATAAACACAGTTTTAATACACACACAGACACACACACTCAGACACACACAATGGATGGGGGGAGTCGAGGAAGTCTGTGTGTGCAGAAATATGCACTGCACCACAAACAGGAATCTGGGAAGTGTTCTTGGTAACATCATGTCTCCTCTTCTTTCTCTGTGGAAGGATACGTCAGGTGTAGATGCGTGAGCCGGCTCTCAGCCCAGAGATCTGTTGGTTTTTGGAGCGAGCACTCAGCCACGTTTCTGAGCGGCCGTGTTGGTTTTGGAGGGCTGGTATGGTACAGGGGTCTTCATACAACGTATGTGCTGCATCCAGAGAAGCTCCACAATGGAGAATGTGCTGACTGCCAGAAAACCACGGCCGTAGTGATTGGCGCCCGTGCTTTGTGAGCGTGGGAGAAGGGGGGGGGAGAAAAATGTGTCCTGGTTAGAGGGGGGGAGGATGAAGCTCCTAATGTCAGGACGGGGGAGGTTCTCAGTGCTCACTACAGACCCCTCCTCCTCCTCATCGTCCGCCGTCACTCTGACGATTAAGGTCACTGGACTGAAGTGTGTTTATATTCCTCCAAATGACATTTTTAGCTCTTCCTGCGTCCCTGACACCATGATTTACCCAAAGAAAGACAAGTATCTACTGGTGTCTCAAATCAAAACCAGCCCCGGATAGAAACCTCTGGGACTGGAGCTTTCTGACATGAAGCATCAACAATGAGTCAGTTAGTTAACAATGTTTAACAGAAAAACAATTTCTTTAAAAAAAGGGACTTTCCAACACTCCGAGTCTGTGCTTTAGACATTTTTCAACATTTTTGACATTTATTGATCAAACAAATAATCAGTTCATTAGAAAAATAAACACCAGACAGAGTATTGATTAATGTGGGTGCCCCAAATTTCAGATTGTCCTCATTAACTTGTAGTTGTTCATTGAAGCCAGCTAATTGCACCTTCATGCTGTTGATTTGTTCGTCAAATGGATTTAATTTCAGGGTGCTGTTTGTAACATAGTCATATCAGTACAGAGATATACTAACCCCTAAAAATGAAGCCTTTAACAATTAAACATGGGCAAACTCAAACTTTATAGAAGGAGCTGTAAACATCAGCACTGACACAGGGATGTGATCGTTCACAAACGTGAGGGTGTGACCTTAGATTCACACATGTATGTGAAAACATGTTTTAAATAAGGGGCTTTTAAACTGCTTAATCAAATCAGACTTTCAGAACATCCAGAGGCTAAAAATAGTCGTGATGTTTGTGTCGAGCTGGAGCTCAACCTGCTGGTTTAAACTGACAGCAGTGAGCCATGTTGTCTGTTTGTGTTTATTTCCTGTGCTGAGTGGACTTGAAAGTATGAAGCGGTGTTCGTCACCAGCTAGTGATCGACTGCAGCAGAACATACACACCTCTCTCTCTCTTTCTCTCTCCTTCTCTGTTGCTATGGTTATGGACGCTCTGTCTAAGGGTGTATAAATCAAGATTAGTAATTACAGTCCCACATAACTACATAATAACTACAGATGGGTTAATTGTGTTTAGCCTACTGCTGCTTATCCTATAGACTCCTGTGCTGAAATAGCCTCGAGTTTGAATCTTTGTGTGTGTTTGTGGGGGTGGTATGGGGGGGTCCTGCTTTTTGTCCAGTGCCAGACACATCTCTGCTTACAGAAAAGGGTGATGGTGTGTTGTAGGCAGCTGAACACTATGTTCATTATTGAACTTAGTGTCACATTGTCTTCCCTGAGCCGGAGTTACGAGTAAAGAGATGCAGTGATTCAGCCTGTACTGACAGCTTTTGGATTATTCTACATGTGTGTTTTTCTAAGAAGATATGAGGTTGTTAGTATGTCTTATAAACTGCACGTCGCTTTCTCAGAGAGGATGTAAACACTCCCACGCTGCCAACGTTTTCTTCTCTTTTCACATTTTCATTATAAAACCAGATTTCCTCTGCCCCACAGAGACTCTCCTTCTGAATGAGCAGCTCTGTGTATGAGCTCGTCTGCATTAAATCGGCGCAGCACAACAGCTAAACTTTGGCCGCTGACATTGGTGCCTTAGACTGACTCTGTCAAACTTGTACTTGGATGTGCACTCCCCTCCACTCTTAATTTCCCACCTCTGTCAGGGCTTGACACTAACTTTTTCATAAGGAGCACATGTGCTTCTACGTTGGAGGAGTAAGGAGCACACAAAAAACTTTAGGGGCACCATGAAAATTTATCAAATAATGTTTGTCTTATTGGTCGACATAAGTACTATTATTTGAAATCAATTTGAGGTCTTCAACAAAATGTTGAAAATTTGGCTTTAAATTTAAAAAACATTTTTAGAGGACAAATTAGGGCAATAAAAAGACGTGTCTATTGTCCAACCTTAGTACTATTAGTTGAAATTAATTAGGCATGTGCCGATGTGAAAAATTTGATATCACGCTATTGGTGACCCAAAATATCACGATTCACGATATAACCATGATTGGTTATAGCACATTGCTTTTAACGTTATTAAAAATGGCAAAAAAACAGCGAAATCACTTCTCTGTGCACAGCATGACACGCACAAACAATATGAGCAAGAGGCAGCTAACGCGACGTTGGGAGCATTAGCTTTTTGAGCTAAAGTTGGCAGAAACGTCACTAACGTTGTCAATAATAAGCAGTAGAGTAGACCAAACTTGTTGCGGTCATGTTGTTTTTACCTTGATTTGGGCGAACGATGCTGGATGGTTTCCACGGAGGTGGGCACGTAGGTTTGAAGTGTTCGACAACAGCGCTGCAACTTCCTTACGGCATAACCTTCAGATTGGTGTCAGGTTTACCTGCTCCGTCTGTTTTGTGAAGCCACAAACCCCCGTCTGTCTGTTCTTTGTGATCTCTGTCACTGTAGAGTTCAATAAGAGCTCCGTCTGCTACTAACTCAGTGTTTTGACGCTCTCCATCCCTACCAGAGAGTACGCACCTCCTTGGGATCATTATCCAGGTCACCCTGAGAGACGTCTCACCTGGCCTCTCCTCCCTGTGGTGTATATGTTGTCCACCCGCCTCTTAATGACTCCCGGGCATGCTCAGAGTGATTAGTGCACAAAATCGTACTACACACTTTGCGCCACTGGTGCTGTCCTTAGATGCGTCTCCACAGGGATTCACGCATGCAAATGAGTTGCCAGTGAATTGATCTGATGCACCAGGCCTGGGCGTGTTCAGCTGTTTTGTTTTTTTTACATTGACGAGTCAGTGTGTAAGAAGAGATCATGTTTGTTTGTGTGTGTGTGTGTGTGCAAAGAAGGATTAGGCCTGTGGAATAGCAATAGGAGATGTTATGAACAGGTAGCACTGCAGCTGTATTTGCAGCAGTGTCCTTGATTCTGGATTGCAGTCAACCAGCCATAGATTTCTTCACGTTGTGGCTGAGTGAAGGAAAGAATCAAGGCGTCGCTCTCTGATTGTCCGGATTGGTTGTTGATGTCTGCATCAAAGCCACACTAACTCTCCTTCCGCTCAGCTCCGCAATAAGACAAGCATGCCTGGTTGGATTATTGGTTATCCCAGTGTCTGCCGCACTGTTCCCTGACCCAGTCCCACCCCCCTCCAGCGCCCTGTGGCCTGTAGATTGCTTTTAAAGCCCGTCTGTTCCTCTCCGGGCTGCCAGAGCTTCCCAGTCCTTCTCGTCCCTCTTCTACCTCCTCTCCCTACCCCCGCCCCCCTTCCCCTTCCCGTCTCTTCTCCCTCTCCCAGCAGTAGCCTTTCTCCACTTCCTCCATCCTGTTGGAGCTCTGGAAATTGAAAACAGAGTCGGGTGTGGGGAGGAGAAAGCGCAGAGGAGTGCAAGGTCTATCTTTGTCTGCCATCTGAGTCATTTTTTCATTGTTCAGCCACGGCCACTGCTGCCAGTATTTTGATGAAACAGCACCCTCTGTGGTTGTTGCCGCTCAGTACAGGAGCAGACATTTTCCTCTCATGTCTGCCTTTGAAATGCCCATTCTGTGTGTCATACTGGTAAAATGGAGTACTCTGCTCTGAGCTGGGATCCACTCTTAACCATGAAATCAATCAGTCAAGTCAAAACCTCTATTTTTATCAAATTTCCTCATTACAAAAACACGTCTGAACATGTTGTTTTTGGGAAGATTTTTTTTTTCCCAGGGTGCCTGCAGTTACTGAGAGATTTGTATAATGCTGATTCACTGACCTCTGCAGTCTGACAGGGGAAATGCTTTAAGGCTGACTCGATCATGTGCTTTAAACGATGAGTTTTGCTGTTGTTATGAGGATTTCTGTGTGTCATCAGGACAGAGCAAACCTTAATCAGACTCGACTGTAAATCTGAATAAAACTCTTATGTAGAGAAGTAGATTTACTGAGATCCAGGCAGCCTCCTGTTTTATCCAGAAAATCTGAAAATAGAAGTTTATTTTTTAAACATATATGAATATAAAACTAAATGTTTTTATACATTTAAGATTAAAAAAGGCACATTAATGAAATTGATGTCCTCAAGTAGGGGTGTGGGACACTGACAAAGTAAGAGCCTGATATTTTTGCATGTGTAATAAACAAAAATTGTGTTTTTGATATATGAGTCAATGACGTATAAGGTTTTTAAACATGCCAATTTTAAAATGACAAAAATATGAATATATTAAGGATGTGTGTATAAAAAATTTAATGTTAAATTTTAGTGTTTTTTCATATAGATGAGTTGCCCGTGGCCTTAAAAAATGTCATGTGGTGTGACCATAATTTCTCTCAAAATTATTTTTTTCAACATACTTAATAGTTTTTTAAAAATAGTCATTAATATGAAGTAGATCGAAACAAAGTGTTTGCATTTCATTTGAGTTTTTGTAAATAATGATCTCACATTTTAGCTCTATAATGTCAGTCACTGAATTAAATGCAGTTAACTACTAATTTTGTCTTTAAATTGCATGATACTGATAAAAATGTTTTAAAACTACCTTTCACTTAAGCATATTGTATCAAATGTAATTATTGTTCGCACCACATGATATTTTGACACGTTGAAGTTCAGAAAAATGACAAATAAGACCTGATTTTTGAAAAGTTGAAGTGACTACATATATGAGAGAGAGAGTCTACATATAGAAAGTATATTTTTGTGCATTTAAACCTTTTTTAACTTAAAAAAATTCAGCCGGACAGAATATTTAGGCGTCACGTCATTGACCCATATGTAAAGTAGTCTCGTATCTGCTTTACTTAAAACTGAGCCATGTAAGTGAATATAAAATAAAGACTGATGAGATAAAATCAAATAGTCATGAGGAAGCAAACAGCCTTCAGGATCGACTTCGAACCTGCTGCATGAAGACCCTCAAAAAGTGTGAGGAGAGCATTTTAAACCCACACCTTAGCTTACGGTTACCTGAGTGTGTTTCTGTGTGGTTTGTCATGACTCCTCAAGCTTTCATATTCTATGAAGTGGTTTGCTGAAGCAGTGAGACATGTTTGCCGTCGACCTGACAGCAGCTGCCTTCCAACATATTGTCATCTTTTTAAAGTGAAACCACCTCTGTGTGAGTGAGAATGATCCACGGCGAGCAATTAAATTCAAAGATGTCCGTCCTGACTGAGGCTGCTGGTTTTTGTGTTTTGTCTCCCGGTGCTTTTTGTTCACGAAGCTATGATAGTGGGTGAACACTGCATGTGTGTGGACTGTAAAAGTGTGTTTTGATTCATGAATATGTGACGTACTCTACTGTCATTTTACACATCATTATAAAAGATTTAAATTTAGATGTCATCCCTTCTCATAGAGTATCTTTGTAAATGTTTAACTCAGGATAAACGGAGTGAAGAGCAGAAAACATGAATTCATGAGGCTGAATTATTTAGAGCTTTCCATCTGTTTGTCTTGACTGATGAAATTGTTGCTGCTGCCCAATTAAAAATCTATTACTAATTACATTTATGTGCTTTAATGATGGATAGAGTTTTTATTTCAACATTTCATGTGCGGTTGGAAAATTGTCGTGTAACTCCTCTGGCCAAATGGTTCATAACTGTTCAGTTTCTATTTTGGCCCGTGTCCAAAAAGGATCTTCAGGTCTCTTCAAAAATCTACCAGCTGTTGCCAAAGTTCGGATCCATGTTCTGATAATGCTGCTGATATTGTTATTTTTATCCAAACCTCATCTGTTCACCTTTTTAAAACATTCGTTCCTTTTTTTTTGACCCTCAGATGGAAGCGTGCAGAGAGCCGCTACACGGTGGAGAGAGCCGCCATCATCAGTCACTGGAACTGGCTCCAGGCCCACATCTCGGACTTGGAGTACCGCATCCGACAGCAAACCGACATCTACAGACAGATCCGCGCCAGCAAGGTCAGTCCATCTATCTTTTTGTCTATTTGATTGTTTTAAATACTTGAGTAAAAACATGATTCTCTGTTTATTTAGTTTGTGGTTAAAGTGCGACTCTCGTGTTTTGGTTGTTCAGGGCTCTGTCGAGTTGGGAGGTGTGGCCCCCTGCACGGTGTCTTCTGGTGGGACAGAGGTGAAGGCAGAGCCTGTAAACACTCAGGTAAGCAGGGGCCGGTGTTCCCACACAGCTGTGATCAGACTCTTTCTGTCCCCTCAAGCTCAAACCAATCAGTGTGTGTGCTTTAAAACTCTTTACTCAACTCAACTCAACTTCATTGATAAAGCACAGCTGAACAAAGTGCTGTACATAAATAGGCAAAACAACGCAGTAATTAAAATAATGGATAAAAGAAAAGCAGAATTAAAAAGGAAAATATAGTTTCAATGTTTTTAAAAACTTATTTAAAAGCATAGAAAGAAATAACTAAAAACAAACCATAAAACACCAAAACAGGAGCCGAGTCTCATGCAGGGTTAAAAGCCAATGAGTAAAAATGGGTCTTTAATCTGACTCCCTCAAATGCCGTATCCAGAACAGCTGGTCCAGCAGTTTTTGCTCTCACCACCATCATCTTTTTTTTTCTGTAGTTACTCAAGCAAAAGTCCTTCATATATGTGGTTATATTTTCTCTTGGTTTATAGGTTTAGATATGGATTCAAAGTTGAGTGTCCATTTAAGAGAAAGAGGCGTATTTTAAAGAACTCAGGGTTAAAGTTCCTGTGAGGAAAAACATCTCTCACTCTGAGTGTCTGCCAGGAAAAACATTACAAAAGAGATGTTTCTGTAGAGCGCTGTCAAGTGTCGTCTGTGACACCTCCCCCTCCAGACATCACAGGGATCAATTAATGAATTGTTATCTTGTTTACTTACTATCTTGTTTGCTTTGTTAGGTCAATAAAAGCACCAGTGTCAATTCCAGGCTCATTCATAACCAGCTGGAAAAGTTCTTACAGGAGCTTTAATGTAAATTTGTTATAAATTACACAATAGAAACAAACACTAAATAAAAATGCCTAATAAAAAGCTGTTAAAATGATATTTCAGTTTTCTTCAGATGAATATGACACTTACCTGAAGTTTGTAAATTAGTGAATGAAGACGACAGTAAAAGCAGCTTTCATTCAGCGCTTCCTCTCAGCGTTGGACGGTGGGTTCGACAGTCTCCTGCACTCTCAGGTTTATTCCTACCTGCCCGGTAACCAATGAGACAGTCCGCGTTGTTTGTTCTCGTCACAGCCTCTGTTGGAAAAGATGAATGTTGACAGGAAATGATTTCCTTTTTGTCTTGTCTGTCGGGTTTGAACTGATTTAGAGTGAAAAGAATTTGAGTATGAAGCTCCTTCAGGATTCATCTCCTGATAATTTTCAATGATTTATCACAGGATGAGACTCTCAGGACGGATACGCTCGAGGTGTTTGTACAAATGTTTATTGAACCAAAACAACTGCTGGTGTGGCCTCTGCTCCGAAGAACTGTTCTGACTGATGGCCCGCTTTTTTTTTTTTTATGAAGTGATCCAGATTCAAACATAATCCTCACTGGATTCAGGAGCCTGATAAACTGACAGGATATGATCAGAAACTTTGAAACAGAAATGATTGAATTGATTCAAATCTTTGGACACAACAGTCTTCATCCCAAGACGCACTTCAAAGATCAAGAGCAGGTCTAGACCACGCGCATTGTTTGATAAATTATCAAGACCCAACCTAAGATGAGTTTTGGCGCATCTCATCTAACACGAATAACAGTGGTGAGGAAGAACTTCCTTTTAACAGGCAGATACCTTGAGCAGGACCAGACTCATGTTAGACAGCCACCAAGCTGCTGCTGGGTTGGGGAGGAATACAGAAAGATAGGGGGAGAGAAAGAGAACAAGATAGAGGGAAGGAGAGAGAGAATGAGGAAGGGAGAGAGTGAGACAGGGGACAGCAGCAACATTAAAACAACAACAGTTCATGTAATGATGAAACAAAATGAATTCAGTTTACAGGGTTAGGACATGAGTAATTATGGACTATGTTAAATTAATTTAATGTGATTACAGTCAGCAGGTCTAGTAGTAGTCAACTCTAGTTTTATGTTATTGATGTCAATGAGGCTGAATTTTTGACTCCTTCATACCTTGCGGTCTTTAAAATGAATCAACAGAGAGAGAGTAAAGAAAATACAAGAGGGCGAACGAAGATTGAGGAACTTATTTTGTGATCGTTTCATCGCGGTTAAGTTCTGGAGGACTTAAAGATTCACCTGCACACGCCACTCATACCCATATTTTCTGGTCTTGTTTAAAGATACAACCTTTCTGCACCTTATTATTCAAAGAGATCCCAAATTAATGTATTTGGGAGCTGTACCTGAGAAAGTAATAGAACAAGGAGATGATTATCTATTTAAGGTCTTGATTGTTGCAGGCAAAAAGGCTATGAGAGGGAACTGGATGAAAACTGGGACAGTGGATGGACATTATGGGCTTAATTTACACCATCGAAAGTCTAACTTACCACTTGTGGCTGGACATGTCTACCTTTTAACAAAAATGGAGGAAACAGACAGGTTTAAGGAGCTTGAAGGTTAATAAACAGACTATGTGGACCTCTTTGTTAACCACTTGTGTAATGAGGAGTAAGAACTGCCCCCTGTGTCCCTTTGTTCCTTTTTTCTTTTCTTTTTTTTCCTCTATTTTTATTTTTGAGAAAAAGGAAAAAGAAATACTTGTCTCGAACCATGCTATACTGAAAAATAAAGTTTAAAAACACATCTGTACATATGAGGTAAGGTGCTGGATTTGCGGCTGAAGTTGCGCCTCTTCCTGCCCGATGTGTGTGTCTGCTCAGCCCTCCATCACAGCCACTACACCTGCTGTGGCATTAGAGTGAATAACTCTGCTTCTGAGTCAGTTTATAAAAGATGATTCTGGTCATAAATCTGTTCTGGAGGTTCTGACCAAAGTGCTGCATTCAGTGGATTCTCTCAGGACAGTTGCTTCCATTAATCAAAGTCAGTTTTCGATAGCCTTGATCAGAGGTGAAATGTTGTTTTCTTTTGAGGACAGATTTAATGTTCTTTGTCAAGCGAGACCTCTGAATGAAAATGACTCAAAAACAAGGACCCGTCAGCTGTTGAATCAATGAGACCTCCAGTTTTGAGAAGGACACTTCCAGAATGAAACGTTCCAGTCTGTGTGTGAATGCTTGTGATGAGTGTGTGGCCTCTTTTGTGACAGTGGAGAGTGGGCTTTTAGATATTCGGAGAGTCCAGCTCTCCTCGCAGATCTCATCTGAATAATTCAAACCTGGAGGAGCAGGATGATTCAGTTTGTCTATTGCGTCGTTTCCTTAAATATCTTGTCGTCTGTTGAGTGCTATCAGCGGTCTGCTCCTGTGTCGGTTACATGACGCGTGTTCTCACTGCCTTTGTCTTATCTGTCCGTGCAGGATGTTGGTTCAGAACGGCTGGAGCACACAGGCGCCGCCCACATCGCCAACACAGAGCCGGGCTCCTGGAAAGGTCAAAACACACAGCCTGTTAACGGCGTACTCAGCAGGTACGGCTGATGATGATTACCGTGTTTCATTTCCCAGAAGGCACTCTGCTCTCTGAGAAACACAACACAGGAGAGTTCTGGATAATGACACATTTTAGGGGTTTGTTATTGTGAGATGCTGATGTTTTCCAGAGTTCTAATGATTTGTTCTTTAATCAGCTACACAATCAACAGAGGAGGCAACCATTTCTGTAATTGTTGGTGTTTTTTTGGGGTTTGTTTTTCTGCAGAAATCCCACATCTTTCTTTTTTTGTCACACATGATACTCAGTTTAATACACTTTTATGGCATTTTGCAGCTTTTGCCTCCAGTGAGATTTTTTGAAAAAGCAGTTTGAAAGGGTTTTTATTGTCCTATCTGTCTCTTACATTTTAGAGACGCTTATTTTGATCAAAATTTCTCTAAAACAAAATCATGTTGTTCAATGGTTAAAAGCCTGATATTACTTTAAAGGGCGAGACACTAACCTTTTTCATAAGGAGCACATGTTCTCCTAAGTTAAAAAAGTCAGGAGCACACAAAGAACTTTTAGGGGCACTATGAAAATTAATCGAATAATGTTTGTCTTGTTAATCGACTTAAGTACTATTATTTGAAACCAATTTTAGGTCTTTTGGTCACATGACATGGAAGCTATTGAAGAAAATGTTCAAAATTTGCCTTTAAATTTAACACAAACGCTTATAGAGGACAAATTAGGGAAATAAAGAGGTGTGTTTTATTGTTTGACATAAGTACTATTATTTAAAATCAATTTTAGGTCTTTTGGTTATGTAACATGGAAGCTATTGAAGGAAAACAGCTTTTTCTGAGAACAACAACCAGTAATTTATTGATGGTCCCTTATTCAACACCTGACGTTGACAGGGAGGGTGAAGAGTAGATTTAACCGCGCTGCTGTTGCTATTACCAGTCATGGAGAGTGAGAATACACCGGTAGATCCGCTGTGAATGTCTGTTGAATATCCAACCTAAAACTAACTTTGCTGCAGTATTTATATGTAAAAAACATTTGTTACCTCGGCTAATGTTTTTTTTTTCCGCACGTGCCCCTAAATACATTTTACAATTTGCACACATCTATTTTAGCCCTGCTGGAAAACTTATTTGGTTAGTTTATTTTATTGCTTATCAATATAAATCCAATAAAACACAGTTATTAACCTTCATCAGTCTCTCCCAGTGAGACTAAATAAGTCGAGTTTCAGGTGTTACTGATGTATCTCACCGCGCGTTGGTGTTTAATTTGAAGGTGTAAAACCTCTGACCTTCTCTCCTCTGGTTGTCCTTGTGACAGGATGGCGGACAGCGCAGACACCAAGCACCAGCAGCCGTTGGCCTACGACAGCACGTGCGTGGCTGCGCGCACACGCCCGCTCGTCAGCTGTCGACGACGGCGGCTCATTCAGCCCAACACTGTGCCCAACCTCAACGGCAAGGTGAGTTTCAGGGTTTGTGTTTGTGTCCGCCGACCGCCATCATCTGATCAGTTTAAAACCTCCATCACTCCTTCAAAGCCTCTGAGAGGTTTTATCAGCGCACGGAAAGTTCTGATGATAACATCTGTGGTGCGTTGCTGTGGAGATGTTGAGCTTAGTCGCAGAGCCACAGATGAAGTGGATTTCTCTCCTTAGAAAACATGTTTTGTGTTTAATGCTTCGCTGCTGCTGCTGCTGATTAGTCCTTTGCAACCTAATAGCTGAGAAAACTAGAGATATGTGACTTTTTATGAAAAACTGGGGCAAACAACAAAGAGGAGAAATCACCCTCGTGACAACTCACAAGTTTTAGAGGAGAAAAAAAACAAAACATCAGCTTGTTGTTGATGCTCTCTGTCTCACGCACAAACACGTCACTCTACAACTCCGGCCTCTGTGGGACAGTCAGGGTAGAGAGTTTGACATAAAGAGAAACAGATAACTATTGTGCAACATGCATCCTAAATCAGATGCATTCAGAGTTTGAGGTCAGGATTCCTTGCAGCAGAGTTTAGGCTTCACCCTTTAGGCTGTTGATAGTCAGAGGAGAGCACCGGTTTAGATGTAAGTGTTTGCTTTGTGCTGCAGCAGAGTTAACACATGAAGTCGACTAAGTTTAGCGCCGCCAGAGGGCGGGGGTGACACCAAATCACCCTTTTCTCCTATTCACAATTTCTACAGTTTACATAATCCTTCCAGAGCGGACAGATTTTTCTGAATGTGTGATACAAAACCAAGGACATGAAAGGTTGTTCATTTATTCACAAAGTCCACTGGAGCTTTGATCGACTCTGAGGGTGTGCGGTCGATCGATCATGGTCACACTCGGATATAAAGAAGTTTCTAAATCAGTTCTTTTGTCATTTCTGTGGAAAGTTTCGTACTTGGATGAATTTTTACTTACTGCGTAGAAAAGTTCCCTAAAATGATACAAGCTGTTCATCAACAGCCTGAGAGCCAGCTGGTCGGATGATGTCTACACTTAAATACTCAAGTTTTACTGAGTGAAGTCGTCTCATTTTGAGTCCAAGCATGTCATTACACTTGATTTAATCTGCACTGATCTGACAGGTCAAAATATAAATCCTGTGTTTAGATGTTTCACGCCTAAATTTTCCTGAGGAGTTGTGAGGAGTTATACAGCTTGTGTCAAGAAAGGTATCAACAAAGCTTTGCTCTCTTCATCTGAAACTGCTTTTACTCACTAGACTGAACTGAGACCTGGTTAATAACAGGCCTTTCTCTGCAGCCAGCTGTGACTGAGTGTGCAGGGACCTTCTGCAAAGAGCAACACAGACAAAAGACAACTTCACTATCTCCACCCAAGAGTCAAAATCACTTCACACATTTATGCTGTTTGTGATATTACAGCAGCTAGTTTTTTAAAAATGAAATCTAACCCCTCCACTGACGTCCACTGCAGTGGGTTTAAATAAGCACTCAGTGTTCAAAGTGGATTTTGAATCAAGTCATTTTTGCTGCTTTCACTTGAGTTTATAATCAAACTGTTAGTTTCTTCATCGATGACAACCAACTAGATCTTGACTCCAGCTGAGTTTATTTCTTTTTACACCTTCAACTCCACGCCTGAAATACTGATCATATAGTATACTGAGGTCTGAAGGCTGCTGGTGCTAACTCTGCTACTGTTACCCCAGATTTCCACTGCATCCGAAACGGCAGCAATTTTGGATTTCAGACAGCGGGAATCATGAGAACTCACAGGAAACAATGGATTCATGTGCAATCGCGCGATAACGAGTTGTCTCTGTAAAAACAGCCACATAACCATGTAGACTGTGTCCTTCCAGAGGAGGAAATCCACCTCTACACTTCTAAAATCAGCATCTCCTCATCCATGATGTCAACGGGGTTAAATGCGGTCTAGAAACCTTTCACTTGTTCGTCTCCGCCCGTTTGCATGGTGTGAAATATGATCCGCCTGAAAGCCGGATGTTTTATTTTGTGTCTGTGCCCGACTTCCTTTCCGGCACGGGTTAATCTGTGCTGAATTTATCCGGCAAGCTCCGGCGTTCGGAAAGAATAGAACTCTTGCGATCTGGTGGAAATTGACACATTAACTTTAATGGTTACAACCAGCTACGATCGGCAGATACGACCTTTCCGTAGTTGTGGTCTCGTGTTTATCTGTGTTTGATACATGATTTCTGAGTGTTTACAGTGAGACGCCTTGAAGGCCTCACAGTGAATCGGATTGTTCTCTCCTATTTGCAGCGAGCCTGTAAACACTGGTCAAGAAAATCACCCTCTGTGTGCTTAAACTGTCACAGTCAGTGTTTGAATGTGACTCTGTTTGCATCACCTGCTGAATTATTGAAGTCAGAAAACCAAACTGTGTTTTTGTTCTTTTTAAACGGCTCAATGTAACGACTCCATCCGAGGTTTCAACCTCTGAGCCGGACATTTGACTGAATGAGGTGTTACATTTTCAACATGGGGATGATTTTCATTCAGTCGAACATCCGTGTGTGTGTTTGTTTGTGTGTGTGTGTGTGTGTGTGTGTGTGTGTGTGTGTGTTCTGTAAAGTCACCTTCAAAATGAGCCACATTTTGATCATGTCCTGCTGAGAAGTCTGACAGGATCCTCGTTTTCAGCATCAAGTGTCTGTTCTGGTAAAATGTCAGGCGCTAACACACATGTATCTCTCCTCTGTGGCAGTTCTGAGGTGTATTTTTTGCCCACACTGATTTTCTGTTCAGCCACCAGTGAAAAATACACACACTGTGTCACCATGACACCAAAGCCTTCAAACAGGGCGGTATTAGAGAGGTGACTCACTGAACTCCAGCGGCTCACCTAATATCAGGAGACATTTTTCTTGGGAGTAATCCAGCTTCTGCTTATTAGACGTGTTAAAATAACAATCGAGTTCTAACTGATCACAGTCTCACATGGTTTTCCTCCATGTTCTCCAGGCTCCGAGGAGCAGCTGTATCCAGTGTAACTGCAGGGTTAACCCCAGCTGTGTGATGTGCGGTGGCTGGCCCACCCCCAGAGAGGACCCCCAGTACGAGCTGCCCACCCTGGAACGCCTGTCAAGGCTGGATCGTGGCGTCCACCCCATCCTCTCCTTCCCTGATGGTCAGTGCTGAGCCGCCGGCTCCGTTTACGCAGCCGTTTCCTTCTTTACTTCCAGAGGGGAAGACAAACAAGGAGTGGCTGAGGAGATATCTCTCTCCAGGAAGTTGATTGAAAACATTTTCAGATTATCCTTTTGATGATGTCATTTCCTCCTCAATCCTCAGTTTCTGCTTTTCCTCCTTTTTTAATGATTCAAGTCTGTTTTTAAAATCTTGTTTTATATCCAAGTTTAGAAACACAAAGTGTTCCTCCATTAAAAACATGAACCACATATTTCTTCTACATAATTCAGACGAGTAGTATTTACAACTACAAGACAGCAGTGCGTTTGGCTCTGGTTCATATAGTAGAACGCCCGTGGCTCATCATACATTTTGTATTGTATTGTGAATGGCTAATGTGGAGTTACAGATGGTGAAGTCCAAGTCTCCAGTTTTTTTCAGCGCTCTCTTGTTTGTAAACCGCTTCAGTCTCCTGGACGAGAGTTTCAGACCTCTTTGTTTTCCTCCCGCAGACGTTTACGTCGGCCTCCGTCTGCAGCAGGTGATGAAGAGCCAGTGGCAGAACAAGTCACTGGAGAGGAGCAAACCACTGAAGAAGCTCTCCCTCAAACACAAGCTGTCCTCGTCCAAAGAGAAGCACAAGTTCACCAACTCCCTCATGGCAGTCAGTAAGTGCCCATGCTTTGGCGAAGCTGTCTGCCAGTCCTCTAACGAATCAGCGCTTTAACAGAGAGAGCGTCCAGGAGTGTCCTGATATTAACCACTGGATCGAGGCCAGTCTGCACATTTTTGATTCAGCTGGGATTGACAGTTTGAGCCGATCGTCTCACCCGATCATCTACGCTCTCTGGGTTTGCCTCGCTGTATTTACTTAATGAGAAAGTACAAAACAGGGCGTGGGTGTGAAACTTGAAGTGCATGAACAGATTAAAGCAAACGCTCCTTTAAAACAGCCTACAGTAACTTTCCTACATGACACACGGTTCAAGTGCACACTTATGTCATCTGAGCAGGAAAAACAGATAATATACGAATTTGACAAGAATTACTCACTTATTTGTGTGATTTAAACAAACAGTGTACAGCTCTATTATGGAGGCAGAGCGTCAGATCTGGACTCAGTCGGACAGATACTCATTAAAAAGCCAAAAACAGACGATTAGGACATCCTGAGTGAGTTCATACTGAAGCAGCACCTCATTCTGCAAAAAAACAGAGTCATACATTTAAATGAGTGATCTTGAAGCCACATTAAACATGACTGTGATTATTTCAATAAATAGAAGAGCGGTGACTCTCAGTGCTGACTTCAGTCAAAGCTTTGAGCTGATTTTATGTATTTTCAAGCTCTTAAGTCAAGTTTAAGTTGAAGTAAATTGTCTTTCTATAGAATTAGGGGGAGAAAATCACCTGAACAGGGACGTTAATGTGAATGTCACCCTGTTAATTAAGTGTTTCTAAATACCTTATTTTTCACACTATAAGACGCACTCAAAAATCCTCAGTGTGCCTTATGTATGAATTCTGGTTGTGCTTACTGACCTCGAACCGAGCGCTCAAAAATCTGTCAAATGTTTTACTACGACTTCATTAAGCTACAAAGCTGCACATCCTGATGGCTTGTTGGAGCACTTTGTTTGGCTTAATGCGCTTTATAATCTGGTGCGCCTTATAGTGCGAAAAATACGGTAGCTGTATAGCCTTTTCCGTCTTTGTTTTACTCACTCCAGTTGTTTGTATTTTCACTGTTTGTCCCAGTAAATATTTCTGTCACCACACCGCTGAGCAGTCCCAGCTTCCTTATTCTCCTGTGGTGTGTTCTTACAGCTCGACTGAACTCCAGCAGCTACTATCATATCAGTTTAGAGGCTCAAGACACCAAAAAAAGAAAAGATGATATTAAAATGTTTAACTTTAAAATCTCCAAATATTCATGATGTGACTTGCTGGTGGTGTTGCAGGACTGGGCCACTTTAAGAACCGAGCTGAGAAGCAGAGGACAATGGACAGCGGCGTCGGCAGCAGCAGTTCTGTTCTGAACGCCACCCGGCTGGAGGGCCAGGCTGTGTGCAAGGCCGAGCGGCTGCAGGGCCTCTCCACCCCGCTGGGGCCCTACGACAAGAACTACAGCTGCAAGAGACTAAGAGAGCACTCGCTGGACCGAACCGACAGTGAGTGTTTCTGGATGTTTCTCAGGTGTTCATTTGAGGTGACTCTGAATCTAAACGCTCTTCTCTCCCGTCCTCCAGCCTCACCCAAACTCTTCCTGGAGTCGAGCAGCTCCTGCCCCTCTCTGCCCAACATGCACTCGTCCCTCCACAGCCCCCTCACACGCCAGCTGTCCACGTCCTCAGAGAACTCCACACCGCTGGGCACCGGCAGCCAGAGCGTCCCCAACACACCTGTAAGGAGACACGCTGAACCAGAACTTCCTGTTTGTCTGCTTTAGACCTGATGATAAACAAAAACCAGAAAGATCGAACCTCTGCTGTCAGATTTTAAAGTCCAGACTGTTAAAAAAAAAAAGATCGAATGGCAAATTTAAAGCAGCACCACAACCAAAACTCTTTGCAGAAGTGAGAATGAGCTAAAAGCGAAACTTGCCTCCTGAAACAGCGTCATGTGACGTAAACCTTAACTTTTAAGTCGTGTTACTGACAGATAACACACATCAGACTCCTCAGACATGATTATCATGAAGTGAGAGGGCGGCCAGGTGGAAAACAGAAAGTAAACTCAAACTGAAACTTCTTCGCTCTGCGGTCTCGCTTGTTTATCTGCAGCTGCTGAAGCAGAGCGGCAGGAAACAAAAACACTTGTGGTAGACGAACAGAGCAGCACACGTCTGTCGAAATACACTCAATAACACAAAAATGTTGTATTTTATACGTTTAAAACCAAGAGGCACAACCTTTAAAGTCGCAGCCTGTGACTTTAAAACTGAGTTAGTAAATGTCACTGAGCATGTGCAGGAAAATCGAAGATGAGAAACACGAATCACTCCTCTTATCATTTTTTTAATTGATCTTTTGGTCAGACACATACAGAGAAAAACATATACACCTATAAGTTAAAAAAACACTTGAATATATTGTCTTTTTTCTCCTTTTTCATAGTCTGTCATCTTTTTTTCTTATAATTTAACTTTACAAACAAGAACACACATTCTTAACACAAATATGAGTCTGCAAAAACACACAAACAAGTCAGACTTACACCAAAAAATAAATAAAAATAAAAATAAATAATAAAATTTCATTTTATTTGTGCAGCGCTTTTAAAAACACTCAAAGACGCTTTACATAGTACATAAAACCCAAGGTAATAAAGCAAAGACACAAAAACAGTAGAAATAAAATGAATAAAACAGTTAGATATTAAAAGCAATTTTAAATAAATGAGTTTTTGAAAGGGATTTAATACACCCTAGGAAGTCTACCTGTATACAGTGGAATACAGTATCCTGCATTAAAAACATATAAAAAAGAAATATGCAGAGGTAGCCAGTGTTAATTTTTCACATCCTGCAGTTCGAGGTAGGAAATAGCTCCATATTTCAGCAAACAGATCCTCCCTACCAGCCGCTCTATAAGACATCCGCTCATAACCTGCCATTGAGCTCAGTACCTCCATCCACTCCCTAAAAGTGGACGAGGTGGAAGATTTCCAGTGGCGTAAAGTTATCCCCGTTAACGTAGCTAAATGACACCATGATTTTCTGGGTTTTGACATATGGATACTCCCCTATCATCGTGTATGAACCTTGAACACTGACGCCTCTCCTCGTTAAATTTCCCCCCAGCAGCAGCCCATCAAGAGGCGGCGAGGAGAAAGCTCTTTCGACATCAACAACATCGTGATCCCCATGTCTGTGGCCGCCACCACCAGAGTGGAGAAGCTGCAGTACAAAGAGATCCTCACCCCCAGGTAAACACACCTGACCGACCGCCATCATGTTTGGTCTGAAACCGGAGCTCCGACCGTCTGCAGGCTTCACTTCTCCCTGTTTTGTGTTTCAGTGAATATTTCATGCATTTATTTTGGTTTCTGCTCCTGCAGTTGGCGATCAGTGGACATTTTCTGTCAGCCCATCACTGAAGAGGAGAACGAAAGAGAGGTGAGTTAACCTTCACTTTCAGTATTTTCCCAGAGTTTTACAGCAGAGTTCGTGTTCATGATGAGCTTTAAAAAAAAGTAGATAAAAAAAAAAAAAACACTCATTTGAATAATTGAGTTTATTCAGGCAAAGGGAGATGAGGGAAAAGTGACACCTGGTGGTCAAACACTGAAAGTTCATGGTCCTTTTTTTTGAATGCAGATGATTTTGGTTAGCTTCTCTGCTCAAAGAAAAGCTGCACCAGATAACGAAAGTTTATTTTAATTCTTTGCATCATTTTGCCTTTAAAATGTCAGAGAGCAGTGATAACATCTCTCTGAACCTGAGCTTTAAGACGTTTTCAGTTCACCAGGTACAGGTGGATTTAAAGGAGGGATAAAACGCTCGTCATGGACAGTAACGTTTAAAACGTCTATTCCCTCTAAAGGTGGAGGATCTGACAGACGCCGCCTTCACTCAGCTCCATCAGCCGTACGAGGACCAGGAGCGTTCCCGTTGGACTTGGATGGCTCTGGCTCCGGCCAAGAGGAGGGGCAGCAGGTCAGTCCCCGCCCCTGTCCCCACACAAACGCCGTAACTGAAAAAGGCGTTCACAGTCGAGCAAAGATCCTGACGTCTGTGTCTTTCCTCAGGTCGTACAAATCTGTAGACGGGCGGACCACGCCGCTGCTGTGCGGGACAAACCCTCCCACCCCCCAGCCTGCGTCCCCTGACCCGGGTCACTGCCCCATGCTGCACGACTACAGCCACGTGCCCTCGCCCATGAGCCCCGCCAGCCCTGACACCACCTCCAACCCTCACACGCCCTGCTCCAGAGACTCCCACCGGCTGCTGTCCAGTGAGGACACACGCTGCTCCACGCCAGACTTCACCTTTGAGGAACGGGTACGAGTCTGGTTTTTGATTGGTTCTGCAGCCTCCTGTTATGCTGAGTTTTGTTCATGTTGTGACATGATAAGCCCCAGAATGTAGCAGAAGATGTGCTGCTGTAGTTTTTGTTTCTCTGGAAGTCCCTGCTGTCCTCTCCTGTGTTTGACTTTAACTCGCTCAGGACTGATCAAAGTCGTTTCCTGATTAAAATCGATAGTTTTCTAATATATTTGTGTCGGTCTGTGAGGTCCAAAACCAAGATGATCCTTTTTTTGTTCCTCTACAAAAACAAACCAGAAGAAAAACCTGACAAGAATCCTTTGTCTCTTCCAACGATATTAAATTAAAAACAACTGAGACGTGACCGGACACGAAGAATCAGATTCTTTGTCTGGAGAACTCTGAGTATACTGATGAATGACTTGGAAGAGCGCTGAAGTGAAAAACCGCTAAATTTGATTGGACTGACATGTTTCAAAATAACAACAGAACCAGATTTGGACCCGAACACAGAGAGGAGTTGCCAGCAGTTTTCTTTCAGAGCCAGAAGGGGAAGAAGTGACGGTCACAGGATCCAAAGAATTAGACGAACAGAAAAAAGTCTCAGAGAAGACAGGATACGCGTTCGAAAAAAAATAGTGACGTCTGAAATAATTGCACGACAAAAACGGTCCCGGTGTGCAAAGAGCTTAAGAGAGAAACTGTCGGTTGTATCTCTGTTTTTCTGAGCTGTGTCGTCTTGTCTCCGCAGACGGTAGCGCCGTGGGAGCGCCGCGGCTTCCCCCTGCCAGAGGACCCGGCCCCGGAGCCCGAGCCGGAGAGCGACCACCACATCAGGCCCAGAATGCGCAGCATCTCAGGTTGCCGAGCGACGGCCTACGGGCGGCTGGACTCGGACGACACGGAGCTGCCTTGTGACGACGACAGCGGCGGCATCGTCCCCAGACACAAGGCCTCCTCCTCCTCCTCCACCCACCGATGAATGACTGACAGGCCGAGGCCCCGCCCCTCGCCCCGCCCCTCACAGCTCCTCTCTGGCATTAACAAGCAGAACCTCAAAGCAGAATAAGATATTAAATGGGTTCCTGTTGTTTGATATTCAAACATCAGTCTAATACTTTTCACAGTTTTTAGTGAATATTATGGAGATAGAAGCCTTTCCCTACACTTGTTTTTGTCACAGGAAAAAAAAGGATAAATGTAAAAAAAAAAGTATAAAACAACACGTTACAAAAAATGTTTTCTGTAGTAGGCTAAACAATGTACATGGGGGCTTAGTGGTGTTTCATATGTCGCGTGTACACTTGTAGCGCACTATGTAGCGGACTCCTCAAAATATGGCCAAAGGGTGTTTTCTATTGACTAGTTTGCTTGTAATTCCCATGTACATTTTTAGTGGAGTGACAAATAACAAAACAAGAAAAAATACCCCCTCCTCCTCCTTCTCCTCCTTCTCCTCCTTCTCCTCATCCAAATAAACAGGTACATTTGAGATGTGGTTCCTTCTTCTCCCTCTAGAGGTCGCCTGAAATCACCAGAGCACTTCTCCAAACTGCCAAGTCTGGTTTTGTTGGTTTGCTTTCTCTGTTTGTTTTTTCATTCCTGACATGTTTTATTTGTGTCTGTTCTGTTTGTTTCAGCGTAACACATTCTTTGTGTGTTTGTTCTTTGTTTTTCTTTTGAAATAGTAAAAAATCATTCCTTTACAGTCTCTGTCCTGAGAGTGTCAGCCCCCTCCTCAGCTCTCCCCTTCCCCTCAGTTTTGTTTCAAAGAGGGTGACAGACACACACACAGGACAGGGGTCTTTTTGAGCACTTGCCCTACAAAGAAAGCGCTGCTGCTGCATGCTGGGAAACATGCTCGTGTTAGTCTTATCACAACAGCACACAGTAAGATCTCCACGTATTAAACAAAAGAGGAAAAAGAAGAAACAGTAGGTAACAGGGATGATTGTACCATCTGCTAACTTTACTCACTTCCCCTCCTTGTATACAGTTCTCGCTGTATTTAAAGAAGATAAAAGTGGAAAAAATAAACATAATAACCCTCCACTCGCCCGTAGTCCTCTTTCTTCTGGTTCAGCTTGACAGATTTTTCTCTTGCAAACGTTCAAATGTAGCAGCTCTCAGCTAAAATCCACCCTGAGCTCAGGTTTTCAACGTAAGGGAATATTTTCTGCTGTTAAATAGTTTCACTCTCAGACTGATCACACCTAGACTGCTCAGTTTTAAAGAAGGATTTCGTTTCTGCCCCCTCCCCTCATACATACACTCAAACGTCATAACCACACTCTCTCCCCCCTTGCCCCGACCCACCCCCTTCTTAAGTAACTAATTGCTATGCAAAAAAATCTATGGTTGTTTTCATTTTACACCTCCTTTTTATGCCACAGCCATTCAATCACTGTTTTTTCTTTTGTAGTTAAGATGTCGATGTACCTGTTCGATTGTTGCAGCAGTTAACCTAATCAAAAAGCAGAATTGTTTTTTCTTTTTTGTAAATAGTACCATTAAAACATTTATGTTTAACTTGGCGCAAGTGTTCTGGCCTCGAGTTTTTCAGTGTCCAAACTGTCTGAAGTCACTTTCTCACAGCTTAATGATTCTCTTAGCAGCAGGAACTCGTCGTTTTCCCCTCTATTCATCATTTTGTGTTTGTGCGTTTGTAGAAAATAATACAAGACAGGTGCAAGAATGTGAATCTGAAGAAGGCAGCAGCTGTGACTTTTTTATTTATTCATTATAAGGCTGACTAAGTTTCAGGTAAGAGTGAGACTGTGCACTCTGAGGTAAGATGTGCTGTGAATGTATAATACAATAGGTTATCTTCATATCAAGGATGAAGAATATGTTAATGGTTGACTTGATTCTGTGGTAAATGTCAAATCTATTATATTCCAAGAAAAAAATGGGTCTTTTTTTCTGATCAACAAGATGATTGTTTCAGTTATGAGAAAATTTTTTTTAACATGTTTTCTTCTGTTATTTTAAAATCACAAGTTCAATACAGTATTTAAAAGAAAAAACTACATTTTCCAACAATTCTCAGATAATTTTGTTAATTCATAAGTTTTTATTCATGGAAAAAAAAAAAAAGATTATCGTAAATTTTAGGTAATTATTTTGTTTATTAAAAAAAAGTCATCCATTAAAATTTCCCTTGTTTCTGAGATTATTATCTTGTACCTCAGCCAAACTTAGTTTTTCCTTTCCAAAGTGAATGCAATCGTTTTTGTATAATTCTGAACAAAAAGTTAGGTCGAACTAGCATCGGGCTAAAGCTTGGAGTTTTAACGGTAATATTTAAAAAAAAAACTTACTGTCAACCTTAGTTTCATTTAACCTCACTTTGCTTAAAGACGGGGAGGAAATGTGTCATGAAAGTATTAATTAATCAAAATTATTAAACTGAATTAAAAAAAACTCATTCTGATTAGCAGAGCCAGCCCAAGGCATAAGCGAACTGCGGCAACGTTCATACTGCAGGTTATGATGCACAATTTGGATTTTTCGTCCACACTCCAGTCACGTCGGATACATATCAGATTTATATCCATATACAAGAGGCCTGGGTTGGATTTGAAAAAATCAGAATTGCACTGTTCACACTTACATGAAAAAATCAGATATGTGCTACATTTAGTTAAAAAATCGGAATTGAGCTGCAGTGTGAACATAGCCTAAGCACCTCCGCCTCCTAAGGACCAGCTAGCAATCCAATATATATATATATATATATATATATATATATATATATATATATATTTTTTTTTTTTTTTTTTTTTTTTTTTTTGCTTGTATGAGTGATGCTTTCTGTATGATCACATATATATTATTGTAAAAATAAAGTAAAAACATTTTAATGCTGCTGCTGATGGAGGCCTATGATTCTCAATGCCGATATGTCTAAGCTCCTCTACCGTTATGTGCCTTCTACTGTGCAATGTGCACTGAGCATTCGAAGTGCCGGTAGTTGTGAGGCAAAACAATTTCGCAAGAAAGGACATATCCTTCAGAAGCAGAGAAAAGAAAGAGGAAGAAGAGAAAGAAACGCCAAGATAAAGGTATGTTCGAATGTTATGGAATGTTAATCAAAGAGATTTGTAAATGTGTGTAAATGATCAACAATCAATATTATTGGCAGAAATAGAGGACCCCAAAATCAAATCTTGATCAGGGCCCCATTGAGGCTTGGGTCGGCTCTGCTGAGAAGTCAAAATCCCGTAATTATGGTTTCAACCTGATCACTCACGCTGTATCGATCCGCGGAAAGAAGTCCGGCTTACTTCACCCTTCACCCGTTGATACGACAGCGACCGTTAGCACTTTCCGTTAGCATTGGAAGTCGGTAACCAACATAAAGGATTTTTAATAACATTTACCATAATTTTTGAGCGCGAAACTGGAGTTTGTGGCAAGAAAACGAAAAAAGAAGACGAAAGTTTGAGAAACGATGACCAAACCGAAGGAGACTGAAAGCACACAGGAGGCTCACGGTCTGCGTGTTAGCATCGTTACCGGTTGGTTAAAGAAAAGGAAAATGTCAACTACCAGTCTGAAGACTTTTATCAGGTACAACAGTCATTTTATGCATCAGTTTTTAATGTCAAGGGTTTTGAGTTTCCCTGAATTAAGTGTGAAATTCAATGTCAATACAACCGCAGGTAGGCTGCTAAAAGTACAGTAACCATGGAAACACTACCAGTCCTGGAAATAGTGGAACTATTTTATGTATTTATTTATTAATTGTCATTTTCAATCAATTGAAACATCCTTAAAGTTTATATTTTATGACAACCAGTGTGATAATTGATTCCTAATGGGTAGATTTTTTTAGAATATCACCAAAACCGGTGTCAAATTAAAGTCAATTAAATATCATTTTAAATAATTAAAATTACTTTTATGTTGATGAGAGTGAGGTTTTCGACCTGTCCCCAAAATAAAATAATCTCAATGGAAAGAGAGACTAAAGTACTGCTAACATATGTACCATGTATTGCATAGTTCTTATTAGAAATATTGTATTTTGTTGAGTCTATGTCGGTAACAGGGTTGACAAGATTATGAAAACAGCCAGATAAAAAACAGTTGTAAAATATAAAATAACACAGCCTGAGATGGCACAATATCATTTCCTGCCATTTTAAACATTCTCTGGTTCCTGGGTACTGAAAAATTAAAAATTAAATAAAGTTTTAATCTTAAATTTTTTTATGGAATGACCCATAAAACCTGCAGTATCACCCCTTTTGTTTTATCGTTTCCCTTATGTGTGAATTGATGCAATTGTGGAAAAGATGGAGCCATTTCTGCTCATGTTGAAATCCCATCAAGACGACAGCAACAGTGACTTCATAGCATTTATTTTCAAATACACATATACAGCAACAAGAATCATCATAAACCAGTTATTGATAAAATGCACAATAACGAGAACAATCACATTTCCACAACTGTACAGCGTCAGAAATAACCGAAACAAAAAAACAAAACAAAACAAAGAAAAGAGAAAAGAAAAAGGTGATGAGTTTTGTTACTGCAGAAACCTCCCCCGAACAGAGAGGGACCACTAAAGCACACAAACTTTAGCCCACACCTTTATCACTTCTCTGCTGCTGCTGAGGAGGGATGAACTCCCAGACCCTCACACTCACACACACACACTCCTTAACACACACGCTTCTTCATCCCGCACACTGAGACGACTGTGCTCCGTCCGAAAAAAAGAAAGTAGCATGCAGATTATGTTGCAAGCACACCCTTAAGTCCTATGTGTCTGATCTTTAACTTAAATTATTTGTGATTTATAGAGATTTTATTTCGACATACACAGCTGGGAACAGATTCAGTATATCCTTTTAGATCCAGAGAGCATATATAAACAGGATATACAAAAGAGAGATCGCTTAAAGAAAGGGAGGCAACAAGCAGACAAGCTGGCTCTTACATGAGGTGCATGCAAGAAGTTATTTCACATAATATTCATGTGAGTATTAGAGATGAATCTGCGGGAATATTGATCAACATTAGGACCTTTGAGAGCACCTGGATGCAGATTTTTTTGTCTTTTTCACAGGAACATGTTCTGGATACTTCTTGAGGATTCTGCAGCTGGTTGCATTCATGCCGTTTAACAAATAGAAGATTTTTTTTCCACTGATAATCCTTCAACATCATTTCTAATCTGTGGCCTTAGATAAGAACGTCAATATAAAGGCCAAAGGTATGTGGACCACCAGGAATACTGAAGCACTTTATCTGGCTTTCGTGCTTTGGTACCAATTAAGAAGACTGGCCACCACAAGGGGGCGCAAGATTATTTTGACAGGGACCCTTCCTTTTTAAAATGATAAAACTTTTTAGAGGTCAGTCCGATCTGAATATAAAGCCATTTTTAGAATCTCAGGGGAAAACTCAACTTAAAGTCTGTTGGCTAAACTCTTTTTCTTATCAATTTATTTAGTGACAATTTCAGTTCACCTAAAAATTTCAGGTGTCCACATACTTTCGGCCAAGTGGTAAACTTTGCAACCAGTTGACATCACACCATGTTTCGATATATCCAGGCTGAGACGTAGTGATTTATTTGATGACGAGTTTTTTTGCTGTACAGTTTCTTCTCCTTCTCTTGTCGCGTGCCAAAATCCCTCATTTCAACTTGGCCCAATCAACCTTCATCCATCCATCCTTCATCCATCTGTCATCCGTCCATTCGTCAGTCTGTTTTTCCAGACAGTCAAACTCATTCTGGTTGAGTGAATTTTAAAATACTAGATTTTTTTATTTGTTAAAGTGAGACTATGTAACTACGTTTGAGTGGAGTAAAAAAAAAAAAGACTCCTCCTCGTATTGACTAAATGTTAACGCAGTTATATGCAGCATTTCATATTTATATACATAAAGAGGATTCACTGCTGCAGTCCTACTATGTCTGTTGTATCACTTACTTATGTTAGCTTCCGCTAGCTAGTATGGGTTAGGTAAATATGACATTACAGAGACCTCATGACTCCTCTAATAATGTGCTAAAGAGCACTTCAGTATAACTCTGTTTAGCCTGAAAACTGTGGAGATGTAGGCTGTGTCTGAAATGAATCACTCAGTCCCTAACCCCCATATGTGGTTTCACTATATAGCTGACTATGTAATGAGCTCGATCACTGGGGGTTTCGGACACTACATGGCGCACCGTTGTGACGTCACTGCTCAGACTGCCGCGTCTGAAGTTGCGTCTGTTGTTTTCATATTTCTTGAATTTTATGATGTTGTGTAGATGTTTTTGTTTTTCCAGGATGTTCATGAAATAAAAAGAAAATAAAGAACCAATTAATTGATAATTTTTTAAAAAGGCCCTATATTTTCGTGCCGAATATTGTCAGCTGAAAATGGCAAATAGAGCTCATGTTCTGTCTCTTCTTGCTCTCGTCATCTCCATCTTTGAATTGCCGCTGGAGACACAATGCGTGACGGGATGCCCACCACCGGCGAGTGACCATCAGATGGTCACTACATTTTGCAATGCTCTATGGGAAATTTTGAGTCGCCTATATCGGGCATTGGAATTGATCGCTCAGGTTTCGCACACCCCTCAAAATGGCTCAAAATAGTCGCCTATACAGGGGTTAGGGATCCATTTCAGACACAGCCGTAGTTTTGATGAAAGGGGAAAGTAACTTTTTTCCACATCTGGAACTCAACATGTCTGCCTCAGTCTGTAACTGTTTAAAATATCATGATTCAATGTTATGTATAAAGAGAGTGGGGGTAATTAAAACACAAAATGTCTGGTTATTTAAAGCTCCAGTGAAGACCTTTCTGTTTGTGCTGACTTTGGCGCCCCCGAGTGGTCAGAGTGATACCTTTTCTTTCTTACCTGAAAACGCATGAGTGTGTTACAGGCTTCGCACCAGTGCTTCTCAACCTTTTTGAGTCACAAATCATAAGTGTTCGAAGCCCCACAATCATCTGGCAACGCCTTCAAATGTTTTTGCAATCCCTGTTCAGAATGTTAGGAACCCGTTTTACGCAATTAGCAGCGAAATGTAAATAGACCTTGTCGTATAAAAACATATTAGCACCATAATTTCTGTTTGAACGGAGCGTTTGTTTGCTTAGCTTTAGCTGCACTGAATGTACCCCGGCATAATAAGTGCTGTGCTTGTAAAACACAAGGGAGTTTTCAACAAGCCAACAGTCCTGTTTAAAGCTCCTGTCAGGACGTTTGGCACTGCCGCCGTAAAAATTTCAACCTCATTTGTGATATTTTAACAATCGTTTGTATCACTCATGGGGGATCTTTGCTGTATTTAAAGGTCAAACTCTACACTGATGGTTTGTTTGCTTTTGTTGGTCATAAAGCAGTATCAGTGTTGATTTCAGCCTGTTTCATAACCAGCTAAAAGTTCCTCACAGGAGCTTTAAATTAGCATTCTGTTATGTTTCCCCCTGTACTTATTTGATGATTCACATGTAGCATCAACTGATAATGTCCTTTTTGTAGAAGTTACGTAGTCTCGCTTTAAGATTTACTGTTTCGTAGTTTCAATAGCGTTATTCTACCTACCTGTAATGTGCATAATGCAGTTTAAATAGCGTAGTCGTGATGAGCTTCCTTGTCATAATTTGGCCATGTACGTTACACTTTAAAGGTTAGTTTCCTCCTCATATGTCAAGCTGAAGCGCATTTACAGTAAAGCAGTAACAAAAAAAAAGAAAATCAAAAATAACACTGACAGTAGCAGGCACGATACAAATGTTTCTTCATATCAAATACATGTCATATATCCACAGAGTACGATTATAAAACTGTGCCCAACACAAACCAAAGTTTCTACTCTAGCCGTTCCGTTATTTTTTTAAATCCAGGTTGCACCTACGTCAGCTCGAGGTGCAGCACATGTCGGGACTACACGAAGCAAAGACAGCAGCGAGGTCTGAAAGCATTTTTTTTTCTGTCTCAACGAAAAAAGTTTGCTACTTTTCATGAACCGTTTTTCCTCTTTCGCTCCCTCACCGTACCCTGTTGACTGTTCCTTCTTTCGCTTTAGCACAAACTGGCACCTAACAGTCTTGCTTTTCCCTCCATCTCACAAGCTCTAGCTGTATTAGAAAAAGAAAAGGAAACAAAAGTGGACACCCACCGAAGGGGACGCTGAAAACTTCCTAAAGGGTTCACAGTCAATGTGACAGGAAACCGAGTGCTGAATGGTTCACTGGGATATGCATGAAGAGATTTCGTCAGATTCACAGGGAGAATTTGGCTCTGCTGGGGTGCTTTAACTCTTAAAGGGAAACTTACAAAAGGTGGAAAGAGCAAATAAAGACCACAGAGAGAAATTAAAGACATGTCGGCCTACGTGTTAATGTTTCTTTTCCTCTTAAGAACAGTTTCAAAGGTTAGTGAAGGATAAACAGTGATGGGTAGCTAAAAACGTCCTGTGAACATAATGAGGAAGGCATCACAACTCCTCTAATGTGGTCGTGTAGTGGAGGTGAAGGAGGAGGAGGAGGGAGGAGGAAGAAGAAGAGGAGGAGGAGAAGAGGTGCATTCACAAGCCTTGTTTGGCCAGGGAGGCGGACACCTGGTCAGCCAGCGTGGAGAGCTGCGGGGAGTCGGCCATGTTGATGCTGCCGGAGGAGGACACGGTGCTGAGCTGGTGGGGGGAGTCTTCCAAAGAGACGATCTCAGCGCCGTGGTCAGTGCGGGCCTTGGCTGTCTCACGGAAGCTCAGTTTGTGGCTCTCAATCTGCAGCGGAACCACAGGAGAAGGTCACTCATGCTGCATGAAGTGTTACTCTGACAGGATGAAGGGCGCCCTCTAGTGGACATCTGGATAAGCTGAATAATGAAACAGACACCTGCCTACCCAGGTGCCTGGGTCAAAACACAAGCACTGGGGTGACCGAGCCTCTTCAGTTTCTGGCCCCACTGAAATAGACTAATTTCCAACCTGAGCCTTTTTAAATCTCCATTGAAAACATACTTATTTATGCTGGCTTTTAATACCCAGTAGCTTGGTGACACTTTATGTTATTGCACTGTATTTTATTCTTTTTAAATTGCTTTTATTGTTTTTATTTATTCATTTTTATTTTCTTTTGTAAAGCACTTTGGTTCACTGAAAGGGTTGTTGTAAAGGGCTGTATAAATAAAGAACATTTACATTTACAAATGCAGTGGTGGTAATGATTCCATCTGACATCAGTACGTTTTCAGTAGAAAATGCAAAATACATACGATGAAGTTTTTATGACTGAACCGTGAATACTGTACAAACATCTCAAAAATTCTACCTGGCCTGTAAGTAAATTTAAAAAAAAAAGGAAAAAAAAGTTAAAAAAAGAAATACACTGACGAGGAGTTCCATTGCGTAAAAAAAAAAAAAAAAAAAAGTTCCATTGCGTAATGACGTTAAAGTGACGCCACCGAGCGTGACCGTTGACCGTTACCAGTCGTTCTTCGGTATGAAGTGTTCGTTTTGTTTTTACCATTTCAGCATATGGCTTGAAAGGGCGACAAAAGTCAGATGTATTATGAAGCACACAAAAAAATCGTGTCAATAAACTATTTATTGACCACCTTATTTTTGTTACTGACAGGGACCGTGAGGGAACAACTGGCGTCGTTAGCTAATCCCGGAAACATCGATGCTAGCAACCATAGTGACAGACGTCGTCTCGACGAAACCGGTGTTTTTTTGGATGGATGAGGAGCGTTGAGACGGAGAAAACAGACGAGAAGAGCTGCACTGACACCATGAAGGTAAGCTACTCCTGCTTTATAAAGTAAAACGCGGTTAGCGGCAGGTAGCCGCTAGCTCGTACGAGCTGGTGTTATGCTTAAAGGTGTTACCGTGCTTACTAATGACTGTTAGCAAAACGCGTCCGTGTTTGTCGCGGTAACGGCCGCAGTTGAAAACGGAAAGATGATGGCTACCTTGTCAAAACGTCCCATTTTTATTATTTTTTACTAAAACATATTTTTCTGAACAGGATGTGTACGTTGTGTTCCCTTCTTTTGTTCTGTAGAAAGATTTGTAAATTTGGTAACGAGCTCTATATCCAGGAGGACCATTAGGTTAACTCTCGAATTTTCTCTAGTTATCTTGTGGGAACAAGATTATCAGAATCTGTTTTCCTCTTCTTTTTAAATTCAATGTCATATTTTTGTAGTCCTTTAATGCCCAAAACCACAAATTATGGCCAGAAAATTCAAATTTTTGGGGGGCTGAAATATTTATTTCACTTACTTCACATCCATAAAATTTTATAAATATAATTATTTATCTTGTTTGATACATGAGATGTTTTTGGAAACTGATAAACTATAGGAGGACATTTTTATCATATATCGGACTGTATTCAAGTGTTATTTTAGTAATTTGTTGATCATATTGATTTGATAGAAGTATATAAAAGTATGTATCAAATATGATACAAAAGGCATTAAAGGGTTAATGTTGCTTCTACTGGTCTCTCGATTTATCGTTGAAAACTGCTATTATCTTTGACAAGTTTAAACATTGTGCAGCAGTTTGAAGCATCTAACAACACACAGCTGGTGAGTACTTACAGGAGTCCTCAATCTTTATGAGGGGGTTCGTCAGGATAGGTGTGATGGGTGCTGAAGGGACAGTCTGAGGTGACTGAGGGGGGGTGACAGCAGGGGAGGGGATGGAGGGGGTGCCGGAGGTGCTCCCCTCTGCTTCCTTCCCCTTGTCCCTCTACAGAGGAGCCCCCAGCAAGGGAAATGACAAAGCATGCAACAAAAATACACGTGATGGCATCAACAGAAATCAAAACGCAACACAATACATGAAGAAATAACTGGCCCAAAAAAATAGAAGAATTAAAAAATGATAATGAAGACAAAAATAGCTGGATGGAGGAAATGGAAACAAAAGAGGGAGAGAAGCACTAGTGCCAACTCAAAGGAGGGAAGGGTGAGCATAACTTAGCTGTGCGATATTATCTCTGAAAATGTCTGTTTTCTGTGAACCCTGGCAGTAATATCAGATATGATGTCACCACCATCACGATCATGCTGGATTGTGGGTAAGAAACGATTCCCGGCAGGGCTTTGAAACCTTATTACCGAACGCTTTAATGCACTAATCTTTAATGTCCACAAAACCAGACCGCCTAAAATCAAAATGCAGCTACAAGTGTACTTTGTGAAGCAGAGGAGACATTTCTTAAGCCTAAAAGATCAGTTACAGATTTATCAAAGTGCTCCAGTATATAAATGAAGTCTGTCTCGCAAATAAATATGTATGATGAAACTGATGGTGAGGAAAATGAAAGCAACCACAACACTGATCAGATTTCTGTGGGTGAAATTTATTTCAAACCGTCCTTCTTATGTGTAATCTTCAAAGGGTGCAATCGACCACAAAAAGGCCTTTGTTTTAATACCAAGGCTGTCATGCCGTGATTTGATATGATAGCTATAGTTTTAATGTCTTTTCAGGGATTGCATTTTGCAGTCTGTAAGCAGTACATCCATATTGACAACTATATGTGCAACGGGACAAATACCAGCATGTACCACATCAACTGACAGTTTGATTCTTTGGAAAGTTTAATTGTTGGCATTTGTATCTTTGAGGCAACCACATAAACAACTTAATTAAAATTGTGCAAACCAGGCTGCAATATCTGCATGTGAAAGTTGTTTAGTTGTATGACTCCACATGTTGAGCACATACTTTATGCAACCCCAAATCCAAAATAGTTTCTTCAAAACCTGTTTGTATCGGTCAGCATTGCTCAGACATTTCTGCATTTCTTTGCACTATTTCAATTAAATTTAGATTTTCAACAATTTCTAAACTGTAAAAAATATGTTTTTGTCGACATCTTACACAGCGTACTAACTTTTTTGGAATTTGGGATGTACTAAAGCGACAGTATTGGTGCTCTTCTGTTTCAAGTAGTTGCGTGGTAGATGGTACCCAGGGTTAGGAGAAGGCTGCAAACCCCTGTTGATGTGTATGAATTATCATGTGATAGCCTGAAGATGACTCAGATAAGTGTTTTAACATTTCTCCTGTTATTGGGTATTTAGAAGAAACTGGTCTGATAGTTTTTGAACTGAACTTGTTTTTAAACTGTGTGGAAATAAACTATAGGAAACTGTGTGGCTAAAGTAGTTTCAGTTGTTATGAATAGTCATGTTGAGATGATCTGAGTGGTTCTGTTGGTGAGGTGTGAACCTTGCTGTGTTGCTGACCATGTTTCACCCAGCAAAACCTGCAAAACTGAAAATGAGACCAACAGCTCTCTGAGCGATCTGCTGTTCATGCTGCGTTCAGGTACTGTGTATCTGCAGGTCGTCGTTAGGACTGTAATGAGCACACCTTCATGCTGTGAGCTTTGAGCTTTGGCAGTAGAAGTGGCCGAGAATGAAACATATAGATGGACAACAGTAGGAAGGAGTGAAGTGTGTTTTAAAGTTAGTGTTTGTACCTTTTTCAGTCCTCCTCCTGGAACATGGCCAATGTTGTCAAGAGAGCCAACCTTAGACTGGACTTTAAACTCCAGCTTCTCGTTTTTGATCTCTATATTTCCACCACCTGAAAACAGAAGGAAACAGAATCACAAACCTATTTGGCCTGCAAATACTGTTTTCAGTAAAACCTGCTTGGTAAATTTCTCTTTGACAAAAGTCGGAAAAACAAAGTCGGGTTGGAAATTGAAATATGTCGTATTTTTAAAGCTGATCACACTTTGTTTTTCTTCATTTTAAACTTATATAGCAACTACAGCTGTTGCAAAGGCAAATTTAAAAGCACAATATTTTTTCTCAGAGCACAATGAAGCATACAATGAAAGAGATCACAGTTCATAAATATAAATAACTATGTGTCCTTCACTGCTTCTCTGTCCCAAGGCGTCCCCCAGGGTTTCTGCTGGGTCTTAAAAAGTCTTCAAACGTATAAAATCCAATAATTTGAATTTAAGTCCTTAAAATGTCTAAAATTCTCTTAAAATCTCTTCAATACATATTTGAAAAGTCTTAAAAATGTATCGATGTTCCTTACAAATAAAGATTGATTTGAAGTTAGTTTAAAATTTACCGATTTCCCGTCCTTTTTTTGTACTTTATTGACAGTATGGATGTAAAATGGATCTTAAATTGTATTTATCATGGTCCTAAATTTTACTTGTTGAAACCTGCAGAAACCCTGATCTCTGTCGTATTCATTATCACAACAACCTTCTTCACATTGACCAAATACCTCACTGAAATAAAATCATAAATGCAAGCCAGCCTCCTCCAACTTATCTAAGACCAATGACACACTGGCCCCAAAAACCCTTAAAGATCCTACATAACTCCTCCCTCATCATCGACATCCCCGCTCTGTTCTAATCACCAGTATTTCACATGTATAAACAAAATTGTAATATTCTCATTTTGTTGACTAAATCACAAGTAGACCTTTGACTTGTTCAAACATGTTCAGAAGAATCAACAGAGATATACTGACCTGGTTTATGACGAATATTGTCTTTCGATCCACATTTAGATGTAACGTTGCTAAGGTCGATCTTTTTGTGCACAATTTGAATCTGTGAAGGCAACAAAGCAGAGGACAGAGAAATGTCAGAGAAACATCTCACCACGGATTCACTAAGCATGCATCTACAGAGGGACTGATCTGAGAAACAACTGGCCTGTTAGTCTTCTGAAACTGTTACAGAGAGGATGGAGGAAAACACAGGTTGATCAAACTGAACACATCAAGACAAACTGGATTAAATTTGAAGTCTCGTGATGCCGTCTGTGACCATTGTGACATTTGTTAGAAGTTAAAATGCAGAAAAAAAGATCTAGTTTAATGAAAAAGAGTCTAACTTTAAGTTGGACCAATCATTTTCTGCATTCTTTGACACGCTGGTGTTGATTGAAGATTAAAGTCATCTCAGTGACCTCATCTCAGGCTCTCCTGTCATGGCCGCTCGCCTCCTGACACAAAGTGCTCAGTCTGCGAGCTGAGGTCATCTCAGAGCTCACGACAACAGGCACAGTTTGGTGGAGAGGCCGAGGACAGGGACTCTTTGTTTCCGCGGAGAGTCTCCTCTCCTCACAAATTTATGATACTATTAGTTCTTCTTATGAGGGACTTGAGAATCCTTGAAAGATCAAATTTCTAGTCATGAATCGTATCTGATCATGCAGCTCATAGCATGGATCAGTGGAGTCATGCAGTTTGTATGGAAGCCTGCCTCTGCCAAAAACAGTGGGAAAGAAGATCCTGTCAGTCAGTATAAAGAAAAGGTTACACTATATAAGGCAACTAACATTCGATTATTTGATGAGGAATATAAAATATTGTCTTTACATGAAACTTAAATGAAACAGGTGGATGATTTGACTCCTATCAGGGATCACCTGTGTTCGTGTGTGTCAGTGAGCGTCAGTGAGCGCTGCAGGTCATGTGATGTGTTCCTGTACTCGTGTCCAGGTGTCTCAGTGAATTCAGTGACCCCCTTTTCTCACTCTGCTCCTGTTTGAGGGTTTTCACTGTCAGAGTTACAGTCCCTGCTTTCACTGCTACTTCTGTGTATGTCTGAGCAGCAGTGAGGAGGAGGAGGAGGAGAGGACAGACACGATCCATCTTATTTTTATGTTGATGAATAACTAAACTGTTCATGTCATCCCTCACTATGTCAATATAGAGATACTGGGTCATAATTGTTGAATACTGTACTATTTTTTACAGTAATATGTTAGTATTTATGAACCTTTTTGGGGATACAAACTTGTGTTATTATTCTGACTCACAGGATCTTCTTTTTACTGAATTGGTGAAAATGAGCCTCCGTTAATGTTGTCTTGAGGCCAGATTCATGGGGCAAAAAATTGTTATCTTTGTCAAACCAACAAGCACAGATTAAACATCAAACTTACATCGGACCATGAGCATTACATAACGCTGTTAGCTGTGAGTGCAGAGGCACTGTGAGCTGGAACAATGACCGCACACTAACAAAGACAACAACAATTACTGCTGATCAGGGGCTCAGGACGTGCAGAGACAGAACTACCGCTAGTCAAGTGCAGCTACAGTTTAGTGTTGTTCTAGAGGTCGGTATGTAATGCTCAAGGGTGTGTGGACATTTAATGATCAAACAGTTAATAGGAGGTGTTAACAGGTCTGTGGGGAGGAAACAGGTTTTACACAGACGGAGGAGGTTTTTCGTGCACTCGGACATCCTGCTCCTTTGTGAAGATGCATTCAGGAGAAGCGACAAGAACAAGGTTTTAGGCTGAAGCTGCACACCTGCAGCCTGCCACAGGCCAAATCCCATATCTACTCACATTTCCACCACCTGGTACATGTTTTATATTATCTTTGGAGCCGCAGCGGGACTGCACACTGCTTAAGTCCAACTTCTTATCAAGAATTTGTACCTAGAAAGGTGATATGTGGGAGAAGAAAGACTGTTATCCCGAGGAACAAGCAGCAGCCGAGGCCGCGAGTGAGGACCTTTTGCTTGAAACGATATGAGATCTTTGAGGAATGAGCTGGAGGCTCAGGGAAGAGGGAGCTAACCAGTGAACATGGCTGATTAAACAGGAAGGGGAAAGTGCTTTGATTTATCTTAAAGGTTTGTGTTACGATCATAACTGCAGAGATGAGAAGATCCCGTAGTTACTCACATCACCACCTCCGGGTACATGTTTGATATTGTCTTTGGAGCCACATTTAGACTGGACATTACTATAGTCCAACTTCTGTTCAAGTATTTTAACCTGGAAAAGTGCAGAAGTAAGGAGAACCACTGAGAGAAGCTGCTGGAGAGAAAGGAAGAGAGCCTTGTGTGCAAGAGAAATCAAATGACGTGAAAGGATCTTTGAAGTAGTGGAAAAAGCTTTCAGACCTCTTACCTGAGCAAAAACCACAGTGCAGCATCTCTCTAACATGTTAAAGTCCTGCATTCAAAACTGGACTTAACTTTTATCCAGACTGAGCAGAGTGACAACCCATACCAGCCACTACAGCCTGTGCATTATAGCTATAGATGATATAAGTGCAAGAACGTTGTCATTGCTGCACAGTTAACATATTCCTCTGAGTGCAGAATGATCCTATCAGGTTATCTCATTTTTTTCTCAATAAAAAAAAAACTCTGAGATAAATTCAATTCTACTATGAGCAAAAACTGAAACATTTGTTACAGTAAGTCCAACATCTGAGTGTAAAAAAGCAAGAGAAGAGGAAACTAGGTGGGCTTTGACCTTTGTGTCTTCAAATTTGACTCTTTTGCCGAGCTGCACATGTATTTTATCCTCTTTTGTATTTGTCTCTTTGCACCTACTCACAATCAGCTCAAAGTGGACAAAGTTCTCTGAGTGAATCTATTCAAACTGTAAGTAAACCTCTAAACAATGGTTGGATCCATGTTTGATTATAATCTTGTGTTAAGCTCGGCTTAGTTTGATATGTTTTGTGTAATTAACCTAATCTACTTAAAAACCGACCAAATTAAGTGGAGGAAAAAGTACAATATTGAAAAACCTGCAGTGGAGCTCGAGTACAAAGTGGAATAAAAATCTGCAGAATATGAAAATACTTGGAAAGAAAAATAAAAGATTTAGAAACTTCACTTTCTGGACAATAAAATCCAAAGCCCTGACTCAGCGTCCAAATCTCTCACCTTCCCTCCTCCAGGCGTGTGCTTGATGTTGTCTTTCGAGCCACAGCGAGCTTGGACGTTGGCCAAGTCCAGCTTCTTATCCAGGATTTGAACCTGCAGAGTGTGAGAAGAAAAGATAACAATAATCAAAATTTACAAAGCAGGGAAAGAGCGGCTTCAGAGGAAAAAAAACAAGATGATGAGTGGATGGAAAGCTAAATATATTTGGACTTATTTCATGTAAGCTGCCATCCATAACTCTGCAAAATAAGAGAGCAATCTGTGACACTACTGGGTCATAGTTTCAGGACTTTAGTGCATGATTACAGGATTATTGTGCCAAATCTGTTAGTTCTAGTCCACTGGCTTAGTTTGTATGACCAGATAAATGTTGCAGATGCTAGTTTTGAAGCATTACAGCAGTGGTCATTGGTTAAATTCAGCTTAAACTTAAAAAGCACAAACACTTCCATTAAAAATCTAAACATTTCAGAGTCATATTAGTAGTTTTTTTGAGCATGTTGGGAAATCCATCTTCAGGTCATGTGTTTGAACATGAAGAGCACAAATAAGAGAGCACTGAGTCTTTTACCAAACGTTGGTTTTTGATGATCATAACTGCAGAGATACTCAAGAGTCAGGTGTTGAGTTCATCCCTCAGTTACTCACATTGCCGCCACCGGGTACATGTTTGATATTGCCTTTGGAGCCACACTTAGACTGGACATTACTATAGTCCACCTTCTGCTCAAGGATTTGTACCTGGAAAAATGAAAACGTCAGTTTTTAGATGTGGAGCGGAGAAGACGATGTAGTGACACAAGAGCTGTGTGCTGGTTTGTGTAACCGCATGCAGGTGGAGGTGTTAGGGAGAGATGGGAGGAAGGGATAAGCAACCACTGAGGACTATCTAAAAACCATTTGTCCTGGAGTTTCATCCTCTCTTGTGTTTGTTTGATCTGCCCTTTAAATGATTTAGTTTGGTCCATAAATATCACAACTCAGCATCCACTAAATTTCAGCAGGAGAACATTGGACACGTGACTGCAGCCAACGCAAAAATAGAACAAAGACTGAAGAGCTTTTAATACTAAAATGGACCTCACACACACACTTGTCAACCACAAAACACACACTCAGACTCAACCACACACACACACACACACACACACACACAGACAGAAAGAGTACATGGACAGAGTGTGGACAGCACCCAGAACACTAAAAACACAGATTGAAGTTTAAGTCCCGTCAAAAGTTCTCAGCTCTGATCAGTAAATACAAACATATTTACAGACTCAAACCTCTGCAGGTCGAGATTCTTCCACTTGTTCAGATTATAGACAAACCAGGTTTGTGTTACCGCGCTAATCTTAAAGACAAACTATCCATGAGTTTATTTTTGTCCAGACTTTAACAATCCGTCAGCAGGTAGAGATCAGTAAATACGACTCTGACTACATGCAGCTTTCATTCATCTTTGATTTGCACGACAAGTGATGACAAACAAGTTTTGAAACAGAGACTGCACTAAAACTCATCTATGTAATATTTCCTCCTTAATTCACACATCATTACATATTTTAAAATACATCATCACTTTCTTTTAGTATTATTTGCAGACGTAACATTTGTTCCTTCACCTGCAATTAATAAAGTCCAGATTTTCCAGCTTCCATGATGGTTTTGTGTACTGTGGACTAGGAATGTTCTGGGATGACTTATATCCAGGTTACTTTTTAAAATTGTTTCCACAGAAACTGAAGTTTTGTTAACTAACAAGTCTATAGTTAAGATGACACCCAGAAAACAGCCAAAAAACACAGTTTGTCCATCACAGCTGAACATTGGATCACATGAATCTGCAGTGAAACAACTAGTGTGTTTACAAGTCTTGCTGATGTGTTTGTCGATTGTTTTGGCATATTTCCACCTCCCATATTGGAGGCAGACATTCTTCTGTCGATAAACTGATTCTTACCTGATGCATGTTGACTGGCACAGGACAGTGGTTCAGTTAGATCACCTAAGTGAGCTATAACGTTAGCTAGAGTTTACTCTGTGTCTAAAAAAGTGGTTTTCTAAGTGTGGCTAATGTTAAGAGAATCTCCGTGGTCTTCTCTGCCTTCTTATGTCGACTAAACTCCCACATCCCTGCTGTGGACTGACCCCATTTTTGCACTGGTTGCATGTTGTCTGTGTGACAGCTCGTTTTTCTTGCTGTGTGCACGTTAATGGATAAGAGCTTTTAAGACAGCTGGCAGAAACATAATTTATTGATTTACTCTGACTTATGAGGAAAGACCATCTTAACAGCCGCAACTTCCACCGCCATCACACCAACAGCAGCCAACACGTACCTGTTCCTGAAAGACATCTGAGTGTCGCAAGAGTGGCTTCACAATTAAAAATAGCAGAAAGCCGAGCCTTAAGAGAGGCTCTAACCCTAACCTGTTTTAACTGGTGGACCTCTGGATTTGCCGTTTTAGTTTGAAATCAGCCAATAAGATAAAATCTGCCTCTGCAGCTTCATCTAGAGAAATGTTAACTGGACTTAAACTTCTGCAAACGACTAAAGAGGCTTGCACTGTCTGCAGTATGAGGCGTACGCTGTGTCTCAGTACCTTTCCGCCTCCCGGCTGGTGTTTCATGTTGTCTGTGGAGCCGATCTTGGACCTGACGTTCTTCAGGTCAGGCATGGGTGCTGCAGCAGCAGCCAGAGGAGCCCCGCGGGTCTTCAGGGAACCTGGAGATTTGGGCGTAGAACGCACCACCGCCACCTTCTTCACTTTGTTGGCCTCGGCTGCTGCCTTTGCAGCGAGCGCTTGGCTAGAGGGAGACTTAGGAGTACCAGGGCTGCTCTGTCCACTCTTGGCATCTTAAGCAATCAGAGAAGGAACCGTGTCAGCCGTTTGAAGCAGATCAGCAGATCGATTAAAGGAAATAATGCAGAAATAATGATCAATCAAAAAAAGAAACTTAGAGCTATGCTGGCTAAAAGCTGCCCAAGTTTGATCCAGGATTAACCTGATCAGACTTTGGCACGGTGGCTTTAAGCGGTCACTAATGATTTGTGCTTTTGCAGTTTTTTTTTCTCCTTTTTTTACCTTTTTCATTTTTTGGAGTGGGAGGTTTCTTGGCACTAGCTGTATCACAAAAAAATATGACACATAATAAGTAATTCTTTAAGCTTAATCCTTATGAAATGACAAATTAAAAGGTAATTCATCAAAATAGGATTAGTACGTGACGTGTCAAATGCTCTTTCCATACCTGGCTGAGCTCCAGGTTTCGCAGAGATTTTGGCTCCTGGGGTCTGAGACTTTGCACCACTCTGAAAACAAACAATACAACCCTATTAAGTCACCCCTTCTCCAAAGAAGCTGTGAAGCACTGTGAAATGTTGATTAAAAACAGATTTTGAAGGTTGTCAAATAATTTCAACACCATATTTAACTGAAAATAGTGCAAAAATAAAGTCTCTGAGCTGAAAAGAGTGTCTGAGAAATCAGGAGAAGAGGTTCACCCCTCTATACCAGACTGTGTGAGCAAATAGTTTGGTAATTTCACAATACTGCACCACAACTTGGAGATTTCATCATCTACAGCACATAATACTGAAAGATTCAGTCAATCTGGAGAAATCGGCACAAAACAGACTTGAGTCTAGATGGCTGTCTAGAGGAAACGGCTCAGTAGTCGAAGAGCACTGGTGCTAAACTGGCCTTCTTGCAGTCCCAGCTTGTCACCCATAGAAAAGTTGACAAGATTTCACTTTCAAAAGTCCAGAATCTGATTTCTTTGGTCCCTAAACGTTTACAGAGAGTCCTAAAAAGTAGAAATGATGCAACACAGCGGTAAACATGCCCCATCCTGCTGGCATCAAATGTAAAATGACAAACATTTTTACAGAACTTAAAAAATTAATGAATAAATAACATTTGGTGCGTTGTCTTTGCACTATTTTCAGTTAAATACAGGGTTGAAATAGTTTGTGAAACATCAAATCCTAGTTCCAGCACAGAGTCCCAGCTTTTAGGAACTGGAGTTGCAAATAAGTAGAATTCTTCCTCAAGGCAGGTGAGTAATACGAGTTTGTTTGGATGCAGGAATCACTCATTATGATCCAGCTGAGCGCCAGATTGGCTTTGGTTAGTGCAGTGAAGCCAAAATCAGTGGAGGTTTGGATGCAATCAAGCCGCCTCACCTCTGCAGGGTGAAACTGGCATCCATCCATCCATCCTAACCTCTACCTGCATTCAGACCTGTACTTACTCCGGGCTGCCTGGGCCCTGTGCTGCTGCTGGCTTTAATGGGGATGGAGCTGGGGCCGTTTCGGGAAGAAGCGTGTGTTTTGGCGCCCTTTACGGATGGTCTTTTAAGGGAAGAGGTTGGTGTGGTGGCAGTTTGAGTCTTTTTCATGAGGAGGGAAAATGAATAAAGAAACAAAAGTTCTGGTGACAGTGACCAAAAAAACAGAGGAATGATTATCAAATGAAAAGTGATGGAAAAGAAAGAGAACAGAACAAAAAATAAAATGTAGAAGGAATATTCTGGTTTATTACAACCTGGACTGAGAGCATGTTTGACAGGGGCAGGAGCAAATGTAAATAACACGGTTTAATAACGGTTTGCTGTCAGTATCACCCACAGAGCGGTATCATCTGACTCTGCAGTTCCTTTTGTCTCTGGAGTCTGGATCTCTCCTGGACTGTTTTTGGCTGACCACTCTCACCGGTGTGGTTTCACAGCTCTTCTTTGAGTGGAACAAAAAAGTTTTTAATCTCTATAATCTCTGTAATCCCTCTAGAGGTGGAGGTGAGAGGAGGAGGAGGTGTTGGAGGATTATCTCAGCCATCTTTTTAAGAGGCAATTTCAAATCAGTCTGATGATCAGTAATTGTTTAAACAGCAAGTCTTCTTTATCCGTGTCAGACACAATCAGGGAAATTGAACATGTTTATTGGAACGGTTTGAGTTATCTCTGTTAGCCTTAACCTTTTCCTGCGAGTTCTTTGTCTTCTGCTCAGAAGATGTATTTATAACCTGTCTGGGATCAAATTAATCTGCAGGCTCTTAGACGAGCTTTGCCAATTGAATTAAACAGAAACACACACACACACACATCCCGTGCTTTTCCCCACCACTGCAGGCTGTATGCTAGTTCTCTGTTGGATCTCCAGCTTGTACAGCTCAGATCTTGTAGTTTTTAAATAATAGTGTAAAAACTTAGTGAGTCCTATCAAAATTAAGTCAAAGCTCTTTGAATGAAGTGACTGAGTGTACATTAGTTTGTGGTTTGTGCACATCTTTGATGTGTTTACTAGGGGGGACAAATTGTTCATGCAAACTAAATAAACTTAAATTTTGATTGGTCTATTTCAGGATGATGACGTATTTTTATTTAAAATTAACTAAATCCTTTTAGACTAAGCGGCAACCTCCAGTCTTGGGAAATGAAGCTGATGCAGACGTACGAAAAGTTTGTTTCTAACGTTATACGATTGTTATTGTTATAAGAATCAGAGACATGGCTGACTTGACTGACAGGTGGGAACACTGTAGCTCTAGGAGGTCGACCAAAGTTAAGTTGAGTCAGCATTTCCAATATAGTGTAAAAAGATATATAAAAAAAACGGCCATCAGTGTTCTCCTGGGTCATAATAAACCAGAGCAGTCCTTTTAAAGAGAGAATGAGAGGTGATGGACGTTAGGCAGTGTCTTTTGTTACATACCTTATCCGCAGAGCCGTTATCCATCTTTGCTTGAGCTACAGACAGAAGAGAGAAAGAGAATTGAGATTGACCCCATTTTGGGAATTGAACATCTTTAATTTCTCCTCACTAGTATCCGCTCAAGTGACTCAAATGACTGCGTCTGTCTCCAGGTGTGTGCCCAAACACATTCTCACAGCAAAGAAAGACAAACCAGATCTAGGTGATGGAGGTTAATGCAGCATGCATCATGACACAAAGTGCTCGTGGAAAACATAAGGTGTTTTTTTTTTTTTTTTTTTGTTCTTGGGGCCGCATAACCAGCAGAGTGAGCAGAGATGGAGAGATGAAACAAAAATCGAAAGTGGGGAGAGAGGACAACAAGCTTCTCCTCGGGTCAAAGTTAATGTCCGTAGAAAAAAACTCTGAGGGAGAGTGCTGCAAAAAAAGCTGCGTTGTAAAAGAAAGAAGTGGAAGGAGTTAACTGAGGAGGACTGGTTCTGAACTGGTGAACATGACAGCAAACAGACCTTTGAAAACTGCGACTGGAACCAGAGACTTTCTGGCTGGAGAGCTCTGGGGGGGAGTTTTCTGCACATCAGCAGCGGTACTGGTGGTCTGAGCCACATCGCTCCTCATGTCTGAGTCATTAGAAATGTCAGCCTTTGAATAGCGACCTCTATGTGATGATGAGTCACTGCTGCTGTTTTCAGCTGGCGTGCAAGACGGCGGTTTGGTAAAGAGGCTATCCATGTCGGAAACGCTGCTACTGCCATGCTCTTCTGGAGAGGAATCAAAAATAGGGTGGGACAGACTTTGGGTGCGAGGAGGGTTTTTAGTTTCATGGACGACGTTTCTGCTTTCAGCATCACTGCAGGACTTTAGAGCCGCCCTGTTTGCAGTCACTCCATCTTTTCCCGTTTCCTCCAAGACAAGCTGGCCCCCTCGATCTCCAATGGATGTGAGATCTTCCAAAGCAGCTGTGCGCATCAAAGACATCCCGGGCAGATTGCTCATCTCACCCAGGCATTCAGAGGCGTCCAGACTGATGGCCCTGAGAGGATCCACAGCTCCAGTTCGTTCGGGGCTCCTCCTACTTGGCGATTTATCCCGTCTAATCCCTGCAGCACCACAGCTGAAGTCTTCAGAGGCCCATAAAGAGTCACTTAGCCTCTTCCCGCTCTCTCCCACCGCCTCACTTCCTGGGTCCAGGGAGCAAGAAACTCCCACGAAGTCACCGCCCTCAGCAGAAGTCCCATCCTCAGCTGGCTTTGACCCATCAACCACAAATGCAAACTCACTGCGGACTCCAGAGCCGGGCTTTGCTAATTTGTTTGGAAAGCAGATTAATGATGACATTCACAGCACTTGTTTTCCATCTCCCCATTGAAAACAAAAAGATAATGAAAGAGAACAGAACAGGGAAGTCGATGTTCGTGAAGAGGAAAACTAAAGATAACCGTGTTTCATAAAACAGAAGACAAGAGTGACAAAAAGTGACGATGCAAAACCAGAAAGTGAGACATGATTAGTGGAGGAAAAGAAACAGTTCACAGTGAGATGAAATGAGATGGAAATGGACAGTAATGCATCACACTGGGCTGGCAGACAACAGGTGATGCATTCGAGTGAAACAGACCACTAAAATATGGTCATTATTGAGCATGAATAAAGTGATTGAATTTGACTCTACGGTAATATACTCCCACCCCAAAAAAAGTCATGTTGAACAAAGTTTTCGTAGCAGAAAAGAAAACTTTTAAAGGTACAAGGTGAAGAATTTCGCATTTCATGAGTATGTTTTTCTAGAAGAGAAAGAAGAAAGTAGTTTTTGATTTGCCCTGATATATTTGTAATGGTAAAATCTTGACAGCTGCTTCTTGTCCTCAAAGGCCACCATAGCTTCACAGACAAGAGGGGTGAGCAAGGGAGTATTTCAATCCAGGAATCACAAATTATCCCCATTTCTACACACTGTACCTTTAAAAAGTGATAAAAACTGGAGTGAAGTTACAAGTTTTACAATGTGAAATAAAAATAAGTCACAAAATGAACATGTTTGCATCAGAAACCTCTAACTTACTCTGATATTGAACACTTAAATCACACATTTACTACCTTAGACTCAAAGATTTATTTCCCCATCATTAATTATAACATTTAAAGACTGTTGCCTTTCTGTTTTCACTCAACCAGTCCTGTAAAACTACCAAAACCAGCTCCCTGCTGCTATCTGTGATTGCTAAATGTTTGTTTTCTTCAATTTGGTTGATGTCCATTTCATTCAGCCTCTTGTGTGTTTTAACATCATGGCCGATAAATAGTTTGTAATTTTTAGGTGTAAGTCTCATTAGCATTTTTGCCACATTGTCAACAGGTAGAGGTCAAAGTTTATAAATGTGCTGATTGATTTAAAATTGAATTAGTTTATATTCAAGTTTATTATCTTGAAATCAAAGCCAACAGAGTCTTGAGTTTCCCTGCTGTCACACCGCAGACTGAATAAACACCAGCACCATTATCCAACTAATCAGTCACTGAATGACAGATATGAAAGAGCTAACAGTTCTGTTTCCTCTGGGCTCCACCAGGACTCATTACTGTGTTCATATCTATCTCCTGCGGTAAATAAATGCAGTCTGAGTGTGATCAATAAGACACAAAGAGCCTACCTGTTGGAGCTGCTCCTCCTGCTGCTGGTTGGACATAAAGAGACAGATGGAAAAGACATTAGGACATGAGCAGTAATGACTTTCTGTCGTTCGTGAAGGATTCAAACACTCACTGCAAAGAAATCAATACAAGGCCCACAAACAGCATGTCTTGAGTTAATGCCAAAAGCCCCAAAGCAAATATCTGTTCGAAGTATCACTCCAAAACATCAACAGGGAGTGTTTGCAGTCACACAGACGTATCCACATGTTTTATGTCTGTCTGTCATGTGCACCAGCACCACACCTAAGCTGCTGCTGCTGCTGCTGCTGGTGCATGTGGTCGTGCTCAGCTGTTTTTAACATTACTCTGCTGTTCCCTTAACTGGGAGCGCCGCATCTGTTTAACACATCACACCGGGCTTCAATCTCTCTGCGGTTTGGCCATCCTGAAATAGCCAGGATGTAAGTGTCTATTTCTTTTTTTAAAAAAAGACCATGTTTGAGCCTGTTTATGATCATGTCGTAGTCCTGAAGCGTAGGAGTATTAAACATTATAGCCAAAGCATGAGAAGAAAAGAAGAAGCCAAACACTCCTTTCCAGGAATGATGCTGAAAGAAAAATAGTAAGCTCAGTTCAAAACCAGTGCGAACAGAAGAGCAGATTTTATATTATAAATGAAAAATTCACCACTTAAGAAAATTAGAAACTTCACACAGCAAATTAGAAAACAAGATCAATACTGTCTCACGGGTGCATGATCAATATTTAAGACTCTCCAAGTGGCCATTTAACTTGGACTAGGAACAGAGGAGGGAATCCAGCCTGGTTAGCATCACTGACTGTCTCAATCTACTCATTATAACAAAGTGAAGCCAAATTCACAGATTGGCTAGTAGGCTAGCAGAGCAAGCACCACCAACCTCCAAACCTCCTTCTTGCTTGTTAATATCCACATGCCTGTGTATTTTTATGCCATTTTAACCAGACATATTCTGCATTCAACCTTTCTCCAGATCAAAAATGACATGACATCTGTTTTTGTTTACATCCGGGTAGTAGACCTTTCTAGCTTCATGGCACTGTAGCACTACCTGTTAAGCAGGTCTACAGCCCTGGCTGGTAGGTAGCAGTTACAATTATTTTAACTTAAATATTTTCAGAAAATAAACATTTGGACATAAATCAGCCTGATAATAACAAACTAAAATGATGGAAACAACCATAAAGGTAAAAAAAATTCAACATGTATATCAATTTGCAAATCTAACCTGCGTCTCATCTGTTAACATGGAAGGGGCGGGTTTTATAACCAGTTAGTAGGAGGATATCCAATAGCTTTGGCTTTACTTTCAAAGAGCTGTCATGTCAGCCACATAACTTTAATGCTAGTTTTTAATCTGTTTGAAATGTTACAGTTGTCGCTAACACAGTTTGGAAACTGAACCTTCATAAACTCTCAAATCTATTAAACTTCCCTCTGCCCCCTCTTTATGAATGAAAATACACCGCTTTTAAAGACTCAATTCATATCAACACATGGGAGAAATATTGATCTTGGCTTTCCTGAGCAACAAAGCAAATATGCACATGTCTGAACAAAACTTTTCCTGAGAAAACAAACCGAAAAGCACGAGCAGCTGGAAAAGAAAGTAAGAGCTCAGAGACTGGAGGCATACCAAGCTGCCCCTCGTCTTCACATGTGGTGCCCTCTATTCCTGAGAGCTCAGCCTCAGCCTCAGCTTTCCCTGCAGACGTCTCCTCTGTGGGTTAAATTCATGTCAGTGAGTCAGGAAACAAATATAACTGAACCTTAAATCCACCCCTAATCTGGCGGACGTTTACTCGTGTTAACTTGGCTAAATCAGCTCTGAGACAGCGTCCCCATGACCTGGTGTTAGCTGCTACGGGTCAGCTGTGGTATTTCTCATGTTCACACACTCTAGTGCTGTTTAACAGATCAAGGAGGCTTTTCAACCTGTTGACACAACTTTCCACTCGGCTCTGGACCGGCTGTCAGTCTCAGTGTTTATGATCAAAGCGTGCTCAGCCCAGAGCGGAGTGGAGCTTCTGTGGTTAATTCTTACCGGCATAAAGAGGCATTTTTTTCCACGCTACTGCTGATTCTGCATGTTCGCTGGATAACAGGCTCTTATTTTTTACTGCACAGTGACAACACAGCTGCAGGGCATGTGCCTAAATTCACCAGCAGGCTTTAAATAACAGGCAGTAAGCAGGTTCAAGGCGTGCATGGGTTAGAGCTGTAAAGCTGAAATAATAAAACTGTGAGGTAAAAGAAATTAGGCAAATTAAGATGAGCATTTCTTAGATTAGACCACTGAAAAGAAAGTTATTCTTACAAGAGGAGAAATAAACTGATAATCGGCACACAAACTAAAATAAGAGTTTAAAAATAAAGAGTTAAGTCTTTGGCGTTTAAGCGTCATGACAAGAGGAGTGCAGGCGGGCGTACCGGGTTGCACCGTGTCGTCACAGTGGCCGCTCTGTGCCTGAGAGAGTTCAGGCCCAGATTTCACTCCATTCTCAGCAGGCGCTGCTTCAGCCTCTGTGAATCAGAGGTAAACTGGAGGTCAAGCTGGAGGGTTTTTGTGACAGGGGCGGACATTAGTCTCAAACACTTGTGTTCAGACATAACTGATGTTCGTGAGCTGTGAAAGTGAATTCAGAACCTTGGCAACAGTCTGTGCTGTACAGTAAACAAGACAAACACTTCAAATAAACTATTAAACACCCCAAAGAAAGAAGTTAGAGGAAATTCAAGCATAAAAATAAAGCACATTTTAACATTTCAATCACGTCAGAATAGAAACTTAAAAAAGAGGGAAATAATATCACAGAGCCAAAAAAGCAGTCCTGTAAACATAGACACAATCAGCAGAAACCAGCAAGTAAATAAAACATTTTAATTTGTTCAAAGTTCGACACTTGCAGAATATTGCAGACCGATGCAGACTCTCAAATGTACTTGTAATGCTCACTAAAGCGCAGCATAAAATCAGTGCAAAAGTGTAAACCAAGACCTGTCATAACTCAGTCTTCATTTTCATATCTCCCTTTGCTTCATCAAATCAAAAAATTCCAAATGTTTTCCTTGAATTATAGCCAGCTACACCAAAAACCCATCTTTTCCCTCATATTAGGGACCAAACTGCAGCAGAACCAACCACATATTTATAGAGTTCGATAAGTCAACAAGAGTCAGCTGATACAGATCCTCTAACTTTGTCTTTCTGCTGCCAACAAAAGCCACAAAATTCCTCTTTAATTAACAACAAAACAGCTTTTATAAAGCTTGAACTTCATCAGCGTTACAAATGAAATGCCTGAAAGATGTCAACAACCAGAGATGAAACATGAAGAAATGTGGAAGTGGAAAAAAAAACTTAAGCGCTCATACCACAATGCACATTTTTACAGCAGAACTAAACCTGTTTACAGCCTGGTTAAAAAACAGTTTAGGACTTTGTCGCTCGTTCTCAAAGTCCGACAAAGAGGCACGATTGTGGATGTAGCTGATCTGACACATGGTAGTGTTGCAAGGGTTGACTTAGGGTTCGGCCAAGGCTTCAACACAAGCCTTCCAATTTGGCGACTCCCACCATTGGCCTTCATTATCCTCTTTCATAAACTGATAGATGAACAGAAATCGTAAAGCAGTGAGCCAGAGAGTCGAAACAAACCTTTACTGATTCAGCAGAATCCCATTTTTCCCATCTAACTCTGTTGTAGTTGATCAAATTTTAATGAAGTCTCTGACGACATCATCTATTTTTACTCAGGATTTCTGACTCAAACTACAACATCCAGCTGTTCTACTTTTACATGAAACTACTCACGACTAACAACCACAGATATAACCACACTCTCCTACACCAGCACGCTCTACTCCGCCATGTTGTTTACTGAAAACACATTCAGATACTCACTCTGTGTTTCACTGTTGGTTAATGAGCTGTTTATCACTGCAGATGGCTCTGACTCTGTCTGCTGCCTCCTGTCTGTGCAGGGGATGATGGGGAGTAGAAACGGGGAGAACGACTGCACTAGAGAGGGCTGTAAACTGGGAAACGCTAAGCTACGTACTAATTGGCCATATGGTTCGATTGGGATGAGAGGGAAGAAACTGAAGACTGATTATTAGCTACAAGCTGAACAGTCTGTCTAGACTGTAATTATTTATTTTACAAACGCCGCAGCTGACAAACTACACCGTCCTTTGACATGTCTTTTCTGTCCTCACATTAATAACCCTGTCAGGAATTTAAAAAGCCTCATTTTTCTGTGCTTCATAAACAGCCTGATTGTTTATGAGCTGAATCGGTAGCGTACAGTGACACAGGATGGAGACAGGGCTTGTTCTGACCCAGATGTCTGGATTAGGGAACACAGTGCAGCTGCAGAGGGACACTCGGGGCCAGTCAAGCATGTCTTGTATCCATTATGTAAAGAGGGATTAAAACAAAGCACAGTAGAATCTGCAGTGCTCGGCCTCAGCCCCGAATCTACACAGGAACTCTGAGACTTTTGGAGGATTGTTCACGGACATCTAAATCCTGCCCTTTGGGGTGCTTTAGAAATGTATCGTGGAAGAGAGTGGCGCCGGTTTGGGGTGATCTTTGACCTTGTAGCTCCAGAGTTCCCCAAAAGTTAGCCGGATGTAGCATATGTTTGGAAATCCGATTGATCAATCATCGATCAGAATGACAACCTCCAGTTTGATGACGTTTGTAAGTAAAACATCATCATTAGTTGTCTGTTGCTCATCAGTGTGAATGCCGCACGCCGCACATAAGAGGATAAATGCATCAATACTCATCCAAATCATGTAAAACGCTGGGATGCACCAATGTTGATATGGAGCTGTATCAGCCAGTTTTTGCCCCGTTGACCCCCAGCAGCCCCTTGGCACATAATTCTCCAAGCTCCAATTTCGCTGGCTGATGTTTATCTGTCGTTTCACATCAATCAAATGCTGGCGAGCCAAACACCGAACTGCTGATTCAGAAAAGGGGGGTTTGTTTTTGGCAGAGGAAATCAGCGGTCAGACAAACTTTAGTTGATTTTCAAAGTGACATAAAATGTCAGCGGTGTGGGAGCGTTACATCATCTCTGAGAAAGATCAACGATCATGATCCAGTGACATTTCAGGAGGAAGGGCGACCATCAACAATCTGAACACATCGAATCTCTCCGCTTATTTTTTTCTTCTCTTTACAGCAGATAGTATGTCATCATTCGCCCCGAGCTTATTTTTGGTTCCTCTATTTTTGCAGCTCAGGGGTTCCTTTACTTTTAAATCTTCAGCCCCCAAAATAACAGAGTCTACTGTTTCCTGCATTTGAGTCAAGCTCTGGTTTTAGTTCAACGGGTGATTGAACTGGACGGATGTATTTTCACAGAAAACAAGCAGCAGATGAGAATCAGTTTGAAGTCTATCTGTGTTTGTGAGAGTGGGTAGCGCCTCTTTTGATTGGTTACTACTGGACCGTCTCCTGGTTTACATATTACATCACATACCAAGACAGTCTGTAGATTCATAAGGGGTTTTATGTCAAATAGTGGAAACACCAGCACCGTCTCCTACCCTCTCCTGTCAAGTTTTTCTTGTACGAACGTCTTACGTCGCGTTTATGCTGTTTAACTTCGGCGAGCCCACGTGTGAACTGGTCAGAACACTTCTGCCAGTTTAAAGGTCCTTTCACACCGGGAGCGTTTTTTTCGTGCGATTATTTCGGACGTCAGTATTTTTTTTTAACCCGTATTCTGTCAATACAAGCGTTCACATCAGCAACATCGCATCACACTTGATGTGTCAGGCGTGTCAAAATTCGCCTCTGGATATTTCGTAATTTCGCGTCGTATATTTTAAGTCTGATTGAAGCGCATACCTGAAAATCAACCCACTACTTCATTATGTAGGTGTGTTAGTGCGACGACAAGATTCTGCAGTGAACTGACCTGCTAACTGATGCTTTTGATAATGTGTCTTAACCACCTCAGAGGTCATGGAGCAGAGGAGAAAACCATTTCAAAATAAAATGTACGATTATGGATAAAATGCAAATTTTGAATTAGTAAAATTTTCACCTTTTAATTTGAAAGGCGCCTCATTAAGCATCTGTGTCTTATCACATCTGAAGACGAAACCACAGCTGCAGCCCCACAGTGGTACATATACATTTAAAGTAAAATCGTTTTGTGCCACAGTCCAATCTAAAGTTTTCAGACAGTTATATTATTATTTATCAGGGACAGACGTCAATAATTTATCAGTTTACATCTCACTTTTGTAGAGAGAGTGTTATCTGTGGAGCTGATATTTGACAGATCGTAATAAACGTCATAATTTGCACTTTAAATGAGTTAATATATTGATTTTTAAGCATGGTTAATAACTGATCAGAGCATCCTTGTTGCAGTTAGTCGATAATATTGATGCTGAACAACAGAAACCCAGCAGGTTTGCTCACTGTAAGACACAGACTGTAAAACTGATATTTCATTAGTGTTTATGCATTTCGAGTTGTTAAATTTCTTTAAGGACTTAAAGTTCATCTTTATTATTTGGAAACAAAAATCTTACATAACCCGTAACTTTACCAGCTCACTGACTAAGAACCAGTTTTTACTGTTTATTAAAGTGCTGCAGAGCGTGAACCTCTGTGATGGGTCCTGTCAGGACATCGGAGCTGATCGATGACGTAATCGTGTAAAGATAATGAGAATGATGTCATCAGGGTTACATCACCTTGACAACCGTTCAGCTGCGTTCAGGGAGCACATTAACAGAAGAAGCATCTCTTTGTTTGACTCTGCTGCTCTGTCTCATTTCTGACCTTTCATTTTGGCGTCTCCGGGGCTCCTCAGTCCCATCTGGACCCCGTTCTCCTGATGGTGCTGGTCGTTGATGGTCATGTTGGCTAAGGTGGAGCTCATGGTGTCTCCAGAGCTGTAGCTGTTGGAGGCGTTGTTCATGTAGTCCATTGCCAGTCGCAGGTCAGGCTGCAAAAGTTCAAGACATGAAGATGAGGATATAAAAGAAGGAGGAAGCCTGGATTTAAGGATTAAATATAATGATGGCGTACTTCATGGACACTTCGTCTTCCGGCCTGCAGAATCCAGTCCGTCACCGTGAAATGTAAACAGACACTGTGTCTGTGAAAAGCAGTTATTTATACATCCTGACGTGGGGTCGGTGTTTCATGTTACAGCCTGACTGATAAAAATAGTTCCTTCTGCCCATGTGCACGTCGTCCTTGATGAGATAAGTTCCACTTCCTAAACAACCAGCTCTGAACAAGTGCAGCACTTCTGTTTCATGTCCCACAAATGACAGCACAGATAATAGCCAAGCCAACAACACATCTTTAAAATACTCTGTAACATGTAGAAGCTCTCTGCTGAAATGTGAAAGTGTCAAAGTCTGCAAATTTACTGAGGAGTGAGGTTAAAGTTGGTTAAAAATCTGTGTAATATGAATAATCTCTGGATTATTTCCTCATTAACACTTGATTTGTTTGTTTTAGAACTCTAAAAAGTATTAAGAAATTACACACGGACATGTTTGAGAGGCTGTGATTCAGAAATTCAAGTTTAGTGCACGGAAATGGGAATATTTAACTTTAAGGTTCAAGCTATAACAAGGCTCGACAGTGCGACCACTTGCATTTGCGACTAAAACTAGATGTGTGCGAATTGTAAAAAAATTAGCCAAGGCAACAAATGTTACATTACAAATTTTATGTAAATACCGCGGTGAAGTTAGTTTTAGGTTCGATATCCAATGGACATTCACAGCAGATCTACCGGTGTCTTCTCACTCTCCATGACTGGGAATAACAACAGCAGCACAGTTAAATCCACTGGGCACCCTCACTGTCAACGTTGGGTGTTGAATAATGGACCATTATTTGATCAATTTTCATTGTGCGCCTCTTGTGAAAATGTTCGTGTCAAGCCCTGTATAACCCCCCTTGCTCACCCCTCCTGTCATTAAAGTGATGGTGGCCTTTAAGGACAAGAAGCTCCTGTGACGTAGGTGACCTATGATCCCCTATTTGTCATGTTTTTCTGCATACAACAACACTAACAACCACTCTCCTCCTCCAATCCTCTGTAAGGATAAGACAACCCAGAAAAACTTCAGAAAACACCAAAACTCAGAGTGGTATGAAGCAGAGGTCCATAACAATAGCCACCATTATAAATCAGCATAATGATTGATTTCATGTGAGCATGAATATACTTAATTATTGTCACCATAATAGATAAAAACATAGACTGAATGATTCTTCATTTATCTGCGGGACGTCAACCTTATGTGCCAACACTCTCCTTCGACCACAGAGATGTGAATGCGTCAAATCTCATAAAAAGAGGATTAGATATCAGATTAAACCCAAGCCTCTGGTTACATCAGCAGTTTTTCAGTTTGAATCATATACTGCCATCCCACAAAATCACTGTCCACCACAAACACAAACACACACTCACACACACACACACACACACACTGCTAACTCCAAGGCGAGGCCGGTGCGGAGAGCTTATGGTGTAATCAGCGATGGAGCCAAACTGCTCTTTCCTTGTTTGTATGTTGATGCAGATTTGTCAGCTTCTGATGGTTATTTTCAGCCTCATGCTCACAAACACGGCTCACGAGGTCCACGTTAAGGCCTGCTCTGACCCCAAGACACATCAGTTCACTAAAATATCATCCATCAGTATGAGGGAGATCAATCGTGACTGATTAAATGTATTGTTGTTTTGAATGTTCAGGCTCCTCTGTGGTGGTGAGTGACTGAAGTGTGTTTTCTGAGGGGCTGTGTGTGGGTGAGTCTTACAGGTTACTCAGGCTTGTACTTGATTATGTCTATATGATGATATTTTACACTTTATTTCTCTACATATGGAGGCGAGGTCTCATGCGGGTTGGGGAAAGCCTGTATTTATCGATTTTATGTTAAGATGTTACATAGAAATTGAGCATAGTGTTAGTCCAGGCAGGCTACCAAGGCAAGCTCAGCCCAAAGGACTTTAAGCTACAGTATTTGATAATCTGTGTGATTGTCACTGATAATACTTGTGCAGTTTTTAATGCAGTACTTGTATTTGTAGCAGAGGGTTCTCACACTTCACGTTGACTAAAGGATCTCAGTTCCTCCCCCTCTCCTCCTCTCCAGCAGCGATGTGACGGCACTTGATGTGATTGTCTTCTTTACAGCCAGCAACGCCTAAACCGTTTCCATGGTAACTCCACCCCAACTGTTGCCGTGGTTACCCAGCCCAATAAAACCTCTCTTACAGGAGCGCTCAGCGTCAGCTATGTGACCTCCTCTCTATGCTCCTCGTATCCTCTGACCTTGGGTGTTTAAACTGAATTCCACCAGCAGCTCAAACAGCATGAATGGGACAGAGTGGCAACAAATCCACTTCACTACACTGAGAAAAGACCAAAAAACAAATACACAATGTTGACTATAGTCTAAGGTTTGCACTTTTAAAAAAGAAACAAAACAAACAAAGAAAACAACTGAATTTATCCTGAATATTCCACTAAATTAAGCAACATTTCTCCACATTTAGAGTAAAAACAAACAAATATGGCTTAAATTTTTCAGTCACTTTTTTAATTTAATTCTCTGAGTGAACTTTGTTTGATTTATTTATGCCATTAAAATCATTTGACAGCTTATATCACTGTTGAATAAAAAAGTTTTAAATTAAAAATAAATGTCAAATTAGATTTGAATGTTTAATGTCAAGTCTTAAAAAATGAATGGACTTGATATCTTTTCCTAAAATTATATTTTACATGTAAATTCAACATTTAGGTCTAAATTTAACAATTAGATGTACTATATATCGTGAGATTAATATATCTATATCTATAAATATTATGCATGATTTAAAATTTAAATCATACATAATATTTAATACTTAACAAAAAGCATTTTGATTCATTATTAAAAATTTGGACTTTGAAACACATCAGTAAGTTACAGTGTTATATCCTGCAGCCTTAGAGACGTAATGAAACACAAATTGTGAACTAATCCAACGCTAAAAGAAGTCCCAATAAACATACTACGTCTTTGCACCACAGCACTGAGCAGTTGATCCGTGAGGTTAATTTCCCTTTTAAAAAATATGACATTGTTTTTGTGACCTACTCTGTAACCGTACAACTTTGAGACTGAGCTTCATTTTTCTTTCTGCCATCTTTCATCTGCACATCCCTCTCACGTTCGTTAATATCCATCGTGTGCTGTACCAATCAGCAGCAGACAGGCATCCATCCTGACACTTCTATTCTGTCCACACAAAAGCAGATGTTGTTAATCGCCACTGACTCAACTTCAAATGCGAGTTTAAGGGTTATTATTTCTCTCAGTTCACTTACAACAACCTGGTCACCCTCATCGATCTCCTCCACGCTTGCTGCCAACTTTGTGGCCCTGTCTTTTGCTATTTTTCTGGCGCTGGTGCAAGAACACAATGTCCCCATTCTCAGAGCGACCAACCAATCACTAGTTGGCTCTGTTTGTTCCCCAAGTGGTGGAAAAAAAAGCGCAGACGAGCACGACAGCGGACCTTTTTGACTCTGAAATAATCAGAGATGTAGGCAGTCATTCAAAGGTCCGAGAACTGGACAGGCTTTGAGCCGAAGGACAAAGAGAGTGTTGGAGAGACTGACCGACATACTCTTAGTTCTAGTCATTCCTTAGGTAGAGAAATACAGAATATAAAATAATTCATCCCTTTAAAAAGTGCATCTAAAAAAAGAGGAGGTTAAATTCTTTTTAAAGATAAATCTGAGTGATGCTTTGTGTCCCATTGAAACTCTAATGAATAGTGTACTGTCAGTGCTCGGGGACAAGACTCCCATTGTAACATTACACATGACAGAATCCAAACAACAAGAAAGCTGCAGCCCTGCCAATGAAGACAATCCCTCTGACAATCCCTCGATCTGCATCCGGGAGCTCAGACGGTTAGAGAGCAAACACACTGAAGGCTCTGAGGGCTGATAAGAACTGGATCCTCCAGCTGATACTCGTGTGTACACAGAAGAGTACATGAATCTGCGGCAGAGCTGTACTACAGCAGCCCGCTGTAAAGTAGTCTGTAAACAAGAGCGCTCTCACTCTCATCTCCACACCCCTCAGTCACTGATTGTGTCGAGAGTTCAGGCCCTTCAGATGATTTGCTTCGGGACAAAACAGGCTCACAAATTTCACCTGCAGCAGAAAGGGGACGTGACAGCAGGTTTTGTCGCAGCTTCATGGAGGGGAAAAGGGCTGAAAGGTCTGCTGATGCAGCTTGTTCCTCTCAGGGCCGTGTGAAAATGTAATCTTGGCACCGGCCCCAGCCTCCAGAGCAAACCGCTAAGATGGCTCTGCAAGGAGAAGTGCGGTCAACAGGGCTGTTGACACAGATCCAGCAGCAGTCTGAAGTGACAAGTGCTTTTTAACCACAGATTCAAAGTGAGATGCTCCAAAATTCAGATTTCTCTGAGGGAGATTCTAATTTTACACTCACGCATTAGTTTAGAAGTTGTGCAACATCTTCTCTTTAAAATTTCATTTCTTGGCTTGGCTCTAAAGCGGTGGGTTTTGGCTTCTGAAAATGGAGGGTATTTACAAGACATTAATAGTCAATCAGAGGAGACTATATCAGCATAGTGTTGTCAGAGCTTGACCCATATTAGAGACTCAAACTCGGGAAATCCCCGCCTGTTCTGCTTCATTTTAGACCATCCTTCTGAAATGTCTCTTGAGATTTATTGACTATGGTGAAAATCAATGACTTTTGCTGTAGGCCACTCACAGGGGCTTTTTGAGTATAGACTTTACACAGTCTGCAGCTTTATGCCCATCAGAGCCAACATGACCGCTTAGCAATGTTCAAATCTCAGAAAGAAAAGAGGAAACACACATTTTTTTAGACATTTGGAGTATATATATTTTGTAAATTTTGCTTTAAAAATGACCTAAATGAGGACTCGATTAACATAACTGTGTTTTTTCTCTCTTGTACTTATCTGCTCATTACTGCACTGTTTGTAATATTTACAATATTTACACTGCTGCTGTTTACCTGCCTCAGCCGTGTTTGTTTTCTAGTGTCTTACACGGTGTAGTAAGAGAGTCCCACAGCTTCATATTTATACTGTTTAGTTATTTCATTGATTTGAGTTTCATCAAACAGTGTGCATGTTTTGTATGTTTGTGACACACTTAATCCTAAACTTAGATAATGAACTGATTATTGAGTCAATAAACTACAGTTTTCAGCCTTTCTGCATCAGTGCAGTGTGCTTTTATTTTGAAAGGCTGCAGGAGATCAGAGGAAAACGGCTCTAAAGCCAGGTTAATATTTCTGTATCTATAACTACATGTTAGCTCACGTCATGGGTTCTTGTAGTACATGAAAAAGTAAATGAAAAAGCTCACATATATAACTTAACTTATGGATGAAGATTACACAGTGCTGAGCGCAAGCCTTGTGATTGGTCTTCTGGGTTGTATGGTAGTTCATGCGCCCTCCTTCGCTTCTTATTGGCTAGAAGTGCTGGGCGCCGATTGGTTATTCCTTATGGCTGCGAAACGTCATCATCTGTCGGGTTAGGGTTAGGATTAGGATTAAGAGATTTAAAAGCGCAATGATGTTTTGTAATATTCTGTTCGACGTTTCCAGCTTTTCTAGCCAATCAGAGGCGAAGGAGGCGGGACCTAACCCTACCATCCTACAAAAAAATATCGCTTCCTGCACTTACAACATTTACTGTAAGACTGTCCGTAATTCAGCAGCCAGTTCAGCAACTGTACATCCCAAGTGCAAGATCAAGAGCATTTCAACATTTATCGGCTCCGGCGCAAACATGATACTCTCCAATAGACTCGATTAGATTTGGTTGCCATGTGCACAAACAAAGGAAGATAGCAGGACTGTTGCAAATGGAGTGACAACCCAGCACATAAGTAATGTTTATAATGGCATAGAAGTAGAAAGTGTAGAAGTAAACAAGGTTTAAGAATATTAGAATAAAATGTTTGATTTATTTGCACCTCCACAAGATCTCTACCTCCTTTATCTTTATCTCCTACCTCCAGACGAGGACTATGTGTTGTACTGCTTATAACCCATAACTGCAAACCTTCACCTGCTGCCGTCATGTCTGAACACTTTTATCCAGCTACAGACAACATGAGAAACTGAGGGTAGATAGCACCCTCTGCTGTTTAGGAAGGCTGTTGCTATTCATGTTCTATCTCACAGATTTAGTCGTCCCAGTTGTCTGACGGTTTCTGTTCTGCTGTAGGTCAAAGAGTACCTCACAGACCTGAACATGAGTGTCCTTCATGATGATTCGAATATTAAAGCCTCACCTATTAAATAATGAAAGTCAAGTGCTCATGTTCACATATTTAAAAGGCTTTACCTGTCTGTCTAGTAGCAGGAAAAAAAAGGTTTTCCATTTGAATTACAGACAAAGCATGAAGCAGAAATACACGTGTATGAGAGCCGGGGAATGAATTTATGGAAAATATTAACTAAATGGTCGATCATGTCGTCGTTTTAGCTGAAAATACATGAAAAAATGAACACAAAGGCGTGTGTCTGCTGCTGTGTTTCGGCCTGCCTGCTCGTCGCTCAGCTGAGAGACGAGGATGCTGCTCTCATGCTTGGCTGCTTCTGTATCTCTGACCTACTTTTTCCCTCCTCATCCTCCCCTCTTTCTCTCTCTTTCTCTGCCATTCTCCCCCCACCGAGCCTCCGGCAGCCACACACTGACTCTACCTTTTCTAATGAAGGCCCTGCCCTGCAGAGGAGGGGGCTGAAGGTGGAGCCCGTTTCGATTTTGCCTCCATCTAAACGCTGGAAGGGATCGTTCAGGGCCGGCCTTCTGCTCAGCATCTGTACCAGCAGATACACATGTTCAGGAGCCGTGAAGCTCAGTCACATTTTCTACCTTTGTTTCCAATCCTCCAGGATCTTACCACACCCTACTACCTTTCCACACATCCTCCTTTCAGGTTAAACACTCTGTAGCCTCTTAGAACGAGACATCTGTTACGTAATCAGGGATCTATTTCAGCTCCAGTTCGCAGAGCAGCGAAAAACACGCCAAGACATTTTCCACTCTGCCATCACGCAGCATGGATTTCAAAATATGAGGAATTCTTCTCATGTTGTCATGGTGCAAAATAATCAGATACTCCAGCTGCTGGATGTTTCAATATGTACACAAGCCGCACACAGACACTCACACACACACACACGTGTTCTTCTTCTGGTGCAATGAGCCAAAGTCCTCAATCAGCATGGTGCCAATTAACTGTGTACAAGAATGCGGTTTAAAGCCAAGCGTGGCTTTTCTTCTTCTATGTAACGAGACGACACAAACTGACAGACGTCTGAGTGTCTTCCTTGGCAACCTTACAGCTGTGCGGTTTAACTACTTTTATTACAGTGCATCTGAATGGATTTACACTTGAAGCTCCAGTGAGGAAATTTTGAGACGTCTGTGAAAGAGACAGAAATTCGTATAGATGTCTTTTAATGACAAAAGTGATAATTAGCTCTTGTTATTATATGTGGTATTTAGTCAAAAGTTAAACCACAGTGTTAAATCATCAGTTATTGTGTTAAGCTGTTGTATTAAATAATAGTTTTGTCTATGAAATAAAACAGTCATCTTGTTTTATCCAATATGATACATAGATGGCGTATTTTTCGTCTCTTTAGCCCTACTTTTACATAAGAAACTTTTACTTTATCCTTGTTTATATATGTAAATCTGTAGGGGTTTGGAGAGAGAGCTCCAGCTACATTCTTGTGAAATGAAATCTTCACATTTGAGGAGCTAAAACCTGAGAATATAAGGAATTAAACCAGTAGTCGATCAATCATCTTATTGTGTCAGCTTTGAGTCTTTTAATACGCTAAATCTTTCTAACTTATATAAAAAGCTCGCCTGTAGAAAAGTAATTTTGGTGATGTCGTTGGTGTTGCCAGGCTAAGCTCCCCAGATAGGCCCTTCCAAAATGAGGCTGGCTGGTTGGATGCGGTCACTTTTGGACCTGAGCCTGTGCGTGGCAGTAGCCTGTCAGTGTCTGCTAAATGGAGCACTCTGCTGAAGGCTCATTTCATAATGCATGTGTTTCTGAGGCTGGTGACTCACTCACGTCAGCATCTAAAATCAGAGGAGTGATTTTTACAATGAAAGACCTGAAACAGCACAGTCAACCTGCAGCTTTGTTTGAATATTTACTCTTACGTTTTCACAAAACTCAGCACATCAGATAAAAGAAAACAGTTTGTCTTATTAATCAAAACAATTTACTCCATCAAACCTGAAACTAGAAAGATAGGCTCTCAGTTTTCCAGTCTCCTCTGAGTCAAGTTGCACCCTTGTATTTTCAGAGACTTAAAAACATAACATTGTGAAGGTCCCAAAAACTGCAGTGCCTTCAGTGGCCCCTAGAGGTTGACGCCAAAAATGAATCTGTCCAAATTAGGCCCCATGTTGAAGAGCCAGACTTTAAAGCATCATTTCAGGTATTGACAGCCATGTACAAATAGACAGTAAGGGTTTTAATCCAATTTTTCCATAATTCATGATATGTGTTGGGGGGCTTTATTTTACAGCTTTGTCGTATAATTTTATGTGTAACTAGAGCAATAGGCTGCTGTGTTTGAGAGGTCTCTTTTAGCTACTGGTCTGGCAGGTGTTGCTTAAGCTACTGTCAGACACTAAACCTGACCTTTTTACCATGTAAGTGTTGCCTGTACCATTTGGAGATTTCTTTTTGACAACCGTTGTATTCCAACAGATTGTCTTATTATTTAGGCCTCAGCTAGAGGCTTCTGTAGGTGGATTCATCGTTGTTGGCCATATTGATAGAGAACAAGTGGCTGCTGGAAGAGAGGGTGAGTAGTGTTTGAAATCAGGCAAAGCTAAAAGATGTTTGGTGGCTGGCACTATAGCTGGGACCCTTTATGTCCTGTTGATGAAGTTAGGTGCTGTTCTTAGCATTATTTGTGGCTATAGAGTGGCCTTTTGGTTGAGCGCATGGCTCTCTGAATTGTGATCATGCGGTCGTTACTAAAGTTGGTATAACTAGAGAAGCAAGCGGTCGGCAACATTCATCTCTCGACGGGGTGTCTCACTTGGTGTTGCAGTGTTTGACCCTAGCTTAATTTTACGCCGGAATATCCCTTTAACAACAAGACACAGCAAATTAGCTAGTTCTATTTTGAATGCAGCATCATGTACAGAGACAGGAAAGCTAGTTTTTTATGACTAAATGAGTCATTAATTTTTATTTTTGCCCTCTTATTTGCTCACTCCAGACTCAAAAAGCAAATAAACATGGCGGTGGTAAATATCGAGACTTCCCAACTGCGCGCCAAAATCAGTGAGTGACGTCATGGTCGATAAGGGCTGACTCAGCTGCTCAGAGGTACTGACTGTGGTCTTCAAACTCACATCCTGCTGTCAGCTGATAACGGCCATTTAAGGGCTGATAACACACTGTTATTGCTGAAAACTGAACAAACAATATGGCCTCCGTTCTTGGTCCGAGGACCGAAGATAAACCAGATGAAACTTTGAACCTCTTCCTCAGCTGTCCCTGCGATGGGAGGGGTCTCTGTCTGCCCTCACCCATCCATCCATCTCTCTGGAATCAACTCTTGCCAACAGGCTGCAGAAACTAATCCAGACATGAACAAAATGACGCGGAGATGTCTTTCATTCCTTTCCGCGGATCAGCTGGCCGCTTGGAATGGCTTCCAGCTGCGGTTACAGCCCACAACATGCCCGTTTCACCCCCACCACCACCACCACCACCACCTCCTCCTCCTCCTTGCTTGTAACGTTACGCACAAGAACCTGGCTCTCCTCATGAGGATGGAGGAGAGGTGTGACGGTGGAAGAGCAGCCTCTTTCCACTTAATCCACGGTGTCCATCAGAGCAGGTTTGAGCACTGCTGACACGCAAACGACGAATTAAAGCCTTTGTTTTCATTTGGCTTCATGGTGAAAGGCTGTTTCTGCACCCACTGTGGATCAGACCCCGTCCATTGACCCCGTGCGGATTACTGAGGAGCCCATACGTGTCAGATAAGCAGCCCGGTTCACTGACAGCGAAGAGACGCTGCTGTGCGGACTCTCACATGAAAAATGGGCTTGGCATTTGCGCACAAGCACCGCATCATTATCCCCGATTCCCAGCAGAAAAGCGCTCTCTAAATAATGCAGGAACATGGACATTCGGGGGGGAATACATGTAAATGAGGGAATACACAAGGGAGGGCTTGTTTTTACATTGCTTTACATGCAGGGAACCAGGTTAGAGAGGAAAAGAGCGCATCTGTGCCGCACGTACAGCTATGCTTGAACCCATTTAGGCCCTCAGATGCAAGAAAGAAGCGAAAGATCCAGAATAACGGGAGAGGAAAAAAACAACAACGTGAGAGTGCATACAGACACCGATTCCACCTCACACTGCGCGCAAAGCACACAAAGAAAAGAGGTGTTTACTGCCGCTCAATCGGACTGAATATCGGGGAAATAACATTACATTGTTGTCCCCAGGGAATCCTTTTATAATGAGATTATAAATATTCTGGCGGATTAGTCTTGTTACCGCGCGCAAGGACAATCTCCGTGCTGCCGGAGCGAAAGCAGGACCTGCTCCGGAGGATGCACGATGGAGATATTTTCGGTGTTTTTCTCCTCCTGCTTTGACTGAGGAGAAAACATGCAGAATGAGAATGTTTGGAGGGAGGCGATTGCTGCTCCTCCTGAGCTGGAGCGACGATGGCTGCAACAAAAACACGTTTTTCTTTCTGTTTCTTGTAGATTTGGATCGATGAACATTGAGAACCCGCGTAATTTAGGTCTGGGATTTTAAAACACCCCCCAAAAAAGCTCCAGCTGGAGGGTCCGTGCAGCCGTGAGATGTCAGAAATATGCTTCTCGTTCATGTGCATGATATTTCTATACGTGTAAACGCACACAGGCCCAGCCTCTCCACCCTCATGCAAAAAATATTAAGTGACAAGACGAATGCCGATGGAGGAGGACGACACAGCGGTGTGCGCACACATCAGCCGCTCGGTGGGTGAATCACACTGGGATTTAATTCGTGAAATAAAAGCAAAACGGGGGTGTTTTCTTACCTGAGTGCAGACAGCGGTGTTGTCTCTTCAGCGGCAGTCGCTCACCGGGTCGACTCAGCTTCTCCTCGCAGTGCAGCAGCAGGCCGGAGGAGGGCGCTGCTGAGAGGAAAACTGTCTGTCCTGAAATGCAACCTGTCTGCACCCAGCAGCCTTCAGTCTGCTGTCATCGCTGCACAGTGTAAACAGACACGTGCATACACAAGAGTATGTCATTTATACTTTCATGAAGAGTAAAATTTCCAGTCAAGATTTGATCTCACGTTAAGGAAAAAGGTTAAAAGTTAAACTGTAACCAAGCCCTGACCTGAAAGCGGCATAACACCTTAAGCTACAAGTGAAATGTTGACAGGAAGCCAGAATTCATCCCCAAACATCAGTGTTAGAGCTTACTGATGCTTTTATTGGTAAATGGGATCAATTAGCTGCAGCAGGTTCAACACCTGGAAGGAGATCTTAAACCACAGGAATAAAACTCTTATAACAAGAGATCACCAATAAGACACTCAAAGACTGCGAGTGTGGAGACACGAACTGTAATCTCATGGACACGCATATGATACAGTTCATTTTTGTACTGACTCTGAAGTATTTTACATGTATGATGTGTGTGCAAAATTATCCAAATTTACAGGGAGGAGATGTGTGGAAAAAAAAAAACAGTCATTTACCGTGACTTGGTATTAAAATATATTTTTTAAAACTCAATGTTTTAGTTTGGTTTTGAAAAAAATTAGAGCAAGGACAATAAAATCAGACAAGTTGTGTAATGTCAAAAATAACACACCCCCCAACTAATGAGGTTAGTAACATGACTGGGCGGTCTATTATAAGAGACAGAGCCTTATGAGTACATATGGTTCAGTACTCTGTGAGAGACTGAGTGAGCAAGTAGTTCAACAATTTCAGAGTGGTGCTTTTCAGCATAAAACTGCTAGAATATTGGGATTTGATCATCTGCATACATAAAATAAATAAATCAGAGGATCTAGAGAAATCACTGCACACAAGAGGCAATACTGGATGGTCCTGATCTTCAGCTCTGCGTTAAAAACGGACCAGACTCTGCAGTGGAAATCTCTGCATGGGTTTAATATCACTTCCAAAAGCCACTTTCTTTTAACACAGCTCGTTTCTGCGTTCACAAACACAGATAAAACTGTACCAATTATTAATTGGATCATGATCAAAATTTGACAATCTCTTTAAAAAACAATGGGCACTGTGTCCTCTACTTAATGTGTTATCGAGCCAGCATCTGTGATTCTTCTAAAATGACAGGGACACAGGTGTTAAATAAATATGAACAAAACTTGTCAGACAGCTGCGAGCGACGTGAACAGATCAAATCAAAATGAACGAAAGACAAACAAAAGGTAAACCCACCCCCCTCTGTTTCAGGTGTTTGGTACAGTCCCGGACCCAGGTGTTTGTAACGATCACTGCTCATTACACCTGACAATATTTACATGATAGAGACAAGATGAACACCCAAGCTACTGACCTGAATTAGATTACTTTATAATGAGAAAAGGAGACTATATGAGGCTGATGTCTCTGTTTTCTTGTTCACAGATCTGTCACGGTTAAGATGTTTTGTTCTGTCTGGGGTTCAGTGCCTTCGCAGCGATGTTTCCGGAAGTTTCCTGAAAGTCTGCGCACCAAGAATTCCTGAACAGAGGCCAGGTTAGGAGCTCTGACTGTTGTTTTTCTTTTTCTTATTGTCTGTTTCTGTTTGTTTGATTTAAAGCAGATGACGATCATGGATGGGAAGAGAACATAAAAAAAAAAAAAAAACATTTAGTTTTCCTCTCATGTATGTAAATGCGGTGTACCATGAGAAGCGGATATCTGTCTTCCTTTGTTTGCATTTGCAGTTTGTTTGCTCGATTGTCTCTTTAGTCTTTCCTGCTCACTTCAACCCCTCTGGCATTTTCAGTTTTCAATCAAGCGATCTTTTCATGAACATTTTAATTTTACAGTCTGGTTTGAGCAAGAAGGTCAAAGTTCAGGGAGTATTTTAGTGACAGAGTTGTTTATCTTAGTGTACACATACTGAATATAGAGTACATACAGTGTTTTTTCAAGCTGGTGGTCACAGACGAAGAAGCAGCAGCTGCTTGTAAACTAGCTGTAGCAGCCCTCCAAGTGATGATTCAGCTCTGTCTGAAAAACTAGAAAATATTTGGCGTCTGTTTTGCCTTCATGCAGGTCTGTAATTCAAGAGCTACCTGAATTAATTTACTTCAAAATAAAAGTATAGTTTTACAATACAGGAAATCAAGCAACCTCTGCAAATGACAGAAAAAACATCAAAATAAAAGCATAAAAACTAATAACTTTATGTGGCGATGTCTGATCTAAAGAGGATTCAGTCACAGAGCCGGTGTTGTGGATAAATCATAAAGTTGAATGTTTTTAGGATCGATGATTTTAAGGTCTATTATGTTGCTCCACCCTCATATTTGTATTTATTTTGGGAGATGTGGCTTTAGTTGTTTTTTATTTGATCATGCTGTGATTGTGTGTCAGAGACATCCAGGCCGGACTGCAGCTCCAGCAGCAGCTCAGTGTTTCCAGCTCACAGAGGTCGAGTCTTGGCACATAGAGCAGAGGAGGGTCTGAGGGACTGAACAGAGCGCCCTTGTGTCACCGTCTTTCACCGGCCCGTCTGTGGCCTCTCGCTGTCACACTCTGGGTGCCAACTTTAACACCCAGTCGAGAAAAACGCTCAGCAGTGGAATATCTGAGGCCGGGATCTGTTTGGGAATGTGAGGCGGTGATGTGTTGGCACTCTGTGCTTCCTTTATGTCTGACTCTCCTTCTCTCTGTCTTTCTCTCCCACTCTCTGTTTGGAAACCTTCCCATTGTGGCAGCTGCTTCTGGCTGTGGGGTTGAAGATGATTGGATTTGTCCTGTGGTGGAGTTAACTGTGGACCAGGTGTTGCTGTGGGATCCTTCTCAGGCTGAAAATCTCCTTTTACACACCCTTTAAATCCTCGTATGGTCTGCAGTCTGTGTACCTGGAGGAGACGCCTCTGTGACCGAGCCGTGGTTAAATCTGTCGCACACCTGACAGGAAGTGGAGATTAGCGTCACAAGGTTAAAGTGTCACTTGGAAAGTACTTTAGAGAAATAGCCTCTGACTCTCGGGGAAAGTGCTTCTCTGCCATTAAACCAGATAAAGACATCCATAAAGCACACACACACACACACACACGTCTGTCTGTATGACATATATGGATCTGCAGCAGCTGGTTCACTCAGCCCTGTGTGAAGATATTAGAGACAGCCTGTCTGCGTCTCAGTCCAGTCCACCTCTCAGCACCTCTAAAGCTCATTAAATAACATTTTGTTGAACCAATGGTTGAACAAAGTCAGTGCAGGTAACTGATGCTGCTCCTGTGTCTTCAGGTTACATAAGTCCTGTTAAAGGAGGATTCCACTATTTTAAACCCAGGCTGGGTATCTTTAAGGGTTTTGAGGTTGAAATGTCTCCAGGTACAAAAATCTGTCTAAGTAGGTACTTAGAGTCTGCTGAAAGTTGTAAAAACTGCAGCAACATTAATATTGAGGAGGAAGTGTCTGATCAGGATATATCACCAAGAATAGTTCTTAGTTTTCGCAGATTTACTGTTTTCCTGCTTTGACACAAGGTTCAGCAAAAACTCACATTTTAGAAAACTCCTGTTTTGTTCTTGAAACTTCTGCTCTGAACTCGGGTTCAAAGCTTTAAGAAAACCTCCAGAAAAAGCTTCTGGCCTCTTCTTCCAAACCTTTATTTTCTTTATAAATCAAAGTTCACTCTAAGAGTCTGCTCTCCTCAGAGTTACAGACTGTGTCTCAGAGTGGGTCGAGTATTTAGGAGCTGACTGTGACAGGGCATCTAGATTAGACAAAACACCCCCCACCACACTAGTGAGCTCTCTGAATGACGCTCACATCTTCCGGCTCCTTAGTCTGGAAAAAAACAAACAAATAAAAGAGGAGTAACTGGAAATGTTTCCCCTCAGAGGTTCAGTTCAGTTTAATTCAGAGCTTTGTCGTCCCTGAGGGAGAAATTTGATCTACAGTGAGAAGCCAAAAAACAAAAAAACAAACACACAATGTACAGTAACAGGGTGTGGTGTGTTTGGAATCAGATTGAAATCATGAAATCAATGTTTAGACTGACACGTAACCACTAGAGGGCAGCAAAGACTCTGTATGGTATTGAAATAAGATTTCCATCAGCCTGTGCAGAGTTATGGACCATGACATGACTGTTTCTGTACAGTATGAACAGAGCTTCTGCCTCACACTGACATCTAGTGGTCAAAGATCAGCTGGGTAAGAAAAAACAAATCACAGACTGCCTCGAAATAGAAGTATTACTGCCTGGAAACGAACAATAAAACAAATTTGGCTAACTGTTTGACTCTTACAGGGTATTAAATCTCACTGAAGGATCTTTTATTAAACGTTTTATTAAAATAAAAGAGTCAAAAACAAAAAAACTGTTGACGATTTTAAGAGATTTTTCAAAAATTTACTTAAAAACCTAAAAAGAACTTAAGTCTGTAGCTACAAGTTGATGAGCAAGTCAGCTCTGTGTAGCCCACACTTTTACTCTAAGACTGAGAAAAACTCATTCATTATTAAGACTCATTCAGATAATTTATTTTGGATTTTTTTCATTTTGTCATATTTGCGTTTTACCCAAAGAATAACTTCAATGCTGTTAAAATGAGGGAATATCTGCCAGAGTTGACTGTGGTTAGTGTCAACATGATTCTGTCCACTAGAGGGCAGCACTGCACTGATAACTGCTCATTATATGTCCACAAATCAGAGTTTCTTGGGGCCCAGTTTGGTCTGGAGCAACAGTGTCTGATAACTATTTATTTTCTTTATAGATAGAGAATGTCATTCTTTATGCAATATGATTCTGTTTGATAAATAAATCTGTGTCTTTGTTTCCATCAGGGCGATGCTGCGGTGACGGGCAGGAAGGTCATCATGGACTCATGGTTTCACAGGATGAGGTTTTCTCTGGGACCACTCGGCTGCCGGCACTGCCCACGGGTTAGAAACGTCTCAGGTAAAAGGAAAAGCTAGACCAACATCCACAAATCCTCTGAAAATACACGAGGAATCTTTCATATTCAGGGTTTCAGTGCTTCACTTCTCTCCTGGAGTCTTCAGACCTTCTTCTAATGTGGCTCAGAGGAGATTTTAGAGGATCAGCTTGTATTTGTTTGACTTTACTTCCACACTCCGGTATTTTATTCTGTTAACACCGTCGTATTTCCTCTGTATTTCACAGAAGAGTTTAATCTGTGGGGAGATGATTTAGTGTTGCTTTATCTTAACAGCTTGTCTGAAACTACTTCAGCAGCTTTGTTGAACTCGACGTGGTGTTTGTGCACGTTTAGCCTGAGCTGTTTTTCATGATTTGAAGGAAAGTCTTTTTGCTGCAGATCGAGTCAGGGTCTAGGCTCACTCCATCTAGATCCTGGTTCACAGAGAAACCCGTTCACCGAGCGTTCTCCCTTGTCAGACCACAGGACAGTTTTCCTCTTGTCATCTGAATGGATGCGGTAATGAAGTGCGTTTGAAGTTGATAGTTTTTGGAAGTGAATATGAGACTTTGCAGTTATTTTCACTACAGAGTCATGTCAGTGCTGCATGAATGAAGGATCACAGCTATCCAGCGTTGGCTTTCAGCATTTTTAGTGATGTTATTTACTGTAGATCTTGACATCTACAAATTCTTGGCACCTTCACATGAAGGAGCAGTACTCTAAAACTGTTGGACTGTTTACTCTGAACATATTAAATTTACTTATGATAGATTCAGCCTCTCTAAAACGTCTTTTTCACACCCAGATATGTGAACAAAAACCACGCAGGGAGAATAATAAGAAATAGATAACTGCTGACAGCTTTAATTCTTTGGTGCTTAAAATATAAAACATTATTTTCTTAGAAAGGCTTTTTCATATACAATCAAATACAGCATGACAGCTTCTTTCTCGCTGAATAAGTTGGTCCCATCATAACTGTGAGTCTCTCACTGTAACAGAGAGAAAAGATCCGAGTTTGTTTGGCAAAGAGCTGATACAAGATTCCTCCAAATATACAACAAAGCTTATCAGGCCGGTAGGAGAAGAAACTTTGGCATAAATACCTCCAAACTCGGCGAGTATCATAACTGGAAATCTTTCAAATACATTTCAGAGAGTGTTCAATATTAAGGCACAGATTATTTTGGCAGTATCCGGGGTATCAAACACAAAAGTACGATTAAACCACATTAAAAGAACGGTTTCCTGGCACAAAGTAACTTTTCATGTGTTCAACAAACTTCTTCTGACTTCTGAAGCGGATTATGTAACAAAACTTCCTGAGGTTTCAAACAATACGGAGCTCAGTGTCTGAACGTCCAAACATTCAAACAAACTTTGAAATCAGAGGAGCTTTCAGGACGTCAGATCTGTTAGACGGCGGCTTCAGCCAAGAATTCAGTCGGATTGTTTCACAGAGAGAGTGAAAACAAACAGTCGGGGCCGTGTGCAACTCTCTGCTGGAGTTTGTGTTCATATAAGGCACTTTTTAGTCCTGTGCAGCGATTAGCACGGTTACAGAGCGCGATAAAGTTTCTCTTTGGTCTCTTCTCAGTCCAGCAGCTCTGTGTACAGCAGTGAGCGTGAGGATTTGCAGGAAGCAGCTTCAGGCTCCTGATTCAGTCTTTGCGTCTCTCAGGTTTGCTGAAACGTCCCACAGTTTGGTTACAGCATGGATAAGTTCTCCGGCTGGCGGTGGTTCGGTCCCCCTCCCACCTCTGCCTTGTGTCCAGATGTGGCGAAGCTCAGCACCCCTCCTCCTCCTCCTCTGGACAGGACCATGAGTGTGTCTCCTGTAATGCCACCAAACTCGAAGGCAAAAGTCCCGTAGAAGGTCATGATCAGCATGCAGTAGATCCACTCAAAGATGGCGGAGGTGTGCTGCAGGATGAAGCTCTGCTGGCAGAAGAAAACGCCGCCTGAGGATCAGAAGTTAAGGAGAACAATGGCTGCAGAGGAGGAAGGAGACAAGGTCATTAAATGTCCCATTACAAGGGTCCTACCCTCAATTTAAACATGTTCTATTGGGATGAAAAAGTTTATTTACCTGGTAAAACTTTTTAAATACTCTCTCAGAAAACTGTTGAAGATGGCTTTCAGGGTGACGTTATTGGCACTAAAATTTAGGGTCCCTTTGGGGTCCTTGTGTGTTTTGACTCTGTGTGTGACTGAGACCACGTAAAAGCCAAAGCCAGAGTTGAAAACGATGGTGGACATATGTACTTTTTTACCACTTATGCCAAAGCAGCAGCCTCCAGGGGTGAAAACTGAACTGCAGTTCCTCTAGTGTCCACTGGAGACCGGCTGAAAAATCTCAGGAAGCTAAAGTAACACCCAGCCTGTGTGAATAGTCAAATTAGGGCCTGTGCACATTTTACACTGGGGGACTCAACCCCAACACAAAGTACATCTATGTTTTATACAGTCTGTGAGTAACGCTACTTTGAAAATATCAAGTGCAGAGGATTGTGGGAGAAAATAATCAGCATGTTGCAAACTGGAACCTGCTGTCCTGAGATCTGCCTGTGATTTCTGCTGTCGACACATCTTTAGGATGTTACAGCAGTATTTCCCCAGCAGGGGGCCATGTCACACAACTTAAACACAACCTCAGAATCAACATTGATAAACTTCAGACAGTCAACTTTGAAGAGACAAATGACGCTTTTGGTTTCAAGTTGAAACACTCGGTTGTTTTCTGAATGAAGGATACTGAGGACCAGAGCGACCAGAGCCAGCAGGGCCATCATCACCCGCAGGTGTCCCATCCGATACTCGTCCTGAGTCTTGGCCAGTCTGTAGGTGAGAGCCGACTGCAGACACACAAACAGCATGCTGGAGGGGAAGGCCACTCCTGCTCCCACGTAGTGCAGGACTTTAGCAAAATCCACCTGAAACACAAAAACAGGAATATGACACGGCTGAAAACACAGATCATTTCGACCTGATAGTCGACCACTTTGTCACTGATCTAACCCTGAACATCACACCACAATCAGCACAGAGGAGAAACCGCTGCGATGATGGCGGTAAACAGAAGCTGATAAAGTATCTGTCCGTGTTCCGTTCTCATTTTCAGCGACACAGATAGAGGAGGTGGATCTCTAATCTGTGCACATGAACTCGTGTTCTGGTGACGACACAGTCTGAACACAGAGTTTAGTGGATGACGCAGGAGTTTCTGTGGAGATAAAGCAGCTGTTGGAGGCCGTGTAATTACAGGGACACTCTGTCTTTATGAGCCTTTCTTTCTGCACAAACCTGCTCAAAATCTCCATTTATGTCCAAGTGTAAGAAGTGTTTTTGAGGCCGGATCACTCTCTCAGGATTTACTCCCCAAACAATGAAACTCAGAGACACATAAGCACTTAGAAGGAAGCTCTACAGGGGAACCGTTTCCTCGTTAAAGCACTTAGAGATCCGACTGCTGATCTTCTCACTTGTAAATTTATAAGAGGTGAAGAAAAGAAACTAAAACCTGTTTTTTGTTTTACAGAAGCCAAATGAGAGGACCACCCGGAGCACGAAAACTAAAAGGACATTTTGTGAGTTAATAAGAATAAGAATAACTTTATTTACCCCCAAAGGGAAATTCAGTGTAAGCTTGAAAATGAGAAAACAGTTACTCTATAACTTTTATTCACCTTTGTTTTCTTTTAGAAACTGAAGAGAGGAACAGCTCCTGAATCAAAAAGGTAAGTGTTCAATTTGCTCATGCATTCAGTCTTTAAAAGATCCAAGAAAACTATTTTATCCAATAGTTTAAAACAATTAAACTTTCCTGGCATTTCACAATTAAAAAATGAAGGTTTATAAACTCTCAAAATTCTGAGAATTCAGGGTTTTTCCTTAGAATTCCTTAGAAAATTTTTAGTTAAGACTCCAACTTGAATCTGAATTTTGGGGTCAGAAAAAAAAGAATTTTGCTTTTGCAGTCAGATTCTTGACTTTTTTTCCTCTTCAAATTCGGAGAAAAAAGTCTAAATTTGACTTAAAACTCAGAATTCTGGTAAGTATCTGAATTTTTGTATTTTATTATTTAATCACCCTTATCCTTGTTTTTATAGCTTTTCTTCAATATTGTAAAGAAAAGTTAGACAGGGTGGACTCACAGGTTTGATGAATCCAAAAGAGGACCTCAAGCAAACTTATCAGCAACATTTCAGATAATTACTCATGACAATATTAAAGAAAAGTGCCCAATAATCTACAATTATTGATTCTAAAATGGTAGGATTTTAAAGCTTCAAACTGTTTTCAAACAACAAAAAGGGCTGTGGTTGGCTTTTTTTCACTTTTTCTGTCATCTAAACAATTAAATTGTTCATCGAAACCATTAAATCAAGGACAAAAATGTCACTGAACAAACATGATTATATCAAACCATCTGTATCAGCGTCTTTCTACCCATTAAACTCCAGATACTAAGAGAAAAGTGAGATCAGTGAAAGTTTCGCCTCCTCTGTGCAGCCTCTCCGTCTCATTCATGGTTCCCAGAAACTCTGATTCAACATCAGCACTTGATCTGTGGATGTAAACAGTGACCCCAGTGTGGGTTTCAGGCACGTTTCTACAGTAAATCCCCCCGAAGGACTCGTCCCATGTTTACTGAGAGTCAAAACACTGAGGTTCATTATGTAAGAAGGAGGCAGGGAGGGGAAGTTTCAGCCAATCAGAGAACAGAAGAGGACCGGACCCAAACTCTGAGAGGCCAAAATGATGAGGGATGAACTGTGCGGCGTACTCCCCTAAAATTAAGTTAGAGGGGCCCAGACGTGTGCAGACAGAGGAGCTCAAACCACACACACACACACACACACACACACACACTGATGAGGAGCTCAAACCACCTCTTACGGCACACACACTTCTGAGTATCACAGCTGATCTTTCCTCAGAGTCATAACAGCTCTGATGGATGACACTAACACACGTGTTCAGTGGAAGAAGACATCAGATCTTCACGTCCAACAGAACATCATGGAGCTCCACAAGGACTGGACTGAGGATGGAGTCAGAGGATCAAGAACCACCACACACAGACGAGTCCCATAAACGTACTTTGGTCAGGACACCCCTGAACCAGAGCCTCACCTGAACTAAGAAGAACTGGACTACTGCTCAGTGGTCCAGAGTCCTGGTTTCAGATAAAAATCAAGCATGAAGTTTCCACAGTCTGTCATCTGCTGCTCTGTTTTATCAAGTCCAGAGTAAACGAAACCTAAAGTCTACCAGGAAAGTTTAAAGACCTTCATGCTTCCATCAGCTGAGAAGCTTTAAGAAGAACCAGATGTCCTTTTCCACTCTGACCTGGAACCTGCCCACAGCGCCAAATGACCAGAAACTAGTTTGCTGACCCCATGGTGTTACTGTGTTTGATTGGCCAGCTAAGTGGCCTGACCTAAACCCCACAGAAGATCTCTGAGGTATCATCAAAGAAAAGATGATGGACACCAGAGCCAAACATCTTCTCTAAATCCACTTCCCTCAGCTGTGAGACTTTTTCACTCGTATTTGTTCTGCTGTGAACTGGACTGTTACATAATAAGTCAAGTAAAACTCTTCGAGTATTGGTTAGTCCACTGCAGGACATGTTTTCTGTCCAGGTCTGCACACGCTTCGACACATGAAAATCTGCATCAGGGTAAAATTCAAATCCTGAACTTCATTCCTGTGAACCCTCCACAGTCAGCACATGTTCGGCCGACACCTGAGGCCATGGAAACTCTCAGCCCTGCAGAGGTATGTGTGCAGGTGTGTGTCTGAACATACAGAGTGTCCCTGAGCATCTTCACCCACATGTTGGAGCTTGTTTCTGCTCTGTAGCGCCCCTCCTCTACTGTAAATCTGTCCAATACCCTTGTACTTGACTGACATGATAGTTAGGCTCCTTATACCCTCATCTTTGACGTTTAATAACACCTGACTTTCCGTCTCCATGGCGCTGACCCAAAAACCACAAAATGATATATCCGAGCTGCAAAACCCGAACAGCGTCCGACATCTTTACAACTTTAGATTCAGTGTGTTTAGAGTTTAACGACCACGCGAGTCAAAGATCGGAGGAGAAACACCCCGCTGACTGCAGGGAGACCACGCCTGAGTTACTCTGCAGAAAAACATCAAACATCCACCTTCAGTGAAAACAAAGACAGGAATCACCAACCGAGGGATAGAAATCTGCGAGTCTGACTGTGACTGAAAGCTTTTTGATAATTATGTAAGAAATTATGCAACCAAAACTTCAGAAAACGCTGCATTTTTCTGGACGGGCTGTAATTTTGATTGTTTTTTATGTAACCATTACCGAGCAATAATTTGTTTGTGTGTGTAACCCCTGCTGGAGAGAGAGATTAAAGCGGAGGAGGCCAGTGTGGGAATATATGGTCGTATGTTTTCGGCTTTCTAAGTGTTTGAGGCGACGTTGGTTACCTGGAAGTTTCCCACCATGATGAGTCCAGCAGCACATATCCAGGACGTGGAGAGACCGGCCGTGTTCAGGACGCAGTTCTGATGTTTCTCGATGACGAGAGCGTAACGCATCAGACCGATCAGCATCACTGGAGGAAGAAAGAATATATAGATAAAACATAGACCCCCCCAAACAATGATTAATCCATATCAAATGAATCCACTTCGGCCTGTTGACACTGTGGCAAAAACCCTCGCCCCCGTCTGAGGTTCATCTTTAGAGTTACATGCATAGACCACTTGGTCAGCATTGCTCCTTGAGGTTTTTCCTCCTGTAGTTGTTAGTAGAACATTTCCTAGTTTCTTGCAGGAATCTTGACTCTCCCTCGTGTCTCAGGACGCTGCAGCAGCATCAAAGATCTCAGCGGATCGTTAGAAACTCTAAATGCTGAAGCTGCAGATCTCAGTGAGAGCAGATTCCTCTCGGCTGTTTATCAAACTGCTCTTCAAAGCTTCGCAGCAGTTTCTCTCTCCTCTCCAACACTTTCCTCTGATCTTCATGCAGATCACATCTGGAGCTCGGCACGCTGCAATCCACTCAGAGCGACTGTTTTTATCTTCATGGTGTTCACCCAGCTGCAGACTCGGAGGTCAGTTACTCTTGATTCAGCGGGTTATCTGAGGGTTTCCCCGTTTGACACACACCACCTCGGTGTACCTCTGAGTTCAATAAACTGGTAAACAAAGAGCTGGTTGAACATCGTAAAGGCCTTCACTGAAGAAACTCTGGAGAACCAGGAGTGTGAGGTTACGAAGATTCAATGATTAAAAAGACTAAAAATACAGAGTCCAGCGGGGACACTCAGGTCAGGGTTTAACCGTCTGCTGAAACATCATTTGAGCGCAGCAGTGCGTCCAAGCAAGACTCGACTGAAATCAGATTAATGTTTTCTGTGTTTGAGATCGCCGAAAAGAACAAAAAAACAACCTCGCAATGACCAAACACGGAGTACGGAGAGTCTCGTCATCTGCAGTGATGGAGGTCTACGTGATCAGCAGCACTTCACTCTCCATACTCTTGAACCAAACCCTTTTCCTCTAAAACACCACATCAAAAAGTCTCACAGCGCCGTTCAAACAAACACGTGTGTACGACAAACGCACACTCCTTCACCCCATTATGTAACGAACACTACAATGTCTCAGCTTTTCTACACAAAGACATGAGCTGAAATCCTGCTCGCTTTTGTGTTGTCTGAGGCCTGAAGGTCCTGGGTGTATTCAGGAGAAGAGTTTCATAACTGGAGGGTGTTAGAATATTTCGCTGTATCCTGTCAAGTACTCAGAATCGCTGTTTTACCTGTGCACATGTTCAAGGATCTACAACTGTTTGTGATGGACCACGACACAACAAGAGCTTCACTGGAAAACACCACCGCGCTCTTGAATGAAACATTCGACCTCAAAAACTCCCCAATGACTTATTTGAGGAGTCAAAAGTGACTTTGTGGTGGAAGGAGTATCACGAAAGTACTGAAGTCTGGACTTGGACAAGACTTGGCCACTACTTCAGTCGTTCAAACTCATCCTCTACTTGAGGTTTGATGACTCGACCTTAACACTGCTCACAAGTTAAAACCTCTCCGACTGATAACAGGCTTGCTGAATATCGACATTTTCTTTAAATAAAAGGAAACTTCTGCTTTATCTTTATCTGCACAAAGTTGAATCAAATCAAAGTGACCCGTTAAACTCCACAAACAAACAAAAATCAATATGCACCGCCTGGACTCTGAGCTTTGGACCAGAGAAAATCACCTAAAATAGCTGGTTTCAAGTAGATTTGGCGGAGACCAGAGCGGAGGGAATGCCCTCGTGGTCAGAGGGTGAATACTCCTGGGTTCCTGGGTCATGTGAGGAGTAAAAACCCAACCATTCATGGCCTTGAGTAAATTTTCCCTCCAGAAGAGGTGATGTAGGACATGGCAGAGGTTGGTGGGAGGGGGGCAGAGACTCGGCTGGAGTCGTTACAGCTGAGAAAACAAGTCTGGACAGGGGGGGCATGTCCAGGGGTTTATGACCGGGGGGAACAAACTGCAGCAGAAACTTGTGCATAAACAGTCCACCCGTACCCCGAAACCCGATCCATCCAAGTCAGTCAAAGACCTGATTTGAACGTCTTCTATCAGATCCACATATGACTTTGAACCTACAGAAGCTGTCTGTTCATGCTCAAGTTGTTCTTGATCCATCTTAGTAAAAAAAGAAGAATCCGAAACCTGTTTTTACAGTATTTGACCCGGTATGCCTTCACTATTGTGCCAACTCCGCTAATGCATGTCAGGTAAAAGCACATTAATGCAGAAACCAGCTCAACTAAGCGGAGAAATGAAACCAACACAGGAGTACAGGAAACAAGGGGACACCACTGAGTCAGTGTGAAAGGCACTAAAGCCAAAAGTCGAAAAACCTGCACAGATACTCACCCATGAAGGAGCCGGTGCTGCAGATGAGGCTGAAGAAGCAGCTTTCAGGAGGGAGAGTCCCACATTTACTGCAGAGAAAACACAGAGGAGAGCGGGGGGTTATTTATGTGAACTCAAGGGAACTAAAGAGCAAGTTCAGACGAGTTCTTGTGCAAGTCCAGGTCAGATCCATTACGCCCCAGTAAGGTTTTGGTCCTGTGCTTTTTAAGTGCAGCTCTCTTTGGGAGAAACTCCTTAAAAATAGTCCTGAAGAAGCGGCGCTGCCATGTATGTTTCCTTTGTGGCATTAAAGCATGCCAGCGTTTTTCTGCGACAGCTGTTTAGGAGAGGAAAAATGTCTATAAATGGGTGAACAGGGTCTCAGAGGGAGGTCAAGTAAAAAACAATGTGAAAAATGCTGCACAACTTCAAACTGAGGACGGATTTTTCCCGTACGTTGCACCTTCAGCATCATGAACCCTCGTTCATCAGTCGGACTGCTGACTGTCGCCATACGCAGGAAGAAGAATCCTTTGTTTACATTTTGTGTCTCAGTGTGGAGACGTTTCAAAGAGCGCTGAAGGATCCACTACACATAACAAAAGCTCTTCTTCCTGTGGAGGTGAATAGGTCCCCCCGTCCCACACTGAGCCTCAGACGGACGAGTGTGGACTCATCAGACGACTGACACTGCAGCTGCCCCAAACTCTCACAGTCATGAGACTCCAGAACTAAACGTACCGTCTTCTACATTTAGTTTAGATGTTTTACAGGGACGGTGCCATGATTCAAACAGTTCTCCTTCTTAGTTCTGCATGCTTTGCAAAACAACGATTTTGTAAGAGGCGGTCAGAATGAACAGAAAGTAATAAGTCAAGACGTTAACCAGATTCTTACAGTTTGTGTTGATTTTGGCCGTTACTGGATAGAAAAAAACTTTGATCCCGTTCGAGGTCACAGCAGGACTGGAGCCGATCCCAGCTGTCATTGGGTGATAGACGGGGTACACCCTGGACCGGCTGTCAGTCTATCACAGGACTGACATTTACTGACAAACAACCGTTCATGCACAAACTCACACCTAAGAACTGCAGGAGGAAGCTGAAAAGACTCCACACAGGATGGCCCCTGCCTGGCCTGTGGGGGGGGAATCAAACCAGGAACCGTCTTGCTCTGAGGCAACCACAGCCCCGGATACCAAAAACCACTGACTGTTAAATGTTCTCTTGCAACATCAATTTCTGGCAGCGTGTTTTATATATTTTATAAATGCAGAAATACAAATAGCAGGAATATAAATGGCGGCTGGAAGCTTCAGACCACAGTGAGTCAGACTCTTGTTTCATAGAATTCAGTATCTGCGGTCACATCATGTTCACACTGTTTTTGTTGTGCACAAAGGAACTTTTTTCTGTGGTTTCTAGAAACAGCAGCTCCGAGTCAACAATGGTTAGTTGTTTGTTTCACGTTCAGGAGACAAACATCCCTGATTGTTACACCCTCAGAGGTTTGAGGTAAATGCACAGCAGCGGTTTGAACACACCTGGAGGACCTGACTGTGTTCACTCACCTGATGAGGGGGACGTTGTCCAGCGTGCAGCACAGAACAGGACCCCTCTGTAGGGGCAGCGGCTCCTCACAGGACTCATTATAATGCCTGGAAACGCACACATGCACACACTTTAGACACAGTACTCTCGCTTTGTTTTTTTAACTTTGCATTAAAGGTCATTTCAGTCTCCGCTGAGCTTTCTGACACTCATTTGACCCATAGAGGGTTCAAACTTTTAATTTTTATCCTCTTCGATCCCGCATAATAAATCCTAAGTAAGCAAAGGTGTCGGTACTCTGTTAATGGTTGAGCATCTCTTTACGTAATGGCTCATGCCTCACGTAAAAGACGGTGAAAGATAAACCAAAGTAATCTGGGTAAAATGTCTCTTTATAGCAGTTAAACGCTTCACTGCTTCTGCTTCGTATTTTAAGGACAAGCTTGAAGACGTACGAGGGTTTACCAATTGTCCAGTGAGAAGACACTTTCGACATCAGAGCTCCGAACGAACTTTAATATCATGCAGATGTTTCATGAGAAGAAAAACCTTATCACAGTATAACCCTGATATGGAAAAATAAGATTTTTTACCACTAAAATTCTGAATGAAATGTGACAGTCTTTTTAGAAATCATCGGTGTAACTCGTTTCTGGCATCAAACTTTTAAATGAGATGTTTTCTTGAAGTGGAAGTTTCAGTATTTGAGTTGTTGTTGCTGCTCTATTTTCTGATCACTATTTTACTCTCTACTTGTTTTCTGTTGCAGATCTACACGAGCTCTTTACACAGCAGGTGTTCTGGTAGCTTCTGGAGCCATGATACCAGGAATTATTTTCGACGTACAGTACTTTGTTTTATTTATGATCTCTCTGTACCAGCTGGGACTGTACTTTCATGAAGTAAACTGTCAGCTGGTTTTGATTTAAGATTAGGCTTCAAATACCAAGACTGGACTCCAGTTCAGAGATAAATCCATCTGCCTTAAAAGAGTTTATCTTCCTCCCCCTCCTCCTCCTCCTCTTGTTATCATTCCTTCTCTCTGCTTACATTGATAGTTTACTGTAGCCTTACATCTCCCCCCTCCCTCACACCAGCATGTACTCTTTCTCCTCTTATATCAACACGTGCAGCATTTTCATTTCTCCATGTCCACTCCTCATCCCCATCTGTCCATCTCAGTCCTCCCTGTGTTTGATTTAAGGTCTATAAACCTGCCAGGAAGTGCAGAGCTGAGGCCTCATTGAAGATTCCTGAAGGAAGCCCACCATGAGTTAAGGAAAGGACCTGTCCCTGAATTAATGCTAAATAAACACGTCAGATGAGAGTGGGGGACGTTTCACAACATGTACTTATTCATAATCACTGACCGGGCTTTGTTGCACATTTGCAGGATGGAGACTCTCAGTACTAACTTTGCAGCGTCCTGCAATCTGCGCTATGACATAAGAATTATTAAATCTACAGTTCAGGTTTTGTACTAAATGCATTCATTGTTTTGGATCGGTATTTCTCCCATAGTCTACATATATATATGTATCTGTATTTTTGTAATAGAAGTATTTTATAATTGGAGACATTACAGACATCACGGATTGGTGTTTGTGTGTGTTTGTGTGTGTGTGTGTGTGTGTCGTACCAGTTCTGCACAGGACAGACGTGCTGGTTGTACAGCGCCATTGCATATCTGTGAGTCAGAGACAAAGACGATCTTTTGTTAGAGAACTGAACGTGAACAAGAAACAACAATATTCAAGGTATTCTTCCTTTAATCATTCGACTTTGATATAACTCTATAAAACATGACCGTCACCGCTCTGCTGTTCAGTCACAGGAGGAGAAAAGCTCTATTTTCCTCACAGGACTGAAGCACTTGAAAGCAACGTCATTTGTGACGCGATTAATGGCGGTCCAGGTTTTAAAGTGCGGCGTCTTTTCTCACTTTATAAACACCCGTCACTTGAATCACCCGTGGGTTTGTCACTTGGAGGCTGTTGGCTGTATTTTAACCCGAGCTGTGACGTCAGAGGAGACGCCGCTGCTTTAATCTGTCAGCTGTACTATAACCAACTTTACGCACACAGACCGGCTACGAGGCTTTAACTTGTTTTGTTTTTTTTAGATAAGTTGGTGACATTACAGTGATGACAGTCAGCGGTTTAATCGACCAAACTTGATGGATTTTCATGAACAGACAGTAACAGAGTCAGAAAGATTCAGCCCTATAATAACCGTCATCTTTCTTATTTCCTCTTAAAGTTTTGATTTATTTCATGAAATATCTCAGTGACTTCTGAGAGGATTTGCTCCTAATTTCATACAAACTGTTTTTGTATGTCGTGGTTTCCAGAAGATAAAGCTGAATAACTTTGGCGACTCCCTGACCTTTCTTTTAATGCTATCAGAACCTTTAGAGTTGAAAGATCCACAATCCTTTGTGTTTTTACTAAACTGTGTAAACATTCAATTTCATGATCTGTAAATGCTTGTTTCAACTTCGGACTGTAGCCAACAGTGTCCAAACTTTTAGGGAGGTTTGGTCAATGATCAATATTGAAGTATTTTGCAAGTATGTACAGAGTTTACAGAGGTGCTGAAGGGTTTCATTTCATTTTTAGCTTTTTGATTCTTCTTCGAATCAGGAGTTTTTAACATTGTGACACTCTGTGACCCTGAGACTCGTAGTGCTGCAGATAAGATAAGCAAACAAACCCGACCAATGACTACAAACTACAATCATTTCAGCTCTTATTGATCGCTTATTGTCTCTGCAGTCGATGACAACTGCAGAGACAATAACAGCCTCTGATCCGAACATCTTCACACCTCAATTTGATTTGCTTTAAACCGAACAAACTAACTCTCATTTCTGCTGCTGTTTCCTCTTCACAAACAGGCCAAAGCTGCGTTACATGCTTCAGTTATGTTTCTGGGTCATTCAGCTGTTCAGGCAGATGGGTGTCAACGTGTCAAAAGACCAGCAGGTCGGGCAGAATGAGGGGGATTACAGACTCGTCTCTGAGAGGGGAGAGCTTTGGAGAGCGGGTGTGAAGACGTTCTCACACTTACTCTGTGAAGGTGTGAAAGAGCCTTTACAAAAGGAGACTGTGTGTCAATCCAGTCACACCGAGGAGAGAGAGAGGAAGAGGAAGGGAGGAACAAAAGAAACACTCACACAGGTCAGACTTCAACTTCAGGAAAAGAGTTTAAGGTGAGGAGAGAAGTCTGACTGCAGCAGGAAGCTGCTTCTGAGTCCGAGGATCTAGTCTGCAGTTAAACTGGAGATTCATCCCTGAGTTTTAAGTTTTGCATCGACATGGCGGCTCTAAAGGAAACATGACATCACTCATTTTTGGTTTGGAGGTCTGTCAAACTCTCAGAGAGTTAATAACCTGGAACTGCAAACTGGAAAACATCCCAAAAAGTGCAATAACAAGCCCCCAGGAGACACTTGGAGCCCACTTTGTAGAGTCTACTATCTGTCCTCTGCTGCAGAGATTATTGGTGTTTATTTATCTGTGTGATTAACGTATTACTCCCATGACTTTCTGCATCCCCCTCAGGCACACAGAGGGCTTACAAAGTTACAAAGTCACTGCTGAAGTTGTAACTTAAGACTCGTAGTTTAAAATGATGTGTTTTTTGATGCATCAGGAGATATATTTTTGTAGCTTTTAGTCCTGAAGTTGGTTTTTGACATCAGGAGAAGAGTGGTGGGCTCCGGCTATTTGAGGGGCCATCTTCTCCCTCTTCATCTTCTATATCATGTGTGCACTGTGTCATGTTTCATCCTTTAGAGGAGCAGCTAGAGGCAGCTTCCTGTGCATTTTCCACAGAAAGGGAACCAGAGAGGTTCCTTAGAATGTTGTAGGAGCATCCCAGAGGGAATTTCAGCAGTGTTTTATCAGACAGGAGTCCACCGCGGGGAGGAGTGACAGTTGTGAGTCAAAGACAGGGAAAACTGCGGCGACACACACCCCTGTCTGAACAGCCCAGAGGAATTTCAAGGATGAATCTCCGTCAACAATCGCTAAATAAACACAAAGCTCGTTCTCTCCCCTTCCAAAAAAGGACACTGTTTTACATCTATGAACTTTGTACAGACAGTGGAGTTGATCGTGGACGCTGCAGGATCTCAGGACCGAAATCCTGAGTTGTGACACTGTGTGTTACGTGGCCGAAACACGTGGACTTACATGACCCATATTCCAGTGATGGTGAAGACAGGCAGGCTGATGGGGAGGATCATCCACAGAGACATGACGACCACCACGAGTCTCCGCTGCAGGAAGAGTGAACATACAGTCAGATCACAGATTCTCCAGTTTGTGCTGCTGATACATTCAAAACATCATAATCCACACCAGGAGGTTACCTGTCTGTAGTTTCACTGAGAGGAAGTTAAATATGAGACATTGAGCTGATAAAGACCCTTAAAAGACACATGAACACGTCCAAGATGAGGCAGTAAAAGACGCTGACAGTACAGGCCAGGAGTGATGGTGATTATTCTCACTGTTGGTACATCAGTGTTTGATTGAAAAAGTCTCTTTGTTTGTTTGAATTTCCCCCAGAAAGAGATAAGAGATGATCATTTTTCTCCAGGGGGGAAAATGTTTTGAGCAATCCTGCCTTACACAGCTGTGATCACCTAACATGACACTGAAGAGTCAACACACTGAGACGCATTAGCAAATTCAATTATACGACACGGCCGGCTTTGGAAATATGAAATTAAAAATAATGAATATTGCATAAAAGCATGTGTTACAGCTGCACACGAAAATCTTTTCAGAGTGCAACTGAGACTCTCCTGCAGGAGGCACGAAGCTTGTGGAGGGTTCACCGTGTCAAAAACAACATTACATATCGATGCCGGCATGCAGCAGACATTCTTGGCTCTCATATTATTGAAAAAACACAAATCCTCCTGGCACAGACACCCACAAAATCCACAAACCAACTCTTCAATAAGTCCCGGTGAAAAGAGAATCACATCTAATCTCAGTTACATGTTTGTGCTGCAGTTTAATCGCCGTTTCAAACATGCTGTCCGTTCTTTATCGTCGCTGGACTGAAAGCAAACCCCGTCTGATGATGTTCTCCAGCCCGGTGTTTTAAATGTTTATGTCGTGTGTAAATGTTTATAATGATAGTGGATAACATACCAGACCCTCCTGAGATCTGCAGAGCAGTTGTTTTTAACAATCATGAGTCCAAACTCCAAAAAAGATTGATTTTAAATGACATAACCAAGATAAAACAAAGAGTCTTCAAACTCTCATCAGAGATCGTCTGCTTAAAATGTACTTACTGTTAAAACCATTTGTCAAATTTTCTTTGGGTTTGTGTTTTGAAACCTTTATTATTTGTGCAGAATTCCTCTGTTTGTTCACTATATACGTTGAATAAGATGCAATTAGCGTCAGGTGTGTCTGTAGCTGGGGAGCACACAGTTTTTTTGAACATTGTTTGATTTTGATTTTGTCTTTTATTTGCATCAGGTTCCTTAAACAAGTGAGGAAGAACAAACTAAGAAACGTGACTTTGATGGACTGTGCGTCAACTGCAAATCTGGCTCTCAGGACAATTTCGGCAGGTGAAATCAAGTCACTATGTTATGTAAAAAAAGAAATCTGCGCTTCAAGTGGGACATTGGAAAGCGAATGGACCCAATCGTTCTATGGAGGCAGAAGCAACGTGGGATTTCAGAGGAAATAAAAGTGCCGACTGGTTCAACTTTAAGACGCTCAACGACTTTGATGAGGTACGTGTGTCACTACCAACTTCATGGCCATGTTTGAATGTGTGCACACAACTTTGCGACGGTAATCCCAAACACACTGGTCACTAAAATTAATCTCTGTTTCTGCATTAATTGGTTTTCACTAAAGCCCTCCATCTTTCTAAATGTGCAAACTAACTTGACACTGAACCCTAATTCAGATTCAGATTCACCTGTTTAATGTTTCGATTTAAGCAGGTGAGAAGGTGCAGTAAACAAAATACATGAATTTGAAGTTTTTCATAATGACGTATCATATGATTTAATGCGTGGAATTAATGTTTTCTTCATCATGACGCACATGTTACCTGTTGGATGGAGGTTAAGGTAAGCGATGAATTATTTGCCTTTTGAATGTTGTGGAAGCTCAGGGTCAGTTTAACAGTAAAGCAACTGAATCAAAAGTGGTAAAAATGTGAGAAGTTTGGTTTTGTTAGAGGGAAACAGACTCAAAGTTACAAATTGAAAATTATATATATATATATATATATATTTGTTGGGGGGAAAAAACACACCTGTAATGTTAAATCACAGAAACTTATTGCAACATCAGTTTTTTTCAGTATTGTGCAGCCCTACTGTGATTTCTACTCACTTTTAAATCTTTATCAAAGGATTGGGAAAGCTTTAAATAGAACTTCTAAAAAACCTCCTTTTCACTTTTTACTTCATCTCGAGTTATTTTCTCTGATTTTACCTGCATTGAGAATTATAGCAGCACTTTTACCTAAGTAAAAAAAAATACTTGGATCAAAATAAGCAAACATCATTTTAAATATTTAATTATTTTCCTGCATTATAACCTCTCTTTAGTTAGGATTCAAAGGCTGTTTTAAACAAATAGTTCATAAACTTTGCTCCAGACTTCTTCAGCACCATCTAAAGTTTCCTGTCCTGTCCTCACCTGCTGAAGCTGCAGGTTTTCTCCTACTTTATTAAAACTGTCAGAGGTTTACTTCCTCTAAGTGTCAGGGAACAGAGTCAGATATGAAGTCTTACCTTTGGTTAGCTCAGTAGAAACAGCTTCAGGCTCCTCTTCTCATCTCAGCTCCTTCAAACTCGACGTAAAGTTCCCTAAAGGAGAAGCGGTTTCGGGTCTGAGCTCCTCTGCAGGAGCTGTTTTCATTGTCAGTAAAAAATAAAAAGTGAATTCTGCTGAAGTTCATCAGGAGGAATCAGAAACGGAGTGTTTTCCCGGTTTTCTCCATCCCACAGTGGGTCTCTCCTCTGAGCTCAGTCTGATTGTTCTAACCTGAGATTGAGGAGCAGCTGGAGTCACTAACTTTAGACTCCTCCCACTAAAGTCACGTTTCCTTCATTCAACACTCTTAATACCACTTTTTATTTTCGCTTTAAATCACGTTTTCTGCCTTTAGTGTGCAGAATTACGCCTGATTTTGCCTTTTTAATGATCTGTAAAGTATAAAGAAACTGAAGAAACGGTCTCCGGACTCCTGCAAACTTCACAGAATCAGCTGTTGCAGGAGGTGTTGTGTTTGTTTTGGTTGTTGTTTCCATCGCGGATCGTTTTGTTCTCCGTCTACTTCCTGGAAACTGATTTCACAATCGTATTACACCGATATTAGTCATGTCTCTGTTGGACTGTTAAAGTCTGGATGGGATTGTGTTTCATGTTTCCTTTTTTCTCCTGAACTGCTCGGAGTATTTTCCTAGAAAGAAAGTGGAGATGATGCCTTCAGGGACTCTTTTCTCAGCTCCTGTTTTTCGAGTGACAAGCTCTCTTGTCTTATGTGTCTGGAAGTTTTTGTGCCAAATACGGACTGAAAAGCTCCATCTTTTCAGAATAATTGAGGATTTTAAACTGATTATATTTCTATGTGAACAAGTAGTTTAAAAAAAGACAAATAAAACTTAAATAAAATCCCAAATCTGAAGAAAGGTGAACATGAATGTCATTTAAAATTTACATCTAATTGAAAATTGCCCAAAACAAATGTTAAAAGTGAAAAATATCGACGCATACCAGCAACACATAACAGTCTGTTTATCCAGGACCGAGACATGTTTATCATTGTGTTGCATCACCTCCTCTTGTTACACTCTGTAAACATCTGGAAACCGAGGAGAAGATTTTCTCACAATAACTTTATTTTTATAATACTTTTAAAAACAGAAGTTTACAAAGTGCTTTGACAAACAGTCATCAAGCATCAGCACATGTAAATAAAGACAAATAGAAAACAAAAGCTCTGTTAAAATCAAGACCTCTGAATTAAAGGCCCATTTTATTTGTCATAAGAAATCCAGACAAAACAAGAACCCTACAACATAAACGAGACTATGGGGACCAAAATAAAACCATAAAATAGGTAAGAAAAAGAAATGTAATAAAAAAGAGTAGGAGAAAGCAGGAATATTGAAAAAAAAATTAAGGGTGTTGCACTTCATTAGTATAATGTTCGATCGAGTTTTCTATTTTCCTGCAGCACCTGAAGGCAACCTCATGTGCCCACTCGCGTGCTCCACCATGCAGAGGTTCACACATCTGCTCTCAATTAACCAGTTTGTAGGGATGGCGTCTGTGCTGATCGTTTACAGACTGTTTCACTGAAGCTGTACAAGCTGTGAACATCAAACTGGAGCCAGAGGAGACCCTGAGGAACAAAGTCTGTCCACAGGGGGGCGCTACAGGATTCAGATCAGGACACATCTACTCTGCTCAGATCTGATCTGACTGTGAGACTTTGCTTTTCTCTGTCTCCAATTAGATGAAATCAGTCAAAATTTAATTAAGATAAAAATCAATTTGATCGCTTTGATTTTGCCGCTGTTAATTTTGTTTTTATAGAGTCCGTAAATCCTTAATATCCTACTTTATAAGGTGTATGTTGACTACAAGGCAGGGGAAGACTGATTATCAGTCTAAGCCGATTTATTAGAGCCGATATTTCAGCTTTTATCTCCTTATCATGATCAAAAATTTACTCTATTGATAACTGATAAAGTTAGTTAATTAAAAAATGCTCCTCTTACTCCACTGCTCGGTTGGTTTTCACTCTCCACTCTGTTGTAGCCTTCGCCGTTGGTTAACCGTAAACTCTTGTATATGATGTCGCACATTTCAGCTTTAAAGAAATATTCACTAAAGTCATTTAATCAAAGTTAGATAGGGTAATGATCCAAGTGATAAATTCACCCCATTGTGAACTACTTAAATGGTCAAATTCGTCAATTTTTAAGAAGAAACACAACCTTGTTTTGTATGGCAACAGTGAAGGAGGCTTCCAGAATGCTGGGTTCTTGAATGCTGAGGGGCCTTTAAAGGGACAGTGGCTTAAATATAGCATCTCTTTTGAACACAGTTAAACACATAATAACTGAGTCTGCAGGAAAACATTGGAGTTCACTAACTGTGGAGACCCAGCACCAATCAGCCTACTGCTGAATTGGTCTATCTCTAATGCACATCCTCAATAAGTCACACCGATACCTAAAAGAGTAGGATTAAAGTGGAAAAACTCAAGACCTTCAAGCTGTTACTGAGTTAAATCCTGACTGAGTTACTTGTCATGAATCATGTGAATTTGTTTCACTAAAACTACAGGAAACCATGAACTATTATCTAATATTAGAGCTAAATATAGTGGGACGGCTTATAAAGTAAACTCTGCAGTTTTGGCCTTAATGTATAAAGGTCTGAGTCAGAGTATCAGGTCCTCTCTGTCCTCTCTGTCGTCACTCTGCTGCAGGACCTCAGTGCTGAGCCTGCAGAGTTTTGTCCTCCATCGTTCCGCAGAGGTTTAAATAAAAGCCTGGACATCTACAGGACAGACTGAGCTGCTTATTTTCAGACCACAGGGGACTCTGAAGGGTTCAACTCAGAAAAAAGAAAAAAGAAACATAGTCCTGCGCTTGTTACTGGAACTCTCTGATTGTAACAGCAGCTATCACAGAGATGGATTATCACTCTGAGGAGTCACTGTGCTGACGTGATGTTTCTAAAATACTGCGAAACATGATAAAGAAGACAGAGGCCCTTCAAACCAATCGTGCTTTACTTAGATTCACAGCGAGTTTAAATCAAAGTAACGTGATAGTGTTGTTGTTTTATTCCCCCACAGTCGAACAGCGCTGTGAGGCTGTCCTGTTCTTAGACCGCCCCTCAAAAAGAAACATGTGTTAACATGTGATCTCATGTATGCACATGTGGAAACCATGAGGCAATAATGTGATTTATCTGTAAGGAGAATGTCTGTGAGCTAAATGCTAAAATTCTATCAACATGCGCACAATGACAACACTATTATTCTGTTTGGATGTATTTTACAGACATTTCAAAGTTCAGGTGCATCAAACTGGAGTGTTTACAGCCAAAAGTTTCTCTATGAGATTATCTATCTGTGTGAGAACTCTTCAGCTATCATTGTTTGTGATACTGAGACTGTTAACCTCAGGTTTAGATGACACTGGCCTCTACAACTGTTGAGATATCAGGCTAATCTTTTATGGAAAAAGTCACAACTCCACAGTAAAACAAGGACTGTGTGAACTCAGTCTTTATTTAAAGCTGCCAAAAGTGAGAAATTAACCTGAACTGTGATAAATACCTCAGATCCATAAGAGCTTGGACTACTGTGTGAGATGTTGATAAAACAGATTTGATAGTTTGCAAATCAGTATAACTTCATATTTGATTTAGAATATTGCAAAGACCAAACCAACAGTTGAAATTGAAAAGAAAAGCCAAATCTAAATTTTTTGTCAGAAATGAAATTAAAAAAAAATGAGACAGGGACGACAAAACATAAAATTTATCAAACATTAGTAACATTACTGGGTTTAAAAAAAGAAATTAAAGAAAGACTGAGTCACTCGTAGTAAATAATACTAAACCAGATATTAGAGGTATTACAACAGCATGGCTCTGTAGTGGAAGAGTCCCGCTGACTTTCCTGTAGAAGACCGTCAAATTCTGTTTTTATTCAAACATCTTACTCTGTGTTATCTTTCCTCTTAGATCAGAACTTAATTGTTTTATTTCAATAAAATAAGATAAGCAATCTCTCAACTTTCTAAGATAACAGCATCAATAAAAGTTTATCAAAACATCTGTTTTCTCAGCTTCTGTGGACTCATCTTTAATTACCGACTGTAGAACGTTGTATAGTTCTGAGCGGCACAGTACCTCTAAATTAATTATTTTAACTTTTGATTTTGACATTGCAGTCATTTTTAGTTACAAACACTCGAAATAAACTTTTTGGATACAAAATAAGTGAAGGAAAAACTCTGAGACGTTTTAAAACCAAAATGTTTTTATTGTAACATTAACGTCGAAGCCCTTTAAACGGTTTTAGTTCCTATGACAGCAGTCGACTGTGGTATCCACAGGGTGAAGTCAGTGTTTGTGATGTTTACACAGAGATTAAATCAACAGACTAACACAGGTGAGCTCACATTTATCCATGACAGACAGAAAATAAAAAGACAGATTCACTGTTTGGCACAAAAACGAATGGTAATAACTCCAGTGGTAAATTCAAGTCATAGTGGTCCAACGGTGACTCCCTCTGAATGTACAGTTACAGGCTGAAACTACACAGATTATTAGGTCCATTATGTGCTGAGACATTAAACACGGGACGTGGAGAGGAAAAGGATGGAATGGAAGTTTACCATGCACCACAAATGAGAACTTTTCCTACAAATCTTGACGGCTTCAATTCATCCTCATGCTTTGAGCGTACAGAGGCAGGAGAGGTGTGAGGAACGAGGAAAGAGGACATCCTACAAACTAACATCTACTAGGTCCAGTTTAGGTCCGTGTGAGCGTTCTGGATGTTTAAGAAAATAAATACATTTTATTATATACAGTGGACACAGGATTGAAGACTCACTCTTAGCAGCTCATTGAGTGCCGCACAAACGATCAGGCGGCCCTTTCAGCTCACACTCTCACAGCTTATATTCAGCATAGCAGTTCCCTAATCATGTGCTGCACCCTCATGGATCTACAGTTTTTATCTGATGGTGGTTTTCAAATGTTAATCGTAGCTTTACACAAAGGGGACCAGGAGAGAAGCAAAGGTTGAGTATAATGTGCTTAAAAATAGGGACACAAGTGGAAATTTTGGAGGCAGATGCATGAAAATTATGACGTTATTTTCCATGCTAAAGAGGACCTTGGTGCAGCAGTTTAAAATAATTTTGACAGGACAGGATAAAAATCTGTTCAGAGGGAAATACAAAAGGATTAATGAACTGGATTATTAACTGGGTTAAACCTTTAGTATGTGTTGTTGAAAACATTTGAATAGGATTGGAATAACTTTGATATTAAGAGGGCAGAGGTTATTCTGATCCAAGTAAAGCCTGGATTCAGGCTGGATTACAGTACGGACATGGACTGAAAACTTTTAAGAGCTTTTCAACACTTCAAAGTTTTGATTTTTAAGATATTTCCGCCTCTTAATTATTATCATGACGTAGAAGGTAAATTACACAGGAGGATTGTGACACAAATTCAAGGATTTCATACATTTTTTTCCCCTAAATAGCTGCAACATTTAATCACAAGTAACTCTGAGGATCTTTCAGTTTGTGTGTCTTTTGGCGTGTGTTGAATTTGGTCCTATCTAAAGCTCTGCTAATCTAGACATGATAACCTTTAAAGGCTGTATGTAGATAAAACTGATCTGATTTACTTTGCCTTTGAAAAAACTGGGCTAAAAGTGAGCTGGACTGGTTGTTTGTTGGCCTTGTTGTTTATAGGAGGCTTTAATCCTTGTCATTCTGGTTGCTGATAAGACCCCCGACCACGATCCTGATCTGTGTCTACCCTCACTCTCTACTCCTCATGTTACCTGCCCCTCTTCAGCTGTTCTTACCAATAAAGGTAAAAGAAGAAGAAATAAATCACAAATAAATATTTAAAACGTAACTATGAGGATATTCCAGTTAATGTGGACTGGGTCCCAGTCAGAGTTTGAGTAATCTGAGATTGCTAATCTTCAAAAATCTATATCTGAACAGAGTAAAGATATTCAGTTTATCTTATAAAAACACAAAAAGGATGTGAGCAGCTGGATTATGTGAGAACAGAACTGTGGATCCCCTAATCCAGATCATTCTTATGAGGAGTAAATCTATTTAACTATCAGGCTTTAATCTGCATTTCTCTGATGAAAAAGGGATTAACTATAACTGAAACAAGTTTAATATATCGAGACTATGACCAATTAATTCAATAGTAATATTAAAGGGCAGTGTTTAAATGTTTTACTTCATAAAATACATTGAGTTTTACGCTCAGATTGCTGGGTTTAGTCTCTTAAATTCTTAAATTATTTTAGCTTAATTATTTGCGTTACATTGCTGACTGTTTGATTAAAACAAACATAAGGGATGATGTTAAAAAGACAAAGATCTGATCATGAATTGGATCATTATTTTAGAGCAGGGATGTTGCTTATGCGATAAAATCAGTTAAATTAGACTTTTCTCTCACATAAATAAGGTTATTGAAGCGTGTGGGTAACAGCTGCCTATTTATGGTAAACAGTGGGAACAGATCGATACAAGAAGCTCTGCGGTCCTTTCCTCTTTGTGAGTAAAAAGAGATTATTTGTATATTACTGACACCGTACAGAGGAGAAAGAGGCAGAGGGAGAGTTTATCCAGTGTGAGTTCTCAGGTGAGGTGAAGAAGGCAGAACGTGCTCAGTGTAAACATGTTTGTTTGTTTTTTTAACAAAAGAAGGAAAAGGTCAGGGTCAGATTATTACACAACCTGACCTCTGGAAGTATCTGTCAGATGAGGAATGTGTTTGTCGCTCAGATCTTATCGTCAGATTTCGTCTTTGTGTGGAGAGAGAGAGAGAGTAAAGTTTCAGTTCTGTTGGCATACCATTATGAAAATATGACATGCTGTGTGCTGTAAGAGGACGACACGTTTATCTGTGAACACGAACTGAACTCTGTGCTGTCAGCTTCAGAGCTACACATTTACAACTCTGTGTGTGTGTGCGTGTGTGTGTGTTAGTGGTATGAGCTAAAACTACAGATGACGAAACACCCCCATTTAAGTCAGTGCATTGTGAATAACGCTTTCCCTTTATACTATCCTGTAGTTCACAGTGTTAGGGCCAAAATAGACATACTTTAAAAGAATAGTTCAACACGTTTCACTGAGACGGTTATAGGAAGCTTAGCATGAAGTCTGGGTGCAAAGGTGGACGTGGCTGTTCATTCAAGTCAGATCTATTTACTCAAAACAGAAACATTTGTAAGATTTCTCTCTTCGAAGCCGCCAGATTTGACTGAAAAAACAATCATCCACTCGTTTTTGTGCTAGCTGCTCTCACTGCCTCAATGTCAGCACGCTTCTTACTAACATTCACTGTTGCTAGGGTTACGAATTTTCCTGCTGTGCAACCGCTTTCTCGTTAAAGACCATTAGGTGTGTTCTAAAATATTTTTTAAAAATGTGCAATTGTTAGAAATCATGTCAAAACATCAACTGAAGCCCTAGACCTAATATCGTACTTTAGTTCCACTCCTTCTCGATTCTGATTGGTTGTTGATCGAGAAGCGACACAGACGAGTGCCGCGGAGTTCTAAAAGTATAACTAATGCTGCGTTCGAGTTACCTCAGAAGTCAGAAGTCCGAGCTGAAAACGACGTCACACCTGAGTTACTAGCGTTTTAGTAACCAAGTCGGAAAAAAGCAAAATCAGAGGCGTAAACAAGATGGCTACATCTACGAAAGTCATTTTAGCGCTTGCCTATCCGAATATAAGGCAAGCGCTAAAATAACTTTGGTCATCTTGTTTCAGTGACTTCCTTTGTAACTGAAACGCTGGGAGCTCAGGTGTGATGTCATTTTTGCCTCCAACATCTGACTTCCGAGGTAACTCGAACGCAACATTATTTCAACCCTAATAGCGACAAAAAAACCTTATGATGCTCAAGACGGAAGTGCATTTAGATTTAGAGAAAAAAAGCTGCGAGTGCAAAAAAAACAAATTCTATAAACATTTAAGTGCTCTGCTCCTTGTATTTTTCAGTTGCTTGTGTCATAAACTGTGGCTTGCCTGAACTAACACTCGACTCATTTCTTGTTAGAGGAGTCTGCTTGCTTTGAAGAGAGCAGCTAAATAGCGATTTATGTTTCCAGAAATAACCTAATATCCCTCACAGAGCCGTATCTTATCACTTTAAGGGTTTTATTAAGTTTGTCAGCAGCTGAAAAATTCCTGAAGTGGAAAAACTTTAGTCAGACACACATACCTGCACGGATCTCACTTCCACAGTTAACGGCTCATTTTGCAGCTGCTGCCTTAAGCGATTAACTGGAGCGATGCCAAAGTTTCTGAATTTCTTAAAGGAAAATTGAGGTTTAGGGGGGAAAGTTGAACTCTGGGAAACTTTCAAACAGGCGCGTCTATCTTTGTAATAACCTTCCCACACGACAAAAACCTGTGCACATGCTGTTTCTTTTTCAGAGGTTTTGAAGTTATACAACAGTTGGCAACCTAGCTGCTGCATTTCTGCCAAATTCAGACCTTACTCTTCCAGTTTCCCATCTTTTCTCATGTTTTAGGCCTTTTTCCACTTTATGAACGAACTTTAGAGATTTTTCCCAGTCTTTAAGCCGAGCTATGCTAAACAGGACCTGACTGCAAACCTTAAAAATATTTCCCTTATCATGTTGAACTATTCTTTTATAACTTTTCTTGGCAAATTACAAACACCTCAGACTACTACCTGGCCCTCACATGGCTTTCTTTCTGTTCAGGTCAATAGTTGAAAGTAACGAAGGCAGTCGATTAAACAAAGTGAAACTGAGTTAGTCCCTTTTTTTCTGATTTGACTGTAAACTCATCTATTGAAGACATCGTGTTAAACTGGCCTCTTCTTTTCTACCGCTCTAGATCCAGGTATGAGTCGCTGTTTGAGCTACAGGTTTCTATAAAAAGTCAGGTGAAAGTGTCGTTAAAGAGGAGGAACCAGTGAACTAGTTGCGACTCAAACATTCACGGCCCCTCGCTGTCGGTCATGTCTACTCTGCCTTGGATCCTTTGCCCTCTGAGGAGCCTCTGAGGTACGTGTTGTAGAAGAACAATGCAAACAGAACCAGGTAGCTGAGGTACATGAGCGAGCCCCACGTGAGGTTGTCCATGTTGGACGGACAGTGAACCTCGTGCATCCAGCGGTACACCAGACCCAGCACGGTGAGGCCCATCGCCATCTGCATGATCTGCGTGGCCGTGATGATCATGGCGCAGACTCGGGGGATCCTCAGGCCGGCTGCCTTGGCTGCGTAGTACGAGTACATGAGGGAATGAACGATGTAGTTCATGGTCATGAACCAGCCGCCGCCCGCCACCTGGTCCTTGTAGGAGTACCAGGAGTAGAGCAGCACGGTGATGTGGTGGTACCAGTGCAGGAAGATGAGGCGCTGCTTCCTCAGGATGATGAAAACTGTGTCACCTGAGAGAGGGGCGATAGGAACTCAGCCGTTTACAGTCACACCTCCAGATATACAGTTTACCTGATGAAAAAGAGTCACTGACTAAGTCTTTAAAGGGATATTCCGGCGTAAAATTAATTTAGGGTCAAACACACTGTAACACAGAGTAAGACACCCCTCGAGAGATGAATGTTGCCGACCGCTTGCTTCTCTAGTGATATCAACTTTAGTAACGACCGTACGATAGCAATACACAGCGGTCTCAGGAGCCATAAACAAACCTCAACCAAAACGCCACTCTATAGCCGCAAATAATGCTCAGAACAGCACCTAACTTCATCAACAGGACATATTGGGTCACAGCCACCGAACATCTTTTTAACTTTGACTCATTTCTTTAGCAAAGAGACTAAACACAACTCACCTACTCTCTTCCAGCAGCCGCTTGTTTGTACGGAGACCTTAGGCCAGTCAATTAGGGACTACAGCGGGGTTTCGCAGCTCAAGGAAGAACATTTATGATCATTTCTTCATGGAAATACAATCAGACCGAGACGCTAAGGCAGAAGAACTACCGTGTCTGCAGTGCAAAATGATTTTTATGGTGATTATTACTTTAAGGAAATGAAAAAAGAATGATCATAAATGTTCTTTCTTGAGCTGAGTCACCCCGCTGTAGTCCGTAATCGACTGGCCCGAGGCCTTGCGACAAACAAGCGGCGACTGGAAGAGAGTAGGTGAGTTGTGTTTAGTCTCTTTGCTAAAGAAATGAGTCAAAGTTAAAAAGATGTTTGGTGGCTAGTACTATGTCTGTGACCCTATATGTCCTGTTGATAAAGTTAGGTGCTGTTCTGAGCTTTATTTGTGGCTATAGAGTGGCGTTTTGGTTGAGGTTTGTTTATGGCTCCTCAGACCACTGGCCGCGCAGATGCACACTACAGACTAACACAGACTACGCCGGAGTATCCCTTTAAGGCTCAAACTGCGATGAACCTGTCTGAATGTCTTCGTTTAACGTGTGATAAACCCTGTAGTGACTTAAAGACCCGACCAATCAGAGAATGAAGACTTCTCTCTGCTGCTGAGGACAGCGTGTCTGCATCAATCACGCACTAATAGAGCTTTTTGCCGCTTCAGCATCTCCAGCCTCCGTTTCCCGGACAACACGAGGAGAAAGGATGACTCTGCAGACCGAGGAGCGGCTCTTCAACAGATTATTCTCAGAGATTTACTGTGAAGTTCAGGAGCTCTGAGGAACATCCGTCAAGATTTAGCAGCTCAAGGTTAAAGTTTATGGGTGTCTTAGCAGTCAGATACTCTGCAGAGATGATGGAGCGGCGTCTGTGATAAACCCTGCTGATATGTCGGTGAGTAGAAATCTGAACAGTCCAGACATCACAGACTCTAACTCAAGGATAATTTTAGAGATTAGGAGTAGAAAGTCTTACCCAGCTCAGGGGCTTTGCTGAGGACAAAGGCGTAGGCCCAGAACTTAGTGATGGGGGCGCTGTAGAAACTGGAGTCACATACGGACTGTCTGAAGCCGCTGTATGTGATGACGTGGAACATGTAGAGTCCTGTCCTCAAGGCTCCAATAATACTGCAGAGTGAACACACAGTAAATACATGAACTTGAAATCAAACGTTAATTTAAGTCGCTGCAGGATCCGATCTTCGTTATAAGCTCTCTTAAAGATGCTTTTATCTTTCACTGAAATTCTTTAACAACCCTTAGAGAAGAGAGATGGTCTCTGCAGTCCTGATGAGTAAAACGTTAATCATTCATTCAAACAAACAGCATTGACCTTTCACAAACATCAAACCTCGAAGCATCATTTTACAACCAAATGATTTATTTTCATAAAAAGGTGACCCAAAGAATCCCTCCCACACATCCCCATTGTTCAGACTCTGCTGCAGCCACAAAGACTCGACATTACTCACTACTGTAAAGTAATAAAACCTCTAACAGCCCTGCAATCCCAGAGTACTGTTGCAGTTTATCGATCCAGAGATCACAGGAAGGAAATATTCTGGCAAACAATTTCAACACTCTTCAGAGTTTTTAAAGAAGATGCAGCACTCAGATAGAAGCTGCTTACAGCGACGTACGACCTCTCTCATATACCTGAATTTATCAAAGAATCCCTCCACTGCTCTGCGAAACATTTTCCTCCATGAATTTTAACAAATCAATCATTTAAAAATAAAACCGAGTGTAGAGAGGAGGAGGTAGATCTCAGGTGTTTACAGTTTTCCTTTTGTTTCAGGACACGGTTCAGAAACTTTGGCCTCAGTCAGGAATGTTTTTTGGTCATCAAACTGGTTTCAGATGTGAACAGTATCTCAGAGCACATTCCCCTGCTGCTGCGCTCATCCGACTTCCTGGAGGTGTTGACGATGACAATCTTTATGATCAGGGTGGAAATACTCAAGACTTTGCAACCAGACTGTGCATGTAGAAAACGTGTGTCCTGTCTGTCCATGGCATTACTATCGCATAGCTTATGCTTGAGTTAAAGCAGGTCATGAAGAGTTACATCCTTTCTTCTGTGTTTTTTTTTTGTACTGACCTGAAGATAGCGAGGCTGAGTGACCACAGCACTAGCGGGCGTCGCAGGTTCAGCTTCGGCCTTTCTCTCATGAAGTGCTGACCACCGAACACGAGTGCAGCATACAGGCCACAGAACATGAAGGCTTTGCTCCTGTGGGGAAAGAAACAAAACGATGCAGTAAAGCATCTCTACTGAAATCATACAGTCCCTGAGCTCCATCATCCTGTAGCTTCTCTGGATCGCAGCTGCAGATGTTTTAGGTTCTGCGGACCTGCTGATATCCAGCTGCTTCAACTATGTGCACCTCTCTCTCCCTGTGTCTCCCTCTCTCTAAACCTGATGCAGTCTCAGCAGATGACTGTCAAACATCAGTCCGGTTCTGCTCGAGGTTTCTGCCTGTTAAAGGAAGTTCTTCTTCTCCACATTTTTCACTCTAGTGGTTGAGGATGGGGTGGGAGCGGGTCTGATTCGATCTTTACATCAGGTCTTTGTAAAAAGATTTTAGTCTAGACCAGTTTTTTTTTTTTTTTTTTGTTACACTTGTTAAATTATTATCGTACTTTTTCCTTGTTTTTCTGACATTATATAAACTTTTCAGCTGGTTGGCCAATACTGCATTTATTGTTGCAAAGATAATCTTGATCAGAGACTTCAAACTGATCAGGTTCAGGGCTTCTCTGTCAGAATTTTAATTTGTAGCGCGCTGCACTGTTCTCACACGCCACCCTACTTAGACTTTGACCTCATCAGGCGACAGAAGAGGAAGAATTTTTTTCTGACAAACAGCCGACACTAAATCACCTCAGTCAGACCCTGAAACATGAGAAGATTAGCGCTGTTACATAAAAATGTTGCACAATGAGGGTCAACAGACCAGACAACATGACATGTTCTGTCTCCATGCAGAGGTTATGTGTCAGGTACATGATGAACGTACACATGAATAACTTTAACTTAAAGAGAGGTCAGTTTGATGAAACTGTTATTCACTCTGACCTGATCCTCACTCATAATCACAGCAGAGAGTTTACAGATTTTTGGCTGCCTGTTTGGACTCTCAGCTCAGGGTGACCAGGTTAGAAGATCTGAGCGCTGCTCCTCCTGAAATATCTTCAATTACTAATACTGTTTCAGATATCGCAACTAGAGGTCATGATGACCGGAGAGGTCCGGCAGTGACAGGTGGAGACTGAGAGTGGAGGAGAGGATGGTGTGTGCCTAATAAAACAAGGTTCGATTCTGCAGGTCCGTCACATTAAAGTAGGGCTGAGTATCATCAGGAATCTGGAGACGACAGGATATATTTGGATACGTTGCACTTTTTCCTCCGAAACTCCCAGTGTTAAGACCACACAATGTTACATGCATGAACAATTACAATTGAAGTTCCTACTGTACTACATGTCAAACCGGCTGAGAGAGTCGAGCACCTTCACTTTAACTCCTGTGGACATCCTGAGCAGAGCCATGTCAGCGACGTATTCTGCCTCTGGTGTTTTTAATATTCTCACCCAAATACTCTTTTATCCACAACCCTGAGGGAAGCATTATTTTGGATGCACATGGTGCGCTAAAAAAACACAATTTTTTACCTTATTAGGAGCTCAAATTGCATGATGTCTCAACTGCAGCATTTGCAGGCTGTAGCTCTGCTCAGATTTTTCTTTGATGACATTTAAGATGAAAAATAATCAGAAAATCAGATCTACAGATCGCAGGTGGATTTGGCATGTAAAATTCTGGTTAGATGGTCCTACAATATTCACAGATTGAAATATATTTAACTGTGTTTAAAGTTGTTTTCAATTTCATGATATAAATCCAACTATAGAATCTGCTCCATACTGTTTTTTTTCTCAATGTTTGGTGAAATTTACGTTATGTGTGCAGGAACCTGTGAAGTAGAGAACCCAAAAGTCAGCCTTCTTCTGCAGCATCACGGTAAAACAGGAAATGACATAATCTTATCGAATTCTGTTCAAACGGGCTGAAAAGAAACCACCCACTACCTCCACAGCCACGACTGCGAGGATGTGCGTGTCTAAGAAGGTTTTGGGGAGAGACCAGATGACTAATCCAGATTGGCACAATAGATATTAGGCCAAGTAGATGCTGCTGCTACTTGACCCACTTAACGTTAGAGGGGGGGGTTTCTGATAGCTGCTCTGAGTCAGTCCATAACAGATGCAGAAAAAGGGAAACCTTTAAGCAGAAAGCAGGAAAAGATAAACAGAGATAAGGGTGAATATGAGAGAGAAATGGTCGTGATGTAACTGTTATACTGCTTTTTAATTTAAAGAGTCATATTATTATGAAAATTTCCCCTGTTCAGACAGACGCTGATGTTGACTGGCTCTCAAACTTGTGCATGTCCAAAAATAAGCACGCTGACAGAGATATATATGTGCGTTAACAGTGAAAACCACGGAGGATGTTCTTCATGCAGCAGCTGAAGAAATTCAACCTGCCAAAGACGACGATGGTGCAGTTTTACACCTCCATCACTCCATCCTCCATCCTCACCCCCTCCATCAAAGTCTGGTGCACTGCAGCCACTGCTGAGGACCAGAGCGGGCTGCAGTGCATCATCAGCTCTGCAGAGAGAGCGATCAGCTGCGACCTGCCATCTCTACAGGGTCTGAGACAAGCAGGTAAGATAACGCCCCATACTCCCCACGCTCTCACTCAAAATCACGGTTCCTGCACAAACAGTGATGACAAGTTTTGCACATATGTCGATCAGATCGTTTCAAAATGCCGATAACCAGCTTGATTAATCAGCCCAGCCGATTATTAGTCATTCTCTACTTTACAAAAAGGAATAACACACTGCTGCCATGAGGTATTGACCAATCAAAATCAAGTATTCAACTCAGACAGGTAATTAACTCGAAGTTGGTTGATGGCTCCTGGCTGTTTTTTATGACCCAAGTTGATACTGTGTGGTTTTCAAAGAGTTCATTGATAAACTTGTGATTTATTACCTGATAGAAGTCCAAACTTCCAGTATACGCACCTTTTATCGAAGGTTTTTATCTGTGCTTCGCTTGTAGTGACACTGAATATGCCAAGTACAAGGAAGCAAGGGAGAAAATGTATGTGAATCCTACAGGGAGCTATGTAAATCTTCCTAATCCACAGAGGATTAACGAACTGTCTGACTGCATAAAAGTGTGCATTGACGGACAAATTGCACAACTCAGCAGAACGAGCGCTGACGGTAATCTCTAATCATCGTGCAAAAATCCAGCCGAGTTTCCTTCTCTATTATTCACCTGGCACTCCTCAGGGTGTCTACATGTGTGTCATACTCTCTCTCTCTCTCTCTCTCTCTCTGTGTAGGACTGTGCACACTTTTCCTGGGCTTTTATGAGTCTTCAACTGACAGCTGACTTTCTCCTGCAGGAGGAACACAGCTGGATTCAGTTTCACTCTTGCACAGTCTCATGGAAGTGAGGGTTAAAAATGCGGTCTTACTAGGTTTCCTGGAGGAGCTGCTCAGCGAGGGGTCACTCCCTCTGTAGGAGACGTTTAATTGGACAATAGAGGGAGGCGTTTTAGTGTCTGCAGGGATTCAGCAATTTTGTTTCGTGTAGGGGAGAGCGGGGTAAGATGAGCCATTTTTCGTATTTTTCGGATCGCTACATCAAGGCAGTCATATGGCGTGTCCCAAATCGCATACTTCCATACTAAATACTTCAGTATTCTAAGTATACTATGTACTCAATCGCCTAGTGCTTGAGTTTCAAGGGTGCAGTGTTGTCCCAAATCGCTTACTGCCGCGCGGCGCACTCAACGGAAATGACGACGCGATTTCTTCTTCTACGCCAATTTTTCACCCGCTAGCTCTGCATCAGCTAATTACCGCCACTTTTTGCCTTCGCTCGTTCATCCATTTTTGAGGTAGAATCAGCAACAAAACTAACGTTCATCGCTCATTTTTACGCCATGGGTAGCGCTTCAGAACCCAGCGGCTACTGGGTAACTAGCATTCGCGATAACGTTCACGGTAAAAGACAAACAGATTACACCACAAATATACTCAAAACGATAAACGCTGGCGGTGCTTGGTGGAAAGAACATGTGTAAAAGGCAACGTATTACTTACATCGGTACAAAGCTCGCGGGTCGACCGTCGCCGACCCACTGGCACCACAGCCGTCCGCAGTCATTCCTACTGATGAAATGAGTGCGGCGAGTGTCCACAGTCGGATACTCAAAATCTTGACCGATTTGAGTACGTCATCCGGGTCCTTTTGCCTACTCAATTTTCACATACTATCCATATTTTTTTTCATTTTGTGTTGAGTATACTCAAAATTTTAAGTATTTAGTGTGGAAGTATGCGATTTGGGAGACACCAATAGTTTTGTCTCTAACTTGTGTATCTGCATATATTTCAAGTTGTTGCTCATCCCTGCAAACCAACAGAATGAGTGTAAACAGAACTGTCTTGATAATATAGCATACCCGTGTATGGGGTAAGTTGACCATAGGAGCGGGGTAAGTTGAGCCGTGTCCCTACTACCCTCCAACTCTCCACTCCAGTCCAAACTCTGATCCTCTCATCAGACTCCTTTACTTTCTCAGTTACCCCAGAACTACTATTATGACTTTATTAGTCCTCTAAGCTAAAATGGTGGACTTTGGTTTGACTCATGTTGTGTCATAGATAACAATGATGTAAAACAAATTTAAAATGATCTTTTTTTGGTCTGAACACAATTCTTATCAAACTTACGACAGACTCAATTCACTTTAAGGGTGAAAAAGGTTGGTTTTTTTTTTGTAAAAATAAATGTCTAACCTCTTCACCCATGTGCTTCTAACCTTCACAGACTCCATGAATTGATGCCCATCTCCTAAATATTTGGTCACATGATCAATTTCTTTGACCATTTCCAAGCAACAGGGGGTGGCTCAACTTACCCCACTCTCCCCTAAAATTAAGTGCATGCACAGGAATCACAGGAGCACTAGTTTCCTAAGGTTTTAAAATACACTTGTGTGATAATAGCTCCTCTTTAGGGTCAAATTAAGCATAATCAGGAACCAACTTTAACATTTTAAGTCGGAAAGCCTAAGATGGGGCTGATAGGCATGACAAAGGTATTACATAAAGGTATCACCTCATGGTGAGCAGCCTGATCATGACATTAGGTCGAAACAGACCGACCCACCAACGGTCACTCTCTCCCGGGAGAGAAACAGAACAGTGTAGGCGTTATAATTTAGACGTTTTCTCGCATTTCTAACTCCGTATTTCCCTCTCTTATACATACCAGTTTTCCTGCATCCATTCCAGAGCTCGTCTTTCGTCGAAACGCCGCTCGAAATCGTACTCCGCTAGCTTTAAAATCTGCTCACTCTCGTTCATTTTTTATTTCCTTCCGCGTAAAAAAATGCCGAAGTTTCTGGAGGAAAAAATAAAACGGGAAAGAAACCGATGCGACTGCAGCAAACAGGGTCCGACGACAGAGGCTAAGAGTGACAGCTGCAGGTTATCCGGGTGATATCGGCTGGGTTATCACCGGTCAGAGTCCGGGACGACGCCGGGAGGATGTGGTACCACCAGCAGATGCACTTCCCACTGTCACTCCACTGGCGCTGTCTCGGCCCGTCAATTAGTCCAGGTGAGCAGCACCAATTTCCGGTGAAGACTTTCAGAATAAGACACGCAAACGCGATGACGCAGTAATTAATCCCACAAAGATGTAGTCTCTAAATTAAAGGGATATTCCGGCGTAAAATTGAGTTAGGGTCAAACAAAATGTAACACTGAGTTTTTCTTTTTTTTTTTTATTAGGTGATGCAGGACAGATCATGACAGGTGGTTGACGACACATATATACGGTGCAAACAGACAATGGAGACAAGGCAACGTGACAAATACAGCAGGAACACATAACACTTACATTTAGAAAGTGTTGCGAGACTGTGTTTCATTAAGTGTGTGTGGGTGGGTGTTTTAATGTGTGTTATGAAGTGTGTGTGTGTGTTTGTGGGTGAGATTGTTCCCTCTTTATTCCCCCCTTTTTTAAGATTGTGATGATTGTTGAGGAAAGAGCGAATGAAGAAGAGTAAGTGTTATACCTTAACAAAAATTGCAAAACTAATTGCTATCATAATAATAGAAAAGAGAAAATAATAAATTAATAAACAAATTAAAAAAAAATAAAAACAAATAAAGTGGCAGGAAAGAGACTAAACACAATTTACCTACTCTCTTCCAGCAGCCGCTTGTTTGTACAGAGACCTCAGGCCAGTCCATTACAGACTGCTGCGGGGTTACGCAGCTCAAGGAAGAACATTTATGATCATTTCTTTTTGGAAATGCAATCAGACCGAGATGCTAAGGTAGAAGAACTACCGCGTCTGCAGTGCAAAATGATTAATATGATGATTATTACTTCAAGGAAATGATAAAGAAATGATCATAAATGTTCTTCCTTGAGCTGTGTCACCCCACTGCAGTCGATGGAGTCGCCAAGAGGTCTTGATACAAACAAGCAGCTGCTGGAGAAGAGTAGGTGAGTTTTGTTCAGTCTCTTTGCTAAAGAAATCAGGCAAAATTAAAAATATGTTTAGTGGCTAGTACTATGGCTGGGACCCTATATGTCCTGTTGATGAAGTTAGGTGCTGTTCTGAGCATTATTTGTGGCAACAGAGTGGCGTTTTGGTTGAGCGTGTGGCTCTCTGTATTGCTATCCTGCGGTCATTACCAAAGTTGGTAAAACTAGAGAAGCAAACAGTCGGTCAATATACAACAACTTAAGCTCATGACTATTTACGTAATTTTATCAATCAACAAAATAGTCCAAGTATGACCCAGACACAGAGAAGTTGTCTTACCTGCAGTCTGTGCTTTTAATCTGGCGGTTAAATCATCCATATCCGGTTTCTCGCGCCGTATGTTGTCACTTGACGCACTTAGAGCACGTTCTCTCTCGCTCGAGCATGCAGTGATGGAGGCGGTTGGAAGGGGGCGGGGTTTGGCTGTGACGTAGAATTGTCTGACGGGAGCGTAGACTGTAAGTACAGTGAGTGGATGGATGGATGGAGGGTTGGTGCAGACAGAGCGTGTCCGCACAGACAACAATGATAACTGGGACACTTGACTCTGATCCTCACGCTTCAGTAACGACAGTCACTCTCACACTGAAATGCTTCTCACCATTGTTAAAACACTTGAGCTCTGCTGGAGTCTGCTCATCTTTTGTTACTTCTTAAAGGGAGAATTTTCTGTTCCAAACATAAGCACTGTTCACTCTTTATTGATTTATTAGCATCCACCCTTGACACAAATACTACACCTCATGTTTATGTCCACTGTAAACGGGTTAATGTGTTTTAGTTCTTTCTTTTTGGGAGGTTTTTCATTTACAGGAATATTCTGGCGTAGAATCAAGTTAGAGTCAAACACACCATAACACCAAGTTAGAAGCAAGTGGTCAGCAACATTCATCTCTCGAGGGGGTGTCTAACTCGGTGTTAAGGTGTGTTTGATCCTAAGTTAATTTTACCCCGGAATATCCCTTTAACAGTTTGATTATGCTTCTTTAAACACAACTCTCTAACAACATTTCAGGGAGGTGTTTCTTTTGTGTCTTACATGAATAGTCTGGAATCAAACCCAGGATGCTTTCATAGAAAGTCAGCAACTTTAATCACTAGACTACAGGTGAAAACAGAAATGGCTTTTTACTTTTATTTTCTGCAAGAGAAAGACAAAAAATCACAGCTTCACATTGAGATGATGTTTTTTAATTCCTTGCTCACGTCAAACGTCCCTGTTTTGGATTTGAACCCTGAATCTGTTCATTTAGAGGCAGCAGCCTTCCACACCACAGCTGAGCAGTTCTGAGTTTACTTTTTAAGTGTTTTTATCTCAAAGCAGCTTAAACTACATGTGAGGAAAGCCTGTCCTCCAACACTCTGATGTGCTATTTTCTTGCTTGAGAATTTGATTTATTTCTTATTATGTTGTGTTGATACAAAAGCACCTTTATCACCTTTGTTGTACCGTATTTGTTGCCCTTGTTGGAGGTACAGAGAAGATAGAAAACAGAGCTCACTTATTTCTATGTGGACACTTGAGGTGATGTACAACAAGAGTCAGATTTTCAGTCTGCACTAACAAGCCTCTCTATAGTGTGCAGAGACAAAATGGTTCAACATGTCAGTGCAGCAGGTTATATTTTATTAGTAGTCTTGGGAAAACGTTGATATTTCCCTCTCTTTCTGAGGAAGAGGTGTAAATCAAATCTGCATATGTGTGCACAATTTTGTTAAAGATTTTAATCTTTTGTCTTCAAGCACTACCCTCAAACACCTGCTGACTGAAAGCTTCATTATCTTTGCTGCATTTCAGGCTGTCGATGATTTATTACCTGCCGAGTGTTACTCTTGAACCCAAGCCAATAATAATTATGACACACCTGAAACAGTTTGATGTGCAGTTGCGTAACACTCCTAGTTGCATCTCTGTGCACATCTGCTGGCTCACTGCAGCGGGGAGTCGCCCGGTCTGGATCACTAATAGGGCAGAGAAAACCTGCCAAACCAAGGATCATTATGTTGTGAGTGTTCAGTGGCTTTGAGAAGAAAGAGCTGCTTTATGGTCTGATCTCAGGCTGGCAGAGACCTTCAGCTGCAGCAGCTTAGGGAGTAAAGAAGTCACCGAACATTTGGATCTGACTCATAATGAAGAACATGATAAGTGGATGAAGGAGATAGATCAGTGGTAGAAGCAGAAAAGTAGAATAATAACACTAAAGTTAGTTTCTGACTCACTGGTTAATGGGGCGGGTAAAGACAGGAGAAGAGGCCTCTTTAGACATGTCTGCTGTAGGAGCTTTTAATATCAGTGACTCATTTGACCACTAGATGGTGTTGTTTTACTTTATCTAAATGCCTTCATCTGATCACCAGGTGAGATAGATTACTGCAGGTGAGCTTAAAGGTGAAGGGAGCACATGGGTCTGTCCATAGACGGTCCTTACATGATGAATTTACAGCAAACTAAACAAAGAAAGTCATTCCTACACTGTAATACCTGTGAAAATACCGCAAAATGACAGTTTCACTGTTTTTTTCTTTTGTTTAACCCACTTACAATCACATCCTGTTCTAGAAACATCATACCTGGGCTTTTCAGGTCTTGATTTTATTGTTCTAGGGAGGCTACAGACTCTTTGAGTCACATTTCAGATTTGTTAAAGCTTTATTCTGTTTATAAAAATGCTTTAAAAAGGGAGATTTCCATATTTTTTCATTCTTAAACCACCATTTGATACTGCGTATGTTGGCAGGTGTCTCTATCAGCCCTTATGTTGTAAAGGTGTTTGTTTGTTTTTTTGTTTTTTTTAGATAGATGGACACTTCTTGGATTTTTTCTTTTCACCACCTGTGGGCGAGGAACCAAATATGGTAACTTTGTTCACTTTGATATTCAACATGTATAGGAGCCGTAAGGTAATAAGTCTGTATGTGTCACGTGGCTTTTGTGGTTGCTGTGGTAACGTACAGGAGCTTTGGTCACGTGGTGCATGAGGTAAGTGCCAGGTAACTATGAAAAAATGTGGCTTACCTGCATTCAGGTGGAGAGAGGGGAGCGGAGTAGCCGTAAATTTTGTTGACCACATCGCATCACATCATATCATATAGCATAACATTGCTTTGCTTTGGTTTGCCCTTTGTTCCTGCTGTTCACCAAAAGGAGTCCTGTGTGTGTGACCGTATTAGCAGTAGGTATAACTGAGGCTGTAAGGACTCAAAATAATATAACAAAGAATATGCGAGCACTTTAGAGGCCTTGTTGCTCTCAGTGACATGAAGACTTTTTATTTGATATTTTTCAACTGTCTTTAGCTGTCTCTGTCATCCTGAAACCACAAAGCAACATAGATTAGTGTCAGAAGAGCAGCAATAACATAAAAAAAAAAATATGGCATATACGCTGAGCAGAATCAAACTGCAAGTACCTCATTATTTAAAGTATTTACGATAAATGGTATAGAGAATGGCGCCATCTGCTGAACAAAGCCTGAACATAATTCTCACACTGTTTTTCCTCACGCTGCTCTGACTAGTTTGTTTCTGACTGAATCCAGCAGCCTTTGAGTCTCTGAACGCTCAGGAGACTTAATTGCTCTTCTCTGTTGAAGTGGAGCAGCCGGTAAGGGAATAGAAGAGTTATTGAGAGTGTGTGGAGGAGACTGAGAGTGAAATCAGCTCAAACACGGACTGCCTTTCAGTTGCCTCATTGCCCTGCTGCTGCACTTTGATCCATTTGAACCAAATACAGAACCTTCTTTTTCTCTGACTACAGGTGGCAGCAGAGAGCAGGATTGAGCTTCTCTGAGTTTACTGCAGCAAAAAACACAGGGATAGAGTCATTTCTACCCCACTTACACATTTAGACTAAAAACATACACTTTAAATTTCTGTGTTAGAGAATTAAGTAAATTTTAGGTCTGAGTTTGAGGACATTGTACTCTTTCTGTTGATAAAGAGGGACATTAACGTACCGTAACATCTTCAAAGACCCCTCAGGTGAGTAGGCCTACAGTTTGCCGCAGGACAGATTAATTCTTGTGTGATTTGGAGCAGACACTCGTGGTAAAAAAGGGTTCAGTGACTAACAAGTGTTTGCCTACGATCTACCACCTAACTACAGACAGCCAGTAGAGGGAGCTCTAAATATTTTGGCTTAACAGTCGGAAAACACCTGTTATATCATATTACTAAAAGTAAGCTACTTGACTCGGTTTTCTCTCATGATTGATCGACATTGATTATTTGTCGTTAAAACAGTCAGAAAGCCATCAACAAATGTTCTTCCTTAAGCTGCGTCACCCCGCTGTAGTCCGTAATGGACTGACCTGAGGTCTCAATACAAACAAGCAACTGTAGGAAGAGAGTAGGTGATAGTGATGGGCACGGCAGTTCTTCTATATGTACTGAATCACTAGAATCAGTTCACAAAAAAGATTCGTTCAAAAGATTCATTCATAAAATCACTGAATCATTTAGCAGAAGAAGCCTGAGACTCCGACCTCCTGAACTGATACACGGCTGAATGTTTCAGGATCTAGTTCAATTCAAAGCTTCTTGGACCAGGAGACACGAGTTTTTGGCTGTGATACTTTGGCAAACAGGTTTGTAAAAATGAACTTGTTTATAAGTCATGATGTTTTTGGTGTACTGTCCTATGGTATCCTATTTATCAGGTCTGCTCGGTAAATTGGGCTCAGTGAGTGATTTGTTCACTGAACATTTGGAAGAATTCACAATGAATGCACCGTTCCCTCGCAAATCGATGCAATGATAGGATGCTGTGGGTTTAGAGCACTACTTTTTACATGCTGTGTCCTATTGTATGCAGGCTGTTGTGGTGGCAATTTAGCAGTAAAAAGAGGGTAGTTTTGTTCAACAAATTTTTTTCCAGAAAGTGTAGCTCAATGCGTGATTCGTTCACCAAGTGATTCAGGCGTCGGTGCATCCCTCATTCGCCGGCTGCTGGCCTGGCAATGCTGTTTCTTACTTAAGCTCAGCTGAGAGATGAACGAATCACTCGAGGGAGTGAGTCGGTTCAGTACGTTCACTTAAAAGATTTGGTTCTTTTGAATGAATCGTTCACGAAAAACACTACACCAGTAGGTAAGTTGTGTTAAGTCTCGTTGCTAAAGAAATAAGGCAAAGTTAAAAAGATGTTTGGTGTCTAGTACTATGGCTGTGACCCTATATGTCCTGTTGATGAAGTTAGGTGCCGTTCTGAGCATTATTTGTAGCTATAGAGTGGCGTTTTGGTTGAGGTTTGTTTACGGCTCCTCAGACCGCTGTGTATTGCTATCGTGCGGTCGTTACTAAAGTTGGTATAACTAGAGAAGCAAGCGGTCGGTAACATTCATCTCTCGAGGGGGTGTCTAACTCTGTGTTAAGGTGTGTTTGACCCTAAATCAGTTTTATGCCAGAATATCCCTTTAAGAATATCAAAAATCGATCCCAACTTTCACAGTTCACTCCGTCACCCGTGTTAGCTAAACTCGGTTCATCCTGACAAAGTTGCTCTTGCTTGTACCACACAGGAGCTCGAGAGGAGGCAGAGACTGGGCATGCCCAGCCCGGTGGGGAGGGAGGAAGAGGAGAGAAGAGCCGAAGAGGGAGAAGAGAGTGGAAGAGTTGGGATGTGTGTGAGCTGGGGCGGACGCTAAAAACCCCGACGAGGAGCTTGTCCATTTCACGGCATCACGTCTTTCCCTACCTGACGTGAAACAGATCATCCTTTTCTCTCTCTTTACCCTTCACACGACACACGCTCTCTCTTTTCCACAAACACACACACACACACACTGACTCTGGAGCCGGAGGGAGCGGATAAATGTGGACTGCAGTATCTCATTTGCAGCATCTCATTATCTCCGGTACCGGCTGGACCGACACTGCTGCTGCTGCTGCTGCTTCACGGGAGAAATCATCGCCTATCCTGGTGAGCAGACACCTCACTCTTATCTGTCTCCTTCGTGTTTGTGCAGACGTATCTGGTGAATGTATCTGCCTCAGCTCATTGCGGGTTTACACCGCTGAGCTGCTGTCTCACATCACATCACATCCCATCACATGCATGCATGCAGTAAACACAACGCACAACTTGAGCCATGCACGTACAGAGAGAGACAGAGAGAGAGAGAGAGTGCACCGCATCGCATCGGTGACACATCCAGGCGGACCTGTAGGATGCAGAGAAAGGTCATAGCTACTCCTTCCAAGCAGAGCTGTCATTGACGCATCTGTGCGTGACACTCACAGCCCGCAAAGACAAGAGTCAAGTTTCGCCCTTGGCAGGAAAAGTTGGCACTGTGGAGTGTTTTAATGTTAGGTGAGTTAGTACGTGAGGAGGTTATAGATAACTTTGTCAGGTTCTGGCAACAACAGGCAACACAGGTCAATGCAGAGCTGATGACTTTGTAAACACACTTCCATCAAATGATTAAAAAATGGTTATTCAGGATTTTCATATCCTTTATAGCCACTAATAAGGATCTGTTTTTGTACTGCATGCTCTGTAGTGTTACATCTTTGCAGCTTTGTGGCTCATTTTGCAATTTAAAGTCAATGTTGAGGTATCATATGTTTCCATTTTCCTGCCTTTTTACAGATTGCATGTTGAGTGAAAGAGAAAATAGTGACATCGACCTCGACTGAGGAAAATAAAGTGAACAAACTCAAACTTTATTCGCATTTAAAAAAATGATTTTGATGAGCTGTTTGTTAATAGAGAATTTGCATCATCAAATAGCAGATTTTTTGACAGACAAAACATCTCATAATAATTACTTCAGTGCACAGTCTATATATTGATAAATAGTGATCAAATCAGTGGCAGTTACAAACCTTTCCAGACTCAGTTGAATACCTGACGGGATCAATAGTACCTGTATGCTAACCCAGGCTCAGGGATGATAAATGACACTGCAGGAATAGTCCCTGCAGCTCAGAGACGACCAGGCTGCATGACTGTTTTAAAACCCTGTCAAACGTCCCCCAGTCCAAGAACTGATCCATTCACCGCCACCGCCAAGGGCACCTGGAAGCATTTTGTCTTCATTTGTTGCAGTTTATAAATCCCCCATCTGGGACTCGGTCTAGACTCTGCCTCTGGGTTTCAGTGACGGGACGGTGGGGGTAGAAAAAGACTCTATTCTTTTCACCTTTCCTGAAGAGAAGTGAAACACAGAAACACACACACACACAGAAACACACATCCACTCCATCAGGTTTGCAGGGCTGTTTGTCAGAGCGACCCTCTGAGGAGCAGCTGCTCCAAAAGTCAAATACTCTCTGTTTGTGTGTGTGTGTGTTATACTGCAGACGCTTGACTTCATTTTTACTTTTGCTGGAGGTCTGGATGAATTTTAGTAGCTTGGGTAGTTAATAACGCATCTCTAAGGAAAAAAACTGGAGGACAAGGACTTTTCAAGGATTTTTCCACAGACTGTGTTAACAAAGAAAGATGGAGCAGACTAGACAATGTGTACAGGCTGAGTGACAGATAGAGTCAATAGATTAACAATAAACTAACAGAGATGCTTGTTGCAGTCTTGTGTCGCTGCAAGAAGACACACACAGGACCCCCGTCAAAAATCACCTGAATTAGATAAAATAAGAAGTTAAATTAAAAACACGTAAGACAATGCATGTGACTGTGTTTCCAAAACAGGTTAATTAACAGCAAGTCTTGAAAGTAAGACTGTAGTCCAGTCAATGCACAATGCTAATTTATTGCTAGCTGGCTTGTAAACTCGTAAGGGTGAGCGATACGGCAAAAGTGTAATCTTTGTGTTTACCATCTTTGCAGTGCACCATGTTTCTAATCTGGAACCAGGAGAGAAAGAGAGGCCGGCTCCTCTGTAACCATCATTTACATCGCTTATCAAAAAAACACTGAGAACTTGAAGGAAAACTTAAAAATTTAAGACGTGTATTTTCACTATCAGCATGTGTGACTTAATGAAGCAGCAAATTTACTTGATGGACTGTTCCTGTGTCACTACAATGAGATGTCAAAGTGTGTTTAGGGCTAGGTGATTAAATGAGAATGATATATAGAAAATTAATTTCCCTCAATATCAATATAAAACATGGTCAATATGCTTTTCGATAGTCGGCATTCTGCCATGTTTTGGTAGACTATAGGAATAGCCAATGAAAGCAGAGTAATGTGCACTGCAAATTATGTCGAGTTCATGTTCTTGCAAAGTTGGGGAATACCTCAAATGTTTTTCACCACCTGAAGCAGTGCCACGCGGCAGAGCACGCATATGCAAAAGATTACGAACCCAGAGCAGAGCCGCTGAAACAGCTGACCATTCAATCTGCATTCAGTTGCAAAAGACCTCACAGATGCAGTAGCTTATTGTATTGCAAAAGACAAGGTATCAATAAGCACTTGTAAATTAATTTTTTTATATCGTGATATATATTGATATTGACTGATATGAAAAAATATATTGTGATAAACTTTCCATTTCGCCCAGCCCTAAGTGTGCTTATAAGACCTGTGACATAAAAGCAGTGATTTATTTTCTAGTTGTTGAATTGGAAATCAAAATTTTGAACTAAGCAGTAAAACACAGCATCGCAGATCCTCAGGTAAATAATGTCAAACTGGTCAGTTGAGTGTGGCTAATGATAGCAGAGCTAGCACCACCCCCTGACGTCCTCTCTGCTTGTTAACGTACACTTTCCAGTTCAACCAGACGCAGCTAAAAGACAACTTTATCTCCATTTTCTCGACCAAAATACTGACAGATGACGCCGTGCTATAGTTGTCGGTGCTTGGTCAATTGTTATAGCATCATGGCTGAAGACGTAAACCAGACCCACAGTTTTAGCTTGATGGCTGCACTACAGCATGTCAGGCCTACAATAATATAAATACTAATCATCTGTTTAACAAGCGAGCACTTCGGATGCTAGCAATGGTGATGATGTTAAATCACTATTTTCTGTCAAATATTCATTTTGATGGTCTTGAATTTAGGTTATTTAGTTTTATATTGCACATGATTAAATAAGGCCGCAGCTAAATAATTTATTCATGAGCATTCGGTGAAGCTCATCCAGAGGCTGAGTGCTCTATCTGCATTTTTTAACTGCCATGTGGGGTATATGCAGGGATTTCTTTGGGTCGGATTTCAACAGTGTAATTTTAATTTTGTAATTTTGTTTTTACATCTGAATCTTTAAAACCTGCAGCATTAGCATTAGAGGTAAAAATCACTGAGAGCAAAACTCCTAACTGGCATCAGATTGGCAGCGCTCTCTTTGCATGCAAACGTCAACTTGTTTAATTACGTTGTATGTAAAAAGTTTGATCATTACAACATCAACAGAAATGAATAAGGACAACATGTTGATGCTCCAATGTCTCTTGTAATCCCGCTTAATCTCCTGATCTTCATTTTGACATCAATCATGAAATTTGACACAACAGTTCGTATCCGTGTCGCAAAAATCAAAAAGGAGGTCATGACGCTCAGGATTAATGAGCGGCGGTAATCTGAGGTCTCCCAAATAAACATGCAGAGAATATGAGCTGTGACAAACCTGAACGTGTGTGTGGAGGGGTGTGTGTTTGTAACCTGGCGTCATTTGATGCCTTCTGTCAATAAAAATGATACACAGGGGAAAAACAGAGATGGTTTAACCGTCAGCTACTGTAAGCATGACTCAGAAGGTAATATTGGGCTTATTTGTGATGAATTCCTGCTGTTGGTGTTTCAGAATAATCCCTGAACCTGATCTGACAGAATCCTCACACTAAAGAGAGTTCATTCAAAGTAGTTTATTCTTATTTTCATCAACATTTCATGACTTAAATATTTTTTTCTGCAGGTATTTAGCGCCTCTCTGACGTCAGCTCTCAGCTCACCGTCTTAAACCCACTCATGACTCACTTCCCCTCCTATCTGTGCACATAACCGTCCATATAGGGAAATATAACACAGGGTCGGGCGTGAGCTTTGCTTGTTATTGTGCTCCAGTGTTTTCAATGTTACTTGTATCATAAATAGTTTTATTGAATATTAACGCCTCGGAAGTCCTGTTTCATTCATGCATCACTCAGACTCTGGTTTCTGATAGGCACGGCGAGTGATGGCCTACTTTTACACTTAATTCATCAGATTCATTTGCTTCAAACACGTCTGCAACATTTGAGATTCAATCATTTTAGATGTTCAATGCAGTTCCCAGTTTTCCTCAGTAGTGTCACTTAATAGAAGCAAAAGTTTCACTAAATAACCAAACATAATAAAAATGAACTCTAATAGCGTCAATATATAAACCCTTCAACAAGACGTCTCTGGGATGAGAGCTGCACAATCAAGCTCCACCCACAGTACGTAAGCTTTTTCTTGACGCCATCCTGTATCAGCTGATCACCTGTCTACCCTTCCTGCCGCAGACAGCTCCTCCTCTATGCTGTGTCTGATTTAACTTCTGTGCCCCACTTTCGTTTGTAAACTCGGGGTCTTTGCTGATGCTCTCCCTGCCTTGGCTTTTCATATATGCGAATGAATTCAACTTTATTTTTATGGCACTTTTCAGACAAAAAAATGCTGTTCAAAGTGTCTCACAGAGGCAAAAAACAACAATTAACAACAATAAAACCCGAACCTCCCACCCACACACCCACCCATGGACCCACACACACACTCACCCACACATACACGCACACAAGTGCACAAAGTGTGAGAATTGAAGATATATTGTTAAAGAGACATGGCCTGACACCGAGACATGACGTGAGGAAAGAGCTACCTTTAGGAAACACTGGAGATAAAAGATAAAAAAATAGAATAGAATGGTCAAAAGAAAGAGTAAAACCTGTTGGACTAAAACAAGAAAATAATATTAAATGAACAGATAAGTAAGAGCTCTTTACCAGGTAAAAGGGGTAAAAGAAGTATATATATCCACAAACAAAAGAGGCCTGGGTCGGATTTGAAAAAATCAGAATTGCACTGTTCACACTCACATGAAAAATCAGATCTGTGTCACATATGGTTAAAAAATCAGAATTGTCCTGCAGTGTGAACATAGCCTTAGTGAACCCAGGTGAGTGTGTTCTCTTTTTGACTGAAGCAGCCCAGACTGAACCAGAATTGCACAGTTGTATGCAGTTGGGTTTATGGATAACATGAGATTCAGTAAAACTGCAACATGCTGTGCTTCCCTGTTGTGGATGCTCAGGATCAATAGAATGAAATATGATAATAAAGGGAAGTATAAAACCATAAAGTGCTGCTGTCTCTTTCAGTCGAGGATAAATGAGCTGCTGTGAGACACAGGACTCACACAGACGCCTCGATGGCCTGTGTGAGGTCTGAGATAACTAAGTGGTTCGTGGTGCTAACGATGTTTGGATTTCCATCAGATCTTATTGGGAAATCGAGGCGGTCAGCTCGCTCTCTGTTTCATGCTATTAATGGTGTTGAGAAAAAACAGCATTAGTGACCGGTACAGTCTTGAATTACTGTTTTTTTCCTCCTTCCCACGTCTGTTTTTATTTCTTCCTACACTCTCCCACTCTGTACACTCGCTCACTATCTCCTGGTTACCGTCTCCGTCATTTTTCATCCTGTACTCTCAGTTTTTCTTTTTTTGTTTTGGCCTTTTTGGTTCAAAGAAAGAGCAGTTTGACGTCCCTGTATACACAGAGCTATATCATGTTTTTCTACTCAAAGCCAAGAATACATTTGGGACGTGTGGAAGTGGGAGTATTTAGGAGGTGAGAGTGCTGGCGATGAAAAGAGCCTTGTTAGCGATAGGATGAGAGTGAGCTTGTGCGATGATGGCAAGCATTTGCATTTTACAATCCTGCTGTGTTTCCGAGTAATGAGAGGTTGTCTGCTGCTATAGCCGCTCCAATCTGTGAGTTTGTTTTTTTTTCCTGTATGTTGGCTGCATTACAGATGGAGCGCTTTGCAGTGGCCTGGATCCTGTGTGATTAATGAAACACAAATCTGTCGTAAAAGGCGCTCACTCCCTGTTATGTGCTGAAATGCTCTCTCGTTTTGTCATTCCCGTCACTCAGAAAGAGTGTAATTTGAGTACAGGGAGACAAGATTCGTTCTTGGCTGTTTGGTAACATATCAGTGCCAGTAATCGATTTTTTTTTTGCAAGGCTTGATAGCCCACAATGCCCTGCAAAGTGTCCAGCAGTAAGTGATATCACAGATTATCTGATTGCGAGTGGTTTGATTGCAGAGTCCAGTTACATAAATCACAGGCTGTGTTTTACTTGTCTTAATGTTTGTACTGCCTTGATTTAAGTAGAAAAAAACAGCTTTAATGGAAATTTGATTAATTCTTAACCTTGGTCTTAAACTCTGAGTTTACAGCTTGTTAGATGGTTGAATAAATTCTGTTTTCATCCTCCCACACAGCTGAGATCTGTTCCTAACCTCTTTCTGTAAGTTTCCAAAACTGCCAATTCACAAATAACACCCACTCAAAGCCGAGTTTGGCCCAATGTACACGTAAAAAGATGAACCCAAAACCCTTGACGTTAAAGAGGGGGTGTTTTCCTTATATTGTCCTTCTGATCCCATCTTAGCAGCTTTACATGATTTACGGTTCAACAAATTCTTCATATATTTCAGGCTGCTGTCTTTGAAAACCTTCGTTTCAGCCTCTGTCTGAGACACTGTCGCTTTAAGGCCCCCTCAGCATTCCAGAACCCTCCTTCACTGTTGCCATGCAACAAAGTTGTGTTTCTTGTTATAGAGTGACAAATTTGCCCTTTTAAGGAGATTCACTGGTGATGTCATGATTTGAGCAAATCTCATCTTGATCTCTCTGAATTCTTGTGTGACTCAAGCCGTTTAGAGCCCCCCCTGTAGTCCCATCTGGGGATTACTTCAACACACATGAACCTTTAATCTGAAACCTTGCTCATGTGTAGTACTGACCTCTAAAACACTTAACACTGTTTTCAAAATATAAAAGAATTAGAAGACCACCTCTTTCCATGTAATGTAAATATATAAATCTAGTGAAATGTTTTATGTGTTAGCTATTATCAGGTTGAGGTTGCTTAGATAAATTTAAGATCTAAGATTTAAGTAAATATAATTTTTTCTACCTTTTGCAATATAATCCAAAGACACAATTACATTTCTGAAACCTTTAGAATCATATCTGCTGACTTGAGACTCACTGAAACACTGAAATACCAAACGGGGATAAAAAAAAGGTGTTAAACCTGTGTTTTATCTTGTCTGAGCTCAGTAACAAAACAGGACCAAAATGGGGAGCTAGATGCAGTTCAATAATTAAATATCTGAAAGTGGTACAAGGCACAGAGTTAACATGAGGATGATGCAGAATGGGGTCAAAGCCAGAGAGCAGGGGAAGTCAGAGGAAGCCTGATAACAAAGAAAGCTTCAGAGTCCAGATCATCTACTGCTGAAATAGATAAATAACATGACAGCTCCTTAAAATCGAAGCTAATTCATTTCAGACTCCCCCTGCTGACTGTCTGCAGTAGCGGCCAGAAATCCTGCCTCCTCCATGTTAACAGATTGGACATGATTCAGACTTCAAAATGAGAACATGGTTCCTGTCAGTTTAGTTTGTCCTTATCATGCTTATTTGTGTCCAAATGTAAAATTTAGTTTTGCGTAGGTATTTGATATTGACGGGGGTAAAAAGTAGTGGTCGACTGATGTTGGTTTTTCAGATTGTAAGTAGTAGATGAGACCAAAAACCAATATAAGTGACAGTTTTTGTCCAGCCAATCAGATAGCGTCGTGGGCGGGACTTAGGTAAGACAGAGAGTGGTGAGAGAAAATAGAGCTTAAGGGAAAAACACACCAGCAGTGGAGTCAAAGATAAATAATCGGCCAAGGTTGACGATCAGTCCGCCTCTGTGAAAAGGTTAAGATTGACAGCTCTGTGGACAGAAACTGCTCCGTCAGTGTTTCTTCACCCAATTAACAGAGCAGGTGGAGCGCCTGTTAAGGAGAGTGGATGTAATGAACTCAAGAGTCTCTGAGTTCTCTTTAAGTGGTAATGTCTGCTGGAAACCAGGAAGAGAATCCGTTACTCTGCAGACCAAACCCACCTGAGGTATCGTAGACTTTCATCAGTAAATTAAACGTGTTTGATTAGAAAAAGAGGTCAGTAAATTGGTATCTACTGTGCAGATAAAATGTGTTTCTATCTTAACTTTTATACAGCAGGAAGAAGTTTATAGTCAATCTAAAGCTGAGTCTAATATAAATTGTCCTAAAGCTCCCGTGGTCGTAGCTCAGGGAACAATTAAAGTAGGAGGGAATATATCAGGAGTTTTAAATGTTGAGTAGGTGGACAAAAAGGAAAGGTTAAAGTGCCGAGGGGATAATATGAAAAATGAGAGGCCAGCAAAACCGTAGGAAACTTGAGATGGAGGAAACCTTTCCGCTATTGTGCATTCTTTGAAATTTTCAGGAGCTTGTTCACACGTGTCCCTCATACTGTCAAGGTTTCCTGATCGGACAAAGAGAGTAGTGTGCACATGTGAACACAGCGTCTTCTTCTCCTGATGGCTGTTTTTAATTGAAATCTTAAGATGCAGCCCGCTCATCGTGGAAAAGATTTAGAGAAGAAAGACAGGTCAAGAGGAGACTCCAATTTGATCCTCCACATGTCCCACTAAAGAGTGTATTTTTAAAACCATCGATCAATGAGCCATTGTTGGTCCCCTCAGGACTCTCGAGTTCACCCACAAAGATGGTCATTGGCGGGTGGAGACAATCACCAGGATCTTCTAATTTGATAGTCCCTAATGTTATTTCCCTGAAATAAACCAGCAGACACGAAGAGAGTTGTTGTTGCAGAAAGCCTCCCGCTCTCAGAAACTCTGCTCCACATCTGCCTGAGGAGTGCTGACTCTGCTGGAAGCTAAAAGCTGGCTCGCTGATGTTTGGTGCAGTCTGCAGAGAGGAGCTGCTGCTGATGGCTGCCTGTCACTCTCACCTGTGTCAGTTGTACAGACAGACAGACAGACGGAGGTGAGATCAGACTTTAAAAATAATAGAGGGATGACGTCAGAAGAACGTCATTGTCAAACATCTCCAAACCTCTCTGAGGTATTAATATAAGTAAACATAAGCTGCTGCTTAAGCTGCAACTTCGCCTCATCCGTTTTCTGTCTTCTTAGAGGAGCCGACGAGATCATTACTGTTCTCACTCAAGGAGGCTATCTATCTATCTATCTATCTATCTATCTATCTATCTATCTATCTATCCATCCATCCATCCATCCATCCATCCATCCATCCATCCATCCATCCATCCATTTTTCTATCTATATTAGTTTATTAATCTGTCCATTTTTACTCATCCATCCATCAAACATCCATCATTCATTTCTATTTTTACCCACCCATCCATCTATTATTTCTATTTCCATCCATCCAATATTTCTATTTTCACCCATCCATCCATTCATCCATTCATTTCCAATTTCCATTTTCATCCATCTATCCATTATTTCCATTTTCATCAATCCATCCAGCCATCCATCCATCCATCCATCGTTTCTATTTTCATCCATCCATCCATCCATTTCTTATTTCATCCATCCATCATTCTATCCATCATCTGTCTCTTTATTTTTTCATTATCCAACCAACTATTCAGCTTTTCATCCGTTATTCCATCCATCTCTTTTTTTTTATTTCCATCTGTTTATTGAACCACCTTTTTTGCGTCTCCCTCCCTGTTCATCCATTTATCATCATATTCTTTTACACACATTTGGTATCTGGTACTTTTGTCTGTATTAAAAACACAAACTGCCTCTCTCAGTTCAGTTTAGTCTTTAATGTGGACGTTGAGTCCAAAGTCGTCCAAGAGTGAGACGTGTTTTTGTTCATTTGATGCTTTTCTGTTTCTGTTGAATATTTCAGTGAGCGAGTGTTTACACCTGCTCCTTCTTTCTCTCTGATGTTTCAGACTCTATAGGAGGTTTTTCATAAATCTCAGCTCACATCTGTCCCCAAAGTTTTCCTCATAGGAAACAAACATTTTTTTTATCCTATATTTTCCTTCGACTCCCGCTGCATCATGGGAAACTTTCACGGTGGAACTTTATGTCCTCTGTTGAATTATTTAAAGCTGGTGAGAAATAACATGGAGTTGTCTTTGCTGTTCAGAATTAATAACTGTTGTCAAGGGGGGTTTTAACCAATCAGAGGCAAGTATTCAACACAGCAGGCTCTTTGCTCTTCACGTTTTTATTGCAATGCTAAACAATTTAATCGCACATAACTTCTTATATCATGCAGGTTTCATCTAAATGATGTTCTCAGAAGTGATGGGGGAGATGTGTGGTGAGAATTTATCACATGCAAAATTCCTGGAAGCCAAACATTTATATGCAAATAGGCCGAGTGTGTTCTCCTGTCCCTCTGAGGTGTTGGGGAGGAGGGGTTCACACATGCTCGAGATGATCAGACCACATGTCCACGTTTCATCCACTCACATCCTACACTCATATTTTCCTCCTCTGTCTACATGTACAGGGGTCCGGCTTGGCTGAGTGCATTCAAACTCTTCGTCTCCCCCCTCCCTCAGCAGCACTTTAATACTCCTCACTGACTCAGCATGCATGTGAGAGGCAGAGGGAGGGGCAGGAGGCGGGGCTTGGTGAAGTGAGCATGCTAATTGGCTGAGTGGGAGCAGTGTGCCGGGGAAGGGAGGGAAGGAGTCGGTGCTGGTCGGACAGGTCTGTCTGCACTGGAGAGGAGAGAGGAAGGAGGGAAGGAAGGAAGGAGCGAAGATGAGAGGGAAGGAAGAGGGAGTAAGAGAAAGGATGAGGCGAGTTAAAGCATGTGGGAGGTGTAAATCCTGTACGGATGGAGCGGCTGTGAGAGGAGGAGAGGTGAGTGTGAGTCTGTGTGTGTGTGTGTGTGTGTGTGTGTGTGTGTGTTTGTGTGTGTGTGTGATTTAGAAATACTGTTGGTGTCTCTGTTTTCTGCTGACAGCCTGGGGTCGATCAAGATAAACAAGCAGTGAGGTGGCCGATAGCTTTGCACCACGATATGGATGATCCAGATGTGTGTATCACCCTGTAAGACTTACAGCTCTGTCTACTGTGTGTGTTTGTGTGTGTGTGTGTGTGTGTGTATGTGTGTGTGGGTGGGTGACACTTAGTGTGAAGGCATGAATGAGAGAACATGTGAGGCCGTGTGAAAAGAGGGACTGCATATCTCTGAGAGCGAGTCGGTACATGCAGCTTTAACACTCTTTAAGTTGAGTCTCATGTAAACAACACTTCTGCACGCGCTCAGTTCAGTTTGTACCTTTAGCTGCTCTGTGCTGTGGCAGTGGACACACTGACATTAAAGACAAGAATCTATTTTCTTTTAAACAGAATGTAGTTTTCTTTTTAAAACACAATGAATTTGTTTTTTTAGAAAAAATGAAACGTACCAGAGATACAATAATGACATTTAGAAATTATTCAACAAGGAACTCAAAGATGCTGTAAAGTAGGGCTGTTCAATGAGAGCGAAACTCATAACCATGGTTGTTTGATTTGCATTCATTCTAATGAGAATACACACAAAAAAGGCTGCAGATCATAAATCATTCAGTCTTTTAAGATTTTGAATAATGTCCTCAATAACATCAAGACTTGTGGTCGTATTTTACTATGATTTAGAAAAATGTCTCTAACTGTGAGCGCATTATCACTGCTGCCTCTCATGTGATGCTCATTCTGTCCCTTTGCTTTTCAGGCACACAGATAAACCTGCTCCTCTCCCTGCTCTCCTCTCTCTTCCTCTTGCTCCTCTTCCAATTCTCCTCTCCCCTTCTCCTGCTCCTTTCCCTGTGCTTCTCCTCTCCCTTCTTCTTGTTACTCTTCCTGTTCTCCTCTCTCCTCTTCCTCTCCCTGTTATCCTCTCTCCTTCTCCTGCTCCTTTCCCTGCTCTCTTCTCTTGCTCCTCTCCCTGCTCTCCTCTCTCTGCTCTCCTCTCTCTCCTCCTCCTCCTCTTCTCCCTGCTCTCCTCTCTCTTCCTCTTACTCCTCCTCCTCCTCCTCTCCCTGCTCTCTCTCTTTTCCATTCTCCTCCTCCTCTCCCTGCTCTCCTCTCTCCTCCTCCTCCTCTTCTCCCTGCTCTCCTCTCTCTTCCTCTTACTCCTCCTCCTTCTCCTCTCCCTGCTCTCCTCTCTCCACCTGTTGCTCCTTAATAGTTTGAATCGTTGCTGCAATAAATAATTTCTATCTGTTAGTTTGAAAATCATGAAGATTTTTTGGCAAAATTTCAAAGAGAAAGATTTCCTGTTTTGAGTGACCCTGAGTGTTCGGCTCTCCTTCTGAAAAGTTAGTTATATAATTTCTCTCTTTTCAGTCTGTAGTTATTAATGAGGTTTTATTTAAATAGAGAATCTGTGTTTTTCCTGCATCAATGCGAGCAGACTTCAGTCCCCTCTCGAGTCGCGCACATTGACCCATTCAGTGAGATAATTCAGCGAGCAAGGCCGACTGCTGGGTTCTGATTTGATCTGAAATGTGAGTCACTTTTTGTTAGACTTTAGAGACCGAGTTTTCTTGTCGGGTTTTTAAATCCATGTGCGAAGTTGGAGCCGTCTGAGTGACAATAATGAGACGGCATTTAAACTTTTAACCAATTGAACTGGATAACCATGACCTGAATGAACGAGAACCTACACAGACGTACAGTTTTTTAACATGTGGAGGATGTAGTCAGAATAGATCGACTTTATATCGTCATGAGTCTCAAAGTTCAAGGCTCACTCGTCTCTCGATTTTGGTCCTTTCACAGAATAATGCTGTCTGACTGAGGAAAACTTGTTTTACAGAATCAAACTCTGGACCTGCTGCAGCTCTGGAGTCTCTTTATGAAGAGTCTCTTTAAATGATTGAACACAAACTCAAATCAATAACGTCACTAAAACTCTAAAATGTGGTGATAGTTTACTGATATGGTTATATGCCGTCCCTGGAGCAGACCATGATGTGCTGACAGGACATGGTGCACTTGCATCCTGCGGGATTTGGGGGTTCGACTCTGTAACATCTCCAGCTTATTGAGTGCAGGTCTGGATCCTCTCATGCAATCAGCGTTAACGCAGAACTGCTCAGTTCAGAGATGACTGACCTGAGAGATCCTTGTGTGCATCGGTTAGAAAGGGCAAAGGTCAATACTGCAGCTTTGACCGTTGATCTCTGCTGTACAGACCCCGCCTCCTAATGTGCGAGATGTCTGCATCTATCACCGCGGTTACAGCTATTGGTTCATCTTCAGTTAAAATGATTGAGACTTTAATTAGAGCAGAGCAGGAACTGTGTAAAAAAAGCCTCTAAAGTCCCATTAGATGATCATTTTCATCCTGTTGGGAACAAGTTAATATTAAAAACCGAACATGAAATTGATCATCAGCTCAAGCAAGCAAGATCTGCAAGTTTAGCCGAAGTTCGGGCTCCTCAGCTGCTCCCAAATATCCCCTGGATTATTCCACTATTATCACATCAAACTTGTGATTATCTTCAGAGTATTCAGGACATGTCAGGTGTGAGTGGAGGAGCTGTATCATCAGCGGGGTCATGGCCGGTGTGCCGCTGATTGAAAGCCTCCCCCTTCTCCTCCTCCTCCCATAACAAGCCGCTCTGCAGCTTTCTTCTCGCACACACACACACTTTTTGTGCCTCTGTATGAGTCAGAGGACCCATCTCTTTTGTCTGAATGTGTCTTTGAATTCAGCGCAGGAGAAGCGGGAGAGAGACACAGCCTCGTTTCTGAGACAGCGCTGACACTCCCATCTAACTTCTTCCTCTCTGGGCGCTGCTCGGTTAATTCTGGAGGTTTATGAGGCTTGAGGAGAGAGTTTCAGGAGTGACAGTGAGCCTTTGGACATTTGTTGGGACTTTGCATGAGTAGGCAGTGTGATGTAACCCAATATTGTTGCAGAGAAATCATTGGGTGCTTCAGTCTGTGTGAGCAGACAGTTCGAGGTTGTTAGAAGTTTCCTGTTGCACCCTGAGCGTCCTTTGTCACCCTTAAAATCCCCCTTAATCCCCTTAACTCGTTCCTACTCTCACTGCAAAACCCGTCAAGTAGCTGGAATCGTATCTGCTTGTGCACAGTGCCAGCAACAAGCAAGCTGAGAGCTAATATTAGCATGAGAAGCTTCCCCCACTATACCGTATCCAGGGAGCTAATATTAGCGCTGCACACGCTGCTTTGGGTTTAATTACCTGTGTGATTTGACTCAGAAATGCCCGCCAAAGAACCTGCACAGTTTATCTGTTCGTGTGTGTGGCGCTGTGTTAAGAAAGTGACCCAGAAGGACAACAAGAGGATGAGTCATCAGTGCTGCAGCTGTAGCATGTGTTTTTCTTCTTGTAAATGGAGGTATGTGTGGAGGTGCTGCTGGAGTTTATATTTTGTTCTTCAGTTAAAAGCTCTCCCATCGGCTCAGTTTTTGAAATACAAGTACATTTCTCCACAAAGATACAGACCCACAGTGAGTACAAGGCACTGATATCATTGTTTCTTTGCAAAATCACACGGATGTCTCAGCAGCTGCCACAATGACGACTCCCTGAAAACTCAGTGTTTCCCCGGTGGATGTTCTGCAGGATGCACCAGTGCATGCTTCAGCAAGCTTCTTGATTAAGTGGACAGAAGGATAAGTTAGACATCAGGGCTTTCTGCCAGACAGCTGTCCACAGGCCCTTTTACACATGCACTGCACTCCTGAGATTCTCCTGACATCTTCTAGACGTGGATAACGTGTGAAAACAAACAGATCAGTTTGTCGTCCAGACTTTTTCACGGCCGCTTCCTGAGTCATGTTTGACAAAACTCCTGAAAAATTCCTGATATTTTCTTTGAGGGCTGAATGTGTGAATTCAAACAGCCTTAACTTCCATCCTGACTTTTACCCAGACTTTTTCCATCCAGTCCCCTTTGTAAAAATTCTGCAAGATGTCAGGGTGAGAAGGCAGTAACAGAAAAGAAAATCCATCGTGAGCAAGTAGGTGGATGTAACTGTCATGCAGCTGGTGCGACACCTGACAAGCTAAACAAAAATATTAGAAGTTGAAAAAGGTGAACTGTTTTCAGGACCAGAATTGTGAAGATGTCTGCACATCCATCGGTTTACAGGAAGTATTAACGTTGTTCCAAAAACTGGCATCTCAGCGTAGGTTTCTGACTCTTTATTGACGTCATGCTGTAAACATCACTCTGTGTATGAGCTGATGTGTGTAAAAGTCCAGAAAATTTACAGTGAGAGAGAACTGAATGGAGTTTTTCTGCTTCATACAACCTAAGTATTGACAGTCTTTATCTGTGAGGGACGTGTGTGAACGCAGTCCCAGAAAAAGACAGTCCCTGTCTTCCCTTTCATTTTGCATAAATTAAATCCTCACTATGATTAGAGGAAGTTCTCAACCACTTAAAAACTCCTCACTGTGCCTTTAAGTTTGCAAACTTGCGGGTGTTGATTTGTTTCGTTTCATTTCAGAGCTGCAGATGACGGCTGCAGGGAGGTTTTTGAAAAATCTGGTTCCACAAACAGTCGGCACATCCGTCATAAAATGTAGAAAACAAAAGGGACTATTCAGAGAAAGTGCAAGAACTGAGTTTTTTTTTTCTTTTTAAGTAGGATACCACCTGATTTATCGAACCCGGTCACTGTTGCATTCCTCGAAATACTGCCTCCTACAGCAGTTGTTAAAACGGACATTTATGAGTGGAGTTTATTTATGTGGCCGTAGTGTTTTACAGTAAATCAGGCAGCTGAGTGTGGCAGGTGGTGAGTGGTAACGGTCTGTTTCTGTTGTAACTTCTGGCACAGCAGCAATGGTTCCACCAGAACGGCTGCCAAACTGGACGTCTGTCAGAAAAACGTGCGCGCAGCGGAAACTCTGCAGCTCAGCGGGGTTTCACAGTATTTAAAGATCTAAGAGGAAGAAGGAGGAAGAGGAGGATGGAGCTCTGACCAGCATGTTCGGCTCAGGTCTATAGATCTGGTTAACTCTTATATTTCCTCTCAATTAGCTGTAAATTACTCAATTTGGATTTTCAGATTCAGAAATCAGATTTTCCATGTCTTGTAAATAATTCCAGCACGTTTATTTTCAGTGTTTCTCAGATTTGGGAGCTTAAACAGGAGATCTGTCCTCCTGAGATGAAGGTGACTTGACTATTGAAAGAACAAAGCTGCAGAAGAAGAAGAGAAGAAGAAGAGGAGGGGGGTTGCGTTACATCATGCAGCCGTGTTCCTGCTCCTGTCATGCTCCTTCCTGTAACTCTACACTTCCATCAGTCTGGCACACTTCCAGCAGAGCTCTCTCCTCCATACGTGACTCCATCATCCTGCTTTACCTTCGCTGAGAGAGCCTCCATCTTTCCCGCTCTCCCTCGTCCTCTTTTGCTTTCCTCTCGCCGGTCTTTAACTCTCTTGAACCCATCAACATCTGAGATGATGAACGAGAGAATCAATGGTAGAACCAAGTGAACCTCAGATCCTTCTCTGAATCGATAACGGACACTGTCGACCTCTTCTCGTAGTGACGGAGTGAAAATAGATCATGAAAATCCCCGTGTACCGCCTGAACCATATTTATGATGCAGCCACCAGTGTGTCTATTTTTAGCTCCCATGCTTTTGCCCACACTAGCAGGAATTTCCTTAATGATTTTGATGCACACTAAAACACCAGAGTAAAGGTCGGGTTTCCTGGTCCTCGCCTTGTTTTATCTGCAGACAAAATTGCATCAGAGCCAATTTTTCATAACAGATTTTGGACTAGTGCTCTGCTTCAGTTGCTGTTTTCAGTATCCTTTTACGCTTGGTGCCCAAGTTGAGCAGGCACGTATACACTGGATGGGTGTCAGTTAACAGATATACACTCAGCTTGTTGCCAGGTCCATACCCTCAAGTAGGTCAGCTCCATGTTATAGCCTGCTGTAAGGAATTTATTTTAATTTTTTGCATGAAATAGTTTTGGTGCACGAAGGGTTTTTGACGTATTTTTGACACACTGGAGATTAAAAGTCATTCATAGTTTGAGTTGCCAAAAAGTTTCAATCCTGATAGTTCTCGTTTATAATCCTGTCTTTAATTTCATGTAAGATAAGAATCCTGAATACACCTGCACTCCAGGATTTGCTCATAGTCACATAGTCACCTTCAGCCAGCAGGAACCATCACACCACAATGAAGCGTTATTATTCAGACTGTGAGTTTTCGTTGTTTAGTGTGTGGCGATGTCTCAAACTGTTAGTTCAGATCTCATGTCCAGGTTTAAAGTCCACCTCTGAACACATCTGTATGCAGATTTTCACCCTGTGGAAATATATGCTACTGACTTTTGCACACCGCAGCTGATCTGCTCCAGATTTCACAGGTTTGATGACAGTTTTAGCCTCGACTCATTCACATATGTACATAATTTTGTTCATTTTAATAGCACCACTCCTTCATGTCATGTATGCTTTCAATTATACTTGCATGAGGACAGACTCGACCTCAACAGATCTAGATATATAGTTGGTTCATTTGCGCTGCAACAGCTGCTGAAAAAACCAACAGTTTCTTGGTTGCGACACGCCCCAGTATAAGCACATAAGCGCCAAAGTGTGAGGGTCAGTTCATCGCTGCTTACAGCTTTAATTATGTTTTTTTTAGAACTACTTATTTGTATTAATTGGTGTTTCAAATTGTTCTGTTTCTCTCATGATAACTAGATTTCACTGCAACAAAACTGTGTGGTTTGAAAAGAGGGTTTTTATGGGGGGATGCATAAGAAATAGGGCTGGGCGATATGTCCTCAAATCAATATCACAATATATTGATCAGTTCACCTCGATAACGATAAATGGACGATAACTACTCCACAAGCTGCTCACCCCCTCCCACATTAACTTCATCTACTTCAGCCACTACAACTTTTGAACCGTCCTCCATCTCCTCACCCGTCTTTCCCTCTTTGTTACCGACTGGATGGGGTGGAGTCACGTCTCTGATGTAGGACAGCGTCTTAAAGGGACATGAGACCATAGCCTACCTACAAACATCCACAACCAACCTTTATTTATATATTTTTTTGACACCGAATATATTGACACGGGCAAAATGACGTTGGTAAATGTTTCGGTTTCTCACCCAGCCCTAATAAGAAACTGAGTCTGTGATTTTGAAGCCCTTCAAATAATCTTTTGGGAAACAAGATGAAACCCAAAGTTGTTTTGTAAATTTTCACAGTTCAATTTGTACTCCATGATCATTATTTTGCAGTGTTCTCAGGCGTTTGATAAGGGATACCGGCCTATTGAGAAACACTGTCCCTGAAATCTGTCTGCAGCCAAAGAATTCATAACAGCGTAACAGAACAAGCTTTCTTTGTTCCCACTGAACACTTTCTCATGTTTGAGACCAAAACCTATCAATGGACGACAGCCTCCGCTTTCAAAATTCAGCCGCATGACCATCGCATGTTCACTTTCTGGGATTTTTCCTCAAGAGGTCGTTTGTGTTCACACATGTACTTGATCCTCTTAATAATTTCAGGAGTTTTTTAGGAACTCTATCTTCATCAATGCTGTAATTTGATCCTTTCACCTTCTCTGACATGTTTACGATGCGGCCCAGGAGCCAGGTCGTCCTCCTCGCACCTTTATAAACAAAAGGAACCTGCAGAACCCCCAACAACTACACAAAGAGCTTTTTTGTGAATGGTGTCGCTGTGGGAACAGTAGCTCCGAGGTGTGAAACCGAGAGAAAAATAGAGTGCGACAAATGGTGAGGCAGTAAAAGTTGTCTGCTCATTAGAGAGAAAAGAGAAACAACACTGGTGCATGTGAGCTGAGGAAGTTTGCAAATGCTCTGACACAAAATAAGAACGGTAAATGAGCTTTATTAGTCAGCTGATCGGGAATATGAGGAGAGAAACAGGCTGACAAATGTTGCAGAAAAGCTGGAGAAGTAGAGATGAGCCCAGAGGGGACGTTGTGCAGATTGGTGAGATTGAGTTTGGTCTCTTTCAGACATCAGCTGGGGTCAAGGAGGGGAGGTCCGTCCCCCTATGCGCCAAGTCTATCACAAGTTCTCTTTGTTCTGTCAACTTCGATTTTCAACACACACATTCGCTCCCACTGCTACCATAAGGCAGCTCCAATCTGTCGCTGCTGGCACCGGCGCAGAGCCCTCCACCGTCCCCGTCATTCGAGCGACTTTTTTCTTCTGTACCACAGTCCTGTTGTCTGCGGCGCTGTTGGCGTGGAAAGACGATCTGAAGTAGAAGGGTGACGATTTGGAAAGGACTCAGCTCGGTCGAGTTGAGTAATCGCCCAGGGAGAAAGAAAAACAGCTCAAATGCAGGATTTAATCACAGAATACCAAACACATCTCTCTAATAAGAGTTTGAGGAACGATGTGTTCGGGGACCATCAGCGTCCTGGATCTCATGTTTGAGTTGACAGATGAAGAATACATCTACTTTTATCCGTATCTTTACTGCGTTAATGTCAGTAACTTCTAAAATTCACATCAGATCAGACCATACAAATCTGATCTTACATAATTCACAGGAGCCTATTTTTTCCCCCTCAATCAGAAACTCCGTCTCTTTAATAGATTCATTTCTGGCTTAATCCTGTTCGCCGAATTGTCTCATTCAGAATTTATATTAAGCACTGTCAGCAGGTCCAATCAATGGTGAGTCAGAGAGCAAAGAGAGACGTTAGGGGTAATTTCCTGCTTCCTCTCCCAGTGGGCTGAGCTCATGTTCCCTCTGATACCATAAAATAGCTCACCTCACCGTAGGTCAATGTTTATATCCTGCAGGAAATGAGATGCACAGGAGATTCAAAGCTTCCCTCTCCCTATTGACAAATCTATGCTTGTTGCAAACACAACTTTTGTATAAAGAAGATAAACTAAGAAGCTATAGAGGAAATGTGACCTTTTTAAAATGCATTTGTCTGGTTAATATCGTTCTTTCAACACTGAACGATGTAATTGATGAGGCATATTCTTCTCACATTGTGCAGGCCTGACCATAACCCGCCCTGTCATGTTGTCATGTTGTCTTTGCAAACCGATATAAAGTGAGACGTGATTCCACAACCAGGTGTGAGCTGTCCTCTTGTGAAATAACCACTAATGACACTGTGACACCAAGTGTGAGTTCATCATCAGGGCGTCACGTCAAGGCTGGTTTGAAGCTCAGTTTGTGTTCATGTCAGGCCACCGGATGTCGTTTTAATCGTATCTGAGTGTCGTTAGAGCGGGCTCAAAGTCTTGATTTCTGTATCAAATGACTGTGTGCACAAACTCATCTTTGTAGTAGATACTGAAGACCAAGTCCTAGACCCAGAATGAGCTCCTGATTGTAATTATATTCAAACGTATGGCATTTAAGTCCAAGATCATACTTTCTTCAGGGGCAGGAATTTGTATCATGTTGTGTAAAGTGTTTTGGATCCTAACTTCATCATATCTACTGTACCGAACCAATGTTACTATTGTACCATTCAGTCACATAGCCAATCGTATCGTTTCTTTTCGTATCGTTTCATATCAAATTGTATCTTTTATCGTTCAGTATCCTAACCAATCCTATAATATCATATTGTATGGTTTCATATTGTATTGTAATGTTCAGTATCGTATCATATTGTATTGTATCGTATTGTATTAGAGTGTATTAGACAGTATCATATTGTTTAGTATCATAGCCAATAGTATCGTATTGTATTGTATCATATCGTATCATATCACATCATATCGTATTGTATCGGGGTACATAAAACAGTATCGTATCGTTCAGTATCATAGCCAATCCTATCATATCATATTGTATGGTTTCGTATTGTATTGTAATGTTCAGTATGGTATCATATCGTATCATATCGTATCGTATCGTATCGTATCATATCAGGGTGTATTAAACAGTATTGTATCATTTAGTATCATAGCCAATCTTATCATACCGTTTCATATCATAATGTTTCCAATTGTATCATATCGTATTGGTCTGTATCAGGGTGTATTATATAGTGTCATATTGTTCAGTATCATACTAAATCAGACTGTATAGTATCTTTCCATATCGTATTGACACACATCCTGTTGTATTGTATTATATATTACATGGTATCGTATCATATCTTTCTGTATCCTAGTGTTTTAAAACATCAAAATGTTTCATATTGTAGTGCGTCATATAATAACATAATGATTCATGCTGTATCATAACGTAACCTAACAAATTCTACCATATCGAACTGCATCATATCGTACTTTATTGTATAATATAGTATTAAATTTATTTCACCATACATATGATGTTACATAGTGTTTTATACTCTGGTGTTTTGTATATTGTTGTATCATACTGTTTCATATGATATGAAGTACATAGAATGGTAAGTGATAGCATTGTAGTTTGTATAATACAGTATAGTGACGTATCATAAGGTGTGTCTGAACATAGTTTTTGTTATCATGTGTTTTATCATGTTGTGTCTCTGGTGTCATATCCTGTTGTATTATCATACAGTTTATCATAGTGTAGTATACTGGGTTGTGACAAATCTCATCTTGATGCGGTCTTAAGTTTCAAACCAGACACCGCTCAGTACATAGATGTTTAACGCCTTCTTGTTACACCCTTTTAAAACAAGTTACCTCAAAGATAAAGACTTTGTAATAATACCCCTTCATGAACTCTTTGTACTGTGTTCCTGACAAACCTGTAATGTCCCTCACTCACATCAAGTTAACCGTGTAAGTTGGTCCAACAAGTTTTAGTTCACAATAACAATGAAGTCTTTTTAGAGCACCAACCTGTTTTAATCTGATCAGCTGTCCTCGGTAAGTGTAGGCATGAGTGCGAGTTTACACCTTGTCTGTATGTGTTCGGAGGAGGTGTACGTTTGACAAGCTGATCTGAAGAGAGGCTGCTCACAACCTTTTGTTGTATCTTTGTTGCTATTTTTAGAGTCCTGCCCTCTTCAACTGCCGTACCTCGGCTATTTACAGCGCTTCCCTGTAGTTTTGGCAGAGTGCTGTTGCTCTGTCAAAAGATACAGTCTTTATGTACTATAATTTATGCGGTATGACTCAATTACAAATAACTCAGTGTGTGAGCATGATATTTATGAAGCAAAAGGAGGACAGGCTGCCAAGAGAGAGACAAATCACCACTCCAGATTTCTGTCCACCATTTTGATTCAGCTGTTATGGAAAAGGCAGAAGATATCGGACATTTCTCAGACCGATTACAAATTTCAGAGCATCCATCTACTTCAGAACCATTAACCTTGAACCGTGATAGACATGGATGTCATGTTTGATCTCTCCTCAGGATTACATCCATGGTAGATATGGATGTCATCATAGACATGGATGTCACCCATAGTTTATTTGGAGGCGCTTTGAGGCCTCCATCTATCCTCACAAGGCCGCAAAGGTAATGCCTGTCTTCAGATCAGCTTGCATATTTTTTAATAGGGGTGTCCTGATCCGATATTGATTTTGGATATTGGTCTGATATCGGCCAGAAAACAGATATCAGACCGATATCTAAAATCTCAGATTTCAGCACTCCGCTTTTTGCAGTCCATTCCAGTCTCCGCTCCAGCATTTCTATCTAGCAGCGCCCGAATCCGGCAGGCAGAGCCTACGTAATCACAACAAAAGTTTGTACTGAGGTGCTAACAAAGTAGCAAGGTGTCATATTGGAAATTTAAAAAAGTTGTATTGGGACATTCCTATTTCTTAACCTTTGACTCGTGAAAAGTTTGGATCAGCTTTGGACTGAGGAATTTTTTTAAGCATTGAGAGATGTTTTTTTTTTTATCTATATAAAAAAAAACCCATCTTTCTTTGATTTGGACTAAACACAACTCACCTACTCTCTTCCAGCAGCCGCTTGTTTGTAAGCGAGACCTCGGGCCGGTCCATGACAGACTACAGCGGGGTGACGCAGCTCAAGGAAGAACATTTACGATCATTACTTTATAATTTCCTTGAAGTAATAATCACCATATTAATCATTTTGCTCTGCAGACGCGGTAGTTCTTCTGCCTTAACGTCTCGGTCTGATTGTATTTCCATGAAGAAATGATCATAAATGTTCTTCCTTGAGCTGCGTCACCCCACTGTAGTCTGTCATGGACAGGTCTGAGGTCTCGCTTACAAACAAGCGGCTGCTGGAAGAGAGTAGGTGAGTTGTGTTTAGTCTCTTTGCTAAAGAAATGAGTCAAAGTTAAAAAGATGTTTGGTGGCTGTGACCCTATATGTCCTGTTGATGAAGTTAGGTGCTGTTCTGAGCATTATTTGTGGCTATAGAGTGGCGTTTTGATTTAGGTTAGTTTATGGCTCCTCAGACCGCTGTGTATTACTATCCTGCGGTCGTTACTAAAGTTGGTATAACTTGAGTAGAGAAGCAACATTCATCTCTTGAGGGGGAGTCTAACTCGGTGTTACGGTGTGTTTGACCCTAAATTAATTTTGCGCCGGAATGTCCCTTTAATGATGCTGACACTGAGCTTAAAATATGAATCTGCAAGATAGATCAACTTTTGGACCATCTGCTCGGTATTTCATATGCATGCATCACAAATCCTGAAATATCCCATATCTGCGTCTCTTGAGGCTACAGAAGATAACAGATCCTCCTCTCTTTCATTCACAGGTATGAAGGATAGGGAGCTCTCGGAGACGTCCCATGGGCATGTTTGTCCTCTGGCCGTTCAGCCCGTGTGTCCCTGCTCTGCACACAGACACTCTCAGAGGGAGAAGAGAGACCGTCTAAAAATAAACTGACTCTCACCACCAGCAGAACAACAAACCAAACCAACAAATTCAAAAGGACAAAGAAGAGCTTCTTGTTTTCCTCTTTTACACCCTGTTTGACTCTCCCTCTTTGGTCTGTTTCTGTTCCTCCGTCCTCATTTTGGCCTGAGAGGAGGTCATGTCCCAGTCTGGTAAAGTCCTTCATTTGTATGTGGAAGTGAGGTCTGCCCCAGATCAGAACGGAGGGAAAGGAGGGTTTGAGGAGAAAGACGAAGGGGGCGTTCAGGAACATTCAGTCAAAGACACTCCAGCAGAACTCCTCTCTCAGCTGACAAACCAGACGAGCTGCAAGACCGCCAGCAAGACCTCCACCCCCCAACGTCTGGCTCAGGACTGCACACACACACACGGCGTATCCCCCTCCAGGAACAGTGTTAGCTTTCAGCTCCAGCAGGGCAGCAGCTCTCCTAAAGTCAACAAGCGCTGGAGTGCACCCTGTGATGGAGTCCACTCTCCCAAAATGCTCTCTCCTGGAAAAGTGACTGTTCCTAAATCATCTCCTCACTGCCCGAGGTTCAAAGAGGGAGAGGTCAGCGATGGTCAGCGGTCTGTGGTCACTTTTAGTTACATCGAGAAGTCGAACGTGAAGACCATGGACAGTCCACGCAACTCTGCACGCGAGAGAAGAACCCGGGAGGACAAATCCAATCCTTGTTATTTTCGTAAAAGACTCAGCGACCCGGTTTGGTTTGGGAGTCCTGATTCATCGTGCAGCTCTAGTCCTAAACTGACCTTCAGATCTCCTGGAAGTCACCAGCAGACGTTCTCTCCAGGCTTTCGCCAACCCCACTTGGACCCCATCGGCAGGGCAGCTACCCAGAGGGCCGTGGAGGAGTTTGGCTCCCCTTTGTTGAGGATCAAACTGGCTCACGCGCTCGAGAACATCCCATCTTCACGCTACAACCAACAGCCACGATGTCAGTCCTGGGCGGGGTCCCCTGTTCAGCGTCAGAATGTCAGGGTGAACCCCAAAAACCACGTCGCAGAGAGGAGCCAGGCTGTTTGCGGCTTTTGGAGTCCGGTATCAGACAAGCTGTCCTCCAAATCCAGGCAGTCTCCTCTTTGTAAACCTGAGTCCCAGAGTCCTCTTCACTGGTCAGGAGAGGACAGACCTGCAGGAGGGAGTCCAGCCAGCAGAAGACTCATTCACAAGGCCTGTAACAGAAGCACTTCACCGCAGGGAGCAATACTACAACTCGGCAATAACGTTATCGAGGGCTTGAACCAGTTAAGTGACAGTAAATCTTCCTCTCCGACTCAGAGCCCTGAAGTCGCCCGCAGGCTCGCGGAGGAGGCCACAAAAGTCTCCTCCATTTTCACAGAGGCGAGACGGTCCTCGTTGCACAACGCTTTGGGCGAGCCCGCGGGAGAATCTCACACCTCAAACGCAACAAATGCACAACAGTCTAAACAGACGCTCAAGATGAACATCCCTTTAAACGACCAACAGACGCCAGCAACCGACAACACTGATTCTCACCAGCTTGAAAACTCCAGCGTTCAGTCTCAGACACAGGAAACAAACTCTCGAGTGAGTTTTGAGTCCAACCAGGTGGAGTTCAGTCAGAAACCCCGACAGCAGACCTCCATTGTTTCAACGCCGCACAGCTCCCCCGCTATTCCCTCACGAGTCTACCGCCCATCTCATCCTCCCACTGACCTCAGCTCACCCTTAAGGGATCCAAGGTTACACCAAGCAGAACTGCGAGCACCTGATACCCCAACTCTGCATCGTCGTCAGCCCCCGCAGTACACTCGAGAAACCTGGACCCCCGTTGCAGACAGAGGAGACCTGAGCTGCTTTGAGAAAGGGGACTGCACTGAGCTGGCTCGGAGGCTCTGTATCAATCAGAGCGTCGAAGAGGCGCCGGTCAGCTGGACATCCAGGCAGCAGTGGGGAGACCATGAGGAAAAAAGCCCGGGTCCAAGCCCTGAGCCTGGATCAGGGTCCGTCACAACTCAAACTACCAATCGTCGATCCAGTCGCCGTCGTAGGCCGCTCAGTCCCACGGCCCAGCAGAAACGTGCCGAGCAGAGACGGAGGGAGATCCTGCTTCTGGGACCAGTCGCACTGGACTCTCCGGATGAGGATGAAGGCTGTGATGAGGAGGGCGAGGGCGACGAGGTGGATGGATTCGGGGCGGAGCATCAGTCAGGTCTGCAGAGGGCAGAGGAGCCTGTAGAGGGGGAGCAGAACGGGGGGATGGGAGGGTCGTCTTCACGGAGCTCCAGTGGGGTGACGGGCAGCTTGGGCGACAGGGACTGTGTGTCCCCGGAGTCCAGTCAGTCGAGCCACCAGAGCAACGAGACCGGGGCCGCCACCTCAGGAATACAGGTGAGCAGCAAACAGCTACAGCCCACATTTCCCCTCCCAAAACTTTACATATTAAAGGTGTTGTAGTCAGGATCTGAGGAAGTGCCAGGAGAAATCTTAAATGTAAATGTAATCCAGAAGCGTCCCCCATCGTTTATGTTGACCCGGCTTTTTAGCTCTTGTCCGGTCTACCTCCGTTTTAAGCGCCCGTTATTCCTCCAGAGTCTCCGGTATTTACTTTGTTTTATTGCTTGTGTCGGCAGTCGTGGCCAAAGGAGGATTCAGACAATTTCCGAGCTTTCTGGTTGGTTTCTACTGTCCGATATTGTAGCACGCTAACTTTGTTTGGGGGAGCAGCGTCCGCCTCACAACCGATCAGGTCGGGGGAGCGGGGAACGGCTTTGTTTACAGTCACAGCGATATCGTTATAGATGCCTCTTTAACGGATTCCTGCCTACCCCACCTTTAAGCTTTTTTAGGCATGAAACACATAAAAAGATTGAACAACATTCAAAATAACTTTTAATGTTTTCACTGGTTTGTTGCCAAGAGGTTATTTAGAATTCCAGAGTCAATCCGCGAGCTGTTAAGCTAGATTTAGAGGTGTTAGCTTTAGCACTAGCTTAGCATAAATCTGGAATTATGGGAAACCTGCTAGCCTGGCGTGCAATTTCATGAGCTCAATGTGTTAACTGTGTAATTTCAGTGTCTAACAGAGCCAGGCTAACAGTCCCTGATGCTCTCAGTTTTTATGCTAAACTAAGCTAATCCCCCTCTGGATCAAGGTCAGGACTTCCTGCGCGTACATCAGAGCGGTGTTGGTAACAAAGTCCATGAAAGGAAGATTATTTACCAAAATGTCTGACTTCCTTGTTAATGCTGCACTGCAGAGCTAGTCTCTACTTTGCCAGTGTGTGTGAGAGTGTGTGTGTGTGTGTGTGTATTTCAGACGGACAGTGGCTGTGCGGTGCCCGTGCCCTCCCTCCACTGCCAGAGGATCGCTCGTGCCAAGTGGGAGTTTTTGTTCGGGACCCCTGCTGAGGAGGCTGCCAGCAGGGGGGAGAAAAGTGAGAGCATGTCCACCTCAATTTCATCTCCTTACTGCTCTTTCATCTCAGGCCAGAGTGGACCTTTTCTCTCCTTTTCTCCGGTCTTCACAAGAAAATATGACAGAGGAGCCTGAAAGAAATGCTTAATCTGGATAAGTTTAATAGCGGCCTGTCAGTGTGTGTAATTTCTTCAGTGATACTTCATCCCGTGTGTCTTATCTGGTAGAAAGGTGAAGCATGAGGCAAGGAAGATCCAGCTCAGCTCTGCACCAGGATCAGATCTGAGCACTGAAACTGAATCTGTGAAAGTCTAATAGTCTTATTAACATCAGTAAAAATGTTGGTAACGCTTTCTTTTACGGTACACTTATTACCAGGTAATTGACAGGTAATTACCTAGGAACAACATGAAATTATATGGTAATTATGGTAAAAAGCTATTTGGGGTTCTTATTTTCTATGATTGAAACTTGATACAGCCTATGGGTTTGCGAAGATTGCGTAGCGATACGCTGTTTGAGCCGACAATGCGTACAATTCTACTGCGCAAGTGGTGGTTCCAGGAAGCGGAGAAAATCCTGGAAATACCAGAGCAATTCGGCTTCAAATTAGTATGATGATGGAAGGTTACCTACCTTGAAGCTAGACAGTATTGACGTAGTAGTTATCATGTAATTACCAGATAATGTCATGTTGTTACTAGGTAATTACCTGTTAATTACCTGGTGATAAGTGTACCGTAAAAGAAAGCGTTACCAAAATGTTAATTGGCTGTGCTCAGAGATGCTTCATAGATGACAGGAGTGATGCGTGTTTTCAGTCTGTCAGAGCCTGTATGACCTCTCTGAATATCATAATCATGTTCTGTAAAATGTGTCTGATTCAGAAAGACTTAAAACAACAATACGATCATCAGCTGAAGAATAAGACGGCTGATGTGATAATAAATGCCGCTCTCAGACCTCTTCACTAAAAATAGTCAGCCTTAATTTGGTCTGACCCAAAGGGAAGGGCTGCGCTCTGATGATCAGTTCGTGCCTTTAATTACAAAGTGAACTATAAAAGTGGAAGATATATAAATATATATGATAAATAAGACCAAGATAAATACAGAATTAAAGTTAGATTTTTGTAAATTCAAGGATTGAACCTACATGAAAATTTGGATGTAGATATTTATAGATAGATAGATAGATAGATAGATATGTGCATACATACAGTACATATATATATATTAATAAATAAGTATGATTATGGTTAAATGTATCATTAAAAGCGATGTTTATAGACATGTAGATAAGATACATATACAATGATGCTAGACTCTATTTGTAGATTTAGATATAGAAATAGATATGAAATATAGGTATATACAGATACATACGTACATAAGTATATAGACAGATATAGATTCATAGATATGGGTTTATAGATATATATTTACTAATGGAAAGATAGAAACCTACATAGAATGATGAATGTAGATACAGAATTATTAATCAGATAGATAGATAGATATACACACATATAGATATTTAGATAAATACACAAATGTATAAATGTATTATACATACAGACACGTTGACACGTTGTTTAGATACATATAAGATGTAGATAAAATAGGTATATAGTCAGATAGACAAATATAGATTTATAGATTTTAGATGTAGACTTTTACAGATCTCTCTCTCTTTCTATATATATTTGTGATAACATAATACTGCCTTTCCCTTCAGATTCTCTGGAAACCTCCACAGCTCCTCCCAGTGGAAACTCCAGTGAGTCTCCCACCCCGACTCCCCCTTCCTCTCTACCTTTGCTCTCAGCCAATCATGAGGTCCAGCACGTGGAGGTAGAGCTGGTGACTCCTCCCCCAGCCGTTATCGGGACTTCACCCAAAACCGGCATCATCAGGCGCACCTTAAAGTACTCAGAAACCGACCTGGACGCGGTTCCTCTTCGCTGCTACAGAGAGACGGACATCGACGAGGTGCTGCTGGCTGAGCAGGAGGACGCGGACTCCGCGTTTGGGAGTAACCGCAGCGTTCAGGGCACCTCAGGGACAGGAAGCAGCCCGCTGGGAGGTCGGGTAAAGACGAACGGGAAGGAGGCTGAGGAAGGAGGAGAGGAAGGGGTGGAGGAAGAGGAGGAAGATGATGATGAGGAAGAAGAAGAAGATGAGGAGGAGATGGTGAGCTGGGCCAGTGTGAGGATGCAAGGAGACAACAGGAAGCAGCAGTCTGCAGCTGAGGAGGAGCCGGAGGTGTTTGGACATCTTCTGAAGAGGTGAGAAAAAACACAGAAATGATGTATTAATGCTGATCTGTGTGAGGTCAGGGTTGAAGCTTCAGGGTGTTTATTTCAAACTATCTAAAAACACACAAAGTTCACCGACTCTCCGATGGAGCAGGATTTTCCCCTGCCCTACATTTTGGTCTCATTTTGGACTTCACCCATAACCTATTTTTCAACTAGATCACAAACAGGTTTGGTGGCCTTCATGCAGGAATTAATCACCGCTCTCTGACGTCCTCGCATGAATAAACTCCAGAAAAGAAAAAGTTGTGCTCCTCTCGTACAGATGTTTCTGTTGTTAAAGTGTTTATTAGAGGAGAGATGTGTTCTCGCAGCGTTTGTGAATCCCGTTCTTCTCCGTCTTTTCTGTCCAGACCGATGGAAACGTTCTTTGACAACCATCATCCGGCCCTGAAGTCCCCCATCCTGGTCTCCGGTCCTCGTCTGGCAGCAGAAGACACCTTCAGCCGCCACTTTGAGAGCATCATGGAGTCTCACCGCGCCAAAGGGACATCCTACAACAGCCTGGACAGCGAGGAGCTGCTCACATCCAGCACCCAGACTGTCCTGACCTTTGACCTCCCCACACTAACCCCCGCTATCCACGCTCCAGTTTGCCAGAGCGCCAGGCAGATCGTGCAGCTCAGCTTCGCCCCGCTGGCACACGATGAGAGGCCCAGTTTGTCTGACTCTATCTTTACGGTGACGGGGGACTCAGACGCCACCAGAGCCCCGTCCAGCGAGAGGCTGAGCAGCGGGTCGGATGACACGCCGCACAGAGGGCAAGAGTGTGGTCAGCTGGGGAGCAGCTGGTACAGCAACCTGTCCTTTACTTTACCGAGGTGAGTTCACAACACCAAGAGATCAGCTGTCGGGGTGAAATCATGAAGCTTCAGGGTCTGTTTTTTATTTTTGCATCTTTAAAGCCTCAAACTCTGCAAAGAGTAAAATCTGTCAAACTTATATTATCCTGGTCAACATCACTGACATTCTCAAGCCGAAAACATACAGGATCCGTATTTAGCATGTTTCGTATTTGCTCCGTAGAGCAGTGCCATCTATCCCATACAGGATGCATATTTTGAGCGTCGCAGCAGCGTAGTTCAGCCCCGGTCAGCTGGGCTCAGTATAGAGGAAACAACATTCTCACAACAGGTTGTTTTTTCTTTCTGTGGTCGATTTCCTGCTAATGTTGATATAATTCAGTGACTGTCGAGCTTCTACTGTATGTGAAAGAGTAACGTGATTTTACAGTTTCTGTTGTTTTTGCAGGTTTACTCGTGTTTAATAAAGTAAACTCTGTTCCTTTATGCTGTTACCTTCAGACAGAGTTGGGGTCCACATGGATCAGGGATTGACCATCAGATTGTTCTGTGTTACTGATAAATCCACGACACCTGACGCCTGACACCAAGTTGGGAGTTCCCATATGGTGTTTTATTTTGAAATACCGGATGACATGCGCGGTTTTCGTGCATGACTTCCTGTCTAGAACGATCTTCTCTGTGTGGATTGACGCGCGTTGGAAGCGTAGAGCAGCAAAAATAGACTCACCGCGTATCTTTAGCAGAGCTGCTCTCGGTACGATGCTGCGACGGAGCTGTTACGCGTCCTGTACGCTTTGCTGCATTGATTAGAATAGAAACCTATTTGCTGCGTGATAGGCGACGCTGCTGCCACGCTCTAAATACAAATCCTGTGTGTTTTAGTCTTTAGTTTGAGTTAAATATTTGAGAAAATTTCTCCAAATCATGTGCGTCATGAACTAAAAATATATTCATACACTTTTAATCGGATGTTTTCTATCAAATATTTTCACTTTAGCGCTGCATGTTACTGTCAGATGACTGTGCATTGTCAGAGCTCCAGTATGATCCAGTCATCTGAAATGTAAAAAACACACAAACAATTGAATCATTTTATTCAGTACAAAACTCTGCAGACACATCACTGACGTGCAAAGACAGGTCAACAAATCCTCACTGTTAGATCTGCAGACACGGCGCAACATTTGCTTCATTAGCTACATTTACAAGTACGTTTAACATGTCCCGCCTTTTTTCTGCTTTGTTTTGGTCTCCACCACCTTCTGATGGACATGTCTGCTTCCTCAGCTGCTTATACTGCAAAAAATCAGAATTAATCAGGTGTTTTTGTCCAGATAAACTTCTCATTTCAAAATATTACCACCAAAGAGACGTGAGCTGCTTGCACTTAGTATAAACAACTCAGATGTTAATTTTTACTAATTTTATCATTAAGTAACAAGTTAATCTAGACTTGTCTTGGGAATGGGGCCTTTTTAAAGTGTATTGAGGTAGTTTTGACCAAAATAAAACATTACGCCTGCTTTGTTCTGGGTTTTTGTGGCGCAAAACTCCTGTGAGGATCTTGGCTTCATGTTTGAGCTGATTTGGCGCCCCCTGGTGGACAAAGCTAAACCGTTTACAGTACAATTTTGTTTTTACTTCAGCAAAAAAATCTGATCTTTCTCTGTTTCAGTGGATAAATGTTTCAATCACTGAGAATTTATGCTGAAGGAAATGTAAAAAAAAAAAAATATTTAGGAAAATCCTGAGTTGATGGATTTTGGCTTTAATTCCACATGCAAGTTAAAGTCTGCAGAAAACTCCATGTTGGTTTTGTTCTTGGCCTCATTTTATTTACTTTATTTCTACATTTTTTAATGCTACAGAGACGTGTCACGCAAAGAGATGCCGTCTGTCTATTGTGTTTGATTACATCCGGGTAGTAGAGCTTTAATGTACAGTGACGGCAGCTACGGACCAGAGCTTTATTAGTCGTGTAAAATTAATTCTCACACCTGACACCCGCTCAAATATAGCTACATAAGAGCAGTCAATCTTCAGCATTAATTAGTGTATTTGTTTCATAACCACTTCACAGGAGCTTTCACACTTTTCTGTGAGCTCGGACTGTCAGAAAATGACACTTTTGGACGCTGCGTGTTTTAAAAGGATCCAGTCTTTGTCTGTTTTTACGATCAGAAGCAGCAAAAAAAATCTAGAAAATGAAAGGATCCACAGTTCTGTTTAAACAAGAGTGAGCAGCAGTGATTGAGTGACATAAACAACAAGTTAGATAAGATCTTGAAGTGCCTTTTTTGTTGCTGTAGTCTTGAAAGAAGTGTTAAAATTTGTTTGTTCGAAGAATTACATCAAAATGTGAATTTTACTGGGATAAAAAGATCGTGAGACATTTAGACGTCCACACGTTTACACCAAATTTAGCCATTTTATTCCAGGACACTGTACCAAGCCTTGACGGTGGATGTTAAGAAGTAGTTGTGAAGTATTCGACAGTGTTGACAGCTGACATGCAGATGACCTGAGCATCAGAGCGCCAGAGAAAATCTGGGTCATTTTTGTTGTTGCACAAAATATACTTTCTTGAAACTGTTTAGCTTTTCTGTAAATTTAAAGTATGATCACACAGTCATCACCTGACACACATATGTCTGTCTGATTTTAAACACAGGGCATGCAGATATGTTTGTCTTATTGACGGGGTGTTGGGAGCCGTTGTTTATTCCTGCGTTTTATAGTTAAAGTGATGTTCACAGACTTGTTATCGGCTCCTGGCTAAGGTCAGTTCCCTGTTAAAGAGCCGCTGTCAGTCTCCAGAGTGTCTGTGTCTGAGCAGAGCCGTGCTGCAGTGCTATTCTGGAGCTCAGAGTGAAGGTCGCTACAAGGCTGTGTGTGGTTCCTCTGCTGTGTGCCAGGCTGCCGCTCTGTGTGTGTGTGTGTGTGTGTGTGTGTGAGTGTGTGTGTGATATGTGATTCCATCTGTGCATATCCCCATGTCTGCATGTATTTAGCTGTGTGCATGCACCTGTGTCTGTAGGTGAATTCTGATGTGCATGCTGTCTTGTTTGTGTGTGTATAGGTGTGTGTGTGTGTGTGTGTGTGTGTGTGTGTGTGTGTGTGTGTACAAGGTCCAGGCATGTCGACAGAGCAGATGGCTGCTGCAGACTCACCTTGACTGTGTGAGTCTCAAAGACTTTATTTTAACTCCTCACAGACTCCCATCTGCAGCACAGGAGACTTCATTTCCTTTGTCTCACTGTCGCAAATCTCCGTCCAATCGAAACACGAGCTTTCTTAAACTCGATATGAATCTGCCGAAGCGATGGCAGAAAGCCGGGACATCTATATCTCTGATTTCTTCTTCTCCTGAGTGACAGTGAGGTAGACCAGCTCTGGAGATGTCATCCTAACTTAGTGTGACAGCACTGCAGAGGCAGTGACTGCACCGAGTTACCGTGCTGCTTTCACCACAAGGTGGCAGAAGAGGACAGCAGTTACTCTGTCAAGAGTTTTTCAATGAGAGTGCAAACAAACAGAGGTGCTGTATTTCTGTGAAGGTAAAACTGAAGACTCCATGAAGCTGCAGAAATACTTAGGTTGAAGTACAGATACTTACAAGACACTAAGGATGTAGTACAAGTACTTATTAAACTTCTTTGCTAAATAAAAATAGTCCAGTAAAACAGATTTGTTTCTACATCTCATATTTGGAAGACATGCAAACTTTAATCATCGTCTAAATAAAACCTTTTGGAGAAAATTGTAAACATTAAATAGGCTTGAATTAAAGGTACAGTAAGTAGTATTTAGCTGCATTTGTCAGAACAGACTCGTATATATGTTCCTAAACATGATTAAATTAGGATTTAACTTCATGATTATAAAAATCTTTTATTTTTGTCAACTAAGACCGAGCATCTTAAATCAGGAAAGAAGAGGGTACCTTTCCATGAAGCCGTTTTTCTACGGTAGCAAAGAAGGGACAAACTAGTATCATATGCTTTTTTGTGACTGGCTGTGTGAAATGTGTGAAACACTTGAAAGCTAAAGAAGAGGAAGAAAGTGGTTGTTGAGGGTCATACTTAAGATGCATCTCAAGAGCTTTTTGTCCTTAAAGGCCACCATCACTTCACCGGCATGAGGGGTGAGCAAGGGGGCATTTCAATCGAGAACCTGAACCCATTTCTACACACTGTACCGTTAATAGGAAACAACACAGTAGATGACCTGCTGACCTGACCCCTTAATAAAAAATAAACATTTGACTACAGAATATACATATTTAGATAAGAACACGTATCTAAATATGGACTCTGCAGGACAGAGACACTTGTTTATTATGTCCACTTGGGGTCAAACTTCACTTTAAAACGACTCTTTAAAGGACAAAAATAAAGGAACTTTCCCTTTAAGACAAAACTGACGGAGCAGAAAGTGAAGATATTTGAAGGGTGAAGCTGAAAGGCGTCAGCAAAATAAACACTCAGGTAACGTATGGGTTACAGATTTCACTTTGTAACGCCTCATCTCTGAGCACGGCAGAGTTCAGAGCAGCTAAAAAGAGACACGTCATTCAGTCTGAAGTTTCAGTGTTGAATTCATGGATTCTCCTTTAAAGGTTAACCAGGGCGGCTTCATTCTTCCTTTCTTTTCACCCCTTTTGTGTGTCTTTTAAACACAAACTCACAGTGTTGTCTCTCCGCCTCCTGATAAAGCTCTTCATATGAGAACCAAATCGCGCTGGGCTGGCTCAGGTAAATGTTTGCTCTGCGCTGATCTTATCTTGGTTTTTATAACCGGCCCAAACTCTGGCAGCCCTGGAGCTGAGGAATCCGGGAGCGAGACGACCGGACAAATATTTCTGAGGGCTTGTCCATACTTTGATAAAAGTTGGAATTTCAGCCCTCTCCTCCTCCTCCTCCTCCTCCTCTTCCCCGAGCATCAGCCTTTTCAGATGCTCTGTGCCATTAGACAGTGGCTCATTGTGCAGGGCTGCCCAGTGGACTGAGAGGGGGTGTAATTATGTGAGGGATACCGTTAAAGCAGAGGCTGACACCGGTGAATTCTCCCAGGACCTCTCTGCATTGTGCCGGCTCTTCGCAAAACAATACGAACAGGTGGCGCGGCCTAAACCGGAGCGATTATGAAAGCTGCTGCAGGCCCTGATGTGAGCGTGTGCTGTAAACAGACTCCACAGACGCAGACAAAAGGCCAACTTTTTATTCCTCTGGGCAGTTTAGAGGCACACACCCAGGAGATATCCCTGCGAGTTCACACCTGACACCTCCTATCTTTGTTTTCTCCGGAGGTGAGACCACAAACACGGTCGGCAGGAATGCGTACAACACCCAGAGGATGCACAAACCGAGCGTGTGTAATTGGAGAAAGAGGGGGAACGAATGAGTGAGGGAGGGGAGTTTTAGGCTACGGACAAGCCAAGTTTCATGCCATGCTTCGAATCCAAGGTCAGTGGGGGACAGTGAGCGTTTACACAGTGGAACAGGGCGGGAGAAAGAGGGAGGGAGGGAGGGAGGGAGGGAGGGAGGGAGGGAACAGAAACAAACAGACTCAGAGGGAAAAAGATAGAGGAGGAGAGGCATTGCAGGACAAACAGCTCTTTTACTTTGGGGGGGGGGGCAGGAACCTCGCTGTGAAGATCAAATGACAGCAAACACAGAGGGAGAGTGAGAAAGGGGGACTCGGGAAGTCTCAGTCAGACTCTGGGAGCGAGAAGACCGAGCAGAGGAATGTCGGGCCTGTTCAGAGCCAGTTCAGGTGTGCTTTAGCTCGCACTAAAGACGGACGGTGATGCGTTCAGGTGCCCAGACCAGGAGGAGAGGAGGAGGAGGAGGAGGAGGTGGAGGAGGAGGAGGAGGTGGGGTGGTGGTGCATGCTGGCAGTCGAAGGCGAGGTGTCCATCAGGGGACGGCAGTGAGGACGCCGTCTGTCTTCTGCTGTAACGGCTCCTCTGCAGTCGGAGAGGAGAGGTTTTTGTCAATGAGGCGGTCTTGTCACAGGTACGTCCCCTCACAGGAAGTGGTTTTTCCTGAGGGTTCGAATGTCACATTTGGACAGACGGAGCTCCGAGATTCATCAGACTGAGTTTATCTGTTTATTTTCTCCTTCTTTGTGGAAACAGAGCAGACCTTTTACAGCAAACTGAAGGACTTTTAATTCTGTAATATCAAAAATAGTGTTTGTTTTGTTCTTGTCTCGGTTTAAACTGTAAAAACAGGAGCCCCCCTCATACAGCCTCACTTCTGTTAAATCGATGGTTTGTGAATCATTTGAAGCTGTTATTTGGTCAAAAATAGTACAAAGTTTACCACTGTGATGAAACTCCTCTACTTTTAACAACTCTTTAAATGTTTGAGAACGGTGGAGACCCGTTTCTGAAGTCGTCTGAAGAGTTCAGGGACGATTTTTGTGTCATGATGTGTCAAATGTTTTCATTCAGTGACAAGCCCAGACTGCAGACAGGCCAGTTAAACATGTGGACCCTTCTACTTCAGAGCCATACCGTCTCCTGTCATGATCAGCTGATGTTCTGCGGGCTGAGTTTGACTCTCGTGTCTGGACTGAACGTTTATCTCATGTGTTCACTGACGCTGGTGTTTGGAGGTGATTTTGATCCAGTTTCTGTGTTTCCTCTGAACTTTGTGAACCCAGAGTCGTTCATCCAGCCCTCTGAACTCTCCTCCAGCGCCCGCTTGTGTTGTTAATCGCTGTTTGCTCTGATGTGGTTTCGTCTGACTCACGTACAGTATGAAGATGTGTAAGTGTGGGAAGCTGCCGAGCTCGGGGGGACTGTGGGTTTTCTTGGCTTGTCCCTCATGCTGAGAAATCCAAATGAGAGCTCTTCTTGTTCAGGAAGTGTTTTCAGCTCTCAGCTGTTGGGCCGCTGTTGTTTTCTCCGGATGGCCGGCGTGACCAGAATGGACACTCAGCTCTTGACAAATGTCAGGGTCTTATTGAATTCTAAGTATCTGAACCCGGAGACCTCGTTCCTGTCATCCGTGTTCGAACAGGAGCTGGAAAGAAACTCTCTTTTAGCTCCGAGTGACATAACACGCTTAAATTATTATCAGAGAGTCACTCAGATGTAATAAGTTTTGCACTTCTGAACTGGCTCATGCTTTGAAGGGGCTTAATGAGGGAGTGATAACAGAGACGGCTGGAGAAAGTGGAGATTTGTGTGCAGTTATTAGAGAGTATAATCCTGTGGAGTGTTTGGATATTTCACTGTAGACTGTTTGCATGTTTTCTCTCATGGTCTAAACTGAATAACCACAAAATACTAGCTCTGTTTACTACAATCCTTCACATTTGTGTCACCTATTTCCCTCTTTTACACCTCTTCATTTTCCTGCCTCTCTTCATTCCACTTTTCAGCACGATCAGCGCTGCAGAGATCATCTATTTGCATTATTAAATTACTGATTTACTGACGATGTTCGTTTTTATTATCTCTCTCATTCTTTCTTCCTCCTCTTTCCTTTTCAATTATTCACCGATCCTGCCCCGCCTCCCTCTCAATAAGCTCTAAATGTTCCTTCACCATCTTTTCCAGTCCTTCAGACATCCTTTCAGTCTGTTTGTGTCTGATTTTTTTAACAGCCGCACATCTCCGCTGTCTACGCGCTCTCTCAGCAGGGACAAGGCTCGTCTGGCGACGGATTCTGAGCTGGACCAGGACCTCAGTGACCGGCTCGGTCTGGGGAGCAGCGACACCCTCACCAACGGCAGCAACCGCGCTGACGTGGCCGCCGCCAAACGTCTGGCCAAGCGTCTCTTTAACCTTGATGGCTTCAGGAAGTCTGATGTGGCTCGACACCTCAGCAAAAAGTGAGTTGAAGGAGATGTATTGTTGTTGTTACAAAGTTTGGACACCCCGAAATCTTGGACCTGAGGCTCACAGACGTGTTTTATTTAAGTTCATACAAACGTACCAACAAACAGCTTTGAACGCCACAGGAATGAACTTTAATAAACGACCACTGCTGCTCTAAAACACGTGTACACGTCTAAAACACACTGATGTTTTTTTAATGAATGAAGTCCACTCGTGCAGCTTCACTCTCATGGATTCGTACCTGTGCCCCCTGTGACGGCTGTGTTTCAGCAGATCTACATTCTTCCCACACTGCTGCAGGATCAGCCCGTCAGTCTGTCAGCTGCTCCTCGTACTGATGAGAAAGAATTTGGGATTAAAGGGTTTCCTCACTTTCTGAAGGATGGACTCTGTGAATTTTCTTTTTCCTGGCCTTGAGTCTGAATCTCCAGCTGACGCTCTGTCCACACACACACACACACACACACACACACACACACACACACACACACACACTGACTGACAGATCAAACTGAGGCCGTTCGCTGAGCTCAGGAAACGTTTGAGTGTCTGATTGACATTTTGTGCTCATATTGTCAGTTTCATCCTGTTTTTTTTTCCCCCTCTTTTTTTGTCTCCATCCACAGCAACGATTTCAGCCGTATGGTAGCAGAAGAGTATCTGAGCTTCTTCAACTTCACAGGCCTCACTTTGGACCAAGCTCTGAGGTGAGAACATGAAGAAAAAATACACTTTCAAATACTTCAGATTACTTATTTCTATCACAACGTTCATGTAAAACCAGTGAAGGCAGCTTTACATACAAATACTGTTAGATAGAAGCATTAATATTGACAGTAAACAGGGGAAAGACTTTAGTGTTAAATACTGCCCTCCTGTGGGCAGCTTTGGACTTGCATGTACAGTAAAAAAACATCATGTACAGTGATTTATTGTGGGCACTTTGTGTACCTTTTTAAAACTGAAGTTCAAACTGTATTTCTTGTGTTTCAGTTTTGCCGTCTTAAATATTTTAGGTCTGAATTTCATCTGTTTTAACTCCACTGGACTTTATTTATACATACAGAACATTTCATAGACTTTATTGATCACTGAAGGGAAGCTGGATATTTTAAGGTTTTAATTTAAAATAAACAAAAGAAAAGGTCGATAAAATAAAAAGTTCTCTTTTATTTCTTCACAATAAATGATTATTTTGGCTGTCAGAAGTTTGCAGGATGAGATTAAGATGCTAAGAGGACAAGATAGGCAGAGACAGTTTAGTCCACAGGGGGCGCCAAATTTGACACAAACTAAAAAATCAGTCTAAAAAGTCTTTAAAATTTCTCCAAATTGAATGTTGCCTTTTTAAGATAGTAAACCATCAGGTCATTTTTTGTTTTTATAGTCAAATAGGAACTATTTTAAGTCTGCACCTGTCGACTCAGAACGCACAGTTTGAAATGCACATGCAAAAAGATCAGTATTATACCCTAGGAACATATATGATTCATTCATAACATGAAAAACAAATACATATAAACCTTAAATGACATGATCTGTGAACGTTTTCCATCTGTTTCTGCTGATTACCTTCAATCACATAAAAATAATAATAATCAAAAATGTTTATTCAATACAGCCAGACTGTTACCACAGAGTTACATAACTTCAAGATGTTTTTACATCTTAATGAGAACAAAGAGATGATCCACAGCCGTGTAATCCTGCGTATTAACCTCTTTATTAGTCATTGTTTTTGATCAGTAGCTGCTTTTTGGACATTTCTGGTGGATCAAAATGCTGATTTCAGTTTTAAAACAGTCACTTTTAACACATAATAGATGAGTACGTGTTAAAGATCTGCTGACCGTCTGAGTGTGTTTGTGTCTGCAGGACTTTCCTCAGGCAGTTCGCCCTGGTGGGGGAGACTCAGGAGAGGGAGAGGGTGCTGTCACACTTCTCTAAGCGTTATTTGGACTGCAACCCAAGAGTCATACCATCAGAGGGTGAGGACTGCAGAGAAGCGTTTCCGAGCACCAGCATTGAAAAAAGAAAAAGAAAAAACGGAGAAAGCAATATCCGCCCCTGAACATTAAATACTCTGGAGCCATATTTAAAGAGCCAGTCATCCATATTTTATAATAAAGATGTAAAAGCAGTGTGTTCTGTGAGAGCTTTCACCTGAATCCTGCAGCTCTCTTTGGTTACACTCAGCTTTTTTATCGATTTTGTGCTGGCAGTTTAGTTTTTCACCCCTCTGTTCGCGCTCAGTGCTCTCATGAGGTTGTTTTTGGCCACAGCAGGCGGCTTGTTTCAGAGAACGAGCTCTAAAACCTTCGCTGTATACTATCTGTCAAAAGCAAACAGCAGACTGGCACATTGAGAGACAACCTGAGGAGGATTTAGCTGCTGGTGGACTAAAAATATCACTCTGGAGTTGATAGAGACCGAAACTTGAGTTCGCAGCTTTGTAAATGATAAACATGTAGAAGGTAAAGTTTGCAGAGTTAGCCAAGTAAAAAAAAAAGATGTATCAGTGCTGTTTCCATGGCTAAAACTTGTATTTTCACTACTGCAGTGAAAAGGAAGGATGTTTTAACTTAATTTACTCTAAAACTGATGTACCTGCCGGACATTGGCGAATTGAAAATTGTCTGAGTTTTGTGAGTGATGTATCCTTGAACTGTTACACAAAAATAACCACAAAACTGACCGTTTTAAAGCGAAAAAGATCATAACAAGAACTAAAACCATAACACACAAATCAGGGGGAACCACTGAACATTGAAAACAGAACTTTTGTAAATAAAAGCAGATAGGTGTGTTCATAAAAGCTAAACTATAGGGGACCCAGTATGGAGCCTTGTGGAACACCATACTGTATATCCTATATACTGCATTGTATGTTGGGTTCATTATGCTCAATCATGATCAGTAATGCAATGAAATTTAAGCTCAGTTGTTAACATAAATAAGGTTTTTTTTCTGTAGGATGTAAAACAAGTTAGTTTCTTAGTTAGTGTCTGGTGTCTGAAAAAGACGGTTTAGGAAATCTAAATTTCGCTGGAGTGATTGCTAGTAGCTAACATTAATCAATACCAGCTCTGTTTAACATTTAAAAGCTTTTTAATTGTCCATTATTGTCTATTGACATCATCCGCCAGACAAAACCGGAATTAAAAAATGTAATTTTTAAACATCTGTACAGTTCTAGTTATTTTTATTTTTTGTCTCTTTTTCTGCTTTTGTACAATAGCAGCTGTGCTAGCTTGGAAAAGCTTACAATTAAGACAATTCAGTACAGATATTAGGAGAACATCAGTTTTTATTTACATTTAATAGTTTTTATTTTGTTTGAGGTTTCATTTTGATGAATAAGCTAATGCTGGTTTTGTGTTTTTACCCTTTAGATGCAGTTCACACTCTCACCTGTGCCCTGATGCTGCTGAACACAGATCTACATGGACAAGTGAGTCAAATCTAAAAATAGATGAACATTTTCTGTGTTTGGAGTTTTGTACGACATGTTAAAGGATGTTAGCCTCTGGACTGTGCGGTCCCTTATGTTTAACTTTTGAGTTTGGGGAGTGTAAGACCGATCATGGTCTGATCCGGGTCTGCAGTCCTTCTCTCTGAGCCTCTTTCACCATCATTAATCTGCTCCTATTATAATCAGAGCTTCTTCTGCAAATCTGAGCGATTGTTCGCTCTCCTCGCTGACAGTTCAGCTCTCTCACCATCTTCATCATTGTGATCACAGTTACAGGCTGTGACTTTTTATTTTTAAGCTTCACTTCAGTGATCGTTTCTGAAGTTATGAAAAAACCCTGTGAATGTGCCTGAGCCCGTTACAACATGAAGAAACGGCTTCTTTTTAGAGACCAACGGTACAAAGTTTGACTGGAGAAAAAAAGCAAAATAATTAATTTCCCTTTTTTCTGAAAATGTCTGAAACAATTCTGATGTTCACAGAATATTTTGGTATTATGATTTTAGTTTATGAAGGACTTCTTGAAGAGTATCTTTATTTTATAACAAGCCCACAGTTTTTTAATTGTCTTTTTGTAGAGAAATGAATCTTGGTCTCAAGAATATGAATTAATGCGTCAACATAACCAGATATAAAGAGTCTGAAAATAGATCTTTAAACATATTTTTAATTTGATGCAAAAATGAAACTGTATATTCTGAATTATTTTGCACTCAACAGCCTCTATTCTATATTATTGTACATCTTCGTTAAATACTCGATTCTAATTGGTCGATAGCCGTCTCAACGGCAACAGTCTGTTACTCCTTAACTTCCCTGTTGCCATGGATACAGCTGTAATCACACGCAGTGGTGGTCTAACTGCAGTTGTAACATCTGCTGAAATAACAGGTGGTTGGATCGATTTCAGTTTGTTTACTGCAGGAAAAAAAGAAAAGAGACAAATGCCGCGGAGAAAAAGTTTTATCTTGTCACAATATTCTGGTATTAACGATAATTGTCGACTGAAAAAAGTAAAATATTGATATTGTGTTTAAAATGAACAAATAGTAACGCTGTGACTAAACAGTAGTGGTCCTTTATGCTGGTCGCCACACGTCTCTAAATGGGGAATAGATGAAGAAGTAACGGACTGCCAGTGAGCTAGCTTTAGCTTTAGCAGCCGTCTCAGAGATGATTTATTCAAGATTTATTTATTTTGAGTCAAAAAACAACGTCAGGTTACTAATCATTTAAACAGCTTCACTTTCTAACTGCTACTTTTACTGTTACTTCAAAATAAAAGCATGTTTATAAACACGGGATATACAGATAGAAGATAGAACAAAATATCAAAATAAAAGCATGACATAGAATAGTTTATCGAGGAGATGTCTCTCAGTTTGTGGAGAATCGTCAATTTGAATATAATTCGACATGAATGATGACATTTAAGTTCACTACTGTCTATTTACTGTAAAATATTGTGTTAGTTTTCTTTTCTTTTTTGTATTTTGGATGTAAAGAAATAAACACAAACATTTAAAGTCAAATATCGAGGGAAGGAAGTTGATAAGATTTTGTCGATATCAATGCCATTATTGATTCTGCTTATCGATTCAGTTCCTTAACGAATCCCTTATCCGTGCCTTTCTTTGATTTAAAAAAAAACATATACTTTGGTTTTCACCTTTAACTCAAAATTGTATTGAGTCTCTGATAACAGTAGTCTAAAAATAATCAAACGACAAACTATTAGTACAGCGTTTACTTCAGTCGGTAGTAAGTCAAACTAGGGTGACCATATTCTGGATCCCCAAAAAGAGGACATTACTGAGCAGTGTCGCACGCAAAATTTCAAGGGTTTTGACGTGCTTCTGACTCAGTTAGTCCAAGTCTGCCATGCATTGTGCTTATGTTAACACAGGACATGCGTACCTTCCATGCCGTTGCTGAAAAGAATCATTAAGATGAAATGTAAACGATGTCGACGGATTGAACCATTCGGAACCGATTCTCAACAAGAACCGGTTCTCGACTCCCATCCCTACAAATATCTCTCCTCCTTGGACAGCTGGTATCAGAAAAAGAGAATAAGGAGGTGTTAAAATGAACTAAAAGTGAATTTATATTTCTCTTTTTTTTTTTTCAAGAATATTGGCAAGAGGATGTCGTGCACGCAGTTCATCTGCAACCTGGAGGGACTGAACGACGGCCAAGATTTTCACAAGGATCTGCTCAAAGTAAGCTCCTGTCGGGTCTAAAATAGCGCACACATACATGCACATGCTGTCACATTCAGACCCACCGTCCCAAATGTGAGCGAGCAGCTCTTGCCAGCATTGTATTGTCCCTCAGATCTGTGCGACTGAGCCTGGCTGTCTGGCCCGCGCTCAGTGCCAGCTGGCGTTCGCCTCGTCTCCGGGGGCCTCCAATCAGAGTCCTGCCTGGGCTCCTGGACTTCCCGGTGCTCTTGGGCTGGAAGACTTATTGTTATGTGATTTGGAGACACAGCGAACGAGACCCAGTGGCCCTCTGGGTATCTGCGTGTGACTACAGCAGCATTAGCTTCGGCTATTAGCGAATCGCAGTCAAGTTTGGTAGCAAAAGATCGTGATCCATCAGACAGGGTTCAGACGGAGGCCTGGGGCCGCGTGATGTGGCGAAATAACCCAATCAGCGGGGCGGCCTGTCCATTCGCTCTCCTAATGATGATGCTGTTGATTAGTTTTGTCTGCAGAGCGGTCCGTCAGCGTGCCACAGAGCCCCAGAGTGCGAGTCAACAGGTTGTAATGGGGTTTTTATAATGCATGAGGGAAAGAGAGGCCACGGCGTCCACAGCGATGACGGGAATGAATTCACAAATGAAAAGCTGCGTGTTACTGAGTCCATCCTGAGGCCATGTGACCGGCAGCCATGCTAGGTCTTGTAGACCTGCACTGGCTGTTTTATTCATGCTTTTTTATGGATCCAGGAGCAGCCCCTCTTTTTAATCATGCTGAGATCTTTTATCCTCTTTCTCTCTCATTGAGACTCTCCTCTTCCTCTTCCTCTCCCTCCAGCGACTCTCTCTATTCTCTCACTCTGTTGTTCTCTGATTCTCTAAATGTTCAGACTGCCGCTCTCTCTGGCTCCTTATCGTCGCTCTGTTAAGCTCTGGTGGAGTTTAATGTCTTATCTCTGGACTGTGTCTCTCTCTGCTAACTTTATCTGCTCTCTTTAACCTCCACCCAGTCCTGCTCTCTTTTCTTTTCTTCTTTTCGCTCTTTCCTATAAATCTTTGTTCCCCTCCTTTCATTTCCTGCACGGTGTTTATTAACTATTCATATTTCCATCACTGAGTTAATTTTTCATGAGCATTTTTCAAAAGTTTTCCTAATTTGTTTCAAGCTATTGATTTGTTGAAATGTCAATGATGAAGTTTTAATGGGAGTGCAAGAACCTGCAGTTCTTTAAGCGTCCACTTGAGGGTGTCCTCAAAAGAGGAAGAAACCCATGAGAAAGTTTCCCAGCAGGATTAATCATGTTTTCAGATCTTTATGCCTCACTTATTTATTCAGGAGGACTGTACAGAAGCGTACCTTTTTGTCCATTTCTAAAACATAAAGATTAAATCCTCATTTATGCTCTTTTATAAGTGTATGAACACAGTCTGAGCCTTCTGCCTCTGCTTTATGGTCACGGCCTCTGCATATTTGCACATTTTCTGGAAGCTTTCAGATGTGGAAACACTGCAGTACCGCCAAAAAACATGGGGGCAGCGTTGAGCTCTTTAGTTCAAACCAGACCAACTAAACATTGTGAAGAAGAATACTTCGATTTGTGTTGAACACCAAGTGTTATGTTCTTCCTTTAACTGCGTCACCCCACTGTAGTCCGTAATGGACTGGCCGGAGGTATCGCTACAAACAAGCGGCTGCTGGAAGAGAGTAGGTGAGTTGTGTTTAGTCACTTTGCTAAAGCTAAAAAGATGTTTGGTGGCTAGTACTTTGGCTAGGATCCTTTATGTACTGTTGATGAAGTTAGGTGCTGTTCTGAGCATTATTTGTGGTTATAGAGTGGCGTTTTGGTTGAGGTTTGTTTATGGCTCCTCAGACCGCTGTGTATTGCTATCGTGCGGTCGTTACTGAAGTTGGTTTAACTAGAGAAGCAAGCAGTCGGCAACATTCATCTCTTGACGGGGTGTCTAACTCTGTGTGTGTTTGACCCTTGATTAATTTTACGCTGAAATATCTCTTTAAGATTTTTCTGACGCTTTTCTACTGTAATTCAGAAACATGACAGTGGGTGGAGCAGAAAACCAAGGCCATCCACTTTTAGGACTTTAACTTCTGTACATGGGACACACGATTTACCACGAAGCCTAAAAACACAGAGTCTCCAGCTAAATAACCTCAGACTGGTTAGCAAATGTGAGCAGAACAAAGAGGGTTTGGACCTCCAACACCGAACAAATCTGAGTTGGGAAAATTCATTATCATATTACAGTGGCCCAGTTTTTGGGGTTAAGTCAAAATAGAAGTGGAAAGAGAGGAGGTGAAAGACATCCTGTGTAGTGCCGTCCTTTTTTAAAATCCAAATTTAGAGCCTTCAATCGAACTTTGGGGAGAAGTTTGTGTTCAAACTGTAATTAGTCTGTCGAATTAAGCCATCTGGAGTAGCTTGATCCAGCAGAGGATGCTTTTGTCGTAACCTGACCATCGCATAGCACTCTTGATGATTTTGATAAATTTCTACAAAAATGAAGGACGTTCGCTGCAATCAAAGTCATCCTAAGCAGATTTGAGAAGTGGTTTGTGAAAGTGAGGTAAAAGACAAAGATAGGGATGTACGCAGACTCTACCAATCAGCTGTCTTACAGGTCTGCAGGCTCACCTGTGAGGGAGCAGAGGACTCTGTGCAGCAGGTAATATTAAAAGGAGGGCTGCACTCAGTCCTGATCGAATCGTAGACTTGTGATGTCGTTGTACCCTTTAGGTTTCCAGCTGGTTGTTGGTAAATATATCGTCTTCTTCCTTTCTTTGACATTTTCTGTTTTTGAGCATCAGCGTGTCGTCTACCCTCATCTCATTTAGAGCAATCAGCTGATGGAACAGAAAGTCAGACCAGCAACGAGCTCTGTAATATCATTGACGATAAAAAGTCTGAGGTTGCCAAGCTTACAGTAACTGCAACTTGTCTTAATTTGCATCTGCTCTGAAATGTGTAAATCTCTGTGGTTTCTTTTGTTGTTGCAGCCTGTTGTGTGAAGGTTAGCTGAGTTAAACCAATCACAGACAAATCGCTGTCGAATATCTGAACGAGTTTCTCCAAATCTGAACTCAGAGACCCCTCTGCTCTCCTCTCACTTGTTTTCCCTCTCCTCACTTTCCCTCTGTGATTGCTCCATCATTTCCTGCTGCCAAATGACTGCCATTCCTCGCCCCCCGCCAACCTCGTATCCCTCATTTCCTCCTCTCATTCCCCGCTCTCCCATTTCCCCTCTTCATGTCTGGTGTCTGTGTTTGTATGTGCTGTAAATACATTAAGAGAGAGCCATAGAAATCCCTCACTCTGTCTCATTTTCTCCCCAACGACAACAATGACACATTTCTCACCCGCTGTCCCAGACGCAGCTCTTGTTTTCTCTGTCACCGTTTTGCCACAGCATCACGGCGCCCATTGTGCTTCTATCACCACTTCGCTTCGTTTCTCCGACGTCCTTCTGTCGCTCTTATCGTTTGGTTGACGATAAACCAGAACGTGGTGTATGTTTTATGTGACGGAAAAGGACCAGTTAATCCCATCGTAACCTTTAACCTCACAGCTGAAATCAAAGCGCTGAAGTTTGATCATCTGAATCCATCTTTACCCACAGAGCGATGAGATAACTCACCATATGTTGAAGTTTTACTCATAAAGAAACGCTGCAGCGGTGCTTCAATATTAAGCCCTGTAGCTAAAACAGAAATCAGCTGCCTGCTGGACTGAGAAATAATGAGGGGCTGCATCCCCCCGACTCTTCCCGCCATCCTCCACCCTCAGGTTGACTCCCTCTGTTATCATTTTTCCTCTTTTATATTATTCCTCTTGTTTTATAAGGTAAAGTCATCTTCCTCAATAACTCCCTCCCTCTCTCTCTCTCTTTCCCTCGGTTATCCCCTCCTGACTCCCTCTCTCTTTCCCTTTTTTCAGCGGTTGATTAAACCTCACGATATGTTTCCCATTAACACCACAAAAGAGGAGCAGGACTGAGAAATCTCCTTAGCGGAGCCGTGGGTTCAGAACATTTCTAACACACTTTACGGCGCACTGAAGACTCGTCTTTTCCTGCAGTGTTTCGACTTTGCTGCATTTCTGCAGGACGGTAGTGAGTTAGACAGAGAATCACCAGTACAAGGCTGCACAGAGTAAACGCTTTATCGTTGTGATGCTGAAACTGATGAGAGTGTTTATGTGAGGCTGCAGGTTTGTCCCAGTATTTCACTGTATGTTTCATTTGTTCTTGTGACACTCATGTCCTACCGTAAATATCCTAAGAGTCAGAGAGAAGATACTTCGTTCTCGTTATTTCCACATATAAATCCAGCACAAGCAGCAGAGTCCTCCTGTCTCTCATTACCAGTGTTTACATGTGCAAAATTTCTTGATCCGATCAAAAATTTGAGGGATCAGAAACTCTGAATCCACTGTTTATATGACGTGTGTATACATGCACCGAGCTTTATTCAGATGAGGAGCATTTAGACATGCGCAGAGTTTTCTGATTTCGCTAAAATAACCGCAGGAGAAGAAGAAGAGTATTTACGCCTGTGTTGTCAACAAACCAACAAACACGGTACTGGCTCAGTTCATCCCATTCAGGATTTTTCCCTCCACTCAGAGTTGACCTGAGCCTGATTCTGAGCGTACATGAGTGGGCCCAGCAGCACATACTGATCCTGCGTTACATGAGGAGATTGTATCCAGCAAGAAAGTTGTGTCCGACTCAGACCAGTATCTCTCGGATCCCGCGATGTTTACGCGATGTTTGTTTGGAAATGTGTCACGTTGACGTAGGGAAAACATACGCAGTCAGGTTAGTTTTGCCTCACGATCAGAATACGTGTTTACATGGACGTGTTTCGGGATAACGATCGGCATAAACCACCCCTCTCAGTTAGAATGCGGTTCATTCCGATTGAGCCAAATTGAATCAAATCAGAATTTTCCGATCAACATGTTTACATGATGTATTTTTATTCCGATTGTGCCATTGTGATGAAAGGAGACTAATATTGATAGCTGTGCACACACATATCCTCCTGCCAGTACAGGAGTCACCTTTTTACTGTCTTTAGAAACGAATTTTGAAGTTCCACTAAGTTTCTTCTTTTCTGTTGTTGCTCAAACTTGAGAGCCTGTTTTTTTTTTTTTTTTATCGCAACCCTGATCTTTACTTTCCATCATGGAGTAACTGTTCTCTACAGCCCACTCAGTTTGGCTTCACTTTTGACAGCCCGTCAGGCCATCCCTCTTTTTCTCCAGTGCATCATCTAATAAGCATTCTTAGTGAGTTTTTCACTGACGGCAAGTTTTAGGAAAAACTCTCTTTGCACCCTGAAGCCTTTTCTGTGTTCGTTTACTTTGTTTTGTTTCGACCCAGAGCAAAAAAAAAAAGTGATAAATCATGGATTAGTTTCCAGGCCATATGTTTTATTAAACTTGATGAAAAAATTGAGTTTTAAATGAATCAAAATTTCCTACAACATTAACTCTGAAACAGATGCCTTTCATTAGTCTCAGGATGTAAAGAGGCACATACAGCTCTGCTCACATGTCCATTAGAGCGCTGATGCCTGTTTGTCTCAATCAGTGTGTTCTCATAATGATGCAGTGAACTCAATTAATGATCTCCAGAGGATGTTTCCTCTCTAAGTTATCCACACCAGGCCATCAGAGAAACGACAAGATGACCTTCCCCTTCACAGTCCAGCAGCTAAAGAAAAACCTCCTTCTTATATTTACACCTAAAATATTCAGGATAAATACAAAGTCATCAGGATGAGTTTCTTTGTGAAAAGTCACAATTCAACCAAAGATTGCTTCGTCCACAGGGGGCGCCAAAGTTGGTGCAAACTGTAAATTACTAACAGGAGCTTTAAAAACAGGTAACCTTGAACCTGCCTGTAATGAGATGTCCAATTTTACCTCTAAACGAGCTCATTTCCTCTAAATATGAAACCATGTTTTTACAAATTTGATCGCCAAAATCAAAAATACATGTCAGGAAGCCAGAGCCAAAGATTTCCGGTAAAATCTCGACAAAATTAAGCTGCAAATGTGTGAAGAGGATTTTTATGAATCAAATACTCACTGTATTATCTCTCCTCTTTTATGATTAACCCACTTGTTTATTTATTTCCTGCTTCCTCCTCTCTGTCAAAGACTCTGCAGATCATATCAGCTGCTTTTTCTGCACTGCAGCATTCAGACTGAATGCGTCCATAACTGATGAGTGGCTCGCTGTTTGCGGGCAATTAACACAGAAAGAAAAGGCTGAGACGAGTGCTCCCGATGCTGCATTAAGCCTCTAAGCCTTCATCACCACTTCTTCATGTTCCTTCACCCCTCTGTTTGCAGCATGCATGGAAAACATGGCCGCTGTGGAGCTCCCTGCAGAGTTCGGAGCTCTGGCTGCAGGCCCAAACTGCTGCTGTGGAGGAAACTTTGTTCCTTTATTGCTAGGCTCAGAGACACATGGGTCTGCACTCCCTCTCTCCCTCTCTCTCCTCCTCCTCCTCCCTCCCTTTCTCTCTCTTTCTTCAGCACTGCTCAGGGCTTACAGCTTGAAGTGGGAGCTAATGATGCACTGAAGTAGGTTACCAGCCCGCTTTAGAGCAGGAGAACAATTTCTGCTGAAATGGAAATGTTGCACAGCTCAATGAGACGCCGAGCCACGCTATTCAAACAGTAATTAGGTGCACTGATGTTATCGATTGTGTAGCAGCATCAATGGCGGGGAAAAGATGGATGACTTATTTGTTTTTGTAAATGAAGGGGAAGAAATCGTTCTCCCGTGTGCCCCTGATGTCGGGCTGGACCAGCTGCTGAATGAACGTGCCCAGACCAGATCCTGATGGTTGGCCTCTTGAGTCTGGACAGACACGCACGTGATTTCTGAGCAGAGACAGAGCGAAAGGGATTCAGATCTACATATTTAGTGTGTAAAGAGAGAGAGAATCACTGCATTTATCTACGACGTCTTACACTTCTCTTGAGGTTGAGGACAGAGAGTTCTTTTAGGTCAAGGGTAAAAATAAACTTTTATAGATCACTGTGGGGAGTTTGTGCTCAGCAAAAATGTCACTTTTTGCAGAAAACAAGTGAAATACATCATCATTTGATGTTCGGCAGGAACATTTCTGCAGCCTGCAGGGCCGAATCAAGTGGTTCTGTGGCCTTGGGCAGGATTAGGGTTCGGTGACCCGAGTGACGCGATGAAAGGATGGATTCAGTCTTACTGGGATTTGTCTTTGGAAAATCTCCCAGTAAATTCAGTAAAATCAGAAGAGGATAAATCTTTTGACCCAAAGTATCGTCAACAAAACCTCACCTGCTTCACTGATCATAGTCAGAGCACGGAAAAACATACATCGAAGAAAAACAAATCTCACACATTTTTACTCCAAAGATTTGCAACCACATCTTTTTGCTGATGGGGGGAAGGGGCAGAGAGAGACGTAGTGAAAAAAAGAGACACAGTGTGAAAAAGAGACAGCTGCTTGGGTCAGCAGAGACGTGTGGAGGCTGTGGATAAACTCCCCGAGCTGTCTGGATGAGGGACGAAAGGAGAGATTTAGACAGGATGTGAAATACGGAGCTGGAGGGTGAGACTGACAGCAGACGGGTAACTGATAGAGAGCGTAAGATACCACAGAGAGAACATATTTACTTTTTAACACTCATTTGTCTTTTGTTTTAAGGACAAGTATTGTTTTGGGCGGCACAGTGGTGTAGTGGTTAGCACTGTCGCCTCACAGCAAGAAGGTCCTGGGTTCGAATCCAGGTCAGGGTGTTTCTGTGTGGAGTCTGCATGTCCTCCCTGCATCGGTGTAGACAGAATAAACAGCCCACATGATGAAACTCATGACTGTAAAACTGGCTACTAGCTGCATTACTGTCACAGCAGTTTTACAGTAATTTACAGTAAATATTTCATTATAATTTACTGCGCTTGTGTTGATTTAACAGTTAAATTCAAGATTACAGTATTGTATTAGATCACAGTTAAGGCCTGTAAAGTGATAAAGCAGTCATCTACTGATTTACAAATATTACAGTTGAATAATAACAAATTCTAGTTATAATTTACAGTGAACTTCTTATGTTGTTATATCAGCAAATATAAGACCTGTTAATATAAGACGTGTAAAGATGTTAATAATAAGAGTCAACTATCTCAGTTGAATTTTTTGTTTCTGTCGTGGATGACGCCATATTTTATCGCGTAAATCGAATGTTGTTCTCGGCCACTGTTGCCTTGGTAACAGGAAAAATCACAGCAAAACTCCCTCATTCTTGCAAACTGAATGTCTAAACTTCTGTCAGTAATGACGCTGTTTGAACAGACCTAATTTCTAAAGGTGGGGAATAACAACTCAACTCAACTTTGTTTGTAAAGCACAACCACAGCTGAACAAAGTGCTGTACATAGATAAAAAAAAATAATAATCTAAAAACATAGAAACAAATAATTAAAAACAAACTATAAAACACTAAAACAGGAGCCGAGTCTCATGCAGGGTTAAAAGCCGATGAATAAAAATGGGTAACACTTGACGTTCGACCTGAATACACCTGTGAACACCTTCTCAGGTGTCTAATTAGACTGTAAATAATGCAGAGAATGGAAAGAAAGTCCTCACAGGAACTTTTTATTAGTAACTGTTGGGGACGTCATAAAACCCAGAAAGTTCCCCGTCAATCTCAGAGACTGTATCGGACGACGGCTGATGAATTTGGAGATTGTCTGATAAACCGTAGAAACACAGTTTTTACCGTTCTCCTGAAACATGGGGCTTCATGCAGGTTGTTTTTGGTTCCTCTGTCATGGTTTCGATGTCCTTTTCTCTGCCCTCCTGATAAAGTCGCAGCATCAGGCACACGTCAGCTCGCCAACATGTCCACCCCGATGTCACACGTCAGAAAAACTGTTTTTTTTTTTAATTTCTTTTTCCCTATCACAGTCTCAGCCGGCATTAAACTTTTATTTTGACATTTTAGACTTGGAAGAAGAGCGGGCGCACTGTCAGGGTTGTTAGGTTGTTAACAAAGAAACACACAGGTGCAGTTCATCACACAAAGGTTAAAGTTCATGAAATATTCAGCTGCAATCACCACCCTGCTATTGTGCGCCTCAGCCGACCAGTCAGATAGGAGGTGACATCTTTCATTGTTTCTAACAGAATGAGGGCGTGACTTCTGCCGGGAAGAGGGATTTAAAACCACAGGTCCAAAAAAGTGGAATAAAAAAGGAGTTTTAGATCATTTACAGCCTTTATTTAACCAAAGTGGAGCCAAGAAAACATATTAAATACATGCATATTAAATTTCATGAGAGACTGCATGAGAAAACAGTTTCAGAAAAATGTAAAATAGAACATGATATCGTTTAAAGGTTTAAAAAATGACTCTGTAGTGGAAATCGCTTTATGTTGCTGAATTAAAAATCTTTAATCTTACTTTTTTTTTTTTAATTAATGGAAAAATTATCAAGTAACATCTCTTGTACATCCTCTCTGGTATTTTCACATAAATGTAGGACAAAAACGTGAAACTGGTCTCTCATAGATCACTGAGAAACGATCTCATCGATGGCCGTCGTCTGTGTCTGACACAGTCATTAAATCTTCGGTCACAGTCCTGTAGCTCCAGATTTACTCACTCTGAGGTCAATAATTCTATCTGGTCTATTCCTCTCAGGAGGGAAACTCCTCCCTCATTTATCCTGCACGCTAAGTTTCCTGTCAGACGTTCAATCTCTGGTTTCTCTCCTGTTTACACATCTAGTTCATCCCGGTGCCATCAGCCGTGTGGAGCTTGAATTCCTGCCAAATACCTGCTTTAGGGGAGGGGGGTTTACTCGCTGGAGGACTTCCATAATCAAGACTGCTTCTGTGTTTGTCACATGCAAAATTTCCAGGAGTGTGGTGCATGTGTGAAAGAGGCTCCTGTCATGTCAGTGTGTGAGCTTTAACTCATGGAGGCTCCACTTCTGTGCAAAGAGGTGTGGAAATAGAAAGCTGGTAAAGCCTCGTTTCAGACCTGCAGCACTCTGTTATATTTTTGTCATCCTGTTTGATTTATTGATCGCTAACTGGATGCAAAGATGATATTTTTAAAGGTTAGGTGCCTGTGCTTTCACACTCAGAGGAAAACTGCACATGTTCATGTAAAAAAAAATGGAACTAGTCCTTTAAATCAGTGGCAGCAGTGCTGAATATACACTCTTTTACAGTCTCACCTCTTCACACTGTCCCTGTGCTGCTGAGTCTTCGCATGTTTTTCCTCCCATCACTCCTACAAGACCTCAGCAGAATACTCATTTACATAGAGAGTATATTTATTAAAAAACGTGTGTGTGCATGTGTGTGTGAGTGTGTGTGAGTGTGTGCATGCACTGAAGAGGCAGTTGGGAGACTGTGATTTGCTGGCAATGACTGAAGGAGAGGGTGGAGGGAAGGAGGGAGGGAGGTACGCATCGACGAAGCAGAGGGAGAGGGAGGCAGAGAGAGGGAGCGCACTGTCCCTATCAGCTTCTCTTTCACTCTGCCATCCAGGCGGCCAGCTCTTCTCCTCCTCCTCCTCCTCCTCCTCCTCCTCCGCATCAGAGGCAGCGGCGGCAGGGAGAAGAGAGGAAGGCTTGATTCAAGGAAGAGATCGCAACAGATTGATAAACGAGGCATCCACGGAGGAAGACTCGGAGGGTGTAAAAATCCATCACCGGGAGCGGGAAAGCGGCGTTTTTTTGTTCCCTGAAACACCCACACCTGAAGAGTGTGAGAGAGGAGAGCTCGGCGGGGAGAAGTGGATCACTCTTACCGGGAAAAAAGGAGTAAATAATGAAAGAGGACTTACACTCGTGGACAGAAAGACGGAGGGAGAAGTGAGCGAGTAAATTTGAAAAGCCTGACTCTGACTGTCAAACTGATGGGATCCATTTTACAGCAGGAGCAACAGGACGTCTCTTTTTTTAAAGAAATCTCCGCCTCTCTCTGATTTTTACACATTTTCTTGAATTTTATTTGGCGATATTGACGCTGCTTTTTGGAATCCCTGCTCCGAAGTCCGAGGGCGGCCATCCCTCCCCTCTGTGCCTCCCTCTTTTGTGCGTGTTCATCCTCACATAAGCGTCTAAAAGCTCCTCGTGTGCCTTTGTGTGCTCCTTCATTTTTTTTTACCTCCTCATTTCCACGTTTCGCACCCATCTGTTTCATGCTGGCTGTCCGTTCACACCTCTGCCAGTGTTTCATACCATCTGTGAGAGTGTCAGAGTGTGTGTGTGTTAAAAGGCTCCCTCTGCGTGTGTGTGTGTGTGTAATCATTGGCTCATTGCTAAAAAGGTGGCAGCTGCACAGGTGTAACTCCTGTCCACTCAGAGAGGAGAAATCCAACATCTACCAGCTTCAAACTTGACAGACTCTCCTGAGCGAGCGAGCTGGAGGAGAAGCGCTGGATTTATCGACCTGCAGAGGGGAAAAAGTGTCACTGTCTTCTCTTACAAGCATCCAGTGACTTACATCTCAGGAGCTGTCTCTGCATGTATAATACATGGCTGTCTTATCAATAATTCAGCGTCAGGTGGGCACCCCTGTGTTGCCTGGTGGGCGTTGATCAAGACGTCGAAAGCTGTGACTGTTGAGGTTTGATGCCTCCTGACGATGTGTCGCCTCCCTCTGCGTCTCCGCTGATCACCGGCTGCTTTCTGTAACAGCTGAGCTCACTTCCAGCTGTCTCTTGGCACATCAGAAGAGCCTCATCTCACACTCCTCGGATCAACTTTCTCTGCAGCAGACTGAATCATTTCTGCAGATTTCCACACAGTGCGTTGTTTTCTCTTTTTCTTTTTTTTTTTGTTGCACTTTGAAGCTCGACTTGTGTGTGATCCATGCGCCCTCGCCTCCAAACATGATCGGTGTTAACAGCCTGCACTCGGCCGGGCGCCTACGCTCACGCTCTCTTTGCACCGTGCGCTACGGACGGGACTTCCGGATGATGGACCCTTTCCGGTATCCCAGAACCCCTCGCTCCCGCTCGCTCAAACCTTTGGTGTTTCCAGACCTGCTGGGCAAAGCGCAGGACGGACAGAACCACCCGCAGGCTCGGAAGAGGAGAAAGGTATTGAACTGTTCGCTTTTTCCTCTTACACGTCATTTATCACCACAGCTGTGAATCATTTTACACCAGTGTGAAACATGTCATAAAAAGTTCAATCTTTACTCATATAACAGCTCATTGTCATCTGCTGGGGTTTTAATGGCCATTTAATGTCTTTTATCGCAGCCGCTCTGGTTATGATCCTCCACGCTCATAAAGAATAACACGGCATTAAACTGAAATGATGTCTTACACTTTGATTCACCCTCTCCGTACGCCGTACATATGCAGCGTACAGTCTCTGGTGAAGGTGATCTGGTCGGCTGCCAGGCCCTGATTGGCCGCACACCTCGCCTCTGTATAGTGTACAGTCTGCACTCAAGGCTAATGACTCTCATTTGCTGCCACTCGGTGACGTTGATGAAGCAAAGAGGTGAAGGTGACGAGCATCCATCTTCGTCTCAATGAATCTCAGGACTGAATGAGTCTGCTGCTGTGATTTACACCCCGCATCCATCCGGCTTTGTTCTCTGTTTACTCCTCTCTTTCTTTGGTCGCCCAACTTAAAATCCACACAGTCTCTCTGCTTTTGGAACTGTGTGTTCCCGAAGGATTTACAGTACAGGGCGGCTTATTTATGCACAAATAATCTTCAGCTGGAACACAGTTTCACTAAGTCTGGTGGCTCAGTTAAGGCGAAGAAATATTGGAGCATTTTTTACATGAGAAACTGATTTATGATTTACACAGCGCCATTTAAAACGGCCATTCAAGCCAATCAGCACCGCCCTCCACAAGAAGATCGAATCATTTACATGTGAGATAAATCCGTCAGTATGCTTCTGCTTTGAGAGCTCCCTGCCTGTCTTCATGCTGATGTGGAAAAGCAAGTCTTGTGGCGGGGAGAGCAGCAGCAAAGACCTCCAATGAGAACAGAGCAGACATCCGCATAAAATCAGACATCGCACTGGAGGCGATTCGCAGAAGAAGAAGCAGGAGAGAGCAGACATTGAAGGAAAGCGTCTAACCACACTAACTAAAGGTCCTTACACACCGGGACCGACGCAAATATCTGACGTGAAATTACGAAATATTCTGAAGGGAATTCTGGGAAAAAAAGACACGTCTCGGGTGGAAGCGAGAAGACTGACCCAACAGCAGACTGAGTGTTTTCAGTTCTGATTAGACTCTAGTGTTGAGATGTCTGTCTGTCATGATAGCATGGACTGAGTCGGAGCCAGTACCAGATAAACACATTGAACTATAATGTTGTGTCTTTTATCAAAAATCACTCTGTTCTCCGACACGTAAACAATCAGCCGGTCGGCCATGTTGGATATACCGGTGAATCAGACGTCACAACAACACGCAGTCTGATTGGTCAGAGGTGGACACACAGTATGCGAAACTTTAGAGAAATCGACCGTGATCCGAAAAAATAAATGCCGAAATATCGCAGGACGGGAAAACGTCGCTGATGTGAACACTTGTATTGAAAGGATACAGGTTCTAAAAAAAATATTGATGTCCGAAATAATCGCACGACAAAAACAGTCCCGGTGTGAAAGGACCTGAAGACTGTAGGGTTGTATATCTTCACAGATAAGTCTGTGAACTGAGCTGTTAGCGCTTGAAGAAGTAAGTCGAAGGATTTGTCGTGTTGCCTGTGCAGCAACTGATTTATCAAACGCACTTCCGGTTTTACAAAAAACAAAAATTGTGTCCAAACTGAAGACTAAAAACCTCAATGATGATGTTTTAGTTGTCGTGGTGCTGCAGGTGCGCGCCCAAAACATCGCTTTACTGGATCTGCACTTTAGATTTCCTTGCTGTTAAAAGTGCATCCATGTAACCAACACTCGTCATGCTAAATACACAACACAGTTTTTCAGTGTCGATGAAACAACAGTGTATTGATACGTGCAGATTGTGCATCAGTGCAGTGAGTGAAATGTCCTTAAATAATTCACGTTAGATACTGACGATAAGTTTGGTACATCACATAGAAATGGAGATGTTTAGTTGAAAGAGTCTCTGTTCATGAGTACAGACAGACATTTGTGCAAAAGTTATTTTAACAAAACAAAAAAACAGAAGAATATCAGTGAAAATACGCATAGTTCTGTCCATAGTGTCCTTTTTTACCAACATGACTCAGAGGTTTGAGTTCTTTAGAGAGGACATAAGATCAGCAGGTGATGAATGGGCTGAGCTTAACTTTGCAGCCCGTCTGGACTAACACCAATAATTGTTACGGGAATTAGCATCAAATCAGTAAACGACAGAACTATTTCATCAGGACATTTTTCTTGCGTAAACTATAACATTTGCCAACTTGTAGATTTCTTCTGTCTTTCATTAAAGTGATCTGATTATTCCATACGTCCTTCTTTTATAGACCAGATCTCAGAATCAGGAACATCCTGTACAGATGAATTAACAAGTACTCAGATCTCCTATGTGTGTGTTTATTGTTGAAGCATACACAAGCAAGGACACACAGTCCTCCACCAAAGCTAATCCACTCCTCTGAGAAATGCAAATCTGCAGCACAGTGCAGCCGCGATGTATGTGAAAAATCTGAGTCCGTTATCAGGACTGTATGGACACTCTTTAGCCACAGATAAAACAGACGAATCGTCTCCTCCTCTTCTTCATTTTACATGAAACGCTGAAGATCTCTCAGGTGGGTTCAGTCCACAGTAGGATGGATCTTTGAGATCCTCTGTGAGGAGTTTTTCTTTGATTGATCTGGCATTTAGTTTGATGGATCGGTGAAGGAGATGACATTTATATCTGCTGATTTTCTCTCATTTACAGTTTCTGAATTGATTTTTTTAATAAATGATCTGTGTCATGATAAATCACCAGTTTGCAACCAGAACATTAATTAAACTTTAAAGCTCCAGTGAGGAACTTTCTGTGTGTAAATGTTGACGGACTGAGTGATCCATCTGTGCGTGTATGAGCTGTGAAAGAAATCCTGCTTTTTTAACAGTCACTCATCATGAATGGGGGGTTATTTACTAAGCTGTAAATGCATCATCTGACACCTACCCCCCTCACAGCAGTTATAACTACTAAAGATTTAGAACGTAGAAGTTATAACGATATTAGCTGATGGTTTTGTTTGCTTTTGTAAGTCATACAGAGACTTCACGGTGATTTCAGCCTGTTAAAAACTCCTTACAGGAGCTTTAAGTACAGATTAAACAGACGTTTCATCTACATACATTTAATTTGTTCTTAAAGCTCCTGTGAGAACTTTTTTAATGTCTTTGAAACAGACTAAAATACGTGCTGATGACTTTTTATGAAATGCAAAAGCAAACAAGACCATCAGGAACAAGTTAATGTAACTTACTTTTATTAAACATTAAAATAATTAAATGTTAAGCTAATTCTAAAACAGCTAAATGCTAATATAAGGTAGCTTGTGCACTGAGCTAACAGTTTCACCAGAACTAATACTGAAGTAGACACCCTTCAGCCAATCAGAATGGAGGATTCCACCACACCACATTATGGGCATCAATGTCTTTTCAGAATAAAACTGATAATAAGATACAGTTTTAACTCACTGAGGCATCTTTGTTAGAGCTCCCTGATTTTACACTGAAGGAAGAGATTTTTATTGCTTTATAGAAATGGCAGCTTTTGATTGCAATTCGTGTTTGGAGTAAAGAAGAAAATTTTGCATTTGTTTGTAAGCTGCAAATGGTCCAAATCTAAAGGGTTCTTCCTTGGTCCATGCTGCATCCTTCCCACTAAGTTACATAAAAAAATCTGTCCTGTAGTTTTCAGGAAACAGCAGGTTGTTTTCTTCATCTTGCTTCATTTTCCCTCCTTATCCACATGATGAACCTCTGCAGTCAATATATGTAGCTGTTGTTGCAGATCAGTCGGCTTTTAAAACGTACAAATTCACTGTTAATATTTGATGTTGCCCAGATTTTTGCAGCCGAAGCAAATTTGAAGTCTCCCTCGTCGTCCCTGGAAGCTCAGCCGTCTGCCTGAAGGTATTAAAATGTATGAGCGCTCAAAGTTTGAGACGCAGTTTGAGATTTTTACAGTAAAGTGTATGGAAACCAGGACTAAATCTGCAATGGTTCTGGGCTTGATGGGACATAAATATTCATGACTCTCAGCAAGTGTTTCTGATTAGGCGCAGTTTCAAAGAAAACTCTGGAAATGAACCTGATTGTGCTCGTGAAATCAAACCTCATTATAGAAGCAATTTCATTTGACTAAAAGACACAAAGCAACAAAATGAGTCTGGGAGTTTAAAACAGCTGAAGACCATTAGCAGCAGTTCTTTAATCAAAGGGATGAAATGGAAAATGATCGATTTTAGCTGAGTGAGAGGTTTTTTCTACCATAAGGCAATTATGTTCATGTCCGCGGAGGACATGTGTTAGCGGTCTACGAGGAATTCAGAGGTGAGCGAGGTGGTGATGAAGTGCCCATAAGTGTCCTCTCCATCACCTCAGCCGTCACAGCTGTCCATCAGCTGCCTCGATCTGCGTCTGAAACACTAAGATCTGATGGCTTCATGCTGCCGCCCCTCCCCCCGGGCTCATCCGATAAAACTGGTGTAACATTCAGGGTCAGATGGGGAAGTTGGGAAATGAAGCGTCTGTCAGTCTTGACGTGTTGAAGGGTTTTTATTTCTAAGAACAGAGACAACGTTAAAATGAATTCAACAGTAATAAGAAGACATGCTAAAATTCTGGTTGCACCTTTAGCGTGCAGTAAGGGTCAGCTGATCCGAATATCTGAACGATAGTGGTGTTTATTTTATCCTTTTACTGTAATACATTGTCCTCGACAGCACTTCTGAGATATTGGTCATGGCGTTTTGCTTTGACTGATCTGGTATTTAATTTGATGGATCTGTGAAAACGTGACATTTACGTCCAGTGATTTTCTTCCATTAACATTTTATTGATTGATTTTACAACAAATGTTCTGTAACAGGAGTGAGTGAAGCTGTAGGGTGATGTTCATACAAACTGAGTGAACTCACACCAGCTTCTTATAAAATGATGTTTTCAGCCGTTTACAGCATGTCCATGTTGTCTGGATTACATTTATAAAAACATCATAAATTCAGCCTCTGTGGAGGATCTGCAGCCTCTCAGTTTGTCCACTCAGCGATCTGTGTAGACAGAGGTGCTATCATAATGAGGCGCTGCGCTGATTGGCCTGAATGTTGTTTGAGGGGTGAGGGTGCAGATGGATGCAGAGGCGGAAAAACACCAAGTCAAACTTTTCTCCTCCTTCCTTTTAGTTTTCACATCTTGTCATGAATAGGACCCAAAGGTGGGTTCGTCATGATAAGGAGCCATGGCAGATCCGCTGATCAGCTTCCCCTAAACCAGGGGTGGGCAATGAATTTTTACATGGGGCCACATGAGAAACCTGAACTGTGTTGGAGGGACGAACCAACAATAACTTCAACTTCAAATCATGGGGGTTCACACATAAAGAAAAACAAGCCCAAATAGGCAATTTCGAGTTAAAGACAAGCCTGAATAAGCTTAAAGTCTTTTATAATAAACGAACTTGGCAACTCTAAGGCGTCTACGAATATTTTGCCGATGTTCAAACTTGTCTCTGTTCATGAATGCAGATCTATGATGTATGCACGTGTGTCCAAACAGAAATAAAACAGCAGCTAGGTTTTCAAAATAAAAGCAACACACTTGTATAGCATGTTGATGATTTGATTGACAGACCTCACGAAGGGCTGGGCAGGGACATCCAAAGGGCCAGAAAATGCCCAGGTCTGCCCTAAACCGCCATCTGCAGGAACATCAAATTCAGAATCACTTTTCCAATAAAAGCATTAAATAATCGTGAACTGCATGCTGATGGTTTGGTTGTTGTTGCTTGTAAAAACAGAAATGGTAAGCACCCCAGAAGAACCCACACCAGTGCACAGGAGGGAGGTCTTACAGCTGTAGTTACAACCACGTATCTCTGTTTATAAGAACAGATGTCACAGGCCTACCTTTACTTTTCTTAGTGTTTTTTTTTTTCTGCTCTTGTCTCCAAACTGTAACTGAATTTTGTTTTGAAGGGGTCGATGAATTTGCATCGAAGCCTAAATAATGTAAAGGCTGATTGATCTGCTGGTCTTTCAGTTGACGGGCCTGCAGCTCGGTGGATAATGGCTCAGTGAATGATGTGGTGGTGGTCGACTGATTGGCTGATTGATGGGATGTTTGGTAAAGAAAATGAGTTGAGCTCCGTTAAACCAGTTCGAGTGTTTAGCAGCTCAGCTCAACCAAAATCTGTTAATATTGTGGTTAGAAACATTTATTTAGTTGAATCCCAAGTCTTTATAAATGTAACTTGTGATTTCTAATTGATTTTAATATTTGATTTTTATTATTTGGACGAATTGCTGCTTCCTTTCTCATCCTTTGCCGGTTCAGGCAGAGATAGAAATATAAAAATCCCTCAGAGGTGACAGTAGAAAAGCCAGTATTTACCAGCACCTGTAATAACTGATCATATCACTGCACCTGAAGCTCGCTGTCATATTTGTCTGAAAATGTGATTTTTTTTTTCTCCCTCTGCAGGCGCTCTACAACTCAATCAAGAATCAGAAGCTGCAATGGACGCTGTAAGTCATTTTTATTATAACCGCCCTCTCCTCCTCTGTGACTCTGTTTCTGTCCTTCCCTTTCACACACGGAATAACACACACACACATACACACATACACACACACATGTCATCCTGAAGGGCAGGAAACAAAGAGGGATATTGATTAGCTTGTTAGCATCCTCATTAATGACGTGTGTGTTGTCTGGCATGTGAAGGAAACATTAGTGTGTCAAGGGTTGCTATTCTGGATCGCAGCTCCGGAGCGCCTCAGAGATGCCAATTAAGTCATTCGCTTTCCAAGCTTTGTTGCCATAGTTACGGCACCATGGATACGACTCCATAGCTACCGCATTGCTCTTTCCATCCCTGTGTTCTCTCTGCTGCACACACACGCACACACACACTCATATTCGCTGGGTGATACATTTAATGTACACACAAATGCATGCTGGGAATCATTTCGTAAAGGTGTGTGTTCACTCTTTTTGTGTGTTTGTGTGTTTTTACATGAATATGAAGCTCAAAGAGACAATGCCTATGAAAGAGAGAGAGAGACTCCATTTAAATGTCTCTTTACCTGCATCCCGAACAAAGGTGTGACCACAGCCTCCCACTACCTCTCCAAAAATAGCTGCAGCAGCGCTCCCGAAGCAGCCGAATAAAAAGTGGTCAGAGGAGCAGATCGAGGAGGAGATCCACAGAGAGGCAGGCGATCCAGTTCAAACATCTCCGCTGACATATAGACGGCTATTTAAACACTCGCCTCTGCATGGGGGGGATAGGAAGGGTGTCGTTTTTAGAGCGATAAACACCGCCGAAGAGAAGAGAAACCACCTCCAAACCAGATGAATTACAGATGATGAGATTCAGCCCACAGCAGTCTGAGATGCTCGCTCTTTTTTTTCTGTTGCACGTGTTCGTTTTTAATATTTCAGAGTTAGAAAAGAGTAAATTCTGTCGATGCTGCAGCTCTGCTTTAAGAAAAAAACAAAAAAAACAGCGTGTTTGGCAGCAGAGCTCAGTGTCACTTTTTGCCTCCACTTTCACACCCCGCTCGCTCGCTCGCTCGCTCGCTCGATGCATTTTTCATCAAACAGGGGACATTTCTTCACTTGCAACTCATTGACTGAGATCACACGCACTCTGTGACAGATACACGGCTGTTCTTCTGTGTTTAATCCGAGGCTTCAGAGCCGCTGCAAACACAAACACACAGCAGCCGTCTGACCAGGCAGTAAGAGGTCTGCCGTACATCACAGAAAGCAGTAAAAACCTCCTTAAATTAGATCCAACCCTAAACTAAAGCGCTGTCTTTATGGTTTTATGTTCACTGCTTTAACATCAGGGGCGAGTTTGGCTGGGTTATTCTTGTGTTCGGAGAGGTCACAGCGTAAGCGTCCTCTGCAGGACGGACAGCAGGTGTTTGAGTTTTAAGATTCTTTATTTTAGGGCTTTTAAAGAGATAATAAAAGCTTGATTTTGGCATGAATAGAAACCTGGAAATACCTGTAAGAGAGAAAAAAGCACCAAAATAAACTGATTATCAGAGTTTGAACCAAGTTAAAGCTCCTGTGAGTGTTTTTAAACATTTATCAAATGGTTTTAAAATTAATAATGATGCTTTTTTTATCAGTGAAGTAAACTCCCTGTTTTTATTTTTCCCTCATTGAAGATTCACAAAAAATAATTTAAACATTTATTTTGCTTCTCTGATATCAAGAGACCGAAAGACTTTCAGAGACTTGGAGGTGTACTGAGAGGATATAAAGTTAACCTTCGTGTTATTATCTGTTAGCTGCTCAGTCTGATCATGTAGAGGCTGCAGCTGACATATTACAGCTAAAACTTCACATAAAACATATAAATAAGGAGTCATTATAGTCCGATCTGTGGAGCACATTCAGTCTTTGCACATTTACTGTCAGTGATTTTTCTATTTTTGAAAGTTTGTCCTTCTTTTGCTGTCAGTTTTAGTTTGAAGTGCACGCAGCTTCTTTGTGTCTTTATATTTCACGTTTTGCTCCAAGTTTGTGAAATTCAACAATCTGACAGTGGCGCGTGCTCCCTCCTCGTCTTTTTTGTGGGTTAAATTATCTTGTTTCCGACCAGCCGAGTCAGACATCCTGGAGTTTCTCTGGGTGTGTTGAACCTAGTTTTTTCGTACAGGCCCTTAAAGAGAGAAACGAGAGTCATTAAAGAGGACTGCAACCTCTGCGTTTGAAGTCTGTGCATTTTCAACGTTCAAAGTGCAATCCCAGCACAAAAAGTCCTTGTTCTGTTGTGTTTCTCCCTCTTGTGTACGTGGACCCGCTCATCATTGATTCACTAATCCACTCTCAGCTTTAAAAAGCGCAGTCCTGTGATCGAGGTGTGATTTTCAGACTCTAAAACAAACCGCGTGCTGAGATTATATGAATACAGATTGTGTTTGTGAGATCTGCTGTGTACATCCCATTACAGGTGTGTGTGTGTGTGTGTGTGTGGGCGCACAGTTTAGTGTGTATTCTGCTGCTCGATGAGAAACATGCACACACACAGGGAAAAAAAAAAAAACAACACAGCGATGGATGTTGTTTCACACCCCCACAGAGAGATACACGCACATGGCCACTCTCGGCGGTGCAGTTGGATGCACCCACATGTTCTCTGATAGCACACACACACACACACACACACACAGAGCACAGACGTATACAGAACACACATGCTTCCTCATCGGGGAGCGGGGGTGGAGAGCACAGGGAGAGGTGGTGGTGATGGTGATGGTGGGAATTGTGCAGAGAAAGACAGACGCAACAAGTCGTAGATGCAGATAAAAACAGGGAGAGCAGGGTGGAGAGTAATTTTATTAAAGGATGCCATGATTGCAGGACGAAGCGCGCAGAACGACGAACGAGCAACAAGAGGCGCAGGGAGGAGATCCATCTGCTCTATTATTCCTTTGATTCTGCCAATCCATGCTCTCCTCAGCCTCCCTCTGCGGCTCTAATCATCTTGTCTCACCCTCGTCTGCTGCCTCCACCTCTCACCTGCAGCAGGAGAGGGGACATGAGTGCCGTCCACACGCAGTCTGTGGTTTCAAGGAATCAAAATATGTCCCAAAAAAACAAAAAACAAATGATGTTTCACACTTGATGTTAACAGTCTCTCCTGATCAATCTAGTCAAAGACGTGAAAGCGAGACGAGCTGTGACAGCTGCAACACAACCACCTGCTATTCAATTAGCTTCACTCCTGATTTTACAAATTATGCATGAGTCTGGACTTTAATACGACCAAAAAGGGTGAATTAAACAAGAATAACCCTCTAAACTGTGTGCACAGATAAACAGATGATCTCCAGAGAATAAAAGCGTGTTTATAACAGGCTTTACACAAATTAAAGCTGCTATAAGGAGTTTTTCATGTTATTAAATAGACTGAAATAGATTATGAAGTGCAGGAGAGGTAATTGTCAGCCGATCAGCTGAAGAAACAGTCCTGTTTTTACTTTTTACTAACAAGGAATAAAACATCCGACTGTCAAAAGTCTGCAGGATGAGAGTTTTTTGTCAACTTTAGCATAAACAGGACAAAACAAGCAAAGACTACTTTGTCCACAGGGGGCGCCAAATTTGACACAAACTGAAAGTTCCTCATAGGAGCTTTAAAAACAGCATTTTCACATGGATTTTAATGTGATTCTTTGACTTTAGGAGTCAGCTGCAAGTGCAGATGTTTGCACAGTTGTGTTGGTTTTCTTGTTGTCTTTTATTTATTGGACCCTGATTAACCAGGTTTGTCCTTTTATCACAAAGTTGCAGACACAGAGAACCACAGTACAAGCCACAAACACCAATATTTGCAGTAAAGATGGAGTCAGATGTGCTTCAAAATCTTCTTCAAACTCTTAAATACACCAACTTCTCAAGTTTCATTCATCCTGCAAGAAATTCCAGGTGAACTTCAGTTGAAGCTTCGGGGACAAAGATGATAAAAAAGCTCTGGGAGAGAAAAAACTACAGTCCAGCACTTTTCTGTTTGACGTTATAATGAGCGTTTTCTTACCTTTAGAGTACTCGGCTAGTTTAGTCCCACTAAGTTTGTGCACAGTGGTTTTGGATCAGGACCCGGTTCATGGTGGTGAAATAATTACTGAAATCCTCCTTTTTGCACCTTTATTATTAGAATAAAGGTTTTGAAAAGTGGATTTTATACACCCTCCAGACTTTACCCAGAATGACTAACTGAGAATCAGCTGTTTGACCCTGTAAATTCAGATTCACGTTCCTCTGAATCTGAAACAGCCAATCAGAAGCTGACAAACACCATGTAGACTAAGTCATCGGAGCTGCTCATGAAATCTCTGAGTTTGGTTTTAGATTAATGTTCATTTAATTACATTTACTTGCATCAGATGAAACCAAACAGCACAGTGGGCTGTCTGAACTCAACGTTTGACCCGAATGTGTCTGAATCAGTGAGAATTTGAATATTCTTCACTCAGATGGATTCAGATTCAGATTCAGATTCATAAAGCTGTGAAATTTACAAAGTTTATTCAGGAAAAAAGTTTTGAAATTTAACATTCAAGAAGTTTTTTTATCAATGAGGAGAGTTTAAACCTGATTTTGTTTGTGCGCGTGTGTGTGTGTGAAAATAACTTGTCGTCTTTCACTCTTTGCTGTTTGGTAGTGACTCACAGAGGTCAGAGGTAAAACAGGTGTGTGTACTCACATCAGTATCCCAGCATGCACCTGTCCTCTCGTGCCAGAACTCTGAGCAGATTTTATCCAAAAAACTTTTTTCTGCTTTTTCTTTCTTTTCAGGTTTTTTCCTCTTCCTCCTTTTTTTTTGTTTCGTCACTGTTTTCTTCACTCTTTGTCTTGATTGATTTTTGTTAAACTGCTTCTTTCCCTCTTTTTTATTTTTCCTCTTTATTTTTAATTGTTTCATTTTTTATTTCTATCTCTTCTTTTCTTTTCCTTTTTCTTTGATGTAATTTTTGAAAGCTTAAATCTGTTCGACTTTTTTCTCAACTTTTTTCTCTCTTTTAAATTTTCTGCCACTTTTTGCTTCCCTTTTCTTGTCTGTCTTTTTTTCTTTCATTTATTTCTTGTCTTTCTTTCCTCTCCCGTCTTTTATTATTTCTTTACCTCCTCTCTCCATTCATTCTTTCTTTCTTTCTTTCTTTCTTTCTTTTTAGCACTTCTCTTTACATCATTTTTTCTTTTTGTTTCTTTCTTTCTTTTTCTTTCCCTTATTCTTCATACTTGAATGGATCTTTTCTTTTTTATTTTGTCTTTTCTGTCGTTCTTCCTGATTCCTTTCCTACTAATTTACTCTCTGTTTTCCCTTTTTTTCCCTTTCCTCCTTCCTTTTTTCTTTACTTTTTCTTTTCAGTCTTCTCATCTTCCTTTTTTTCTAACCTTTTGCTTCTCTCTCTGAGTTTCTTCTCAACTCTTTACCTTCTTTCAAACTTTCCTTTTTTCTTCTCTTTTTTTATTCATTGCTTTTCTTATTCCTCCAGTTTTCCATCCCCTCTTTCTCCCTTTTATTCTCTTTTTTTAATCCTTTTAAACCTTTTCTTTTTCTAAGTTTATATCTGTTTTTTTTCCTCCTCTAACATCCTCCCCTCTTTTTTCCTCTCATTGAATTTATTCAGTATCCACTTATTGTGGATTATTTTCTGCCATCTGAGAAGAGAGAGAGAGAGGGAGAGAGAGAGAGAGAGATCATCTTTGTCCTTTTTTTTCTCCCCCTCCTCAGTCTCTGTCTCCTCACCTCTCTCTCTCCATCCTCCCTCTTCCCTCCCTCCACTTAGTCTCTGTGTGGAACGGGAATCAGGCAGTTACCAGGCAACAGGCTGCGTGCTCATTGGCTCCCTCTCTCTCTCTCTCCTTTTACCGCTTCCTCCCTCTCTCTCTCTTCTGCACGGGGTTAACTGCTGTTATGTTGTGTTGGTTACTCATATCGTGGTCTCGGGGGGGTTCTGCATCCCGCCATTATTCTATTTTCAGGCTGAACTTTTGCATGGGTGCCGCCTGGTGAGGTAACAAGTGGGATTGCCGTGTTGGCTCACCAGGCAGCTGCAGAGCCTCTCTCCGTGTTTCTGCCTGAAGCTCCCATCATCTCCTAATGTGACAAATCCCTTTAAAACACTTAAAGAAATGAATACAGTGAATTATGAGGGATTATCAAGAGAATGGGATTAACACTGCTTTGGCAAAGTGTGTCGTGAGGTTTGTCTGTCATTCAAATGTGATACAAAACACGTTTTCTCTCATTACAGTGATAAATACAACTTTAATATCCAATTAAAAAAATTATGAGTCTGAATCAGGAATACTTGATTGATTTACGGCGAATTATGACACATGCAGCTTGTATTTACTACTTTATTAAAGCTCCTGTCAGGAGGTTTTAGCTGGTTATACAGCAGATTAAAACGAACAGCGAAGCCTCGTTATGACCCGCTAAATCAATCAAAACCATCAGGATTAAGATTAATGACTTCAAATGAGACAAACATTCAGAAAGATCAGATTTTAGAGTTAAGTACACATAACGCTCAGACACACAACCAGATTCTGTTGAAAACGCCAACACTGTTTTGGTTTTTGGACACTCAGGACAGAGTTGTACTTCCTGTGTGGTTTTGCGTTCACATCCTGGACTGTGTAGAACATGGGCATCATGTCTGTGACGCTACTTATTTGTTCCTGAAGCAGACTCTTGAAGTCTATCGCCATTTTTTTGTAATGCTGTCTCAACCTGACTTCCTGTTGACCTCCCGAGACGCCATTAGCCTCCTCCTAAACAGCCTCAGTGTGTCGGTCCAGTCAGGCGCGTCTCTCATTCACTAAACGCACCATCAAGATGTTGGAAATTACAATATTTGTGTTCAAAACATCATTGGAAAAACGTGAGACAAAAAGTGAGATTAGGACGGATGAAAACACGACAAAAATCTTCATCTTCAAAACAAAATTCTTGATGAACACACACACACACACACACACACACGCACACACGCACGAGTAGAATAAGACATGAAGCTGCGTTCAAAGACGTTGAGAACTGAGCAGCTCATCAGACTCCTCGTTTTCAAACATGGCTCCTCCGACTCTAATGAGATCTTCACCAGAAACTTCACATCCAACCGCAACAACTTCACTTTAATCAAGATTAAAGAGGTCTGGTAGATTAAATTATAATCTGTCAGTGCTGCAGCCTCAGACTCTTCATACTCCACTCTCATTATTTATTTCTACATTAACTGTCGCATAAATCAGATTTAAAGCTATTATTACTGTCACTTCAAGTGGTTTCTACTGTAATCCTCATTTATTGTCAAGTTTCTGTTTTTGTCTTTATTTGCAGATTTTATTGGAGTACAGCATGTGTGTTTGTAAAGTAAGCAAAGTTTTCTAGAAGCAAATAGGACTAAATGTATTTATATGTAAATGTTTATGTAGTTTAAGCAGATAGAACAGTCAAGCACCGTAGGAAAGTTCAACTGCACATGGGACTTTATACCACCCGTTTCCAATAGGTGGCACTGTCAGTATGTCCAAAGGGTTGATGTAGATGAGAAATATGGAGTACAGCCGACCTCGGATGTTAAAGTTACCTCAGTGAGGTGATTGGATGGAGAGGCGGAGCAGGAGATTGACCAACGGGAGCTGTACGGGACGGATGGCTCCCATTGGTCAATGTTTTTGCAGCCCTGCACCTGCTAGGGTGAGCAGATTATTTCCGTTCTTTTTTCTCTTCACTTTGTGGAGATCGCACTATAGGACCATGATCACCATAGAAATGAGATTCATAATAATTACAATCTCTCCAATCATCAACCATGTCTTTAAGGAGGTACGATTCTTTGCATAGCTTTGGTGTATTTTACCAGACCTGACGCCTTCGCAGAGTTTTTGTTGAAGTATAAAAAAACTTCATCCATGAGACTTTGGACGATCTGATTGGATGTTCGCTGGTTTTCAGCTGTAACTCAACTTGCCTTAGCTCGGCTGTTTCTGATCACTGACTGTTAGCCTGTTAGCCAACTGATAACGACACAGTTGTGTTGAAGTTGTGTTATGTTGCTTTAGAATATGAAGATCCGAGAATCAAATAAAGTTCTACCAGAATGAGAAGGACCTCTCCCGTCTATTAAAGACTGTAAGTTTGTGTTTTTGATGAAAGAGTGAAAGAGTTTCTCACCTCTCTGAGGCTCCATGTGAGCACGGAGAGGAGGACGAGCAGCAGTGATGCGTCTGCATTTCTTAGAGGGATGTTGTCCTCCTCCCCCTGGGGTAAAGATGCCCCTGTTTTTCACCTCAAAGCTTAAAGAGGAAGATGGTGTCACTCCTTTGCTGCGCTGCTTTTTGATCAAGCAGAGAGGAGGACTGTTTCTCAGGAGAGCCGTGAGGGAGCAAAAACATACAATTAAAGCTTTGAAGACAGCTCCATTCACCAAGGTTTTCCCCTGGATACACAACGCTCTGTGAACGTCTTGTGTAACCGAAGCGCTGCCAGGACGCGATATTACTCATGTGCTCCGTATGAAACCAAAGTTTGAGTGTGAAATCTGCAGACCTCGTGTCCTGTGCGCTTCTTGTGTAACGGGCACACAGTGAGAGGCGAACGGACAGGATGAATGACGATGTGTTCATTGGCGTTGCTAATGAGACGTGACACATAAGTGTTGATCGCCATGGACTCTGCTTTTTATTTTGTCTCCACAGCGACGAGGAAGAGCTGAGGAAGTCGTTCTCGGAGCTCGGGGACAGCCTGTGCGACTCCACCGCCTCCAGATCCATGAAGCGGGTGGGCAGCAGTGGAAAGCCCCTGTCGGACGAGACGGAGCCCTCTGGATCGCTGTTATACAAGAACGGGTTCCTGGTCCGGAAGGTCCACGCCGACTCAGACGGCAAGAGAAGTATGAGTCTTTATCGAGGATCAAAACTCATTCCTGAACAATCCGACGTGAATCCATGTCAAGAAAAAGCTACACATCTGCACAAAATCTGCACATTTCTGAACACATTAAAAACATTTTTCCCACTGGAGCCGGATTTTGTCTTATGGTGCAGTTTATATTCTTGGTTTAATGGAAACTGAGACTCAACAGGAACAGATAACAGCTGTAATTAACAGGGAAAATTGTGTTTATTATGCAAACATACCCTGGAGGGGAAAACTGAGCTTCACTTTCAATCCGAACACACTGTCACTTCTTAACTTAAACTGCTGGATGCATTTGGAGGCTGATCTGCCGTCGGATGAAAACTAATAGGTTCCAGGATCAGTATGGAAAAAAAATACAGAAACAGATATATGAGATTGTTGCCAAGAAATCTTCCGCATGCATTTGATGTCGTTTGACCAGCAGATTAATTAAACCACACTGAGTGACAACACCGGGCTGAGTTGTTTACTGCACTAACAATTAATGTCAAATCAGTGCATGACCGAAGGTACGCGCTGCTCCTGCTCCATGAAATTAGAGGAACAGACCAACCAGAGCACGCCCGCATGTAGACTGTGTTATCACCGATTTCACACAAATTTACAGTCATCAGTGATCGACCCAAACATCTACACTCCTGTTTAGATGGACAAAGTGTATCTGTCTCCTCTTACAGAAAAAATGAAGTGAAATGTCACAGCGCTGAAATCTGACACAAAGTTTGGCTGATGGAGACACAGCAATTAAACTTACGAATGAAACTCCCAGAGATCCACAGAGAAGTGAATCTCTTAAAATTTGTCGTTATTTGATTGTAGCATGGAGGTGTTTGCTCCAAATGTGTCTGAAATTGAAAGAATAATATTGCGTTATATAATTTAATTGCTTCTATTAATAATTTGTTGACTCTGTAATAAAAAAAGTGAATTTAAACATGTAAAAAGGGGAAAATCTGAGTCAATTTTGTCAATATGGCGACAAGAAATTAAATTTCCAGATTGTAACATAAAAAGCAGGGTCTGTCTGTTATCCTGGTTACCTGGGAGACAAGTCCCGCCCCTGCTGGTATCTGATTGGTTGGCTGGGGTTGCAGTTTAAGCGTCTTGTTGAACAGAACAGGTGGAAATGCTTATCTGCAGGTAAACATATGCTAAGTAAACACTCTGAGTGTCCTGTAAAAGATGCGTCATGTAGCAGTTTCTCTCTGTGGACTCACACGCTGCTTTTTACTCTCTCTTGTACTCGGAGAGTTCAGCTCTAACTCCTTTTTTTTCTCCCTCTCAGCTCCACGAGGTAAAAGAGGCTGGAAGACCTTCTACGCCATCCTAAAGGGGCTCATTCTCTATCTGCAGAAAGTGAGTCACTCGCTTTCCTGCTGAATATTTTTGTTATGCATGCACACATCTTTGTTATGAGACAGTGTGAGGAGCATTTTGTAACAGCTACCACTTGATATTCATAATTCAACCTTTAAAATAACAGGTGACTGCATCTCCATATGAATCCTGTTTGACATTCATTCTGGCAGCGCATTTTAACAGAAGGTGAATCTTCGCCCCCCGTGGTGAATAACAAAAATGTTCTGTTGGATGATGTTTTTACACACAAGCTCCTGAATCCTCGACTTTTTTTTATCAAGCACCCTCTCAGAGGGAGTCCCTTTATCAGGCCCATTTCCTGTTTACTCATCTGAAAGTGCTCTGACATGATGTCCGCCCTCACAGTCATGTCCTGGCACCGTGCTGAGGTCTGGCTGTGGTATGAGGAGACCTCTGCCAGCAGAACAGCCCGCCGATTCTCTGCAGAAAACAACAACATCCAACAAGCGGATGTTACTGTCGATGTTTTTGAGATTTTTTTTTTTCCTTTTTTAGTGCAAACAGAAATGTTTTCACAGCCTCATGAATGGAGACAGGTGCTTAAACTGGATCAATCTGGAGCAAATGAAATTCAAATTCTGCCTCTTTTAGTCTGAACATATTTTAAGTCACATATTTAAACAATAAAGAAATTTTTATTCCCCCAAAATTTAATTTGAAACTTTTTTTTTTTTTTTTACTTAAACAGATAAATCATTTTTATCTTTTATGTTTTAACTCTTACCATTTTTTGCAGATTAACTCCTCATCTAAGAGGACTTTAGTAAAGATGTGGTTGTTATCATGATTATTCACCTTTTATCAAACAATGAAATTCAGGGCAGATGTGTGAACTATGTGTCAAAACAGCAAGTGTGATATTTTTTAAATGTTTGTTCCTCAGATCAATTTAAAAACCTCAGAAAAAATTATAAAATAAAAAAAAATTGCAAATAAAAAATCACTTATTTCATGTTTAAAAAAGGTTTATCACAAAGAAGATGATATTGGTTTTGCACAGAGAAATAATGTTTATTTTATAAAGGACAATGACGTAAATTTCACATTTTAATAATATAAATTACAATCATGTATACTGCTCTGCAGAAAATGTATAGTGCACTGCAAAATACTGTATATTGCAGAGTAGATAATGACTGTTGCACAAATAGTTTATTGCAGAGTAGAAAATCTATGACTATTTAAGTAGATGATCAATATTGCTCAATGCATGTTGGATGTAGGATTATAGATTATCAATATAGAACAATAAAGCAGTGTATTCAAAGGTAATTAGTTTGTTTTGCAAAGCAGATAATTTCAACTGCAGCAGTGACATCAAGTAATTAGTATATGGCAAATTAGGAAATGTCTGTTCCACAATATAATAGGCTTTGTCTTTTTGCACAGTAGATACTGTATTATGCACAGTAAATCAATGCATATTTACTGTAGATAATGTACAATTCAATGTAAATTAAGTTTATTCTGCGGTAAAATCATATTTATTTTGCACAGTAGATAATGTGTGCTGCATGGTTGATAATATCAGTTACACAGAAAAATCATATTTCAATATTTCACTGTAGATAATTTATATTGCAAAGCAGAGTGATATACAGCATGTTACAGATTAGATTAGTAAAATTTACTGTATTTTGCAGGAGTAGAACTGTGATTTCTGGGAGAATCATGGAGTGTAGCTTTGATCGCCCAACAATACCATGACGATCTCTTGGTTTTGATCTCAGCGCTGATGTCTCTCTCTTTGTGATAATTCGTGACTGCAGGGTGAATACAGGCCAGACAAGCAGCTCTCCGAGGAGGACCTGAAGAACGCCGTGTCCATCCACCACTCTTTAGCCATGAAAGCTTCAGACTACAGCAAGAGACCCAACGTGTTCTACCTGAGGACTGCAGACTGGAGGGTTTACCTTTTCCAGGCACCGTGAGTCAAATACTCAACTTTCAAGTATAGAGCATGGGTAACTGCTTAGAGAGCTGAGAGAGTTTGTGCAGTAATAAACCACGATTCCATATATGTGGTTATCTATTTAATTTAGAGAGCACGTTTTTTACAGTGGACAGCAAGCAGCACCCAAATCTAATCCAATTTAAGATGTTTAACCTGATTATATATGATATTTATTAAAAAAAGATTAGATTCAATGTGTTTATTTCTGTGTTAAAATTAAGCATAGGCTCCAATGAGGATTGACTCGCTTTTGGAATCAGCCTCAAGTGGCCAATACAGGAACTGCAGTTTTGTGCAGCGGCTTTAGTCTTCAAAATGAGAATTTCTGTCGTGTTTGCGGACTCAGCTCACATAAAAGTCCGGGCGCAGGAGGAGGTTTAAACTTTGGGAGACTCACAGCAGCAGATTTGAAGTCACTGTTTTGGAAAGAGAGGTTCAACAATCACATGTGCCTGTGATCTTTCAGCCATGCAGCGCTGTCGTAGGTAACAGGATTGTAGGACACCTGAGCACCAGATCCAGCTGTGCCGACAAGCCCACTCGGTGTGCGGAACACATGCGGAGAGCACGCCAATCAGAGCTGCACGCTCACACTGAACGGGGTGTTTGCAGTCAGGCGAGGTGGAGGTGTGCATGTGTGTGTTCAGGATCCAGGCAGTGGCACATGAGTGGCCACATGTTTCAGCCCCCCCAGAGAACCGGCTCTGTGCTCCAGTTGCAGCTTGCGTTTGTCCCAGATACTGAACCCCTCTCTGTCTCTCTCCTCTTTCTGTCTCTCTCATCTCCGTCCCTCTACCTCTCCTCCTCCCGCTCTGCCGCTCCCCGGAGGTTTGAGCCAGGCAGTCTGATTCAATCTGATATTTCTCCTGGGCCTCTAATAGGTCTGTTAGTGTAAAACAGGCCCTTTTCTCTCAAGTATTAATTGGCTCCAAAATAATGTCTTTGTCAACAGCAGGGCTGCGTTTTCTGATAATGACTGCTTTGATGTTTCTGATGAGAGCTGCACCACAGAGAGGATCTACTGTACTCTGTGTGTGTTTAAGATCTGTTTGTATTTTCTCTTGTGTGTTTGTGCCAATGCTCATGTGGGCGTGTATGATGCATCACAGGAACGCTGAGCAGATGCAGTCCTGGATCACACGGATCAACACGGTGGCTGCCATGTTTTCATCTCCTCCCTTCCCAGCAGCCATCGGCTCCCAGAAGAAGTTCAGCCGACCGCTGCTGCCGGGAACGATGTCCAAGCAGAGCGAGGTATTTAACCCGGAGGGCTCGGACTGAACCTGGTCTGAGTGAAGTCCAGGATCTTGTGAAATTCATCAGACTGAGCCGGTGCAGATCATTCAGACCAAGAGTAACGACCCGCTCTGTGCAGCTGTTTTCAGAAGGCTTTGACACGTCATTTTTCACCTCACAACGAGAGTAATTAGAATTAAATTTTCATGACTAAACACTCCACTTAACACAAATGTGATATATCACTATTGGCCGCGAGTGGCTGTGACTGGAAGTGTTTCATTCGTCATGTTGATCTGAAGTGAAATGAGAGTGAAAACACATTACAGCTGTCTGTTTTTTTACTGCCCGGAGAAACAAATTAAATTAAGTCGGTAAACGGTCTGATGATCTGCAGCCGGAGCTAAGAGCACGCTGCCACCGTCGGAGGATAAAGGCTGTGTTTCCAGGGACTGCTGTTATCAAAACAAAACCTTTTTGTTCCTTTGATACAAATACTGAGCAGACATAAAGACGTGATTCATATAAGGAACAATAACCAGAGCAACCTGACAAACAAGAACTGTCATTTCGTGTAACCGCCTGTGAAAGGCCGGATTTCCTCAGACTTTGAAACAGAACAGAGACGAGGCTCAGACCATGTTTTATAGAAGATTGATTTTATTTTTGTACTTTTTATTATTTTAAAAAAACTCAGCGTGCTTCTGGCATAAGTCTAAGGTGGATCCGTCGTTAGAGATGTCACAGGAATGATGTTTCAGCATATTCATAAACAAACAAGATGGCAGCTTCTGTTAAAACCACTGATTTTCTGCCACTTTAAACAAACTTTCCCCGAGAAAAACTGAACAAATTAGCAGAGGTGGACTGTCATTAACCGGGCTGATGTCTGCGCTCCTGATGCTGACTCAAACAAATAATGTCTGCAGACACTGCAGGCAGCCTCCTCAGTGCGGCTCTGTTCCGTCAGCAGAAACATGCCAACGCTGGAGGGCAGATACTTGTTTTCATTCATTCCTCAAATGTTCTGTCTTTATATTTCAGATTTCTTATGTCAATCAGATATTAAAAAACAAAAAAACAACATGATATAAGCAGCAGCGACTGTAAGAACTTTGTAAGAACTCCTGTAGATCACACTCCTCCACCTCGCTCCTCCTTTTCATGCTGTGTCTGATTAAACCAGGGTCAGTCACCTTGGTTTTTCATGTTTGTTTTGGTTTTGGGGTTTCACGTACACACCTGGAGAGGCAGGGAGCTCTCGGGACAGAGTCATACCAACAGATATGACTTAGTGGATGCAGAGGAGTTTGTAGAGAAGTATTGATAGAAGAAGTTTGAATCAGATTCACCCAGATGTGGAGGAAGTAAAACTCAAATTTAGGAAGGTCACGATAGGAGGTGAGGAACTGAGAGAGAGTGAGGACAGGATATCGGGGAGCTGATCAGGTTGATGAAGGTTAAAGGAAGCAGGTGTTTCCCTTCACCTCCTCACTTTTGATTCTGTGCTTCACAGGAGGAGCAGATGAGATCACATGAAGCACGATTTAGAGCTCTCTCCACCGAGCTGGCTGAACTTCGCTCATACCCTCCCGACCGTAAGGTCAAAGGTCGCGAGCTGGAGGAGTACCGCCAGAGGGATGAGTATCTGGAGTTTGAGGTAAGTAAAGAGAAGAGGAATGAAGAAGCGTTGAGTCAGTGTCACAGTTCTGCAGCTGATTGTGTTTGTGTGTCTCAGAAAACACGGTACGGGACATACGTGATGCTGCTGAGAGCCAAAATCCGGAGCGGCGAGGAGGACCTGTCCGTGTTCGAGTCCCAGCTGCTGGAGGACAACGGGCTGCAGAGAGCTCACTCCAGCCCCACGCTGCAGGACAGCAGCCTGGCCAGCCAGCTGAGCCAGGCCAGCAGCACCAGAGACGGAGGCACCAGCAGCAAAGCCAGCGGCTGCAGCAGCAGCAAACCCCGACAGGAGGGTCAGAGACACAGCTACAGACAGGCTGTCAAGAAGTGAGGCGGGGCCGGGGCGCCGGGAGCGGCACAGCGTTGCACTGCCAGCGGCGGGCTGTCTCCCTGCACAGGTTTTTATTTGAGATCCAGGAGGGTTTGGAGCTCTGCTTGAAGGGGGAGCAGGAGTGAGGGTCTACCCCACACCCTCCCCCCGACCACGACACCCCACCCGGCACCCCAATCTTCTCGTCTACCAGAGGAGGGCTGGGAAACAGCAGCCAGGGTGTTGGTGCTGGAGGTGGGAGGTCACAGACGTGCAGAGACGAGGTGTCTTTGAGAGCGGACGCTGGGTAAAGCAGCAGACTGATCTGCAGCCAGACGAAGAGAAAGACGGTGCTCAGAAACACCCGACAGGAACGAACATACGGCATCTTTTAGGTTTCTCTTCTTTCATTCTTTCAAAGCACCTCGACCAAAAACATTCTCCCACCTTTATCTTGACTTTTCACTCAGTTTTGGGACCAAATCTTTTAAAGCATCACATGTCAGACACCTGATGGTTCGTTTGATGTGTAAAAGCTACCGGACTTTGAGAGTACCACCAGGTTTTGCGGAGCCATCACATTCCAGCTCCTTTTTTTCCCCCCGCCACATCCCCGTGGTGTGTCCACATTCCACTCAGGAGCAGGACATTACAGCTTTGGCTTCTAATTCACTGACGGTGGTTTGAAGACTGAGCACCGCGGGTGGTAATGAGGGGTGTGGCTGCAGAATACGACGTGATGAGATGGTGCAGCTCGTCTCTCCTCTCCTCTCGATCACTGATGGCCGCTTAGAGGCAGAAACATCAGTAGAAGTCGCTCACGGTGTGCAGCGATGTAACTGCATCTCATTAAGGGAGTTTCTTTTCTTTTTGCTTACTCGAACGGGCGATCTCTTTCTGCTTCTGTCCCGTGGTTGTGCTTCTGTTCTCTTTCTATTTCTTGGCTGAGAGTTTATTTTCTCAGCGATCCGCATGCCTGCATCCAGCACAGCTTCTTTTAGGCCTTTTACTGCTTTGAGGACGAAAGCCGTTCTCCGTGGGGTCATTTCTCTTCATGCTGGTGCCATAACCCAACATGTCTGTACTGATATTCTCTCATTTAGAAGCCCCTATTTTACCACTCACCAGGCAGACCCTGAATGTTCTTGTTTTTTCAGTATTTTTACAGTATTTTACAGACGTTCGTTGATGTTGAACCTTATTCCACCTGTGTATGTCAAGTGTATGATGAAAACTGTATAAGGAACTATGTTACCCATACTCTTTGTAAGCATCCAGGATATGTTGTATATAATGCATTGTTATATTGTAGGATATATGACGACAAAGTATATTTACAATATATTCAATACACCGTTGTGAAGAAGCATTAGGTACGAGTCCCAAACGCGCTACACAATAATCATGTGTTCTTTTCTTAACATGGCGGTACTAGATCAGCACAATATACGTAATATAGTGGAGACTACGAACCTATCAGAGATTAGTACGTGATTTAAAGATGTTAGAAAGGTCGATAGAGAAAAACTGTAAAAAGAGGAATGAAGAGGCGGAGCATGGTTCGCTGTGAACAAGCATGATTTTAAAGGGATCAGGGCTGAAACTGTGGAGCAAAATGCATGAGGAAGAAGAAGAACGTACTTCTCCGAAATGCAAAAAAGTGAGGACACTGTGTAAAATCTTCAACAATGCTGATACTGATCAAGTGCAAAGACAACATATCAAACGTTGAAACTGAAAACTTTTACTGCTTTATGAAAAGTAAATGAAGTCGGGACTGCAGGCCGGCCAGTTAATCACAGGACTCTTCTACTAGGGAGCCATGCTGTTGGAGTGCACACAGATCACATGGTTATACAAATCCTCTAAAACTGTTACAGACTGTATATTTTTCAGCATTAATCACGTCTTCTTGGATGAGAAAGTTTCCCATGTTTACCCCATATCTTTTATACAGTCCAGTCCTCCTTGGACCAAAGACAAAGACACTGTCCATGACCACATGACAGTTCTCCACCTTTCCTTAGTCCACCTTAAATGGTCTGAGGCTGAGGGAAGCTGCTGGATTCCTGGATCATGTTTATATTTGGTGTCCTCTTTCTGAGTTTTTGTGAGTGATTTGGAGCACATGTGGTGATTTCCACTACAGAGTCATGCCTGTTTTTAACGCAGTGCCACCTAAGGGCCTAATATTTACGTCTGTGCAGAAATTTCTCCTGACTCTGGAAGCTTTTTTTAAAGATATGAAGTGCGCCGAAAAAATTAGTTTATTTTCCTGAATTTTTTTTTTTTATAATTCAATGATTATTTATATTTTTCAATGTTGCAAGAGACAAACGAACATCAAACAAAACAGACAGAATGGAGGTCAAAAATAGTAATAATAATAATAAAATAAATAAACAAGGCAGGTGAGTTGGCAAGGCAAGAAAGTTAACAAATCTGTCCACTAAAACTGTCCCCTTTTTCTTTTATCATATCATTTTCACAACTTAATCCCCCCAACATCTTCTTGCCCGCTACAGTCCCCATCATCTGTGTTTTCCACATACTCAGTGTGGGAGCTCGGGGTTCTTTCCAACACCTCAGGATAGTCTGTGCACATGTTATTAGGCCAGTTTTTAATATTCTCAAACTGTTTTTATTCAACAGGGGTACCATAGATCTGTCTCCAAGGAGACATAATCTCGGTGATCTGAGAAGTTCGTAATTTAATGATTTGCTCATATAGTCGATAACTTTTTCCTGCAAGGGGAGGATCTTAGAACATTCCCATAATGCATGAATAAATCTGCCACTTTCTGCCCCACACGTCCAACAGAGATCATTGTTAATCAAACCCATCCTGTTAAGTCTTGATGGTGTAAAATAATATTTTTCCTGAAATTGTTGAACTTTGGAGTATTGATCCTTCATCCATCTTCTGATAAATTCAGCCTCTCTGTCATAACATTTTCACACCCAGTCTTGTCACTAACCGGGTGAATTAACTTCATTTGTTGGGAGACGTTCCTCCAGGTTTTATTAATTTTAGTAGTGTCTCTCAAGTGTTTCATTGACCCCGTCTCAACTTTTTCCAAACGTTTTGCGAGCATCAAAATTAAACTGAGCATAAATTTTTCATAATGTGATGAAACTTCTCAGATTTAAGATTTGATATGTTGTCTTTACTCAATTTTCAATTTCAAACTGGATTGAAATAATTTGCGAACCACCAAGTTCTGTTTGCATCAGCGTTGAACACACTGTTCCGACCTTTCGTTGTATTTTGGGTTTTAAAGGAGGATTCATTCAGGACTGTTTCAGCGGGAGTTCATGAGTCTGGTAGCCATACACACCTCATAGCATTATCGATGTATAGCCATCTTTGACTCAGGCTTTAATACCTTGAACAGCTGCGGTGCCGGTGTCCGACCAGCAGGGGGAGCTGTTCAGTTTTTCAGCCATAATCACACCTGCTGCACCTGCAGTGAATATGCATGTCATCGCCCGCTCAGCTGAGGCCGGGGATGGAACCTGCAGGGCTAAACCTGACAAGAGCTGTTTGTATTATGAACTCTGGATGTCAGTGTGTAAGTGTGTTTTCATATATGTGTGTGTGTGTGTGTGTGTGTGTGTGTGTGTGTGTGTGTGTGTGTGTGTGTGTGTGTGTGTGTGTGTGTGTGTGTGTGTGTGTGTGCGCGTGTGTGTGTGTGCGTTTCTTGCTGTTTGTGGATGTTAGTGTGTGCATGCTGTGACTGTGCCTGTTTAAACGAGAGAGTTTCCTGTTGTTTCTCCATCCTTCAAACGTGTGCTTTGTTCGTTTTCAGATCGGATAATTTATCTTCAGGCTTCAGTGTTCGGTTGTGTTTGCCTCTGAATCATGTTCTGCCTGCAGTTTAGAGACATTTCTGAGTGTTTTTTTAACAAAGAAGCCAAACAATCCAAGTATTTCTCTCCGATTCTTGTCTCATGTGATATTTTAACAAAATTATTTGGTTTTGGACCGTAAGTCAGGCATAAAAAAGCAATTGAAAGACATTAAAACGGCCATTTTTCACTTCTTTCTGGTATTTTCCATCCCGCTGATTGCTTTCAAATGAAAGTAATCTTCCTTTGCAGCTTTGCTGCACACTATCTCGTCTTTTTCTCATTTCATCCTCTGCTTTTCTTGGCTGCACCTTCCTCCCCATCTTTCCTCTCTTTATACTGCAATAGTAATGCAGATATTGTTGCCATAGCTGACATCTTTTACCTCTTACTTATGTGGCTTCTCATGACTGTGACTGCTCTGCATTTATTAGTGATGTTTGATCCTGCTGTCAGTGAACAGACAAACTCATCTGAAGTACTAATCATGGTCTCCTGTAGGGACAGATTAGGACTTCACTCACAGGAATAAGCTGTTAGATTCATCCTTAAACATTCGCTTTACATGATATAGATGAGATCAACATTCGATGACGGGGACTCTTTTGGATTCATCAACTATCACTTAAAGAGTTACTTTATGGTACAAACTGTGCATATTTATTCATAATTTTATCCCCCCATGAAAGGCACTTTTAAAGCACAGTTTAAAAGGTGATCTCAAATGAGTTTACATTCGGTCACAGATTGAGTAACTCTGACTGCAACTATAAGTCAATAAATTGATAAAAAAGTCTGATATATTGGTGTTCTTAGCTGTCCTAGTTGTCTTAAACGTTGTAAAGTCAGCCTCTGTGGAGGACCTGCAGCCTCTCAGTTTCCAAACTAGATATCCATGCAGCGATCTGAGGGTTGAGACTGCTGCAAAAGCAAATGTAGAGGCGGAAAAACACCAAACAAAGACGGCGAGTGCTCCAGAAGAACCCACACCTGTACCAAGATTAATGTTGCACAGTCAGAATCAGAAGAAAAACAGTTTTTTTCTGCTTTTCGGCTTATCTGGCTCCAACCTTTGACATCTTGACTTTGAAACACCGAAGCAAAACCAGGTTGTGGGATTGGGATGGTTTTGCATGCATGCTTTTGCAGATTACGCCTGTTGTTAGGTCAACATAGGAGCCGATATAAATCCTCTCTTTGAAGCTGCTTTTGTTTCCATATTCTCATTTTGATTAGGCTGGAGGATGGCTTAATATGTGCAGGCAAGCAAGTTTTTTTTATTATTATATGAGACCTTTAAAAGAAATTTCATATCCAGTTATTTTTGCATTAATTTGAGCCAACTTTTAATCATTTAAGTCACATTTTTGCAGGTCCCACCACGTTCAGATTTCAGAACAATCCTTCTGACATTTACAGACTGAACTTGTAATTCATTTTAAAATGAAGCGCCAGTTTTCAGATCACCTCCAAATAGTGCAATAACCTGACCCGACGGCATGTGATGGGTATTCTGGGCGCAGGTTCTATACTCGCTGTACAGTATGGATGGATGTCGTATATAGAGGGAGACAGCTCCACCTTGACAAAGTCTCCAAGGTCCTCTCCTCCCCTCCTCCTCCCCTCCATGTGTTGTCTCCACTCCCTTTCATCAAAGAGCAGCTGCAGGATCTCCACAGCGCTGGCTTACATGAAAATGTCTGGTTCCCCTGGTGACGGCTCTGCCACGCTCATGTGAAAGTCACCCTGTGGTTCTGTGTCCAATCAGGGCTGCAGGATTTACCTCTGTGGAAGCTGCCGTGCATGTCTGCAGCCGTCTGGACAAACTGTTCTGTCCACCTCATTTCTGAATGTAAATAAAGCATGAGATATTACGGCCTGCGTTCATTTATATTATGGTAAGAGTATTCAATGAAGGGTTAATATATAATAAAGTAGGTCAACATTTTTCCTGTCCTTGAGCTCATGGTCATTTTTGTTGTTTTTGTTTTGATTTCTCTCAATGTGAATGAAGGAAATGGCTATATTTAACGCTGTCGTATGCTGTTGTTTTAGAGAATCGAGCCAGCTCGAACAAACCTTTTTACATGAGGAGATCTGGTCTGATCTGGTCTCTCAGTGTTTTTTAGACTGGTGCAGGTTCAGTGAGGCAATGTTCATCTTATGCTACATGCACAGTGAGCTACATGTGTCACTGCCTTTGTTTCAGACTCACCAAGGAGCTGTTGTTTGTGAGCTTCTCATTTTTGGAGGCAGAAGATGAAATAAAGGTGTTTTTGAAGGTTACCTGTGTCTCTGCATTATTGTGTTAAAATATGTCACATTCACTCAGATTTTATATCAGTGAAATAAACAAAATGCACAAAGGTGTTTATGATTCAATTGAGTGTTTTTTTGTTTCTGGTCCACTAAATCTTAAAATGTCAAGAGTGAGATTTGTCTCAGTAAGATTACTTGATTACCTTTGCAGATAAAAAAAATGAATTTGAATAACAAAAAAATTTAAATTAAGACCTGAAATGGAAAAATGCACACGTAGGATTAAAAACATAGTAATGATGCATTTAAATACACAAGTAAAATGATAATACTGTAAATCTAATAACAGACCGAACTAACTGTGTTAGGAATGAAAAATGAGATTGTCACACACTCATATACTTTGCAATAGTGCATTTATGCATATTTTGTAGATCTGAATTTCCCTCAGCTTTCCAGCTTTTCTGGATATTTTTCTGACTGTAAAAAAAATATATATCACAGGCAAATTTACAACAAAATAAAAGCAGAAATAGAAGTGCAAAAAGAAATACAGCAGAAAGAGCAGTATATACATGCACATCCACTAACGTATAAATATCCTCATAAATGGGATCAGTTACACACCTTAGTTTGCTGTTTCCAGGATTGCATTTGTCTGATAGGCACACAGTCTAGTGTTTACAGTTATCTTGGTCGACTGTCCGAAGTCAAAGCATTTTTTATTCCTTTTAAAGGGATATTCTGGTGTAAAATAAAGTTAGGGTCAAACACACTGTAAAACCGGGTTGGACACCCCGTCGAGAGATGAGTGTTACCAACTGCTTGCTTCTCTAGTTATACCAACTTTAGTCATGACCACACGATAGCAATACAGAGAGCCACGCGCTCAACCAAAGAGCCACTTGATAGTCACAAATAATGCTCAGAACAGCACCTGACTTCATCAACAGTACATATAGGGTCCCAGCACTAGCCACCAAACATCTTTTTAACTTTGACTCATTTCTTTAGCAAAGAGACTAAACACAACTCACCTACTCTCTTCCAGCAGCCACTTGTTTGTAGCGAGACCTCAGGCCAGTCCATTACGGACAACAGCAGGGTGATGCAGCTCAAGGAAGAACATTTATGATCATTACTTTATCATTTCCTTGAAGTAATAATCATCATAATAATCATCTTGCACTGCAGACGCGATAGTTCTTCTACCTTCTTCTACCCTCGTCTGATTCCACGAAGTAATGATCATAAATGTTCTTCCTTGAGCTGTGTCACCCTGCTGTTGTCTGTAATGGACTGGCCTGAGGTCTTCCTACAAACAAGCAGCTGCTGGAAGAAAGTAGGTGAGTTGTGTTTAGATTCTTTGCTAAAGAAATTAGGCAAAGTTAAAAAGATGTTTGGTGGCTAGTACTATGGCTGTGACCCTTTATGTCCTGTTGATGAAGTTAGGTGCTGTTCTGAGCATTATTTGTGGCTATAGAGTGGCGTTTTGGTTGAGCGCGTGGCTCTCTGTGTTGCTATCCTGCAGTCGTTACTAAAGTTGGTATGACTAAAGAAGCAAGCGGTCGGCAACATTCATCTCTCGACGGAGTGTCTAACTCAGTGTTACGGTGTGTTTTACCCTAACTTAATTTTATACCGGAATTATCCTTTTAAGAAATATATCAACAACTACAGTTGCTTAAGTTTTGCCATAATTATCCATAAATGCCTGAAATATTTGAGGGATTTCATATGAATTAAAGTTTTGTGTTGAAGTGTACCTGTTTGGATTATATAACGAACAAAAGAAAAACAACTTCTTCTCGGTAGTCTATTTTTCCCAGATGCAGGTATATACATCATACCTGATCGTAAACGGCCCTTTGGTGGTTTTAGCGTTCCCTGAACAGCAGCGGGTGTTGTTGTTGTTGAACGCGCCCTCGTTTCAATTTCTACGAACTGAGCCGGGTTCGCGATGACGTCACACGCAGGAAAGTACACACACTCTCTCATGGCGCCGCGGCCGCTGCTGCTGCTGCATTGACCCGAAAACAACAAGACGGACAGCGACACGTTCACACCGAAAAACGGCTCATGTCACGGTCGTAGAAACAAGAAGTAAGTCTCTAAACTCGCTCTAGTCGAAGCTCGGCGTAGAAACGGTCGATGGAAACGTCAGCGAAGCGGCGTCGAAGCCTTCGTTTCCTAATGCTAGGGAGCTAATCTCAGGAGGCGCCGTGTTTTTACTGGAAGCTGAGCTGCTGTCTTGTTGATGTTGATTTAGCTGTCTTCCTATCCAAACTAACCTTTTAGAAAACACTTAAGTGTAATTTTGCTCTCTCTTTCGTTAGTAAACCTCATGTAGTTATGTATGTACAGGCCACTTTAGCAGGAAACGTGAGGCGCGTTTCTGCGCTGTAACTGACATTAGCAAGGCATCTGATCCAGAGCATAGCCATATCCCATCTGCCTGTTAGTCCTGTTTAGATGGATAAAAACACTGAGAGCGGGACTGTTTTATGTTTTTTGAACAGTGTAGATAATTAAAGCTGCGTTAGTCTTCTTATATAGAAGATTAATTTAATTTTAATATCATGTTTTGGTCTAGCTTACGACACAACAATGGAGAAACCTCCCTTCAGACAGAACCAGAGCTGCGGAGACTGGGAGCTGAAAGAGAGGCTGGGCATGGGCGGATTTGCTCATGTTTACCTCTACCAACATCATGTGAGTTTACAGCCACGAACAGGCCTGACACTGCACACATGTGACACCTCACTCATTTGGAAAGGACTCAAAGAGATACTACACAATGACTACTAAACCCATACATACCTACTTCCTTCTCAGATGATGTGCTTTTACACATTTTTATTCATAGTTTTGCAAATCTTCGTCTCAATAGAGGATAATTATGAGAAAATCAAGCCTTAAAGTCCTGTGAGAAGTCTTAACAGGAATGCATCAGACAGAGACGAAGCCAGGTTATTATTCTGTGTTCATTTTGTTTGATGAGCGTGTGACCATGTATCAACTTTATTAAAATACACCTTAAAACTTGAGTAAATAGTTGGAGTGTCGCAGAACCACACAAAAACTCCACGCAGGACGCTCTGCTCATACACCGCAGGAGTGTAAACCAGGTTTAAACCAACAGTGATGCCTTTTTTATGACCTTGAAAAGCAAACAGGTCCACCAGCATCGAGAATGACAGCAACCAAGATCCTCTACATCTCTTTAAATGCGTCATAAATTCCTGGAAATTTCCCCAAATGTTCAGGATGAGCTGCGTGTGTGAACGCAAATGCCACATTTTCACGCCAACTTAGTCCTGCAAGCCTGCTAGTAAAAGTCCCACAATAAGTGAGAGTATACTGATGTCAAGAGGCAGATATGACGATACATGTACTCACTTCAGCTCAACAGCATGTTTTTTTCTTCTCTTTTAAAACACTGTGAACATGTACGATTATGCTCATGTCAAACCGCCAGACTGTTGCATCAGTCAACATCGTGCATGTCTTAAAAAAGGTTCACAGTAACTACCAAGTCTTCTGTCCAGATGTGCAACTTTGGAAGATTTGTCCTGAATTTTTAGAGGTTTTTAGGAGAGTATGTGTGATAAACTTGATATTCACAAGAAAACAAGATAAAGTTACTCTGCTAAGAAGCGTGACATTAGGATTGGGCGATTTGGCAAAAAAAAAGATCACAATTTTGCCATATCATCCGATCTCGATTACTATCATGATTTTTTTTAAAATGCCAGTTTTAAAGCAGCTGTACTAAAAACTAAAGAAACTAGAGATTAGTTTAACATTTTATTAACATACAAAGTAAATAACAAAGTAAATTGAATAAGATACAAAAATGAAAAATATAAAAAAAAAACATTTTAACTCAGCCTTACAAAAAATGTAGATAAATACAAAATAATACAGTGAATGAGTTTACAGTCCTGAGTGTTTCTGCAGGAATGCAAGACCCAAAATAAACCAATCGCCCCCTCAGGGATAATGAAGACGCCTTAAAATGTAAACATTAGATGATGTAAACGTAGATAATACAATTGATCGCTGCTTTGGTCTGGTGGCTGCACTGCTAGTTGTGGCTAAACTGCTAATGCTACTTGTACCGTCAGCAGCGACAGGCTGTACAGACTCGCATTTTCATACTTTCTGCATAATCACTCGGAAAGTACTTCTTCAAATGATTAAATAGAACTGTTGTGTTGCCGGTTTTTGAGGCCACCGATGGCCAACATACCTTGCACATCGGCTTAATTGCTCAACGTCACTTTGGAGATACCTGAACTACCGCCACACAACCGACGTTGAATAACTTCTCAACAGTAACATCTTTGGAGGATGACTCAAAGTCATGGCTGACATCTATTTTGCTGTCCTCAGCACCGCATTTAGCTTGCAGAAGTGAGCAGGAAAAGCTCGACTCTGATTGGCTGTTGTGACGCACATTTCCTCCATGTTTGATGAGTAAATGTGCTCACAGCTGATCACCGTGATCGAACAGAAATTTATCACTATCATATAATCGCCCAGTCCTACATGACATGCTCACAGAGTCGTCACTCACTGGAGCTTTAAAGGCTGTGTATTAAGTCTCTAGAGAGGCGAATTTTCCCACATCGTCCTCTACTAGAGCGGCCAAAATTATGCTCAGCATCCAGACCTCAGGAATATTAGTTTTCCCACCTGTATGGCTGACTTCATATCAGCGACTCCTCTGAGCTGAGGAGTGTCCGTGAGTGTCCGTGATTGAAAAGACTTCGCTGGCCTCAGATTACAAGTCGAGTATTTGGTCCAGAATCCAGTTTGTGAAATGCAGAAGCAGAGGGTGTGGATCAGCGTGCGCTCTGACACTTTGCTTCTCTCACACAGACTTACAAGAAAAAAGCTCCACAACAACTGCTATTTTGGGGCATGTTGTTTTTTTGGTATGTGCTGATTAAACAATTGAGTTTCTGTTGTCTGTTTTGCAGGAAACAAATGAAAAACTAGCTGTGAAAATGTGCCGTCTGGAGCTCACACCAAGAAATAAGGACAGATGGAGCCGAGAAATCCAGATCATGAAAAAGTTCGTCTTATTTTTTCTCGTTTTCCCGACTTAAGACAGTTACTCTATAAAGATGTGTCCTGATGTCCTGGCAGTGCCCGTGAACCACTATTTTATTATTGATTAAAGAGCAGAAAGAGCAGAATTGATGTCAAATGAAATGAAATAGTGAAACATGACAGTGCAGAGTCTGTTTCATCAAATAGTAATACTCTCCTCCTTCGCTCTCGCTCAGGTTGAATCACATAAACGTCGTGACTGCTCGAGATGTTCCAGACGAGATGGAGTGCATCGCCCTGAATGATCTTCCACTGCTGGCCATGGAGTACTGCTCGAGAGGAGACCTGAGGAAGGTGAGGGGCTCACAGACAAGAAACCCGTTTGCTTTTAGGTGCTTTATGAAACTTTCCCAGAAGGATCTCATCTCTTAACTCGACCAGAAATCCATATTTAGCATCTTATCTCTCATTTTAATGGAAAAAGTTCTCCAGAACCTCTTTAATACAAATACCAAACCCTCCAGGCAAAGTTAGCATCATTCCTTCGTTCCTTTGTCACTTTAGTTTCATATTTCTCATCTGAAAACTGCACGTAAGTCTTTGTTTTGACATATCAGATTTCCGTTCAGCTGTGGAGATTGAAAATACGCTCACAGGCCAAAGTTCAAGGAGTGTCTCGCCTGCGTGATCGCTATCAGTGCAGGTCAAACCCATGACTCACCTTTTCAGCATCTCTGACTTGTTTTATATCATCCAGCTTCTCTGCTTTGTGGTCGTTTTATATCAGGTCTCAGTTTGTGAAGTTTAAAGCCTGCAGAGCTGCGACCCTAAACTCCCTGCAGCAGAGTTTCTTTAGCTCATCGTCGAGGCGCCTTAGACTGAAGACTGACTGTTTGTGTTTCCAGATGCTGAGCAAACCTGAAAACTGCTGCGGTCTGAAGGAGAGTGAAGTGCTCTCGTTACTCAATGATGTTGGTACGTACACTCTTCGCCCATGAGCTGCTGCTCCTTCATTCAGACACGTCTCTTATCGTCCGTTTGACTGCTCTTTCTGCTCCAGGATCTGGTATCCAGTATCTGCACGAGAACAAGATCATCCACAGAGACCTTAAACCTGAAAACATCGTGCTGCAAGACATCAGCGGAAAGGTGACTGGACTCTGTCTGCTCTGTTGATGTCTTTTTTTCATTGAATTGTAATGAATCGGTCTCATATTTGCTTCTTCTTCTTCCTCTGCAGCTGGTTCACAAAATCATTGATCTGGGCTATGCTAAAGACCTGGACCAGGGCAGTCTGTGCACCTCCTTTGTCGGCACGCTTCAGTACCTGGTAATCAAACGGTTAATTGTCTTATCCTCAGCTGCACCTAAGTTTGTTTAACCTAATCCTCTTCTAATTACGTTTGAAATCCTTTGATCTTCTTATTATCTGTGTTTTTTTTTTCTCACTGAAATTCAGAATAAAAGTAAAAATCTAGATTTTTTTTGGTTCAAACTCTTCACCTTTTTCTCTCGTCAGGCTCCTGAACTCTTTGAGAATAAGCCGTACACCGTCACCGTCGACTACTGGAGCTTCGGCACCATGATCTTTGAGTGCAGTTGTGGTTTCCGTCCGTTTCTGCACAACCTCCAGCCTGTGCAGTGGTAAGATGACCCGGCAGATTAAACCGTCTGACAGGTTCACTTTGTGCCCGAGCCTATTTTACCAGACAGCCATTGTCTGGAGGCTGTTTTGGTGTTTATTTTAGATTTAAGTGAGCTCATTAGTCAGCCAGGAGTTACCTGGATTCACCTCTCCAGAGTCAGAGTGTGAGACATGAGGAACAGATAGAGGGTGAGGTGTTGGAGACAGGTGGTGCCGGTGTAATGAAAACAGCAGGATGTTTGTTGTTGTAGTTTGGCAGCTTATTAACACCTTCAGGAGTTGGAGCAGCACACAGTTGAAGGAGGAAGTTTCTTCTTAGTCGGTGTTGGGGTTTTTTTTTTACGGACACTCAGAGTCATATTTCAGTCAGACAAGGAAACAAAACCTCATTCACACATATTTGCTCTGTCTCAGTGTGACTTACAGTTTTTATCTCTAATTTATTTTCCGTAGAGCTCCAGAACTAGTTAGTTTTGCATGCAAAGATATAAAACTGGAAGCAAACAGAAGCCTAATAAGAATAAGGGTGATGTTTTAACCCTCAGAATCCGTTCATATGGACTCGAGTTTCCAGTGAGAAGCTTTTTCCTGGTTTTCATCATCACTGAACATGTTGTTTAAACACACAAAGAGGAACCTGGTTATTTATATCCGTCCATCTTCTTCTGCTCGTCCTGGATCAGGGTGATCTGATGACTCCTGGCTGGGTAAAGGGGCAGCAGTCCAAACAAGACCTCCCTCTCCCCTGCAGCGTTTTCCAGCCCCTCCTATAGGATCCCAAGGTGTTCCCAGACCAGACGGGATTATAATCCCTCCTGCTTGCTCTGGGCCAACCTGGATGTACATGATAGATATTTGCATCCCGGTCTCTCAGTGTGATATCTTTTTGTGTCATCTGTAACGGAACAGAAATAACACAAACGGTGTCGGTTTTCACGCCCCTCTCAGACGTGCGCAGTGTTCCTGAAAATTCCCTGGAATAACCCTGTACCTGCGAACAAACATCTGAGTTTTTCACCTCGGCTTCACGGTAAAGTGCAGAGAGCAGCAGCAGCAAATCTTTAGAAGCAGTACTCGGTTGGAAATGCTCCTGCAGCGCAAATAAATATCAAAAGTCGACATTTTGCAAGTAAAAGGTCGTGAGATGGCGGCGCGCTCGCTTCTCTGTCGATACTGATGAAGTTTAATTTCTCGCCACGTTGATGAGAAAAAACTGTTGCTAGAGCGTTCATATCTGTTTCGCTCTCCCCACTTTTTTACATGATGAACTCGCAAACAAACGCTTCTTTGAGTTAAGGTAGATGAAGTTAATGTGGGAGGGGGTGAGCAGCTTGTGGAGTAGTTATCGTCCATTTATCGTTATCGAGGTGAACTGATCAATATATCCTGATATTGATTTGAGGCCATATCGCCCAGCCCTGATCTAAACTCATCTAAACTTTGATGATGTTCGTGTGAACAGCGCAGTCAAGTGAAATTTTCCCTGGTTTGTTTCAGTCACCCTGAGTTTTTAAAAAAACAACATCTCTGTGCAGATCTGACTCCTCCTGAAGTCAGACCCTCTCGCTGCAGGTAGTTGGCAGCTTTCAGAAACTGTGGTGAAGAGGTATGCATGCCACAGTTTCCTGCTCTCTTTCAAAGCTCTTCAGGTTGCAAAATCAGGTTTCTCAAAACTGGGTTAAGGGCTTATCCCAGTTTCTGAAATTGGGATTTGATGTCTGCATGCCCAAAAACAAAACCAGGATGCTCAAGTTCATAAAAACCCTCATTATTTATTTTGGCCTCATCCCTAGAGTAACCCAGCAACTTTTGTTTGGGTGCAGCACAAAGTGGAGCGGCAGAGTTACAAAAGTGTGAGCAAACAGTAAAAGGAGGTTCATGTTTGGGCTTAAAGTCGTACCTGTTGGTTATTTCTGAGGGGAAAAAGTTCCTGATTCGTCTGCTCTGACCTCTTTTGAAATGGTTAATTTTCCATCAGACTCCTCCTCGGCCTTTTTTGCGAATGATCGTCTTTTCTCTTCTCGTCATCAGGGCCAGCAAAGTGAGGAACAAAGGTCCGAAAGACATCATGGCTGTCGAGGAGCTGAACGGAGAAGTCAAGTTCTCCACACACCTCCCCTACCCCAACAACCTCAGCAGGTGAGCAGTGTGCGAGCGCTAAAAACACGCCACTTCACACGCTACATCGTTGCCAAGTGACGGCTGAAGGAAAGAAGAAGATGGACCCGAGCCACAGCCTTTGTGCTCCGAGTTTCTGCTGCCAGCTTCCCTCCTCTAACGTGGTTTCATTGCTGTTTTCTAGGACTCTGCTGGAGCCCATGGAGGCTCTGCTGCAGCTGATGTTAAAGTGGGATCCGGTCCAGAGAGGAGGAAAGATCAACTCCGATACCAAGAAACCCATGTGCTTCGAAGTGCTGGAGCAGATCCTGAGTATGAAGGTGAGACCGACTGACTCGGTTCAGTTTTAGCAGCTGTCTGATCAGAGCTGGAGCAGATCTAAATGACCTAAATCTGCTGAGAGATTTCCTTCCAGAGATGTTTAAGGTCCAGAAGCTCCTCAGGCTTTCTCAGGACCTGCTGGACTGTGGGAATATTACAGGGTGTCTGTGAAAGGACTAGTAAGTAGGTACACACGCATCCTTCTGTTTCCTTCTCCTCAGGTGGTCCACATCCTGAACATGACCACGGCTCAGGTCCACTCCTTTCAGCTGACCCCTGAAGAAAGTCTCCACAGTCTGCAGAAACGCATCGAGGCGGAGACCAAGATCGAGGTGGTGAACCAGGAGCTGCTGCAGGAGACGGGGGTGTCGCTGGATCCCAGGAAACCTGCTGCACAGTGTGTCCTGGATGGAGTGGTGAGTGGACTCTCACGCAGCTTCAGTTTTTTATTCAAGCGCCTGGAGATTCTTTGAGTCGCTGTATTTGACCGTAACAAACCAAAACAACTTAAAAAAAATCTAGGAAGTTTATTTCGTCCTCATCCGTCACTCTCTGTCTCCTCTCGCTGACAAAGCAAACATTCGTGTCTCCCATTGGAACATTTACAGAGACAGGAGTAAGTGTGAAAAAGACGCTCTCTGTGCTGAGGAAACTATAACGACACGGTGGAAGCTACACATCCAGACTCGCACACTTGAAATAAGAGCGTTCAGGGACTTTGAATCAGGCTGTTAGTCTCCTCTGAATAACAGGTGGAGTATTTGCAGGCGGTGTTAAGCGGTGATTTTCTTCTCTCGTGTGCAGAGAGGCTGGGACAGCTACATCGTCTACCTGTTTGACAAGAGCATCACCAAGTACTCCGGTCCTTTCAGCGCCAGACAACTGCCAGATAAAGTCAACACTATCGGTGAGGTTCTGAAACAAAATCGCACCAGTTTGAATTCATTTACAAAAAAAACCAAACTACTGGTGTAAAGTTTCTGCTTTCATCGCCTGTGTTGTCCTGTCTTGTTTTAAAATTTCATATTTCAGCTGTAATCCTTTTTTTGTCTTTGCAGTACAAGAATCCAAAACTCAGCTCCCCTTGGTCGTGTTGAAGAAGGTTTGGGGTGAAGCTGTGAGTTACATCTGTGGCCTGAAGGAGGATTACAGCCGGCTCTTCCAAGGACAGCGAGCTGCCATGTGAGTCAGAGGAAAACTGTGAAAAGTTTTTGATCATTTTTCTGTCGGCAGGCTGATGCGTACGAAGAAAAAAAACAGTCCACGCACGTGTCGAGTAAAAGTAGGTGGAAATGTAAATCCGACTATGATACGAACTTCTCGACTTTATGTTCAAAAGACAGCCATCGTTTAGATTTCCTGACTTCATCGAATGCGTCATAAAAGAACCTTTACTCAACTAACAAACATTTTAGAGGTTGAAGTTTGACTTTTAACTTTTCACTAATCCGCATCAGGATGATTTTTCAGCAAACTCACAGAGGAAGATTTCTTTTTGCTGTTTATGCAGGAAAACGGACTAAAGCCTCTGTGTCACTTTGTATTCGCAGTGATATTGAATTTTTTTTTGAGTTAAACGATTGAACACTTCTCTGTGAGATATGGTTTATTTTGTAGACATAAAACATCTAGAAGGGGTCGACCAGTAGTGGTTTTTTCAGGGCCCACAGTTATGCCGATCAGAAGTAGTGAAAAAAACTTCAGTTAGGGTTCACCAACTAGTAATAGTAGTTTATTTGTCCCGTAGGAAAATTGAATTGCAGCAGATCACACATTTGGCATTTCATCTAGAACAGTATAGATGAAAAATAAAGAATAAAACAGTATGTAGACAACTTTCACACATAATTAACAGTAAAAAATAAGTAACATCATCATAATCACACTTCCTAAGTCTCAACTTTAACCTGATTAGACCAGCTGAGCAGGCTGGAGGTGAATAACTATGGCTATTTGTTATTAAGGCATTTAATGGCCTGCAGCACAAAAGAAAATTTTGCTCTGTTTTTAGTAAACACAGGGGGGCGATATCGTCACAAGAGTGGGCAAAGGGGTGCCTTTGGTCACCTATAATGTTCCTTGCCTTTTTCCCTGTCCTGTCTCTGTAGATGTCTTCCATACATGGCAGAGTAGTGCCCAGTAACTTACTGGATATGGATATAATTCCTCTAACCCTCTTTTCCTGTGCCTCTGTGGCATTGCCAAACCAGCAGGTAATACAAAAAGAAAGAATGCTTTCGATAAAAACGCAGTAAAACATTTGGAGAATTCTTCTTTCAACATTAAAAGACAGAAGTTTCTCTAAGTGGAACATTCTTTGTTGAGACTTAGTACAGATTTGATCTGTCCTCTTCTCCCACATAAGCTTACAGTCAAGCACGATCCTTAAGTATTTAAACTCAGAGACTTGTTGAATTGGCTTTCCCTTGATTAAAGTTACTGTATTGTAGTTGATTACTTAACCTACCAGTCCATACTGTGGGCAGTTGTCAACTAGTCGAATAATCAATACCACAGGAGAGGGGCTGACCTCGGCTCTGACGTGTGGCTTTTGTTTAGAAGATTCATGCTCATGTTTTTTTCCCGAAGATAAAAAGTGAGTATAGAGATTAACTGAGACAAACGAAAAACAGAAACTGGAGGTGAAGACAGACCAGCAGAGGAGCTGAAGTTACAGAACTTTTGGCCATCTGTTTGATGAAGAGGTTAATACAAATACAGATACCAGCCCTGATTACCAACACCAACAGATGACTGGTCTTCCTCTCATATCTCATGTTTTGGTCTTTATTTCGAGAGGACAGGACTGTAGATAGAGCAGGGAGCGACGTGCTGAAGCTGAACTCAGTCCCTCTTCAGTTATGGGGGGAGCTTGGACCCCTAGACCAGCAGCGCCCCTGCAGACACGTCTAGGATGAGCTGCCTCTCAAGTTGCAGCATTGTCTCTATGTCCGTATAGATATTACAGCACAAGTCAGAGGAGGCTTCGTCTGCATCCCTGCCTCACTCTCTACTCGCACTTTTCTACCTGTGAGCCAACAACCTCTGATGATTTCACGTATTCAGAGTTGGTTCTTATATGAAAAGCTCATTCAGGACCTCAGCTGCTCCCTTTGCTGCCAGCGTAGTTTCAGTCCTGTAAAATCGTGGTCATTTTACTGCAGCAGGACCACGGGGACTAAACTCAGGTCTGCTGTATCGGAAAGCTTCAAAAGGAGTCGAATAAACTTCACGATCTCCTTCCTCCCCTCTAGGTTGAGTCTCCTGCGCTACAACACCAACCTGACCAGGTGTAAGAACAGCATGTTCGGCTTCTCTCAGCAGCTGAAGGCCAAACTGGACTTCTTCAAGAGCAGCATCCAGTACGACCTGGAGAAATACAGCGATCAGATGCACTACGGCATATGTGAGTGTTCACTGGCAGCTGCTTGTTTTCTTTCCATGCATGACCCTGAATCGGGGAACGTTTACATACGCGGGTACTTTTATAGCTCTGAGCAAGATGGTGTTTGTGTTGACGAGCTGTCTGTGTTTGTCTGAAGCGTCTGAGAAGATGCTGAAAGCCTGGCAGGAGAACGAGGAGCGAGCTGCTGCTTTTGCCCAGGTAACACATGATTTCCAGCACACCTACTCAAAGCCACGGTTAGATAATATTTATGGTAATCTTATTTCTACATCTTTTACTTGCATATTCTCTGGCCTGCAGGTCAAAAGGTGACGATTTAATCGAATCCTTGTGGCATTAAATGAGCGTGCAGGCTCCTCTTCTTTTACTCAATGTTTTTTGAACGTTTCTGCACCTACATGATGATTTCTGCATTTTTTTTCCCACATTTTTATCATCTACAAATACTTATAAAAGATTTTTAGCAAAAGAAACTAGTAGTTTGATTCCTGGTTTGTCCTGCAGGTGGCAGAGGTGAGCCACTTGGACGATGAGATCATGGCCCTGCACTCAGAGATCGTGGAGCTTCAGAGGAGTCCGTACGCTCGACGGCAGGGAGACAAGATGGAGCAGCTGTGAGTGTTTAACTCTACGAGATGTCATCAGTAAAAAGACACGTTCAAAACTTTTTCTCATTTAAACAAAATTCAGTGTCTAATTAAGATTGAGAAACTCTTAATAACAAGAATAAATGCATTATACTAATGCTTTAATTTACACTTTTTAACCTCTTATAAGTGGATTATTAAAGGGATATTCTGGCATAGAATTAATTTAGGGTCAAACACACCATAACACCGAGTTAGACACCCTGTTGAGAGATGAGTGTTGCCGACCGCTTGCTTCTCTATTTATACCAACTTTGGTAACGACCGCACGATAGCAATACACAGCGGTCTGAGGAGCCATAAACAAACCTCAACTAAAACGCCACTCTATAGCCACAAATAATGCTCAGAACAGCACCTAACTTCATCAACAGGACATATAGGGTCACAGACATAGTACTAGACACCAAACATCTTTTTAACTTTGCCTAATTTCTTTAGCTAAGAGACTAAACACAACTCACCTACTCTCTTCCAGCAGCCGTTTGTTTGTCAGGAAGCCCTGACGAGACGATCACCGAGTGCAGCGAATCATTTCCTTGAATTAATAATCACCATATTAATCATTTTTCACTGCAGACGTGGTAGTTCTTCTGCCTTAGCGTCTCGGTCTGATTGCATTTCCATGAAGTAATGATCATAAATGTTCTTCCTTGAGCTGCGAAACTCCGCTGCACTCAGTGATCGACTCGTCAGGGCTCCCTGAATCCCTAAAGAGATTTAATTCATATTGAGGTTTTTTATGATCCACAAAATCAGAAAAAAAGAACAAGCAGAAACATAATTGATGATTTTCTTGATTTGATCTTTAATGCCTGTAGCCGGTGTGTGTGTGTGTGTGTGTGTGTGTGTGTGTGTGTGTGTGTGTGTGTGTGTGTGTGTGTGTGTGTGTGTGTGTGTGCGCGTAATATTTACAATAAAACTGATGAGAAAACAAAGATTGCAAAGACTGCTTTGTCCACCAGGGGGCGTCAAATTAAAACAGATCAAAAGTCCCTCACAGGATCTTTAAATCGGATGTTTTTAATCTTCTTTCAGAGAAGAAAAGGCGATCGAGCTCTACAAGCAACTCAAGATGAAATGCAAAAGTAAGAACTGCTCTGACTGTTCAAATTATTGATCACTTTTTAAACGGAATGAACCGTCAAACTGAAACTTGTGTTTTTCTGTCAGACCCTGAGACCGACGTGAGCAGTGACAGCTCTGAGATGGTGAAGGCGATCATTCAGACCGTCCAGAACCAGGACAAGGTCCTCAAAGACCTGTACACACACCTGAGGTCAGAGCTCACAGTTTGTTCTCTGTATTAAACTCACTGAGGCGCATCTGTGGTTCTTCATGATCGTTAATGCGCCGATTCGTCTCCACAGTAAGATCCTGATCAGCAAACAGAAGATCATCGACTTGTTCCCTCGCATTGAGAAAACTCTGGAGAACATCAAAGACGCCGACAACACCGTGATGCAGATGCAGATCAAGAGGCAGCGAGAGTTCTGGCATTTACTCAAGATCGCCTGCGTGAGTCTCTCTGTGTTTTCTACTCCACGTCAGAGCAGATCAGGGTCAAGCAAAACAAGCGATCGAAGCGTTTCAGACTTCTCTGTAGCCCAGAGATCGTTTAGTCCACAATATTTAAAAAGATGAAGAATGAAACGTCCTGGAGATGCAGATGAAGAGCCGGAATGGATCGATCATGTAGCAGCTCTACAAACAAGCTGTGTACGGTCATAAACACAGAGAGAGCAGGAGGAAAAACAACATGTGGTAACTGTTAATGCATGTGCCAACTTTTCTTCTACTCCCTCTCAAGGCTCAAAACTCATCAAGGAACTCGATAGCAGCGAGTCCCGAGTCCTCCAACCTGCTGCAGGTCTCTCAGTGGTCACAGTCAGCACAACCAGTCAGCTCCCCTCACCCCCTCACATCCCTACCTGGGCCAAACGACAGGTAACTCACTCACTCACTCATTCACTCGAAGGCCGTGTTTTCCTCTGGCCTCTTAGAGGAAACAGAAACAAGCTGGAAACCCTTCACTGCACCGATTTCACAAGACTGTGACATTTCCGTGAACTTTTTAGCCGACAGAGACAGAAACAAACATTTCTCTGGAGTTAAGTTTCCTGAACCGAGTGAGAAATCTGCATTTAGAGGTTTCATTTTGTGTTTGCAAATGATTTAACCCGTTCAGACATCTTCAGGTCAGTGTGTGAGTGAAATACATCTATTTTTGAACAGAGTTGTCTTTATTCTTTCACTAACTCAGTAAAAACTACACGTCGTAGTTTTCAGTGTTTTAAAATAGTTCCTTATAAATGAGGCTGAAAGACGAACAAATGAGCGTTTCTCTGGAAAACGGAGCAACATATGATGAAGGTTTCTTGTGATTCATTCATGACTAACTGATTTATATTCATCCCATCAGTGATGCCGCGCCACGTCTGCTGCAGGAGAACCAGAAGTACCTCAGTCAGCTGACCAGCCTGATGCAGGAGGCGGCGGACGAACAGACCAAGAGCATAGTGGTGAGTTTGACGTCTGGACGAGTTGGTCGTGTAAATTTCCTCGTTAAACTAACAGTGCAGTCTGTAACTCTCGATTTGGCGAACTCATTCCTGTTTAACACTCCTCACTCTCCGCTTTTCCTCTTTAAAGGACCAAGACTGGAGCTGGACAAAATACGAAACTTTAACGACAAAATTAAAAAAGAGAAACGCGTAAACCCCGTCGAGTCCTCCATCCCCGCCTGTTGCCCTGAGTAACACTAAAGACTGTCAGCTGTCACTAACACAGCCGAGCGGTGTCAGAGGTTGTACAGTTGTACATGAACTCCAGATATTCCCCTAAAAACCTGCTCTCTTCGCCCTCTTTGGACAACAAAAGAAAAAACACACTCCTGTCGTCCAACATGGTGGAGATATTCTTGTTGAACATGAGAAAACATGAAGCCGTGTCACTCCACCTTTTACTTTTGCAGCATCATCATTCATAATAACCATTTCTACTGTTATCGAGCAAACTGTAGCACCAGATCTGAGGACGTGAGGTGGATTCATGACGTGGGAGAGAGTCGGACACAAACATGGGAACTAGTTCAAACTTTGACATAAAAGGAAAACACAGGAAGTGGTCGGGGGGTGGGGATAGGGGTGGGGGGACGAGGAGGAAATCACAATCAAGCAAACAGCACTTTGATACTCCCATGTATCCTCTTCTACATGAAAACGTTCCAGGCTGCCAAAACAGAGACAAAAACTGTTTCATTTGTTTTTTTCGCTCATAATCAGTTTGTATATTTCAGCGTTCTCAGTCTGGGCTTTAGAGTTTCTGTAAATGTTGTTTTGATTTCTGTTTTTTTCTATAATTAAGTGATATATATATAAATAAATATATATATATCACAGGCAGAGAGGTCTTTTGTTATGGTGTGTGTGACAGACGTGGCTGGCCATCATGTTTATAGGATGTCTATTTTAAATGTCTGTAAGATCCAGAGGGGGGTTTCTTTGTCTCAATTATGTGCACAAAATATTTCACTGTGGGGTCTGCACCATATTCATGTCAAACGGAGTCTGAATTTAGAGCGGGGGAGGTCGACAGATCGCCTCAGTGTCACACAGGAACTCGATTTCATAGAGATTAACAGCTGATGGCGACACACAACAAGACTGCCTGAAACATTTAAATTAAAGAGAGCTCCTCAAGTCCCAACAATTAATATCGATTGTATAATTTTTCTTCTTGCACTCTTTAGGGAACATGTTCATCATCGTAAATGAACAAATGTGCGCACAAGTTATTCACCCACAAAAAAAGAGGGTTTTATTTATAACAACAAGTTATCTTGTGCTAACAAAAGTTCGATACTCTGACTGTTCTGTGCAAATAAGTTTTAATTTTAGGAGAACAGAAAATGATCTTGTGCCCCTTAAAAAAGTGAATAATCTGCACACTGTAGATTTCTTTAGCACGCAGTTTAAGACACGATGTTGTGCAAATGATGTAATTGTGAGCGCAAGATATTTAAGTGTGCAAACAAGAAGGTTCATCTTTTCCATTTTCCACACCATCGAGTTATCTGGTTTGTAAAAGATATTTACCCGTGCACGTCGGATGATAATAAGAGGGCATGCAGGTTAATATCCTGGGTGTGCAAGATACTTAATCATGTGCACAAGAAAATCAATATTTCCCCACCAGATCTTAATCTATACATGCAAGTTTATATCTTGTGTGCACAGGATAATAACCTGTTCCCCCACAATAATAACTTACACGCACAAGATAATTTTACTTTCTGCACAAGATAATACAGTTTAACACAAGATATCAACATGTGCATGCAAGTTGATATCTTCTGCTTACAAGATACTGCTCCCACAAGATAATTATTCATGCACACACGATAACTACAGTATATTTTGCCCGTAAGATGAACCTTTCCCTTTAAGACGATGTGCAAATTAATATTTAAAAGAGGTGAAGTCACATCTTCATGAATAACAGGATTATTCACACAGTAACACATATTTTTAGGCCCCCCCCTTGAGCCTTTAGTATTTGTTTGGGTAGAGCGTCAAACTGGGCACTTTATAAGGATTTACTGCACAAACATCTGTTCGCTGAAAAACTTTCAATCCTCTCAAAGAAAAGGATTTGTTTACCTGATTTATCTCTGAATAAGTGAAAGAAACGGTAACAGAGGATAACCGTCATTATTCGTGAAAACGGCATCAACATGCAGAGAATTATGACATCCGAGACCCACGGTCAGTCAATGAGAATATTAGAGAAGTGTAATCCGAGTGTTTTTGGTCGTTTTGTTCTTGATAAGCATCAAAATCTGTTCATACATCAATCATAACAGCAGGAAACTGAGACCCTGACCTTTTCTGATCCATTTGACATGAATGTGTAATAAATGGAGGTGTGACACTGCCTGGTCTCCTTAAAACATCGGTGCATAAAAGAACAGCCCACATCCTCCAGATTGAGTTACAGTGAAATGATGTGGTTGATTAAGTTTTGGAGTTTTGACAGAAATCATGAAAGTGACTGTTAGACTATCAGAAACTCCATCCTGTCGGGTTGAAGCTGAATCGCCTCGTGGTTTCCTTTGAGAGAAATCAAACCTTCTGGGTTGTATTTATGCAGTTTAAGTGCAATGGAGGAGAGAGTTTCTTTGTATTTAAGTAACATGTTTTTATTTTCAGTCACAGTTTCGTCTTTGAATGTTTGATTTCTAAAATTTCATTGTGTAAAGATCAAATGTTTGCCTGGTAATGAAATAAAAAGACTTTGGCATGATCTCATGTTGTTTCTGCTTTCATTTTTTGTTTTAGAGTTGAAAGCTTTTAAATGGCAGCTGCAGTTTACAACAAAATCCAGGAGTCATAAAGGAGCTTTCTGACAACAAGCTGATTCAGGGACTGAAACAAAGGGAGCTGCCTCTTTTGTTTAACACGGTTCAGCGGGATAAACTTCCAGTGCAGCTCCAGTGATGACACAGAGGTCGTCCTCTTTGTTAAAGTTAAAGTAATTTCCTTAAATGTGCCTCATACGGATAAATCAGGAGAAGCACAGTTGCAGTTTGTCTCAGTGTGAAAAGCCGGAAAGAATGAAGATAATCTGACTCATGTGTTTCAACTAGCAGAGTTTCTCAGCCTTCAAAGCTCGGTGATTAACTTTGAGTCACTCAGATTATCTCCATCACTCCTTCCTTCCTCCTCCGGACCCGTGTTTAAGTGTTCCTGGTTGAGCTGAGGTCCACGGTTTCATGCACTCTGTCTCTGAGGATCACAGCCTTAATTCTTCTGCAGATACACGCAAAACTGAAAATGTCCACAGGGATTCTCAGCTATTTCGAAATCTAAGAATATTTATTTTCATGCTGCTGATATTTTAAGACAAAATTTTCTCAGACTCAGTGATAATCAGTGACAGACCACACAAAGACGTCATTGTTCTGCATTTGCTCTTCAGGGTTGGAAAGTCTTGTGGTTTTCTTATGATTTTTTTCTCAATCTAGAATCTAAATCAGAGCAAAACCACAGATAATTGCCAGTTTGACGAACTGCTCCTGTAGTCATCACTGATCATCTTCTGCAGAATCTGCTCAGTAAATACCCTGATACGGGTAGGAGGCAAGTCTGAGCAGAGCCAAGCTGGAGAACAAGCCACAGTGTCTGTAAACTGTTGTTTTATGAGCTGCTCAGCTCATGAATCAGAGTGAATCAGACAAGGTCTTGGTGAGAAACAAACCTCGAGTTCAGGCCAACATTCCTCAACGCCAAACTCCTCTGTCTGCAGACTGAGACACACAAGTGTTTGAGAGCACACTTTCACCTCTTTGGACCGCTTTAGGTCTAAATATCTGCTGGGATTACTGACAAATGTTGTCTTTTTACATTCTTTCTCTATTCCTTAAAAAATAGAGACAACAAGCGCTCCACGGGGCACCAATGGGCCTATGGGTCCAAGAGACTTTTTTGTTTGTGTTAAGGTCATAGTAGTATGACAGAAATGTCATATTTTAATGTGAAAAAATAATCATAATTGAGGATGAAACAAATGTCATAGTATAGTTTGATTATTATGTCATAACATAGTATGTAAAAAAAGTCAAATTTAAGTATTAAAAAAAAATCATACTATAAAAAATGTCATATTATAGAATGATAAGAATGTTGAAGTATAGTATGTAAAAAGTTTTATATATATATGTAGAAAAAAAACATATTTTAGTGTAAAACATGTAATAGTATAGTTTGACAACAATTCCATATTTTAATGTGAAAAAAAAAACATAATTGAGGATGAAAACCATGCCATAGTATAGTTTGTTCAAAATTACACATTTTAGTATGAAAACAAATTTCATATTTTAGTATGACAAAAATGTCATAGTATCGTCAAATAAAAATGTCTTAGTATAGTATGACAAAAATTCCATATTTCAGTGTGAAAAAAATCATAATTTAGTTTTAAATTACACATTTTAGTATGAAAACAAATAAGATATTTTAGTATGACAAAAATGTCATAGTATCGTCAAATAAAAATTTGTAGTATAGCCTTATCAAAAGTCAAAGTATGTTAACATATAGTATGTTAAAAATGTCCTATTTTAGTGCGAATTTTTTTAAAAATATCTTTGTATGAAAAAAATGTCATAGAATAGTATGTTAAAAATGACACATTTTAGTATGAAAACAAATTTCATATTTTAGAATGATTAAAATGTCATTGTATAGTATGATAAAAATGTCATAGTGTAGTATAATAAAAATGACAATATTACATGATAAAAAAATCATATTTTACATGTTAAAAAAAATTTATAGTATAGTCTTATCAAAAAATGTCAAAGTATCGTTTAATAAAAATGTCATAGTACAATATGACAAAAATTTCATATTTTTGTGCAAAAAAAACTGTTGAGAATGAAAAAAAAATGTCATAGGAAAGTATGTTAAAAATTTAAGTGTACATTTTTTTTATATTTTTGTATAAAAAATGTCATTGTATAGTATTTTAAAAATGTCATAGGATAGTATGTTAAAAAATTATTTTTTTATATTTTTGTGAAAAAATATCAGTGTAGTATGATAAAAATGACATTGTATTATATGATCAAAAATCCTCATTTTACATGACCAAAAAAATTTAAAGTATAGTCTCACTTAAAAATGTCATATCATTAAATCAAAATGTCACAGTATAGTATGAAAAATATTTCACATTTAAGTGTGAAAAAAAAATCATATTTTGCTCAGAAAATAATGTCATGGTATAGTATGATAAAATGTCATGGTATAGTATGTAAAAATCTTCACATTTAAGTGTGGGGAAAAAAAATCATATTTTGCTCTTAAAAATGTCATAGTATAGTATGATAAAAATGACATAGTATAACACGATAAAAAATTCTTATATTACATGAAAAAAAAATGTCATAGTAAAGTCATATAAAAATGTCATAGTATAGTATGTTAAAAATTTCACATTTCAGTATGAAAATAAATTTCATATTTTGCTCTGAAAAAAATGTCAAAGTGTAGTATGATTAAAATGTCATAGTGTAGTATGATAATAATGTCATACTTCTGGATGTTAAAACATTCATATTTTGCACCAAGAAAATGTCATAGTATAGTATCATAAAAAAGACATAGTATTATATGATAAAAAAAATCCTATTTTAAATGATAAAAAAATATGTCATAGTATTGTTAAATAAAAATTTCATAGTATAGTATGTAAAAAAATTCACATTTAAATGTGAAAAAAAAATCATATTTTGCTCAGAAAAAAATGTCATAGGATAGTATGATTAAAATGTCATAGTATAGCATGTAAAAAAATTCACATTAGAGTGTGAAAAACAATTTCATATTTTGCTCTGAAAAAAAAAATGTCATAGTATAGTATGATTGAAATGTCATAGTATAGTATGACAACAATTTTACATTTAGGTGTGAATTTTTTGAAAATATTTTGGTGTGAAAAAAGGTCATAGTATAGCATGTCATAAATGTCATATTTTAGTGTGGAAGAGTTCTTCAATTTTTTTGTATGAAAATAATGTCGTGGTATAGTATGATAAAATGTCATGGTATAGTATGTAAAAATCTTCACATTTAAGTGTGGGAAAAAAAATCATATTTTGCTCTTAAAAATGTCATAGTATAGTATGTTAAAAATTTCACATTTTAGTATGAAAATAAATTTCATATTTTGCTCTGAAAAATATGTCAAAGTGTAGTATGATTAAAATGTCATAGTATAGTATGATAATAATGTCAAAGTTTTGGATGTTAAAAATTTCATGTTTATGTATGCTAAAGATGTCATAGTATAGTATGATAAAAATGACAGTATAACACGATAAAAAATTCTTATATTACATGATAAAAAAATGTCATAGTATAATCTTATAAAAAACGTCATAGTATAGTATGTCAAAAATTTCTCATTTAAGTGTGGAAAAAAATTATACTTGTTTGTAAAAAATGTCATAGTATAGTATGATAAAAATGACAGAAAAGTATGTCAAAAATTACACACTAAAGTAAAAAAAAAAATAAATTCTGTATATAAAAAATATGTCATAGTATAGTATGATAAAAGTGCCATAGGATAGTATGTTAAAAATTGTATATTTTAGTGTGAAAAAAAGGTTTCATATTATGGTTAGAAAAATATGTCATAGTACAGTATGATAAAAATGTCATAGAATAGTATGTTAAAAATCTCATATTTTAGTGTGAAATTATTTTTTATATTTATGTATGAAAAAAATATTTTTCTGTATGACAAAAAATGTCATAGTATAGTATGATTAAAAACTGTCATAGTATTGTTTGATAAAAAATTCAAATTTTAGTGTAATTTTTTTTTTTTTTGCTCTGAAGAAAAAATTTCCTGGTATTGTATGAAAAAAATATAATATTATAGGATGACAAAAACGTCATAGTATAGTATGTGAAATATTTGACATTTTAGCGTGAAAAAAATTCATATTTCTGTATGAAAAAAATATCATGGTATAGTACGATAAAAAATGTCATAGTATAGTATGATTAAAAGGTCATAGTATAGTGTGAAAAAAATTACAGTATAGCATGATAAAAAAGTCATCGTATAATATGTTTAAATTTTGCATCGTCCCTTTGCTTAAGAAACTAGGCAAAGCTTAAAAGACGTTTGATGGCTAGTACTACGTGCTGGGACTCTATATGTACTGTTGATGAAGTTAGGTGCTGTTCTGAGCATTATTAGTAAGTAAGCATTCGGCAACATTCATCTCTTGAGGGTGTTTAACTTGCTGTTACAGTTTATTTGACCCTAACTTAATTTTACGCCACAATATCCCTTTAAGAGGCTTGAGCAGGAAGTCCAGATGGCGAGAGTCTGAGCTCGTCCGACCTGATCTGACTCACTCCTCAGCTCATTTCCTTCATCCTCTATCTGGAGACCAATGCGAGTGTGTAAACTGTAAACACATGTGGACACAGATGAACAATAGAGGAGTCCTCAGCTGGTTCATGAGAGAGTTTCACAGGAAATGACAAAACCAGCACAGAGCAGCCAGCACAATACAGCCGTACAGGAAAATGTTTAATCATTATACAAGTCGCGTCATAAACAGCAGCAGAGAATCATTACTTGGTCATGTTTTACTTCACAGTGATAAATTATGTAATCTCTTAATGCAACACAATCGTCTCTTTCTGCTTCTGACGTCATACATATTCAAAAGTGCATTTATTGACTGAAACAAACACCGACTGTTGCCCTTAAAACAATTTCAGTGCAGAGAAAAACAAATACTGGCTTCTGAAGACTGGAGATAAATGCTCAAAGGTGAACCACAGTAACACACATTTGTCCGAACTGTGCAGAGCCTCCCAAAGAGTGTTTACTGCTCGCTGTTTTCAAGTACAAAGGAAGGACATTGAAGAAGGCACAGGCTGACTTTGGGCAGTTTTAAGACCGTATAAAATGATGCAGATCTATGGAGAAATCCACAGTCCTTTCTTTCTTTTAGATAAGACTCCTTTGACTCTCTGTGATAAGGAAAAAGCTGGCTTAAATTTCACTCCTCCCTAAAACAAGAGACAAAATCTGTGACTTTTAGCAGCTGAAGAAAAAGCTGTTAAACTCAGGTGGTGGAGGTGACCGAAAACAGCTTTGTCAGTCTGCATACATGATATTAACATCAACACATCAAAAGTGGTTAGAAAAGAAATATGCAGACAACTTCTTCAGCACATGAAGGCGTGTTTTAACTCTGCATCTAATGTTTGTGTCCAAGAGATGAAGCGCATAACACATGAAAAGCCTTTCTACATATCCTTGTACGATAAAAACTCACAGTGACAGGAGGATCAGATTTTCACCTGATGTACAAGAAAAAAAATAAACTAAGAAAACAAAACGGGTGTCTCTTTGTCCACAAGGGGGCACCTTACTCAATTAACCACACAGGTGGACACAAGCATGGGATGCAAAATTACAATGAAGTATCAGGGCAACCCTAAAGATAAAAGAACCTGACACTTTGAGACTAAAACTGTAAATTTAGGAGAGGAAAAAGCTGAAAACTGAAGAATAAATTGTTACAAGATCGTTAAGTAATAATTTACAAGAGTAAAGACCTAATATCAGGAGGGTGACGTCTTAGATTGAGGAGGAAAAGATCACAATTTAACCTCAGCAAACATGAATAAAGACAAACTCGGAGACCTACAAGGAAATAAAGTGGAGGCAGATGTTACTCAGGAGGTGGTGGAGACCAAAAACAGAGTTAAAAGTGTTGATTTTAAAGCTGAACAGATCAGATAAACTAACATAAAACAAAAAAAATACAAAGAGGAATTTGGTCTTTTCAGAGTCGCTAATTTAAAGAACAGCCACTGAAGCATTTTTGTATTTCTTTAGACTGACGAAGCTGCTGTGCTGTGATCGATCGGATCAGCACCAAAACAAGACAAAGTTAGTGACTAGTAAGGACAGCAGTGAGACATTCAGCAGCGTCAGAGCCAGAAACAGACTCAAAGAAGGAAATAAGAGGATTTACTGTCATAGTTTTCACAAAAACATCTATAAAAGTAGAATTATGATGCCTGAGTAAGGAACAGTTTTCCCACAGGATTGTCATATTAGCCTCAAGTTCTCATGAAACAGCAAGTAAGGGGCCGCTGCAGAGGCACATGAATGTGAACTTTAAAGGTGCACAAAAAATGTAAAAAGAGAATATCTCAAATTTAAAAATCTGCTCCTTAAAAAAGTACGACTACAAACGACTTCTCAGCAACAATAAGAAGAAAAAAAAAAAGCACCAAGACCTGCTTTTCCTCCCCTGACTGATTTCTGTGCAGTCCCCGACAAGACAATCATCAAATAAATATTTAAAAAGTACATTTTTATATGAGCGTCATTTTGCTCACACTCAAAAAAGTGCATTAAAAAAACCCAGACGTCAGATTTATGACAAAGACAACAGGCAGAGAGCACCAACAAACAACAGCAACAACAGCTCCAAGAGTTCACGAGCTCAGGGAGAGTTTTCCCTGCAGCTCTTTGGTCTCATGTCATCAAACACTCTCAGCTGGTGAAGCCCCCGGTCACCAACGACATCTCTGAAGACGAAGAGTTAACTTTTTCCAAACTCTCTTGAGCGCCCGTGACTCACACAGATTTAATCCTGGAAAAGAGACGCCCTCTCTCGCTTCATTCACGTTTCCCCTCTGCTTTGGTCAAACTTTGATTCTTCGAAGGCGATTCATGTTGGTTTGTGAGGCTGTGGCTTCACTGGGGGTAGCGGAGGAGGGCACGGTTTGAGTCTGGCAGCTGGAGGAGGGCTGGGTTTGACTGGAGGTACAGGAGGAGGGCCCGGTTTAGCTGCTTTACACTGGAAACAAAAAGGAGGTTTCTATTAAACACATAAATAAGATGTAGCTCCTCGGAGATCAACAGAGGGTGCTTTTAGGTTTTAGCCGCAATAAAACAAACAGCAGTGTGACCCCTGACAGAGAATGAGCTGCGACTTAAAGATAAGACTTGAATGTTTCCCTTGAGGGGAAACTCATGCTCCAGCTGCACAAGAAACACTTAAAAGAAACGGGAAACTGATAAACAACTGTTCAAAACGAGTGCGTGCTTCAGGCTGAGGCCGCCTGCAGGGTAAAGATTCACACTGGAAACGTTTCACTTTCAGGAGCAAGCGGGGACGCGGAGACAGGCGGCGAAAGATGCTCTGAAAGTAACGATGAATGAACGTGTTTCATTTCCCGCCAGGATAAATGAAGGAGCTCGGTCAGTGAACTCTTTAACTCAGAGAAAATTACAGATCAGCAAACGACCAAGATCCATCAAAAATTCACGCTGTAAAGACTCTGCTCTGCCACTACAGAACTTCTCAAAGCAAAATAACAGAGATGGAGGCGTCACTGGAATAAAACCGGCCAGTTCAAGTTTTTTTATTTTAAATTTTGACACTAAAAGAAACTTTATCATATTTAGAGTGAGAGCATCTGTAGCTGTGACTCACCTGTGCTGTACTCAGAGGTGGTAAAGGTTTACACGGAGGTTGCGGTTTCATCTGCGGATAAAAAAAAAAAGGGTAAGAGTTTGTTTTTAATGTATAAACAAAACTAGAAAAGCACTCGGAGAGCGCAGACCTCCGCCAAGCAGCTCATGTCCCCCTTATATTGTGATTCACACCAAAACTTTTACTGTTTCGTGTCTTTTATTAACGTTTATTTGTGTTTAAACTGGTTTGTTCACTGTTCATAAAACAAGAAATGCCCTGACCAGGATACGAACCCAGGACCTTCTGGTTGTGAGGCGACAGTGCTAACCACTACACCACTGTGCCGCCCATTGGTTATCTTTTTTAACTGAGGCCATTTTCACAAATGTGACACTGATAAATTCTGGAAATTTTCCAGTCTGTCCCTTTGCCACAGTTCACCAGTCATCACAGTGCGACAGTAGATGAGGGCGCTCTCAGTAAACAGGACAAGGACGCTGCAGAAGTCTCAGTCCTTGTTTTTACAGTTTGTTCTGAAAAAGATTTACTGTGAAGTTCAACTGAAACCGAACTTTCTCAATAAGTCGAAATTGCACCGAATCGAACCTCTCATACCTGGATAATGTGACAGGGGATCGATTTTCTCTGTCATGTTTACGCCTCAATCAGACTCTAACTGGCTGAAGTGTTCTGTGCGTGTTCTACAGCTTGTGTGGAGGTAAACACCTTAAATGCGATGACAGTCGTCCAGTTAAACTGCTCAATCGAGCCGTAAACGTAGCTTGACTCGACCGTGCATGTAAACAAACTGAGCGAGATGTTTGCAGAGAGAGAGGAGTTAGAGTTTGATGCTGTAGTTTTATTCACACGTGCAACTAACTCCTGGAAATTTCTGGAATTTCTGCTGATGATAATTGGACAAAATCGAAAGAGTGAAAGAGCGATTCAGTGAAAAAAATATTATGAAGTAGCTTCATTATATGCTCAACAATTGCACAAGTTGTGCGCCGGCTGCGTGATAAAAACATCATCACTCATGCAGTTCATTCTGAATTTTGGGGAAATTTTCACAAATTTCTGTGTGTAAAAGGACATCCGACTGTTACAGCAGCTTTATCCTCTACGGCCACTTTTAGACGTATCGGTCTCCTTAGAAAACAGAAAAATTTAGTTTCGTTTAGAGGGGTCCGTTTAGACGGCAACTGCGTTTTCAGGAGATGAAAACGTAACAAAGTGAAAACCCCCTTCAGAGTGGAAATGTTGTAAACGCTCTGCTCGTCCCGCTTTCGTCTAAAGTACAAAAACGCTGAAAACAGTCAAACCTGTGACGTCCTGGCTCACATCGCTCACATCGCTATTCGTTGTTGATCTCTATGGGAGCGCGGTCACACCGAAACGCGCCACCTAGCGACCTGGCATGCACATTACAGCGTTTTCAACCACATCGCGTTTTTGTGTAAACACAGCATAAAAACTGGAAACGAAACGGCACTTCTCCGTTTTCTATGGAGAGCGTTTCCGTCTAAAAGTGGCCTTAGGTTCTGCTCCATGTTTTATTTCATTAGACTCTTAAACTCTTGCTCAAGGTGCCAACTCTGAACGTGATCCTCAGTTTACTTTATGCATCAGATCATGTTGCGGGTTTGTGTGTCTTTGTTAGTCTTACCGGCTCAGCTTGTGAGGTAGACGACTCTGCAGACAGTGTCTTTGGTGGCTGTGGAAAGAGAAAAAACCACTGTGACTTTAAGAAGTTTGTATTTTTCGCTGTAAATGTGTAACCTGCTCACACATGAATGGATCTCTAACATGTGTCTGCTCTCTGTACCTGAGGGGCAGGCCTGCAGGGAGTCACAGTCACAATAAGTGGAGTGCAGGCTTGTGTTGCTGTTGACTCCATGAAAGTAGGCAGACTGATCTGAGGTCTGTTTTTTACACTCGGCTCCTGGAACATGGGGTTCAACTTTCCTGGGGCTGAGTGCACTTTCCTGCGGTGACAAAACGTGTTAAAGAGGAGTGAGAGAAAAACTCTGAAACTCACTGACATGGGTAGATGTTGAAGGAATCAAAGCTACCGTTTGTAGGTGTAGTTCTCCATGTTGTCCTTTTTGCAGCACATCAGGCCTGCGATCACAGCGGTGATGAGCAGGAGGACGGAGAGGACCGCACACACACCAGCTATTATCCTGCTCTGGCCTGCAGACAGAAAGGGGAAGTTTCACGATTTAACAGTCTCCCTGTTGTGTTTATGATCACGGTATGTCACGCTGCTTCATGTTTGTTTTTAGACATATAAAGAGCTGAAAGAGCGGCTAGATGTCGGGTATTCATACACATTTATAGACGAGTTCTGCGCTAATTATTAGCCGTTCTGGTTCTCTAAGGATAAATACGCATGTGATCCAGCTCAGTTTGAAACAAACACAATGTACTTGTGCTCAAATGTAAAGGAAAAGCACACCACACAGCTCCTAATGTCCTCCAACACCCAAACATGAAGACAGATGGAGACGGGTGAGCAGCAAGAGCCTCAACATCACCAGAGTTCTCAAGAGTTATTAAGTTCGGGTCATGACACCACAGGGAGGATCTACAGTTTGCTCCAGTGTCCTGAAGTCAACCCCGGACTCCCCCAGCCCATCATCATGAGGAGAGGAGACGAGGAGAGGAAGAAACCCAAAGAGGAGTTTGTAGAGAGACGAGCAGCGTACATTTGTGGTTGTCTGCTGGACCTCCTCTTACACTTTTATTAATCCCGCCTGGCACTATTTCTTTGTTTCAGCTGCTCGTAATATAAGATGATAGTCATCTGTCGGTCCAACAAACATGTTCCTTTTAAGTCTTCTCTTTTTGTCATGATAGAGACTGTTAGTTTGGTAAAAAGTACAAACCAGCAGCATTTCACAACTTTTTTTTTGGTAAGAAAAGACTCCTTGTTCTCGGGAATTTCACAATTTCGGTCAGCTCTGTGGTGAAATGAATCTCCTTCCTCTTTGGTTTTATCCAAGCTCTCTCACTCATAATAGTTTGTAAACTTTTTCATTTCTTATGCAGAAATAGTCTCAAGACTATTAGACTATATAAGATCGGAAACAACCTGTAGCTCTTTTAATTTTGTTTTGAACTGTATAAGGAGACATTCAGAGCAGTTTAGCTTCGAGAAGAAACAGCTTTAACTGAGGTCACTTTGACGGTGTTTCATTAACTCTTGATGAGGTCAGCGCTGGGAGAAATAAGAGATCAGTCATTATGAATCATTCATGTTTGTTTCTGACTGGAAGAGTGATTCAACCAGCAGCTGTGACCTGGTTTTATCCGAGCAGCTCAGACTGAGAGCCGACCTCCAGATCTCGACCTGCTCACAACTCTGAACACATTCAAATTCATTTTAGAGAAAGTCAAATGTGCAGTACCTTGAGGTAAATCTGCATACTGGATGTCACAGTACGGTGGAGCCCAGCCAGGATTACAGTGACACTCATTCTTATGATTGCACACCTATGGATATAATGTCATGTAATTATTAATTCATGGATCAGGCTATTTTACTCAGAGGGTTTACGTTCAAAAGGATTTAAGTATTAATCCGGTTTGCTCTCTTACCCCGTTGTTGCTGCACTTCTTTGCACAGTCCTCCTTCTTCCCATAAACAGATACATCCACACATTGATTGTTGTGGCAAACCTGCAAAAAAAACCAACTGGTTCTCAACCGGAAATCAAAAAAATAACAAACGATCACTGAAATTCATCTCCTCTCTGAATGTTTTACCTTATTTGGTCCACACATGGTTCCTTTTGGCACGATGTCCATGTTCCTGGTCTTGTCGTCATCCACAGCTACTTTACATTCAAGGCCAAACACAGTGTAGGAAGCTCTTTTGCCCGTGATGGATTCTCCTCCTCCAGTGCAAAACATAGATCCACACTTGAGATTCCTACAAGAAAAGACTAATTAACTCATCGAGGAAATTTAGTCTCATTAAAGCAAGACCTTGAAAATCAGGCCAAAAAGAAATCTGTGAATAAATATGGGATTAAATTCGGACGTAAAACCAGACTAATGCAGTGCATGTGGTAATGATACATACGGTCTTGCACACGAGATGAAGCCCATTTTGTTCCTCCCGCAGTTAGCACCTTCTTCACCCCGTCGGTTCAGGTCAAAACACATATCAGGTCCAACTCTGGTCCCTAGTGACAAGAGAACCTCACAGTTAACCTCAACACATAAAGAGAAGCCAGAGGAGACATTGTTACATTCTGAAGACTTCCTGTTACATTCTAAAGACTTCCTGTTACATTCTGAAGACTTCCTGTTACATTCTAAAGACTTCCTGTTACATTCTAAAGACTTCCTGTTACATTCTAAAGACTTCCTGTTACATTCTAAAGACTTCCTGTTACATTCTAAAGACTTCCTGTTACATTCTCAAGTCTTCCTGTTACATTTTCCTCTTCCTGTTACATTCTAAAGACTTCCTGTTACATTTTCCTCTTCCTGTTACATTCTAAAGTCTTCCTGTTACATTCTTAAGTCATTCCTTTACTTTCCCAGTCTTTCTGTAACATACTTAAGGCTTCCTGTTACATTTTCCTCTTCCTGTTACATTCTTGTCATTCCATTACATTCTTAAGTCTTCCTGTTACATCCTAAAGACTTCCTGTTACATTCTAAAGACTTCCTGTTACATTTTCCTCTTCCTGTTACATTCTAAAGACTTCCTGTTACATTCTTAAGTCATTCCTTTACTTTCCCAGTCTTTCTGTAACATACTTAAGTCTTCCTGTTACATTTGAAGACTTCCTGTTACATTCTTGTCATTCCATTACATTCTTAAGTCTTCCTGTTACATTCTGAAGACTTCCTGTTACATTCTGAAGACTTCCTGTTACATTCTTGTCATTCTGTTACATTCTTAAGTCTTCCTGTTACATTCTTGTCATTCTGTTACATTCTGAAGACCTCCTTTTAAATTCTTAAGTCTTCTTGTTACTTTCCAAGTCTTTCTGTTACATTCTTGTCATTCTGTTACATTCTTAAGTCTTTCATTTATATTCTAAAGTTGGAGACTGTCAAGCTGAAAAAAGACCTTGATGCTGGGCTTGGACAGCAGTCAGGTACTGGGAGCTAGTTCTGGCAAGCTGTTTGATGACTCAAGCAGGGTCAGCTTATGGGAACAACTCTTTGGAGCTCCTGAATCAGTGCAACATGTCTCTACTGTTAGGGTGACTGAAGACTCAGAGAACAGAAAAAGCCTCACCCATGTGCCTGGTAGATATTTTTATGATAAGTGAAGACTCCTTAGGTGTGGATGAGTTCTGCCTGGACATGATGCAGACTTTAGACTTTGTTTCGCTGTTTTACCACTGCCAACATGCACAGCATACCCCCCACAAAAAGCTTCTTCAAGTGTTTTTGAGTTTGCACATCTAGTCCGCACACATGTTCCCAACAGATCTGTTTAGATCAGGAACACTGGATACTGAGGCTGTAGCCTTGAGTGATCTCATCTTTATATAACTGAAGTAAGAGCTTGGCGGGGAGTCAAACATGTTTGCAGGCGATGTGGAGTTTCACAGGGTAGTTTCCTCACACTGATTTTATTAATGATTGTGGCAGATCTCAAAGGGAGGGGGTGTTACTGAACGTCATGAGCCTGAACTTGCATTTCATAAACATCTGTCAGATTTGAATGCACTCTTGTAAATGTAGAGACTGTTAATTCAGTAAGAGATTCATTCATTTAATTTCTTTTTCACATAAAAAGAAAACCACCCTGTGACGCTGGAGTTTACTGAAATTATACACAAAGATGTGTATATCCAGAGCTTCTCGAGCCCAGGCTTCGTGTACTCGGTGGAAAAAGAAACACTAAAGGTTGTTTTTAACGTTACAAACTTTAGAGTGTACCTTGTCCAAACAGCCTCCAGCAGTGCTGCTCATATGAAGGACACTGGCCGTCGTAGCAGTAGCCCTTTGTCTGGTCAAAACACGGTTTGCCGTTCATTTCGAAGCTGTCCTCGGGGCAGTCCCCCGACACTCCGGTGCAGTATTCAGGCAGGTCACAGTCACCAGCTGACCTTCTGCACACGCTCCCAGACAGCGAGAACTGTGGGTTAAAGCACATTTTAGGAGATTTATCAAGAATTACAGTGAAGCTGCAGCTGGCTGAGCAGCACGTATAATTATTATCATGTGTATTTCATGTCTCCTCCAGTCATTAGAGGAAGGATGTGGTGAATTTCATGGAAGCAGCAGCATATCAGCCTCTGTTTCCTGCTATTATTGAACTGCTGCCGTTTCAAAGTGGACTGCAGAGGAACCTTCTTCTGTTGCTATTTTAAAGCCCACGGTGGTTATCCAGCAGCAGGGTGTGTCTGTTTGATCGCTCTCTCTGCACGCTGCACTTCAGTAAGTCAGTAAGACTGTAAAAAACAACTGCTGAATGGACTCGAACCATCACAGGCATTCATTGTCCAAAAGGATGAACCCATCTGTATGCTGTGAATTTCGGACTTTTCCTCTCGGCCTGCTGTTTTTTTTGTTTACCTTGTTTTGTGTAAAATTGATGAATATCTTCTATTAAACACCTGTGTCTAATAACTTAGTGTGGACATTCATGCTCACAGATGATAAACCCTTGGCACTGAAGACTGATGCTTAAACATCTCTCCTCCTGGGCAGCCAAGAGGTTTTCATGAGAACATATCGCCACATGTTGCCGTGAATTTAAGTGCTGTTTACTGATTGGATTGGCACAAAGGTTTGTTTAATCACCTGGTCCCCAGAGGATGAACTCTTATTGTTTTGAGAATCCCCTTGACTTTCCCTCAACTCTAACAGAGAGAATCACGGTCGTGTTTCTCTAGAGTTAACGTTTCAACAACTCCTGGATGGACTGTCTGTTACCATATTTGGTACCTCTGTGCAGCCTCACAGATTTGCGAACATGCCAGCAAACACCTCATCCTGTTAAAGCAGGAGTTGTTACCGTGTCTTCAGCTGGCAAACCCTCTCAAAAGAGCTATAAAATGGGCAGTAACAGCAGAATTACCTGGCAGTTGTCACAGCACTGTCCGTGCGCACACTGGGATCCTTCAGTCAGACGACAAGTTGATGCATCGCAGCACGGGTTCTTGCATTCCTGAGTAAAGAGACATTCTTATTCAGCTGTGTCATGTTTACATATCCACTCCAGCCTTGATCATGACACGCTGTGATAACAGTTCCTCACACAAGCACATCTCTGCCAATCCTCGGCTCCGATAAGACATGAGCACACAGGAAAACTATTTCAGCTTTCAAGGCCACGATCTCTGAATCATCGCTACCTTGGCTTTTATTAGCTGTAATCTCGCTCTCAGGAAACCACACCAGCACGCCAAACCCAGGTGGCATTTTCCATCACCAAAGAGCAAGTTCAGACTTTCAAAAAAAAGTGACAAGGTCATAACCCTTGGCTAAGAGTTTTACCTCCACTGTGCCGCAGTCGCACTGCTCCCCGGGGTCAAGCAGCGCGTTTCCGCAGCGGGGGCCCACAGCGATGGTCCTGACAGAGCTGGGTTTGGTCAGACAGCTGGGCTGGGCTCGCTCCATGAATTCAGCGAGCTGTTCCACGCTGCAGCTGCTGAAAAACTCTGGGAACGCCTGAGCTGCTGTCCTGCAGAGGAGCGAAGGGAATTCAGCTTTACAGAGGATAGGATTCAAAGGTAAACAGCACATGGTTACAACAATATGTGATGGAATATGGTGGTTTTTTGTCTTTCTATCAGATGCACCACCGAGCTTATACCAAAGAGGGGGATTATCCAAACACCTTCAGAGATGTTTTTGGACAATTCATGCTTCCTAATATGTAAATGTGTCCTTACTTGAGCTTGTCTGCCATCACACAGTTCCCTGTGCTGTAAGATGGACCACAAAAACATCCCGGAGCATCATGAGACAAGCCAAAGTTATGTCCCATCTCGTGAGCGATAGTTGAGGCCAGACCTATCAGGTTATCATGATGATCCTGGAGGATACATGCAGAGTTATTGATTCAGATTCAACAGAATATTCAAGAAGAATACCACTTTAATGTAAATCAGTCATACCTGATTGACTCCACCAGAGTTTTCAGTGCACATGGCGAACTTATTTGCCAGTCCGACTGTGTCTCCCTCAAAATCTTTGCCGCTATAGAGAGAAGAAACGTCCAACATGAGGTTAAAGCAGCAGCATCACTGAGTTTAAAGATATCGAAGACTGCTCCTCACGTCACAAACTGAGCGTTGTCGTGCTTCGTCCTTTGCAGAAGATCAGACTGGCGCCATGAGAGGAAGTTGTCCAGAGCTTTCTCAGAATTTAAGCTGACATCAATGTGGTCTGTGTACGTCCAGATCTCCAAACCCACCAGCATGACACGGATGTTCAGAGTCTTATACAACTGCAGGCAGAGAGGAGGACATTTAGTATGAACGCATCAGAGTACAGAGCGAAAAAACAAAGTCAAACACAAAGAATTACCTTATCGATGTGGTTCACAACTCCAAGAATACGGGACTTAGTTTCGCTTCCATATCTCTTATACTGGAGAAGGATAAAATATGATCAGATTCATTTAACAGCAGAATCATGATAGTGGATTATTAGACTGAGACTCGTACCTCAGTGTTGTCCACCACCACAAACAGCTCGACAAACTTCTGTGGACCTGAGGCTGGTATGGATTTCTGAAGGAAGGAAGAATGAGAAGAAACCCTTTATCATGAAGACCTGGGGTCAAAGAGAGCATGGTGGATCCAGGATCAGAGGTCTCACTTGAACAAAATTAACTTAGCTTAAAAACAAAAATAATGTCCCAAAATTACAATATTTTACACTTTTAATATTCTCATTTGCACACACAAACAGAAACGACAGATAAAGTGGAAGTCGATAAAAGGCAGCTCTTATGTCAGCTAATAATATCTTGTCTTGCTAATCTTCACGTGTTGGATTTTCCCGTTCTGGCTCCACATGACACAAAACACAGACTCTCATCCAGCCACAGAGTCTCCTAACGTCACAGTAATGTCCAGACTTCATGCACGACATGCCAAGTGTATTTATACTGTTTGAACAGAAGATCCCTTACGTATGCAAGCTGATCCTGATTCAATCACATTAAAAAAAAAAAAGCACTCTGCGTGGACGTGTGAAAAATTAACCCCCCCGAGTTAAACGAGGTCACAGAAAAGAGAACCAGAAACCAGAGGAGGAAAACTGAGAGGAAGTTCATATGTGCTCTGTCTGATTTTCAGACACTTACATTTACATGCAGCACACCCTTTGACACACATTTGAAATCCCTCCTTATGGAGTTATTCGAAATCCTCTTTCTCCTCTTTTTTTTTTCACTTTTTTTGTAATTATCATGTTATCGTTTGTGAAAAATCCCCCTGCTAAATCTGCAACACTCTCAAACAGCTCGCATTGTTCAGTGAGTTAGACTGAACATTTTCTGGAAAATTCTGATCTTTCCCTGTGGTATCAGAGGAGACACGAAGCTTTGAAGAGCTCCACCACAAGAACAGTCACAATCAGCACACTCGAACTGAGCCGAAAACAGCAGCCTAAAGTCACATCGAACCTTGTTTTTTCTCAGCTTCTTCTGGCTTTTTGAACGACTAAATTATTTGTTTTATTTCTCTTAATATTGGATTTTGTTCAGTGCCTGTTCTGTTTTATCTGCTGCCCATGTGTGTCTATGAGGGGTAACTTTGTTTAACTTGACTCTCATAAATTTGGTACGCCGTGCCTCAACAGAACTCTTGCACACCAAATTGGAGCAGACATATTTGGGAGGAGCGGCTGGTTAAAGCTGTTAGGGGTAATAAAGGCCTGATGGCGTTGTCTGTTTAGTTTAAGACCAGCTCATAGTGTGCAGAGAGTTGAACTTGTGTGAGAAAACGGAGTTTATCTGTGTTCAGAATGCTGACTGTGGCTGTTGTGGGTCTGTTATCTGCCGTACCATCGAAGTTTTCAGTATCCGTGTCCTGAGAGGATGTGTGAGGTCACTCAGAGTGCTGATAGGTGTCAACTTACTCATATAAGTGTTTACGTAATGGACACATCTGGTTTTAATGTGACCCAGCTTCCTAGTTATTACAACTACAACATGGCTTTGGCTGCATTCGTATATGTGGGTTCACAATATAGTGTCATTTTCAGGGCCTAACCTAACCACCCCGAAGAAATAGATTTAACAGTCACTGACCCATGATCTGGACCTGAATAGGGCAGCAGGGCTCAGGTCCTGGTCCTGGTCGTACAGTACAGAAGTGTTTGTGTCGGACGAGGAGCCACACCCGACGGTCCCGCGGGTCTTCAGATGTTCCCGTCTGTAAACTGCATGATCAGCATCATCAGAGCGTCCCAGAGGCTCGATCAGGTAAACCTGCTGCTGTGCTCGCACAAAACCACTGCAAACAGAGAAGGAGAAGACATGGTTCATCGTTTCAAAGGTTCCGATGTGAGTCAGCTTCATGAGCATTTACTACCAGAGCAGTTTCACAGCCGATTGTCCCATGACTCAGAAAAAGAGGACCCAATGCAGATATAGAAGACTCATTCTGGGAGCAGTTTAAGCAAGAGCCCCGTTTACAGAGGCTGTAATCCTCATTGTAGCGTCTGCTGGTTCAACTCCCTGTCTCTCTTCAGCTGTTCTATCAATAAAGGCAAAGTGGTGGAAGAAATCACTTTTCAAAATATGGCTCATCCTAATTTAGCAAAAAACTAGTTGGCGCAGGAACGATCCATTTTCAATTTCTACATTGATACAATTATGTAAATACATATCTAAGAGTTACTAAATGCACCTTTAAAAACACTTAACATGTAAAATATGGAGTTAGAGTATGTGTACAGAAATAGTTGTTTGTTCTCTGCAGCTCCTCTAATATCATCGTTAGATTATTTCAATTTAAAGCTACTGTGAGAAGCTTCCAGTTTGTGATGAGTTTGGCGCCCCCTGTGGACTAAGTGGTACCTTTTTCATTTCTTTACTGACTTCATCCCATACAGGTTTGAGTCTCTTATATGAGATATGAATTGGAGTGATAGTAACACAGTAACAAATAAGGGAAAATGATGTAAACTGACCAAATGAACTAGATATTGTCATAATTTAAAGTTTCGTCAGAGGAAAAGTTTCATGTGAGTCAATAACGTAAATACAAGTTCAGTTTCAACCAAAGGTGCAAACACATGAACAAACTGCTGGATTACTCAAAACAAAGAAGCAACACATTTCACAAGCACGTGGGTGATTTTACTGATTACAATTTTAGTGGAAAAATACAAACAAGAACCAAAGATGTAAAAATACCTCGAGGTTTTCTTACCTGATTCCTGAACAAATCCCAACGCTGACCGAAGAGTCCTTCATGCCCTGGATGTGGCCGTGATAGTAACAGTGCTCCTGCAAAGATTCAGAGGATTAAGCAGAGGTGGTTTATACTTCACATTCTTCATCTACACACAGATAAGGACTTTGTTGTTTTATCTGCAAGGAAGTATGAATAACGTGTGAGAAATGTCCGATCTTTATCACGTTTGAGTCACTCAAACTGCACACTGGTAAAGTGACACAGGGAGGTTTAAGAGGGAGACCTGTGGGCAAAGTCCACGTCTTTGTTCGCATGACTGACGCTCAAAATATTCATTTAAATGCAGGAAAAATCTAACAGGAGTTCAACATGCTTATGATGTATTCACTGTGAGTTAAAACGGTGAAAATAATCAGAATTACAGGTATAAATATGTTTTGCATGAATGGTTAGTTAGTTCTTTTTTTGATAATGACCCAGTTCTCACTCATTAGCCTCAATTTATGAATTAAAAAGAGCCTCTTTATTCACCAGAGAGATTGAGAAGGGTGAATTTTTTTTCTTCTTATTTAAAGGTAAATTAACGTAGAAAAATCTCACCTCATTTGGAGATGTTGTGACTCGTTTTCCATCTTCTGAATAATGTGTTTCAGTGTAGTCTTTCCCAAGAAGATCCCTTTAAAATCCACACAGAAAAGGCCAAATCAGAAAGCTTCTCTTCTCTGTAATGAAATATAATACTAGAAAGATATTTTTGTGATTTTAAAGCGTGTATACGAACCAGTTTTTTTCCAGGTGAATCATGTGATTTCGCCCTTCGATAGCAAGCTGGTACTGAACGGTATCAGGATACAGCTGTTGAAAAAAATCAAACTTTTACAACATTTTTGTACATTTATGCTTGATGCAATAATTGTTCTTGATACAAGTATGAAAAATCAAATTCAAGAGTTTATTGGTCCCAGTTACTCCTAAAAGTTTGGTTTGCAAAATAATATTTAGATGGTGAGAAATGTGGGTCACTATTTCTCAGACAAAAGTGACACTCTCACATTCCTGGTATTATTGTACCATGCATCAAAACTGCAAAGTTATTATATATCACTCACTTACTAAATCACTTCATTAATTAAAGCAAATAAATAAAAACAGCAATTGTCAAATTTCTGACTGCAAGACAAACTTTTTACTTTGTTATGCAGGCTAATAGGTTAAAAATCGTAAACTTTACATCGACTTTCACTGGAGAAATCTCAGGTGTGCTCACCTGTGTGTCCTTCACACTCCTCCTCTGCCTCCCTGAAAGTCTCTGAGGTCTGACTACTTCATACCTCTCCACGTGAGACAGCATCCCGGAGCTCTGCACGAGACAGACTTCACAAACAAACACCGCCGTTAGTAAAATCCTCTGTTACAGTCCACCAGCTATTGACTTTACTTTCGGGTAATAACAGAGACAGGCTTCAGTCAAAACTTACCCCATGTCATCCACAGTGAAGCCGTCCTGACCCACATCTTGAAGTGCTCTGCTCGGGCTCTGGCCCTCTTCTGCCGTTACTACACCGTGAGTCACCGAAGCAGCAGCAGCAGCTGTCCGGTCAGAGCTCCGCCCTCCCTTCACTGTTATCACCGCCTCACATATTTACTGGAAATAAACAGTCATGGTGAAGTCAGCAACGACACTACTGAAAACAGGCTTCCGAGCAAATGTAAAACGTCAAAATAAAATGTACCATTACGACCACAAACCGTTAAACGCAGTAAAAGTTTCATGTAGCAGTTCAAAGGTTTGTAAGAGTATTTGTATTTGTAGAGCAGCTCAGAGTATCGGTTACACGAACTGATACACAGTCTGGAGTCCGCATATGGTGTTTTATTTTGAAATCCCGGATGGCATGCGCGGTTTTGACGCGCATTGGAAGCAAAGATAGACTTGCCGCGTCTTTAGCAGTGCTGCTCTTGATACGATGCTGCGACGGTACGATACGATACGCATCCTGTATAACTGCATACTAAGTTCAGAGGGAACGTTCAACTTCATCCCTGACGAATATCACATCGTTTCATCACTGAAGTAGAAAATTCAGTACAAAATCCCTAAATCCTTCATCTGCTTGTCAAAGAAAGTGTTTTTCTTCCATTTGAGGTGTTCTTAGGGGAAGCTATGCCAGCGATGTTGAACTTAGACAGCGGCTCCGTCTGGTTCATGAAAATGCCCACAGGTGCAACAGATTCTACACGGTTTCCGTCAATGACCAGGTCTGCGTAAAAACATGAATAATAATCTGTCAGAGCTCCGAAAAACACTTTGAAGATGATTTTAAAGCATTGTTTTTAACACATATGTAGACTGACTTGGACTGAACTCCTTTTATCAACAATTTAATGTCTCCTCTCTGTTTGTTAGTAACTAGTGAGGTTTTTACTACAGGAGTAGCTGCGAGAGACATTATAGGCTACTCTTCTGATGTTACAGGGAAATAAACGACGTGTTGGTTGATCTTGTTTCTGAGGCCAGATTTCATCTGTAGGAGATGCTGAAGTTGTAGAGAAGTTCAAATATCACATTTGTGCGGAAGCCCTGAGCTGACAAGCATGGGCACGCAAACGTTTCCCACACAGCCATTGTTATGAGCAAAGACTAAAACTTGATTGAAAGCAAAAATAATTATTTATTTATTTATTTTTTATATGTGTGAGGTTTTTACTGTTGGGCTCAAGGACGCAAAGATCACTAAATACGCAAGAGTCATGCGTCCTCAAGAATAATTTTTTAACTTTTGAAATCATAAATTTAATACTGAATCAAACTTTTCAGTTATGTATTTCCGTTACTTTGTGAATGAATTGAGTTATTTTGTCTTGATTTTTGTCTCCTCATTGAAAACACAGTGGCGACTGTTGAAAATCATCTTTTTAATCTGGACAACCATAAAGTGTACCGTCATGTTTAAACAGTGAAATTTAATTTTATGGAGAACACTCATTTCTGTTTTTACAAACATCAAGAGAAATGAAGATTGAGTGGCCTAATCATACTTGTATTTTTCATCAACAGTGGAAATTGTTCAGTGTTTCTTTTGTTTGTAATGTATTAAAAGATCATTATAATCCCAGGTGTTTATAGGCTGTTGCATTTCTGCATTTCTATCTTGTATTTATTAGGCATTATCTTCAATATTAATGGATTTATTGAAAGAGAAACAAAAAGGTTAAAATCTTGAGATGATAATTATAATTTTGGATTATCTTTCACTGAACCCACCCTGTTAAAACCACATGGAAAATCATTTTCATTTGCTGACATATATTCAAATGAATCAAAGTCCTCCTTCAAACAAAAGTCCGCCATGAATCAGCTTCATATTTCACAGTGAATTAAGTCAGGAAGCTTCATGTCTGTTTATAATCACGGGAGTATTTGATGGATGTTGTTCACAGTGGGAATCAAACTGTGTGTATCACAACGTTGATGTTTGAGTGTGTTTGTCTTTTTGTTTTCTGTTTCAAAAAAAAATTATGACCAACTAAACACAACAACTTTCCTTCACTCAGCATCGCACAGCCTCAGCTGAATCAGGACTTGGAGTTTCTTTGATTCACTACTGAATTGACCTGAATATAGGAGCACCCTGATGATATGACCTTCCTACACTTCTCATTTACAGACCAAATCTATTTTTTATACAGAAAATAGTTTGAATGAAAAATAATCTTAAAATGGACACAGTGAACAAAACAAGCTGAGTTGATGTTTTTAACATGTTTTAGTTCAAATAAAGTTTTTATTGTTTTCAAATGACATTGTGACAGTGAAATTAAATAAAAAATGATCTGGTGTAAATGAAGCATAAACATACTGCTACGCAGACAGAGCACAGATCTATTGATACTAGATAAGCGAACTGTGATGAGCTGTTCTGGCTTCTGATTGGACCTTTACAGGTCAGCTGATAGCAGATACAGCCTCTAATTGGTTTACAACAGAAATGACACTTTGTTACTGAAATTAATCCATAAATCATCAGATTATTTTCATTTTGGAGGGATGGGATCAAGAAGGTCTCTGAAAACAAACCGATCTTCTCTGTGGGATAGAAAAGCTCTGGAGTGTCACAGAAACACAAACTTATCTCCTGAAAGCTAACGGTCTCACAAAGCCAGTGGATTTTACAGGAAGTCACTCCACTGTAGCATCAAATTTATGAAGCTGAGATTGTAATCAACAACACTGAGTTTATAAAACAGCATCAACCGTATTAATGACTTCACCCTGAATAGATGCTGATCACACTTTTTCCAGACTCGAGTCAATCCGATAATTTTAGTCTGTCAGAGGAAAACGTCTCCATCATAATAAACTAGATCAAGTTTTCTTGTTAAAGAATCTTTACTTTGACAAATTATATTTCACACATTTTACTTTTACATTCAGGTCTCATTTATGGTTTAATAATTGTGTTTGTTCATCCAAACAGGAGGGAATTAATTATTGATGAGTTCAAAGATTATATGAGAACAAAAACATGTAAAGAGAAAAAAAATAATGTCTAATAATAAAAACTAAGGTCAATCCACCTCCAGTCAATACTGAAAATCATTTCAGAAATTTAAAAAGTAAACAGATAAATAAATATAAGCAAATAAAAGAATAAAGCTTCTGATTTTTCTGAAACCCCAAACCCTGTCCTCCTCCCTTCACCTCCATCTCTCCTCAGTTCTCTTCCTCTCCCTTCAGTTTATATCTGACGGTGCAAAGGAAAGAATAACCTTTGGGTTTAATCAGAACTTCTGACTGATCTGCTGTCACACATGGTATCAACTACTGCTGCAGAAGTCTGTGGGAATAAATCAACTCCACCGCTTTATATTTCCACTAGGTGGCGCTGCATCATAGGCAAAAAAAAAGTAATCCAATCAGTGGGTGAATGTATGATCATGTTTCCATCAACAAAACAAATCTGTTCAGACTGTTTGATCCCAGAATATGAGGGAAAAGATCAAATATCCAGAGTCCAGGTCCTGAGCTGATCTCAGAGCAGGTCAAAGTGCAGCTCCCACAATCCTCTCCGCCCGCTGTGATTGGTCAGTCAGTCTCTCAGTAACACGGCCCAGTCAGAGACTCACCTCACCCTCACTGCTGCTGCCTCCACCTCTCTGATCGTCAGAAGACAGATGATCCTCTTCTTAATCACTCTGACAGATGTTAACTCCACCTGAGGAGAGAAAAACAGACGATCAGTGTTTCCACTCTGAGACTCACTTCATCAGCTGGACTGAAGAACATCCAGTTTACAGACCAGCAGGTTCCAGTCCTGCTCAGACCAGAAGTGATGGTGTACAGCAGCAGGTTTCCTCACAAATAAACCAACATCATCAAAATAAAGAAATCCTTCCTGTCAAATGTGTTAAAGCTGAAGTAACAAACCTGCTGTGAAAAGAACAAGTATAAAGAACAGCTGTCTGTTTTCAAACTTAGAGCTCAAAATCAACAAGTTAGCAGAGAAATAAAGTCTGTGTTGAATACAGAGAACTATAAACTGGACTTCAGAGCAGAAACTGAACATTTCTGTTTCATTATGTCTCATTTCTACATTTGATCTGAAATATAGAGACGAGGAGACACTTTTTTCATGACTGACACTCTTACACTCCTGGTTTGATGATTTCTGTTCTCACAGCTTCACTAAAGAAAGAATCCTCTGAGAGGGTCGAAGAGTCAGCAGGAAATACTGAATATCTGCTGTGATACTGTGTGGAGAGGAACAGGAGAGATCAGCACAGACTAACTCCAACTCTATACTGACCCCAGATCCTCCAGTCTGTAGTCTAGACTCTTCTGAAGATCACGCAGCGGCTTCAGATCTGAATCCTGCAGATTGTTTCCCATCAGCCACAGAGTTTTCAGATGGGAGGGGTTGGACTTCAGAGCTGAGGCCAGAGAAGAACAGCTGATCTCTGTCAAACTGCAGCTCATTAACCTAAATAAAGAGGAAATAATGAGATTTTAGAGAAAAATGATCCAGTTTGAAACCTGATGTCTTAAATCTGTAGAGTTCAGGGGAAAGGTTTGGAAAGTATGAATCAGAGAAAAGTGACGCTCCAAAGAGCTGAACCAAACAGGAAGTCAGTTTGAAACAGTGAATTCAAAAACACATGAAATAGTGAAAAACAAACTCAGAGACTTTTTTACTGATTGTAGATGCAGATCAATATTTTCAGAAAATGTCAACGACTTCAGGACGGATGGGAAATAAAGGATGTTCAGAATATTTTCACTTTGCTGAACCAAAAATATCACGTCTTTGAGAGGTAAATATTTCAGTCTTAACACAGCAAGGCTGCAGAAAAGTGCAGATAAACCAGAAAATTCAGATTTTCACACAAAGATTCAAAAACAATCAAAATTCAAAGTAACAGAGCTGGACTTTCATCAGAGTCAGAAACTAAACTCTGAGTTTTTTCTATTCCCTGATCTTGTCCTGAACAAAAGTTTGAATGGTTCTCGTCTGACAAATCTCCCCCTGCTTCTGTTTTCTGTCTGAATGTGCTTCTCACTGTGAACTCTACAAAGAGTTTTCTTCTTGGGTTCAGGTTTTAATTCACTGGAGCTCAGCAGTGATCGAACTGGAGTCAATCAAATAATCCACTGAAGCAGAAAATCTACTCTGGACTGAAGGTGTTCAGTCTGGGTCAGTATTTCAGTCCTGAGTCAGCAGTTTAGTGTCATCATCACAAACAAATCATGATCATGTTTGAATGGAGGAAAAAAGTCTGACCCCAGACTCTCCAGTTTACAGTTTGGACTCTGCAGAGAGTCACACAGCAGCTTCACTCCTGAATCCTGCAGCTTGTTGTTACTCAGGTCCAGATGTCTCAGATGGGAGGGGTTGGACTTCAGAGCTGAGGCCAGAGAAGAACAGCTGATCTCTGACAACCCGCACTCATACAATCTGAAAAAAGGAAAGAGAATGTAGATAAAAATAATTAATAATCAAACTTCAGGTGTTCAGGTTTAAAATATTGAGCTCAGAGAACTCCAACAGGAGACCTTTGGACCAGATCCAGTCTGTCAGAGCTCATGATCTGGTCTGCTCTGACCCTCCATGTAAAATAACAGACAAGACATCAAATGTGATGGAGCACTGGTTTGGATTAGAGGTTCAGATGTTCAGAAGGTGGAGTCCTTGTTGCAGCAGTTGCTGGTTGGACTCCCATGATCCTTTGCTGTAAGTCCTCCCTCACTCTCTACTCCACGTTTCCTGTTCCTCTTCAGCGCTCGGATCAATAAAAGTCTTCAAAATGAACTTGAACTGTGACATGGAGGAAACAGGAGGATCTTTGTCACCTTTGTCACATCACCTTTACTGCTTTACTCTTCTCCCTCACCTTCATCAGGATCAACAAGGTCAGACAGTGGACAGATCCACTCTTCCTCTCACTCACAAAAACCATCAAATCTAAAGAGATGAGGGAAAACTCTCAGACTGCTGATTTGGTTGATTAAAGAGACGCACAGACGTCATGAAGTCTGATCTAATGGCTGCCACTGCTGTCTTTTTCTCAGGAGGTTTGGTTGAATTCACTCCAGCATGTCCTCTAGACATGAAAACATCATCAACATGAGTCAACTCTGCATGAGCGGTGGACACCTGAATTTTCCAACCACTTCAAAGTTTGTATCCTGGACTGTTTGGATGAAATCTCTGCTATCAGCTGATTGTTGTTGTTGTTGTTGCTAAAGCAGCATGTTGTGAGGATGTGCTCACAGGGTCTGGTCTGTGCTGAGGAGTTATACAGAGGGTTGAAATGACGGAGCTCTGACAGCAAGGTCTCTGACTGAAGCTGCTGACTGATGGGACTTTAACACACCTTTGTTGTTGACAAAGTTTCCTGTATGAAAAAGATGAGCTGTGTTCCTGAGCTGCATGGATAGTGAGTTCACTGCATCATTGAACATTTAAATGTTTTAGAGACCGAGGAAGTAAACCCGTCAACATCACTGCAGTGATCATCTCAACCATTTATAAAAAATCATCAACATTCAATCAACATAATAACTCACAGTGCTCATTTTCCTCCATCTGTATCTGACTGCTGATTCAATAAAAACTATGAATTTATGTGAGTGAGAAGAAAGTTCTGGAAATATTCAGCAAGTCTGTGAACATTTGAATTGAGTTAAAAAAAATGATTAAACATCAAAATCTACACCAGAAACAAACAAAGACTAAACTTACCCCAGAGTCTAAGAAATTAATGTGAGAAATCTCAAAGGTTTTTTTGTAGTCCTGAATTCTTCATGAAGATGAAAACAGTCAGGAGTTTATTCAGGGCTCTGTCCGTCTGCTGTCAACAACTGTCAAACTACTCTCAAATAAACCAACAGATCATTGATCAGAGAGGTTTTTATGGACCAACTGGACAAGATGATGTTCATGTTCAACAAACTGAAGTGAAAACTGCAGAAAAATCTGGATCTGGTTTTTACATTTGAACACGACTGAGCAAAGAAGAAATTCAAGTTTTCAAGAGTTTCCAAATGAAATATCCAGAGTTGGATTAACTTTGTTCTTCAGGTTTCAATCTGCAGCTCATCATTTCTCTGACACTTCATTCATTCATTAGTGATCACATTAACTGTGGATCAGTTCAGTATCAGCCTTTAGTCTGTGCTGCTCCTGCCCTCTACAAGCATGTGTAATATTTGTGGGACTGATTTTCTCCTGCTTCCTTTCTACATCCATCGTTCTACTCAAAGTCAACTCTGAAATGTCAGATTTTTCTTCCTGTGTTGAAGTTTAACAACGACAAATTCAAACTGCTCGACCAAAGTTGATGGAAAAACCACAGAGAAAAATCTAAGGCAGCAGCTGTCACATCTTATTGTTAGATCAGAAGGAAATGGTGTCTCACATCAGAATCTTCAGTCTGCAGTTTAGACTCTCCAGTCCTGCAGAGAGAAGCTTCACTGCTGAATCCTGCAGATCATTTCCGCTCAGGTTCAGATGTCTCAGATGGGAGGGGTTGGACTTCAGAGCTGAGGCCACAACTTCACAGTGAGTCTCTGAGAGTCCACATTTAATAAATCTGTAACAACATGAATATCAAACAATATTTCATTGAAGGGTAATTTGATGTTTCTCTTCACCAAAAACAAACATGATCTTTGGTTTGACAGACGGCCTGTTTTCAACCAGACAGATACTAATATCAGGACCAATGAGAGAAGACAGGAAGTCAAAGTTTAGAAGAAAAATAAAACTGTTCAGATGTTCAAGACAAATGACTCCATGACTTATTTTAGTCATTCTGTTCTCTAACAGTGTTGTCTTCATGTTAGTGCAGCTGGATTAGGCCTGGACGATATAGAAAAAAATCATATCGATAAAAAATAAATCATATTGATCGATATCGATAATTATCGATATAATTATAATTATTTAACATATATTTTAATTGCAGCCCTGGATGTTTTATGCTATTGCTTAATGACCTACTTTTAATAAAGAACACACAAGCACTGAATTTAAATTCAAACCTTTATTCAACCACCTTTTTTATTTTACCACAACTGAAAGTTTTTTTAAAAAGAACTAAAAAAAAAAGAAATCAACTTAAGTGGCCTGAGTGACGTCAGTAAATACTGACAAACATAAAGACTTAAGTGACCAGAAAATCTGATAAATAAATATTTAAATAGTCTTTTGATGAAAATAAACAAAACAAACAAATATATAAATAAACAGAATAGCTTTAGGTGGGAATAGCATACTACCAGGTTTAACTGTGTGGGAAACTGCCCACAACCTGGTGTCTGAACACTGAAATATTTCTCCCGGGGTCGGGAGATTTATTTTTTTTAATTATCATGTGATTGACTTAATACACAAACTAAGCACGAGAAGCAGGACTTATCCACGCTGGTGTTGTGTCGTAGAATGCACCCCTGCCGAATGCACCCCCTGCTAGTAGCCATGATCCAAATACTCGCGTCTTTGTAAAATATGAGCTCATTTTCTTCCACTTTAAGAAGCGAATGAGTGGACGGGATGCAGGGGTGCATCCTACGGCAAACACCGGAACGTATTTCCTCCGCACCCTTCTCACCTTTTCAACCCCTGACCCGTTTTCATGCCTGAAGCGCTGTGTTTGAGAAATACTTGCGGCCGGACACTTCATATCGCGGGTCGAGAGTGGCTAGAAGCTGGTCGAAAACCCGGCTTTTCAACGGTAGTTATTAGCAGTATGTCCCTCGCTATGGAGCATGTTACTGCATGGGTGATGTCCTTATGTCGCTCGGACGCTTTGTCGTATTTTGGCAAGAAACGATGTCCAGTTTGGTCTGCTTCACATGCTTTGTGCTGGTGCTGGCAGCGGTTCCAGAGGATTCCGCCGACGATGACGTGGAGCCGCGGCGCGGCCGACACAGCTCGTACTCCTGCGGGTGCGACCGGTTTAGATGGTAAAACAAGTTGGTTGTGTTACCAGACTTGGTTTTTACTAATTCTCTGCAAATTTTGCAAACGACCGCTGTTCGCTTTTTGTCAGACTTCTAAAAACCAAAACACTGCCATGCTGGTGAACTACTGAGACCTTTTTTCGGGACAATTTCCTCCGCTTCTCCTTGCTGTATCATTTTTTCTAATACACGTGCTGTCTGTTGTGGTTTGATAGGGGCTGGGCTTGGTGCCGTAGCGTACCTGGGTCTGCGTTTGTGATTGGTTGGGAGGAAGCAATGACTGTAGTAAAAGCTACATGATAGGCTATGATGAAAAAGAAAGGGAAACTGTGTTTTTCTATCGAACTTTTTATCGACCCGTTTTTTTTCTATCGCACCACACGTCTATCGATCGATATATATTGTTATCGAATTATCGTCCAGCACTAAGCTGGATCATTATGATTGTGTGAATTCTTGAGTTCTGGTTGGAGAAGGGGACTGAGAACCAGGTTTTTGGTCCTGGTATGTGATTGGTTAGTATCCAAAGTACCTCTTGGAGAATCAGTGCTCCTCTCAGTGTTTAATGTTGACATCCTGCTGTAATGTAAGTCTGTCCATAGACACTGACTGTTGACCAATCAGAGGACGACTCACTAAATCACAGCAGCAGCTCCTTTTTCTATGATTGGTTCAGATCAAATCGTTTTTCAGCAGGTTAGAGCTGGTTTGACTCTGAACATTTGAAGAGTTGAAGATTTCTTTGTTTTCACAGTCAAAGTTTTTTCTCCATGTAACATTCCCTTCACCAGCAGAAACAAGTTTATGAAGCCTGATGAATCCAGAGAGACCTTTAAGAGACAGATACAAAGACCCACTGAACCTCTGTATTTGTTTCTCTCTCTCTCTCTCTCTCTCTCTCTCTCTCTCTCTCTCTCTCTCTCTCTCTCTCTCTCTCTCTCTCTCTCATATGAACTCTAGGGGGCGTACGTTCTCATGACTCCTATAAAAATAACAGATTGAATTTTGCTCGTTTGTGTGTTTCATTCAGAAAGAAACATTTGGAGTCAGGAGAAAAAAAAGGAAAAACAGATTCATCTTTGAAGTGGTGGAAAATGATGTTAGTTTTCATGGTTGTATTGATGATGAATATTGAATGATGAACATGATGGTACAGAGACAGTTCTGCCACTGTGTAGAAAATGATCCACTTCTATTTTCACCATCAATGCTGTCAACACCCTCATTTACAACAGATTCATCATTTCCAACCTGAAAACCAGCAGGAAGAAGCTGCAGACACCTTCTTCAAACTCAAGTTCACCACAACTGACTGAGATGTTGATCTGGACTGATACCATCATCAGAAGACCTCTGTGTGTCCTCAGATATGGTCACTGATTTGTCCTGAAAGTTCCACTTTATTCATTACAGACACGATTCAAAACAAAGAGGTCCTCCACAATCAGGACAAGTTCTCAGGGGTCCACAGGTAGACCTCATCCTGGGCTAACAGGACTTCTGACACCAGGATCATGTTTTTGCTGAACCTAAAGAAACCCCCTCCCTGATATTTCAGCTGATTTCTATTTGAAGAAGAACATCATCAGTAACGTGGACATTGGAAGAACTACAGGGATCATTTACACTATTCTGAGAATAAAACCTGGACTTACTCAGCCTTTCTGCAGTTCCTCACAGCTGGCATCAGTCTCAGTCGTCCCTGGTCTGATGTTTTATACTTCTTAAAGTCCAACTCATCCAGAACCTCCTCTGACATCTGCAGCATGTAGGCCAGAGCAGAGCAGTGGATCATTGAGAGTCTCCTCTCTGATCTGTTCTCTGACTTCAGGAACTCTTGGATCTCCTGATGAACTGACAGATCGTTCATCTCCATCAGACAGTGGAAGATGTTGATGCTTCTGTCAGGAGAGATATCTTTACTGTTCATCTTCTTCAGGTTGTTGATGACTCTTTGGATCATTATTGGACTGTTGTCTGTGTGACCCAGCAGACCTCCTAAGAGTCTCTGGTTTGACTCCAGAGAGAGTCCATGAAGGAAGCGAACAATCAGGTCAAGGTGACCGTTTTTACTGAGAAGGGATTTCTTCATGGCACTGTTAAGGAAGAGATTTAGGTTTTTAAAATATCCGGAAACCGTCTTTAAGTGAGACATTTTGTCTTCGTCATTGTTGCCTCTTAGGAAAGTCTTCAGAACTTCTGCGTTCCTGTTTGTGAAACTGTGGATCATGTAGACTGCAGCCAGAAACTCCTGAACGCTCAGATGAACGAAACAGTAAACAGTTTTCTGGAAGATCACACTCTCTCTTCTGAAGATCTCTGTACAAACTCCTGAGTACACCGAGGCCTCTGAGACATCCAGACCACACCGCTCCAGGTCTTCTTGGTAGAACATGATGTCTCCTTTCTCCAGATGTTCAAAGGCCAGCCTCCCCAGCTTCAGGAGGACTTCACTGTCAGCCTCCGTCAGCTCCTGAGGACTTGTCTCATGTCCTCCTTCATACTTCTGCTTCTTCCTCTTAGTCTGGACCAGCAGGAAGTGTGAGTACATGTCCGTCAGGGTCTTGGGCAGCTCTCCTCTCTGCTCTCTGCTCATCATGTCCTCCAGAACTGTCGCAGTGATCCAGCAGAAGACCGGGATCTGACACATGATGTGGAGGCTCCTGGAGGACTTGATGTGTGAGATGATTCTTGTGGACAGATCTTCATCTCTGAACCTCTTCCTGAAGTACTCGTCCTTCTGGGCGTCAGTGAAGCCTCGTACTTCTGTTACCCTGTCCACACGTGAAGGAGAGATCTGATTGGCTGCTGCAGGTCGAGAAGTTATCCAGATGAGAGCTGAGGGGAGCAGGTTCCCCTTGATGAGGTTTGTTATCAGAACGTTCAGTGAAGACTTCTGTGTGACGTCAGACAGGACCTCAGAGTCTGTGAAATCCAGAGACAGTCTGCTTTCATCCAGACCGTCAAAGATGAACAGAAGTTTACAGACAGCCAGCGTCTCTGCTGTGACCTTCTCTAGTGTTGGATGGAAAACATGGAGCAGACTCAGAAGACTGAAGCGCTCATCTCTGATCAGGTTCAGCTCCCTGAATGAAAGCAGGACCACCAGATGGAGGTCTTGGTTCTCCAAACCCTCTGCCCAGTCCAGAGTGAACTTCTGCACTGAGAAGGTTTTTCCAACACCAGCCACGCCGTTGGTCAGAACCACTCTGATGACCTTCTTCTGTTGGTCAGGTAAGGTTTTAAAGATCTCATGACACTTGATGGGCGTGTCATGGAGGGTCTCCATCTTTGAAGCTGTCTCCAGCTGTCTCACCTCATGTTGTGTGTTCACCTCTTCACTCAGTCCCTGTGTGATGTAGAGCTCAGTGAAGATCCTGTTGAGGAGGGTTTGACTACTTCCTGTTTCATCACTTCCTTCATTCACACGTTCACATCTCCTCTTCAGACTGATCTTATGTTCATCTAAAACCTCCTGCAGACCGCCATCTGCTGAAAGAGAAGAAAAATCAAATGAACCAAACTTCTCAACACGAAAACGTCTTTGTGAAAATCAGTCAGCTGAGTTTTCATCCACAGAGACTTTAGAGGACAGATGTTCAGACTTACTTCCATCAGAGCTGGACTGACTGTCTGTCTGAGAGACAAGAACTGTTCTGGTTCTTTTTCCACACTGGGGACAGGAGGTGTGTCCTAAAGAAGTATACTGGTCCCTGCATGAGGCCAGGCACTGTCTGCAGGACAGGTGTCCACAGCGGTAAGAGACTGGATCCTTCAGGACGTCCTGACATGAAAAACATCTGGACAGCTGCTCCTCCACAGAGTCACATCTCTGTGTCTCTCTGTGGAAATAAAGAACATTTATTTTCTTTATCATTTCATGTTTGAAAGATACAGAATAAGAATCATTTATTAAACCAGAGTTTCTGACCTCACTCTTTTCTCTAACATAAAACAATCTCCTGTAAAATATTCAGCTGCTGCTGCCTGAAAGTGTGGAGACAGGAGAAAAACTAAACTGCGATTTTTGAGGGTGGAGAGATTTTCTCCACCAATTCTACAGTTTTTTTATCAAAAGATCAAACAGGAATGATTTCTTCATCGGTCTTCTGGTATTTTGTGACCAACAGACTGTTTTCTGGGGTCTATACACCACAGTCCAAAGACTTACAGACTCAAAACGTCTCAGACGCCGGAACCAAATCAGAAAATACAGAGGTCAGAATCCTTTTCAGATGCTGTTTTATACGACCTTCATTTTTATCAACATGATGAATAATAAGTAAATCTGTGCTCAGTGACTTTTTCTTCACCAGCCCTTTATCCAGGTTGGCAGGTTACAGAGGAAAATCACTGTTTTGAGAGCAGAGATCATTTTTCTCACCATGGTAGAAAACAGAGGGGTCAGAATTTAAAGTTTTGTTTTTGAAACATCAATTGTTGTTGTTTGAGAGTTTGGTGGTTGAAAAGTGTTTCTCTTACTGTGAATCTGAGGGTCCTGGTTCTTTCCTGAACTCCAGGATAATCTCTTTAGACCAGTCACTCTTCATAGACAGACAGTCGGACATAACAGACATTGCTCTGTACTCCTCTGAGGGTCCTGGTTCTTTACTGAAGTTTAGAGGAATTCCTTTAGATACGTCACTCTTCATAGACAGACAGCTGGACGGAATAGACTTTGCTCTGCACTCCTCTGAGGGTCCTGGTTCTTTCCTGAACTCCAGGATAAAATCTTTAGAACAGTCACTCTTCATAGACAGACAGTCTGACATGACAGACTCTGCTCTGTCCTCCTCTTCCTCGACACAAACACTCATCTTCTCCATCTGATGTTGAGCAACTTTTTGGAAGATGAAACCGAGTTATACAACCTGAGGACAAAGTAGACAAACAGGTGAGATACAAACAGGAGGACAGTGTTCAGAAATAGAAGTAGACTCGTGGACAGGAGGCCTTAAAGAGACAGCAGCTAAAATGAAGTGTTTTAGGAGGAGGCTGAAATAAAGATATTTTAATACACCAGAGTGAGAAACAGGAGACTAAACTGAAAATCATGTAAAGATATTAAAGAGGAATCAGAAAGAAAGTATACAGTCTGAAATAAGCTTAATACCCCTCTTTAAGAGTTATACAGGGTTTAATCTGTACGCTACAGGGCCTCTCTCTGATTCATGGTCAAAACAACAACAGCTGTGAGGTCCCTGAAGTCTCATAAAAATTAAAGGGACTGGATTAAATTTGAAATGAGAGGCTAAATGAAAAGAAACTCATTTTTGTTTTTACTAAAAAGACAAGTCTAAACAAGAAGGAGGAAGAACTGCACGTACGCAGTTTCCTGTATCAAGAACTGATCCAGCTCTTTGTCTGGTCAGGTTTCTGTGTTTTACAGTTTTTAAGTGTATTAGTCAGTAAATCATTTTTCATTAACAGATGATACAGATAAAGACTTTGACGTTAGAAAACCCAGAGTAAACACTCACCCTGTCTCCTCGTCCTCTCCTCTCTCTGCTCTGTTCTTTTCTCAATGGAGTCTGTTCTTGAGTTTACTTTCACTTTCACAGTGACTCTTTCCACTGAAACCTAAACCACCAGATCACAGATTCTTCTTCTCATGACATTTACTGACAGTTTTTGATCATCTTTTAAGTTCAGTATTCTTGACAATCATCTTCCTCTCCTGTGTCAAAATTAAACAAGTTCACTCAAACAGGAACTTGTTTGGTTGAGTCTCAGTTTATTGTTTACACAGCAGCTCCACCTGCTGGTCAAACCAACAAACTACAGATGAGTGCTTCTCTACCTCCAGCTCTGTCTTAAGGTTGTCAATGTCGCTCTCTCTTCATGATGCTCATTTAACATTACCACACATTTAATTAATTATAATCCTAGAAAAAACTAAAATAAGTTAAAAAGCGCAGAACAGCAGCTAATTTTGATAAGACCATGCAAACTTAAAGCGAGAGGTCTTTTACCATCTCCTACGAATTTTTCAGATGAAACAAGAAAAGAAATCACCAATACTTTGCAAGATGCAGGAGCTTTCCTGACAAGTTACAAGATTTTAATAACAATTTCTTGTTTGACTTGTTTCTTTGGCTAACTTGGCTGTCAAAGAAAACGAATGAACTATCATTAACCAGCAACAAACTACCATAAAATTTTCATTAAAAAAACTGTGAATAACTTATTACGATGTCCCGTACAACCGAACACTCAGAGTTGAGAAGAAGGAAAGCAAGACAGCCATTGTGGAACAGATAACGACGTGTCGCAACCACTTGTTTAAGAGTCCTTACATGAATATATGCACATAACACGACAAATCCCCACCATCCAGCTTAACATGGAAAATGATTAAATGAACACAAACGTTTGCGTAAAGAAAATAAGGAACAACTTATGTTTTTGATTCAGCAGTTAATAAATCATCAGATTATTTTCATTTTGGAGGGATGGGATCAGGAAGGTCTCTGAAAACAAACCGATCTTCTCTGTGGGATAGAAAAGCTTTGGAGTTTTTTTGTTCAAGAATCTTTGCTTTGACAAATTATATTTCACACATTTTACTTTTACATTCAGGTCTCATTTATGGTTTAATGATTGTGTTTGTACATCCAAACAGGAGGGAATCGATTATTGATGAGCTCAAAGATTATATGAGAACAAAAACATGTACAGGGATGTAGTGGAGAATCCAGCATAAACTCAGTAAAACAATGCACAGGAGACAGGATGAGATCTGAAGCACAGCCTGGGTGTCTTTTATTGTACAGATGTAGAAATCAGTAAAGATGACAGAGTTTTGACCAAAACCAAAGAAAGCTCCCTAAGCCTTTCGTCTACTCCCTTTGAAACTGCTTGTACCTCTGATATGTGTGTGTGTGTGTGTGTATGAGTCTTTCATCATCATGGGTACATCATATCTATCCTCCAGGAGGCTACCCATGACGACGTGTTGTACTGTTCTGAAACTCAACACTTTGTTTAGATTAGTCTTAACTCTCCCAGATTTTAGCTCTAAATGTTCTGACAGACAGAAAGTTTTGGTCCCTGAAAAACAGCCTTAATCAGAACTTCTGACTGATCTACTGTCACACATGGTATCAACTCCTGCTGCAGAAGTCTGTGGGAATACATCAACTCCACCGCTTTATATTTCCACTAGGTGGCGCTGCATCATGGGGGTGGGTGAATTTATGATCATGTTTCCATAAACAAAACAAACCTGTTCAGACTGTTTGATCCCAGAATATGAGGGAAAATATCAAATATCCAGAGTCCAGGTCCTGAGCTGATCTCAGAGCAGGTCAAAGTGCAGCTCCCAGAGTCCTCTCCGTCCGCTGTGATTGGTCAGTCAGTCTCTCAGTAACATGGCCAAGTCAGAGACTCATCCTCACTACTGCTGCCTTCACCTCTCTGATCATCAGAAGACAGATCATCCTCTTCATCATCACTCTTGAGGTCAACCCGGCTGCGGAGAGAAAAAAAGACGATCAGTGTTTCCACTCTGAGACTCACTTCATCAGCTGGACTGAAGAACATCCAGTTTACAGACCAGCAGGTCTCAGTCCTGCTCAGACCAGAAGTGATGGTGTAAAGCAGCAGGTTTCCTCACAAATAAACCAACATCATCAAAATAAAGAAATCCTTCCTGTCAAATGTGTTAAAGCTGATCGAACAAACCTGCTGTGAAAATAACAAGTATAAAGAACAGCTGTCTGTTTTCAGACTTAGAGCTCAAAATCAACAAGTTAGCAGAGAAATAAAGTCTGTGTTGAATACAGAGAACTATAAACTGGACTTCAGAGCAGAAACTGAACATTTCTGTTTCATTATGTCTCATTTCTACATTTGATCTGAAATATAGAGACGAGGAGACACTTTTTTCATGACTGACACTCTTACACTCCTGGTTTGATGATTTCTGTTCTCACAGCTTCACTAAAGAAAGAATCCTCTGAGAGGGTCGAAGAGTCAGCAGGAAATACTGAATATCTGCAACTCCAACTCTATACTGACCTCAGATCCTCCAGGCTGTAGTCTAGACTCTTCTGAAGATCACGCAGCGGCTTCAGATCTGAATACTGCAGATTGTTGTCTCTCAGGTCCAGAGTTTTCAGATGGGAGGGGTTGGACTTCAGAGCTGAGGCCAGAGAAGAACAGCTGATCTTTGTCAAACTGCAGTATTTCAACCTAAATAAAGAGGAAATAATGAGATTTTAGAGAAAAATGATCCAGTTTGAAACCTGATGTCTTAAATCTGTAGAGTTCAGGGGAAAGGTTTGGAAAGTATGAATCAGAGAAAAGTGACGCTCCAAAGAGCTGAACCAAACAGGAAGTCAGTTTGAAACAGTGAATTCAAAAACACATGATAAACCATCAAATTCAGATTTTCACACAAAGATTTAAAAACAATCAAAATTCAAAGTAACAGAGCTGGACTTTCATCAGTGTCAGAAACTAAACTCTGAGTTTTTTCTATTCCCTGATCTTGTCCTGAACAAAAGTTTGAATGGTTCTCGTCTGACAAATCTCCCCCTGCTTCTGTTTTCTGTCTGAATGTGCTTCTCACTGTGAACTCTACAAAGAGTTTCTTCTTGGGTTCAGGTTTTAATTCACTGGAGCTCAGCAGTGATCGAACTGGAGTCAATCAAATAATCCACTGATGCAGAAAATCTACTCTGGACTGAAGGTGTTCAGTCTGGGTCAGTATTTCAGTCCTGAGTCAGCAGTTTAGTGTCATCATCACAAACAAATCATGATAATGTTTGAATGGAGGAAAAAAGTCTCACTCTATAATCTCCAGTTCACAGTTTGGACTCTGCAGAAAGTCACACAGCAGCTTCACTCCTGAATCCTGCAGATCGTTTCCACTCAGGTCCAGGTTTCTCAGATGGGAAGGGTTGGACTTCAGAGCTGAGGCCAGAGAAGAACAGCTGATCTCTGACAAACTGCAGAAACTCAGTCTGAAAAAAGGAAAGAGAATGTAAATAAAAATAATTAATAATCAAACTTCATATGTTCAGGTTTAAAATGTCGAGCTTAGAGAACTCTTCAAAATGAACTTGAACTGTGACATGGAGGAAACAGGAGGATCTTTGTCACCTTTGTGAGTAAGAAGAAAGTTCTGGAAATATTCAAGAAGTCTGTGAACATTTGAATTGGGTTAAAAAAATGATTAAACATCAAAAGCTACACCAGAAACAGACAAAGAATAAACTAACCCCAGAATCGCCAGTTCACAGTTTGGATCCTGCAGAAAGTCACACAGCAGCTTCACTCCTGAATCCTGCAATTTGTTGTCACTCAGGTCCAGAAATCTCAGATGCGAGGGGTTGGACTTTAGAGCTGAGACGAGAGAAGAACAGCTGATCTCTGACAACCCGCAGCTCCACAGCCTGAAAAAAGGATAAAGAATGTAGATAAAAATAATTAATAATCAAACTTCAAGTTTTCAGGTTTAAAAAAATCAAGCCTAGAGAACTCCAACAGGAGACCTTTGGACCAGATCCAGTTTGAAAGAGCTCATTAAATAATATTGGGAAGAACAAAATCTGAGAGTTTGTCACTTTTATGATTTAACCAAATAAGTTCAAGAACCAAAGAAAACTTTGTTTTTGTGACTTCAGTCATCAGAGCAAAGTGACAAAGTGGAAATCCCTGTTTGTGTCTCTCTGTCTGTGTTTGTGTGTCTGTCAGTGTAAATTCAGGCGTCTGTGTTTCTCTCTGTCACTGCAGATATTTCTCTATTCCTCCTCATGAAAACTCAAACCTCATGATCTGACAGATTAAACACATTTGATGAAAAAGTGGATCTTTTTCAGATTTGGTTTGTTTGGTGTTTTTTGTGACTCTGGATTTATGAAGCATCATTATTACTTTAATAACTGTGATGAAAACGATGCTAGCTGAAGCAACAACAACAACAAGGAAACTGGGAGCCCAAGTTTAGTCCATGACTTTATCCTCATTATTGTAACGTGTCAAAAAGACAAAATAAACACCTGTCACACTCCTGTCTGATATCAGTATGATATGGTTGTAATTAATGAATAAAAACTCATAAATATGTTCAAAATGTCTGAAATTGAAACACTTTAACTCCAAATCTAAAAGTTTTTTTATAAAATCAGCTGTCACATTATCATGACGAACAAAATTCAGTTTCAACAATTTAAAGTTTGTGTGGAAACATTAAAATCACAAAAACCATCAAATCTAAAGAGATGAGGGAAAACTCTCAGACTGCTGATTTGGTTGATTAACGGGACGCACAGACGTCATGAAGTCTGATCTAATGTCTGCCACTGCTGTCTTTTTCTCAGGAGGTTTGGTTGAATTCACTCCAGCATGTCCTCTAGACATGAAAACATCATCAACAAACTTACCCCAGAATGTCCAGTTTACAGTTTGGACTCTGCAGAAAGTCACACAGCAGCTTCACTCCTGAGTCCTGCAGATCGTTGTTACCCAAGTTTAGCTCACTCAGATGGGAGGGGTTGGACTTCAGAGCTGAGGCCAGAGAAGAACAGCTGATCTCTGACAAACTGCAGCCACTCAGTCTGAAAAAAGGAAAGAGAATGTAGATAAAAATAATTAATAATCAAACTTCACGTGTTCAGATTTAAAATATGGAGCTTCGAGAACTCCAACAGGAGACCTTTGGACCAGATCCAGTCTGTCAGAGCTCATTATCTGGTCTGCTCTGACCCTCCATGTTAAATAACAGACAAGACATCAAGTGTGATGGAGCACTGGTTTGGATTAGAGGTTCAGGTGTTCAGAAGGTGGAGTCCTTGTCGTAGCAGTTGCTGGTTAGACTCCCATGATCCTTTGCTGTAAGTCCTCCCTCACTCTCTACTCCATGTTTCCTGTTCCTCTTCAGCGCTCGGATCAATAAAAGTCTTCAAAATGAACTTGAACTGTGACATGGAGGAAACAGGAGGATCTTTGTCTGCCTTCATCCCTCACTGTACACTGATCTTCAACAAGAACACCCAACCCAGAATAACAGACTGTGTTGTCTCTACTGTCAGCACTGGACCGGACCAGCCAGCAATCCTCCAGATCTGAGTTCATGGAAGTCAGAGACAAACCAGAAATACTCTCAACCAAGAAGAGCTCAGAGAGAGTCACCCAGGACACTGAGCCCACCTCCCTCAACCAGGCTGGTCTCAAGAGTTTGTATTGAGCAGATCCAGCCCATGTGAAGCTGAACCTGAATGTGCTCTCAGACTGTAACATCAGCGCTCTGCTAAACAGAGAATGGATGAGACTCTGATGAGACAGGTCAGCTGACTCTGTCTGCAACAACATCACCTTTACTGCTTTACTCTTCTCCCTCACCTTCATCAGGATCAACAAGGTCAGAGAGCAGACAGATCCACTCTTCCTCTCACTTTGTCATTTATTCACTGATGGCTGAGTTCACTCACATTTCATTTAGTCCACTCTCTAATCGGGTTTTGCAGCAGGAACCTTTCAAACCATATGAGCAGTTATTGAGCTCGCAGAAAAGAGGCAGTGGAGCCAAAACAGGAACCTAATCAATCTGATCATTGAATATTGATCAGAAGAAAAATCAAAATGGTTCAAATAATATTGGGAAGAACAAAATCTGAGAGTTTGGTTCTTGAACTTATTTGGTTCAATCATAAAAGTGACAAAGAAAACTTTGTTTTTGTGACTTCAGTCATCAGAGCAAAGTGACAAAGTGGAAATCCCTGTTTGTGTCTCTCTGTCTGTGTTTGTGTGTCTGTCAGTGTAAATTCAGGTGTCTGTGTTTCTATCTATCATTGCAGATATTTCTCTATTCCTCCTCATGAAAACTCAAACCTCATGTTCTGACAGATTAAACACATTTGATGAAAAAGTGGATTTTTTTCAGATTTGGTTTGTTTGGTGTTTTTTGTGACTCTGAATTCATGAAGCATCATTATTACTTTAATAACTGTGATGAAAACAATGATGCTAGCTGAAGCAACAACAACAACAAGGAAACTGGGAGCCCAAGTTTAGTCCATGACTTTATCCTCATTATTGTAACGTGTCAAAAAGACTAATAAACACCTGTCACACTCCTGTCTGATATCACTATGATATGGTTGTAATTAATGAATATTAACTCACGAATATGTTCAAAATGTCTCTGAAGTTATCTTCAAGTTAATTTATAAAATCAGCTGTCACATCTCATGACAAACAAAATTCAGTCTCAAGAATTTTGAAGTTTGAAAAAGATGAGCTGTGTTTCTGAGCTGCATGGAAACTGAGTTCACTGCATCCTTGAACATTTAAATGTTTTAGAGACCGAGGAAGTAAACCCCTCAACATCACTGCAGTGCTCATCTGAACCATTGATAAAAAATCATCAACATTCAATCAACAAAATAACTCACAGTGCTCATTTTCCTCTATCTGTATCTGACTGCTGATTCAATAAAAACTATGAATGTATGTGAGTGAGAAGAAAGTTCTGGAAATATTCAAGAAGTCTGTGAACATTTGAATTGGGTTAAAAAAAATGATTAAACATTAAAATCTACACCAGAAACAGACAAAGACTAAACTTACCCCAGATGCTCCAGTTTACCGTTTGGATCCTGCAGAAAGTCACACAGCAGCTCCACTCCTGAATCCTGCAATTTGTTGTCACTCAGGTCCAACTGTCTCAGATGGAAGGGATTGAAATACAGAGCCGAGGCCAGAGAAGAACAGCTAAACAAACTGCAGTCACTCAATCTGAAAAAAAAAAAAAATCATTGAACCTCTAAAGAAACTGTTCCTGCTTTAATGATTCAATGTTCTTGAGCCCCTGAGGGACATGGAAGGAGAACTTTTTCAGAGTTGATCTTGAGGAACTTTGTGAAATTCTCTCTAAACTTTGTGAAGATCCTGAGGAATAATTCAGTCAAGAATATGTTTAGAATACAGAAAACTTTAGTGAGATCCTGAGAAATTAATGTGAGAAATCTCAAAGGTTTTTTTGTAGTCCTGAATTCTTCATGAAGATGAAAACAGTCAGGAGTTTATTCAGGGCTCTGTCCGTCTGCCGTCAACAACTGACAAACTACTCGTAAATAAACCAACAGATCATTGATCAGAGAGGTTTTTATGGACCAACTGGACAAGATGATGTTAATGTTCAACAAACTGAAGTGAAAACTGCAGAAAAATCTGGATCTGGTTTTTACATTTGAACACGACTGAGCAAAGAAGAAATTCAAGTTTTCAAGAGTTTCCAAATGAAATATCCAGAGTTGGATTAACTTTGTTCTTAAGGTTTCAATCTGCAGCTAATCATTTCTCTGACACTTCATTCATTCATTAGTGATCACATTAACTGTGGATCAGTTCAATATCAGCCTTTAGTCTGTGCTGCTCCTGCCCTCTACAAGCATGTGTAATATTTGTGGGACTGATTTTCTCCTGCTTCCTTTCTACATCCATCATTCAACACAGGAAGAAAAATCAAACATTTCAGAGTTGACTTTGAGTAGAAGTTTTACAACTCCAATTCAAACTGCTCGACTAAAGGTGATGGAAAAACCACAGAGAAAAATCTAAGGCAGCAACTGTCACATCTTATTGTTAGATCAGAAGGAAATGGTGTCTGACCTCAGAATCTTCAGTCTGCAGTTTGGACTCTGCAGTCCTGCAGAGAGAAGCTTCACTCCTGAATCCTGCAGTTTGTTTCCACTCAGGTCCAGATGTCTCAGATAGGAGGGGTCGGACTTCAGGGCTGAGGCCACAAATTTACAGTGAGTCTTTGAGAGTCCACAGTCAGAAAATCTGTAACAACATAAACATCAAACAATATTTCATTGAAGGGTAATTTGATGTTTCTCTTCACCAAAAACAACTTAAACATGATCTTTGGTTTGACAGACGGCCTGTTGACCAATCAGAGGACGACTCACTAAATCACAGCAGCAGCTCCTTTTTCTATGATTGGTTCAGATCAAATCGTTTTTTAGCAGGTTAGAGCTGGTTTGACTCTGAACATTTGAAGAGTTGAAGATTTCTTTGTTTTCACAGTCAAAGTTTTTTCTCCATGTAACATTCCCTTCACCAGCAGAAACAAGTTTATAAAGCCTGATGAATCCAGAGAGACCTTTAAGAGACAGATACAAAGACCCACTGAACCTCTGTCTTTGTTTGTTTCTCTCTCTCTCTCATGATTGAGGTTATTTGAACTCTATGAGACATAAGTTCGCATAACTCCTATAAAAATAACAGATTGCTAGTTTTTTTGCTAGTTTTTGCTTCCTAAAAAAGTCTGTCTTGTTAGTCCTTTAGACCTGGTTCAGACCTTAAACCGAGGCACGCAGCCGAGTGGGAGAAATGTGACCGCTACAGCCCACCAACACCTCAACATTAGAGGAACCATCTTCACTCTGCAGCATCACTATGACAACAAAGGGACACCATGGAAAACTGATGATGATGATGCAGTCACACTGCTTCTCCTTAGAGACATGGTGTCCATATATACAGTGGAAGAGCACAGCTGTTTCCCCATACTATGAGGTGTTATGAGGCAGACTAGTGTTAGTGCGTCATTAGCATAGAGAGAGACATTAACATCCTATTTCCACCATTGTTTTCAGACACATGGAGCTGCTGTCCAAATAACTCATGTTCTCATCATGCATATGTTCTAGTTCACCAGATAATATCCAGTGAGTGGTGGAAAATGATGTTAGTTTTCATGGTTGTATTGATGATGACGAACATGATGGTACAGAGACAGTTCTGCCACTGTGTAGAAAATGATCCAGTTCCAGCAGGAAGAAGCTGCAGACACCTTCTTCAAACTCAAGTTCACCACAACTGACTGAGATGTTGATCTGGACTGATACCATCATCAGAAGACCTCTGTGTGTCCTCAGATATGGTCGCTGATTTGTCCTGAAAGTTCCACTTTATTCATTACAGACAAAAACCAGGATCATGTTTTCGCTGAACCTAAAGAAACCCCCTCCCTGATAGTTTTAGCTGATTTCTATTTGAAGAAGAACATCATCAGTAACGTGGACATTAGAAGAACTACAGGGATCATTTACACTATTCTGAGAATAAAACCTGGACTTACCGAGCTTTTCTGCAGTTCCTCACAGCTGGCATCAGTCTCAGTCGTCCCTGGTTTGATGTTTTATACTTCTTAAAGTCCAACTCATCCAGAACCTCCTCTGACATCTGCAGCATGTAGGCCAGAGCAGAGCATTGGATAATTGAGAATTTCCTACTTGACCTCTTCTCTGACTTCAGGAACTCTTGGATCTCCTGATGAACTGACAGATCGTTCATCTCCATCAGACAGTGGAAGATGTTGATGCTTCTGTCAGGAGAGATATCTCTACTGTTCATCTCCTTCAGGTTGTTGATGACTCTTTGGATCATTATTGGACTGTTGCCTGTGTGACCCAGCAGACCTCCTAAGAGTCTCTGGTTTGACTCCAGAGAGAGTCCATGAAGGAAGCGAACAAACAGGTCCAGGTGACCGTTTTTACTGACAAGAGATTTCTTCATGGCATTCTTCAGGAAGAGATTTAGGTTTTTAAAAGATCTGGAAACCGTCTTTAAGTGAGACATTTTGTCTTCGTCATTGTTGCCTCTTAGGAAAGTCTTCAGAACTTTTGTGTTCCTGTTTGTGAAACTGTGGATCACGTAGACTGCAGCCAGAAACTCCTGAACGCTCAGATGAACGAAACAGTAAACAGTTTTCTGGAAGATCACACTCTCTCTTCTGAAGATCTCTGTACAAACTCCTGAGTACACCGAGGCCTCTGAGACATCCAGACCACACCGCTCCAGGTCTTCTTGGTAGAACATGATGTCTCCTTTCTCCAGATGTTCAAAGGCCAGCCTCCCCAGCTTCAGGAGGACTTCACTGTCAGCCTCCGTCAGCTCCTGAGGACTTGTCTCATGTCCTCCTTCATACTTCTGCTTCTTCCTCTTAGTCTGGACCAGCAGGAAGTGTGAGTACATGTCCGTCAGGGTCTTGGGCAGCTCTCCTCTCTGCTCTCTGCTCATCATGTCCTCCAGAACTGTAGCAGTGATCCAGCAGAAGACCGGGATCTGACACATGATGTGGAGGCTCCTGGAGGACTTGATGTGTGAGATGATTCTTCTGGACAGTTCCTCATCTCTGAACCTCTTCCTGAAGTACACCTCCTTCTGGTCGTCAGTGAAGCCTCGTACTTCTGTTACCCTGTCCACACATGAAGGAGGGATCTGATTGGCTGCTGCAGGTCGAGAAGTTATCCAGATGAGAGCTGAGGGGAGCAGGTTCCCCTTGATGAGGTTTGTTATCAGAACGTTCAGTGAAGACTTCTGTGTGACGTCAGACACCACCTCAGAGTCTGTGAAATCCAGAGACAGTCTGCTTTCATCCAGACCGTCAAAGATGAACAGAAGTTTACAGACAGCCAGCGTCTCTGCTGTGACCTTCTCTAGTGTTGGATGGAAAACATGGAGCAGACTCAGAAGACTGAAGCGCTCATCTCTGATCAGGTTCAGCTCCCTGAATGAAAGCAGGATCACCAGATTGAGGTCTTGGTTCTCCAAACCCTCTGCCCAGTCCAGAGTGAACTTCTGCACTGAGAAGGTTTTTCCAACACCAGCCACGCCGTTGGTCAGAACCACTCTGATGACCTTCTTCTGTTGGTCAGGTAAGGTTTGAAAGATCTCATGACACTTGATGGGCGTGTCATGGAGGGTCTCCATCTTTGAAGCTGTCTCCAGCTGTCTCACCTCATGTTGGGTGTTCACCTCTTCACTCAGTCCCTGTGTGATGTAGAGCTCAGTGAAGATCCTGTTGAGGAGGGTTTGACTACTTCCTGTTCCATCACTTCCTTCATTCACACGTTCACATCTCCTCTTCAGACTGATCTTATGTTCATCTAAAACCTCCTGCAGACCGCCATCTTCTGAAAGAGAAGAAAAATCAAATGAACCAAACTTCTCAACACGAAAACGTCTTTGTGAAAATCAGTCAGCTGAGTTTTCATCCACAGAGACTTTAGAGGACAGATGTTCAGACTTACTTCCATCAGAGCTGGACTGACTGTCTGTCTGAGAGACAAGAGCTGTTCTGGTTCTTTTTCCACACTGGGGACAGGAGGTGTGTCCTAAAGAAGTAGACTGGTCCCTGCATGAGGCCAGGCACTGTCTGCAGGACAGGTGTCCACAGCGGTAAGAGACTGGATCCTTCAGGACGTCCTGACATGATGAACATCTGGACAGCTGCTCCTCCACAGAGTCACATCTCTGTGTCTCTCTGTGGAAATAAAGAACATTTATTTTCTTTATCATTTCATGTTTGAAAGATACAGAATAAGAAGCATTTATTAAACCAGAGTTTCTGACCTCACTCTTTTCTCTAACATAAAACAATCTCCTGTAAAATATTCAGCTGCTGCTGCCTGAAAGTGTGGAGACAGGAGAAAAACTAAACTGAGATTTTTGAGGGTGGAGAGATTTTCTCCACCAATTCTACAGTTTTTTGATCAAAAGATCAAACAGGAATGATTTCTTCATCGGTCTTCTGGTATTTTGTGACCCACAGACTGTTTTCTGGGGTCTATACACCACAGTCCAAAGACTTACAGGCTCAAAACGTCTCAAACACAGGAACCAAATCAGAAAATACAGAGGTCAGAATCCTTTTCAGATGCTGTTTTATACGACCTTAATTTTTATCAACATGATGAATAATAAGTAAATCTGTGCTCAGTGAATTTTCTTCACCAGCCCTTTATCCAGGTTGGCAGGTTACAGAGGAAAATCACCGTTTTGAGAGCAGAGGAGATCATTTTTCTCACCATGGTAGAAAACAGAGGGGTCAGAATTTAAAAGTTTTGTTTTTGAAACATCAATTGTTGTTGTTTGAGAGTTTGGTGGTTGAAAAGTGTTTCTCTTACTGTGAATCTGAGGGTTCTGGTTCTTTTCTGAAGTTCAGGATAATACCTTTAGACCGGTCACTCTTCATAGACAGACAGCTGGACGGAATAGACTTTGCTCTGCACTCCTCTGAGGGTCCTGGTTCTTTCCTGAACTCCAGGATAAAATCTTTAGAACAGTCACTCTTCATAGACAGACAGTCTGACATGACAGACTCTGCTCTGTCCTCCTCTTCCTCGACACAAACACTCATCTTCTCCATCTGATGTTGAGCAACTTTTTGGAAGATGAAACCGAGTTATACAACCTGAGGACAAAGTAGACAAACAGGTGAGATACAAACAGGAGGACAGTGTTCAGAAATAGAAGTAGACTCGTGGACAGGAGGCCTTAAAGAGACAGCAGCTAAAATGAAGTGTTTTAGGAAGAGGCTGAAATAAAGATATTTTAATACACCAGAGTGAGAAACAGGAGACTAAACTGAAAATCATGTAAAGATATTAAAGAGGAATCAAAAAGAAAGTATTCAGTCTGAAATAAGCTTACTACCCCTCTTTAAGAGTTATACAGGGTTTAATCTGTACGCTACAGGGCCTCTCTCTGATTCATGGTCAAAACAACAACAGCTGTGAGGTCCCTGAAGTCTCATAAAAAATTAAAGGGACTGGATTAAATTTGAAATGAGAGGCTAAATGAAAAGAAACTCATTTTTGTTTTTACTAAAAAGACAAGTCTAAACAAGAAGGAGGAAGAACTGCACGTACACAGTTTCCTGTATCAAGAACTGATCCAGCTCTTTGTCTGGTCAGGTTTCTTTGTTTTACCGTTTTTAAGTGTATTAGTCAGTAAATCATTTTTCATTAACAGATGATACAGATAAAGACTTTGACATTAGAAAACCCAGAGTAAACACTCACCCTGTCTCCTCGTCCTCTCCTCTCTCTGCTCTGTTCTTTTCTCAAAATGGAGTCTGCTCTTGAGTTTACTTTCACTTTCACAGGGACTCTTTCCACTGAAACCTAAACCACCAGATCACAGATTCTTCTTCTCATGACATTTACTGACAGTTTTTGATCATCTTTTAAGTTCAGTATTCTTGACAATCATCTTCCTCTCCTGTGTCAAAATTAAACAAGTTCACTCAAACAGGAACTTGTTTGGTTGAGTCGCAGTTTATTGTTTATACAGCAGCTCCACCTGCTGGTCAAACCAACAAACTACAGATGAGCGCTTCTCCACCTCCAGCTCTGTCTTAAGGTTGTCAGTGTCGCTCTCTCTTCATGATGGTCATTTAACATTACCACACATTTAATTAATTATAATCCTAGAAAAAACTTAAATAAGTTAAAAAGCGCAGAACAGCAGCTAATTTTGATAAGACCTTGCAAACTTATAGGGAGGTCTTTTACCATCTCCTACGAATTTTTCAGATGAAACAAGAAAAGAAATCACCAATACTTTGCAAGATGCAGGAGCTTTCCTGACAAGTTACAAGATTTTAATAATAATTTCTTGTTTGACTTGTTTCTTTGGCTAACTTGGCTGTCAAAGAAAACGAATCAACTATCATTAACCAGCAACAAACTACTATAAAATTTTCATTAAAAAAACTGTGAATAACTTATTACGATGTCCCGTACAACCGAACACTCAGAGTTGAGAAGAAGGAAAGCAAGACAGCCATTGTGGAACAGATAACGACGTGTCGCAACCACTTGTTTAAGGGTCCTTACATGGATATATGCACATAACACGACAAATCCCCACCATCCAGCTTAACATGGAAAATGATGAAATGAACACAAACGTTTGCGTAAAGAAAATAAGGAACAACTTATGTTTTTGATTCAGCAGTTAATAAATCATCAGATTATTTTCATTTTGGAGGGATGGGATCAGGAAGGTCTCTGAAAACAAACCGATCTTCTCTGTGGGATAGAAAAGCTTTGGAGTTTTTTTGTTCAAGAATCTTTGCTTTGACAAATTATATTTCACACATTTTACTTTTACATTCAGGTCTCATTTATGGTTTAATGATTGTGTTTGTACATCCAAACAGGAGGGAATCGATTATTGATGAGCTCAAAGATTATATGAGAACAAAAACATGTACAGGGATGTAGTGGAGAATCCAGCATAAACTCAGTAAAACAATGCACAGGAGACAGGATGAGATCTGAAGCACAGCCTGGGTGTCTTTTATTGTACAGATGAAGAAATCAGTAAAGATGACAGAGTTTTGACCAAAACCAAAGAAAGCTCCCTAAGCCTTTCGTCTACTCCCTTTGAAACTGCTTGTACCTCTGATATGTGTGTGTGAGTGTGTGTGTGTGTGTATGAGTCTTTCATCATCATGGGTACATCATATCTATCCTCCAGGAGGCTACCCATGACGACATGTTGTACTGTTCTGAAACTCAACACTTTGTTTAGATTAGTCTTAACTCTCCCAGATTTTAGCTCTAAATGTTCTGACAGACAGATAGTTTTGGTCCCTGAAAAACAGCCTTAATCAGAACTTCTGGCTGATCTACTGTCACACATGGTATCAACTCCTGCTGCAGAAGTCTGTGGGAATACATCAACTCCACCGATTTATATTTCCACTAGGTGGCGCTGCATCATGGGGGTGGGTGAATTTATGATCATGTTTCCATAAACAAAACAAACCTGTTCAGACTGTTTGATCCCAGAATATGAGGGAAAAGATCAAATATCCAGAGTCCAGGTCCTGAGCTGATCTCAGAGCAGGTCAAAGTGCAGCTCCCAGAGTCCTCTCCGTCCGCTGTGATTGGTCAGTCAGTCTCTCAGTAACATGGCCAAGTCAGAGACTCATCCTCACTGCTGCTGCCTTCACCTCTCTGATCATCAGAAGACAGATCATCTTCTTCATCATCACTCTCGAGGTCAACCCGGCTGCGGAGAGAAAAAAAGACAATCAGTGTTTCCACTCTGAGACTCACTTCATCAGCTGGACTGAAGAACATCCAGTTTACAGACCAGCAGGTTCCAGTCCTGCTCAGACCAGAAGTGATGGTGTACAGCAGCAGGTTTCCTCACAAATAAACCAACATCATCAAAATAAAGAAATCATTCCTGTCAAATGTGTTAAAGCTGATCGAACAAACCTGCTGTGAAAATAACAAGTATAAAGAACAGCTGTCTGTTTTCAAACTTAGAGCTCAAAATCAACAAGTTAGCAGAGAAATAAAGTCTGTGTTGAATACAGAGAACTATAAACTGGACTTCAGAGCAGAAACTGAACATTTCTGTTTCATTATGTCTCATTTCTACATTTGATCTGAAATATAGAGACGAGGAGACACTTTTTTCATGACTGACACTCTTACACTCCTGGTTTGATGATTTCTGTTCTCACAGCTTCACTAAAGAAAGAATCCTCTGAGAGGGTCGAAGAGTCAGCAGGAAATACTGAATATCTGCAACTCCAACTCTATACTGACCTCAGATCCTCCAGGCTGTAGTCTAGACTCTTCTGAAGATCACACAGCGGCTTCAGATCTGAATACTGCAGATTGTTGTCTCTCAGGTCCAGAGTTTTCAGATGGGAGGGGTTGGACTTCAGAGCTGAGGCCAGAGAAGAACAGCTGATCTTTGTCAAACTGCAGTATTTCAACCTAAATAAAGAGGAAATAATGAGATTTTAGAGAAAAATGATCCAGTTTGAAACCTGATGTCTTAAATCTGTAGAGTTCAGGGGAAAGGTTTGGAAAGTATGAATCAGAGAAAAGTGACGCTCCAAAGAGCTGAACCAAACAGGAAGTCAGTTTGAAACAGTGAATTCAAAAACACATGATAAACCATCAAATTCAGATTTTCACACAAATATTTAAAACAATCAAAATTCAAAGTAACAGAGCTGGACTTTCATCAGTGTCAGAAACTAAACTCTGAGTTTTTTCTATTCCCTGATCTTGTCCTGAACAAAAGTTTGAATGGTTCTCGTCTGACAAATCTCCTCCTGCTTCTGTTTTCTGTCTGAATGTGCTTCTCACTGTGAACTCTACAAAGAGTTTTCTTCTTGGGTTCAGGTTTTAATTCACTGGAGCTCAGCAGTGATCGAACTGGAGTCAATCAAATAATCCACTGATGCAGAAAATCTACTCTGGACTGAAGGTGTTCAGTCTGGGTCAGTGTTTCAGTCCTGAGTCAGCAGTTTAGTGTCATCATCACAAACAAATCATGATAATGTTTGAATGGAGGAAAAAAAGTCTCACTCTATAATCTCCAGTTCACAGTTTGGACTCTGCAGAAAGTCACACAGCAGCTTCACTCCTGAATCCTGCAGATTGTTTCCACTCAGGTCCAGGTTTCTCAGATGGGAAGGGTTGGACTTCAGAGCTGAGGCCAGAGAAGAACAGCTGATCTCTGACAAACTGCAGAAACTCAGTCTGAAAAAAGGAAAGAGAATGTAGATGAAAAATAATTAATAATCAAACTTCATATGTTCAGGTTTAAAATGTCGAGCTTAGAGAACTCTTCAAAATGAACTTGAACTGTGACATGGAGGAAACAGGAGGATCTTTGTCACCTTTGTCACATCACCTTTACTGCTTTACTCATCTCCCTCACCTTCATCAGGATCAACAAGGTCAGACAGTGGACAGATCCACTCTTCCTCTCACTCACAAAAACCATCAAATCTAAAGAGATGAGGGAAAACTCTCGGACTGCTGATTTGGTTGATTAAAGGGACGCACAGACGTCATGAAGCCTGATCTAATGTCTGCCACTGCTGTCTTTTTCTCAGGAGGTTTGGTTGAATTCACTCCAGCATGTCCTCTAGACATGAAAACATCATCAACATGAGTCAACTCTGCATGAGCGGTGGACACCTGAATTTTCCAACCACTTCAAAGTTTGTATCCTGGACTGTTTGGATGAAATCTCTGCTATCAGCTGATTGTTGCTGTTGTAACTAAAGCAGCATGTTGTGAGGATGTGCTCACAGGGTCTGGTCTGTGCTGAGGAGTTATACAGAGGGTTGAAATGACGGAGCTCTGACAGCAAGGTTTCTGACTAAAGCTGCTGACTGATGGGACTTTAACACACCTTTGTTGTTGACAAAGTTTCCTGTATGAAAAAGATGAGCTGTGTTCCTGAGCTGCATGGATACTGAGTTCACTGCATCCTTGAACATTTGAATGTTTTAGAGACCGAGGAAGTAAACCCGTCAACATCACTGCAGTGATCATCTGAACCATTGATAAAAAATCATCAACATTCAATCAACAAAATAACTCACAGTGCTCATTTTCCTCCATCTGTATCTGACTGCTGATTCAATAAAAACTATTAATGTTTGTGAGTGAGAAGAAAGTTCTGGAAATATTCAGCAAGTCTGTGAACATTTGAATTGGGTTAAAAAAATGATTAAACATCAAAAGCTACACCAGAAACAGACAAAGAATAAACTAACCCCAGAATCGCCAGTTCACAGTTTGGATCCTGCAGAAAGTCACACAGCAGCTTCACTCCTGAATCCTGCAATTTGTTGTCACTCAGGTCCAGAAATCTCAGATGCGAGGGGTTGGACTTTAGAGCTGAGACGAGAGAAGAACAGCTGATCTCTGACAACCCGCAGCTCCACAGCCTGAAAAAAGGATAAAGAATGTAGATAAAAATAATTAATAATCAAACTTCACGTTTTCAGGTTTAAAAAAATCAAGCCTAGAGAACTCCAACAGGAGACCTTTGGACCAGATCCAGTCTGAAAGAGCTCATTAAATAATATTGGGAAGAACAAAATCTGAGAGTTTGTCACTTTTATGATTTAACCAAATAAGTTCAAGAACCAAAGAAAACTTTGTTTTTGTGACTTCAGTCATCAGAGCAAAGTGACAAAGTGGAAATCCCTGTTTGTGTCTCTCTGTCTGTGTTTGTGTGTCTGTCAGTGTAAATTGAGGCGTCTGTGTTTCTCTCTGTCATTGCAGATATTTCTCTATTCCTCCTCATGAAAACTCAAACCTCATGATCTGACAGATTAAACACATTTGATGAAAAAGTGGATTTTTTTCAGATTTGGTTTGTTTGGTGTTTTTTGTGACTCTGAATTCATGAAGCATCATTATTACTTTAATAACTGTGATGAAAACAATGATGCTAGCTGAAGCAACAACAACAACAAGGAAACTGGGAGCCCAAGTTTAGTCCATGACTTTATCCTCATTATTGTAACGTGTCAAAAAGACTAATAAACACCTGTCACACTCCTGTCTGATATCACTATGATATGGTTGTAATTAATGAATAAAAACTCATAAATATGTTCAAAATGTCTGAAATTGAAACACTTTAACTCCAAATCTAAAAGTTTTTTTATAAAATCAGCTGTCACATTATCATGACGAACAAAATTCAGTTTCAACAATTTAAAGTTTGTGTGGAAACATTAAAATCACAAAAACCATCAAATCTAAAGAGATGAGGGAAAACTCTCAGACTGCTGATTTGGTTGATTAAAGGGACGCACAGACGTCATGAAGCCTGATCTAATGGCTGCCACTGCTGTCTTTTTCTCAGGAGGTTTGGTTGAATTCACTCCAGCATGTCCTCTAGACATGAAAACATCATCAACAAACTTACCCCAGAATGTCCAGTTTACAGTTTGGACTCTGCAGAAAGTCACACAGCAGCTTCACTCCTGAGTCCTGCAAATCGTTGTTACCCAAGTTTAGCTCACTCAGATGGGAGGGGTTGGACTTCAGAGCTGAGGCCAGAGAAGAACAGCTGATCTCTGACAAACTGCAGCCACTCAGTCTGAAAAAAGGAAAGAGAATGTAGATAAAAATAATTAATAATCAAACTTCACGTGTTCAGATTTAAAATATTGAGCTCAGAGAACTCCAACAGGAGACCTTTGGACCAGATCCAGTCTGTCAGAGCTCATTATCTGGTCTGCTCTGACCCTCCATGTTAAATAACAGACAAGACATCAAATGTGATGGAGCATTGGTTTGGATTAGAGGTTCAGGTGTTCAGAAGGTGGAGTCCTTGTCGCAGCAGTTGCTGGTTAGACTCCCATGATCCTTTGCTGTAAGTCCTCCCTCACTCTCTACTCCATGTTTCCTGTTCCTCTTCAGCGCTCGGATCAATAAAAGTCTTCAAAATGAACTTGAACTGTGACATGGAGGAAACAGGAGGATCTTTGTCTGCCTTCATCCCTCACTGTACACTGATCTTCAACAAGAACACTCAACCCAGAATAACAGACTGTGTTGTCTCTACTGTCAGAACTGGACCAGACCAGCCAGCAATCCTCCAGATCTGAGTTCATGGAAGTCAGAGACAAACCAGAAATACTCTCAACCAAGAAGAGCTCAGTGAGAGCTAAATGTGCTGAGTCACCCAGGACACTGAGCGGACCTCCCTCAACCAGGCTGGTCTCAAGAGTTTGTATTGAGCAGATCCAGCCCATGTGAAGCTGAACCTGAATGTGCTCTCAGACTGTAACATCAGCGCTCTGCTAAACAGAGAATGGATGAGACTCTGATGAGACAGGTCAGCTGACTCTGTCTGCAACAACATCACCTTTACTGCTTTACTCTTCTCCCTCACCTTCATCAGGATCAACAAGGTCAGACAGCAGACAGATCCACTCTTCCTCTTGAACTTATTTGGTTCAAACATAAAAGTGACGATGAAAACTTTGTTTTTGTGACTTCAGTCATCAGAGCAAAGTGACAAAGTGGAAATCCCTGTTTGTGTCTCTCTGTCTGTGTTTGTGTGTCTGTCAGTGTAAATTCAGGCGTCTGTGTTTCTCTCTGTCACTGCAGATATTTCTCTATTCCTCCTCATGAAAACTCAAACCTCATGTTCTGACAGATTAAACACATCTGATGAAAAAGTGGATTTTTTTTAGATTTGGTTTGTTTGGCGTTTTTTGTGACTCTGAATTCATGAAGCATCATTATTACTTTAAGAACTGTGATGAAAACAATGATGCTAGCTGAAGCAACAACAACAACAAGGAAACTGGGAGCCCAAGTTTAGTCCATGACTTTATCCTCATTATTGTAACGTGTCAAAAAGACTAATAAACACCTGTCACACTCCTGTCTGATATCAGTATGATATGGTTGTAATTAATGAATATTAACTCACGAATATGTTCAAAATGTCTCTGAAGTTATCTTCAAGTTAATTTATAAAATCAGCTGTCACATCTCATGACAAACAAAATTCAGTCTCAAGAATTTTTAAGTTTGAAAAAGATGAGCTGTGTTCCTGAGCTGCATGGATACTGAGTTCACTGCATCCTTGAACATTTGAATGTTTTAGAGACCGAGGAAGTAAACCCGTCAACATCACTGCAGTGATCATCTGAACCATTGATAAAAAATCATCAACATTCAATCAACAAAATAACTCACAGTGCTCATTTTCCTCCATCTGTATCTGACTGCTGATTCAATAAAAACTATGAATGTATGTGAGTGAGAAGAAAGTTCTGGAAATATTCAGCAAGTCTGTGAACATTTGAATTGGGTTAAAAAAATGATTAAACATCAAAAGCTACACCAGAAACAGACAAAGACTAAACTTACCCCAGATGCTCCAGTTTACCGTTTGGATCCTGCAGAAAGTCACACAGCAGCTCCACTCCTGAATCCTGCAATTTGTTGTCACTCAGGTCCAACTGTCTCAGATGGAAGGGATTGAAATACAGAGCCGAGGCCAGAGAAGAACAGCTAAACAAACTGCAGTCACTCAGTCTGAAAAAAAAAAAAATCATTGAACCTCTAAAGAAACTGTTCCTGCTTTAATGATTTAATGTTCTTGAGCCCTTGAAGGACATGGAAGGAGAACTTTTTCAGAGTTGATCTTGAGGAACTTTGTGAAATTCTCTCTAAACTTTGTGAAGATCCTGAGGAATAATTCAGTCAAGAATATGTTTAGAATACAGAAAACTTTAGTGAGATCCTGAGAAACTAATGTGAGAAATCTAAAAGGTTTTTTTGTAGTCCTGAATTCTTCATGAAGATTAAAATAGTCAGGAGTATATTCAGGGCTCTGTCCGTCTGCTGTCAACAACTGACAAACTACTCGTAAATAAACCAACAGATCATTGATCAGAGAGGTTTTTATGGACCAACTGGACAAGATGATGTTAATGTTCAACAAACTGAAGTGAAAACTGCAGAAAAATCTGGATCTGGTTTTTACATTTGAACACGACTGAGCAAAGAAGAAATTCAAGTTTTCAAGAGTTTCCAAATGAAATCTTCAGAGTTGGATTAACTTTGTTCTTCAGGTTTCAATCTGCAGCTCATCATTTCTCTGACACTTCATTCATTCATTAGTGATCACATTAACTGTCAGCCTTTAGTCTGTGCTGCTCCTGCCCTCTACAAGCATGTGTAATATTTGTGGGACTGATTTTCTCCTGCTTCCTTTCTACATCCATCATTCAACACAGGAAGAAAAATCTAACATTTCAGAGTTGACTTTGAGTAGAAGTTTTACAACTACAAATTCAAACTGCTCGACCAAAGTTGATGGAAAAACCACAGAGAAAAATCTAAGGCAGAAACTGTCACATCTTATTGTTAGATCAGAAGGAAATGGTGTCTGACCTCAGAATCTTCAGTCTGCAGTTTGGACTCTGCAGTCCTGCAGAGAGAAGCTTCACTCCTGAATCCTGCAGTTTGTTTCCACTCAGGTCCAGATGTCTCAGATAGGAGGGGTCGGACTTCAGAGCTGAGGCCACAAATTTACAGTGAGTCTTTGAGAGTCCACAGTCAGAAAATCTGTAACAACATAAACATCAAACAATATTTCATTGAAGGGTAATTTGATGTTTCTCTTCACCAAAAACAACTTAAACATGATCTTTGGTTTGACAGACGGCCTGTTGACCAATCAGAGGACGACTCACTAAATCACAGCAGCAGCTCCTTTTTCTACGATTGGTTCAGATCAAATCGTTTTTTTAGCAGGTTAGAGCTGGTTTGACTCTGAACATTTGAAGATTTGAAGATTTCTTTGTTTTCACAGTGAAAGTTTTTTCTCCATGTAACATTCCCTTCACCAGCAGAAACAAGTTTATAAAGCCTGATGAATCCAGAGAGACCTTTAAGAGACAGATACAAAGACCCACTGAACCTCTGTATTTGTTTCTCTCTCTCTCTCTCTCTCTCTCTCTCTCTCTCTCTCTCTCTCTCTCATGATTGAGGTTATTTGAACTCTATGAGACATAAGTTCGCATAACTCCTATAAAAATAACAGATTGCTAGTTTTTTTGCTAGTTTTTGCCCCCTAAAAAAGTCTGTCTTGTTTGTCCTTTAGACCTGGTTCAGACCTTAAACCGAGGCGTGCACCCGAGTGGGAGAAATGTGACCGCTACAGCCCACCAACACCTCAACATTAGAGGAACCATCTTCACTCTGCAGCATCACTATGACAACAAAGGGACACCATGGAAAACTGATGATGATGATGCAGTCACACTGCTTCTCCTTAGAGACATGGTGTCCATATATACAGTGGAAGAGCACAGCTGTTTCCCCATACTATGAGGTGTTATGTGGCAGACTAGTGTTAGTGCGTCATTAGCATAGAGAGAGACATTAACATCTTATTTCCACCATTGTTTTCAGACACATGGAGCTGCTGTCCAAATAACTCATGTTCTCATCATGCATATGTTCTAGTTCACCAGATAATATCCAGTGAGTGGTGGAAAATGATGTTAGTTTTCATGGTTGTATTGATGATGATGAACATGATGGTACAGAGACAGTTCTGCCACTGTGTAGAAAATGATCCAGTTCCAGCAGGAAGAAGCTGCAGACACCTTCTTCAAACTCAAGTTCACCACAACTGACTGAGATGTTGATCTGGACTGATACCATCATCAGAAGACCTCTGTGTGTCCTCAGATATGGTCGCTGATTTGTCCTGAAAGTTCCACTTTATTCATTACAGACAAAAACCAGGATCATGTTTTTGCTGAACCTAAAGAAACCCCCTCCCTGATAGTTTTAGCTGATTTCTATTTGAAGAAGAACATCATCAGTAACGTGGACATTAGAAGAACTACAGGGATCATTTACACTATTCTGAGAATAAAACCTGGACTTACCGAGCTTTTCTGCAGTTCCTCACAGCTGGCATCAGTCTCAGTCGTCCCTGGTTTGATGTTTTATACTTCTTAAAGTCCAACTCATCCAGAACCTCCTCTGACATCTGCAGCATGTAGGCCAGAGCAGAGCATTGGATAATTGAGAATTTCCTCCTTGACCTCTTCTCTGACTTCAGGAACTCTTGGATCTCCTGATGAACTGACAGATCGTTCATCTCCATCAGACAGTGGAAGATGTTGATGCTTCTTTCAGGAGAGATATCTCTACTGTTCATCTCCTTCAGGTTGTTGATGACTCTTTGGATCATTATTGGACTGTTGCCTGTGTGACCCAGCAGACCTCCTAAGAGTCTCTGGTTTGACTCCAGAGAGAGTCCATGAAGGAAGCGAACAATCAGGTCCAGGTGACCGTTTTTACTGAGAAGGGATTTCCTCATGGCTCTCTTCAGGAAGTCATCCAGTTTGTCTTTTTTGCCTCTTAGGAAAGTCTTCAGAACTTTTGTGTTCCTGTTTGTGAAACTGTGGATCATGTAGACTGCAGCCAGAAACTCCTGAACGCTCAGATGAATGAAACAGTAAACAGTTTTCTGGAAGATCACACTCTCTCTTCTGAAGATCTCTGTACAAACTCCTGAGTACACCGAGGCCTCTGAGACATCCAGACCACACCGCTCCAGGTCTCCTTGGTAGAACATGCTGTCTCCTTTCTCCAGATGTTCAAAGGCCAGCCTCCCCAGCTTCAGGAGGACTTCACTGTCAGCCTCCGTCAGCTCCTGAGGACTTGTCTCATGTCCTCCTTCATACTTCTGCTTCTTCCTCTTAGTCTGGACCAGCAGGAAGTGTGAGTACATGTCCGTCAGGGTCTTGGGCAGCTCTCCTCTCTGCTCTCTGATCATCATGTCCTCCAGAACTGTAGCAGTGATCCAGCAGAAGACCGGGATCTGACACATGATGTGGAGGCTCCTGGAGGACTTGATGTGTTTGATGATTCTTCTGGACAGATCCTCATCTCTGAACCTCTTCCTGAAGTACACCTCCTTCTGGTCGTCAGTGAAGCCTCGTACTTCTGTTACCCTGTCCACACATGAAGGAGGGATCTGATTGGCTGCTGCAGGTCGAGAAGTTATCCAGATGAGAGCTGAGGGGAGCAGGTTCCCCTTGATGAGGTTTGTTATCAGAACGTTGAGTGAAGACTTCTGTGTGACGTCAGACAGGACCTCAGAGTCTGTGAAATCCAGAGACAGTCTGCTTTCATCCAGACCGTCAAAGATGAACAGAAGTTTACAGACAGCCAGCGTCTCTGCTGTGACCTTCTCTAGTGTTGGATGGAAAACATGGAGCAGACTCAGAAGACTGAAGCGCTCATCTCTGATCAGGTTCAGCTCCCTGAATGGAAGCAGGATCACCAGATTGAGGTCTTGGTTCTCCAGACCCTCTGCCCAGTCCAGAGTGAACTTCTGCACTAAGGAAGTTTTTCCAACACCAGCCACGCCGTTGGTCAGAACCACTCTGACCACTTCCTGTAGACACGGTAAGCCTCTAAAGATCTTATGGCACTTGATGGGCGTGTCATGGAGGGTCTCCATCTTTGAAGCTGTCTCCAGCTGTCTCACCTCATGTTGTGTGTTCACCTCTTCACTCAGTCCCTCTGTGATGTAGAGCTCAGTGAAGATCCTGTTGAGGAGGGTTTGACTACTTCCTGTTCCATCACTTCCTTCATTCACACGTTCACATCTCCTCTTCAGACTGATCTTATGTTCATCTAAAACCTCCTGCAGACCGCCATCTGCTGAAAGAGAAGAAAAATCAAATGAACCAAACTTCTCAACACGAAAACGTCTTTGTGAAAATCAGTCAGCTGAGTTTTCATCCACAGAGACTTTAGAGGACAGATGTTCAGACTTACTTCCATCAGAGCTGGACTGACTGTCTGTCTGAGAGACAAGAGCTGTTCTGGTTCTTTTTCCACACTGGGGACAGGAGGTTTGTATTAAAGAAGTATACTGGTGCCTGCATGAGGCCAGGCACTGTCTGCAGGACAGGTGTCCACAGCGGTAAGAGACTGGATCCTTCAGGACGTCCTGACATGAAGAACATCTGGACAGCTGCTCCTCCACAGAGTCACATCTCTGTGTCTCTCTGTGGAAATAAAGAACATTTATTTTCTTTATCATTTCATGTTTGAAAGATACAGAATAAGAATCATTTATTAAACCAGAGTTTCTGACCTCACTCTTTTCTCTAACATAAAACAATCTCCTGTAAAATATTCAGCTGCTGCTGCCTGAAAGTGTGGAGACAGGAGAAAAACTAAACTGTGATTTTTGAGGGTGGAGAGATTTTCTCCACCAATTCTACAGTTTTTTATCAAAAGATCAAACAGGAATGATTTCTTCAGAGGAGAGGAGATCATTTTTCTCACCATGGTAGAAAACAGAGGGGTCAGAATTTAAAGTTTTGTTTTTGAAACATCAATTGTTGTTGTTTGAGAGTTCAGTGGTTGAAAAGTGTTTCTCTTACTGTGAATCTGAGGGTCCTGGTTCTTTCCTGAAGTTCCCGACACAAACACTCATCTTCTCCATCTGATGTTGAGCAACTTTTTGGAAGATGAAACCGAGTACAACCTGAGGACAAAGTAGACAAACAGGTGAGATACAAACAGGAGGACAGTGTTCAGAAATAGAAGTAGACTCGTGGACAGGAGGCCTTAAAGAGACAGCAGCTAAAATGAAGTGTTTTAGGAGGAGGCTGAAATAAAGATATTTTAATACACCAGAGTGAGAAACAGGAGACTTAACTGAAAATCATATAAAGATATTAAAGAGGAATCAGAAAGAAAGTATACAGTCTGAAATAAGCTTAATACCCCTCTTTAAGATCTTAGACTTAAAAACAGGCAACTGGACTGTGAAGAGTTGAGAAGACGTTTTGCCTCTTATCCAAGAAGCTTCTTCAGTTGTAAATTGCTAGTGTGAGGAGCAATCATATCTTGCTGGACAAAGGAACAGACAACGACTGGGAGGGGTTGGGTCGTAGAAACCCATCTCCGGGTGTGTCCCCCATTAAGTCGTTAACCCTCTTTAAGAGTTATACAGGGTTTAGTCCGTATCCAAGTACTTCTGTCTCCCCATGCTACAGGGCCTCTCTCTGATTCATGGTCAAAACAACAACAGCTGTGAGGTTCCTGAAGTCTCATTATAAATTAAGGGGACTGGATTAAATTTGAGGCTAAATGAAAAGAAACTTTTTTTTGTTTTTACTAAAAAGACAGGACTAAACAAGAAGGAGGAAGAACTGCACGTACGCAGTTTCCTGTTTCAAGTACTGATCCAACTCTTTGTCTGGTCAGGTTTCTGTGTATTGTGTATTAGTCAGTAAATCATTTTTCATTAACAGATGATACAGAAAAAGACTTTGACATTGAGACAAAAGAACAAAGAGTAAACACTCACTCTTCTTTTCTCAAAATGGAGTCTGTTCTTACTCACTTAGTTTCAAAGACTATTTTCACTGAAACCTTAACCACCAGATCACAGATTCTCCTCTCCTGTGTCAAAATTAAACAAGTTCACTCGAACAGGAACTTGTTTGGTTGAGTCTCAGCTACAAGATATTAATAACAATTTCTTTGGTCGATTTCCTGTTTGACTTGTTTCTTTGGCTAACTTGGCAGTCAAAGAAAACAAGTTAACTTCAATAACCAGCAACAAACTACCATAAATTTTTTAAAATAATAACATTTTACGATGTCCTGTACAACTGAGCACTCAGAGTTGCCCTTGAAAATAACATTTAAGTTCGACTTTGTTGTAAAGGCAGCAATCTTTAGTTCTGATGAAAACATTAAAATAAGTGGAATCATACTGTCTTTGTTTATAGCAGGGCAGTTTCGTCTTGAAATGGCGCCCACTGGTGGACAGTCATATTTGATTCTTTTTTAGAAACCACCGCAGTTTCCAGCTAGAATTTAACGTTTAAAAATTAAAATCACAATATTGTTGTCGTAATGTTACTGTTTTTTTTTACTTACTAATTTGTTCCAAGGTCAACTGATTTGGGATTTTTGATGAATAGGTTCATTTAATCGTAGCCCTGATGTTTCGACTTTTGCGTTTTCTTTATATCGTGTCTCATCTACGATGCATTAGCTACTTAAATTTCCAGAGATTAAAACACTTCTGAATTTTAAAAACACAGATGATAACACCACCTGAGAACATCCGCTGATCTGTTTTTCGGTTTATTTTGGGTTTAACTTGACCACATTTGAGTAAAGAGTTTTAAATATCTGCTAACTTCAATTCCATCCCGATAATTTTGCTTACATGAACGATGAAGTCTCTCAACAGTTAGCTGTACCTGTTCATTAGCATGTTAGGCTTAAACACGAGCGCGGTTAGCCTGTTAGCATTATCCACTCAGCCTCTTCCTGCTTCTGTTCGCTTCTCTTTTACTCACCTCAAAAAATCACGATGCGCTGTGATTCAGAATATGTTGTCCTCGTTTTATACGCTCTCCTTTCTTCAAGTTTACAGTATTTTAAAGATTTAAAGATGTTGACACTGGCGAAGTTAACTTCTGAATCGTGGTGTGTCGGTCATCAATGAATGGGTCATAGAACTAAATATTTTTGGTGAACGAAATGAACGAGGTCACTCCCGCCAAATGACTCGTTCAGTTTGTTCAGTTCTTTAAATTGGCTGAAGAGTCAGCTCACCGTTCCTTAGGGCGGGACTATCTCCGTGCTTGCCTGTCTTATCCTATCGTCGCGCCTCGCTCTGTGTGTGGGTGGGGCTTAGAGAAGCAGCAGCAAGTACTGAGCTGACTGAAAGACCGGGATGGGAGTTTACTGAAGGAACGGGTTAAATGAACGAAAGACCGAGTTGAACGAAAGACCCGGACAAATGAACAAGTTGACTGAAAGACCCGGACCGATGACCGACTCGGTCTCCGTCTTTTCAGTCAGCCCGGTCTGACCGAGAGATTGACCGACTCTCAGACTGACTAAGTACAAGCGTTCACTTTCTACGAAGTGCTTTCAGCCTGTCACTAGCCGACCGACTTGTGAACGCAACGGGATGTACTGAATAAAATAAACTATAAGGCAGTCTCTTACGGGGGGTATCTGTGAGCGGGACAGTCACACACACACACACACACACACACACACACACACACACACAGCTGCTGCAAGCCAGAGGCAGAGACTCACTAGCAGAAGGTTTAGCATGCTAAGCTAACAAACAGCTAGCCTAGCTATATAGCTTGGTTTAGCTGGGTCAACGTGCCGGTGTTTCGGTGTAAAAAGTGACCCTGTTACCTGGAGACTTTCGAAAAAATGCGCATGAGATTGTCTCAAGTCGCACAGCTGTTGAATACGTGTCCTTAGATCTCTCTGTGTTTTGAATGTCAGCAAAGAATTATCTGTTGGTAATACTTGATGTTATTGTCACAAAGGGAGCTAAGAGGCTCTCGTTCGTTCAGAATCTGAACAGATCTCTCCCTCCATAAACCCGGTCAGCGTGTCTGAACGAACGTGAACATGAGCGAACGATCTGACTAACGACTTATTGACCGAAATGTCACTTTGGTGGCTTCGTGCCATTTGTTTGGAAAGTCTTATTATTTTTTTACCTTTTGATTTTGCTTACTGCCTTCCTTCATAACAACGTAACCTGTGCTGTGTTCGAATTGCCCGCTCGCATACTACATGCTACTGCTACGTGCTACTGCTAGATCCATCTCCTACATACTAAACACGTTGGCCCAATTCGGACACACTAGACGAGCGGTGGGGAAAGACGACCCCCGCAGGCAGAGAGTAGGTACTGCGCCCGTTTTAGACTGAATGGTAATTGTGCAAGTGATGTATGCTGCTGTATTATATTCCTGCACTGCTTTAGATATTCACAAAGTAGCTTTTCCATTACTTTAGCCTTCATTCACTCACGTGGTGATCGTTTGTTCAATGAGATCTGCCTGATTACTGCAGCTGTGCAGTTCAATGATGGAATAAGTGAGCTTTACCTCCATGATGTCGCCACATGTTTGCTCATAAAATGATTACTTGGGCAAATATGACACCATGACATGACAAAGAGCTACAACCGCACATTTTTTTAGGACAGTGTGTGAAGTTACATTAAAATTACATCTGTACTGCTGCGGTCCTGCCCCCTGTTGCTGCTGCTCCGCCATGGTGCGCGCTGCTGTGGCCAGCCAGCGTTCGCGACACATTTAAATAGGCAGAGCAGCTGGTGGCGCTAGCATCACATGCGCTTCTACAACTTTTAAGAGGACGAAGAAGAAGCCCGCGGTGCATTTTTGGTCAGTAGCATGCCCGTAGGATGCACCGAGAACAACCTACAATGTGGGCGTGTCTAGTATCTCAAGTAGTATCTGAAGTAGCATGCTACTCGCTCCGGTGGCCAATTCGGACATGCTACATACTACTTCGACTACTACTTGGCAATTCGGACACAGCTCTGCAGCGCGAACTCTGGAGCATGTGCAGAAACACTTTGATCAGCTCCAGTAATGTGAACAATATCATGTAGTTGACTGATTTTAGCTGCTTAATATAAATTACCAGTCATGTTGCTGACAGCCTAAGGTTGCTCTTTACACCGTGGAGAAGCATCAGTTTGAGTTAAAGTTACTTTAAAATCAGCTTAAAACTCCTAACAGTGCTTTTAAATGTGAATATCTAAAGAAAAATGGCCAATTAAGAAATGCAAACATATGCTCTGACCACCTTTTTTAATATTAGATTATGACAATCATTAGTAAAATCCCTATTCTACTCAATTTTAACTCTCTATTTTTTTTGTTGTTTGTTTATACTGAAGATTACAACACCGAACCAGATATCCATGTCCAATTATCAGACTGACATATCTGAAGATATTTAGGCTATACTAACACTTTCTTCAGAAATAATGGCTGTAGATGGTTGTTTATTATTGATAACAAGCTTCTTGATTTCCACTGGTGATAAAACAAACTCACTGTACCTTATGCTGTCATTCTAGTATTTCTTGTGTTCATGAGTTTTACTCCTGGCTGTATTAAAGAGCGGGTTTTTGTAACTTGCGTTAACTTTATAAATCAAATCTCTTTTTTCAGTTTTATCTTCTTAGGAAACAGATTCAGAGGAAAACTTTACATAATCGACCACAATTTAAAAAGGATTAAGATTACTCTGGCATGTTTCATAACTCTACATGAATTATATTTCTAGTTTTACCCAGAGAGCTGATAAAACAAATTAAAAAGTGCAGAACTCTACAAATCACATTTAGAAATTGTCATTACAAATGTAAAGTTATACTGACAAAAAAAATACACCAGTAACACTTGAAGTTGTAGCCAACACTGCCCTCTGCTGGAAATAATACAAAGAGGCTGATTCTCCTGGGGTTTTTAGCACTTTAGTCATATATTTATCAATATCCATGTCTCAAAACAGACACTTAATACTTGATCACATTTCCTGGTAGTGTATGAATGAACCAAAATACAAGCTGCTGATTTACACTGATGACGCTTTTACAAAATACAAAACCCTTCAGCCTCTTGCACCAAAGATGTGTCTTTGGTGGGCATATATTCCCCACTGGTCTATACTGGAAAACAGCAAACCAGCATCACTCAGTGAAGCCAGGCACACAGCAGAGTATTTACAAGCTTGCTTCAAAGGTCACTCTGGCATCTGTAGACCTGCTCATCGTGAGAGCATTAGTGAGGAAAATAAGAGTCCAGGCTGTGGCTCAGCTGCTCCCAGCTCTCCTCTTCTCTGCAGCCTCCTCTAGCTGCCTCTGCCTCCTCTCCAGGATCTCGATCCTCTTGGCCTCGTTTCGTGCTCGCTCCTGAGCTTTGAGCTCCTCCACGTCCTCAAAGAACCTGTGTCTGCAGGGAGAAGGACACAAAATATTGATATATATTGATAGATACTGACATGTTTCTAAACTAAAAATGAACAAAACTAAAACACTCAAAATTAACTGAAGCTCAACTAAAGGGACATGGCAGACATTCGAGTCAGAGAAATAATAAACTCCTTTATTTTAAAGATGACAAGAAAATGTACATCAAACACTATCCACTCCAGCAACTGCTTACAATTTGATAAGCTGTGATCGGTGATGAAAAAATAGGATTAAGTTAGAGCTTTAATTAGCAGACATGGTAGTTTAGGGGCAACGTGTCTCAGTCGTTTTGGGGTTAGTTGTCTCATGTTTAAAAGGGACTAAAATTAACATAGAGAGTCTGGTTGTCATATTGAAATTTTGACTTTATTTTTACAGAGAAAAGAGTGGTTTAAAGGAGAGGAGAAAGTGAGAGGACACAAAAAACAGAACGTAGCAGTGCAGTACCTGAAGTGATGCTGAGAGCAGTCAGACAGGTGACCCTCGCTAATAAATCAATCTGGAGTACAATAAAGGACTTAGATGTCAACTACCATACCTTGGCTCTGTACTGCAAAAACATTCACCCCAGCCAAAACACAGAGTCAGACAGCTCTCCAAACTCCAGAGCATGTTACATCATATCTTATGTTAACGTTTGTTTATTGATTTTTCTAACTCAATGATAAACATTTTCTGTGCCTGACTTTGATGTTCAATTTTCATGTAAAAAATGAGAACAACAATAATTTTATCCTTGTTTTATTAGCTGTAAAACCCACTGTGAAATCTTATGTGTATATATATATATATATATATATATATATATATATATATATATATATATATATATATATATATATATATATATATATATTTATGTATAGCAATGTCTAATCTAATTAAGATTTTTTTTAATTCTCTATTATATATATCCCTCCCCCTCCCCTCCCTTACAAAAAATATTTTTGTTAATTTTTGATGTTGTTGTTTTTTTTTGCAGTCACTCTGTTTTGTTGTTAAATAAAAAAAATTAAAAAATAAATAATAAAGAAGTTCTTATTTTCCTGTTGTCCTGTGAATGAAATGTACCATATTTATATAATCTGGAGGGGTATTTCTTTGCACAGCCAATCTTGTGCAGAAATACACCTTACATGGAGCTGCAGACATAAAGATGCCAGTTTAGTTTAAAATCACAAACATACAGTTTAATAAGTGGATTCATGATCAGCTGGTTGGTCACTGTCACTGTCAGCTCTTGTGTAAAGAGAGGTGGACCAAAGTACATCATGTAACACTGAAGGTTAAAGCATGAAAATAAAGGTTTTAATAAAGTGTCTCTTACACACAGTCAACACCACCTCCAGCTCACACAGCAGCTGTAAACAAAGATAAAGTTACCTGTTGAAGAAAGCAGCAGCCAGTCCAACGATCAGGGTCCCAAACAGGATCGGTTTGGTCAAACGCTTTCCTCTGGACAGCTGATGTTGCTTCATGATGGCTTTAGTCCAATGAGGGGGGGCTACTACAGGTGGAAATACAAAGTCAAACTCAGGAATCTACATTTGTTTTATAGCTGACCTTTCAGGTGTCCCTTACTTACGTGACTGCGCCTCACACTCCCACCACCACTCTTCTTCCGTTGACGTTTCTCAGGTACCACGACATCCGCTTCCATATTTTATCAACTAAACTTTTACCAAAACCGCCAGAATACGGCCTATGTGTAGAGAAAATCACATACACAAACTACTAAGGTATTTAAGTATCTAAGAAGAAATTGAGGGAGAACTGTGAATTAATTTGAAGCGGTCTAGATTGAGGCGGAACCTTGCTGTAGTGCGGATGGATTTGGAAGACGGACCAAAACAAGAAATGGGGGAACATGAATGAAGCTCAGCGGTGATGCTACAGTTTCTTAAATTTATTGTCGTTAAGTAGTCTACAATAATACTTCTTTGTTTTTTTTCTATTATAGTAGCTAACGCTAAACTAAATCCAGAGATGTCTAAGAAAAGCTCCTCTGAAAACTCTGACCGTTTTGAATATTTACAAACTCTGGTGACTGAGTTTCAGGACACCGACAGTGAAGGTGGGATATTCACTGATCTATTCACTGATTTATTCACTGATTTATTGATTTTTTTAATCAGAGATCTTTTAAGGAATTAACTTTAGACAAGCTTATGAGAACCGGACAAAAACCTGGTTTATAATTTTAGGATCGAGGGCCTCAGATGTATGTACACTCTTATCCCTTTTCCTTTAATGTATAGTTTATTGAGAGAATTAGGACCAAGTCAGACAAACTACCTTCATTCAAAGGTAAAAGAGGGAGAAAAAGACTGGCTCACAATGTAAAAAAAAAAAAATAAAGCAGACAGATTAAAATTCATAAACAAAAAAATCAAGAAATAAAAGAAAATACACACAAAAAATCTACTTCAAGCTTGACTTTTCACCTGCTCAGAACAAAGACTTCTTTGTCCACAGGGGGCGCCAAAATCAATTCTCGCAGAAGGTTTAATTATAGTACTACAATTTAGTAAAATACAAAAATTCTGGTAAATTCGGGTCAGGCTTTTCGTAACAATACAAAAATAAATGTAAAGTGATAACTGACTTTGCTGACCTGATCCTCAGCAGCAAAGTGTCTGAGAGCTTTGACTTTGCTGAAATGTTCCTCTTCTTCTCACTGTTCTGTAAGAATGAGCGGATTTGTTCTTACTGTGTTTACCTTTCTAAAATAGACACTTCAAGATGATAGTCTTGTTCAGACAGCAGGATTTATTTTCTAGAAGTTACCTTTAAACCGGTCAAATAAGGCTCCATATGAAAAGACTTAAGACTCTGTACTGCTTTAGTTAAAAAAATCTGTTAATTTATTCATTAAATTGTCATTTTTAACCCCCATCAGAGGCAAAGGAGCAGGTGCTGGCTAATCTTGCTAACTTTGCATATGATCCAAACAACCTGGATTATCTGAGGGAGCTGCAAGTGATCGACCTCTTCCTGGACATGCTCACAGAGGAGAACGAGAACTTTGTGGAGTTTGGGATGGGTGAGTTTAGAGTCATTATCTGTCTCTGATTACTCTGATTACTGATTACTTAATTTTGCATCTGCTTTCTCTTCTCCTAACAAACATCCTGGTATGTGTCCTGCTCTCAGGGGGGCTGTGTAACCTGAGCATGGACCCTGAATGCAGAGATTTAATCCTGCAAAACAGCGGGATCAGCTTGGTCACAAACTGTCTGTCCAGCCACAGAGAGGAGACTGTCCTGTCAGCCATCACCATACTGATGAACCTCCTCACGCCCTCGTCTCGCTCTGAGATCACCGACCCCGCCATCACGCAGTGCATGCTGCGTTTCTCCCTCTCAGAGAGCCCTCGTCTGAGGAACCTGGCCTCCGTGTTCCTGCAGGACTGCTGCAGTGAGGAGCAGGTGAACCGAGCGGAGCAGCAGATGCAGGGACAGCAGAGCGCAGTCGGCATCCCGCTGCCAAAAGACTGAGTAACAGATGAGGAGTCGATGTGGAGGATCTTTGAAGGGTGGTTATTTTGCTCTCTGTGAGAGAATGAAAAATATTATTCAACTGTACGGTTAAAAGTATGTGGACAGTTTTGTTGATTATATTGTCTAAAGCGGAGTGCGTTAATCTTCTGCCTTAACCTCCGTCACTGCTCTGGTTTCAGACCTTTAGCCATAAAAGCACCAGTAAGGCCTGACTGATGTTACTGAATAGAATCTGGCTGTGGGACATAAGGTTTTAGATTGCCTGAGGGGCTGCAGCAGCTCAGTGTGTAGGCTCTTGTCACCAAACCCCAGCTGCTCATCTGTGTGCAGCCCCCTCTCTCTGACATCTCTTTATTAGGGCTAGTGTGCCCATAAGATCCTGTTAATAATGTGTGTGTGTGTGTATTTCCGACCTGTACAGCACGTTTAAGAAAGAGAATGATTATCAAATCTTCCTCACTCTTTAATTTACCAGATTTTCGTGGTTTATTAAGGGCATTTTAAATAATGGTGCTAAAGTTTACATTATTATACTGGAGGAAATCTGCAGACCTCATACTGGTGGGCCAATAATAACACAGATATGATCTTGTGGGCCAGATATAATTGTTCCACAGGCCAGATTTGGCCCCCGGGCCTTGAGTTTGACACCTGTGGTTTACAGCTTTGTTCCTCTTACACAGAGATTCCCTGTATTTTATGGTTTTTAGATTTTGAAATCCTCAATTTCTTTGCAAAGCCTTGATAAGCTGATAACTTGTCTGTTTTAAAATCAAACCCAGGCTTTAAATGGTTTGTAATCTGTTTTTATCAACATTCAGACAGTGTCCAATGATTGTGGATTCATGGATATAATAAGAATATGGTTTCCTGGGGAGTTCAGAAATGAATGCAGATGACTTGTGATCATCCTGCTCATCTATAAATGAATCGTTATCTTTCAGTTAAATAGGTACAGACTGTTTTCTACATTTTTAACCACAGCGCTCCTCAGAGAGTGTTATGCTCTCTGCTGCCACATGGGGGAGACTGGATCGGTTAAAGGCTGTTCCTGACCACACACATAATGAGTTCCCTTTCATTCTACCAGGGTTAATTACTAAAGATACTTAAACAGCAGATTTACAGTTCAGTTACAGCTAATTCTGATGTGTTTGCCAAACACTGTCCTCAGAGGGTTGTTGCTAAAGCTCACTGGCTGCAGTTTTAATTTCACCGCCTATTTTTCCCAAAAATGTAAATTCCCTTGGCTCTGAATTGAATTCCTCAGACCCGGTGTGGATGCTGGAGCGCATTGAAACAAATTGTTAGACTCCTGCACTTGGCACTTTGTTAAAACCCTCAAACATTAAATCTGATCCCAAAATATGTAAAAATAAAGGAACACTAAATAAACCTTGTGGTTTCCTTTTAAGAGCCAGGAGCTCCGTTTGTTTTCTTCTGGGCTTTTAAGAGCTATTTCTGGGCCGAGTCCTTCAGGTCTAGACAGAAGACGACATTCGATCCTGCAGAGCGGCACCGGTTGGACTGCACATGTAGCTCGATCAGACTCTAGAGGAAATTCTTTACAGCTTTGAGTGTGTGTTTCTGTGATATTTGCTCATTTAAGAATCCCACAGTGTTCTCATTTTCAACCCGAGTGTGTGTAAGTGTTTCTGAATGGCATTCCAGGGGATTGAAAGGCGTGCACCTGCCACCCAGATCAATAAAAATACCTTCATTCTTCCCGTAAAGAGAGGAACACCCAGGCCTGGCTTTAATAATGTGGTACAACGTTTATTTCAAGTTGATGTGAAAAAGACTGACAGCGTTCTGCTGGATATAAAAGAGTCAAGTGGAGGTTCAACTAAATGTTCTGCAGCGATCTCCAGAAACATCTCTGTGTTTCCCTGAAGAGAGCGGCTCAGCTGCTCTACAACATTCACATGTACGAGGACTGCTCTGTGTGTTTGGGTTCAAAGTTTGGACAACATCAGTACACAGCAGGGGTTTCAGATCAACGCTGGGGACAAAATATCTACTTATGTTTAAGAGTGACCGTTACTAAAGAATTATCAATTTCTTTCCCGAAGCTGCAGAGAAGGATGAGATTCACAGAAACATGTTTGTTACTAAATCTGATCAGAAATCTGAGATTTAAGTCAATTTTTAACAAAAAACTTCTAACAGAAAATTCAGAATTTTAGAAAAAAACAACAGAGCAGACCTCAGAGATCAAGTTTCAGTGACACTTTTCACAGTTCAGGCTCAACTTCTGACCCTAAATTCTGAGACTGAAGTTCAAACTCTGAGATTAAAGTGCATCAAAACCTGGAATTTAATCTCAGATTTTCTACCTTTCCTCATAATTCTGAAATCAAAGTCCATTTTTTTCAAAAGTGATCCGAGTTTAGAGTCACGGTCAGACTCATCATAGATTGATAGTTTTTTTTTTTTCTGTGGAGTTCATCTCACAATTTTGAGTTTAATCCAAGATCAAAGATTAATCCAAGATTAAAATTAAAGTCAGATCTATGTTTGTCCCCAAGTATTCTGAGAACACATTTAAAAGTCAGTGACGTGAAGGCCAGACTTCTAACTTTTTTCTTAGATTTTTCAGTTCTTTCAATTCTGCCTTTAATCTCAGAGTTCTAGTCTTAACCTCAGAGTTCTGCCTTTAATCTCAGAATTTTATCTTTAATCTAAGAATTCTAAATTTAATCTAAGAGTTCCAACTTTAATCTAGATTTCTGCCTTAAATCCCAGAATTCCCACTTTAATCCAAGAATTCTCGCTTTAATCTAAGAATTCTAGCTTTAATCTAGATTTTTGCTTTTAATCCCAGAATTCTAGTCTTAATCCCAGAATTCTAACTTTAATCTACAAATTCATCTTTAAACATAGAATTCTCTCTAATCTCAGAATACCAACTTTAATCTAAAATTTCCTGCTTCATTTTTAGAATTCAAGCTTTTATAAGAATCCAATTTTCAATCTCCAAATTCCAACTATAATCCCACAATGCCAACTGTAATCTTGAAGTAACAACTTTAATCCTAAATTCCCTGTATAATCTAAAACTTTCAACTTTATTTCAGGAATTTCATCTTCAATATCAGAAATTAATCCCCAGAATTCTAACTTTTTTTCACATGAATCTTATTTTTAGTCTCAAAAGTCCGACTTTAATCTCAGAATTTTCTATGTAGTTTTGAAGTCACAACTTTGACCTCAAATTCTGAGCCCAGAACTCTGAGGGGGAAAAAAAAGTCCACACTGAAAGAAAACAAAAACTGTGTTACAGTCCTTTTTTCCATACAAAGTGTCCTGGTGAAGATAAAAATCCTTTCAAACAGCACATCTGTCCGAAGTCAAAATTAGAAAGAGTAGAAACAGTGATACATCAGACATTACTCAACCAGATGTGAAAAGTGCATCAGTGGACGGCAGCAGAATAAATGGTTCTTATAATCAGGAGGTGGATGTGTAAGAAAATAAAAAAATAACTTTGGTGCACGTGTTCAGCTTCACCCAGTCTTTGTGAACTCACTCAGTGACGCTTGACTTTGGTCTTTTGAGGGATTTGTTGATTGTAAAAACACTACACAGGTAAACTTCATGTTCTGGATACAGCCGGTTACACACTGATAGACACAGGTCTGTTTAGTTCAGCATAGAGTCTTCAAACTCTGACATCTGTATTTGAGATATCTGAAGATGTTCTGATGGTGGGTTTGTAATTCCATCTGGTGTTTAGGGTACATGATATACACTCATACACGTTCCTCTTATTTCCCTTCCACCAGTCCCAGCTGCTCCTTCGCCACCTCGACTAGTTTGTTCTTCTGGATCTGAGGAAAGAAAGAAAACCGTGTTGACAGGCTGATCTCTGATTGTGAGCCTCTTTTATGTTTTAGAAAAGTTTTTCCTTCATATCTTTGCAGGGGTATTTTCATGGATGAGGCTGGTCCTTGTCACATTCATTGCAGGTTTGACTCTCAGCCTTGACAGTTTGCTGCAGATCCAAACCTTTTTGGAGTCTGGATTTTCTTGCCAATGCTCTGCTCTGCTGTAGACCTGAATTCCCAACATCTTTGACATCTAAAGACCTCAAACAAACAGCAGCGAGTCCGTTTAAATCCACCCATATATGGAGACTGAAACAGGTTTGAAAATTTGACCCCAGTATCGATGTTTTGAACCCAGAACTCACTCTAAGATCTGTTCAAACTTAGAGGTTTATTCAGCTGAAATAAGACTTCTAAAAAATTAAGGAGTCTTGGATGAGGGATCCGTTTTATCTGATTTGCTTTGGGACGAGGTCCGCCGCCCTTCTGGGTTCATCTAACAGGACCTGGTGTGCGTGCAGACGGGCTAATAGCTCCCCTTCCCTCCTGTCTGGGGCTTTCAGGGCAGGCCTGTTCAAACACAGCTCCACGTCTGCAGCAATTTGCAACAGCATCCCACGAGAGCAACACTAGAACCAGAGGGGAGGTGATGCTCTTGTTGGAAACTGTTCAAGCAGCTGCTAATTATAGATCTGTTTCCTCTCTCGTCTGGACTCAGGCCATCTTATAAGGCCGTGAAATAAACGGCGTCTTCCTGCCGTTCGCACATGTACAGGAATCCTAAAATTCCACACACAGAGAAACATGAGGACAGATTTCAGGGAGTTACCTTTCCAGTAACGGTGAGCGGGTAGGTGGTCACGAAAAGGATGTAACGGGGGATCTTAAAGTGAGCGATCTAAAAGGAGCAGAAGAAGAGACGGACTTTAAGCAGAGATGTTCGAACCAGTGAGATACTTCTGTTTTTATTATAAAAGTCTCACCTGTCCCTTGCAGAAAGCTTTGATTTCTTCTGGGGTGCACTCTTGTCCATCTGCCAGTTTGATGCAGGCGCAGATCTCCTCGCCCAAACGTTCATCTGGAACTCCAACCACCTGAAACACAGAACAGAAGTCAGGGGTTCAGACATGAGTGTGGACGTTCTCTCTAAAATCTTCACTGCGTGTTTTAGGAAAATCGAGGTGCTGCTTTTATCAGTTCACCTGAGCCTCCTTGACTTTGGGATGCGTATGCAGGAACTGTTCGATCTCAGCCGGGTACACGTTCTCCCCTCCTCTGATGATCATGTCTTTCATCCTGCCTTCGATTTTGAGGTAGCTGTAGGCGTCCATGCTGCCGATGTCTCTGCAGGAAGTATCAGACATTTATCAGACGAGTGGGTCAGAGTATTTGGAGGACACAAACAGGAACCTCTGAACCTCTACACACCCGGTTTTGTACCAGCCCTCCGCAGTGATGCACTCTCTTGTTTTGGCTTTATCGCCCCAGTACTCCAACATCACGCAGTATCCTCGGATCATTATCTCCCCCAACGTCCCCAGAGGAACCACCTCTCCCGTTGAAGGGTCCACTATTTTAGCCTGCGGAGGAGTCCAGTCATAGATTTATTACATTTATTCAAGCACATTGTTCGAGAAGTGATAATAATAATAATAATAGATTTTATTTGTAACGCACTTTACATTTGAAAACAAATCTCAAAGCGCACAATGAAAAATAAATAAATTATAAATAAATAAATAAATAAATAAATAAAAAAATTATTAATTAAAAATAAATAAATTAATAAATAAAAAATAAAAAATAAAAATAAATAAAAATAACAAATAAATAATAAAAAATTAATACATTAAAAAAAAAAATAAAAAATAAAAAAATATAAAAATAAAAATAAAAATAAATAAATAAATAAAAAAGAAAAAAAAAGAAAAAAGACAACAATAACAGTAAAATCAAGCAACAGGGCAAAACAATAAAAACAGTCAGCAGATAAAATTGGTCCGGGTAGGCTTTCCGAAAGAGGAAGAGGAAGTATGCAGATCTTGTAACAGGCCAAACATGGTGGTGAAACAGCATAGAAGGACTCAGTCTCAAGTTTAAGCCTTGTATTTATAATATACAACAGGTCAAGAGCAGGATAACTGGTTCTAGATGTTGCAGACTGGTTGTACCTCTAAGTGGTCCATGATGTAGCCGCAGGTCTCACTCTTCCTCTCCAGGTTGTCCAAGGGGGAGGCACAAAACGTCACAGGGCTGTTCTCTGTGGTTCCATATCCAATCTGTCAACCACACCGACAGCAGACTGTGAGGACAGGGGAGACTTTTCCCATCTACAGACTGTCTTAAACAACCAAAACAACTTTCCTGACAAGTGACAAGTTTATCACGATAAGATTTACCATCCTGGAGATAACGATAAAAGCTGGCTTTTGAAGAGCGAGCTTCAGACAAACAAGGTGATCCGCTTTCCTTTTAAAGCAGGGAATGATGTGAAAACCATCAAAATCTTGCGTCCAATGTTTTTGGATTCAGGGATATGACGAGAATAGTGAATGCAGGTGACTCACGATCATCCCGCTCATCTTCCTCCCATTAATTACTCATTATCTTTCAGTCACTGTAGATACAGGCTGTTTTCTGCATCTTTAACCGCAGCGCTCCTCAGAGATCATGGGCTGCCCTCCCTGCAGGAACTGTACACCCCCTACTGCCTCAGCAGAGCAGCCAACATCCAGGAAAACATCATTTCACATTTAAAGCTGAGGAGTATCATCATGAAGTTGTTGAACGACTTGCTCACGCAGTCTCTCACAGTGTTGAATCTCTTTCTATCTTCCCTTCTGAAAGACTCGGCCTCTCTGAGATCTCCTTTTCTCTCCAGTCATGTTAATAATCTGTTGCAAAGTTACAAGATGTCACCGCAGGAGTTTTAGTGTTTTTAATTTTTGGTTTTAACAACTTTTTGAGTGTTTCTTTGTCCCTGTCCCAACTTTTAGAAAAGTCTTGTTGAAATTTGAAACAAACAAACATTTTCTTCATAAAATAATCGAAATTTGATATATTGTCTTGCACCATATTCAGTCCAATACGGCTTTAAAGCTCCTCTGATGGGGTGCTGGTTTGGCTCAGTGTATAAACTAGAGGCTGGATTTGAACCCTTGACCCTTGGGCGTGCGTCATCCTCGCTTCGACCCGTCACTCAGGCCTTATAGAGGAGGCTGCGGTGAGAACTTCACCTGGAAAATCAGGAAGGAGACGATATTCCCAATAAAATGCCAGATTTGATGAGTAAACTCGAGATTCCATTTATTCATCCGTCTTAAAATGAAACCACCTGAAGCCAAACCAGCGTCTGACATGAACCAGTCACGGTCCTGCTGCACCTCTATACAAACCTTTCATTGCTATTTTCCACACGATGGAAAATTATCTCAAAGCTTTTAATCTCTCGCAGTTGGTGTTTAATAACCAAAACCACCTTAAAAACTCACTGACTACGTAAACGAAGGACAGTGGAAAACAACATGCTCCCTCTACAATACAACAGAAATCTGGAGACACACGATGTTGGAGACTGTGTGGGGAGAATAAGGCCGATGATTATCATATTTTTGGGGATGCTCTGGTATTAAACCTTTTTGGCAGGAGGTAAAAAAAAAAAAAAAAAGAGTATGGAAAAAATGTTGACAGTGCAACTTCCACTTACATCTGAAGATTAATATTTGGGAAAAGAGAAACGGGAGAAAAGGAGAAAAATACAGATTTCCAATAATGTTGGTGGCAACTAAAAAGGTTTTGGACATGTGGATTCTCCGGTTTTGTTTTTGTTCTTATTTTGTTGTGATAAGTGAGATTGATGTGCTTCTAAGTGAGGCACTTATTTCATTTTATTCTTAACTGTTGTTTTGTGTGTTTTTTATATATATATATTTTTTTTATTAATCATGTCCAGAAATAAATAAATAAAGAAAGAAAGGCCATCACCAGAAATTAACTAAAAACAGATGCGGAAAAAATAGAGGGTTTAATAGAGGTAATGATGAATATATGAAGAATGACTTTCTCATCTAGACTAAAAACAAATACTTTTAAAAACTCCTGGAAAAACTGGGTTGATTTTGTGCAGTAAAGACTTTCTGTATCGTAGACGATTGATCCCCTTGGTTCAGGCTATAAACTTGTTCATTGTCCATATGTTGATTATTTTTACCCTCCAACAGGAGGTTTAAAAATAAGGACATGAGTGAAAAGTGTTTCATTTTACTACACAGTTATTCTCCTGTAACTTTACTAAAGAAGTTTATGTCTGTTGATGGAATATTGAATATGGAACTCACTGGCTAGACTGAAAAGACCATTGCGTAACGTGCAGCCGGTTTAAGAAGAAAGAATGCTGCAGGAATGTAAAGTGGCATCTCAAACTTTCATTCCTGGGATGATGGAAGTATCCTTTAGTATCCCTGTGACCTGAAACAGCAGCCATCTGGAGACTATTACAGCGATTAAAACAGCCGCACAGGAGCCGCTCATTTTCCTGCAGCCACAGACTGATAAACAATTGAGAGGTCCCTGATGGGTTGAACCACACATCATGCCACGTTTATTCAAACACTCGCCTGAGAGACGCATGAGGTTCATGGTCCGTCTGGACATGTGAATCCTGCAGCAGGTTGACTATCAGCTTCTCTAATTCTGCAGCACAGAGAGACTGAGCGGTCCTGTGTCGTCTTTCTGCTCGTTCAGGGTTAAATTCTCACAGACACTTGACTTCCTCTTGCAAACCTCTCACTCCAACACTCTGGCAAGCCCTCCTCATTTTTTTCCCTCAAGTAAATGTTATAAATAGCGCAGTGTGCTCTGTTGACCGGCCATCCTCCTCTGAAGTGAATGTCTCTCTGCACTGCCCACCGTCCCTCACCTTTTCACTCCCTCTTCTTCTTCTCGCTCTCTCTCCGCCTGTTTCTCTCTCTGCGCACAAACACAGTTTAACTTCTTCAGAGCTCTCCGTCTCTCTCAGGCTTCTCACTGGATTTTTAACAGTCAGCAGATACTCTGGTATCGTCAGCATGCGGTGTGTGAGCTGGTTGCTGTTGGGGACCTGCCTCCTGGTCCTGGGCCCTGCAGTGCGGGGAGCCCCGGGTCAGTGCCCTAACTTGTGCCACTGCCATGGAGACCTTCAGCACGTCATCTGTGACAGTGTGGGGCTGAAGAAGATCCCTCGGGTGTCTGAGGTGACCCGTTTGGTGAACCTGCAGAGGAACAACCTGGGCAGCATCCCCACCGGCGCCTTCAGTGAGAGTAAGGGACTCATCTCTCTGCACATGCAGCACTGCCAGCTCAGAGAGATCGGATCCCAGGCCTTCAAGGGGCTGAAGAAGCTCGTCTACCTCTACCTGTCCAACAACGAGATCAACAACATCAAGCCGGGTGCCTTCGATGACCTGACCGAGCTCACCTACCTCCACCTAGACGGGAATCAGATCAGCGACCTGGCAAAGGGCATCTTCTCCCCCATGATCAATCTCTTTGTTCTGCAGCTGAACGATAACAAACTCCGGGAGCTGCGGCCAGGGACCTTTACAGGCGCCAAAGACCTGCGCTGGCTGCACATGAGCGGGAACGAGCTGACGACCCTGCAGCCGGGCTCTCTGGACGACGTGGAGAACCTCGCCATACTCCACCTGGACAGGAACAGGATGTCCACCTATCCCGTCGCAGCCATGAGCAAACTTAGAGTGGTGGAGGAGCTCACGCTCGGGAGGAACCCCATGAGGACGATCCCGGACAACGCCTTCCAGAGCTTTGGCCGCTACATGGAGAAACTCCACCTGGACCACATGGGTCTGGAGAAGGTCAGTCTGTGATTGGTCTATATAGACTTTAAATATTATAGGGGAGCGTGATACCGGATTTTCGCTGATACCCAATATGCTGATATTTTCAAACTCGTTTTTGCAGATACTGATGTTGACGACGCGACTTTTATTTCATTGTTAAGAGCACGAAGTCGCTCCCTTACCAGAATTTATTGTTAATCTAAATGTGACGACGTCCGCAGACGTTAATTATATATTTTCAGATCGGCTTTGTGAGCGCAGGCATCAGAGTATCTCAAGTCTGGATCAAAACCAGAGATAAACTCCCTGTTTGTGCAGACGTACTATTACAACACAGCTGATTCTGATTTTACATGAAGAATTCTGAACACTGGATGAGGCTGTGTCTAAAAAATATGCAAAGTTGTCCATAATTTCAAGATAAGAGAGATCAAGTGAGAACAGAAGTTGGTTCGACGAACAATTAAAGGTGTATTTGAGTAGCATGAATGAAACCGAGTTCAGCTCTTCTCTCTGATGGATCAAGTTTTCTTGTTATCCCTAAATAAGTTCTGTTTTTCTTTTTTGTCTTTTCTCTTTTCTTTCTTCATCTCATTTATGTATTGGTTTATTTTTCAACAAGTGAGAGAGAATAGGAGCTACCGTATGAATGAAGTGTAGAGTGAGTGTTATGAAGGTGTGATGTTTGTAAGTTCAAAAAGAAGACGAGGAGATGAGGAAGAGTAGTCACTGCGTATTTTGTCAAAACTAATGGTGGATCCAAAATAAAACAAAACATAAATTTGAAAATCTGAATATTTATACTCAGATTTAGTAAAATAATCAATCGCATATGATTTGTCTTCTCACAGTTGAGTAAAACACATCTGTCCAAAAGTCAGAACGGCGTGTTGGTCGTAAATAAAGGTTCACTGTAGCGCTTGTTTGGTTTCTTTGGTCGAGCAGAAAAGTCGTGACTATATTTCATCCGGACGGAGACATGTGCAGACTGCAAAAGTATAAGTTAAGGATTCAAACAATAATGATGGAGTGGATCCTCCTCACAGTGATCATTAGTGGGTTTATGTGTTTGTGCAGATTCTCCAAATGTGTCCTCCTCTGCACATTTCACTCTTTTGGATGCGGATGTGTTGCACGCCTATACGGATGTGAAAGCATGACTTCGCACAACATCAGCGTGCAGTCAGATCACATGCAAACTTCAATAACTGAGGTAGAGACAGTAGTGGTAGAGAAGGCTGTGAAGTTTGGAGACAACTCTTGGATCTTTATCGGTTTTAATCCACAGATAAGATCATAAAAGCTTCACTGCAGCATAATAAAAATCTGGACTATGATCTTGGATTTCAGTCCTCATCAGTGGAAAAAGGATCAGACTTTAGACATGAATCTAATACTTTCAGAGCAGTCGGTCTGAGCGCTCACAGCACGAGCTCTTTCAGACATTTTTGGGTGCACATTAGCTTCATACTTGAGGTTAATCCAATATTTGAGTGTACCTGTGCCACAGTATGGAAGCATCCCGGAGGGGGAAACTGTAAAATAACAACCTTGTCACGCTGAGACTGTGTGCGAGCCAGGTGGAAGCAGCAGGAGGCGGCGAGAGCTGTACACATGGACGAGAAGATTAAACTATTTTCCAGCCAAACGCGGGTATTTTTAGAGTGTTTTTGTTTGCTGGACTCCGGCCAAGCATGTCCTCGTCTAATTATTACACAAGTGTTATTTTGAGCGAGGTGTGTTTTCTACTTTCACTGGGAAGGTCTTGTAAACAGGTCAGGAAGGGTTAGGAGACAGGTAAACAGAGGCAGGGTGTTCCACAGTGCATGAGGAGGAGTATTTTTAGCTTGCCATCGCCCAGTTGAATGGACAATTGGGCCCTTTGCGAGCCTTCCTGGCAGAGGAGTGGCCCGAAAGAAAGAGCAAAAACACCTCGGCCATGTTGGAAGTCATCCATCTTCCATTGCTTCAAAACAGCAGCTAGCCTCAGCTTCTTGTCGCCTCTACAGTGGAAATTTCCAAACAGCCTCATGTCGTCCAGACTCACATAAAACGTCCCTTCAAAGCCAGGCTCCTCTCTCATCCGCCCTCCTCTTCCTGCCGGAGAGGGCTCGACTTGACACGACGTAGACGGGTTCATGTAGCACCTCTCTGAAGCTTTTAGCACCCTCGCAGACGCGTACGAAAAAAAAGAGGGCAGTGACTGTCGTTGTTTGCAGAAGAGCTGCTGCAGCAGGAAGGATGAGAGGAGGCTTTCATGCCAGAGACACGCTGGAGAGATTCCCTCGCTTTGCAGATGTCTGACAGGCACAGAGATGGGCGTTGGCGTTGGGTCAACACACTGTGATGTGGACGTGGAGTAGTTCTGCTTTCTGCTTTGCAACTATAGCTGCAAAAGTTTCTGGAAGATTTGCACTCATTGATGATCAAAAGTTGGTCCAAATAAGGAATCAGGGCGTTAAATTATCCGCCATGTTCACCCCTCATAACAGGGTCTCACATGCTCATTATCAGACCTCCAATTAAAGATACGATTTCTTTCAAGTAGAGCCCTCAAGATTATTTAACTAAATTGAAAGTGATTGGAGTTTTCTTCAGTTTGGTTGATGTCTCTTTCAAGTCTTGCTTAAAATCGTTGTTTGCATCTTTAGGAAACTGTCTGGTTCTCTGTCGTTTCATCTCAAAAACACTTTTCCTCAAACTTGCACCTCAAAGTCTTCCTTTTATTTTGCTGCTGTTCCCAGTTTGTTAATAAATACATGATACGCTTTTTAAATTACGTAGAGTGGATTTGATGAAATATTCAGAGATGTCTCAGTGAAACTTGACTTCTCGTGAGAAAAACAGGATCTCTGAATATATTTGACAAGTCTGTTTTAAAACGCTAATTCAAAACTTTAAAAGGACCACATGATCCCTGCAGATCTGTGACTCTACCATCTGATGACTTTAAAATACTCCGCATGACTCTCTATTCCTGGCAAATGCACATTTTATCTTAAAATGTTTCAAATTTAGCTGTTTGTGGTTAGTTCATGTCTGTTTTCTTCGATTTAGTGGATGTCCCTTTATATTTTTTAGTTGATTCTGTGTTTTAACATCCCTATCTGTATTCTCTTTGCTGTTTTCTTCAGTTTGGTGGATGTCATTTTCTCTTGAGCGACTCGTGTGCTCTCACATCCCTCACTGTCTTTTCTCCGCTGTTTTCTTTAATTTAATGGATGTCCCTTTTACTTTGGCTGCTTGAGTGTCTCACACAAGTACAAGAGGTACTCAACACAGCTGTTCGAGCAGTGTCAAAGCAAGTTATGGTTCTCTTTCACTGCAGCTAAAATCAAAACATCCTTTCTTTTCCCAGTTCTCCGACGGTGCGTTCACTGGGGTGACGGCAGTGAAGTCGCTGCACCTGGACAACAACAAGCTGAGATCTCTTCCAAAAAACTTTGAGTTTGGCACCATCACCAACCTCACCCTCATCAACAACCCGTGGAGCTGCACGTGCCAGCTAGCTCCACTGCGCAGGTAAGACACTCGACATCAGCTGATCTAGCAGCATACAACAACATACTCTCACTCAAGAGGCCGTTGGTCATTTTCGAAACCAGCCGCCTCTCTATCCTCATCGTTCCTTTCCCGGCCCACAAACTCTCTGCTTCTCCGCTTTCGGTTTCAGGTGGATGGACTCTAGTCGCATCCGTCCAGACGCAGTGTGTGCATCTCCAGCTCAGCAGAAAGGAAAGCAGGTCAGAGACAGCAGCGCCTTCAGTGGCTGCAGAGTGAAGCAAAAGAGGGCCAAGAAGGGCACGCGCCATTGAACACACAGCTGTACAGGTAAATGCGACTATAATGAGGTGAGGACGCATTAAGAAAACTGCAGACTCTGATCGTAAATACTGTAAGAGTAACATCCATATTGAAATCGTTTCAGTTTGAGGTTGAGCTGTTTCAGTAACACTTATATGGTAAATATAAAACTGTAGCTGAAAATTTTTTTAGCTCAGCTTTGTGGAAGGTCTAAAAACGCTAAAGCACGTCAGGTTCAAGTGTCAGTAAAAGTACAACCAACATATGTAAACAACACATGGTTTCAACTTTTGAACCAGCTGCAAAGACTAAAGGTCCTTACACACCGGCGAATGTGCGGAGCGAAGCGAAAAAGCGAGACGAAAATTGCGAATATTCGCCGGTCCGAAAAATCGCTTTCGCCTATACACACCGGGCTCGAAGCGAATATGCGTATATTTTTTGCAAAGCGAATTAATTAAGTCGCTTTGCGGCACGGAGGAGAGGAGATGTGGAAGACAAGAGAGTGTTATCTTGTGAGGAAACTACTTCATTAGTAATTAGAAAGAGTTTTGGATGCACCTCAGCTGTCTTTCTCTGCGTATTCATAATCTCAAACTTCTCCCTCTCCTCCAGCCGTATGGGTCTGTGACGTCATCAACAACATGACTTTTGATTGGCCAGAGGTCTAGCAGGTCCAGATATTCGCCTGCGAATATCCGAAAAATTCGACACAGGAGCGAAAAAATAAAAGCGGCTTTTCGCCCCGCGGAAAAATCGCCGCCGGTGTGGAAGCTTGCATTGACTTTATGCTGTTTTAAAAAAAGGCGAATAATTCGCCTGGCGAATTCTCGCCCGGTGTGTAAGGACCTTAAGAAGAGTCTACAAACACAACAAAGACTATAAAACATGTCAGTGAGTCAGTTTTAATGTTGCTGCTCGGAGATTTTTACCACCAGAGAGAGCCAGAAGAGGCCAGGCTTACACCTCCCCTCTTTTTAAGTTCCTTTCTAGGCTAAACTAGTTCTCAGTAGTAATTCTTGTAGTCATAGACGGAGTTATTCTTAATATATGGGACACTACATGGCTTTGGAATTGCTCTCTTTTTTTACACTACCAGCAGGGGGCATCAGAGACAACTCAAGGTTGATGCACACGTTTAAAAAAAAATCAGATTTTTTGGCTTTTTGAGGCCCAAACAAAGAAAAATCCCGACCACTGATTTGCAGCAGCACAAGAGGGCGTGGCATATTTGAACATATAATTCTAGATTAGGAGCATTTTAACTTTTTAAAATCATCTAAATTTGCTTCTTAAGGGGAAAAATTTAGAGCCCAAATTCTCAAACTTTTACTTCCTGATCATTTTCCTCTTTTCTGAAATGTTCATGGTGCTTGAATTCGTGTATTACACCGCTGCAAATGCCACATAATACCTGATAGACAAGCTAATCCACAAATCTCACAGGTCTTGTTCAAAATGTGCTTAAATATGTAAGACACCTCTAAATTTAACGCTTATTAAAGCTCCAGTTCGAGTTTTCTGACATTGACGAAACAGAGAGAAGTTCAATTTGACTGTCAAAAAACTGTCAGCAGGATGGTACTTTTTTGTCTAAAGACATCGTTTACATAAGTAGAAGACAGGATGGACTGAGAGTGCTTTGTCACAGGGGGCGCCAAAGTCAACACAAATTCCTCACTAGGTCTAGATCATAGACCGTATTTACTCTGGACAACTTGATTCCACCTTCTGCCAGTATACGGTTTGAAGCCAAAAATCTCTCGGTAATTCTGCGTTTTTTTCTCCACTTCCTGACACCGACATTGCGCAGTAGCATTGTACGCATCTGGCGGGAGTGTCGCCGAGAGTCGCTGTGATGACGCTCGGCTCAAACAGCGTATTCGCGGCTGAGCTACGCAGTCTTCATACGCCCATAGGCTGTATCAAGTGTCAATCATAGAAAACATGAACCCCCTAATAACTTTTGAAAACAGAGCTGCAGGGGGGAAAAAAAATTATGGCAGACGCCGTCCATTCTATATAGAGTCTATGGTCTTGATAAAAGGTAAAACCAAGACCTTGAATTACAAAAACAGACTAAAAAATTAGTGATAAAAAGTTTTCAGGATCCTGTAAATCATCATATCAAACGCCTACGAACTTAGTAATAGTTCCCATAACTCTTTATCCTCTGAGAAACTCTACTTTCTATCTTTCTGGACATTTAGTGATCAGTGATGACTCAAATAAACCTCCTGAGACACTCCACCTCTGATTGAATTCAAACTCTGAGATAAAACCTTTTTTCAGTGACGCCCTCTCTGATCACTACCTTTGCACAAACTCTCAGTTGGACTTTTGTTCTTCTCTCCGGCCAAAGTCACACCCTTCCTCTGATGGTCTGCTGCGAGGCTTTCCAGCTGGAGTTCTGAACAATAAGACATTTACGGTGGTTTTGGTGTGGCCCATAGTCGACTGCATCATTTTCTCTTCCAGACCACAGAACTCCCCGTCCCACCCTCTGTCCCTGTCTGAACTTTTCCACGTTGGCCCTGGGGTCCAGCGCTCCGAGTCCAGGTCATGGGGTCTCTGTTTGGAAGGCAGACTGTTTGATTTGGCTGCTGATTTTTGTGTCTTTTCCACAGGAGACGCTGAGGAGGAGCCTGTCCAGGTGACCGGCTAAACATGCGACTAAAGAAATGCTAACTAACTCTACTTCAAGACTGTCTGTCTATTCGTCCGCCACATGATGTCACCGGCTTTAACACAGACAAACACATTCATACGTTCACACACACACACACTCCGTCTGTCCCTGTTACACTCACATGCAGGAAAAACTTCACAGACTTTGCTTTTATTTCATGTATATTAAAGATGACGGCTCAGGCTGAGGGTAGGAAAGTTCTCGTTTTTGAAGCTCCTGTGAGGAGGTTTTTAAAGGTCGAGAAACAATTGGATTAAGATTGATGATTTTTTACGATCTAGAAGAACAAACAAGAATAAAACAAGACCGATTACAAATCTCTATTTTTCATGCCTGAAAACGCCGTAAGAGTGTCGGTGTAAACAGTAAATATTAATACAGTTACACAATACATATCTTTTTCCACAGGGGGCGCCAAAGTTAACACAAACTGAAAAATCCTCACTGCAGCTTTAAAGCAGAGTAAAAAAAAAAGTTAAATTAAAGTTGATGCCTCCCTGTGAGTTACAAAAGCAAACCAGGACATCAGCATCAAGACCGGATCCTTAATCCGCCGTTGGTTTCTAAAACAGGTGATGCTCATTTACCTTCATGGTTTATTAACACAATATGATCACACAGGTGAAAAGAAGCTCCTCTAAAGTTTGAGGAGCTGACTCGTTTTGACTTTTCCTTTACTCTCTACATCCATGTTTGACCTTCATACGTGGACCATTTCATACAATATACAAGCTCTCTCTGACAGTCACTGCAGTTTTCTCCCATATTGAATGTATTTTATATGCAAATATCCACATCAGTCTTCATATTTTCATCACTGTTCACTTAAAAAGTGAACAACTTGTTGCACAGTTTACGTAAGTTTCTGACTTTTTGTTTATCTTCTGTATATTCAAATATCTCTACATTTCCTGGACCTTTGGAAGTGACATCCAGCTCTCACATCCAATAAATATTTTACAAAATGACGCCAGTTTTTGTCTCAAATACTTCGTTTTTTCCTCTCTACAAAATGCATGAATCAAAGCTGCTATTCTTGGACTGTGTCTCCCCCTAGTGTGTGAAAGCTAAATTGCATCATTGTACCAAAGTTGAGCACATTTTGTACGACAGCTGCTGATTGACATGAGCTTGATTCCCTTATAATATGAATTAAACCATAAAAAGATTTGACTGAATCGAGGTTCACTCACAGTTATTTGCTTGATGCCCACGGCGATAAGCTTCTTAACCAGTTCAGAAGGACAAGGGGAGCCCGCCATGATGCCTGCAGGAGAGCAACAATCAGACAATCATCATGAGTGCAGCTTCAAGCAGGTTTTATAAGCTTTGTCGACATTACCTGACTCTAAGTCTTTGTCTCACCTGCCTCGACGGTCGACAGATCATATTTAGCGAAGTCGGGCTGACTCAACAAATCCACATACATGGTCGGGGTGCCGTAGATGAAGTTGCACCTGTGAGGTAGTTAGTTAGTGTATTGTCCACAAGTGGAAATTTGTCTTTAGTCTCAAAAAAACAGATCAACAGCAACAAGGACAGCAGCAACAGACAAACAAATACACACAAAACATTTTGGCAGCAAAAGAAGGAGGACAACAGTGGCATGTACTGAACATAACAGGCAGATCTAACGAGACGTAGGCCTGCTATCATTCAGGTACTTAATAACGTCTGCCTGAACAAAGTATAACGAACTCACCGCACAGTGGGTGAGGAGGATCATTTACTATCTTAACAGCTTTTTTCCTAATTACCTCCTTGCAGGTACAGATTCAGTGTTTCTGTGGCTTCCCTATGATCAAAATAAAGCTGCACAATATCAGTCTGTAATGCACATTGTCATTTAACTGAGATATTACTAATAAGTAGAAGTATCTCCTTCTTTTTCACAATGGTTAGAAATTACAGGACAAATCTGTGCTATGGAGGAAAAGACAGAGGGATTATGGTGTATTTGATCAAATACATTTCTCAGTAATGTCTCTTTCAGACAGGTGGAGCTAAGGCTCTCCTGACTCGATTCTGAATCAGAACCAAATCTAACTCTGTGTGTTTAAAAGGTGAGGCGTGTCGGTACACTGTGTTCCCTGTCATGTAAACATGTAATGACAATTTACGGCTTAAGAACTTCACACAATACAATCACAATGATAGCTTTCACCTGTGAAGCTGAACCGTAAAACAAGAGAAGAAGAACGAGTCTGTTCAGGTACAGGAATAATCCGTTAAGGTAGTCGTTAATAAGCGTGAATAATAAGCAGCTACTGCTTCATATAAAGGGAATTTAGAGCTTAAAATCGAGACTGTTTACTCAATCCAATCAACTTTATTTATATAGCAAATTAAAAAAACATTCAAGTTTACCAAAATAAAATTAAAAGAACAAACACTATGGAAAACATCAAGATGAAATAAATAAAAGCAGGTAAAAAACATTTAAAATGAAATAAAATAAATTAAATAAAAACACAAAAGTATAAAAGAAATAAAAGGGATAAAAGGACCATAAAAACACATAAAAGGACAAAGATCACACAACTCTCACGCTGAGCTAAAAGCCAAGGAATAAAAAGGAGTTTTAAGACGCAGAGTTAAGAGTTTCTGGAACCACGAGTTGGAGCTGATCAGCAGACCTCAAGGAATGTGTGGGGGCGTATAAACGTGTAAGATGTCAGAGATGTAATGTGGTGCTGAAAATGAATCCTAAAATGAACGGGAAGCCAATGGACGGACGCCAGAATTGGAGTGATGTGGTCATGTTTTCGTTTACCTGAATTTCAGACAAACTGTAAGTGTGTGAGGGAAGACAGATTAACACAGACGTCCAACCGAAGTGTGGAAATAAAAGCATGAATGACTCGCTCAAAATCATGAAAAGATAAAACCGATTTAATCTCGGATAAAAGCCTCAAATGATAAAAACTGTTTTTAACAACAGAGTTGATTTGTTGATCCAATTTAAAATCATTGTCGACCTTTACACCAAGATTTAAAACTGTGGGTTTGAGAGGGGTCTCCTGGGCCCCACTGGATTATTTTGTTTTTGTTTTTATTGAAGTTTAAAAAGCTCAAGGCCATCCAGTCTTTTATCTCCTTAAAGACAATATAGTGAAAGTTTTAGAGAGCAGCTGTTAGGTCTAAAAGAATTAAAAGAGTTGAGTCACCAGAGTCAGTGGTCAGTAAAAGGTAGTTAAAAACCCTTAAAAGTGCAGACTCAGTGCTGTGAAATGCTTTAAAACCCGATTGAATTCTGTGATATTCTAAATAAGACTGGATTTGTAGGAGCACCGCTTTTTCAAGGATTTTTGAGATAAACAGAAGCTTCGATATAGGTCTGAAATTAGACAAAATAGAGCACAGATTGTCTGTAGAGGCTAGTTTTGGTTGCAAAGTGTCAGAATAATGTGTATAAATGTGTATAGAAGTCATCATCTTACTCAAATTCTTATTTAAGAGTTTGCTACAACTATGAACTGTTTTAACCTCTTGTTACACATCACATTTGAGTGTTTCCTAACTTCTCTGACCTCTATCAGCAGGTGTGTGTGTGTGTTGTAACCTCCACTGTGAATCATGGGAAGTAATAAGGAGGATCCGCTCCTATCAGAAGGAGCTCGTTTAATGTCAACAATGTTGCCTTGACCCTCACACATTTTCTGTTGTTCATTATTATGTTTTATGAGAGTGCTTACGCTGCTGCAGATAGTTTCCCCCATCCTTTAGTGTATGCAGCGTTGTGTAACCAGGGACAACCCTAAATAAAAGAGACTGGACAGAGATACCTTCAGAATGGTTTTGAGATTGTAACTGAAACTATCTCTGCCCATTCTCCTCGCGAGTTAGAAATCTAAAACCATTGTCTCTCCTCTTTGTGTGTTTTCAGTCATTTGTTGCAGGTTTTAGACCCAACACAAAGATTTAGTTTACTCGCTACAGTAGTGTTGTTTTATTAATGCTTTATTTAGATTAATGATAAAATAAGCACTTCAAATAAAAGCGTAGTCCACACCTTGTAAATAAAACCATGTCCTCAACACCTTTTAAAATTTGATTGTAATACCTCTCTGAAACTATCCATCCTGACTAATCAAATACTTGAATCCACTCCAAGCTTGTTACCTTTCGCTCTCCATAGCTGCCAAGTTTGCCTTTCCATCGTAGCCGGTTGAGGGAAAGACCAGAGAGATGCCGTGCACAGCCATACACACCCCGCCCCCCACAGAGCCGAAGCAGTGGTACAAAGGCACGGGTATGCAGATACGAGTGTTAGGCTGTGGGAGGAAAGAAAGAAACTAAAGGGTTAAAACTACAGACAGCCTCTGAAAGTGTGAGAGTGATACGCTGCATTGACTCTCTCCTGCTGTTTGTGAAAATCAGCCCCCCGATCATTCCTCTTTATGTCAGACCCCAAGTTAACATTCCTTATTTCAACATAAAAAAGCCTGTGAATATAACTTAAAGCATTGATGGATGTCTGAATCTACTTTAAAAAAGCATGACAGAGTGGCTGGTAAATGAGGCCCGGTGTGTGTAAGAGTTTGCCGTTGCAGACTCACCCTCCAGGCGTACCCCACTCTGAGGCCTGTGTAGAAGCCGTTGTTGACGATGTTGTGATGAGACAGAGTGGCACCTTTCGGAGTTCCAGTTGTTCCCTGTTCACACAAATACAAATATACACAGAGAATCACTGTTATGTTTGATTCATCTGTAATACTTATGAACAGTATGATAACAACGGACCCTGAGCAGCTTAATAAACATGCAAACTCGACTGAAAACACACTTGTGTGAATGATGACTGTGCAGGAACTTAAAGTTAAAGTTCAGGAGCTGTGATCCAAAAGAACACGAAGGAAAACCTTCCACTTCCTCATCCCTATTTTTTTCAGAAGTCAGGTTTCAACTTTCACTGAACCCATCAGGGTTGAGATTATTCATGGTCAGCAGGCGTTAGGCAACGGTTACCGAAGTGAACAGGATGTTTATGGGGTCATCGAAGGAGATCTTTCTCTGCAGATCCTGCAGCTGCTGTACGTACTGGCTGCTCCCCGCCTCCATCACGTCCTCAAAATGCAGCATTCCTGGCTGACGACTGTCCAGAACGATCACAGCACGGAGCTCTGGGAGTCTGAGGGGGGAAACAGACCGAGGGAATAGTTTTTATGGTTTGGTTCAGGGCCGCAGAGACTGTTGACGTTTTTAAGAAGAGGCTCAAGACCCACCTTTTTAACTCGGCTTTTTAATAATTGCCTTTTTATGTTTCTCTTACTGCAAATGTTCATTTTAATCAAAGTTCTTATTGTTTATTTTATGTCATTTCATTAATTACCTCTGTTCTTAGTCTTTTTCTTAATTCCCGTCAAAGGTTTTTACTTCTTTTACCCTTTTTTATATGGTTAAGAGCTCTTACTGATCTGTTCATTTAATATTATTTTCTTGTTTTAGTCCAGCAGGTTTGAGTCTTTTTACCATTTTTATCTTTTATCTCCAGTGTTTCTCAAAAGTAGCTCTTTCCTCACGTAATATCGCGGTTTCAGGCCATGTGTCTCTTACAAAATATCTTAAATTCTCACACTGTGTGGGGGTGAGTGTGTGAGTGAGTGAGTGAGTGAGCGTATGTGTGTGGGGGTGAGTGTGTGTGGGTGTGTGTGAGGTGTGGGTTTTATTGTTGTTCATTGTTGTTTTTAGCCTCTGTGAGACACTTTGAACTACATTTTTTATCAGAAAATTGCCATAAAAATAAAGTTTAATTTATTTTTAAATTACCTGCTGCAGAACTAAAGTTTCGTTTGCCATGTCAACTGAAAGCTGTACCTGGTGCTCCTGATGTCTCCTGGTGTGGACGTCTCGATCTCTGGACAAATTCTTCTCAGCATATCGCAGTACTTCTGAGTTTTAAACTGAGAGAGACACACGACGGCCTTACAGCCAGACTGTGGGAAAAAGAGAAGAGGATTCATCTCAGTGTTGAGTCCCTGAAAAACCAACAGGTTTATAAGAGTTACACACCTGTCTCAACGCAAACTCCACCTCCTGCTGCTGGTACGCCGGGTTCACAGCGACCTGTACGAGACAGAGGATTTCTGTGGTGATGGTTTTGTGCACATCAGAGAGGGTCCATCACTCTGTGAGTCCTCGTTCACACTGCTGCAGCTTTACTCACCATTATTATCCCAGCTTTGGCCGTAGCAAACTGCATCAGGATCCATTCGTAGGTGTTGGGGCCCCACATACCGAGCCGGTCTCCTTTGGTCAGTCCCAGAGCCAGCAGCCCGGCAGCAGCTCGGTCGACCTACAGAGACATTTTAGACGCAAAGAGACGAGTTTAACAAGTCTGTACTGACTGGATCTCTGACTTTGAAACACACACGGTGTATGGAGTTAGAAGCTGTGAGAGGCGTCCTTTCATACAAATTCATTCATCCACGAGATAAATCTTTGATCTGTCATCTTTTATCTTATTTCGGCTATTATTATTATTATTATTATTATTAATCATCCCCCTCAAATACATCCTTGGAATAAAACACTGTAGTTCATACATGGATTGCTGGAGAAATATGAAGATATCAGACTCCCTTTAACTGGATTTTTTAACCCTAATACTTTTCAAACACATCTCTTATAAAATAACTAGGCCGTCCATGGTTTTCTTGTCTGTCCCTCATAAATCAGAGCAAAGTTCAAAACTCCCTCAGACTCGGAGTTCACCCAGTTCAACGATGTTAAACAAATAAAAGCTTTTCATGATTAAACCCTGTTTAACACCCAGTTTCTAGATAAAACAGTCAGCAAAGTAAAATCAAATGCAGTTTTTTTACAGAAGAAAACAAGAAACATCCAGACGGATATTTCTCTTCCTCCTCCTCCTCTTCATCTGCTGTTAATCTGAGGTTTGTCTGCTCTTATACTGCCAGTTCTTTCTTTCCATCCTTCCTCTTCTTCTTCTTTCTCTTTGTATTGATGAGGAAACACTTCCTTGTTTTTGAGCAAGACGCCACATTCAAGGTGAGAGACCCTCCTCGTCATCGTAAGACTACTATACCTGCTTTTTCCTTTTTTGATTTAATATTAATTTACCTTTATTTTTCATCATCTCATTTCTTGTTTTAGATTTTCGATTTAAAGTGATTTAAAGTCTGTGGAAACTGCTGTATAAATAAAACGAGCCTTTTTGCACAGCTGACTGTGACCTTTATGAAGACCTGACGAGGTCTCAGCGGCCATCAGTGACCCGTTTAAAAACTTTATTCAAAGATGGACCATTATGACGTTATTTTTCAATCTTTACACAGTCTATTGTTTTAATTACTGCCCCCACAGTTTGGGTGGTACTGCAGCATTTGGTCTGTATCCACAAGCTCGCAGAAATACGAACAAAATGAGCAAACGTCAGAACTTTGGTTTTCTCTGTATGCATGTCTCATGTTGGACATAAATGAGTCTTAAGACGTAAAGGTGTGTTTTCTGGTGGAAATTTTTACCCAGCTTTCTTTTATCAGTGAAATTTCCTTCCCTTTCCTTTTCCAGCGTATGAACAGAATCTTTAGTTCAATTCTGTTTGCTTCTTTGTTATTAGGGCGATGCTCAAACGATATATCATTTGAGCATCATCATCACGATGTACGTGTGTGTGATAGTCACATTGCAGAGCCTGCGATGTCAGAGGCGAATGAACTCATCTAATTTCAAGCATAGCTGACTGAGACACACTGCATGTGATTCTGCATGTGCTGTGCAGCAATCCACCAAATCACGCCCTTTACTTTCGTAACATTACTCATCGCTGTTTAGCCCAAAAAATAAGAACTGTATGGGTTTTAAACTTTACATTTCCGTGGACCACTCTACTATAAGTGGTGCGTGTTTTGCGAGGTGTATGCATGCAATTCTCGGTGGGCTTGCATTTCTCGGCACAACAACGGTAACAACAACAACGATCGCAAAACGACAAAGAAAAAAAGAAAACCACCGAAAATGAAGACTGAAAGAAAAGCAACGTCAGTTAACTGGAAATATTTCGGTTACAAGAGGAATGATGTCGACCAAAACATGTGTTCTGTGTTCATCTGTTGCCACAATAACGTCCCAGCACAATAAAAAGCTAAAAAGATCTCTAAGACAGACAAAAGCCATTCTACTAACATTCACAACAAGAGGTAAGATCAGTGCAGATTAACTGTCCTCAAGATTTCAGCAGTGCAGCATTTTTTAATATCGCATTATCTATCGCAGGGTTGAAAAAAATTGCAATGTGATTTTTTTTTCAATATCGTGCAGCCTTATTTGTTTCTGTCAAATTTCAAATTCAGTTCCATATACGACCCAAAGTCAGTTAAAAAAGGCTGTTTTTCCTCAGCCTGCCCCGTCACAGTGTTTACAGGACTTAAAAATCATAATATACAAACTGTAAGTCTGATGGACTCATTTGCTTTTAATGATCGCTAAGACGCAATAATGTTAATTTCGGTCAGCTGAAAAACCCTCAGAGAATCACATTTAACATTATGAAGCAGAACCCCGACAAAGCGCTGATGTCTGACAGTGACGATCTGAACTTTGAGTTTTGAGAAGTGTCGAATTTCGGGTTAGTCTGACCCAGCGGAGAGCTTTTCCAGATAACTGGGTGAAAGGTTGCAGACTGAACAGGACTGAACACGCAATCTGACTTTTTTCCCCCAACTGACACAGTGACATGTTACTGTCAGTAACGACGAGACTTTCTACCCTGTATGACCTTTAGTGGAAAAGAAGAGCAGTAAAACATGTCTGTCAAAGCTCCAGTTACCTTTAACGCCACAGTGTCAACAACTGCGTGGATTGATGAGTCAGCAATAAAACAGAAAAAGAGAAGTCTCAGTTATTTGACACAGGAAATTAGAGGTCACTCATATTATCATTTAGAGTGATCGAATATGTCCAAACGCCCTGAACTTAAATCGATTTATAAGGATCTTTGTGTAAAATAAGAGCCTGAAGCTAACACTTTAACTTGGCTTTGCTGTGGTTCATTTCCAGCTCACAATATCAGCTCTAAAAACTGTTTAAAATCTACTCAGTGAGTGAGACCGGCAGCTTTCAGGCTTCAACACTAGGAGATTTTCTATCCCACACAGAAGTTCAGTGAGTCTCAGAGACCGAGCCCTCAAACACAATGACGTCTGCGATGATCTTTGTATTAATTTTAGAGAAACTGTGGGGTTTATGTTGACAGCTGACCATACGAATAAAAGGCTGCGATCTTTGTTTGTCAGTCGACCAATTAGAAGCCGTGTCTACACGACTAATTTACAGATTAAAAGTACAGCTTGTTCAACAGGGGGAGCCAAAACTACAGCAAACTGACAGCTTCGAGATACAGGAAGACACCAGCTTTGCATAAAACAAACTCACGTCCTGCTGAAACTGTGCGAACGTCTTGCGGACTCCATCTTGCACAAAAACCATGGCCTCTTTGTCGGGGACTCGTTCTACGGTCCTCTGCAGGGCTTCTGCCATCGTGTAATGGACGAGGGGAAAGGAGGAGGTGCCATGGGCATAGCTGGTAGTGAGGGTGGGGATGGTTGGCGGAGAGTCCACATGGATGCCTCTGCAGGGAAATTATTAAAACAATGTTGTTATAAACTTCAACTCCCATAATGCATTTTTGTACGAACCCTCCATTCACTGAGCTGAGATTTCAGTCCTCTCTGCACTTAAAGGGACACATTAATTTAGGATCAAACACACCGTAACACAGAGAGACACAGCCCGTCGCGGGAGGTGAATTTTGCCGACCGCTTGCTTCTCTAGTTATACCAACTTTAGTAACGACCTCACGCAACCCAGAGAGCCACTCGCTCAAACAAAATGCCACTCTATAGCCACAAATAATGCTCGGAACAGCACCTGACTTCATCAACAGGACATAAAAGATCCCAGCCATAGTACTAGCCACCAAACATCTTTTTAACTTTGACTCATTTCTTTAGCAAAGAGACTAAACACAACTCACCTACTCTCTTCCAGCAGACGCTTGTTTGTGGCGAGACCTTAGACCAGTCCAGTACGGACTACAGCGGAGTTTCGCAGCTCAAGGAAGAACATTTATGATAATTTCTTCATGGAAATACAATCAGATCGAGACGCTAAGGCAGAAGAACTACCGCGTCTGCAGTACAAAATAATTGTTATGGTGATTATTACTTCAAGGAAATGATAAAGAAATTACGGTCTATGGTTTGAACCTAAATTATTTTTAGGCCAGAATATCCCTTTAACAGGACTGGAGCTTTTGCTGTTAGCAGGATAAGTGTATCACCTCAGATTAGTTCACTTTTGATTGATGAAATTCAGAAACATTGACTCTGTATTTTCAGTGTCCTGAGTCTGAGTAAAAGCTGCTCATGCAGAGACAGATTAGATGCGATTTCACAGATGAAACAGCAGAAACTACTGATTCTGGCATGAACCTGTAAGACTGGTATGTTGTCCTCGAAAGCCCCAATGTTCTCAAAGTTGAAACAGCAGTCTGGAGAAAAAACACTTGCGGACCCTCCCAGAGAGCTTGTTAGGGCCCCTAAGGTCAGAGCAGCCGTCAGCCCTGCCTCTCTGTAAGCCTTGTCTTGGTTCGACCTATTTTACCTTTCTCACTGTGACTCAAAAAGCTAATATTACACGACTGCAGCTTTCCTTAGTTGTAACTTGACTGCAGGACATTCTTGTGTGTCTCCCAAACTTCTGTAGACAAACAGAATAATCTCAGAATCTGAATAAGTACTTAGAGCCTTCAAAGTAAAAGCACAAACAGGCCTGAAACAACACTCAAGACTTAATACAAGTCTTTTATTTCAAATCTCCTCAATGCGAAAATAAAAGTGCAGCTTTACCCACTAAAGGTACTTGTTTTGAAGAGAAATGTACCAGATGTGACTACAATATATGATAGCTGTACGTGTCTGTGTTTGTAGCATTTCTTTGTGTAAGCAGCTCTTATCAACTTTATGGTGAAATTCATGAGTTTGTAACACTTACCTGTGAAATTCAGAGTCCAAAAGACAAGATGCGTTAAAGGAAATGCCACAAAACTTAAATTTTTCTCAGAGAATGGGTGATACAAAATGATTCGATCATTATGAAATACGATACGATTAAAAATGACACAATGTACGATACGATACATGACAATTCTCACGCCTGTTCCCTTTCCTTTCACCTCCCACGAAAAGAGATTATGCCATTCCACAAAAAAGAGAAACATCTATTAAAAAAGACATACATATAAGTGCATATCCAAGTTGACTTCAAACTAAGAGGTTAAAATGAAAAATGTGACCAACAAACTTAAGGAGTTTTGCCTTGTTAGAATATTCCCTCAATCTTGTCTGCAGGAAAATACTTTTAACTAAACTTCTTATATTTACTCTAAATGAGAGCAATCAAAGTGTTTTAATGCTCGAAACTCACCTGCTCGCTGCAGGTAGTCCACTTCGGCGTGTCCACGGTCTCTGCAGGACTCTCAGAGCTCCAGGAACGACGCCGGGGTTCCTCAGAGTCCGAGAGAAGAGCACAATCTTGGGGAACATTGTTTGCAGCTGCAGCTCACCGCGCCCCTCCGCACTAAAGAGGATTTCCTCTCCAAACTTCTGCGGTGCAAGAAGAAACGAGCTGATATTTAACAGAAAATCACTCCTGAAACACAAGCCCGTGGGTCGTGACTGCTGAGTAATACAGGCGTGTTTTTCTCGGACCTTGATCTGTCACCACTGGAGTGTTGCTCAGTTTTCTGAGATCCTGCAGATCAGACCTGCGGGCGGCGCTCCAAACTGCGAGTAAAACGCCATGAAGTCAACAAAACAACTCTCAACACATCACGTGGTCATGCAGTCGTCTTTAAATGTCTCTGACAGATGTTATCAGTTCATGTCAGACTTAAATAAAATCTCACAGTGTGTTTCTGTTTTATTTAGAGTTTCCAAAAAGCTGAAAGAAGAATACAGATCCTCCATATGAAGAGGCAGAAGTCCATTCACTCTACAATCACAATAACAGGAGTTAGGACGTTGTGTTCCGTAGAGATGAAAACCGATTTGTAAGGTTTCAATTATACGGTGGCCGAGAACTGCCACTGCTGATAAAATAAATAAATTAAAAAAAAGTCACAACAGAAGTTACTGAAGCAAGAAAAAGAAACCGAAGACCGCTGCAAATAAATAAAGAAAAGGTGCAGATAAAAATGCCACAATGGAAAAAAAATAAATAAATAAATAAAGAAAAGTGGTGATGGGGAAAAAAGTTACTGCAAAGTCTTAAGTCACACGAAGCCATTTTATTTTGGATGATGCTGTATTTTTTTGTATTTTGATATCAATGTGAATTCAGAGCGCATGTTTGTTGTTTATGTTCTTGGAAAAAAACAATAAAATCTATTTCAACTGTGTTTTAGTAAGAATAATTTGAGGAGATCAACACATTTAAAAAAAAAAGTAAAGATAATGAAACATCGAAAAGGTTGTGTAATGCAGGGGAAATCACCAAAGCTGAAAATCAAAACAGAGAGGCTACAATTTTCAGGCCTTCAGGTGGCATAGCATTAAAAAACAGCTGTGACTCTGTAGTGGAATTCACCGCATCGCCTCAAAATCGCTTCTCAAAACCACAGTCGCTATATCACACGGGACAGAGTCGCAGAGGTAGGACCTTGTGCCTCCATAAAGCGCAAAAAAAGGAGGAAAAAAAACTCACTGAATATGATTTTAAAAATTTAAACAATTTATTAATAAAAAGGTCATCAACTCGTGGTATTGTGCACAAAATTTTAAAGTGATCAACAGTGTAAAGCGATCAGTAAGTTCACCCTCTCTCCACACCGTAAAAGGTAGCAGGTGGCTGAAATCCACACATCCAGGTGACCTGCTACTTACCTGTTCAATGTGACTACATAAACATCATGAACAAAAGTAGAACAGATATAAAAACCAAAACCATTTTTAATTAATTCACGAGGAAACCATGTGTAGGTGTGATCCAGAGGTGCTGGTCAGAAGAATCAAAGTTTGAGTTTCCTTTTTGGAAATCATGGTCCCTGAATCCTCCCTTAGATTTACTGAGTCCCCTCTGGATTATCTGGTCAAGTTTGGAGTTTTTAGGGGGTGAAGATCACAGATAACAAAGAGGAGAACCCAAGGATAAATGCTGATTCTCCCCCTGGATAAAAATACAAAAAATGATCAAGAGCATATGGCGGAGAGTTAATATTTAAATTAGAATAAGGCCATTAATGTAAGTAATATTAAACATCCTCAATATTTACCACAACCAGTCTTTGTACACTGAGTGATTTTGCAGTTGCTATGATATGACCAGTAAAGCTGCTCTGACAGCTGCTAACTCTGAGAGGTATTGACAGTTTTGACGCTCTGTGTTGGAGTAAGTCACAGCCCTCTGTTCGCTGTAGCGCAAATGATTAAAACTCACTCTAAAAGTTCTTGTATAACTTTTTAAAGAAGTTCACCTTCATACACAATCCTCTCCTCCTTGATACACAGGATGAATTTTGTCCTGACAACCTGGAAGGTAAGGTCACTGGGAGTGTTTTCCTATTCAAACACGATCGTGCTCATTCAGTAACGCTGTAAACACTAAAACTGGATTCATTGATCCTGAGAGAACAGCTCCTCCTTCAGACGATGATACCGTCCTCTTTTCGCCATCAGTTCTTCGTGCGTCCCCTCCTCCACCACTTCTCCTTTCTCCATATAGATGATGTGATCGGCTTTCTCCACCGTCTTCAGCTGATGAGCCACGACCAGGACGGTCCGACCGCAAGACAGAACCTCCTGCAGAACCTGAGGCGCAAAAACCCCACAGTGAAAAAAAACACAACTAGAGCAACCAGTGTGCAGAGATCTCCTCAGTGCAGCTTTCAAATACTTTCACTACCTTTACATCTGCTTGTTATTTTGAAGGAAGTCCAGATTATGTCTTCAAATTTCTTGTTCTACCTGACAAATCTTCTTCAACTACTTTCCTTCCTCTTGCACGATGGTTTTGCTGGAAGTTTGTTTTTTTTGTTCAAGATAAGATTGTCCAAACTTGCCTCAAACCTGCACCCCTGCTCTACAGACTGTCCTTTATTTTTATTGTTCTGTTCTGGCTGCTTTTAACACTTAAAAAAAAACTCTTGGATTTTCTGCTTAAACTCTTTAAGTTGTCAGTCAATTATCTCGATTTAATGTCAACCCTGAAAAAGTAGTTGTTAAATCGTCCTGATGAACTCAAAGATCGCACATTTTTACCACTGAGTGTCAGACTTCATGATTAATAGTTCAAACACTTCTTACAGAGAACAAGTTTCCAGGCCAGGAAATAAGATTTTTTAGCACAGACATGCGAGGACAAGCCCGTCCTCGTGGAGGTCATACATGAGCTTCAGCTGAGGGTTTAGATCAGGTCAAACCTGGTTCAGAGTAAGCCTGGAGGCTTCATTTGAGTTTTGATTTGGGTTTGTAAACACAACCAGCTGCGTCACGAACGTTACTGCACAATTAGGACATATTTCACTCTATGACATATTTGCTCTGATAACCTGCTGTCCACTCTCCTGTCTCTGTACCTGCAACAATCAGATATCTTCAAGCCTGAGTGGAGTGGAGCCGTTATTTGGTTGAGTTGTTAAAATGACTAAGTGCATGTTGCAGTCAAATAATCATCACTGAGCATGTATTCTAGATAAGATATCAACGGTTTACTTACAGTGTGCTGCACTTCGACGTCCAGTTTGCTGGTGGCCTCGTCCAGGATGATGACCTGAGGGTCCCGAACCAGAGCTCTGATGATGGCGATGGCCTGCCGCTCGCCGCCTGCGAGTCTGCCGCCACATTCCCCGATATCTGAACGGAACAAACAAACGGATACAGATTATTAGAGTAATAAAACAAGACATCGCTGCGGCGTCTTAACAAAAACTGCCCTCACAGTTCACACTAAACTGTTCAGGAACACTAAAACTATACTGAAACAAAAACTCTGTACTATACTGCTAAAAATCTACGTTTTAGTGCAATGATTCATCTCTGATCTCTAATGTGTGTCTAAGTATCTGAATGCCTCTGTACCTGTGTCGTATTCATCCCCCAGGTCAGAGATAAATTTGTCAGCGTTAGCTTTCTTTGCAGCTTCTTTCACCCTCTCTAAGCTGCAGTCCTCCAGGCCGTACTCAATGTTATATTTCAGAGAACCAGAGAACAGCACAGGATTCTGGGCAACCGAGGTCACCTGAAAAGAAGTGAAGAAAACATGTAAACAAGCAGACGTTACTGAGTGCATGTTTGATGGAAAATATCTTGTACATTTCTACATATTCATATTATCCGATAAGGGATAAAAGAATCATTAAAAGGGACAAAGCTGTTATCTGACACTCGACGGATGTGCTCTTCTTCAGGCTGACTCTGACATGACTGTAGTGGAGATCTCTGCATCAAGCAATCAAAGGGGACGGACACGCAGTAAAGCAGTGGTTCCCAACTGGTGGGTTCCGACCCAAAAGTGGGTCACGGACACGTTCTGGATGGGTCACGAACAGCTGGTCAAAAAAGTAAATATTTCGTGCACATCTGATGTCTTTTATTTTGAAAAACAGCTTATTTTGATAGGAATGAGTTATGTCTTGGTCCTCCTCGGTTTCTTATTATTGTAGCCTGAATGCAGTGATTTTGTGCAATTTGAGATTCGATATTTTCTGTGTATGCATCTTCAGTAGTTGTCGTCCTCAGTTCACGTGCTCTGACATGCACTTTACTCAATAAAACAGATTTATTTGTGTTAAAGATTCAAGTCTTTAAAGGTTTTATTAATAAAAAATTAATTTTCTTGGTTTGAATTCTATGAAAGTGGGTCGTGACTTCAGGACCATGGGAAAATGTGGGTCCCAGAGTGAGACCAGTTGAGAACCACTGCAATAAAAGGACTATGGGTGGTAATGACTAAGGTGGTCTTTACACAAATACGAATTTGTAAGACACCGGTAAAATAAACTATCAATCTGGTGATTTTGACACACGGAGACGCGTATTTATCCGTGACTCCGCATCTTTTTTGAAAACGGGTCTGGAGGTGGATATCTGAATATTCGTCTTCATGCTGTAGTTGGTGTAAATAGATAAGTCCAGAAAATACGGTGACCTCATAGCACCCCTCCTCCTCCCCGCCCCCCAACCCACGTGGTCACACACACAGCATGTATGTATACGCATTCTCTGTTTATGGTGCTTTGTGGCAATTTCACAGTGTCACCTTTAGGCCGGGCGTATGTACTACAGGATTTTGCGTGGACAATACGATGTGAAAACTCCTCTTGTGAGGAGAGCCTAAGTGAGAACCAAGTTTCCACAAAAGCCCGTCTTGATTTAATCCAGCTCAGAGTGTCGGCTCTACCTTCTTATGGAGATATTTGTGATCATAATGATGCAGCGGTTTTCCATCCAGCAGGATCTCGCCCTCTTCTGGTTCATAGAGCCTCTTCAGGAGGTTGACACAGGAGGTCTTCCCACTGCCGGACGGTCCAACCAGCGCAGTCATCTTTCCGGGCTTCAGTTCCAGAGACACTGACTGTACAGGACATGTTAATGATGAGTGAAACATACGTCTGACTCCCGGTTAAAGATTAACTCTTTTCAGAACATGGTGTGAAACGGCTCCCTCCGGTCTGAGACACATTTACCTTCAGAGCGGGTTTCTCCTGGGAAGCTGAGGGGTATGTGAAGGAGACGTTTTGGAAAACAACTCTCCCCTCCAGATTCTCAGGAGCCAAATCTCCCGCCTTCTTCCACTTCGGTGTTCTGTCCAGATAACTGAACACTTTGGCGATGACTCCCACTGTGGAGACCGTCTCTCCGTAAGAGTACATGATCTCCTGGTAAAATACGAATAATCTGCATCAACAGAAATGATCAGTTCAGAGCTAAACACGTGATATTAGAGAATCAGCTCACCTTTAGATTGTACGACATGGGCTTCTGGTACAAGAGAAAAGACACAAAACCACCAATGCTGAGGTGACCTGAAGAGATGAGACTGCGGGCCTGGACCAGCATGAGGACTTTAATCCCAAGACTCACAAGCTGCATGAACAGAGGGTGAAGACAGGGATTAGACGTCCACACGAGCTTCTACTCTTCGTATAAATCAGCCTGTTTATCAGTGAGTGAGCGCTGCTGCTGCTGCTGCTGCTGCTGCGTCTTACCCTCCGGATTAGGGTGAAGGCTGAGCTGTAGACCCTCGACCGATACTTCACTGCAGACATTTGTTCCACAGCCCCATTGTACCTCCTCAGTTCATCTTTTTCCGCCTTGAAGCTGCGCACCGTCTGGATCTTACTGAACGTCTGGACAGCCAGGTCTTGGTTCTGAGCCTGGCACTCCTGGATCTGTTCCTTCAGCTCCTGGTTGATAGAAAACAGACTAATTCAGAGAGGAAGTGCTGCAGGAGAGCAGCAGCAACATCAAACCATCATCAGGACTCCCTGAAATCCTCATGCTGAATTGGTTTCAGCAACTTTCAGCCCTAGGGCGCCCCTTGCTGGTCGCTGAAAGTACTGACTGTAAGGCAGCTTTTTTTTTTATTCTGTTTCTGGTCTGTTGCCCATTTTTCCAAAATCCCCAGAAAAACTGACAATACTCAAAATAACCGAGAACCAGTTTCATCAGGCCTACCTTTGACAAGGTGATGTATTTTTTCTGCATCATGGCCAGCAGTGGCATCTCGATGCAGGTGAGCACAGTGAGCTCCCAGGACAGCTGCACCAGCACATTCAGCATGAGGACGGTTTTAACAGTGCTGCGGACCATGGCGTTGGCGTTCAGCGCCACAGTCCGACCCATCCGATCCACATCAGAGTACAGACGGGAGGACAGACGGCCTAAAAGACAAAGACCAGGAGAGTCAAGAGGTCACTGAGCCTCTTTAAGTTTCATTACAGCTGACTGAGGACAGTCACGTTGTTCCTATTTTCTGCGTATATATTTAGATGTTGATATTTGAGACTGTTCTGATACACTGTGAGCCTTTTACAACAATGTTTCCAGCTCCCTGATGCCACAAGAAACTTTTTAAAAGTTAAATTTTCAACAGATTTAGTAAATTTCTTCCTCCTCTTTGCTTTCTAGATGGCAGCAGGTGTTGCTCCTAAACCTGTATATATTGTTCAGCCTTAATAGAGCCATGCCATCAGGGTCAAACTGTTTATTTGAAGCCTAGTTGTTCTGTCTTTGCCTTGAAACTAGTTTTGTGTTATTCAGTTCTGCACGTAAACATCATTTTTGACCCTTACAGTCGCTGAGAACCTGGTGTATCGTATCACGTGTTCACTACGATAACTCTCACCAGGGTTGTTCTCGTCAAAGAAGTGCACGTCTTGCTGCAGAAGGGTGTGAAACAGCAGATGCTGCAGTCTCTTGTTCAGCCTCGCCAGGCTGATTTTAAACATTCCTCCTCTTAAGCCAGAGAACAGAGCGCTGCGAGAGGGAAGACAAACAAAAATGTCACAAATGAACGTTTAGCCGATGAAGTCACTCTATTCTTGCTGAAGAACTGATTGGTTCGTTTCTTTAAATTACCTTCCCAGGGAGAAAAGTGTCAGCTGCCCGATGGTATAACCGAAACTGGATAGCAGCACTGGACCTTTGAGCATGTCGATAACCTTCCCCTGATACAACGGGATGTATGTATCACCTGGTAGAAAAGAGAAACGAAACTGAAAAACAGGAATCTAAAAAGATATGTATAATTGTAATTTCAGGATGTAGAGTGTTGCTTTAATCAAAATGTCCTGAAGGTTTTTACACTTACAGTAGACGCCCAGGATGAGGGAGCTGAAAGCTGCGATCAGGTAAAGGGTGTCTGCTCTGAAGTATTTCAGCACCCTCATGAGCAGCTGTCTGGTATCTACTTTTTCCTTCCCCGTCTTCCCGTCACCACAGAGACCTTTTTCCCAAATCACACAAACCAGCAATGAGGCCACAGGGCCCAGGAGCAGCATGCCGAGGTCAGAAGACGGCACGATGTAAGGCGCCGAGGGGGGAGCCATCAGGATTCGTCCACTTTCAAACACAGGAGAGAAAAGGCAGAGGAGGACCACAAACCTGCGCAGCACGGCTGTTGGTTTTTTATTAGTCAACATAGAGGCGAAAAAACTGAGGATTATCCATTTACATGCACCGAAAGCCCAAACGCCCCCGAGTCCACCACAGCTGGGGCACTCCAGCAGCATGAGACTGACCCACAGCCACAAACACAACCCTGCATCCAAGAGGAGGATGATCAGTCCACATGCTGTTTCTTCCCTCATTTTCTCTTGTGGGATTTTCAAACTGCAAGAGACTTTTTGAAGACCTGGAACGACAAATATTCATGTTATAAACCTTGGTGTTATTGTGTCATATTTATTTCGCCGTTATTTAGACAACAAAAAGTTTCTTGTTGCATGTAACAGTTTTATTGTGTTCTTAATATTTATTATTTATCGGAACAAAAGAGCTGAATAACATAGTTCATCCCTGCAAACCAACAGAATGAGTGTAAACAGAACTGTCTTGATAATATAGCATGGTCTTCTATGGTCAACTTACCCCCTCAAATCTGGACTGTACCAATATCATTTTTAGTTAGGGTAACAGGGTTGACATGAAATCAGGGGACGCTGATAAATTGGTAAATATTTATAATGACTAATATATATTATTACCAAAAACACTGTTTAACAATCAGATCATACTTAATATGACTTTATTAGTCCTCTAAGCTAAAATGGTGGACTCCACAGACTCCATGAATTGTTGCCCATCTCCTAAATATTTGGTCACATGATCAATTTCTTTGACCATTTCCAAGAAACAGGAGGTGGCTCAACTTACCCCAGTCTCCCCTATAGGCCTACTGCTAAAAACATACATTTTTCAGACATCTCTGGTGGTAATCTGACACAAAAACACTTCTCGACATCTTCAACTTATATTTGGTACAACATGCAACGAAAATAATATGAATAACTAAGGTTTTAAGGTCTTTTCTTAACTCACTGGTTGGTTGTTTTTGTACTTTCGTTAAATGTGAACTAGCTCTCTGCTGCAAGCTAACAACTACTAAAACAGCTTCATAACCGCTCTTTTCTGTCTTTTCTGCTGTCGACATGCAGCTGAATTAATCCCTGACATGAATATCAGGCTGTTTTTAGCAGTTATGATAGACTCACCGTGTTCGGCGCCTCCTGACAGTCCACACTCTTCTTTCAGGCTAAATGCTAAACTTTAGTTTCACTTTCAGTTTCGTGACTCGTTGTCGTCCTCGGTTATCTTCGTGTCCGTTAAAAACAAACGCAATGTAACAAATAGAAATCATATTTTTTAATGAAGTTAGCTTTTTTATGTGTATATCCGACACTAATGTGAACTTTGTGCTTCCGCATGACTCTGATAAACGTCTAACGGCTGTATGTCATTTCATTATCTCACCGCTAGATGGCAGCAGAGTTAGTGGCTTCTACTTCTTCTTCGTTGTCTTCGTCTTTATCGTGTTGTACCGCCATTTACTGGTCAGGAGTGTAGAGTGAAAAAGACAAATACTGACGAAAACACTGGAGATTAAAGTTAGAAAACAACCCACAATTTCCTAACTGTCAAATTCACCGCATTGTTCTTTTATAAAACAATCCAAACTTAAGTAAAAAAGCAATTAGAGAACACTTTGAGATAACTCCCAGTTATGAGTGTTAAGTAGAAGAAGAAGAAGAAGAAGAAGAAGAGCTTTATTGATCCTCAAAGGGAGATTCAATTGTCTGTCTCACATAGCATGTCCCTAAAAGTTATCTATTATTTACATAAGAGTTAAAAAGCCTGATGGCTGTTGGTACAAAAGATCTTCTGAATCTTTCTGTCCTGCAGCGAAGAGAGAGGAGCTGAAATTGTTCAGATTTGCTTTTCCTCAATGAAAGGAGCTCTTCTCTTGAGTAAACTAAAATTTACAAGAATTAGGGCCTGTACACTTCCTACTAATGTGTGACTGTCCTAACCTTCAGACAGTTTTTTTTTGTCATCTGTCTTTGTGCTACAGGCATTGCTGTTCTTTAATTTTGATCTTTGTGTTTTCTGCAAAATGTTTTTTTTGTTGTTGTTGAAATTCCTCGTTTTGTTGTAAAACATTGTTTTAGTAGCGCAGTATTGCCACGACAAACAATCCCTCATATGTTGAGCTATGAAGACTATGATATTTTGGAGTAAATTAATTGTTCATTAGTTGTTCTTTAATTTTGATCTTCAGTGTAAATCCCCAAATCCTGTCTAAAAGTCGTTTATCTCTACGCCAATATTTCTTTCATAAGATGCCGGCCCAGTCGACTCTTTCCCTCAGCTTCCTATCCATGAAAACGGCACCATATTCAGTCTGGATATAATAATATATGCGCCTGTAGTTTCAACTGATGGTCCTTATAAAACTGTTATATTATCACGAAAATGCCAATGAACACATTTAAAAGGATAACTGTGGTTTGAGTGTGCTGATGCTGCCTTCAAAAATGAACACACAAAAAGCTCAGATTCACAATCTTAGATATTGAAACATTTATTTCCCCTGATCATTACATGTATATATAAATACAGTATCTATAGTAAAGGTAGAGTTTGGCCCAAAAAGCAAGTCAAGCCTCAAAAAGCACTAATAAATCCCCTCCCAGCTGAGAAGCCTCTGCTAACACTTCTGTGTACTGTAGTACAGCTTTTACCTGAAATGTGTTTATTTCTCAGTTACATATAATATCTTTGTTCAAACCTGTGCAGGTGGAGAGATTGTATGTATCAAAAGAGAAGTCTGTCACATGAAATCTTTGATTAGAAGTGAAGGTAAAATCAGTTACAGTGTTGAAATATTCTCTCATAAAGCGTGTCAAACTGTTGGATATTATACTGCTGTTTCAGAAATACATCAGCTCTTCAAAAAGGCACTGCTCCATTACAGAGTGAACAACATGCTTTAGACAACATCATTTCTGCTTAATACAGATTCATTTTCTACATGTAGAGAGTAAAACAAACAGTTTCAGCCTTTGATTTTTAAATGCACCATTAAAGATGTAAAGCACAAACACTCATCGACATGGGTGTAACATGGTGGCGGTAACATGCTGTGTTTAATGACTGCACAAAGAACCTAAAAGGATTCATTTACAAACTTTGGAGATGGTGGAGATGTTAAAAAACATTTCTGTAAGAAAGCACAGCATAACTTTCTATCGCCCCTTCTCACTTTTTAAGGCGTTCTGTAACAAGTCTTTAACTGACGGCAATATGAAGACAAGTTAGTAATTTTACCAACATTGTCCAAAGTCTCATAAAAAAGACCAAAACCAACAATAACTGTATGTCTGAGTTTGATAAATAATCTTTTGTGATTAAATCTGAGCCCCATCCACCTTCATTGAACCTGCTAAAGAAAGAAGGTCATTCAAAACAAAGAAGACAACAGTCTCCTCTGTGAAATCTTGTGAAATCTTGTGCAGTCTCCCCAATTTACCAGCAAAAATTCTATCCTCTGAAATATCTGAACAAAAAAGTTCCAGAGTATGTTCAAAATGGAACTTTTTTGTTCAGATATACTGTATTTTTCGCACTAAAAGGTGCACCTGATTATAAGGCGCACCATCAATGAACGTGTCTATTCTCATACATAAGGTGCACATTAAGCCAAATAAAACAGTCAGATAAGTCAAACTTTCTTTAACTCGATCAATAACTCCGCGAGGCTACGGTAGCTGCAGCGCTCCGACAAGCCAAAAGGATTTTAAGTGCGCCTTATAGTACGAAAAATACGGTAATTATCTTGTTCGCACATATTATGATGTTGTACCAGGAGATATTTTGTGCACACCATTTAATGACTTGTTTATGCATGTTGTGCAAACAAATGAACTCAAAGCTGATAGTAATTTATGGAGACAAGATAATTATCTTGAACACACAACTTTTGCACTGCAAGTATATTGTGCGCATGCAATGATTATTTTGCATACACAAGTTAAATACACAAGATTTTCTTGTTGTGCACACTAGAAAATGTGCCCGAGATGATAACACAATACTTTTTTGTGTGCAATTTTCTTGCGCACATAAGGTAATAATTTGTGCACGCATAATAATATAGTGTAAACAAGATCGTACAAGATGCCCTTTGTGCTGGACACAGGAGGGGAGCTCGGAGTCACAGATCTACGACCACAGACGTACAAAAGTGGAAACGAGGCACAAAGCATCTTCTACTGGACAGTTAAAATGCCTTTATTTTATGGCATGGTCATGTAGACCTTCAAAACAAACTTGAGAGTTAAACCAAACTTGGTTTTTGTGGCATTTGAAAACATTTTAACTCATCCAAAAGAATGCCTTGTATTGTTTTCATGGCTTTTCATGTTGAATGTCCCCAGTTAACTCGGATATACTGTCACATTGTTGGTCTTGGTCTTTGCTGACAGAGAAAATCTAGAACAACAGGATCTTAAACGAAACTCTGGGAGTTTTCCTCATGTTGATTTCCCCTTCTTTATAACACCGTTTTCACTTTGCCTTCTATTTGGCCTGCTGTCTCACTGTTATCTGTCTCTGAAGATGATGATAAACGAACACATCTCTAAAACGGCGCTACAGAACAGCATTCTGAGTGACTTCTTCAAAAAGGATCCGTGTCTGTTGGCTTGATAAAGAGTGAAACCTCATCTTTGACAGATTGTGTGCTCGGTAAGATCAGCAGCATTTGACGATTAACAGTACAATCACATTTAGAGTTGTAAGTGCACATCTGTTCATTTTGGTATCTAAGTGTTGAACCTGGGCGAAGCGGAGGAGATGATTCACAGTGTTTGTTTGGGTTCTTGATGGCGCAGCAGATGGCAGCGGCCCGGGTCAGACGAACATCTGGGGCACCAGGCGAGCTGATACAAACATTAGGAATAATCTGCAGCACTGTTTGACCCAGAGCGAGTGTGCGTTTGTGAGTGTGTGTGTTTGGGTGACCCGCAGCGTGAGCGGGTTCAGACGCTGGTGATGTACTCCGCCCCGTTAGCAGAGGATTTGTCTTTGTCTCCCTCTGTGGGCACGCTGCGGTACTGACAGCCAGGAACGACGTCCACGGCGGTGAGTTTGGCTGGCTCAGGCAGGGCTGAAGGCTGACCCTGCTTTAACCGCTTTTTGTCCCCTTTATCCAGCCAGCAAAACGACACCACGAGGAACACGGCGGAGGAGGCAACGACGGCACTGCAGGCGAAGAAGACGAAGAAGTAGTGACCTGTCCTGTCGATGAGGACTCCTGCAGAAAATGAGAGAACATCAGCACCAGTTAACACACGAGAAGGTCTTCAGGTAACACCGCCACAAAACAAGAGTGGAGCAACACTTTCCTTCATAATCTTTACTTATAAACACAACTGACTCACTCCATTTCTAATGTTGTTCATTGTACATTACACACAAGATTTTACTGCTTCTACTACTTCAAAAATACTGAAATGTCCCTTTAACAGCAGAAATGGACGTGTTGACAGCCTGGCTCAACAAAGGTTTTGGTCAATGCAGCTCATTTCTTTACTTGTACACTTTGCACTTTTGCTGTTTTTTAATGATCCGCCTGTTAAGAATATATAAAGTGTAGAAGATTAAACTAAAATGTCCTTGGTTTGGGCATGACTGAAATGACTGACAGGCCTTAGCTTCACTTCTTTGCGTGTGTTTAGAAGTTAGGTTAAGTGGAACGCCATCATAGAGCTTCAAAATGCCTCTTTAGAAACTTAAAAAAAAAACAACTTGGTCACAGAGATTTCATCCATGTTTTATACAGTCTTTGCCTCAAATCCATCATCTATCATTATACAATCAAGCTTTTCATTTATGATAAAAATCCAGTCTTCCCACTCAAACTTTAAACGCTCAGCTGCAGGTTTGACTTCAAAGACTCAGAAACATTTTTTCACTCTGAGTCTAACCCACCAGGCCGGCCGCATACGCAAATATTTGACATTCACAAGCTTTCATTTCAATTCCTTATTTCAGACTCAGCCTCTCCACACTCTACACTCCCTCACTTATTTCCTGTTTTTACACTCTATCTCATGTCGAATCAAAGGTCCTCAAACTTCCAACTTGTATGTGACCACCGAGTCGGAGCCCCTGCATGTGTGTGAAGTGAGTCTGTTGTGAGTTGTGTCTGCGGTTACATCACTGCCCGGCTACAGCAGCAGCAGACACATAGCATACCTGAAACCTGAAACCTGAAACCGAGAGCTTCTGCCCTTTAAACACACTGCTGAGAGGAGCTCAGACTCACTGAGCTGAAATGTGCTGCAGTTTGTTTACTTCAGTGTTGTGATGAGACGTTATTCTCAGGTTTATGTCAAATTTAGACTTCTTTAAGCCCTCAACACCTCAGAGCCAACTGTTACACTTTAATCCAGTATAAACAGTTCATTACAGCTGTGATCACTTTAAAATTTGAGATTAACCAGAAGATAAAAACACTCTCCAACTAAAGCCATCATATACGCCGGACAGAAACTTCTTCTATCTGTGATTATACTAACGTGAATTTCAACCTAAGCAAGGTTTTCAAGCATGACTTTCACTCGTCGGGGATTATTTTTCACTTCCTCCACCGCTGCAGACTCGTGTATTTGTTGTCACTGAAGCAGCAGGAGTTTATTTACAGCTGCAGCCGCGTGGGGGAGGGGCTAAACCTTCTATTCCTGTATGGATGCTTTGCACAAAACACTGGTGCAGAGATGTCACCAAAACACGTGCAAACGATCATGCAAACGCTGAACCTCCTCTGATTTCACGCATGCATGTTGTCCTCTGCTTCGCTTCGTTTTGAAACCACGTACAGCGCAATTCATAACACTTCAGGTTTTCATCTTGATTTTTAAAAACATCAAATATTTTTAATAACATCAAAATAAAGTTATTTTTATTATTACCTGCCAGTGGAGGCCCGATGAGCAGCGTGATGCTCTCCATGATGGCGAGCAGCCCTAGAGCTGAGGGGAAGCGGCTCATCTCCACGATATCCATGAGCACGGTGAACATCAGGGAGCCCACCACGCTCATGGACAGCCCGTAGATCACCACGTACGCCAGCAGGACCGAAAAGCTGGGCCCGAGGCAGGGGATACTGTTACAGAGCCCGTTCACCAGGAGAGCGGAGGCGAATACGTAAATATGTCGGCCTTTAAACCACGGCATGCTGAAGAGGATGCCGAAGGGCGGCCGCACCGTGATGTTGACGATGCCCAGGATGGAGAGCAGCAGCGCGGCGCGGCCCTGCTCCATCTCATGGGCCGTGGCGTAGGGGACCAGATAGATCAGCGGCACCACAAAGCCCAGCATCATCCAGGTGATGCCGACGACAAACACACAGTAACGCGGGTTGTTGCAGAGCTGATCGAAGGCCATGTGTTTCCTCAGGGAGGCCGCCACATAGCTCCAGACCCTCTTCACCCACCCTGGTTTCTCCTTCTCAGGTTCCTCCTCAGGTGGAGGAGGTCCATGGTTCATCAGAGGCTGGCCCCGGCGTACGGGGGGCTGCAGGGGCCTCATCACCGCTCCACATACGCAGCAATTCAACAAGACAGCACCCAAAACCAGGAAACTCCCCCTCCAGCCCAGCTCCGTGTGGAGGTAGTTTCCCAGGAAAGGCAGCGTGCACAGTCCCAGCGCCGTGCCCGTGGATGACATGGCGTTGGCAAACGCTCGCCGACGCACAAAGTAGTGTCCGAGGATCGTCACAGCGGGCTGGAAGCTGAAGCAGAAACCAAGACCTGAAACAGAAAGAAAACTGCTGGAAGTGGAAGAGCAGGAGATCGACATTCACCTGAAAACTAAACTTCAAGCTAGAAAAGATCATGACGTTTCTCAGGACTGAGGCCGAGGAGAAAACTGTCCTGTAGTCCGACAAAATCAAAATCTGACATCCTTTGGAAACCATGGAGACCATATCCTCCGATTTAAAGAGGAGAGGGAGCGCCTGGTTTGTTATCGACACGCAGTTCAAAAACCAGCATCAGGGTTCCTACACAGTTGGAATTTCTTTACTTTCCCATACGGTGATTTTTAGAGTTATTTTTGGAAAACAGTATTTTAGAACTGTGGTAACAGTCTGGAAACACAGATACATTTACATACTTTATTTCTCATTTATCAGACCTGGAAATTGATCAAACTACTTCCATACTTGCGTAGGAACCCTGCAGCATCCATGACAGTATGAGGAGGAAACACATCTGTGAAAGCTCCATTAATGTTGAACAACATCTACAGGTTTAGGAGCAACATCTGCTCCAAAAGAGACCTTCAGTATTTCAGAAAGAAAACGCTCAATCACATTCTGCACGTAATTTTAGATGAGAATATTTATCATTATAGACAATATTTCAGTTTCAACATCTGATATGTTCTTATTACAGTAATGTAAATTAAATAAAAGCTTTATATGATTTCTAAACCATCAAATTCTGTTTACAGAGCGCCCTTAAGCACAAAAGGATCATCTTTACAATGAAACCTGAAAACTTACTCAAACACACATATCTAGGAAGTCCAAGAAATTAAAGGTAGACTAAGTGTTTATTGGACCAGTTTCGAGGAAAAACTACTGAAACTTCGACCAACTGTGCTAATAAAACGTTCTCCTAAGAAGGGATTGTTGTTGTTTCTAAGAAAATCTGAGAATAACCTCATAAACACAAACTCTACTGTAGTTTTACTTCATCAGGACTGATGTCTGTAGACTCGATTTAAGAGCATGTCACTGTCATCTGGATCATGTTTGATCCTCGTCCCCCATCAGCCGGTCTCTGACTGCGTCTTTCTCTGCAGGTTGTGTCCTGATGAGTCGAGGTACAGCTTGGACAGTTAATCAGTTGGATGTTTGCTGACCTGTAATAACCCCGGCTGTGACGTAGAGCTGGCTGATGGACTGGGTAAACGAACTGGCCGCCATTCCAACTCCGCTCAGGACTCCGCCCAACATGACCGTCGCCCGGCAACCCAATCTCTCCACCAGCACGCTACAAAAGGGACCTGTGGACCAAATGTAATGCTCTTAGTTTAATGCATACCAGAGCAGAAACGGGCACAGGCTTACACAGCGGAGGCGAGGTCGTTTTCTTAATCCTGCGGCACTTTTTCACATAACTTGAGTTAAGCTGTAATCTGAATAAAAGCACTAAAAGCAGAACCGAAAACATATTTGCTCTCCCATTTACTCTTCTCCAGGGCGTTTCTCTCTGTTGACACATTTTCAGATTTCCTTTTGTCTCGGGCCGTTAAACAAATTCACACATGCGTCATTTTGCTTTTACTGCCGCTCATAAATTCTCTTTGACTGAAGGAGAAGTTTCACATCGTGTATCCTGAAGCCTGAGGACTAAATACAGTCGGCTATGTTGGTAAAAGGTCACCAACAGAGCCGGTGAATCCGACACATGCCTCGGTTGTGGGGAAACCGGGCTGCAGGGAGCTCCACTGAGCCGAGCTTTTATTGGACACTTCTTGAAGAAAGACTCAAAGGATTTAAAACTCTATTTTCATCCCTCCTGAGTTTTCATTGATGGATTTGAATTTGTGGTTTGCAATTTTTTTTTTTAAAGCTCCAGTGATGAACTTTCATGTGTGAGCATTTTGGCGCCCCCTGTGGATAAAACCGTCCATGCTAATAATGTTACTATTATTAGCTCGTCTCTGTGGCGTCTTCTAAGAAAAAAATTTTGGACCGCCGAATGTTTCATTTATTGTGAATATTTTATGCGGAATGTGTAAAAACAAGGTCTCCCTTCTCACTCTGGTTTCAGGCTTTAAAAATTATGATATAAAACAATTATTTTTACTTTTTACTTTACTTTTTCATTTCTGGAACAAAATATTTGATTTTCAAATAAGCGTCTAGATTTATGAACAAGATTTTTGGGGGATTTTTAACAAAATTTGCAATCCATCCTTTCTGTTTTTTTCAGCCATTACTTAATGAGTGACATGAGGGTCTATTTCTCCTTTATTTTTAGAACATAGACTGAGAGACGCAGGATAGAGACAGCATTCTTCGTCTTGTTATTTCACTGATCTCTTAAATTAAACCCACTTCCTTGGTGATGACACAGAAGTTTCCTCTCATAAATATCCTCGCTGTGTCTTAAAAACGGGTTAGAGCACTTTATCTGAACAGCGCTCTGTTCATTTGTTCAAGGTCTCGGTCTGAGCGTGACATTTCAATTTCTGCTGGGGTTATTTCCTCGAACTACAAAAATCCATCACATTACATCACTGCCCTTTGGTCATTCTCCGAAGAGCGGCTCTAACTTGCGTGTCTCTTAATGAAGATAATCCTGAGATTCTCGTCACATTTCTGTCAGATCAAGACTTCCCAGGATCAAAGCATTCCTGTCTCCAAACCCCCATGAGAACTGAGAGCGATCTCCACGATGCTTTTGTACTCCTGAACTTCAAAAAGAGAAATCTACTTATTTCTACGTCACTCAAACTGGAGCAGCCAATCCCGACTGAGAACCTCCAGAAAAGACTAAAACAGAGTGCGCCTGCGAGGATGAAATAATTCAATAAGGATCGATCATTTCCAAAAGCAGATCCACTGAGGACTTAAATCATCTCAATCAACATTTGGTATTCCTGAATGTTTGGGGCAACAGAACTACGTATGAGGGATTGAGTGTGTGCAGTGTGTGTCCTTGCTTTGTTTGAGTGTTTTGGTCTTTTCAGTTTATTGACAGTAAATAAAATACGGATGATCAGAGTCGCTTTGAATTTGGTCCTAAAGAAACTTGAGGTGTAACTGATGCGCCTTAAAAGACTTGAAGTGTTTGTACTCAGTTATTTCCACCCAGAAAAAGACACTTTCCATGTTTTCACATGCCAATTATGTTAACTCCATCACCCCTCTCACTAATAAAGATGAACTGTTTTTGATTTTGTATTTACTATTTAAAGCTCCTGTTAGGAACTTTTGGTCCGGGTTGATTTTGCCGCCCCATGTGGAGGAGGTGGGAACCCTTTTATTGTTGCAGGTAGCATCTAATCCTTAAGAAGCAGAAGCATGGGTGCGACCCCTCCCCTTAATCAGCTCTAAATCAGAGAGCAGGGAGAGGAGAGGAGGAGCAGGAGGAGGAGAGAGGAGAGAAGGAGGAGGAGGGAGGAGAGAAGGGAGAGGAAAGGAAGAGTAGGAGGAGGATAGAGGAGAGCAGGGAGACGAGAGGAGGGAGAAAGGAGAGAGGAGAGCAGGGAGAAGAGGGAGAAGAACAGGAGGAGGAGAGAGGAGAGCAGGGAGAGGAGAGGAGGAGCAGAAGGAGGAGATAGGAGAGCAAGGAGAGGAGAGGAGCAGCAGAAGGAGGAGAGAGACGAGCAGGGAGAGGAGAGGAGGAGCAGGAGGAGAAGCAGGAGGAGCAAGAGGAGGAGAGCAGGGAGAGAAGAGGATCAGGAGGAGGAGAGCAGGGAGAGGAGAGGAAGAGCAGGAGGAGGAGAGAGGAGAGCAGGGAGAGGAGCAGAAGGAGTCAGGTGTGTCAATCTATGTGTGTCTGAAAAGCCAAAGGACAGAATGGGCTCAACAAGAGAGAGTCTGTAGAGATCACAAGTGCTTAAAAGTTACCGGATTATTTTAAGATAAAAGACGTTTTCTGAAAGTTTGAAAAGACTGACTGATCAGTTTGATCTGTGATAAAAAATATAATCTGGATTAAAGCGCAAATCCTTCAACACTTTATTTCTTTTACCAAAGTTAAATCTGGAATTTAATTTGGTGAGTTTTGTCATTCAAATGAAGCCAAATCTTTTCAAGTGGAGTTATTACATGATCCCTTTCAGCTGACGTACATGAGACTTTATAAAACTTAACAAGAAAGGAGGGCAAAACTGTTTTTTTCCTTACTTTAAAAATATAAAGGTTTTTTAAAGAATTAAGGAGGTAAATAATCTAAAAATAAAATACTAAAGCCTATGAGACCAAAATTCCCAGTCTGGGTTTATCAGGAAGGAAATGTAATAGTGTCGAGTCAGCACCAACCGGTACAAGTGGTTTCGTATCAACTCCAGTTTTTTTTCCAAGTGTGCAGGAGGTGATATCTGAGTTACACAGAAACTTGGACAGACACTCCTCTCTTTCATTCCTGTGTTTGTTTAATCATGTCGTGGATTATTTCATTGGACAGGTGTTACTGATAAGAAATGGGAAGACTTGGTGGAACTTTTCAAACAAATCTGATACCGTGGAGATTTCACAGACCTCTGAGTAACTTTACCGCACCGTCAAGCGCTGTTTCTTGGAATTTTAGTTGTTTTAATGTTGAAAATAACATCAGAATAACTTCAGTGTGAGCCTGACAGCTGTGATGAAGGAAAAAGGAGGACTAACAACACTCCTCTAAGTTTGAGAGGGTTTTCAATTCTGTCGATCTCACCTCAATGTTTGACAAGAATTAAAGAAGTCAACATGAAGCTCTATATCGACTCTTTACGTCCGACTCAGCTGACACTACTTCCCTGTTTCATCCACATTACATATCAGTCAGGAAGGAAGCTGACATTACTGAGTGAGCACATACCCGCCCCTGTGAACCACAACAGGGTCTTGTAAAGAGACAAAGCTCCATGTAAGGATGAAGTAACCTTTGCACAAGTTTAACAAACTCTGACTTTGTCTGTGAAACACAAAAGATGGTTAGAGTGAAATTCTTTACGTTGAAATAATCTCCATTTTCTGATTATACCTAAATATGTATAATCTGAGTCGTATTGACCAATCCGTCAGTCTGTATGGAGAGCAAAAGCAGAACAACATCCTCCATACTGACACCCCGGCCCCCTCTGTGGTCATCTCAATCGACTCCAAGTTGAGTTGCAAAAGCCAGTCAATGGTTTGATTTCCCAACTTTCTGGAATGCAGCAGGAAGGATGGATCTGACCTCAGTTCAACAAGGAAGCTTGTTAAAAGTGGTTTCTGTCTGAACACAGTATGATAACCTTATATCACAAAAATATCACGGTTTTAAGATTAGTGCTTTAAAATGGGTTTTTATGAAATTTCTGGTAATCTAGGAAGAAAAACAACGATTAGGTTCATCATCCGTCAGATTTCCAGGGATTGTAAAACAACACGAAACAAATCTCTGTCTGCACTCTGCATTTTGCAGGCTGCATGTCATCCATCAAGTTAAAACACACTGCTATCATAAATATATATATTCATTCCCCGGATATCTGAAGATACACACTGCGGTCATCTGTATCTTGATGTGTGTTGTCTTAAAGGTCTCTCTGTGTTGTGGGTAACGGGCGGACTAAAGTTTCTCATGGATTTATGTTTCCTTAATCAACACCAACACAGCAAGACAGTTAAAAAACACCCAGATTCTCTCTCTCTCAGGTTTCCTGAACAACAGCAGCAGGTAGGGACTTAAATTACGCCTGAGGCTGAGGGGCTCTGAAGGGCGGCTGAAACGTTACACCTCTCAGAGTGATTATATTGTTGTGAGTGATCATTAAATAACACAAACAGGAGAACGGACGATAAAACTCACTAAAGCCCTGAAGAGTGGAGCAGAATTATTTCCGTATGCTTCAGTGTATTGGGATTTCATTAAGGTCACATATTAACTAAATAGAGGAAAAGCTGAATGGGATCTGGTGTGCTGACTTTACCTCCTGCATGCAGCACTGACGTCATGATGGAGGGCACCCAGGACGTCTCGCTGTTGGTGGCGTGAAACTCATTCTGCAGGTCCGTGTAAAAGATCCCCACGCAGGAGGGGAAGGCCAGGGTCAGGGCCAGGACTAAGATGGTGGCAACCAGCACCACCCATCCCCATCCGCCGTCCGGCGCCGTGACTACTCCTGGTCCAGCCGTGGAGTGTCTGGGTTCGCTGCTGTGCCCCGCCTCCTCAGAGTCACAGTCATTTGCCTCCTGAACTTTATCGAGCTCCATCCCGTTGGCCTGCTCCAGGACCCTGGAGGCCTCTGGGTGGAGGCAGCGTTCTCTCGTCCCTCTGATTCCATTTCTCTGAGTCATTTTCTGTTCCACAGTTCAGGGAAGGCTCTGCAGGTTGTGTTCGCGCTCCTGCCGTCCATGTCACTGAGGCTGCAGCGACCTACAGGGCAGAGAGGCATTCAAATCAGGTGGAGGGTATGTTTGTGCAGACATTCATGTTCCCCAGGAGATAAACTGTAATCTCTTTACAATCCCTTCATATTTCTGTTTGCATCTCCTCTCAGCTGCAGCTCTACCTCGACTTTTAATGTTTATTTCATGGTTATACGGTGCTGAAGGAAGAGGCATTCGAGTTTAGCCTCTTAGCGTTCGTCTGAGTTATTTATAGCACTCTTCATTTACATCTGCGTTCAGACATTAGGTTGTGTGTATACCTCTACAGTGGCCCTAAATGATAACTGCACAAACATTCACTAAACGGCAAAACATTTCAATATCAACAAAAATACGTCATCAAACGAAAACATTTAACGACAGAAACATTAACTTTACAAATACAAAAACATATTTTGTTAAACATGAATAATTTCAGGAAAATATCAAACCGTTAAAAAAAAAAAGCTGAAATAAAAGACAATCCCAAAATGAAAAGCATTTTCATTTTACAAACAAAAGGAACCCCAAAAAAATTTAAGAAAATGAATTAAAAAAAAAAAAAACAGAAAAAAATCAAAAACTTTTACCATAAACACAATCAATTTTACAAAACACAAAAATAATTCATGTAAATTATAAATCCTTATAAGGAATTAAAAAATATAAAAATTTTAATGGAGAAGGCAAAACCATTTCTTTAGAGTTAAAATTTTTTAGTCTTTTTAAACAAAATGCAAAAAAAAAAACATGAAAAATAAAAAAACTTTTTACATAAACACAATCAATTTTATAAACACAAAAATACTTATTGTAAATTATAAATCATTCCAAGGAATCAAAAAATATTCGATTTTTTTTTAATTGAGAAGGCAAAACGATTACTTTATAGAGAGAAAATTATTTAGTCTTTAAAAAAAAAGTAATTAAGAAATATCAACAACTTTCCCCAAACACAGAATAATTTTTACAAAAAATCAAACCGTTTAACGAAAATGCAAAACTATCTCATGAAAATGAAAGACCATTTTATAAAATATAGAAACTCTTCATTTAACAGGTCCTTCATTATAAACTGTTCCCCATTCATAAAGGTGACTGCAGAGAGCGCTCATATTAAACAGAGAGTGAATATCGACATCCAGATCTATGTGAGAGAAGCTTTGAAGGAGTTTTAAAATGAGTCTTAACAGCCTGAACACGACATGCGACATTCAAACGTGTCTCCATGTTGACTCTGAGAAATCAGCAGATGGTCAGCAAACCTCAGGACTTTACTGATAGTGTTGATCAATAGTAAACAGGACAACGTAATCCTGCTCTCTAAAACCAGAACACAAACTTGGTTACCCCGGTGCAGGATTTACACAGGTTGACACAATCAGCTCATTTCCGGTGCTCCAAATTACAGTAATCCAAACAAAATGCATCCTGAGCTCAAGAGAGACCTAATCTTGGCCCTGCTCCTGGACTGGCACACGGTAGTGGACTTTAGTATGTGACTAACATGTTTAGAGAAACTTAAAGAGTGTCAGTCTTGAAGCACCAGAAGACCCTTTTCAGTCTGAGGGTCCTGCAGCAGCTCGTTTCCTGCAGGAGCCTCGGGGCTGATGGTCTTTGTGAGCAGTAAGAGTCAGAAACCACTTCAGGTGACTTAAAGTCAGCAGGTCAATCTGAGGGGGAGTTCACAAAGGAGAGGTCTGATGGGTTTACTGACAAATACTGTAAGCCTGCGCGGGAGGAAAGTTAATCTTGCCAGTGTGAGACCAACATGCACGTGTGAAAATCCTTGAATAAAAAGCCCTCTGTGCTAAACGTCCAATGGGATTTCACCAGGAGAGGCTCTGGTTAATATTTCCAGATGTACCGACTGCTGAGAGAAAGAAACACTTCATGAGATTACGCTGCTGAGAACACAAACGCTTCAGGACGCTTTTCACAACTCATGTGGCAAAGCACCAGACTCACATGCAAACTCTGACCTCTGAACTCAAAACCTCATGCAGACTTGGACACACACTTAGATCTCCAAGGGTTTTTACTTTCTGACCGTTTATGTGGAAATTCATGGTGTGATAAACAGTCAAATTCTACTCTGTTCATCATAACCAGGGTGTGCACCAACATCCTGATACTTTAGGGTGGCAATGAACTGGAATAGTTATTTTCACTGAGTCTGGTTGGCTGTAAAATGCATGAAACAACAAAAACCTGTCGACAGAGAAGTCCCGCTGTTTGCCTCTGTTTCCAGTCTTTACTCTATGATAGGATAACAACCTCCAGCCTGTAGTCTCATCTTTTTGTGTTTTGTTTTTAAAAACGTGTGTCAGGAACTTTGAGAACCGTTCATTGAACATGTTTGGAAATACACAAACACTTCGCACTGCAAAAAAGTAATTTCAAGAAAGGAAAACAGCCCTGTATTAAGGAAATAAGTCTTATTTTTGTCTTATCAAGCATGTTTGGAAAAATTATCTAATCTTAAGAGAAAATGGCTAACTTATTCTTGATAAGACATTCCGGCTAATTTTGAGATAGAATGAACCAGAAATACAGTAGAAAAATGTTTTACAATAGAATCCAGTGGAGCAACAAGATCATTCGTCTTATTTTAAGAGGAAGACATATGTACAACTTCTCAATTTAAGAATGTCATGAAACAAGAACAGTTGACTTTTTTTGATTAAGATTTTCATTGCGGGTCATCTAAACCTGACAGAATCTGCTGCCTCATACATTATCTGTAGGGCCCGACCGATTTATAGGTGAGCCGATTAAATCGGCAATTTTAGCCAGTTTGAGACTAATCGGTAATCGGCCAAAACTCGCCAATTTTCGCCGATATTTTCAGAAATAAAATGCAGAGAATAAGATTCGGTTTCACTTTGAAAATGTTCCGCTATTTGAAAAGTTCCCCGACTTATCCTGTAGATGGCGCAGCGACCTCATGACAATCTTCATCCATAACTACCTCACAGCATGGGGAGGCACCGATCGGCAGGGGATGGGGGACAGATTTTCTGTCTAGTTTTAAGTTTCATTTGAGTCTGATTATTTGATTGAATATGAGAATATTTCGCTTTTTTCTAGTAGGGCTGTTTTTGCAGTGCGGCCTTTACATGATCTGGACTAGTTCTTGGTTTGTACCAAGTTACTTCCTGGAGTGTTGAACAACAAAGACCCGTGGATCAGTAATCACTGAGGTTTTACCATTTTCACTTTCAGATAGAGAAGCAGTCTTTGAGTTTAACTTGACGATTAAACTCCCATCTACAGCTTCATGTTTACCGTACAGATGCAGATTTGTCAGACTTTAAAAAAACTGAGTGTAAGTGCCAGGTAGGGGTGGACTAGTGTCCGGCTAGAACCAGTTACTTCCTGGAGGCTGGACTGGTTTAACTACTTTAACTCAGTTAATTACTGAGCTTTTTAGAGGCTTTAAGACTATTTTAGTCCAAGCCAGTTGACACCTAATGTTTCCGGTTTTTGGTTCATAACTGAGGCTGGTTATGAACTGGACTACTAAGTTCATTATACAACCAAAACCTCTATGAGAGATTCAGGGTTTCGTAACTAGTCTGGGTCCGCTCAGGTGACCATTTGTCATCTGTTTTATTACCCCTGAAACCAGCATAAGCATGATACAGCTTTTCTGTGACGATTAATAAACCGCCAGACAGTCATATCATGATACATCTCAACATCTGATCAACTGAGGGACAGGGGATGCCCGTAAAAGGTGAAGCTCAGGATTGATGTCAACACGGCTCCCATGATGATTCATTAAGCTGTGATGCAATAAATCAGACTGGGAGGAAAATCTGTTTGAGCATCATATCGGACATTGTTCAACTAAGATATTGATCCCACTGCAATATTGAAGTTTTTTCCAACCTCTATTGTGGACAGAGAATACCTCCATTTCCAGTCTTGGTGCTAAGCTAGGAAAACAAACCCCAGCCTGTTTCCTAATTTCCTGTTTCCTCCATGTTTAAAGGTCTCCCTGCGTGGATGACACAGACTGTAGAGTCCGGAAAAACTTTAAGAAAAATGTCAGGTGTTGAGGTCTCCACCTTGTGCTCGGGAGCGGCACGAAACCATGAAAACAACAATGAAGCAAAGTCCACAGAGACAGGACGGCTCGTCTGGGGCGGTGTGCTGTTTTATCCCTGATACTATCCAGAGTTTGTGACAGATCAGTGAGCCTCGCATATCTCTGCCATCTCAGCCACCATCCAGCCCTGACATCCTGTTTTTCTTCTGCACTCTTTCCTGCAGCAGTCATGTCTCTACTCGAAAAAAAATCAATGAATGTTTGTAACCCTAGAACGCTAAACAAACATGTTTACGTGATTTTTATTATGTTGCGTTTGTCTGAATATCACGGGCCCCTGGGTAGCTTCAGCATTGCCTTTGACATCTTTGAAGGCATGTTTGTTTCCCTGATCCAAGACCTGATCCAATAGAGGGTAAAGTAGGTTTGGGTGGATTTGATAGCTGCATGTAGAGGATAAGGTCAGTAAGAGTGGTCCTGGAATTTGCATGCTATCTTTATTTAGCAAAGTGGTTATGAATAACTATCACAAAGCTGTGATTTTTAAGAGAATTCATATGGTGATAAGAAATTTTTTAGTCAGCTGGTCATTTTTACTCACTCAAAATCTGCCATATTTTGGCTCTCTCTCCTGCAGCTGTTGTTGTTGTTGTTCAAAGGACCCTGAGTCTTAACCAGGGAAGACCATACACTGTATAAACTATATTCAGTCTATGGGGAAGACTCACATGCCCCAGTAAATGGGTGGAAAAGAAACTAAGTTTATTTTTTCAGTTTCATTTTTATATGGTCCCCTCATGGCACTTTTCCCCTCCCTTTGGACATTACACAGTTAAAAATAAAAGAAAACTACTTTAATTTGTCATGTTTTGTCCTATTTTGATATATTTTGTTGACAAGTACTTTTTCTTGGGTATATTATTTCGTGTAAAAATCATCCTGCGATAGTGATGGTGTTACTAATTTTAGCGATAGTGATCTATTGCGGTGGTTCTCAACTGGTGGGTTCCGATCCAGAAGTGGGTCCATCGTGGTTATGGATCAAAAAAGTAAATATTCAATGCGCATCTCAATTCATTATGAAAAATAGCTTATTTTGTGCAATTTGATATTCAATATTTTCTGTATAAGTAACTTCAGTAGTTGTCCTCTGTTCATGTGCTCTGAAATGCACTTTACTCAATAAAAATTGTGTATTTATGGTAAAGATTTGAGTCTTTAAAGGTTTTTTTTTTTATTTGCTTGGTTTGAATTTGATAAGGACCATGGGGAAATGTGTGTCCCACAGTGAGACCAGTTAAGAACCTCTGATCTAGGAGGGTTAAAGTTGTTTTAAAGCAGGAGTGGGATCTGTAAATAAACCCATTTTCATTGACAAACACAAGTGATGCTGGGCAGCTGCTGTGGGACAGCCCATGGAGAGATGAGATCCAGACTGTCATGATCAGACAGTAGACTTTGATCATTGGTACCACCGTCCTGAGCTCACCTTTATCATATTGAAATATTTACTATTTCCATGTCGAGCTGCAGTCTTTACAGCAGCTTCATCCACGTGGGACGCGTTTGTGTCTGAAAACCCCTCAAAATACGAGCTTTAACTCCAGATACCTTCACAACCCGTTTTTAGTAACACTAGCTTTAACACTGTAGCTATAAAAAGGTAAATATCGCTCAATTCTTCCTTCTTTTGTTTACATTGGTCTGACATTTAAAAACAGGCGAGTGACCATCACTGGCTCCACACTTTGGCAGCAATGAGGAAGCGAATGTTTCAGCTGATTTCCTCTCTTTCTCTAACGTGAATTTCAAGATATATTCATCGAAAATGAATAAATACCTCTTTAAAATGTTGATAGTGGTCGTCCAGCCTCCCCCTTCACAGGCGCGGTCGCTCCTCAATGACAGCCGAGCAGCAGCGGCCGCAGTCCGGGGAGGTCTGCTCCGGTGCTCGTCGCGGGGCTCCGGCAGCCTCCGTGCTCCCGCCCGCTGGGGGAGGAGACTGATATGGCCGCCTGCGAGGGTCGGGATGCGGGCTGTGCAGGCCCCAGCCCATCCCAGCCAAACCCAGCAGCCCTGCGGTGCCACACACAGGCGGGATAGATAGAGGTGCTGGAAAAGACCCAGGACATAATGGAGGACACAATGTACAGAGAGTGGGCCGGAGCTGTGGGTCTGATTGAAAGGAGATGTTTCATGGAAGTAAACAGAGAAGAGTCTGTGTGCAGAGGCAGGGCTGTGCTCAAACACCAACACACTTTCAGACATACTTTAACTCAACTATTTCCAGCTGTTAACTTCTATTTGTATTCACCTTTTCACTCATTAATCCAAATACTGAATAATATCCTTTCAATGAAATGCCTCCTCCAAATATTATTGGCTAAAGTAGGGGAGAGTGGGGTAAGTTGAGCCAAGGGGTAAGTTGAGCCTGCCCCTGTTGCTTGGGAATAGGAAATTGATCATGTGACCAAATGTTTAGGAGATGGGCATCAATCATAGCCTGTATATACTACTGACAATTTGGTTTCGCCTTCTGCCAGTATACGTATTTGAAGCCGAAAAGCTCTCGGTAATTCTGCATTTTTTCTCTATTTCCTGAAACCAACATTGCGCAGTAGCGTTGTGTGCACTCCACCACTTGCGCGGTAGCATTGTACGCATTCGGCGGGAGAGTCGCTGTGATGACGCTCGGCTCGAACAGCATATCCCCCAGGTGCGATATGTTTTTTTGTAGGACGGTAGGGGAAAGTCCCGCCTCTGATTGGCTAGAAAAGCTGGCAATGTCATCACACGCTTGAGCCAAACGCAGGCTGTCAGCTCTGTACATCGAACGGCCTGTACATCTATGGTCAACTTACCCCATACTCAGGGTAAGTTGACCATAGGGGACCACTTTTTTTTTTGCATGCTATATTATCAAGACAGTTCTGTTTACACTCATTCTGTTGGTTTGCAGGGATGAACATCTTCAAATATCTGCAGATACACTAGTTAGAGACAAAACTATGATTGAATTGATGAAGCGATCTGAAATATGAAAAATGGCTCATCTTACCCCATCCTCCCCTACTCATTTTAAAGTCATTTCCACATTTCATCATGTCAATACATCTATAAAGGAAACAACAGACAGTAAAAACATGGACACTCTTCAGAATAATAAAGAAAATAAACACTAATAAAGCATAAAGACATTCATTTAGTTTTTATGTTTTTATGTTTGAAGCTTCTCGGCTCCAAAATAGCCGACTAAGAGCAGCTCTGTCACCTAGCTTATAAATAAGTCACGTGTCTAAAAGCAGCTTCTCCTCACCTTGTATGAACTTCCAAGCACACAATAAAACACACTATCTACAACAAACATGGTTACTTATTATGGCTGAGCAATAGCTCTCAATGAAAAGGGCAATTTCACATCATTTGTCCTTCTCCATGATTTGACACCTTTTCCATTTTTACACTTAAATAAATACATAAATAAATACACTATAAAGAGGAGGGTTTTTTTTTTTTACCTCAAGGATGTCTCAGTTCTGCTGACCTCCAGTGGTTTGGAGTCTCATCATGCTGCACTGATGCACAGGTGATCTTAAGTTTGCACAATTTGCAAACTATATATTGTGGATATGACCAGAAGTGGACAGTACTTATCTTGTTTTTCTTTTTTTTTTTAAGTATCTATACTTAACTTTAATATTATTTTGGGGGGAAACATTGCTACGACTCTGCTTCATTTAATGGATAAACTTTCGGCTCATACTAATTTCTATGAATGTTCTTGTTTCCAGCTTCTTTTATTTTGAAGTCAGCAGGTAAGTATTCCTGACTAAAATCAGATCTGTGTTTGTGTAGCTCTGCTTGTGGTTTGTCTGAGTGGTGTTGTCATACCTGTACGTCACTCATCTCCATGGCTGAATGTAGAGCAAACAAAGCCCTAACACCAGACAAACATCACCTCAGATCAGGCGGTTCATTTAGTGGTGGTGATGATGGCAACAGCAGAGAGGGATGATAATCCACCACCCGAGTGAGCGCCCATGACCATCATGTATGTGGTGTTTAAATATGTGGCTAAATGTTTGTTTTATTCCACATAAACATTTCAAACAAAGCTCTCTGTGCTTCTACTCTTGGCTGTTCCTGTTTTTGATTTTACTATTATAAAGCTGTGAATCTATAACATGTGACTCTAAAAATGTAAATATTTTCTGAATAAACTTGATTTAGCAGAATAAACATTATAAACTCTTGCCTGCAATCGTGCATCGTGGAAACTTTTTGGGATTTTTAGTTTAAATACTTAAAGCTCCAGGGAGGAACTTTTGGATTGTGTTGATTTTGGCGCCCCCTGTGGACAAAGTACTCTTGTGCCTTTTAACGCAAACATTTTCAGAGTTTTAACAGTCAAGTGCATCATTCGTCATTAAAAAAAAGGACTCGGCTGACACCTACCCCCCTTTTGCACATGATTCAGGCATAAAAAATGACAATAAACAAACAGTAAGTTTTGACCCTGATTGTCTTGTTTGTTTTTGGATATCATGAGAAAGTATCAATGTGAATTTCAGACTATTTCATGAATGTCAAAAAACTCCTCACAGGAGCTTTAAAAGCAAGTATTCCAGTGTTTAACTCAAAATGACTGAATAACTTTCACTTATGTTAACCTATATTTGATCAGGAGTGTCACTGAAGTTATTCGTTTTTACTGGTTTGGTAAGTTGAGCTACTTTTAATGTTCAGCTTTGTGGTTGCAGAAGAAAAATGACAAAAAGTAAAAACAAAATGAAGTTTTCTTTTGAGATGTAACTTAAAAAGTCAAATCAAAACAGAAAGCACATGTTAGTTTCTTGTCTGAGTGTTAATCACATGTTCAAAAACTCATGTGCACACGGCGGTATTCATTGTGAAACTGTGTCACATGATACTAAAACAAACTTTTTCTTTGTTAAAACCTGACCAACAGTTTCTTAGAATGCCTCCATCGGCAGATATTTTGGTGATGTGCAGGAATTATCTTCCCTGAATAAGAGGTTGCGTCATTTCGGAAATGCTTGTGTAGATTTTCAATAAAAACACAATTCAACATCAATAAAATCGGTATTTTTGGAGCTTTTTGTCCTTTAAAACAGTGAGGAATTAAAATAAGAATCACAAAGAGTGCTTTAGTGTTGACTTCGCTCATCGTGTTGTGATTCGAAAAGCAGCAGAGCCAATAAAAAGCCCGTGAGCCACACGTTAAAACACGGACACATTTTATGATTAAAAACCAGACAGGTTTCGTTAAAATTGTTACATGTAAAGAAACAACATTTGGTAGACAAAATTCCAAAATATAAAATAAATAAAAGTGAAACAAACAATCGGACAAAATGCTTTGTCAGCTTCCAAACATTTCCCCATTGACGATATTCACATTTGACATCAATACTGTTGATAAATGAACACAAAGTAACTGTTAATAGGTGACATTTTCAATACGTCTAAATGAGTGTACAAGTGTGCATGTCCACAAACGCATGCAGGTGTTTACAGAGTAACTGGCAAAATGATTCATGTCTTCAAAATCGTTCTTTTGTGAGTTTTTCCTGCAGGTAAATGCTGTTTAAACCACGGTTAGAGGGGCGGGGAGGCGGGGGGGAATCTGCAGTCTGATTGGTTGGTTGATTAGCATTCAAAGCTAGCTCTTGATTAGCGACGATTCGAAAAACAACAAACGAAACAGAAGGTGCGAGTGGAGAAAATGACGACTTGTAGACCAACTGTTCCACACATTGAATCTACACCTACACACCACAGAGCCATGCCGTCCCTCTGCTCCCCCCACCATGCATCACATACACTTTGCACTAACACAGAGGTCAGACAAAATCCAGTACACAACACCGTAATCTCTAGGATGAAAGCATGCTCTCATGTGTTCACGTGCCCAAACAAACAGAGATATATATATTTTTTTTGCAGATTTGTTAGAGTTGCACATTATTTGAAGACTTAGCTAGTGCATGTGAGAGTACAAACTCATTCTCAGTTTGCTTATAAAAGACGGGTGCTGGATTCAAACGATGATATGATCACACTGCAAAGTTCAACTCGGTCGGCGGTTCCCAACCTGAGAGGGACACTTTTTAAAAGTTGTGGCCGGTTAAAGTAAACACTGTATTTTTACACCATTCATGTGATTCTCCAAGAGGTAAAACTGTGCGGTCATTATGGACAGAGTCCTGACTTGGATCAATTCAAATCATGATTTCTCTCATTTTATTTGTTAAATCTGAGGAAATAAAACCCACAGGCTGACTAAAACATCATTAGTTTGGCAGTTAATTCAAGAAAGCTTGTTTTAGAGAGTAAACTCAGTCGCCTGTGGATCCAGATCCTCTAAAGAGAATTTTAAAACATGTACTCGAGCTTTTTCAGCCTGTAAATCCACGAAAAAAGTCCAGAGTTTACAGGAAGAAACACAGAAAGCTAATTCACGCTTAAAAAAGCGAACGCTGGGTGTCGTTAGTGTTTTTTTAATCGCTTTTTAGGCGTTTAATACTGCAAGTGGCGCCACCGGTTCATCCTCTGGCGGTCGAGTCTGTCTGAGCTAAGTCGTAGTGAACCAGTACTGAGAAATTTGACAATGGAAGACTCATATTATCGAATTTGATTTCAGGAGCTGAATCAAAAGTTTGTTTTCCCTCGTTGATGTTAAAACTTGCTTCAGAGGTCCGAACTCAGCCTCAGTCCGGGAACCGCCGACGTGAACACTGAACGATCAAGGTTAAGATAAAACTGGGTTCACAAAGGTGACAGGTATAATAAGTGCTTCAAGGTTAATTACACACATCGAAAAGTTTAATCATCAGGGATTGCTTCAGCATGCAGCTCAAGAAAGGAAAGAGGCCAAATGACGGCGAGTTTAAAGTCAGATTGATTTCTGTGATCAAGTGCACTGCTGGAGTTTTACTAAGATACAAAAGCAGAGGAGAGAAACCTGCTTCCACTGGTCTTCCTGCTTTCCTCCCATTTGATAGTGCTGGAAACACGGCGCAGAGCGTTTCAACAGCAGATTCAGACACAGGGTCGGAGTGTCGGTTGATTTAGCTCAGAGCGATGGCACAAAAACAGCTGATTTTCAGTATTTTAGGATGTATAGTAAACTCAAAAACAAAAGCAGAGGACGGTGGATTCGTTGGCTTGCCTCTCACTGAAACACGAACAATACAAACCGAGCTAAAGATCGCATTTAACGTTATACCTCAGGGACGGGCCTCCTGGCTTTTTTAAGGTACTGGAGGCACCTCATGATAAATAGGGGAGAACAACTGTGCACAACACAGGTCAAAGGCACAACACCGGACACAGACGAAGGGAAACAACACCCAAGGTGCTTTGCAAAGGCCCAGAGAACAACAAGGGAGAAAAGAAGTGCTCCTCGGTGACACGTTTGGGCGTTTTCAGCAGCTCACGGTCTGCTTCACGAGTCAGATTAGCAGAATGTTACTGCACAAAACACAGTCGAGAGGAAGAGCGACAAAGTAAACAACAAAGAAGAAGAAGAAGAAGAAGAAGAAGTCACATCAAAGTTTGAGCTCTGAGGCCTGACTGAACACGACCAGGGAGCATGACAACAGCAAAGGTACAGTTTTTCTCTGCATTCTTTTTGTTCATGCATGATATAACTAAACTTTATACAACATGACAGAGTTTCTGACACCGCCGTCACTTTCAGGAGGCAGTGATCGAAATGTGAGTTCAGTCTGAGCAGCGGGCGCGATGAAATGTTCGAGTTCTTCATCTGATACGTTAGGATGCGGCTCAAACTTTGCATTAGGTTGCTCGTAGGAAAAGGCCGCTCACGCCTGTAACAACATTTTGACTGCACTTATCAACACTGTGAGGAGAAGTGGGAACCGTTTGTGAAGAGAAGGAGATTCATGTCGCTGATTTAATCTGGATATTAAAGCTCCTGTGAGGAATTCTGACTGTGAGGCTCATTCATGCAAAAGTAGAGTTTGTTTTTTTTTTAATGAAAGAGGTCATCCTGCTTTCTATCCAGAGCCGAGCGTCTCACTCTTTTAAATGTTCTGACATAAGAAAAAAAAACGTCTGTATTGGCGATTGTTTTGATTTGACACCTACCCTGTGGCAGCGAACCAGGGCTTTAAAAACAAGTGAACTGAACTAATCGAATGTTGTCTCCAATGGTCTTGTTTGATTTTGCACATCATAGCTGAGACACCAGTATTAATTTCAGTCTGTTTCATTACCAGCCAAAAATCCTTACTAGAGCTTTAATTTGCAAACATCTGTACTTGGACTAAGCAGATGTTTTGCTGCTTTTTTAACCGTATGGGTTTCTTCAATTTGACTTGAACAGTTTTATCTTTAAATGTCTGTTTATCTTTTATCTTGATGTTGTTTCTCACATATTAAAAAACAAAATAACTCCATACAATCGACATAATTTAAGGTTTTGATTTCCTGGCTGCTGGTTGATAGATCTGATCAATTTGAGAACATCACTGTTGGAGTTCGAAAATTAGAATTTTGTGCCTATTTTCTGACATGACAGACCAACTAGTTCACCGATTAATCTAAAAACGAGTCAATATCAATATCAATAAAAACAACTGTTAGTTGATGCCTTTGAGTTGGGTAACTTCTGGGCTTACAACTGCTGATGTTTGTTAATGTATTAACCAACTTGTCAACACGGTAAAAAGGTTAAACTTTCACATTAGTTTTGATCTAAAATGATAGAAATCAGAGAAAAGCAAAGACAGCTGCAGACGGATGGCAGTGACTTTTAGCAGTTTAAAACTCTTCTTTTTGATAAATGCACATTTTAAATACGAGCCAATCTCCTCCTCTATGTTTCCTAAGTCTTGTGCACGTAACTTCAAAACGTATTCATGCACATTCAGGCTGATAATCTTTTTTCCAAACAATAATTTCAGATTAACAGGATGAAAACCCGTCTAGGAATCTGCCTGTTTGGTCCAATGTTGTTACAAGCGTGAAGAGCGGCTCTCCCAAAGCAACTTAATGTGGAGGATATTTCAAAAGAAGCACACCTCAGCCAAGCTGATACCAATGTACTGGCACAAAAAGCAACGTCTGAAATAAAAGCTTCAGGCTGAAGCTCGGAGAGATGGAAACATATCTGCTGGCAGGTTTACTTTATGTCACTTCCTATGATAATGTAATCTCATATATGTGTGTGTTTGTGTGTGTGTGTGTGTGTTGGGGTGAAAGGAGTACAAGTCAGCTTTGCCAAAGTTGCTACAAGTGCTGCACAATGAAAGAAAACACAGTTATCTGGGCGTTTAAGTGAGGAGTGGCAACGGAGGCAGCTGCAAAGTGACGATTACTGGCGTGAGAGCAGCGTAAGAGAGAGAAAGAGAAAGAGAGAGAGAGAGAGAGAGAGAGAGAGAGAGAGAGAGAGGATGGATTCAGGTGTTTGAGGCAGCATCCAAACTGGCCAGAACCGCCACGCCTGCGTTTCTGCGTACACGGCGGGTTCAAGGGTTCATTTTCCTCTTTTCCGATTACAATTTTAAGATATGCACGATCTGAAAGTAGGATATTTAAGAGAAAAATATTGACGATATCTGGAGGTCTTTGAGGAACATGACACAAAAACGTGCAGCTGTGATATTTCAGTCATGGACAGAAAGCAGAGAGGCACTGCAAACGCAAACTCACATCCATGACACCGAGCCGGAAACCTTCCACAAAATGAAAAATATGATATTTCTCTGTCCTTTAAATAGACTCACCCACCAGAATATGTAAATATATGACAACTATGATACAGAAACCAATAATTACACCATTTGCATTCGATTTTTCATATAATTTCAATGTGTAGCCTATATAGATTTATATAGATTCCTCACATGCCTTGACAAATTGTACACAGATGAAGTCTTTTTGAGTCTTCTGTTTTCTTTTGCACGGAAATATCCCAAATTTTTCTCCCTGGGAGGATCCGCCAGGTCGAGCCCCAAAAGCGGGAAACAGGAGGAGTGCAGAACCGAGTCCACGCGTGTGTTCGATGTTTGTTTCTTGTTTTTAAAGACTCAAAGTGGAAGAAACGCTGCACCAGACTGGCTCAAACGCAAGCGGTCGGACTCCGCTCCTGGCTCGGTTTAAAGCGATGCGATTTACCTCAGGCGTCAGCCGAGGATTCCGGGAGTGCAGCGAGGGAGGCGGCTGGCGTGGATGCTCCCTCATAAAGAAAGAAGCTCTGTCAGAGGAGTTGTGTTCGTTCCTTTATGTCCTGTGAGAGTCCTGAGGAGATTTCTGCTGAGTTGACAGAGCCAAATGTATCGTAGAGAGAAAACGTATCCTGTCGGTTAAAAGCGATTCTGATAACGATGAAGATGATTCGGAGTAACTTTGTGCTGGATATCCACCACTGATGATAACAGGGGGCTTCGATCAGCACCTTCTCCTGCACCGTATCAACACTGACCATCAAAAAGCTGCAGAGAAATAAACCTCTCACTTGTGATTCCTTTTTAAAATCCCCCTGAAGTGTCCCACAGACTGCGATGGAGGAGAGCAAACGAGGAGACGGGTCAGGGTCGGGTCGCAGCTCTGGAGGAAGAGGAGGAGAAGAAGAGGAGGAGGAAGGGGCGTTGGGGAGCCGCCGCTGTGGAAAGGCACACCAGAGGAGAAGGGGCGGTGGATAAGGAGGAGGAGGATGATGATGATGGTGGTGATAAAACCAGCTGATGAAAACTGGAGGAAATGTTCTTGTTATTGTTTGCTGTTGTTGATAAAGTGTGTTGAAGCTCCGGCTCCAGGTCTCCTCACATCCGAGATCCTCGCTCCTGAAGGATCTGTGAGGAAAAGAGAGAAAAACAACCTTTGGCACAGTGTGGAAAAACCTCTTCCTTTTAACAGCTGTAGTTTTTTTTATTGAAAACCTCACTCAGAGGAAAAGCTGCACTTGTTCTCAGTCGTGGATTAATCCCCATTTAGGACTCCGGTTCAGAGACCAGAGTAAGAGATTAAAGTCAAAGTATTCAGGCTTCAGATAAACAGATAATGCAACCCTGATTCCTCTGAGTTCAGATGCTGTTTCAAAATTCTTTAAAGACTCTGTTGGATTGAAAACAAAGTAAAGACGACATAAAAACAGCTCTCTGAAGTTACAATAAAGCAGGGATTCCCGGGATCGTGTTCCTGAGCATAAAATTACACCGATTTGAGGTTTTCATCATCTACAGTTGCATTACATCATTACACTAGTGTCCACAGCATAGATAGTTTACACCTCTGTGAGGGCTCCATTAATGCTGAACAATATCTACAGGCTGAGGAGCAACATCTGCTGCCATCCAGACAAAGACTTTTTTAGGGAAGACCTTCAACAGTATAGCTCTGCAGAAGAGGAGTCCTGCTGCTGGACTGGCCTGTTTGCAGTTCTGAGACGTCACCCATATATATTTATATATCTGGTGCATCACGACGCACAAATTACAGCAAAGGAGACTCCAAACTGTTGAGCAGCAACATGGGGCAACATTTGACTTTCCACTCAGCAGGTTAAGTCTCCTCAGTTCCCGGACATTAAAGAGGTAGTGCAGCACAACAGTAAACATGTTCCTGTCCCAACTGTTTGAAACATGTCACAATGTTGTTTTTTGCTCTAATATCAGTCAAATACAGGGTTTCAATGATCCCAAAACCACCACCGTCTCTCTTGGTGGGTTGGTTTTTATTCGTGGTTGTTGTTTTTATTTAAAAGACTCGTGTTCTCTCACCTTGGCCTTCTCGGTGGGCTCGATGACGATGCCGTTGGTGGAGTTGTTGAGTTCCCGGGAAACCACACATAGAAACTCCGCCTGGTCCTCGTTTCCGTAGTTATAAGACGAGCCGATGCTTATAAGCTGTGGAAAAGACATTGTAAGGTTGTTGTTATTTAAGAATTTTTTTCTTGATTTATATCCAGATACAAAAGAATCCTCGAGTTAATCTCTTAATCTGCTAAAATAATCATTAGCAGCGACCTCAAATATCAAATCTGCGAGTCCTTTATCAGAGTCTCATTTCAGTCCAGCCCACCCAGAGCACATATTTGAGTCTGATACCCAGCCTGCTTACACATATCTGTGTTTTTGGCTTTCTTCATAAATATCTTATACAGATCTGGGTCATGGTTCCGGCTCTCCTCTAAACAGAAACAGCTCTGGAGTCGCTTAAACAAGAACAAAAACAAAGACCATGAAAAGCTTCATTTTCTGCACCTGCTCAAACTTCCAACCGTCCGACATGGTGGAGACCATCTGTGTGAGCTCCTCCTCTTGGCACTGTAGTACTCGGTACACGTGCTTCACGGGGCCCTGAGGGACATGAACAAAACCGCATCAATGATCTGCACAAACATAGATAAAAAAAAACTATTTTGGTTCTGTTTGTCCCAGAAGAAGTCTTGGTTTCTGTACCTGGGAGGTCCGGTTTTCGTTGTCCCGTATCCTTTCTTTGACGAGCCTCACGAGAGACGCGATGTTGTAAAACTCAGCTTCCTCCAGAACACCTGACGTGAAAAAAGACCACCAGACTTCATTTACGGGTCTCTGGAGATTAAAGCGTTTTTTTTTTCACTGACAGATAAGACTCAGAATCTGAATCTTTACCTTCCTCAGCCAGATTCTTGTCCATGATCAGTTTTCCGTGCCGCAGGTAGTTCAGGATAGGGCCGAAATATGTGGGGTCCCTGTCGATCAGGTAGGCGCCTGTCTCATCCTGCAGGAACAAAAGGGAGTGGAGGTTTTGAAGGGGGACTGGTTTGAGTTAGTAATATGTGTTTTGGCTTTACAAACAGCTGTCACGATGATGATGATGATGATGATGATGATGATGATGATGCTACTTGTGTGGGCAAATACATCTAATGTTAAACTGTGACTGTAAAAGTCCTGCTGGTTGTTCTTCTATCTGGTTCACCATGCATCGATTTTTTAGAAGTTTTTGAAATACTAAAACTTGTATTTTTCTGGTTGATCTGTGTCGATTTTTTCCTCAACGGTGTCTTGAGCAGAAGCAGTAAACTGACACATGACGCGTTTCTACTGTAAGAACTGTGTAGGCGAGTCAGTGAAGAACCCACATCCTGAAACGTCTCGTGATTGTTACAGTCGGTGCGTTTACTGTTAGTAAGACAAGGACGACGTGACTTGAGACCGAACCGCTCTCAGTAAAGAGAGCGTCTTTTCCCGCCAAAGATCACGTCTAATTTTGTAAAATTTTGAGACTTTGTCTTTTGTTTGAAAACTGGATCCAGAGCTGGGTGATGAGCTGATGAAAGGTCACTAAACATGCAACTGTTGAGGTTATCAATTCACTCTTCAAGTTGGTTTGCAAACCTTTGTTGCTTCAAACTTTTCTGATGGAAGGTTTTGCTGTTGCCTCCATACTCCAAACTCTGGGTCTACCTTAGGACGTGCCAGGAACACCTCTACAGGGAGGCGTCCATGAGTCATCTTTAGCTCTGCTGTGTACTCCCTCCAGATGTCCAGTCTCCTGACCCTCTTACTAAAGCTCAGCCCACCCACCCTTTGGGGGAATCTCATTTCAGCTGCTTGTACCTGCGATCTTACGTCTTTAGTCACAACCCAGAGCTCACGACCATATGTTGGAATTGGAGCGCAGATTGACCGCTAAACAGTAAACAGTAAACCATGTCCTTGAGATCTTGCACATTAAAACAGGATTTCAGGATTGACTTGTGTTGCTGCAAATAGAGTTTGTGGAGTTAACAGGCTCCAAGAGTCAATTGAAGATGTTGTGGACTCTAAGGTACTGAGATGGCATCTCCTATGACTTTAGTAAGAAGCATCATCTCAGTGTTTTGATTATGAGCACGATCAAAGTATGAAATGTGACGACTGAAATGGATCGGGTTTGTGACGCCGAGACGCGGATCGCTGTTTCCAGCTCAGAGCCGGACTGCAGATCCCCTCTGAGGCAGAAGGCCTGTACCTGCTGTTAGGGATTACGATTCCCAGTTTGGTTTTGTGTAACATATTTAAATGGATTTACTATCAGCAACAGACTTTTATTAAAAGTAGAATATGACGTATTAATGTGTAAAATCCTGTGTGTTATGCTGCTATGGATTTCCATTATCAGCACAATATTATGTGTTACCAGTGTGAAAAATGCGATATCCTGTGATGTTCTGGACTTAATCGGTAGATTATTTCATATTAATGAGTAAAAATGATGTTTTATGCGGCTATGGACTTTAATAATAAGCAGAACATTCTGTATCCATGTGTAGAAAGGCTGACGGTGTTTAAAACAGTGATCATCAGTTATGTGCTTTCTGTAACATACTGTAATGGACTTTGATGATCAGCACTTTTAGGGATATGCCTCAACTTACCCCATACGCAGGGTAAGTTGACCATAGGAGACCACTTTTTTTTACATGCTATATTATCAAGACAGTTCTGTTTACACTCATTCTGTTTGTTTACAGGGATGAACAAAATCTAGAAATATCTGCAGATACACTAGTTAGAGACAAAACTATGATTGTCTTGATGTAGTGATCTGGAATATAAAAAAATGGCTCATCTTACCCCACTCTCCTCTACATGACAACAATGATAATAGTTATTTCATCATAATCATGCTTTTCAATCCTGAATAAACTATAACTATTATCTCTATTCCCAAATGCAAATTGTTTACTCGTAATTTCAATTCACACAGTTATGCCATTGAAATATTATCACTAATAACAAATATATCGATTATCGTATCGTGGGTTCAGATGCAATAACAGCCCTCAATCGAACAGCCGATCAAACAGTAAATAAACACACTAACCAGGGGGAATTATGGGCTACGTCTTCGTCTTTTACCGGCTTTGAAATGACTCAAATTACCAACTAATGAAGTCAACTCTTTCTCTGAGACTTTGTGTACTCACTTTATCAGAGTCCAGGTCCGGGTCCTCCTGACACAGTCTGAACAAGAACGATTTGGGGTCCCTGCACAGCGTCTGTTTGGTCGTGATGAAGTAGGTCCCACCGACGTTCAGCCGGACCCAGCGTGAGCCCGGCTTGTCCAACGGTTCGGACGGGGAGCTCGGGTTGCTTTTCACCGGGAACCCGAACACCGACCGCCCTCCACTGCCTCCTCCACCGCTACCGCCCGACACCCCGCCGGGGCTGAGCTGGCTGCCCCGCGGAGGAACCATAAGAGTGGGCGAAGCCAGGCGCATAGAGCCGCGGACGTCGCGGTGCTCGGGCTGATCGATGGTGCCAGTACCGCTCGGCTCCACAACATGCAGTTCAGCCATGTTTTTTTTTTCTTTTTTTTCTGCTGGTCTGGGATAAACACACGATGATCTAACGGCACACTGCGGGGAAACACTCTCTCTCAGCTGATCTGTAAACACAACGAGGAGATCTCTCTGGCATCAGGGCGTTGCTGCTCACATCGACCGTCTTCCACTCGAGCGACAACGATTAAGACACAAATGTTAATATTAAACACTGAGCGACGTTTGCAGCATCGTGTTCGACCGTTTCTTGATGAGATAAATTGCTCATTCTTGTCTATTCAAACGTTAATCAGAGAAAGCCAATTCTTCCGGGTTGTAACGTGATTACTGTTTACTTCCGCTATGTCACTGACTTTAGAAATAAAAGCACATACGGTGACATTTGGGGGATTTTATGGTTTTTATATTCAAAGCTTTTAAAACAGATAAAAATTTTAAATATCCGAGTCGAAGAATGTAATATTTTAATGTTTGGCGTCACCTCGCACTCATAATGGTTTAGGTAGTTATTGGTTCCAGGGGTGTGCCCAAACTTTCTGACCGGGGTGGCCCAGCTCATGCTCCGACAAATTCTTGGGTTCAACTAATAACAGTAGCGAATATAGAGGTGCCCAGTTAAAGGGATATACCAGTGTAAAATTAATTTAGGGTCAAACACACCATAACACAGACTCCCCCTCAAGAGATGAATGTTGCCAACTGCTTGCTTCTCTAGTTATACAACCGCATGATAGCAATACACAGCAGTGTACATCTCCACACACAAACCTCAACCAAAACGCCACTCTATAGCCACAAATAATGCTCAGAACAGCACCTAACTTCATAAACAGGACATATAGGGTCCCAGCCATAGTACTAGACACCAAACATCTTTTTAACTTTGACTCATTTCTTTAGCACAGAGACTAAACACAACTCACCTACTCTCTTCCAGCAGCTGCTTGTTTGTAGCGAGACCTCTGGGCGAGTCCATTGACTATAGCGGGGTGACGCAGCTCAAGGAAGAACATTTATGATCATTTCTTCATGGAAATGCAATCAGACTGAGACGCTAAGGCAGAAGAACTACCGCGTCTGCAAAATGATTAATATGGTGATTATTACTTCAAGGAAATGGTAAAGAAATGATCATGTGGCTTTTTTTATATTTGCATCCTTTTATTTTCGCAGTAAGTAGTGGGCTTTGGTTTCTTTTTTTTTTGCATCGGTGACTTCCGTTGACTTTTTTTTTTTTAATTCTTTTATTTGCAGCAGTGGCGGTTCTCGGCCACCGTAGTTTTATCTGTAAATAGTGCAAAAATGAACAAACTTTCTGAGTGCTGAAAGAGAACTGCAGTGTAGTGCCGTTTTTAACCTGTGCGTGGCAGTATGGCGCCTTTCCTGCGTAGACTCCAGTAACGGGAGAAGAAGAATTTGACCAGTGGTACGCGCGTTTCCTCCCTGCTCTGGTGTCTGATGTGTTGAACAATAACACAACTGACAGGTATGGTGCATTGGTCTGAGTTAGAGATGCAACGATAGTTACAATCCCTCTGTTTCTTTATTATTTATGCAGACCGAAAGGTTTAATATTGATTCAGCTAGCATCAATGGTAGCATCACTGTCTATTTCGCTCGTTCATTTCAATTGGGTTTGGACCGTTAGCTAGTTAGCGAGCTAGCATCACAAATTCGTTAGTGTAGTTTCTGCAGTCGTTGTGTGAAGTAATGCCTCTATCGCTCCGTGTAGTCACAGTTTTACTACAGGCTGTCTTTGTCAGCAACATAAGCTGTAAATTAGTTTAAATACCCGCCTTCACACCCTGAATGAAGTGTGTCGTTTCAGCCTCCGGAGTCATGAGTGAGTTCAGGATCCACCACGACGTGAACGAGCTGCTCAGTCTGCTCCATGTCCGGGGTGGAGACGGAGCAGAGGGCTACATAGACCTCCTACAGAAACACAGGACCCCCTATGTGACGACCACAGTCTCTGCTCACAGTGCAAAGGTGAGTGTCACACAGTCAGGAACATAAACATGATATCAGCGTGACAAAAAATAAATAAATATAAACTGGACTTGTTGAAAGCTTCGAGTAGGGCCTGGCAATATAGGAAAAAGGTTTATCACGATATTTTTTGTCATATCAGTCGCTTGATCCATATGAACACACTGTATGGTCAGAGGAGGATTTCAAGATGCTGCTTCCACTTAATCAAGTGCATTTGATGGTTTTGTTGTTGACACTGCACATCTGCAGTTTGTGTAGAGATCCAATGTCCTTTTGATACTTGCTGTTCGTCCACACCTTTAGGTCAAATTAGCAGAGTTCTCTAAAACCCCCGAGGACTTCTTAAGAAAGTATGAAGAGCTCAAGTCCAAAAATGTCAGAAACCTGGACCCTCTCGTCTATCTGCTCTCCAAACTCTGCGAGGATAAAGAGGTAATACGCAGTGTCTTAGCAGTTCACTTGCTGATATCACCCATCTATCACATGACCTGCAATCACAGCTTGTTCTGTTCCTGTAGATGCTCCAGTGTCTGCAGCAGAATGCCAAAGAAAGGTCAGAGTCCTCAGCAAACACAACGTCGACCACAACAACTAGTTACAGTCTGCCTCAGACCAGCACCAAGATGTCCATGCAGGAGCTGGACGAGCTGAGGAAGAAGCTCGGCAACGTGACGGCGAGCTCGAACGCTCCTTTGGTGAGCGCTCTTTACTTGGATACAGGAAATTTGATGGACAGGTTGGATCATGAAACTCTAGGATTCTTTGCAATTGGGAAACAAAGTATATATATCACCTATTCATGCATAAAACGGAGCAGATACATGACATATCTAAGTTAATGGAAGTCTTGTGTAATGACAGGTTCTTGTTGTTATAAACCCCAAATATTCACACATCTTTTACTGAAGTTTACCTTCTTTCTGAAGCTGAATCCTCTTTGGACGCTCTCTCTGTGTGATTCTTGTCTGCAGCCCGCTGAAGTCACACGGAAGATGCTGAGGGACAAACACAACAAGAAGAACCCCACTCAGCCCAATCCTGTGTTTCCTAACTGGGTGTATGAACGCCCGGCTCTCCTTGGAGACTTCATCACCAGCCCGACTCCTCCAGGAGATCCTCCTGTGGCCATCGGTAAAAACAGTCGCCGTTAAATATCTGCTGTTAGACACACTGCTGCGAGGGTCTTGAATACTAAATTTCACCTGTGCTCAGGTACGATGCCCCCAGCTGCTCAGGAACAAGCACTGGTGGAGGATCTGCTGTTTGTCCTGGTAGGAGTAGATGGGCGAGACATCACGGCTCAGCCTGTTCTCGGGAGACAGAACCGCTCCTTCATTGTGGATTCAACACTGGACATGTCTGTCAAAGAGCTGGTGAACAGGATTTTACCGGTGGCCTCGTATTACTCCACTATAACACGGTATATAATGTTTAAAATGCTACAGCTCATTTGTGCGCGAACATATTTAAGAGAAATGATTGGATGGTTTTGTGTTTGTCCTCCAGCTTCATCGAGGAGAAGTCGTCCTTCGAGTACGGTCAGGTGAACCACGCGCTCACAGCAGCCATGAGGACCCTGATGAAGGAGTACCTGATTCTGGTGACTCAGCTGGAGCACCTGCAGCGTCAGGGCCTGCTATCCCTGCAGAAGCTCTGGTTTTACATCCAGCCCACCATGAGGACCATGGAGATACTGGCCTCCATTGGTAAGAGCCTGAAAATTTGACAACAGCTTTATCTTGTCAATTCAAACTGCTCATTCTAACCACATGGGGGCGTTCTAAAATTGTTCAGCACTTTTCAGCTAAAGGGAAATTCAGACGAGAATCCTGACAAAGAACAAAACCATGAAGAGGATTTCAAACTGAAGACAAGATAAAAGCAGCTACAACAGAAGCTGAAACTTAATGAAGCACTTTTAAAATATAAGAGTAAAAGTTGTGGTTCAGTGTTGAAGTTAAACTGCAAAGAGGTGACTAACATTTAACCGAGTCCACACTATGACCCTTGTAGTGAGGCCTTATGTTAACTGCAGCTGTGTCAGTCATATCTCCTTGATCAGGTCACCCTGATTGTCCAGAAGTAATGACCTGAAGAAGAAGTAGTAACCCCCTCGTCATTGTCTTCCTCGCATTTCTTTGTTTTCATTTTCACATCATTTTGTCCCCCGGTTATGAAAAGTGTTTGTAATATCAATTATAAAGTAAACGCATGAAGGAAAAGGCCTGTGATGGATTGATCTCTTTTGAAATGGGTGTTTCCACAGCGTCCTCAGTGGACAAAGGGGAGTGTATGGGTGGCTCCACTCTGAGTCTTCTCCATGACCGAACCTTCAACTTCACCGGAGACAGCCAGGCCCAGGAGCTCTGTCTCTACCTCACCAAAGCAGCCAGCGTCCCCTACTTTGAAATACTGGAGAAGTGGATCTACAGAGGCATCATCAGAGACCCTTACAGGTACAACCTCAAAGTGATGAATCGCATCAATCTACTGCTGCCTCTGCGTTGTGTCTTTGACTACATTTACATGTGCCTGGCTATTTTCATAAACAGACATTTCACCCTCTCCGTTTACAGAAAAACTGCGAGCACACCACTACGTTTTCAGAAAAGTTTTCGTTTACACTAACATACGTATTTATGCCTTCAAGAGCATGCCAAACCTGTAGCAAGGAGCTCAAGCCCACGTTAACAACGAAGTCACTTCCTTCTTTCTGGCGCACACTCTGCCGTTGGCTACCCAAGTCTCTGTTTTCCTCGGTGTACATGCAAACAGAGTTTTCCAAAATCTTAATTTTGGCCGGAGTTTTTAAATAGCATCGTTTTCAGGGGCGGATCCTCCGTTTGCGTCTAAACAAAGGGTGAAAACGATGGTTAACGTCTCAGTTTTTAAAAAATAACCGGGTACGTCTAAACGCAGCCTTAATCTGTTTTATCTGACTGTCTGAATCCTCTCAGCGAGTTCATGGTGGAGGAGCACGAGCTGCAGAAAGAGAAAATCCAGGAGGACTACAACGACAAGTACTGGGATCAAAGATACACAATCGTACAACACCGGATTCCCTCCTTTCTACAAAAAATGGCCGACAAAATATTAAGCACAGGTAAAAATCAAACGAAGAAGGACAATTTCACGAATGTTAGTTTTCAGGAGACAGAAGATTCGACTCCTCTCTCTGTTATTTTGCAGGTAAATATCTAAACGTGGTGCGGGAGTGTGGCCGTGACGTGACGTGTCCTGATGCCAAAGAGGTTCTGTACACCCTGAAGGAGAGAGCGTACGTGGAGCAGATCGAGAAGGCTTACAACTACGCCAGCAAGGTGCTGTTGGCCTTCCTCATGGAAGAAAAGGAGCTGGTGTCCCGCCTCAGGTAAAGGACTTTTCTAGTCTTTTATAATCAGGTATGTGGTGGGTGGATGTATATTCCTGCTTCTTCGTCTAATGATGGTCATCTTTGCAAAACTCAGTCTGAATACAGAAGAAAGATGAAGGTTAAAATCTAAAATCAGAGGTCGTCTTTATTTCCTTCCTCCAGGTTTTCTTCTGGTATTTCTTTATTCCATCTCTGTGACTACAGTAACAACAAAAGCGTGTCTCCTTTGTTCTTATTAGATCGATCAAACACTACTTTTTGATGGACAAAGGGGATTTCTTTGTGCACTTCATGGACCTGACGGAGGAGGAACTAAAGAAACCGGTGGATGACATCGTTCCCCCGAGACTGGAGGCGCTCCTGGAGCTGGCTCTGAGGATGAGCACCGCCAACACCGACCCCTTCAAAGACGACCTCAAAGTACGTGGAAATGAGACCGATAGAAGAGTCTAAGTGGCGTCCTCATCTCACAGATTGACACTCCGCTTCTCTCCACAGATCGACTTGATGCCTCATGATGTCATCACTCAGCTGCTGCGAGTTTTAGCCATCGAGACCAAACAGGAGAAAGCCATCATCAACGCCGACCCCACAGACACAGCGCTCAGCGGGCTGGAGGCTTTCTCCTTCGATTACATAGTCAAATGGCCTCTATCGCTCATCATTAACAGGTTTGGCTCTGCTGTCTTTGACCTCACACAAAGAAGGACAGAAGAACCGTCACAGTCCCTGTATTGACTTACTTTAAACGTTGAAGTAACCTTAAAGATGTTTTCTGTCTTAAACAGATGTGGCTTGACTTTTGTGTTCCAGGAAAGCTTTGACCAGGTACCAGATGTTGTTCAGACACATGTTTTACTGCAAACACGTCGAGCGGCTGCTGTGCAACGTGTGGATCAGCAACAAAGACTTCAAGCTGTACTCCTTAAGATCCCCAAAGTGGTGAGATGACGAGGAACTCCTCCATAACTTGTTCTTAGATTCACAAAGCCGAACTGTCCTCACTCTGCTCTCTGTCTGCGCTCAGGTTTGCTGCGGCGTTCGCCCTCCGACAGCGCATGTTGAACTTTGTGCAGAACATCCAGTACTACATGATGTTTGAGGTGATGGAGCCCACATGGCACATCATGGAGAACAACCTGAAGACAGTGAGTGTCCTTGTTAGTCAGCAAAGTTGTTCTGTCGTGTTGTCAAAACCCAACATATGGAGTCAGAGGAAGTACATTCTTATTCTGACCCTTTTCCTTCTTCCTTCTCCAGGCGTCAAACATCGATGACGTCCTCTGCCATCACACCAGTTTTCTGGATAACTGTCTGAAGGACTGCATGCTGACCAACCCGGAGCTCCTCAGGATCTTCTCCAAACTCATGACGGTCTGCGTCAAGTTCACAAGCTGCATGCAGGTCAGTTAACAGACCACTTCGTCCAGCTGACCCTAACCCCCAATTTCCACCGCATCCGGAACGGCTACGAAAGGCCATACCTGCCGATCTCAGCTGATTGTAACCATTCAAGTTAACGTGTCAATTTCCATCGGCTTCTTTCCGTTCCGCTGCGGATCGCCGGACTCTGCAGCTGATTGCAAGAGTTCTATTTTTTCTGGACGCCAGAGCATGGCGGATAAATTCAGCACAGATTAACCCGTGCTGGAAAGGAAGTCAGGCACAGACACAAAATAAAACATCCGGCTTCTTTTCAAAATAAAACACTCCGTATTTCACACCATGCAAACGGGGGGAGACGAACAAGTGAAAGGTTTTTAGACGTCATTTCACCTTGATGACACCATGGATGAGGAGACGCTGATTCTAGAAGTCTAAAAGTAGATTTCCTCTGAAAGGACACAATCTACTGCTTATTTGGTTATGTGTCTGTCTTTATAGAGACAACTCGTTATCGCGCGATTTCACATGAATCCACGGGTTCTTGTGAGTTCTCGGTATTCCCGCTGTCCGTAATCCGCCACAAAATTTGTCTCAGACGGATCTGGTTGGAATTGGCGGACAGTGAAAATCTGTTCCAGATGCAGTGGAAATTCAGGGGGTTAGTGAGAGAGGGAACAGTGCAAATCATAGCATTTTTCCTGCTTTATTAATGAACACAGAAAACAAAATCCCTGAATTTCTAACTGAAGGAGTAGATATATTTTACTTAAATGTTGCAAACAGGTAAAGTCAGAGATAATATTTAAGATTTGGAAATATTATGTTTAAAAAGAAGTCATGTTTTATTTTGAAAAAATGTCACTAAGCTGTTTGTTTTCTGTGACTGTTGTAGCGCGTCACCCAGAGCATGAGGTTAGAGCGCCTCTCTTTAGAACAAGGGACCATGGACGGGTCCTCCGCTCAAAACGAGCAGGCTGATGAAGCAGAGAAGAAGAGGCTCACCTCAAAGGTATTTCCAAATCCACTGTGATCTGCGTCAAAGAACAAAATGTTCAGTTTCCTACTCTGACAGTCAGGAATGTAAACATCTCATGAAAAGGAAGCAGTCACGCCGTTACCTCCAGAAAACATCAACAGCTGGCTCTCAGACGGAACAGACTGTGCCTTTTTCTGTTTAACGTGTTCGAATTCTTCTCCTGCTGCAGATCATGTCCGAGTACGTGGACGCCCTGCAGTCAGAGTCAAACTTTGAAAGCACCATCAGCAAGTTTGACAGTAACTTCAGCATGCTGCTGCTGGACCTGCTGGACAAGCTGAGCATCTACAGCACCAACGACTGTGAGCACAGCATGATCAGCATCATCTACAGGTAAAAACCGCCCACCTAACTTACACACAGTAGAGTGATTATTAGATTAGCAGGCAGTAACTGGTCAGAAACAACACTCAGCACAAATCCTCATGTTACCTTTTGTTTCCTGGTTGTGCTGATATACAATTCTGTTAAAATATTAACCATGACAAGCCTATCACTTAAATGACATCAGTGTGTTCATCCTGCTATGCTGCCCCCAGGTGGTTTAAAAAAGTCAGTGCACCTTTTAAATGAAGGATAACATTGGTTAAACAACTTCAGAGCAACGTTGAGCTACAGCTGTTAAGGGCTTGTCTTACTAGTAATATGGACAAGTTACTGTTCGACTAACTCAATCAATACAGCTGGTTTTCATAGAGGCTGTTTTAGGAGAACCCACCAAATTTAGATGATGAAAACCTTGAGTGTTTTGTGAATCCTGCTGTTCTTTGCTGACTGTTTCTGTGTTTTCACAGGCTGGATTTCAACGGTTTCTACACTGAGCGTCTGGAGAGGATGGCTATTGAGCGCAGTCAGAAAGCAGCAGCGTAGCATGTTCCATCTGTGTCACATTACATAACAATCGTCTTTACTCGTCTGTTTATCCGTCACAAGAACAAGACCAGCCGTGGGGTCAAAGAGCTGTCGCCTCTGTGTGTATATTATATATATTATGTACTGTATGAAGTACAGAGTGAAAGTCTAATGTTTGCAGCCTCATGTCAGTGCTTCAAATTGAACATTTAAAGAAATGTCGAACAAGTATGTTTATTCTGCTCTGAAGTGTAAGTCATGACGCTCCTAATGGAGTGACTTACTGTACGTACCTGTAAAATGAAAATGTTTGTTTGTATTTGATAAAACTAGTCTTAACTGACTGAATTTAGACTACATACCTCTACTTTACTGCATCACTAAATAAAGAGCAAATATGTTGTTGCCTAATCATTTTGTTCGGTTTTGAAACTTGGTAAAGATAATCGATTAAAAGGTGGGGTAGGCAGGAATCCATTAAAGACACATCTTTTTTTCTGGTGTATATAAGAAAAAAAGCTTTTAATATCAGGGAAATTATCAATGACATTTGGGAATATCACAATATCGCTGTGTTTTCTGATGCTTATGTCACGATCTGCATATTCTGACTGTAAACAAAGCCATTCTCCACCTCACCGGCCTGATTGGTTATGAGGCTCGTTCCATGCCTTCCAATAGCGTGAACGAGCCCAAACAAAGTTAGAGTGCCACAATATTGGACAGTTACAGAAGAGGATTAGGTCCACTGAGAAAAAAGGTCCAATGTAATGTTTTAAATTATATAATAATAAATGTGGTTCCTGGAATAGTCCGTAGACAATCATAATCAGTCTACTGTTTCACTGGTGTTAAAAATGCAGACGGAATATCGAGAAAATCGACAATATCATAGAATTGCAGTTTAAATTGAATTGGCATTCAAAGAAACCATAGAAGAATCGAATCAAGAGAATAGCTAATCGTTCCAGCCCTACCATAGACGGTATGTCTAATGGACACCGTCTGCCTCACCGCAAGGATAGCTCCCTCTGCTGACAGGCTGCAGTATAGGTCATATAACTGCCAAATGTGTACCATGCTACTGCGCAATGTTGGTCTCAGGAAGTGGAGAAAAAAATGCTGAATCACAGAGAGCTTTTTTGGCATCAAATCTGTATACTGGCGGAAGGCGGAACCAAATTGTCCAAAGTATACAGTCTGTGATTTGAACAGAGTGTCATCACAGTGACTCTCCTGCCGAATGTGTACAAGCCACTGCGCAAGTGAAGGAATGCGTTCAACGCTACTGCGCAAGTGGTGGTTCAAGGAAGTAGAGAAAAATCACAGAAATACCGAGAGCTTCAAATTCATATGACAGAAGGCGGAGCCAAGTTGTCTATGATGCAAACTCATTAAATAACCCAATCAATTTATAACTGTAGCTCGACTTAACTGCATGTTAACAAACATACCAAGTGTAACAAAATCCTACCCACGACGCCGGTCTGCGGGGTTAACATACGCTACAGTCCCATCTTTAAGATATTACAGCTGTTTATATTTAATTTCTCCCTCAAGAAAAAAAAGACAGTCAGTACATGTTATAGATGTAAACAACATTGTTTATTGAAACATGCTGTGAATGAAACCTGAAATAAATTAAACCCCAAAAACTAATACCAGGTTGGAAGGTGAGAACGGCTGTGCTTACAACTTTTATTAATGCTGTCGTATTGAAATAATCTGAATATTTCAGAGTGATTTTAACATATTAAGATGGAAAAAGCTAGTATTCACATAATAAGGGTTAATTTCTTTACATAGCTCAAGAAATTGAAAGGCTAATTTCTCAAGATAAAAGAAATTCACCCTCCATCACGTGAATTTGTTATCGAGGGAGATAAATGAGTCATTTTGTAAGCACAGCCATCCTGAGCTCCCGTACAAACAGGTGACACTGCACTTGGATGAAACTGAAAAAAAAAGTGAGTTCACGAGGTCAAAAGTGCTTCACTTGCTTCCTGTACAGTACTAAAAAAAAAAAAAAAAAGGTGTAAAGTAACAGACTGACAAATGTCGGATTAAACACTATGACTACACGATACAAGAACGCTCGTTAAACTGGCCTGAACACGACGACGGCATCTGAAAAGATGCTGTGGATAAATAACGATCAATATGACCAATACTGTACACATCATGTCACATAGTTCAGAGGGAAGATGGTGTGTTGGACTCACTACAATGACACAAAGACGCTCCAGCCCCTCTTTTCAGACAGCTGTACAACCAAAAAGAAAAAAATATACCTGTACAAAAAGGTCAGGAGATAAAAGTTACAGACAAAAATCATGTGAATCTTTACCCAGACTCCCCAGAGATCATGTTGAAAACACGCGTCTCATAAGTATCAATAAGTGATGGAGACACCGGCCATGTGGTAAACGATGATCCAGGTCATCTGCTGAATCTTTCGACCTGTCTCTCTTCTGTGATCCGTCGCCTTTGTTTGAGTTCTCGCTGGTTGACGTTAAAGTTTTCTGCTAAAATTGCATAACGTTCCCTTTTAAAGTCGATATGTATCAGGCTGAGATCCTTTAGACATCTTTTAAAAAGTAAATAAGGAGGGGGTCTCTTTAAAGCAGATACAGTAATATTAAATATACAGACAAGGACCCATAATTACAGCAGGACGAAGCACGGGACCCGATCAGAGGGAAGGGGACGGGTCCAGAGTAACAGTACACCCACAAAGTTTTACAGTGTCAGACATTTGTGTCTCCTTCTCTGTCCTCCTCTCTTTATGTTTATGTTTTCAAGTGCTGGACGGGGGGGGGAGGATCAGTGTCACACAGCGAGGGGCACTAAGCCCTGAGAGGAGGCAGTAGGAGGGGCTGTGATGGCCGTCAGGGTACCAGGTTTGAGTCCGTTCACCGGCCTGCTGGAGAGGGAAAAAAAGAGGAAACAGTCAAAGCAGGAAAAGCTGAAACTAAGAAGAGAAGAAGCCACCCAAAAGATGATAAAACCAACCCTGATACCAGCATGAGATAAAGTTACATTAGATCCAAAGAAGTTAAAATAAATCAGGCTGATTAGTAAGAAAGCCAAAGTCAGCCGGGAAAAGCTAGAGATGTGGAAACATGTTCTCACGGTGAGTCAAAATACCGAGACGAATCCTTTTGTAATGATGCAATCCAACGATGTTCATTTATAACATCAAGATAAGCTGGTCTGATGCTTCTGAACGGATGTTTCTTAAAATAAAACCTTGAAGTTTGTCACCGCTTCGTTTTAGTCATATTTCAGAAAAAAACATCTTAGTCAAGTTTTAGTCAATTTTATATGACTTGACTGTTTCTGCACCTTTAAATGAAAAATACAAGAATAACGATAAGTTCCTATTTCTTTTTCCAGCCTGGACTGGACTCTTAGAGGATAAACTAGAAAAAAAACAAAGAGCTGAAAATAGCCCAGAAACTCGTCCACCCGTCCGTTTGACGGAGTCATTTTCCCTCAGGTGCACCGAAGAATCTGCCTGAACAAAGATGACGTCTTTACAAACAAACTTTTGTGGCTTTGGTGCTAAAAATGGATCTTCATGACAAAGTGTGAAGGAAGCTGCAGGTATCCAGACCGACGGGTTGAACTGGTTTGATTCGCGGGACTTGGCTGAATACGAAGACGAGTATCCAGGGATGGTTTGAGTCTGAGTCATGACCCCGGAGAGCTCCACTCGGAGGACAAAAGAGACGGCGAGAGGGAAAAAGCAAACAGATGCAGTCAGACCGGTGAGATCTGAACATTTTCTTTGACAGCTTCAGGTCAGTGGAAAATACTGAAGCTAATTCCTCTTTTGCACAGAGGACTTTCTGATTTCTAAATAAGAATATCTCAAAATAAAACTCTAAATTTGGTCTGTATTCAGTAAATATTGAAGTTGAACATGTACAGGCAGTAAAGTGAGACAAAGAGACGCCGTCCTGACCCCGGACTGAAGGTGAATCGTGTCCATAACAAACGTCCTGCTCTGTAACAGAAGCACAATGACCTTGTTGTGTTTCTCATCTCAGTATGCAAACTCTGCCTCTTTAGTTCCCCCTCATACAGCAGAAACTCGATCCACGCGCCGACACCGCCAGTCACCGCCGTCACCGCCGTCACCCACAGCGCTCGGGAGTGATGCAGCATAAAAACAGGATGAAACAGCCAGAGTTTCCGTCTGCTGGTATCTCACATGATCTCTTTTTAACTAAAAACAAAAGAGTCATGAACAAAAATATTCTCCATGACAGTACGAGTTTAACTTTTGTGATTAACATTCGGACTCTATCTGCTCTGTGCAGCGGCAGGTAAAGATGCCGACAGCTCATCTCCTCAGTCTGACACAAAACGAGCAAACTGCATGAACTGAAACTGAAACATTCATGGGTTTGTTAGTTTGAACCCGAACATCATTTGAGAAAATCGGGTTTGAAAGTTGGTCAGAGCAGATAGAGATGAAGCAGCTCCTGATCAATCTATGAACGCTCTTTAATCTACTCTGGTGAGCTCTTCCTTGTTGACACCCTTTCGAGATTAAATCATGCTGTTGGCGGATATTTATTACAAACAACGACATATTAAAATTCACTTTTTAATCTATTGTTATGATCAGGCAGAGGTCCAAAAATCTCATCCCAGTAAGAGTTAAAAAGGCACCTCAACCACCACCACCTTAAAGAGTTAGTCACCATCACTCCTGTTATTTCTATCAGCACTAAAGGTTTGTTAACGTCAGCAGCGGCATGCAAACGCCTCAGCGCGGTCAATAAGAAGTGAGGGAGCTGCAGTTACCCAAAATCAATGCGGGGAACGTGACCATCTCTGTCCTGCTGGGAAAAAATGCACAAAGGTCTCAGATATCCGCCACATGAAAAAACACAGTCTGCTAAAATTCACCCCTTAAAATAACTCAAAAGATACAGTTTCACTCACGCTTTGTCAAAGTACGATGTGTGGAACGACTGCGAGTAGCTGGTTGTGTTTGCGTTGAGCGCGTTGCTGTTGTCCAGGGCGTACACCTTCCTGGATCTCTGGTCCTTGGCGAAGTTCCTGCAGGCGGCGAGTTTGGACTCCAGAGCCTGCAGGGGGGGAGGGGGAGACGCAAAACAAAGAATGAAGGAGTTTCTCCTGTCCGGTCGAAATGCAAAGACTTTAAAACCTTGAAACATGAACTCACCCCGACTTTGCGGAGTAAATCGCTGACGATGTTGAGGGCCGATATCCTGGCGGAGGGGGTCAGAGGAGAGTTGCTGCCGTAGCCGTTAGATAGTGCTTCGTATGAGACAGAAAGGAGGAGATTACATATTCATTGTTCATCTTGTTTTGCTCATGTTTAAATGTATGCAGCCTGCAGTCTTCTGTGTGCCACACCCTGCTGATAATTGATGCATATTTTCTAACCCTAACCCTTCAGCGGAGACGCTCCCTTTCCCTGACGCTAATAACAAACCAAATCACACCCAAAGACAGAGGCAGATGTACGGCGCTTCAGTACAAACTGCTCCTTCATGGACGGTCCTGTCTGTGCTTGTACGGTGAGGCTGAACTAAAATGCACTCAGGGGGAAAAATGAGCAGCAGCTACCTGTTGTGTTGGCAAAGGCGTTGTCCAGACCTTTGCTCAGCGGGGTGGCGGGGAGCGAGAGGGAGGCCTGAACAGCTGAGTCCATCTTCACATTGTCCTGTGTGGGCGAGCTCGGAGCCGACATCCTGCTGACATCCGACTGCCTCTCCCTGACGGCCAGCTCCTGCCGCAGATCTGCACAGAATTTAGAAACGAGGTAGAATTTAAAAAGCTAAAATTTTCCCCTTAAATCTGTAAAAAAAAACAGTTTTAACAGGGTTTATCGAAGAGGAGGGGCGGTGCAGCCCGCGTGTCGATGAGCTGGAGCAGGAATCGACAGCTCTGCTCATTAGTAGAATCCATCAATACTCACCCCTGGCTTCATCCTTTAATCTCTGCACAGAGACCAGCAGAGACTCTTTCTCATCCAGCTCGCTCTCCAGGAACGCGTTCCTCTCGATGGCCTGATTCAGACGCTGCTCGAAGTTCTCCAGAGACACGATGGTAGCTCTGAGAAGAGAAAAGAAGGAGGGACGGATGAAAAGACGCTCAATCGAGTCTGACGTTTCACTGACCTTCTATTAATAACATCTGAGCTGGCTGTCTGCACGTCCTTTCTACGTATCAGCGAGTATAAATAAGGAATCAATATCTCAGCATCGAATTGATTTTGATCTCATCTGAGAGAGAAATCGATTCAATTGAATTCGTTTGGTAATCGTAATAAGAGGTTTGACTTCCATGGAGATTAATCTTCGATCTAAGAGGACAGGAAAACACCTCAGAGAGTTTTTTTAGGTCTTGAGGAGCAAATAGAACCTAAAAAAAGTCCTAGACTGAAAATGTCACTTAAGTCACTTTGATGACCGGCTGAAAAACATCTTTTACGACTGTTTGACTTCATTATACTCTCTTGTTAAAGTAGAAGAACTTCTGAAGAGGTAAAATAGACTAAATGTGACTCTTAACTCATTTGGTTTTATTTTGCACGAATCTGTAACCAACAATATTTTCGATCTTCTCAGAAATTTTCATCATTAATAAACTGAATGTTTGTTTGAAAATATCCAACAAAGTAAAAACTTAAAAAACTGTTCAGGTCATGCAGGAAAAAATTGCTAAAAAAGAAATAAAAACATATTTAAATAACTTTGTTGACATTTCCCACAAACCTATCAAATAAAAAAACATTATTAATAAGGTCTCTGTTTCTCTTTATGCAAAAATATTTAATAGCAAGTGATTTAAAGTGCAACTTGTAGGGAGACCAGTCGATGTATGTGCAGGAAAAAAATTACACATTTTTATACATTTCATTCCTGCATTCACTGAGAAAGACCGAGCTGCATTAAAGACCAAAGCGAGGGCGGAGTCGCTTCACTGTATCTGATGATTGTCGTCTTTAATACGGTCTTCCGGCTCACACTGACCTTTTCGCTCTCTCTAAGTCGTCATTGGACTGTTCCAGCTCTCTGACGTATTTGTGCAGCTGCTCCTTGATGCTGCGTGTTTGTCCGAGGTCGTCCTCCAGCATGGAGATCTGCTTGTAGCTCTGCGAGTACTGCTGCTCCAGTTTGTCCTGAGGAGGACGGCGAGGAGAGAAGGAGAAACAGCACATATTGATCACATGAATTCAGTCTGGGCTGCAGAGCTTTATTCCAGGACCCAGTTATACAGCTACAAACTCACACCTCCTACATGCTATCATCCATTTTTTAATGCCACCCTCATTTTCCTCCTCCCTGCAGCTCGCGGATGTTCAGTGTGACCTATATTTCAGCTGGCTCGGAGACTATCAGCTCAATAAGCACCGCCGGGCCCGTCTCCGTGTCTGACCTATATCTGGTGTTACTGTGCAGACAAACGCCAATACGCAAACAAACCGCACAAAATCCCATTCACCGTGTGCATCCTATTAACATGACAATATGAAACATGCTGCATAACATAATCAAGTTGAATGTGCACTTCTGTTTTATAACAAACACAAAAACTGCGGATAAATCATAAAAACACACTCAGATGTTTAGAAAACTCAACATTCATCGCAGTATTCCTACATCATCTGTTGAAACTTTTGCTGTCAACTTTGGCGCCCCCTGTGGCCAAAGTGATACCTTTAAACATGCGGTCTGATGCTGACGCCATCGCAGCAGATTAGACAGAGCCAGTTTTGTTTCTGATCGTCTTGTTTGCTTTGAAAAGTCAAAAAAGGCATTAAGGTCAGTTTCAGTGTCTTTAAGGACCCACTCCGAAGAAAATCACGTTTTTCTTGTTGTCTACATGTTCATATGGCATTTTTCTGACGCTAGAGGACAAACCATGAGAAAAGTAAGAGTAAAGTTACATAAATCACTGTAAATCTCTATTTCACTTTTAAATGAGCATTAAGTCTGTTTTTAAAGTTTATAATCTGAGCATCCTAATGTTTGAGACTGATAAAACAGGGATGAAGCTTCGGTGCTCATGTCTCAAAGTATTCCTGATTTTTTAAAAATAATCCAGCAGAAAGGAAAAAAAAATTCACACACAATCTACCTTCAAGAATGATTCTTCAAGTTCGTTTCTTTCCTTGTTTGCACTAAAAACTCAACCACCCTGTTGAGTCAACAGCGCTCTATAATAAATTCAAAAACACACCCCTGAGAAGACAACAGAACAAAGCTGCTGAAAACAAAGCTACTGTGGTGTTCCTCCAACATTCACATTTGCATCTGGACCTGACCGACACCTTGGCACACACACACACACACACACACCTCTCATCCCCGCGGGGTGAAACACAGACAGGAACGTGCGGCTGGCGTAATTATGGAGCGAGAATCCGAATGAGAGACACAACCTGATGCATTATGGATGAGAGTCTTTGGGATCGGCTGACATCAGTGAAAACAGGTACATCAGCACCTTCCCGGGGAGAGATTTCCATTTAGATAACACATGGAGTCACAGCATACGACAAATCCAGGACCCAGGACTCTATACTACCATGACCTCTTCTATACAAGCAGAGAGAGAGGGAGAGAGAGAGCTGCAGGCTCACAAATAATAACCACTGAGAGCGTCCAGGGGAGCAGCAGCTGTTACAGCCCGACTTCACTTCTGCTTCTCCCCAGAGAGCGCGCTCAAGGACGAGTGGTGACACGAGAAAGAAAGCATCAAATATTTATCGAGCGAGCACGAGAAGACACGCTGTACTCGGCTGCAACAGAGGTTAATGTATGGTTCAAAATTAGACATATGCAACATGCTACCCTCATCATAAATCGAATATATATTATTGGAAGGAATTACAGTATTTCTAAGTGCAAAAATGTTGGTTTTAAAGCCTGAAGTAGCAGAGCATTAACCAGGAAATGTCTAAATAATGAATAAGCTACAGTTTCTAAATGGAAATCAGGAAGTTTAAGGAGAGCTGACTTCATCTCAAACCTCTAAAATCTTAACTCTTCAGATCCACAGACTCTAACCCGCCCTGTAGTCCAGCTTCCTCTCTTTTATATCCTCCTATAAATGTGTATCCTGTCAGATCATTCCAGATCTGCTGCAGGTACCTTGAGCGTTTCCACCTCGTTCCTCAGTCTGTTGTTCTCGGACTGCAGGTCTTTCATGCGGTGCTCGGCCTGTCCCAGCTGAGCCTCCAGCTCGGCCTCCAGCTCCCTGCTGCCCTCCTGAAACTCCAGCAGCTCCTCCTGGGCGTCCTGGCAGCTGCGGGGATCGAGAAGAGGAGCCATTAGATGACGAGTGGAGACAGAAAGAGGTCGAGCGTGGGCCTTTGTGGTTTCATTCATCTACTACTAAAACCCAGCTTACTACTACCCTATTTTTATCTTCACTTAAAAACGCTTGTGGTCTCTGGAGAACTGACCCACTAACAAAACATTTTAGACGTGGACCAGAATTCATCAGGGTTCAGTTTGTTTAAGAAAGTGGGTTTATTCAGATGCAGCTTATTTACGACTTTTGAATCATCGTGTTGGAGTCGTTTTTCTCTCCGTCCTCTCCAAGCTCAGACGGCTGACGTTCCATTCAGAACCTCCCAACATGCCATGTGACGACACAGCAGCTTTATCAGGAAGCACAGGTTATATAACTGTGTGTTGATGCAGCCATGCTCCAATACACTTGGACACACACACACACACACACACATTAGAGTCCCAGCTGCCTAAAAATGGCAAGTGGACTACCCGGCTATCCTAATTGAGAGTGCTGAGGATGGCACAGACTCAGACGCTCCATATATAAAGCCTTTAGTTCAGCTGCAGGTGAAAATCCTCAGCCTCACTTTGAACCGGTTCTTCCTCCGTCACGGCTCGTCTTCACAGTCACACAAAATAATGTGTTTTACTTCAGGGGATCAGAAATTTCAAGTTAGGAAAAATCTTCTGTCTGCGTTTGAAAATAAACTTCCTGAATGACATTAGAGTCTTAAATGAATGTATTACAGTGATCAAAAACAGCCTTTGTGTCAGTGTTTACATCCTGGTTAAGAATGAACTCTGAAGTATAATTCATAAAGCTCCTCTGAGATCAGATTAAGACTGATTATCACACACCAAAACACAAACAGGACCGACTAAGCCTCCACTTTCCAGCGGAGGTCATTGTCTACAAACTCTTACATAACTGGGTGTAGGCCTGGGCTTGTTTCCTTTGGCACAGGATGTGGACATCCAGAGATCACTTCTTAATCAAGCAAGGTGTTGAGCTAATTTAAGGAGCATTCATGTCACTACAGTAACGAGAGAGAGAGAAGTCGGACTGCTTCACCGCACCGTCACAGAAACAGTCAAATCTGCGAGGACAACCAGACATGAGAGACTTTCATGTTCAGTGAGAAACCTGATCTGCGAAGAACGGAGAGGTTTTCACTGCCTGTCCCACATGAAGCTGCTCCAGGAGTGTCGCAGGATAGATCAACGCCGGCTCCTGATAGAGACGCTAAGAAAGGGAGGCTGTAATCTGATGACAGACAGCGGATCTAACGCTCCCCAGCTCTTGTGTTCCTGCTGTGGTGAGCCGGCGTTCCCACAGACACAAAAGACACGCAGAGTCGCTATCAGGTCGACCGATCTAGACGGTGACTGAGGCGCAATCTGTGATTCAAATAAAACTGAAAGTGAAAAAAAAAAAAACTCAAATCGGTCGTTAAAACCAAAAAACTTGGTCAAATCTGAGGAAGACTGAGAAGATATCTGTAATTCACAAAGCTGGAGGGAATTTAGATGGAAAAACGTCATGAGATTTTTTAAAACACCAGCTCAGAAGAAACATCAAGGTGGTGGAAAAAGTTGTTGGAGGATGTGTGGTTCCATTTTGTTTTAACCATTTTGTTTTATTTGCATCATATTCATGATTGTCTGGAATAAATATTTCAAATTACTACATAATTTGGTTTCAGCTTAATGTATTTCAGTACCATGGCACTGCGTACTCAAGTGATAGCAGACAAATATCTAATGAAGATGTTACTGATTGGAGCCAAGAAGACGATAACAAAGAAGTGGTTACAACCCAACTCACCGACACTGGAAGACCGGCGAGGAACTGTTCACGAAATTTACATTATGGAGAGACTGACATTCGCTCTGAGACGACAGTCAGGGACATTTAAGGGACATTGGTCAAAATGGATCAGATATATAAGAGCATGGAGACCTGAACAGCTCTAAATACCTCTGATAAGTGGCTTGAAGTACCAGACCATTAAACTACCCACTGAGCAATAGACGGCTATTAGGCGTCTGGTTATTTTTTAGACGTAATTTCAAACGTCTAGATTCTGTATATCTGTAGACGGAATTTAGACGTTGCACTTTAACCCGCTATTCGATAAGTATTTATTTCAAAAAGCAACGGTGAGTTGCATAACTGATCTCCAAGTACTAAACCAACCAACCTGTTCTCGGATGTGTGCAATCTGGCCGACTCATGCCAAGTGCAACAGACATCAAACAAGCGTGTTGACATGGATCAGACTTCGAGCAAACTGAGAGTGAGATGTGTTTACTCAATCACAAATTTAACATGAGCTGGAAGAGGTCAACACAGCAAGCGCGCTCTGACTAAAGAACAGCTAACTTGGCGGGCAGGCATGATCGCTGCATTTACTGCGCTTTCTGTCTGAAGCAACATTTACATTATGCCTTAAGTACTTCCTGCTAAAGCTATAAGATAAAGGCGAGTCCGTCTCTGACTGAGGATTCAGGTCTTAGAGAAATAACTTTATTTGGAGTTTGTTTAACTTAAGTCTCAGACAGGCAACAGTTGTTGTTTCAGAGTTCTCTTATTCAAACAGAGTAGGACTGTCTGTGTTTACCATCTTTGCAGTGCACCTCATGTGTGTTATCGGACACAGAGAGACAGAATCAGCTGCTCTGATCGTGAGCGAATACACCGTTTATCTGAAAACAGATGATCTACCGTTAACGTTCTGGTCTTTTAAACACGTACTGACGATGAAGAGACGGTATCTGCTTACCCTTTCTTATACTTGAGGGAGAGAGCTTTCCAGAAGTCGATTTCCTCATCTTTTGAGGAAAATTTTGGTATTATCTCTGACTCCATGGCAAACAAATCTGGAAGAGAGAGAGAGAGAGAAAATCTGATCATAAACGAAGCCAAAAGAGTGAAGTTTCATCTGAAGCTTTTCTGGAATAGTTCACCTGCTTCGAGAAATCAGAGCAGAGTAAAGTCTATTTTCTGGTCTTAATTTCTTGAGGTTTCTCACAGCCTTAAATCTGAAGTCGAACACAGAGATGAAAGTAAATAATTTAAATCACAGCTGGGAGTTTATCATCTAGAGGTTTCCTTAAAAGACTGAGAGCAGATCACTTCACAGAGAACCGAAAACTCTGCTTACAAAATAGTGAACAAAAGAAACACTTCTGTCTGACAAAACAGCATTTTTAATCTTATTAATGACTTCTGCCAGTTAAAATACATGTCAGTGTGGCCTCGCATAAGACCATGATGGGAATATGTGAAAACGAAAATCAGTAACTATGTTAAAAGAGCTGCAAAGCTTTTATTTTGGCATGCTACTGAGAGCAATAGTTATCCAGCAGAAGAGTAGCAGGAGTATTTATCTGAAGCAGGTTTTAAAGAGTTTTATCAGCCTTAAAACTGAGAGGAACCAGCTCTGCAGAGAAAAACGAAAGAAAGAAAGAAAGAAAGAAAGAAAGAAAAAAAAAAAAAAAAGAAAGAAAGAAAGAAAAAAGAAAGAAAAAAGAAAGAAAAAAGAAAGAAAGAAAGAAAAAAGAAAGAAAGAAAGAAAAAAAGAAAGAAAGAAAGAAAGAAAGAAAGAAAGAAAGAAAGAAAGAAAGAAAGAAAGAAAGAAAGAAAGAAAGAAAAAAGAAAAAAAGAAAGAAAGAAAGAAAGAAAGAAAAAAGAAAAAAGAAAGAAAGAAAGAAAGAAAGAAAGAAAGAAAGAAAGAAAGAAAGAAAGAAACCGTTCCCAGGAGAACTTTGAGCCGGAGCAACATTCATCATCCTGACGAATAATTAAGAGTGTTTTCTCCAAACATGATGTAGGTGCCAGCATTCAGGAACAGGACTTAACGCTACATCATTAATGAGTCCCTGTTATAATGATAATAATGTCTTTTAAAACACTCAACAGAATCCAACAATGCTCTAAAACTGTGACCAAGAAACCCTGCTGGACCGGACCACATTGCATGTTCGCTTTTTGCTTCATCTTTGAAAACAAGGCTCTTTTCTCTTTCTTTGAACTTGTGGGAAACAAAAGTTCGAGGACAGGATGGTGAACAAAATCAAACATGGAGACAATCAAAAGAGGAGGAACTCTTAGAAATAAGGAGATAATGCACAGGGTCACTGTGAAAAGAGACAGGTGCACTAATGTGGGGGCTGAAGTTTGGTGTAATACCAACATCGTCCAATTGTGTCTCTATAAAGTTGAGAAGAAACTTCAGCGCAAACATAAATTTGCAGAGTTCATGCATTTTTCTTGATGCTGTTAAGGTCAAAATTAATGCTTTTTTTTACTACCTGCAATTATTCCCCTCAGAGCACATGGCAGTTAAACCACAGCTGCTCTTGCTGTCCCTCAATTGAGTAAGACACCACAACACTTCCACACAGCTCAGTTTAAAATATCACCCTAAAATGTAAAGATTTATCCTGATCAATGAGTAGACACTGATATCAGTTTTCCACGTTTCAAAACCACAACTTCAGAGTGTAGAGCAGGACAGGACGAGGTCAAAAGGCGCCTCCAGGTGTGAAGTGTTGAAGTTAAAAAGGGCAACATTTAACTTGAATCCACCTGATATTCAAGAAAACACTTTTAAACTAAACTATGTTCACTCATCTGAAATAAAAACATCAAATTACAAAATCACACACTGACAGATGCCCTCAATCATCCTCTTTACCTCTGAGATTCACATTTAAAATCGATCAACTTTGGAGATAAACTGGATAAAACACCCTCTGATTATGGAAATGCAAAGGAGTAGTCAACATTAAAGTCAAGAAGAAAATCTTAACAGGCACAAACAGCTCCTGGCTGTTCCTGCAGTCACGGATTTGATCTGTACTCTGCCAAAGAAATATTTCATATCTGTGATCTCTTGAATTATTCAACCTCAGACTTTATTGAAACACTCACACTGAAGCTGGTAAGAAGATCTAATATATCACAGAGGAGGAAAAAGCAATAAAAGGCATTTTAACTGAGGCCAAAACTCGCTTAAAATGCAATTTAATTCGAAGAAATTCAATTTTAGATTATGCAAACTGTATGAGTTCAATGCCAGCCTATAGTATTAGGTTTTCTGATAATATTATTTTATTTTAAGGGAGAATCTATGGTTATATGTGACTAGACTCTTGAAAATCTTTCTATTTCTACACATTAACTCCATATCCTACCTAGATACGGTTTTAATTCTAAGGTGAGATGACCCTGTTGAACACTGATCATGGGATAGTGAAGATATTTTCACAAGACCATTCAGAAATAAATCCAATACATTTAGATATTAAAAGAACATAACATTAAATTATCATCAACGCAATTAAAAGCAGGGGTGGTAATGAGACCGAGAGAGCAGCAGCTGAAAGCAAAACGACGCTGATGAGCTCAGCTGTCAAAACTGGGTGTGCAAACCCACCGAGAACCGAACAAACGAGACCCGAAATACCCAAATACACACCGACATGCTAGTCCGAGAATTTCAGTTTCAATATATTTTAAAAACAGCACAAAAGACAGTAAAATAATGATGTATTTGGTACCTTAACATCGCCCCAAACCGTGATGTTTATCGGTCCATTATGCTCGGTGGTTTGAGGAGCTGAGGCCGAGAGTCCGTCTCTGCTGTGAGGAGAAGCTGTGCTGCCTCCACCTCCTCCTCCTCCTCCTCCTCCTCCCTGCGGGGATTTAAAGCGCTCTACACCCTGAAAAAAAAGGAAAAATTAAAAACATATATTTTTTAATCAGTTTGGTACATGTTTTATTTCAAGTCTTTTAAGAGTTACTTATATAACTACGACATACGAGCAGAAAATATATGAGTATACGTGTATATTTTAACCCTGCAAATAACTCGGACATTAAAACCTCATACAAATACCTACACAGGGAGAGAGAGAGTCACTCATGATGAGGAAAAAATATTAACAATCTTTGAAATCAGATTTGTTGCTTAAACCGAATATCTTTATTTGTGGATATTTTTAACCAATCTTCATTTTATTTCATCCGCGTTTCTGTCGTTTTCAAGGGCGTCACCGCTGCGCAAAACTGCGCATAACACTGCGTTTACCTCTAAATAGCACCATCTGCTGGTGATCTGCTATCAACGATGAGGGAAGGGGATTTTTAATCAGAGGACAAACCAAAAACAAGAGAAGGATTATTAAAAAAAACATTTTCATATGTTATAATTTCTTCGAACAGAAACGAATCTATTCTTTTGTCTTAATTTTTTTGTCTCTTAATCTAGTCTGATTTGATGTTGGTGCTTTATTATTATTTTTTATTTGTGTGTCTACTGAATATTTTCTATCCTATTTGACATAAAGTGATAAATGGAAGAAAACAGGAGTCAAAAAAAGTCAAACTATTGTTTCACTTTCACAATAAAATACGTTGTGCATCCTCTGAAAGGGAAAAAAGGGTCAACGGTTGTTTTACTTTCAAAATAAAATAACCAAGCTGAGGCTCTAGGACCTGTTTGTTGTTATGGTAACACACACCGAGCTGAGACCCCAAACATTTCTTTCAAAGTTTACAAAGGGAGCCATGGCCTCTTCGCTCAAAAACAAAGCCTTTTCGCTCAGTTCCTGGAAAACCGAAGAAGATAACGTATCTATGAATATGTTTGATAATATGCGAGCGAAAATGAGAGAGGTTTGTACCGGAGTGTTTGAATTTGGAGCTAGTAAGCCTAGCTAACTACATACGTGCTAACAGGTGTTGTGCCGTAGATTGCACCCCTGCCGTAGAATGCATCCGCTGACGGGAACGCGGTTGAAAGTACATAAAAAGGCGAAATAATCCAAGTTTTCCTGACAATTGGATGGATTCAAAAGCGTGTGCCTTAAATGATTTCATTCAGACTATTCAGATAAACCGAAAACAATAGCCTTCTGATTCAGAATATTTGCTGTCCCGAAAATATAATGTTCTCTACATTAACAGCTTACTGTACAGTTTATATACCCAAGTACACCTCTGTATGTGCATTTTTGAGACACATAAAAACAAAACAAAAGTTTGCTGATCCATTTGACATGTTGTCATGATCCAATACTCGTGTTTTTTTCAAATATCAGATCATTTTCTTCCGTTTTAAGAAGCTAATGAGTGGATGAGTTGCAGGGGTGCATTTTACGGCACAACACCTGGTTGACGCCGTTTATAGTTGAGCTGAAGTTTTTCTCACAAAATGGAGGAAAATACTTTTGAAAAGGCACAGAAGCATTTATCCATAAATACTTTAATACTCGTATTTGTCTTTAAACAGTCCCTGATAATGTCTTTAGTTGTTTGTCAGACAATACTGATAGTATTTGTTGGCTATTTGGTTAAGTTTACAAACATACAAATCTTTATTCTACCATATCGTTTTGCAAACTAAACACTTAAACAACTGTTAGGGGCTTTTTAACCCAAAGGGTCCGTTTACTTAAGGTCAACAATATTCCAGTAGTCAAAGATAAACCTTCTGATTTCATATTGAGAGGGAATTTTTACTCCAAACTTACAGGAGACAACTATGAGAGAAACACTTTATGATATAGACAAAGTAAGTTGAGTTTTGACCTTCATGAGCTTACCTAGATCTTTGACCTTAAGATTGGAGCAGCATAAGGCCAAAAAGTAACAGCAGCTTTTTCACCAAACTGTGTCTTTTGTCCTGGTCTAGGATTGGCTCACGTGTTTTTACTGGTGTGTGTGTATAATTGCACCAGAGGACGTTTTATAGCATCTCTGGGACAATAGGTTTCTAGGATGAAAGCTTTAATAAACACTGAAGGCATGCAGGTCGCTCACTCACTCAGAGCTTGGACTGGACATAGATAAAGTCTGATGGAGGAGCTGGACAGGTTGGAAACAGATGAGAAGAAAGAGGATAAAAGTGGGAGTAGTTTATTTCACCATCTTATGGCACAGAGGAAGGATGAAGAGGTGGTTTGTTTGAGATTGATCTAAGTTAAAAGAGGATTTATGGAGATTGTAAAACTCTAAGCTTGTTTTTGATTGTAAATTGAGGAGATTTGTAATGTGCGTGTTTAATATGCGAGGGATCACCCTGCAAGTGTTTCAGGGTTTTTATCTTTTAGCTTGTCTGACACTTTTCTTCATTGTCTCCTCAGAAAATCGTGCTGCAGCGGCTGATCGTGATTGCTCGTCTCCCCCGTCATCTTGCTGACAGGAAAGAAGTAGGAGGTCAGCTCACTGTTACCTTACAGCTACAAGGAGAGAGAGCACAAAAGCCCATCGCTTGATAATAAGTCATTTAAATTCAACTGACAGTACCATTCTAATCAATGAACTAATCACCTTATGCTTGCTTAATCCAGCTCTCTTTCGGGTGAAATGAAGGGTGATGGTAATCTCATTGATATTGCCAACACTATTTGTAAACTGGGCTTCAGATCATAGAAAATCTGTTAAATTTTCTGTTAAAACGGGCGACAGTCACTCTGAAAGCAGTAAGATTCTTCCTTGTTTCCTTGATGTAGCGCCTTTATAGCTTTCACACCTCTGGAAGTGAATGGATGTCTGCGTAAAAAGCCTGTTGGTTGGAATTCTCGGACAAAAATAAAAGCAGAAAGCTCACAATACAACTCCAAGGAAACACTTGGGGTGTGTTTTGACAACACAGCTGTGCTTACGGGTTGTCAGGCTGCTCAGTGGCCCTGCTGTGTGGAACAAATCAACAGTTTTTGTTTGTTTCCATGCAGCTTATTATGAAAGACTCAACTCCCAGCTCACTAAACAGTACAGAATGGATCCAATGACTGGTCTTCTCTTAATCTATTCATCCTGTGTGCTGCATATCATCGAGGCAAGTGTTCCAGCACATTATTATTCACAGCATACGTCTTTGATTAAAGCTTGTGATGTGATGTCTTTGTTTCTGTGCGGCTCTGTTGCAGTCATCCTGGGACGTTCTGCTGGCTGTTTTGAAAGACCTGAAAGAGATGCAACAGCAGCAAGAAGAGTAAGGTTGCTTTATTCGTCTACTGATGAATGAAGTAGGTAATGTGTGGTGTGCACATATCTGCTTTTGAAGGTTGGAAAAATGAAAGAATATCCTCCTGGGACCCTGTAATTCATTTTTCAGACATGATGAACAGTTTTAAAACCTCATAAGCTGTCATACTGAAACCTGTTGAACCATGTAGGGGACATTCTGGCCCTTTAGTGAGTTATCATTTGCAGTAATGAGCAGGACACAGATAACTTAGTTTCAGATTGTGGACGAAAGCTCAGACTTTGAGCTTCCAGATGATGTAGAAACACAGAAACAGGGTGAAAAGTAAAGTTTGAGACAGCCAGGTTGTTAGGAATTATTGTTTTGGCTTGTGTGAACCCAGTTGAAGCCGTATTATGCATAATATCACTCTTGAGGATTCTGAAGCTTTGGCTCCAAAAGTCTTGCACCTGCAAAAATTATATGAAAAACGTGAATTTTTATCATCCTGGTGTCCACAACATGCCGTTGAAGTCTCCTGTGAGTAAATAGGGACATAAAGCTATACTGATGAGTACTAGTGATGAGATAAGTTTGTTAAATTAGTCAGAGCTGCTGTTAATAAGAAATTAAATATTCACTTTTTGGAAGCGTTTTATTCACCTTCTGTTTTGTCTTATATTTGATTTTGACTCTACAAGCATCGCCTCTGTTACATTTGTAAATATACTCGTGCACACCCTCATGGGATCTGCAAAAACAGAAATAAAACAGATCTTATTGTACTCACAGTGAGCCGATTCACCTTATTTTCACTTTTATTTCAGTACCCTGCTGGAGGATCCAAAGGTTCTGTTCATGGATCATCATCCTGAAAGCAGACTGTTCCAGCAGTGGAGCCACAAGGTTTGCTTTTCATCGTCACCTCCAGTCCTGAAGTGACTAAAAAGGATATTTTTATTGGACTTTCTGGTTCTCAAACTAAAAAAACTATATAATCCAATATACTCATGCTGCTCCCTTTGATCCGTCGTCTGTATGCTCTCCAGATTATTTACAGCCTGTGTGTTTTGAATATTGTGTGACTGAGTGTTTGATCCTGTTGACTGAAGGTGCTCAGTGCAGAACAGACTGTCAGGGACACTGGACCAAAGAGACTGGAGGAGGAGGAGGAGGGGGACACAGAGACTCTGTTCTGCTCTGTCATGTCAGCGCTGCAGAAACTGTCTGAAAACGTGGACATACCTAAAAAGGTGAGTCTACTTTCATCTTTTTATTCACATGTACGTTTCATTTTCTTTAACTCCAAACTGTCAGGCTTACACTGAAGTTTTTCTCTGGCTGTTTGAACGTACATTTAGATCATACCTGGATCAGTACATGATGAAACTCCGGAGCTGATCGTCTCTCAGAAAGTGCTGGAAAAACTTTTGGACAGAGATGAAGTCTTGACCCTAAAGCAGTATCTAGAGCTGTACGACTCGCCGTTACACATCGACATGGACTTCGGTAAGAGGCACCTTTGGATGGAAAGAGGATCTTTAGAGAACAATTGTACACAGACAAATACATTGATTACTCGGCATAATCTCAGGAGAGCAATAGAGAGAATTTTAACGATTGTATACACACATATATCTGTAATCCATCAAACAAAAAAGTGACACTTCACTGAGTTGTATCTTGTGATTTCTTCACAGGACAAATTGTTCGAAGCAGCTGCCTCACCACAGTTTAACTCACTGGACAAAGTCAAAGGTCAAAACTCATACTGCATGATCAGTACATGTGAAGGCATCCAAACCCAACTCCTTTAAAGGGACAGTTCCCTCAAATTTAGTTTGTAGCACAGAAAATAGTCTGTCTGTCATTTCCATCTGCTTAATATTTCTGCTTTCACTCTGACTCAACCTGCACAAGTAGAAATTTGTTTGTGGAGTTCAGTTCATGAGTGACATCGCCTCCAGAACTGGATTTAAATGAAGAAACGACTGATTTCACTGGGATGTAACTTTAGCAAAGTCGTCCTTACTTCAGAAAATGGGAAAATGTGTGTAAACAGGAATGTTTAACAGTCAGATTCTAGTTTAAAAAGCTCTTTTAGAAACCACAGACTGGATCAAGAAAGGATTGTGAGCCATAGTACGCAGCCCTACTTTCTTATTTTCTAGTGTTGAAGGTTTGAAATTTAGATTTTAAGGCTAAATGTAGGTTGTTAGAAGAAGTGATCATGGTGCCCCTCTAATTCCTCATGAGGAGGCTGGTATTAGCGGTTCTTTGTCTTCACAGCCTCATAAAGCTGCCCGTAAAGGGTTTCTTTTGACTCTTATTTAAATGTCAGTTTAAGTTATTGTTAACTCCACAAGTAAACGATCCGTCCACCTTTACTATCTGCATGTCTCCATCCCTCAACAGGTTCTGCATCCACATAAAAATTGATTGATGTCTCTTTATGTGAAGCACACTGTGTTTCGACCGTGAAATGTGCGTGTCGAAGGCTGATATTAAGCCCTTTAACAGCTTCCACACAGCATGCATGCTCTGTCATCATGGCGCTCTGCATGCTCCGGGGGCTTTCAGCGCCGTCGCTGTCTGCAGCTTTAAAATTTACCCTGCAATTCAAAAAAGTAATCCAAATGTTTTATGCCTCTGCAGAACGTGTTTGGCCTTCACTAAAGCACCTTGGATGTGACGAATGCGCCCTAGCAGAGAGAAATCACTCTGACAGTTTGATACCGGCGTTTAACGTACTCCAGCTCTTCAGCTCTCCTGCTCTCTCTTTAAAATAAGCCTATATCCGAACATTAAACACAAAAAAGCACAGGAAACCGAAGTGATATAAAAACATTTTTAATAGTTTCAACATTCGGATGAGGTTAATCTTAATTTTCTTTTACTGTACACTGTGTTCCACTTGGTGACCAGGAGATATCGTGTCCGAGAAAAGGCGTTTCCTCTTTACTACAAACGCTCAAGAGTCCACAGCATCAGTACGGTTTCACACAAAGAACCTCAGAGTCTGAAAAGATTCCTTCATGTGTTCCCTTTTTTATTTTGGCCCCATTACTAGGAACTTAAATGAAAAGAAGAGATGATTGGAGATGTGTTTGTCATGGCTGCATGCACCACAGTGTAATCTACAAACTGTAATCGATAAAAAAAACGAAGCGTGTTCCTTCTTGCTCGAGTGTGAAGTCATAGAAAGAGATTCCAGCAGTATTTTGGGCACGAACAGTCGTCTCTCGAGTCAAGTTAGCTGGAGAATCTGGTTTCCCTGACATTAGCGTCTGCTCTGATGTGCTTCTTTAATCTGCATGGAGATAAAAACGGTCGAATAAACTGTAGTGACACGACAACAACGGTGACACACGGTGAGAACAAACAGCAAACGTTCGAACCCAAAAGTGTTGGCAGAATGGATGATGAGTTAGAGTAGAAAAGATCAGGGGGCAGCACTGGGTTACTCTTCTCTTATAAAGATCGATCTATCTTATAAAAAATAAATACAAGCACATTTATATAGGACCAAAGATGAGACGTTTTTCATAGGCATGGTTTAAAAGCATGCTGCCGAGCTCCACACAGGACAATGTCGAATCTAACACCCCCACCCTCCCTCTCCCCAAACTGGGACATAACACACTTTTATTTATACTGTCTTGAGTAATCACCACCCTCTTTTACTTCAACCAAAATGTCCACAATACCATCTATCACCAGTACATTCCTATTCATGTAAAAAATAAAATAAAATAAACAAAGGCCTTCATATTTCAGAGCTGAAAGGGCATGCTCATAAAGCTGTAACACTGGAAACTGTCTCTGGAATCTCTTGCCGCGAGTTTTATTGTTAATAAAGTTGTGTTTTTGGTGGATACTCTATGTACAAGCCTTAATCTGAAAGCCTTCAGTACAAAACGAAGAGCAGCACATCGTAACACAGAAATCCAGACAAAGACAGGACGCCATTCAACTCAGCACGGCCAGATTTGAACAACAGCTTTTTTTTAAAAAACTTTGTGGTTTCATCAGATCGCTCCTAAAAATGCGTATGAATTTCACTAAAGCTGACGTAGTTTGTAGAATAAAAGATCGAGGGATTTATAAAAACATGAATCCGCAAATAAATTCAAATTTTCGATCTAGCTTACTAAGATTTTCTGTTTCTGTTTTTCTTTGAGATGGTGGACTTTTTGTTTGACATCATAATAAGCTTCAGGAGGTTGTGATGGTGTTATTTAGATATTATTGGGCATATGTTTATTATAATTGTTATAATAAAACCTGAAATCAGTAGAGAAATTGGTGTAAGAATGATTAATAGATTATGAAGGGTTGGAGGGACCACCTGACAAAAACAATCTGAGATTTCAAGAAAAGCCAAAAACTTACAGGATTAAAGTTGAAGATTTAAAATTATGACTTATTCTCATAGATTCGTCTTCTTATCTCATAACGTTCTTAACTCATAACTCTTATTCTCACTTCATTCCTGAATCAGAATTTTGTCATCCTTAATGAGGCCCTGATCCTGTTTCAATCATTCCCCCTCCCTTCTCTTTAAAAAGAAATTCCAGTTTTCTTTTTGAAATGCTTGTGAAAGCACTGAAACACAAGCTTAAAGCTGCTGTGAGGAACTTCCCGTTTGTGTCAATTTTGGCGCCCCCCTGTGGACAAAGTCTTTTCACAGTGAAATGTGACACCTGACCCCTCACAGCGATTAGAGACATCACACATTACAACAAAGAAATAGACAATCTGATTTTCGATGGTCTCGTTTTCTCCTCGGGGTCGTGACTGTTGATTTCCGCCTGTTTCGTTACCAGTGAAAAATCCTCACAGGAGCTTTAAGCAGCGTTTTTATTGAGTTAATCTACAAACTACATTGAACTTTGACCCTACTTTAAAGCCATGAGAGCTACTGTACCTTAAAATGTTTCACTGTGCAAAGTCTACTCAGTGTTATTTTGTGTGAATGTGGCAATATTGTGCTAGAACCTTTAACGTTATATTTACAGGATAATTTTATAATGCTCATCATCATTTATATTTTCAATACAGTATATGTATATACTTATTTATACATATAGATTTAAAATTCTCCCCTCTCAGTATGTACAGAACATGTTATGTACAGATGCTCTGGTATTTACAGAAGTCCTGTGAGTTTTATCGCACTTCCGAGGAACGAGATGGCAGAGCAGCACAGTGACTTTGAGGCCATGTTCAGTGGATGATCTCTGGAGAAAATGGAAAGTCTTACAAATCTGGATAGGTCACAACAAAACCCACCACAAGGCAAATAACAAACTGCTGCTGTCGTTAACGCATGCGAACCTCGTAGCTCCAGTTTTCGTGATATTCAAGTGTTTTTCTTCAGCGCGACAGCAGGGAAATCTGGTCCCGTGTTTCTTTTTTTGAAAATTCAAATATGATTCATTTATCGTGGAAACAATCACATCTCCTCAGACCCAGTAAAAAGGATTCAGAAATATCTCTGTATAAATACTCTCATCAAAATAAACACATATACACATATCTTTGCACTTGCCTCTGGTTCAGTAATACAGAGCAAAAATATCAGCTTCATCAGACAGATTTCATTTGAGCTGCGAGGTGAGATGACTGAAACTGAAGCTGAAGCTGCACTGACAGAGAAAGAGTTGTGCTTCTTTTGCCTCTGGAGCTGCAGCTGTTCTTTCCCGAGACAAGAATAGCACCTTTTTTTTCTGAGAGTGTGACTGTTTTCAGCTCTTTGTGATGATATGGTGGGATGATGTTAAACCTCAGGACAAAAGGAAACAATCCTTTACCTACATGCTCTCGCTTGGATGATTCTCAAGATGTTCGAACAGGGTTTGGACTTCATTATGGAGCCTGTAGTGTGCCATCAAAACCACCATAAGGTTAGCTTTCCAAGTCTGCGAGTTTTTGTGTCCAGCAAGATGTTAAAAAACACAAAGCAGCAGACAGAAACAGCACTTAGATGATTTGTAGATAGGATCTAAGGAGCCACGTATTCTATTCAGGATTTGGTAAATAGGTCACAGAGACACTCAGAGCCAAGTACTCGAAGTTTCCTTCTCTTCCACATCGGCTTCATTTTTTTATGTTTTATACTGTCTGTCTAAAACTTACAATCATGTTTCTTAATTTGTTTTCTCAAATTGTAGCATGGCAACAGTGGACGAGGCTTCTAAAACGTTATGACTCCACCTCTTTGCCTCTTTCTAGGTAACCCAACCCATTTCCTCCACTCCATAAACCGATGCATGCAGGCTCCGATATGTCTTACACTTGGACCCAATCGCAAACGAGGCTTTAAGGTCGTAAATTAACTACAAATGGATGAAGTCACTTAGACCTTGTCCGTGTTTTCTACAGTTTTGTTCACAAACACATAGCCATAATTTGTTATCTAAAACAGAGAAATGCGACTTTGCAGCATGGCAACAGTGGATGAGGCTTCTGGAGTGCTTGGTTACCGAGTGCTTTGGGAACGTAAAGAGACAGAAACTGCTAAAAAACAGGGTTTCAAAACACCAATCCAAGATGACTAGGGAAGTTTTTTGAGCTGTGAATCATATAAAACTCCTACAAAAAGACAGAGAGACAAAATATGACCCAAAAATGAGCATATGGCTCTTTTTTTTCTGATAAAATATTGATTCAGACCGGAGCGGCGGCACACTCCAGGCTCCACACCTGCACATCATCCTGGTCTTTGTTGATTCAGCTCCCTTACTTCACACAGAAAAACTAAAATCCAACACAACTTTGCTTGCTGCCAAAATAATTGAGTGCAATCACATGGATATTTCATTTCCTACCTTACCAGGTATTTAACGTTATCAAAAGCCATTTGAACCTTCCTGTTTTATACCTTTCTTAAATAATGTTTCTCATATATTTAAATTCTTCCTGACAGCATAAACTATATTCTCTCTGGATACTATGGTTTCTTTATAGCTCTCCTGTAGATAGAAAATATGATCTGATCTGAGTTATAATGCTATTTGTGTCATATATTCTGAAAATGTACAGTATAAACAATAAATATTCAGTGTGGAGATCCTCATTGAACGCCTTGTAAATACAGTGAAGAGTGTGATTGGACTAGTTACCTCTTTGCAACCTGGTAGTTATTTTCCCTAAACGTCTAAAACATGCATTCCTGTTTACGCTCCACGACACCAACAGTGCAACATCATAGAGTACAATTACCAAACACATACAAAAACACACACACACACACACTTTCCATAAAAACCGCATACTGGCACACTCACAGTGAACGCTCAGGTGGGACAGGAATTTGGGGGGTTGTTGCCACCGCGCGCCAAAGAAGGCAATTTCAGCTGACACCCCGGGGAATGAAGGATGAGTATGAAGTGAGAGATGAAAAAAAAACAGAGAGAGGAAATTAAAAAAAGCCTTAGTGTGGCAGGACAGATGTACAGTACTTCTTAAATCCACTGGAGAAACAGCGACAGCAGCAAAGAGCGCTCACTCCTCCCAGCAGCCGGTTTCCAGACTCTCGTGTGAAGTCAAAGGCAATATTGCAAGTGAATCAAATAAGGCAAAAAGGAACATAAAATATTAAATAAAAACATGTTTCCAGCCAACGTAAAATGGCAAAATGTGCGTCTGATCAAAAGTCCCCTGACAACAGCATCTCAGATACCTCGTAGTTTCTTCTAGTTGTGTTTTCTTTTAGTTGAACCTTGTTTTTATTTTGAAGAGGAGCCCGTGTTCGGATCGAGGTTGAAGTAATGCAGCTTGAGATGTAAAAAGGTCGATGGACGAGCGCGCCGGGGTGTTTGATTTTTGAGCAGGTGGTGCAGCAGTAGCAGAAGTTGTGTGGGAACTCAGTGGTGTCATAGCACTGTGCTCTCAGACTCCTCCTCCATCTCTGCTTTGTTGTTCGTCGACTCGAGCAGCGCCACTGAGTTCCTGAAGGGGGAGATGTGGGGCAAGTCAAAAATACCGTCCAGGTCCACGTCGATGACGGGGATGTCCAGGTTGCAGAGAGCATCTGGCGGAGCAGAGACACAGAATAAGAAGAGAGCAGAGTGGAGGCAGCATGTTGAGACACATCGACCCTGAGGAGATCATTTCAGTCAGGCTGGATGATGTTACAAACAGCATGGGGGCACTTCACTGTAGTTACAGTATGAAGAAATCCAAGATGCATGATAGGGATGCACGGTACTAATTATTCAAGGGGCAGTCATCATCGACATTTACCCCCATTTATGAATTTCTATATTTCTATATTAAAGGTAATTTCTGCAATTTAGTGAAGATTATTTATGAAAAGCTTGAATTGATTTTTAATCACATAAATATGAATGTTGATTTTGGTTTTAACTCTGAATGATCCTTTAGTATTTACATGAGGAGCTAGTCCCTTTCCACCGAGGCTGCCGTCTTGCACAGCCTACGGCAGCACAGACGGGAAAAGCAAGTAACATCGTATTTAGTGAAGCAGAGCAGCAATTTTTGTGCAAAAGAATTTGTATCTGAGTTTTAGATGATAAAAATGTGACAAAAAGAGAACCATAAAATCATACATCACAGGAGCGTCTTGTTCTCAGAGGCCACCGTAGCCGCTGGAGCTCCACTAGTGCAAAGGGTGAGCAAGGGAGCATTTCTATGTAGAAACTGACTGATAGCCTTTGTCTATACACTGAACCTATAGGGGGATACTCCGGCCTATAATTAAGTTGGATCATTTCTTCATGGAAATACAATCAGACCGAGACGCTAAGGCAGAAGAACTACCGCGTCTGCAGTTCAAAATGATTAATATGATGATTCAACTTCAAAGGAATGATAAAGAAATGATCATAAATGTTCTTCTTTGAGCTGCGTCACCCCGCTGTAGTCCATAATGGACTCGCCCGGAGGTCTCTGTACAAACAAGCGTCTGCTGGAAGAGAGTAGGTGAGTTCTCTTTAGTCTCTTAGCTAAAGAAATCAGGCAAAGCTAAAAAGATGTTTGGTGTCTAGTACTATGTCTGTGACCCTATATGTCCTGTTGATGAAGTTAGGTGCTGTTCTGAGCATTATTTGTGTCTATAGAGTGGCGTTTTGTTTGAGCGTGTGGCTATCTGCGGTCGTTACTAAAGTTTGTTTAACTAGAGAAGCAAGCGGTCGACAACATTCATCTCTCAACAGGGTGTCTAATGTATGTATTTCAAGGATGTTGTTGGAAATTGGCAGAATGTCATTATTGTGCATCCCTGCTAATACTTGATTGAGACACAATCAATAACCACAAAGACTGATCACTTCAGTGAACGGGGTCGAGCACAAAACCACAGGATCAATGCAGTCAGTCGTACTGGTCTGTACAACAGAATATATTGACCTCAGTTTGATGATGTGTAACTGTGTCTTTGTCTCGGTCGTGATAATGATGATGTCCACAGTAAACACATATGATGAACGACTTCACACCGCACAGACAGGAAATGCGTCTTGTTTGAGGAAGTCATGGGCAGTGAGGCACAACACTGGAGTGGAGTGGGAGTTTAGGGGGTTGGTTGCAGTGGGCTGTCGAAGGTAGGGGATGGCAGCTAGAGCAGGGCATTGTGGGAGGAAATCACAAGACAGGAAAAAGGGTTTTTTTGTGTCTGCCCTGGTTTGTCTGTTGGACACGCCCACGGAAGCCATGCATCGCATCAGTCTCAGCCATCATGCAAAGGCCAACAAATCAGGTTAGAGCCGGACAGCTGGACAGCGACACAGCCGCTGCATGGAGATAAAACATAATAGGAAATGAAGTCCTCAAGAGTCGGCCTTAGAGGGAGGCTGCCACAGAGAGCGGGATCACACAGAAACCTGATCCCATAATCTGCTCCCCATGGCAGCTTCACTCCAACGCAACTTGGCTCATTTTGGTTGCGATGGCAGGGGAGGGTGTTGGAAGGGCGGGCGAAGGGGGTAGGTGAGGCTTTAGCACAGGAACTCCTGCTTACCCTAAAAGTCCCTCTCTTAAAGAATCACCCTGAACCTCTGGGCTCATACTGCTGTAAGTGAGACAATAAGAGCAGTCGACAAGAGGGGAAAATTAGACCAAAACATCATTCACACCTCCCAGAAATATTCAAGGACATTTACACAAAGAAGGATAATTAATAAAGTCACTCAGCCTGAAACAGAAGAACTCAAAGTTAATGGACGGATATTTCCTCATTGTCAACAAATCCCATAAAAAAAACAACTAAAAGTGTCTCAGAGTCTTAGTGAAGTTTAGCAGGTGTGGTCATATGAAAGGCCTGTTGTTACCTGTGGACATGCTCTCTCCTGGAGACAAACCGTCCAGCAGACCTGTCGAATGCTCCAGAGGTTGGGGACTGGTGCCCGGCGTGGAGGGGGGCTGAGGCGGCGGTAAGCTGGGCCTTTGGCGGGGCGGTTTGGGTGTCGGCCTGTTCTTGGTGAGGGTTCCGGCCAGAGAGGGAGGAGAGGAGAGAGACGGAGTGGTGGCCATCTGAGAGGAACCAGGTGAGCCGATGGTGGCGTACCCCTGTGGGTAGCCGAAGCCGTACGGGGAGGGAGTGCTGGGAGGAGTGGGCGACAGGCTGACTGGAGACGGCTGACCTGTTGACTGGTCCGACATGGCTCCTGTCTGGCTGTAGGGGCCTTTAGGTGGGATTGGGGCCAGCTTCTTTGCTGTGGAGGTTAAGAATGATTGACATCTGATTACAATCAATCAATCAATCAAATTTTAATTTTAAAGCACTTTCAATAAAAATAAATAAAAATACTAATACCGAACCCCACCAGAACCTTCTAACCTCCATTCAACACATACAACCCTCACACACTCACACACACAGATGCACACACTAAAGACCAGGACTCTTCAACTTGCCACAGATGACTGAGAAAACGCTATCTTGAGTTAAAAAATAGTGAGAAAACACTTGATCTAGGACTAAAATGCTAAAACCATGATAAAATATAATAAAGGTGATAAAGCGTTAAAAGTGAATTAAATAAAAGTCTCAAAATCAAACAGTAAAATAGAGTAAATTAATCAAAAGAGGTAATAAAACACAAAATAATTACTCTAGGACTAAAATAGCATAAAATCACACAATGCAGATTAAAACAAAAATCCAACTTACAAAACTGTGATATAACCCAAATCCTAAAAGATATGAAGATGCTGTGTTCCTCACCCAAAAAAACGGAGACTAAAGGGTTTCAGAAGGTAATGATAAAATAAAAGATTTTGCAATCCTGTTTGAGATTTTGAAATAATAATAATAATAATAACTTTATTTTTATTGCACTTTTAAAAACAGACGTTTACAAAGTGCTTTGACAAACTGTCGTAAAGAACATACAGAACATCGGCACATGGAAATAAAAACAAATAAAAAACAAAAGCTCAGTTAAAAACAAGACCTCCGAATTAAAGGCCAATTTCATTTGTCATAAGGAACCCAGACAATACAAGAACCCTACGACATAAAATGAGACCATGAGGACCAAAATAAAAACATAAAATAGGTAAGAAGAAGAAATGTAATAAAAAAGGGGGGTAGAGTAACAGGATAGTAAATATAAAAAGACGATGTTAATAATGATAATAAATCATAACAAAGTAATTATGATGGTAATAGTAATGATAAAATGGAATAACAAAAATGAGCAGGAAAAAACAATAAAATACATAAGGACTAAAAGGTTCAATAGGAAAAGATTATAAGTAGAACAAAGACTTAAAAGACAGTAAGTCGAAATAAGAAATAAGAGGTAAAAGAGATAAAAGATACAGATAAAAGAAACAGCCTTCTTACCTCTCCTCAGTGAGTGTGGGCTGTGCTCAGAGTGCTGCGACTGTCCACTAGAGGTCATGGTTACCTTCTGCCCGATCACCGGAGACAGCTCCTTGTTCTTGAGCGTACTGAGGACAGAGTGAAGGAGAACAGACACAGGAGTTACAAGCTGCAGCTCACTCCTCTTTGATAGTATGCCAAGCCTGTTTCCATAAATTTCATGGCTTATTAAAATAAAATAAAAAATGAGAGCACCCATAGTTCAATGTCAAGTTACGGCAGCGTCCACTGCTGCAGACGGATATGTTGTCTATACTGTGCTGCAGCAGAAGCGGGTCAAGAATCCCCAAACAATCCTAATGGCTTAATGGATTTTCTTTACTGTTATGGTGCAGTGCAGCTGGAATGCCAATGGGAAGAGGGGCTGAAGGTCACGCCATAACCAGTTTATACTCCGACTGTCTGTCAGCACATGAGGCATGAATGAATGATTGAAGCTGCTGTGATAAAGGGTCCAGACAGAGCTGTGCACAGGGGGGTCTTTGTGTGTTTTTTTTTTCGTTCCAATGTCAAACATAGTAACGTCCTTCACTGACGCTGATGATGTGTTGTTTCACTCGAGTGTAAATCACAGAGTGTTTGTTTTCGTTCATTGTCAAGGTCTGATCCTGCAGTCTAGCACTCAGGGCTGGCTGGGTAATGCTATGACTCATTAACGCCCACTTTTATAATGGTATGCAATGAAAGCTTTGAATTTCCTTTGTTGCCTGGCAACTGGCTCCTGAATATCCTGCCAGGATGGAAAGTTATGGATTTCATTCATGGTTGTTAAATTAAAGATGGATCTGATAATGGTATTCCTGAAGAGCTCTGTTTTCCATGACTGACTGTCGCACAGCTAAGGAGTGTGTGACGCTGTTGGGAGTCCCTCCGTCTCCTGGTCCCATCCCTCTTTGTCCCTGTATGGCCTCTCTTCATTCATGTGTGAGTGGTGTTGGAACTAGTTAAGCAGGGTTCTGTATTTACCTAGTCAGCTTGGCTCCTTTCTCCCGGCTACAGGCACAGGCTGCCCATGGAGGGGGAGCAGAGAGGGGGGTGTTGGGAGGTTTGGGGGAGCCAGGGAACAGATCGTGGCGAGTAAGAACGAGCGGGGGTTTGATGTAAAGGGTGGAGCCGTTCAAATCGGACGGGGCGGCATGCGAAGCGTCGGACAGGGAGACCTGTCTGGGCAGGTGCAGGGAGCTGGGTTTGGGGTTGGAGTTGACGTCAAGCTGCTGGGGTGTCGGGCTGAGGGAGTGGGGGAGCGGGGGTGGGCTGTAGCCGGTGCGGCGTGGGGGAGGGGACGTGCCGGGTGGCACGGACTCGGGACCGGGAGCGACAGGACGCTTACACGGCGGGGCACGGGTGAAGAAATGGTGGTGAGGGATCGTAAAGGAAGAGCAAGAAGAGGAGGAGGAAGAGGAGGAAGAGGGGTAAGGGGGGGGCGGCCTCTCCTCCTCAGGGGAGGGGTAGGCGTAACAGGAGTCCGACCAATTGGAGGATGCATCATCAGAGCTGCAAGAATAAACATAAGAATATTTCACGGGGAAAAAGTTGGTGTCCTGAAGCTACAAAGATGTTGATTATTTTAGAAAGGTGGAGAGAGGGGTGGGATTTTAAAGTTCGGTCTATTATTATCGGGGAGAAATCTGGTGAAAATTAATGACTGTGTGTGTCAGGAGGGAAATTAGAAATAAGAGCTTCAGGTGAAACAGCAGAGAGGAGATAAAGAAAAAAGTGCTCTGTGGGTTTTAAATGATGAAAAAATAAACAAATCAATAGAACAGAAAAGTCAGTCACCTCATCCATTGCAGGGCCTTGCGACAATGGACAGTTATGCTGTTAATGATGCTTGGACTAACAGCAAAAACAAAACAGATCAATTATCATGCACATGCAGCAATGAACCATTCCTTTAAAACTCCAAACAAACTTTTCTTTTTAAACATTTTATATCACAAAAATTCGCCTGAAGAGAATTTGAAGCTTCTACGTGCCACAGAGGGCGTTACTCTGAACAAGTCCACACATGGAACTAGAAATTCAACACAGAGAAATGTAACCAGAGTGAGGACTTAAAGGACTATTTCAGTGTTTTTAAAGTGAGATTGTATTAGCCAGAATGGATGCTAGTCAGCTCAGCCCCTTCGGTGAGAAACCGCTGAAAGAAACAGGACGCTAGGTGAGCAGACAGGGGTCGACTCTGCTGAGAACGGTAACATCATGATTAGCTTATATAGCATCCTGTTTCCGCCAACATTTTCTCTATAAAGAGGCTGTCTGGCACTTTTTGTGGCAAGTACATTGAGAAGGGGGTGTCTGCAGGGCCGGAGAGCCCAGCAGATCAACAACCGTGACAGATCTACAACCCTCTTTGTGCCCCTGCTGGACGGAGTAGGTCATTGCATGACAGATCCACAAACTGAAACACGTGACCACCCTTTCTCGCTGCGTCTTTCTCGAAAGTTAATGGCTTTAATAGAGCAATGCCATGATTAAGTATTAAATGTGAATCACATCATTTTTTAGTCATTAATAAAACTGTTGTCTTAAATTTGACGGGGAAATAAATGTAAATATGACCGGCTCCGTTTATGACATTTTCCCTATCCATTTTCCATGATAGCCTGAAATGCACATTGAATCTCCATCAAGCTAATGCTAACATTAGCTTGTCGGAAGTCGAAAATGTACTATTTGACCCGTAGGATACTAGCATTGTAGTAAATGAAACAGAAGTGTGATTACTAATAATGTGCATGAGATTGCACATGAAAATATACAATAAAAACACACAAAATATCACATTCATCCGGCTCTGTAGACACATACTATTACATTCAGGGGGTCACAATCATCGCCAAGGAATAATTAATATAAAAGCGAGGCCAATCCCTGTGAAATTGGGATAATATAAGTTGACATTTTGGTAGAATAAACCCACGATATTAAATAATAATAAGTAAGAAATTGTAAAATTTAGATGAAAATGTAAATATGTGAATTATTTATTTTTAATGTAAATTTAAAATCCTTGAAAGGAAGTGGGCCGAGTCCCAAGAACTGAACACTTTCTTCACAAATTTCAAAGACTTTTATTTTGATTCGATAAAAATATATGGCTGCGGTCACTTATTTATATATTAACTTGTTTATTGAATTAAATTTCTGGGCACAAAAAGGGATGTGGAACAGTGGTTAAAAAGTGGGTTGTGGATCTGTCCTGGTTGTGGATCTGCTTGGCTCTCCGGCCCTGCAGACATCTAGTATTGAGTCCACTCACTAGTGACAAGTTAATGATCTAACCTCAGGTCAAAAACACTGAACTGTCCCTTTAAGAGCAGTCACAGAGTTTGAAATGACACGCTTCATCAAAGGTGAGACATTGGGGATCAAACGAGGTGATGGGTAAGGACTTTAAAGGGGGTCAACAGAGCAACAGTGAAAAAACGTGAGGGGGGAGGAGCAGACAGCACTGCTCTGATGTCAGCAGCAGGACGCAGCAGCAGACGCGGCAAAAGGAGGAGGGGCAACAGCAGGTGGGTGATTGTGGGGGTGTTGAAACAGGAGGTAGGGGCACGACAGCCTTACCTGGCTCGGTCGCTGCTATTGGGTGGAGGGGTTGGGGAGGGGGAACCGGTATATTCCCCAGCTTGCTCTGGGATAAGAGCGTCACAGGGCGGGGTTGGGGGATGCACGTTGGGTGGCGTGGGCGAGTTTTTGCGCGAAGAAGACGAGCCCCTGCGTGACACCCATGTAGTGTCCATCACTCTGACACCCATGCTGCAGTGGGACAGAGATGCACAGCCAATCAAATCAAGGGAGGGCCTGTGTGGAAGCGGTCTAAAGGGGGGGTCACACCCTAAACAGATCAGGCTTAAACGGATCCTTGTTCACCATCTAGAGGCGGTGACGACCATCAGCAATGTGAGACCGTAGGAACAACCCTCAGCATGCAAACAGAGAAGACTTTATGGAAACAGAGTCTCGCTGAAATGGAAAAGTTCTCCTGCGGGATGATAATAATGTACGAGGGAGGCAACATTAAAGTTTAAACGACTGCTTCATAAGAGCAGTTTGGTTTGATGAACGGGTATAAAATGTGCATTAGGACCCCTAAGATGTTAGGAGGCCAGCTGGTCATTTTAAAGAGCCAATGGGTGTGTTTACATGGACTTCAGTACCCAGGTTTGATCACGCAGTCGTATCACATATTTTTGTTTGTGCATGTAAACATCAAATCCTGATTTCAGAAACTGGGATCAAAACCTGATTTTACTATTTAGCAGCTGCAGACTTTAAGCACAGACAATTTTAAAGGTATCGACGAACCGGCATGGCAGCATCTTATTTTTAAAGTGAAAGAGGAACTAAACTCTTGAGAATTAAGGAGGATCAGAGGTTAAGATTGGAGAAAGCATGAAGACTCTGTGTTCGTTAAGGAGATTTAAAGGTCCAGATTTTGGTGATTTAGAGACACTGTCGCTGTTTACAAAGAGACTCTCAGGAGGTCGACTAGAAATTAGTCTGAGTCAGTATTTTTTCTATATGGTGATGTAGTCGAAGTTGTAAACTACTTCCAAGTCATACTGTAAGTTTGACCAGAATACACAAGTCCATGTAAACACGCTTTTTCTCCTTTGATTTATAGCAAAAACTGGATAAAAAAAGACTGACTTCACTTATATGGGAACAGCTAGCTTGGTTGTGTCTGAAAGTTAAAAATAAAAAGTACTACAAGCATCTTTTGAAGCTCGATAAATGACCCACCGTGCATCTGTTTTCTATTTCTGAACACCGAGGTCGGCTGAATCGAGCCAAAAAAGAAACCAGTGCTGTTCACTGGAGAGAAAAGTGGTATTTATCAGTGGAAATATGGTCAGTTTCTGCTTTAAAACAAGAAAACAAACAAACGAAACATAAACTGAATCAACGGAAATGTTGGGGTTAAGGCTAAACTAATGAGCTGTGACTATAAACTCTTCTTTGAGTTGATAAGTGAGCTTTAAAAATGCTCGTCTCAGACTTTCTCTTTTCAACAGAGCCAAGCTAGCTCTCCCCCCTCCTTTCTGTGTTTATGCTAAGCTTATTCGCTGCAGGTTGTTTCTTTATAATAATCACACAGATATTAAAAAGAGGCACTAAGGGATATTTCTCAAACAAACCTCAGTGTGCAGCTCGCTCCACGCTGAGGTTTACCAACAAGCAGCCTTTGTCCCCACAGGCTGAACAAGTTCATCAAGTGCCCGAAACTGCAAAGATGCTACTTATGTAAACACTGAAAGAAAGACCTGCTTTGTCCATGTCGCCCGTGTGTCACCCCCACTCTCTTAGAGACATTGAACTATAGGAGTCCAAGTGAGTCACAGCAGGCAGACCTGACTGGAGCATTAAACACACACATGACAGATGACAGACAGCTCCAGTCAGCAGGCAGCTGAGATGAACAGACTGATGAGAGGATGACCCGAGGAAAATGAGCGATACTGTACCTTTGTATCTTCCTAATGCTGCGTTGTTGAAACAGAGACAAGCAAAATGAGGACAGGAGTAAGGATCAGGGAGGACAGACTCCCCCCCCCCCGGCTCATTAACAGCAATGTTATCAAAGCAGCAGAGAAAGTTTTGGCAGGATTAACTCGACTAGACAAGAGCCAAGATGGAGGAGCACATGGGGAGGCTGGCCTGGCGAGCGGCTGGAGCCACGCTGAGCGTAACAAGGAGAGTGATCTTCAGGGGTGAAATCTGCTGTCGTCAAAGCACTAAAACCATGTCAGAACCCAGAGAGGTGATTATCATTTCATTTAGTCCTAATGAGGCCAGAACCTCCCAGATGATATAAGTTTAGACTTTCTTATAACTGCAGAACGGTGATTTGGTTTCTAAGTCAGATATGTTGATATGAATATTAAGGCAAATCATTTGGACAAGTCGAACTGAAATTGGGTTTATTGTGTTGATTTGTATTATATTCTATCGTAGCTGTCTTCATGTGGTTGTTTAGTACTTGTTGCATCAGATATCTTAAGTTTAAGCTTAGACTAATGCTGCATTCCAGTTGTACTCGGAAGTTGGGATTTCCAAACTCCGAGTCGGAAATTCATCTGGAATGCCCCCCTGAAGTCGGACTATCCTCAACAACCACTACTTTACGACAACATCACAATTCAAGATGGCAGCGCAGTGCATCAACAGTAGAGAGTAACACTTAAAGCGCTCGTAATTTATTATTTATCAGCGCTTCTGTTTTATTTTGGTGAAATTCAATAAGTGGTTTATGTTGTGCTGCCCAACGTCTAACTGTGAACACGTCGCCATGGTGTTTGTAAGAGTAAAATACTGTGTTTTGCGTTGTTTACAACTGGTATAGCTAACAACTACTAACAACAACTGATAACAGCTGGCAATTGTAAACAACAGGTAACAACAGGTAACTGTAGGCCTCCATCTTGGTTTTCCGACTTGTTAACTGTCAACTCAGGCGTAACGTCATTCCCAGCTTCAACATCCGACTTCTGAGGTAACTGGAACACAGAGTTATGCTGCGCTCCAGTTACCTCGGAAGTCGGAGCTGGGAACGACGCCACACCTGAATTGACGGCGTTCCACTAAACAGGTCGGAAAACCAAGATGGAGGCCTACTGTTAGCCGTTGTTTACAATTGTCAGCTGTCGTTAGCCGTTGTCAGTCATTGTAAGTGGTTGTCAGCTGTTGTTAGTTGTTAGCTATACCAGTTGTAAACACAGTAACCCAATAGCATGTTTCCAGCTTTTCTAGCCAATCAGAGGCGAAGAAGGCAGGACCTTCCCCTACTAGCCTACGAAAAATAATATCGCAAGCCAGGGTTGGTGAGGATCGTCCGACTTTCTGAGTCTGAAATCTGACTTAATGGGGGCGTTCCAGATGAATTCCGACTCGGAGTACAACTGGAACACAGCATAAGATCTTATTCAAACCTTGTGCTGCTGCTCGGCTGATATAGTTTCCTCTGTTGAAGTCTGACACCAAACTGAACCACCTGTTAGTTGAGACTTTAATCCAACCCAGTCACATTGAGAGGAGTACTGACCTTCAAATCTGAAAATAAAAACAGGATCCCACTGCAGTTTCCCTCTCTTTTAATTACCTCCCTGATTATCTCTTTAGATTTATGTCGATAAAGTGAAGTCTGTATCCTGCATCAGAGAATTATGGGAAATTTGACATCTTTATTGCTCTAATGATGGAGCACAAACCCCCAGAGCTGCAGCTTCTAGATATCCTGTCACGGGAGAAAATTGAAATGCAACTGAACAACAGCGTGCAGCCTTAAATCTGCCATCTTTTGTACTGTATATAAAAAAAACTAACACTTTCAAAGGAGCTGGAGCCTCTTTGTGCTGAGCCTGCTGGTTCTGAGGAGCGTTCTTTGTGTTACCACTGAAAGCCCAGCTCTATTGATCAGATCCAGCACTCACTCGGTGCAGGTTTAATTAGCTGGGCTACTTGTAGTCCCAGGACTGCGGGGCTAAGGCTACCCACAGGGCTCGATGAGAAGGAGGGTGTATTAAAGCATTAAAAGAAGAGACACAGAGACAGACAGAGAAAAGAGACAGAAACCGTCTGACTGGGTTTCGGCTAATCCTTCTCCAAAGCTTGAGGATTGTCAGATTCCTCATTTCACAGACTAAATGTCATCTTTCTCTCTCTCTCTCAGTCCCTTACCTCAGTTTTTTACCCCTCTGTTTAGTTTGAAGGCAGCAGCTGCAGATACAGAGTGATGAAGTGATACTTTCTGTCCGTCTCAAAGTGAAACCGAGCTTTCCATGGAGATCACTCTCACATGAAACTTGTGTAATCACGGGGGAATTCTCCAGTTCTTACACCTCACGTCCGACCCTGTCAAAACGCAGTCATGCAGAAATGTAACGTGCCTCAAAAGTGGCTTTGTCTGGAGGAAAACTTAAAGCTAACTTGTCAGTGGAGCTGTCAGCTGGGAGCCACCCTGAATGAAGCTGTAACAGCAGCTCAGAGGTAGAGGGGACTGCTGATTGATTCAGAGGCAGGGTGACATGAATGTGTGTGTGTGTGTGTGTGTATGTGTGTGTGTGTAAGTGTGTGAGTAATCAGCGGGAGCTTTAAGCTGAGTCTCCAGGAAAATACTTGACAATTCCAGTTTTTATCCATATCTTGGGTTTGCAATAGTTGACAATAATGTCTGTTTTGTGTCAGCTGCAGGAGAATAACTCTCTCCCTGTCCGTTTTCCTGCTTAAACATGTTTATATGCTGATCAAAAACCTACTAGAAGTGAGTATGTTAGCGCTATAAAGGAAAGCATTTCAGCATGCTGCTGTGTGATCACTGTTCAGTCTGACTAGAGCCTCTAAACGCTCTCCTCAGGAGGCTGCAGGTTTGTTCTCCTGATGGTTTTTGTCGCCGAGGGGATTTTTTTCTGTGACGAGTCCAAGGTGGGAAGATTACAAGCAAAATAAAATGTTGAATAAACCAGCTATTATTTAGGATTATTCTTAATTTTGTAACTACTGGTGTTTTATCTCTTCAAGTGTTGACATGTTGTGTATACAGTTTGATTTCACTCCGACGTGATGGACACGTTATAAGCCCTGTTAGCCTAACTAGCTACAAAACTCACAAACATTTTCAGTTTGACTACAAGCTACTTTTAAATCTACAGTATAATAATTTTTGATTAACATGATTGATTATGATGTTGTGTCATTATATTCATAACTGACAGTCTGTAAAAACGAGGATAAAATGTGTATAAACTCTTTTAAAATGAGCTCCAGTTTTATCAGCTGCAACAAATGTTAAAAGAGATGTATTAAAAATATAATAAACTGTATAAAAATGATCTTAAAATGGTTCATTCAGCTTGATGCTCCATTATCTAAAAATAAAATTAAAATTAAAATTAAATAAATAAAGTAAAATAAAATAAAATAAAAATAAAATAAAAGTTAAAATAAAAATAAAATAAATAAAAATAAAAGCACAGTTTAATCTTCTTGTACTTTTTTCAGTAATTTTCAGTTGTAACTGTATGTCTGTGCAGCAGTATGACTACTTTAAAGCTGCTGTAAGAAATTAATCATTTTTGGTCCGTTTTATCATAAACTCATCTCAAAAGGCTCCAAAAAGCCACACTCACATGCCAGAATCCTTATTTTGTAGGCTAAGACGAGCTTCTCCTGACTTTACCTTCAAAATCTAAGATTTGTTTATCTAAGCCTCCGCTAAAAAACACAAAAAACTAAACCGTTCCCAAATCTCCCTCTTATTTCTTTATTTTCTTCGTTTCACCCTGTCTCCGTTCACTGGGCTGCAGGAGTCTGGAGGAAAAACTGTTAAAGCTTCTTCTTCTTAAGTTCGTTGTTCTCACAGTGAACGCTTTAAAAAACCAGCTTGTGTCTGATCAGAACTCTTTTTATCACTCCTGTCTCTTAATGAATCTTGTCTCTTTTTTGAGTCTGTCTCTGGATCGTAATCGTCGCCCAAACCCAGGATTAACACTGAGATCAAAACTATCAGACTTCACACACACACTCCAAACTGCAGACAGATACGCTGTCATTATAATCCCAGCAGAGATATGAGGTTTGTACCCGTCCTTCTTGTAGAACTCCAGCATCATGTTGTCCGTGGCGACGCTGAGCGGCCGTCGACTCTGGTCGTTCTGCCTTCGATCCACCTGATCCATGTCTGGAGACGGCATCGAGCTGTAGTTTGCGTTGTGGTTTGTGTGGACCGGGCTCCCATAGTTCCCAGTGACGTTGAACTCGATTTCTGAGAAAAGCAGAAACAATTCAGCGTCTAATTATCAGAGGAAAACACACCCAAGTCTTGATTTTGTGTTCCTCCTCACCTCCGGGGAAGAACCAGTCAGCGTGCTGAATGATCGGCTCGATGATACCGACGATCTGCAGGGAGACTGTCGTCATCATCTCTGTGATGTTCCTGCAGCAGACAGAGGGGAGGCAGACGTTTTACAGCGGGACAGTCAAGGAGAAACAGCAGCGATTAAGACGTCTTCATGACATTACAGAAGCATTAAAAGGAGAGAGTTAAAATCATTTCAGAAATGTCGGCTTATTAAACCACTAATTAAAATTTAAGGAGGCTGTAAAATACAAGAACGTGTCCTTCACACGCCTCAAACTACTCAGTCATCACCGTGCATACTTCATACAACTGGAATAGTGAAAAGAGTCTGAGGAAACATATATCTCTGTTAAAAGTGCGACACAGTCAAAATAAAAAGCAGTGTAGGGCTGGGCGATAAACCAAAAATTTACTGATACCGAAGTTTACGACAATAACCCACGTCATTTTGCCCAAATGGGTATATTCAGTGTCAAAAAAATAAACAAATAAAAGTTATAAATAAAAGACAGGTGAGGAGATGGAGGACGGTTCAAAAGTTGGAGCGGCTGGATGTGGGAGGGGGTGAGCAGCTTGTGGAGTAGTTATCATCCATTTATCGTTATCGAGGTGAACTGATCAATCTATCATGATATTGATTTAAGGTCATATCGCCCAGCCCTAAAGCAAAGTGTCCACTTTGTAGGGAGAGAAGAGAGAAGAAGAAGGAATAACTGACATAGTTTTAAAGCATGACGGCCTTTAAACAAACTCAGTAAAATCAGAAATCTCAAAATCACAAACACAAAATTTGTTTGTACCTTCGGATAAAATGTTGGTGAAAACAGATTTTGATGGTTTTTGAATAATTTAAACTTAGAATTTAATTAAAACAAAAAAACACAGGAAACATTAAAACTGACAAATTATGAAGACTGTTTGCTCATTTCAATTTTCACAAAATTTGGCACAGAGACGAGAAAAACTCAAACTGTTGAAAAAAATAAACACCTGGAGGAAAATCTCTCGACAAACCAGGATAAGTTCTGACAGACATGCAGAATAATAAGCCATGATATCCAGACGCTCGGGCTGCAGTGCTTCAAAACAGACATGACTCTGTAGTGGAAATCACTGCATGGGCTCAAACTCACCTCCAGAAACCAAACTGTTACACCGCTCAAGAAGAAACCCTGCGATATATCTGAGAGGGGAAATGGAAATCTCTCCTTTGGTTCACAAATCAAAATTTGACCTTCTTTTTGGAAATCTTGGATCCTGTATCTTCAGCTCCAAAGACAAGAAGAGTCACCTCACAGTTCAACAGCCAGCATCCGTGCTGATACGGGGATGCATAAGTCTTGGAGCAACCTATGCTGCCGTTAAAAAAATGACCTTCTCAGAGAGGACCTTCATATTTCACAGAGGAGACGCCAAAACCTGTTCAACACGTATCACAACGACATGGTTCTGTAGTAAGTAAAGGTGCCTTTACCCTTCGTCGTTCATCCACAGCAGGTTCGGTCCAAGGACAATAGCGATGTTTCCGGGCGTCATCTTGTTCACATCCTGGTACTCCGTCAGCTTGGAGAGGAACTTGATCAAATACCTGAAGAGAAAACAGAAAAACGCTGATTTAATTAAAAAATCATCAAATGTAACATCGATTTAGCCGACGCTGATCGGCTTTCTTAAACACCAACATCAGAGATAACCAGAGGAGAAGTGAGGATGAACAATGTCTGTTTATTAGAACTGAACATTTAATTTAAAGTTCAGGAAACGTCTCTTTTGTTTCATCTAAAATAGTGATTTTTCAGCTAATCTGGAGGGTTTATGAATAATTTATCAAACTCTAAAGGAAGAAAAGTCGCTCTGAAAATCACAAAATCACCAGAAAACCAGCGAAACTGTTTCTCCTGGACAGCACTGATATATTAAACTAAAGTGCCTCCGCGCGGGAGAATTAACAGCTTGTAAATGTGTGGAGCTTTTGTAGGAGTGCATGAATTGTAGCTGCACAGATAGCGGTCAAGGTCAGGAGGATGTGTTGGCTTGTTTTATCGGGCTGAATGTAAAATGAAGTTCTCGCAGTGCTGCAACTTTGTTAGATTTTAATTTAAGTGAGAAATAAGAAAAATACTGTGATCCAGGTCAGGACTCCACCGTGATACGACGAGCACGTTTCTGAACCAGACTGAGCGTACTGTAAGTTAGAGGGAGCTCTGTGATGAGGACAAAAACTGGGCTAGTGTGTTTCTGTGGCCGAGTGACTCATCCTGATCTGAAGTACAGCTGAGTGAACATCAGGCAGCTCATTCCAGCGAGCAGCCATCATCTGGACAGGTCTGACAGGTCTCCTCAGAGGACGCCCGTCTAAAAATACGCCCTATTTGTGCAATTTCATGATGACACTGACAAGAGCCGCCGATCCTGAACTTTCAATTTCTCTCCTGTCACTTTCCTCTAGTCTCCCTCCACACGGATCTCCTCTGTTCTTCTGGATTATGAGATAATCCAGCAGATATCAGTGGATCACTTTGGATCGATGTTGACGGAGTTATTGTCAGACTGGTTTCTGCTCAAGTCCTCTTTTTTTCTGTGCAGCTCTGTTTTTAAAAGTTATTAGGGGCTTCGTGTTTTCTATGATTAACATAGATTGTCAATATGATTGACAGCCTAAAGGAGTACAGAGATTGCGTAGCTTATCCAGGGGAGCGTCATCACACGGTGCAATGTTGGTTTTAGGAAGTGGAGAATAAACGCAGAGCTTTTCGACACATATGTAAACGCTAGATGGCTTACGTACGCTGTTAGCCAATGGAGACCAACATCCACACATGGCGGCCATCTTGCTTCAAGCAGCTCCTCCACTCATAACATTACCGACTACAGTTCATGTAGCATTTAAATAACCGTAGATTAATTAATTTTAAAAGTTTGGTTTGTAACAAACCTCAGAGTTTTAGTTATGTATGTTATATTAGTAATATTTTTATTATAGGGATAACTATAATAACATACATAAATATGTATTTTTAATATAAATTTCTGCCTCATGTTGCTGTTTTAGATGTTTTTAACAAACCAAACAGTTTGGAAATCATGTGCAATTTAAGTTTTGTTGAATCGAAAGAGCATTTCTGCCTCTACAACTGATGTAAAGTTGCTGGGTCAATTTTGTTAAACGTACTCGGTCTCACTCACAGCAAGTCTGTTAGCCAAGTCAGACAGCTGATAAACACGAACACATTCACAAAGACTGACACTTAGACGAAAAATGTAGGCTGTCATACAAGAAATTAAAGTCTCGACTGTTGTTCAGCCTTGACAACTCGACTCAAAAGTTAGCCCTTGCACGTAAAATAGCCGTGAAACAACCGTGCTTCATGATTAAGTCTTTTTTTCCTCAAAGAAAATCTGTCATTTCAATATGTCCAAGTATCCCGACTCATAGCCACGTTATAAAGGTCTGTAATAAACTAAAACATTCATAAATCCATCAAGATCTCAGCGAGTTGAGAGTATTTTCGATCATGCAGATTTCTCAACTTCCGTCAGCTACCATAGAACGTACTGGAGTAAGATGGCCGCCGTGTAGGGACACTGGTGACTCCGCCTCGAGTCATCAAGCCTTTCTTATAGATACCTACAGCTTTTTGGCTTCAAATCCATAATCCATATACTCCAGCAGCACCTCATGGTGACAAAGACGAGACAGTGACTCCTAATTTACTCTTTCTGACAAAGTCTTGGAGCAAAAGAAGACAAGGGAAAGTTTTCTGCTGTCCTCGTTATCCTGCAGCTCCCAGAGTCTGACAGACGAGTCAGTGAGAGAACCAGTCCCACAAGTGACAAAGTGACAAAGTGACAAAGCCACAGCGTTTAAGATCTCCTGCTGATCTCCGCTGAGCGAGGATTTCATGCTTCAGTCTATTCGGGATTTTTGCCGGGAAATGTAAAGTGGCATTTAGAGCCCGAGGCGCCGCAACCCGCAAATCGGCAAAACACAAACAGATCAAGAAAGCATCTTGAGCAGTCTCAGAGCACATTAGGAGTGTTTAAGAAATGAGCTGCAATAACAGAAATGAAACTAAATATGAAGCAAAAAACTGACTTTAGGGACTTTAGGAAGTGAGACATGCAGCCAAGACACGCCTGTCCCAGTCACAATGTACAGATCGCCCAGTTTAAAAACCTCTTGAGTGACAACTTGGTCTTTTTGTTGCCAAAAAGTGACGTACAACTTCAAGAAGTGAGTGTAATTTCATTGTCTTTAGTACAACCGAACTGGTCTGAATTTGGAGCCCTGGTCTTGTTTTTGTTTGTGTCACAGAAGTCACCACGACACCCCTCATCCATCTCTCTTGTTCAGAGGTGTTTGTGTTCATAAAATTGGAAAGTATGTTTTGGACTTGTCTTTTGGTGTTCTTTCTTCTCTTAAAGTCTCAGGGACTTTTCAAAAATCAGGGCACAACTTTGAGTTTGAAGATTTTCTGCAGGAGTGAACGAGCTGCAGAGTTTGATATGCAACCAGCTGTGATTTTTAAATCGAAGAGAAGCTTATTTCACCCAGAATTCACGCTATTTTAGTCTCACTTCAGATAAAACCAGGCAGCTTTTTTGCAACAGTAGTTAGTCTAAAAGATAGTCCGGGGTCAAGGTCTGTGAAACCGAGTCTTTGGCTCTGACCCAGCCTTCATTTCAGAGCTCCAGATATCTTCTCCCAGTATGAATCATAGTTGGCCGGCTCTGTGCTGAACAAATTAAGCAACATAAAAAAAAACGAGCAGGGCACCAGAGAGGACCTCGAAAAGCAAAACATGGAAAAACTGACTCACTTGAAGTTGTTGTTGTTGGCTGGCGGGAGTTTCTCACAGGCGCTGAGGAGAGCCTGCAGTCTCTTGTCTTGATCTTGAATGCTGAAAGATGACAGAAATTTCAGATATTTCAAAGAAAACACGCACAAACTTAAAGATAAGGGTTCAAAATGCGGTCAGAGCGATCTCTACTCGTATTGAAAACACAACTTTGAGAAGATACAGACTTGGAGGCTTGGATCCAGTCGTTGTAGAGCTCGTATGTCATTAAGGGCTCAGGAAGCTCCCGCAGGTACGACTTCAAAGCACCTGGAAAAAAAATAACAAGATAATTCATGACGGATAAATTCATCTGCAAGTTTGTCTTCATGAAATTTACACATAGTCTTAATGTCTCTGCATGAGCTCAGAGTGTCGTCCTCAGGTAAACTAAAAGTCTGTATTTTACACCATGTCATCAGTGAAGAGATTTAATCATTAGCATCAGAGCTGCTGCAGTCGGATTATTCATTTTTAATGCCTGAATAAAAAAACTCAAAACTGAGACTCTGATAAAAACTCCTTCAGAAAACTGTTTGAAAATAAACCCAGAGCTATTTCCAAACCCTTTTTCATCAACGGCGGAGTGTGGGAGTGTAATTTTCCAGCGCTGATGAGAGGGGTGACGGCTGACTGGGCTTCTCTCTGACTTGTCTCTTTTTTCTCCTCTCTCTCTGGTCTGGTGCTTTTCATTTCCCTCGGGGATGTGTGGGATGGATGACAAACAACAGAGCCTCAACAGGGCATCCCTCACTGGGAGACGGCTCGCAGGCGGCCGTCGTTCCGTCTGAGTTTGGGAGCGAACGTGTCCGTCTCAGAGTCCGATCTGACGCATTTAATCACGCTAATGCCGAACTGGAACTTCGCAGAGAAAAGGTTTCTGCTTTTCCTTTTTGAGGCTGATTGCAGACGAACCTCCTCCCATCATGACCGGGACCACCCCCACTGGGACAGGACCACAAATTAGATTTTGTGCTGGAGCTAACCCAGTTTAATATGAGATCATTAGAGGAGAGATACTGGGATTCATCTTGAAGCTGTCTCCGTCTCCACATGCCCGAGTGAACACGGCACACTGATTGACTCTGATGTGAGATCTGATAAAGGAACACATCGTACCGGGGTGGTGGTGTATCTACAGCTTTTGTGGTCTTTATGATGAAAAGTGACCTCTATTTTCTGGCGGCGCACTTACAGGATTTTTAGCTGGTTTAATCAGTCACTGATGAGGCACTAAAGCTATGCTAATGATAGAAACTAGTTAACATGATCAGTCCTCTATGTTGTCCTTTTATTCTCCAACTTCTAGATCAGCTTTTTCTGTGTGTGTGTGTGTGTGTTTGGAAAGAGGCGACTGCAGCACCTTCAGTTCAGCATCAATCACAGACTGTTTTGTTTTGCCATCACCCTCTTAATCCTGTGGAGCTACAGAAACAGTTTAAATGGATCCTAAAGAAAACCCTGATCTATTCTCTCATGATTATAAGTTATCACACAAACAACTCATTACTATGCAATGCAATCTTACATAATACAGTATAATACCATCCAGCTCGGTGTTACACAATACAACACAATGTACAACGTTCTTTTCTGAAACACGATGAGACACAATAAGACAGGCTGCAGCACAGACTATATATGTGATACTATGTGATGCAACAGGATCTAATATAACATGATAATCTGTTCTGACACCATAGGATACAAAACTGCACAAAACACGATATGATAGGGCTGGGCGATAAACCGAAAATTTACAGATACCAAAATTTACGACAATAACTGACGTCATTTTGCCCATATCTGTATATTCAGTGTCAAATAAATAAATCGAAGTTAGTTTTGGTTGTGTGTATGTAGGCTATGGTCTCATGTCCCTTTAAGACGCTGTCCTACGTCAGAGACGAGACATCCAGTCCGTAACAAAGAGGGAAAGACAGGTGAGGAGATGGAGGACGGTTCAAAAGTTAATGTGGGAGGGGGTGAGCAGCTTGTGGAGTAGTTATCGTCTATTTATTGTTATCGAGGTGAACTGATCAATATATTATGATATTGATTTGAGGTCATATCGCCCAGCCCTACTATATGATATACTGCAATAAAAAACACTATCAATTCGACGTGATGTGACAAAAAAAAAGATCTAAAAAGACACATATCGCCCTCTAGTTTTGGGGAGGAGGACATGTTCACGTCAATAATTCAATGTATACGCAGCCAAGGAGAGAAGTCCGATTTGGTGAAAAAAACAAATTATGAACTTAGTACGGATAAGCTGTGCATGTAAACGCACTGACTGTTGTAGTTAAGACAACAGGGTCAAAGTCCTAATCTGCACTTATTTCACATTAAATGAACAGATTTAAGACCTCTTACTGTCCAAGCTGAACGTAGCAACATAAGCCATGAGGAAGGAGAAGGATGTAATTTGTCATAGATGTATCTCCATGTAGTTTAAAACCTTTGACAAACTTTGCTCTAATTTTTGTTTCATAGGGTAAACACTTCATCAAAAATGCATCTGTCCTCAGTGAAAGATATTTCCATCGCCTCTGAAAAGTTATTATTGTGGAAAAGTACTGTTTTCATCTGTCAACAGTGTTATATAGCAGTATGCTCCAGTGCAGACGAACACGACTCTCAAAAGAAAAGGGGGAAAAAAAAGATCAATAGCTGCAGCATAAAAGCTTGAAAGCTTTTCTTTCTTTTGTAGTCTATAGCTGTTCTGATTTAAGAGCGAATCGGTGACAGCAGCAACAAAACACATCTTCTTTGTATTTTTTTTCTGGAGCAGCTTCTGCAGAAGATGAAGAATCTGTCTGACACTAATCCCAGTTATATTTGGAATTTATCACCAGACATATTTGAGATAGTTTATTGAATTTATGTCGAAAAACACAGAAGTATGGAAGGGGAGAAAAAGGAGGAAAAACGGGCTGCTCTTCTCCTCTAGATGCTGACTCACGTGTAGCAACGAGAGCTGGATGTTAATGGATGTTTATTAATTACAGCTTCACAGTACCTGATATGTGCAGGAGAAATAAACAAACCCTCAAAAATGGGATTTAAAAACATCAGGGGTTTGTCTGATTCAGGCCACGTTCGGATCATGTAGCAGCTTAATTACAATATTCAGCCCTTAATCTATTTTTTCTCCTCTGAGTGGAAGTGAACAGAAGTCTCATTTACACACCGCCTCGGCCCGAAAGGCACTAAAATGAGATTTCTAACGAGCTCTGGGTGCCAACTCATAAATCCACTCCTGTAAGGCAAAGTTCCTATTCCAGACAATAGTAATCAGTCGTCATGGCAACTGATTACAGGAAGCTTGGGGGGGTTCCAGTATGCAGTGGCGGGGAGTCGTAATTAGCTCACCTGCGATGGCGTGTGGGTCTGCAGAGTACTCCTGAACATCCAACACCCCGCAGTCCAGAGAGGCCTTGAGCTTTTTTAGTTTGGAGGCCGAAGGAGCGACTCTGAACAAACCCTGAGGAGAAACACAAAACAAACACACATGTGGTGAAGGAGAGAGCTGAATCCAAAGGAGGGGCGTGTCGGATCATGACAGACTTGTTTCCACACATGGAGGCCCTGACCTCTGAATGTTTTAGCTTGTTTGGGGAGTTACAGTTACAGTACACCTTGTTTATAGTTTCTGTTCTCTCTTTGAGTCACATATACGCCCCAGTAGGACCCAACTGTACAGCTCTCTATGAGGAGCTGGTGTCCTGGTAAAGTGAAATTTATACCAAACTGAGTTACAGGAGGAACAGCGAGGACTCTGCTGCTTGTGCTGGATTTACAGATGGAAATTACCATTGAAACAACAATGAAAACGAAAGATAAACAAACAAACAGTAAAATACTGTGTGACTGGAAGCATTGGTTAAAGGTATATTTCGGCGTAAAATTAATCTAGGGTCAAACACACCGTAAAAACGAGTTAGACTACCCCTCGAGAGATGAATGTTGCCAACCGCTTGCTTCTCTAGTTATACCAACTTTAGTAACGAAGATGGCAATGCAGAGAGCCGCGCCCTTAACCTAAACGCCACTCTATCGCCACGAATAATGCTCAGAACAGCACCTAACTTCATCAACGGGACATATAGGGTCCCAGCCACCAAACATCTTTTTAACTTTAGCAAAGAAACTAGACACAACTCACCTACTCTCTTCCAGCAGCCGCTTGTTTGTAGTGAGACCTCAGGCCAGTCCATTACAGACTACAGTGGGGTGATCATAAATGTTCTTCCTTGAGCTGCATAACCCCGCTGTAGTCCGTAATGGACTGGCCTAGGGGTCTCGCTTCAAACAAGCGGCTGCTGGAAGAGAGTAGGTGAGTTGTGTCTAGTTTCTTTGCTAAAGTTAAAAAGATGTTTGGTGGCTAGTTCTATGTCTGTGACCCTATATGTCCTGTTGATGAAGTTAGGTGCTGTTCTGAGTATTAATTGTGTCTATAGAGTGGCGTTTTGGTTGAGGTTTGTTTACGGCTCCTCAGACCGCTGTGTATTGCTATCCTGCGGTCGTTACTAAAGTTGGTAAAACTAGAGAAGCAAGCGGTCAGCAACATTCATCTCTTGAGGGGGTGTCTAACTCGGTGTTAGGGTGTGTTTGACCCTTGATTAATTTTACACCAGAATATCCCTTTAATGATAACACAATGATAACAGGGGATCTCTCTCTTCCTCCACCTCTCTGTCTCTGTGAAGCAGGATGGTATTGACATGCTGTCTAACAGCGCATGATCATAACATCTATTTCTAACATTATCTTTAATGTTTTTGTTGGTTAGTGTGTTTTTCTCTACAGCTAAGGTCAGGCTTTTTTAAGAATCAGTCTAATAGTTGAACTTGTAGAGTTGTGCTGATTTTTAACAAAGCCTCAGGGCTGTTTGATGATTGAGTTACCTGAGTTTTTCAGAGAGATCATTTCAGCCACATACAGGATATTGTATAAGCTTTCATTGATGGTTTATTGCCTCTATTTGAAGCTCCCATGAGGAGTTTTAGCAGGTTATGAAACAAACTGAAATGAATACTGATGCCTCTCTGTGAACAAAACAAACAATAAAGACCATTTGAGAAAAGACTGATTATTTCTTCTTGGATATATTTATAGCCTCAAGCCTAGAAAAATATGACCGAGTCTTAAATTTACAAACACACAGTGAGTGAAACGTATGACTGTCAAAAGAAAGGAGGATAAAAACTCTTATCTCAAAACTCTGCTGGTTTATATTTTACCAATCTACAGGACAAAATCTGCAAAAAAAGAACAGATTTCACTTTGTCCACAGGGGGCGCCAAAATCCACACAAACCTAAAGTTACTCAGAGGAGCTTTATCACCTTCTTATTGTTAAACCTGCGCTGCATGTAAATCAACTGCAGTTTGAGGCTTTTACCTTCCCTCCTTATAAATAAATGAGTATTTGATTCTGTTAAGTCTCTAACCCTCCTGATGGTTTCAGTCATTTCTTTTTCAGTCATTTTAACAAAACTTTTGGGTCATTTAACTCAACCGCTAATGACTGAAACACCTCATTCAACACCCGCAAATCGCCTGATCGTTAGCTGCCCCGTGTAAAAAAATATTATCCATAATGTTCAGCAAACATATTAAACCAAATTACTGTAAAATGGAAATTAACTGACTCATAATGATGTATTTGTTTTTCTCTTTTCATCTCGTGCAGTTTTGATGATGGAAAACATCGACCGGACCATCAATATTTCTCCATTAAAGCGTCATTTAAGGCTGAGCAATTAAAGCAGCTCCGGTTTCAGCTCACTGGCCTGATTACAAAAAATTAGGACACTTCTTACCATCAGACATTAATTACACAGTCATGGACTATTTGTTTCAGGCTTTAAGCAAATGACTCGAAGGAGCCGAACTGTACAAGGACCGCATTGGAAACATCTACCATCAGTAATTAAGAGTGACTTCATCTCTGCGGTGCCCTCCAAAAAGCGTCCCTGAAGTGTGTTTGTTTTCTGTATCTGTGGATGTGTGTGACAGATGCAGTGTGTGTCTGTGTGTCTCACCTCCTCCTGCATGCCACACTCCAGCAGCATAGTGACACAGGCCTCGATGGGAAAGGCAATATCTCTCCCGCTGAGCGCTAAGTGCTCCTCTAATGGTTTCCCGTAGCATGGTTTCTCTGCCCAGGTCTCTGCCAATCGCACACACACACACACACACACACACACACACACACACACACACACACACACACACACACACACACACACACACACACACACACACACACACACACACACACACACTTATTAAAATGTGCATGACATACAGAAGCGGCTCTGCTGTTTGTGATGCTTACTTCCTCTTTATGAATACAGATGAAAATCATTTTCTCTGAGGTTGCAGAAAGTTCCCCAAACAAACAAACAAACAAATAAGACATATACTTTCTGGATGACCTTCACAACTGCTCTACAACATACAGATGTTTGTTAAAATCACCGCAATATTCGTGCTTACAAAATCTGAGAAATCTGAGAGTTCATGTTTTGTTTTTAAAAAGCAGCTGAGACCAGATTCTCTCCTCTTCAGACCAGTTTAAGGTACATACACTGTACAACATGATACAGTGCAATACAACACATTAACATACAAGGCCTTATAACACAATATGAGAGGATATGACAACCAATAAATGACACAGTAACTTATAACATGATATATGACACCATGGATTAGGATATGAGATACAAAACTATATGATACAAGATGTCATAATATAAATAAATAAATAATAGGAAAACAGCACAATATGATACAAGATGATAGAATCTAGAATAATACAGTATGATCCAAAACGATATGATATGATACGGTATGATAAAATATTACAATATGATACAAAATGATGTCAAATGTAACAAAAAGATAAGATGTAACATGATTCAATTCACTCCAAAATGGTCAAACACTAAACAAAACAAATACAAAACAATACTATATGATACAGTATGTATAGTATGATATATTGCGTAACTGTAAGATCAAGTACGTAATTGTATGATATGTTACGCTCTGAAATTTACTCTACGATGTGATATAAAATAAAACAATAAGATATGATAGGATAGAGTGCAATTTGATACAATACTATTCCATATGACATAGCAATAGGATATGATATTTAGTGATACAATACATTACGATAGAGTCTGAAATTAAACGATACGATATGATACAATATGTTCTGTAACAATAAGATAATATACGATTTGATATGATACAATATGATAAGTAATGATACAATAAGATATGATAGGTTATGATGAGATACTGTACTATTCCATATGTTATGTAGGGATATATTAAGATACATTCTGAATTTATACAATATGATATAATATGATTTAATACAACACATAACAATACAAAATGATACACTACGATATGAGATGTGACAATGAGAAATGATACAACGGATACAATACTGTATGGTACTCAATATAAATTGTAACAATATGATACAATATGATATGATATGAAACGATATAATATGATATGATAATATATGATACAATATAATCCGATATGATACGATGCAATATGATACAATATGATACGATACGATTGTAAAGGACAAACATGAGGATATGATTCTCTGATTGTCCTTAAGTGATAATTGTTGGTATTTATTTTACTCTGAGGCCGATCAAAACCTTTTATAAGAAAACTCAGTGTGTCGGTAAAACTGCTTTGAGTATGTGTGACTGTTGCAGATGTTGTTGCAGATAGATATAAACATGGACAGCGTATATTATAGAGATGATGTTTTTGCTTTTTCTTGTATTTGTAATAAAAACAGAAGTCCGATTGAACTGCTGTGTTGTTATTATCTGACCAGTGCAGGTGTCACTATCCGGCCTTCTCCTCTTGCAGAGAGCAAATGTTATGAGTCAGTAACACACAGCTGCACAGTCTTCTCTGAATCAAGCTGAGCGTTTCTAATAGTTTAAGCTAATTTAATCCTCATAAAGTAAATATCAAAGCAGTTTTAGAGATTAGGAGTCATTTCATTCATAGTCTGATTGCATTAGTAGGTCATGTAGAATCATCCGTATGAATATCAGTCGAGGAGATTTAAGTTAAATCTGTCACACACCAAGGCTCTTTTTTTAGTGATTGAAGCGTCGAGATCGTAAACAGCTAACATCAAACCGCAGGACCCCAAACTGTCAACAGGCCTTCATAAACACATACACAACGCTGGGATCTTTCTGCGACAAAACAAACAGCAGAGCCTGAGCGTGCTCATGGCAAAGAGTCACAGACAGACATCATCAGGAGTGTTTTGGACCCAGACTCACCCTGATGAGCTTTGATCTGTGGTAAAACACTTTGAAGCAGCTCTAATGACTTCCTGTGGTACTCAGCCTGCACTTCTATCAGCTAGATGGAGAGAGAGAGAGAGAGAGAGAGAGAGAGAGAGAGAGGGAGAGAGAGAGAGGGAGCAGAGTGTCTGACATCAACAAACAGAATATTTGTGTTTCTTCACTAATGCAGCAGAGAGGAGAGATGTCGGACTTACTGTCTGGAAGTAGCTTGCATAGTCGATTTCTTTGGCCACAAAACTGTACATGTCTGCTGACAACTGATCCTGGAGGGGAGACGACAAATACCAACAAAGGGACAACATTATTAACTTTAATTTACAGCTTTTTTCATTTAACATCTACTCTTTAAATTTTTTGCATTTATGCCAAACATTCAACATTCAAAAGCTACAGCAGCGTAAATGAAACGGGTCACACCTACAGCTGAGAGCCAATCTATAAAACCATATTGGCTCACAGCTGCTGGTCCTGCAGAGCCACAGGCTTCTCATTTCCCATCTTTCTCGACTGTGTCCACACCTGCCCGTGACTCAGATAAGAAAGACGCCAAACTGAGCCGGAAATGGACGAGTGGAAGGTCATCTTTAGGATCAGAGGATCTGGTGTTTGCTCACATTATGGCCTCCTTAGCTGTTTATACTTTGGTTTACTTTGTTCTGTTGGAAGCCAGTTTTCTGTTATTTCATTTTGTCTGTTTTGGACTTTCTTTTGTAAGTTTTAGGAATGATTCTGGACAATCTTTGTCCGACCATGGATTTTTTGGTGCAGTCCTGCATGTTTTACCCCTTTGACAACTGTAACTATCCAGATCCATGACACTGATTCGCTGTAGCTTCATGACCACCCCTGCAGCTGTGTGCTGGATTGCATTATCGTAATATTTTGCCTCCCCCATCCTTCTCTGTGAACCGTACAACACCTTTGCATGAGCGTTTATAAAGTGTTAAAACTTCTCCCACACACTCGCTCAGTATTCAGTCGTCTGTAAACAGTGAAATAATAATGAGCGGCGGTGATGACCGACCCGACAGATCTCCATGCGGTTGGCTGCCTCCTCCATCTCTTCCCTGAGGTGGTCGGCCTTGGCTCCTGTCGGCTGCAGGTTGCTGGAAAGTCCTGAGGACTTGGTGGACTGATAATACCTGCGAATGAAACAACAACAACGTGTTTGTCTCTTTTTCAGATTTGATCAATTCAGCACGTCAAAGTGAAGAAAGATGTTTTTATTTTCACTCTCAAAGGCTCAAGATTTCGTTCCTGTAAGCGATTTTGAACCCCAACAGAACCTGACAGCTACTTTAACAAAACAGAGGATCCCACAGATCACTCATGTCTTCAGCTGATGGAACACAAACCTCTGACAATCTGCATTTCTGCTTTCTCCTCGCTCTCTTTCTCTCTCTGTCTGAGACTTTCTCTCTGAGTGCAGATAAAAATGCTGCGCCGCCAGAGGAGCTCAGCGCACAGCGGCATGATGGGAAAAGTTGTCTCAGATTTGGGTCACCAAAAAAACCAACTGACTGACTGACTGGCCTGCAGTGAAGAAAATCTCATTTCTCCAGGTCCGTGCTCAGAAGTGACAGAGAGTGAGCGAAAAAAGGCTAACAGACGATTACTTATTTTACAGAAGCAAAATCTGAACTAACATGACGACTCAAACAGCTTTAGATCATTAAAGGGTCACTTCACCTGTCCAAGAGGCAAAGGTGTAAAAATCACAAACTGTTTGAATACCGAGTGAAGAAACTAGGGCTGGGCGATAAACCAGAAAGTTACCGATACCAAATTATACGACAATAACCGACGCCATTTTGCCCGTATCGGTATATTCTGTGTCAAATAAATAAATCAATAAAAGTTGGTTTTGGATGTGTTTAGGTAGGCTTTGTTCTCGTGTCCCTTTAACGTAACAAAGAGGGAAAGACAGGTGAGGAGATGGAGGACGGTTCAAAAGTTGTAGCGGCTGAAGTAGACGAAGTTAATGTGGGAGGGGGTGAGCAGCTTGTGGAGTAGTTATCGTCCATTTATCGTTATCGAGGTGAACTGATCAATATATCGTGATATAAATTTGAGGCCATATCGCCCAGCCCTACAAGACACCGATGAGTGATACAGGAACAATCCTCAACAGGTTTCATGTCCCAGTATCAGATCCATCTATTTGCATGTTATCACCTGTGGATCAGTGATTTTGTCTCTCCTAAGTCCAACTGTTTTACAGAAACGCAGAACAAAACCTCTAAAATCAGATTAATTTAGCGAATTTGCATGTAATGTGAGATAATGAGCAGCTCTCTCGAACATTAAACCGGCGTTAACATGCAGAGCAGCGACACCGAGACGTTTAATCTCAGTGTTTGTGCTTCAGTATTCAATAAACACCTGTTTCAATACTGCAGAGGAGAGATACGTCTAGTTGGCAGCGAGTGTTGATCCTCTCTACCGCGGGGCTTTGTTCACTCAGTGGTCCGAGATAATTAAACCTCAGGAGGAGGTGAAGTTCAGTTTGACAGCATCAGGAGCTGCAGATTTACAAACTCGGCTGGAGTATTTCCTGCCTTAATTTGGGATTTTAATCTGAGAGAATATTTCACTTCTTCTCCATGGCAGTTTAGCTCAGTTAGTAGATCCAGGACCTCATGTATGGACACTTGAGTCCTCACTGCATCGATGTCCAGTCCTGGTGTAATCTGGTTTATGTCTCCCTCCACTCTTTCAGCACGTTTTCCTCTGATCGTGTTGAGGAGCGTTGGCAGACCGAGACGTTTTTCTCACAGTTTCACTTTTGTGCAACCGAATCCCAGTGACATTCACTGGGAGGCTTCAGGACCAGTTAATTCACAGGGGATGGGGTTTCTCAGATCGCTGCAGAGCCTCTTTCTCACACTCACACCGTCACACACTCACCGTGTTCGAGCCGAGTCCATGTCCAGGACCAGCTTGGCTAAATGTTTCCTTTGTTTCTGGATGTTTGGGATTTCCACCTGAAGGAGCAGAGCAGAGGAGTGTTTGTTGTTTGTCGGTGTGAGAGAGACCAGAGACAGACTCGGGATTGTCAGAGGCTGAACACCTGTGTGTGTGTGTGTGTCAGTCAGATTAGGGTACTGTCTGATTAACCTGACAATAATCCCTGATTACAGTGTGGTGTCTATAATCATGGAATATACTGATGTAAATTACTAATCTGACCTTTTCCTCGTGATTCATTTTGCAAACATTAGTTTCTTCTCATTTTTAGAAACATAAAAACTTTCTATCCTGACATGAAAATGAATGAAACAAAAACGTTAATTAAAATTTGATGTTAGGAACAGAGACAAAAAACACTGAAAAAGTTGTGCAGTCTGAGGAGCCATAAACAAACCTCAACCAAACACCACTCTATAGCCACAAATAATGCTCAGAACAGCACCTAACTTCATCAACAGGACATATAGGGTCACAGACATAGTACTAGACACCAAACATCTTTTTAACTTTGACTCATTTCTTTAGCAAAGAGACTAAACACAACTCATCTACTCTCTTCCAGCAGCTGCTTGTTTGTGTGGGAGCCCTGATAAGTCGATCACAGAGTGCAGTGGAGTTTTGCAGCTCAAGGAAGAACATTTATGATTATTGCTTCATATAAATGAGCCGTTTTACTCGGTGGTCGACTCATCAGGGTTCCCCCCACAAACAAGCGGCTGCTGGAAGAGAGTAGGTGAGTTCTGTTTAGTCTCTTTGCTAAAGAAATCAGTCAAAGTTAAAATGATGTTTGTTGTCTAGTACTATGTCTGTGACCCTATATGTCCTGTTGATGAAGTTAGGTGCTGTTCTGAGCATTATTTACGGCGTTTTGGTTGAGGTTTGTTTATGGCTCCTCAGACCTCTCTGTATTTCTATCCTGCGGTCGTTACTAAAGTTGGTATAAATAGAGAAGCAAGCGGTCGACAACATTCATCTCTGAAGGGGGTGTCTAACTCTGTGTTTGACCTTAACTTCATTTTACGCCGGAATATCCCTTTAAAAACCTCCAGAGAACCATCTCCTAACGAATAAAGTTAATTAGTTAGTTCATAATTGACACTTTGGAGAGGCTGAGTCTTCCAGAAGTAAAAGGTCTGAAGAGCTTCACCACTCTGTGAGAGACTGAGTGAGCGAAGGGTTCGAAAAATCTCAGATCTCAATGTAAAAATACGACTTTTCATAGTTCATCATATAAAAATCAAGACTGGACCCTGAGGCAGCACTGCAGTAAAAACAGACGTGACATGAACTATGCATCCTCTGCTCTTAAGAGGAAAGCGACCACTCAGGTTGCTATGAGCGTTCAGTCCAAAGGCTATGGGGATACATAAGAGCCACAGCACGGGTAGCTTATACATCTGTGAAGACTCTTTTAATGCAGAACAGAAAATACAGGTTTTACATGATGGTCTAGCTCAGACAGGCCTGTACCATGAGGCAGGTTAAACCTCGGGGATTCGTACCTCTGCGAGGTCGTACAGAGGCTCGACGACGTCTCTCTCGATGGTGAGCTCGAACAGGATGAGCTCCTGAGCCAGCCTCTCCTGCGTCTCTCCGCAGAGCTTCAGCATCTTCCTGCAGCAGAAAACAGGACAGAGGATCCTCAGAGAGCAGACAGAGAGGACCGTCACAAAAACAGCCGGCGTCACGGTGAATAATGGAGCGCCACAGTTTGAATTCACTTCACTTTCAAACAACACAGATACAAATACGAGTCCTGTAGAAGTAACACAGAGGAGCTGATGTAAGACACTGTAATTTACTCGAGTGGAAAACAGCCACTACTGCGCTGTAGCTTTACATCAACGTGAGCGTGTGACACGAGTTTATATCTCACTCTTTTGTCCAATTAAAAGGACAAATCTGTTTCAAAGTCCAGCAACAAATGGACAAAATAAACTCAAAAACTAGGCCATGGATGTGAAAACAAATGCCAGCAGCATCCAGAAAATAAATCGCTCCATAGTGAGTTGTAAAAAAAGAAAGAAACACGAGCCAATATAAATATCTTGGAGGGATAGTTCAGTTTTGTTGTTGTTGTTGAAGTGAGGTTGTGTGAGGTGCTTGTCAACAGAGAGGGTTTTAGCCACAGGGGGACCCGGTCAGCTCGGACCCTTTGTGAGGAAACCAGGGAGCAGAAGTCCAGATACCAACCCCTGCAGACGGATCAGATCTATGATGTTATCCGGCTCATTTTAACAAACTCAGACCCTGAACATCTACATCAGCGAACGTTTACGCTGTGTTTGGAGACGTCTCAGCATCAACTGTGCCGTCAGAAAGCCTGGCAGGTTTTTGCACCATTATCTGAAACAGGACATAGATGTGTTTCTCTACCAACGCAAACAATTCAGACTGAGGTGCAGAAAACCCTCTGAGGAGCAGGATCCAGACTCTCTACTAACGTTAGGTCAAAATAAAGGAACACAAGGTTAATTAAAATAAGAATAAACAGTTTTTCATTGAGGTAACCCAAACAGATCAGACTTTTAAGAGTGATATGAACAAACAGCAGAGCAGAGACGTGGTGAACGCATCATGTGGACCGCAGCTCCGTGTTGTCACGCAGCGAGAGCCAAAGGCGCCAAACAGCTGTGCACCACAGATGGAAGAGTGCGTTCGTGTCACTAGAATAGTGCAAAAATAAAAAAACAAAACGGCTTTCTGAGGAAAATCAGAGAGCTGAAAAAAATGTGCACAGGCTACAATTACACTGGCATTAACGTTTGGGTCAGTTTGTGAATATTCACTGAATTCTGTGAGCTGACCCCGTCTGCTGCTCTTGATAGTCTAGTTCCTGTTCCAGGTCTCTGGCTGGATGACAAAACACTTAGTACTATTGACGAGAACCTCATTCAACCTCGTTTCAAATAAAGTGAACTATCCCTTTAACATCACAGAGGTGATAGAAATAAGAGAAGAAATGCTCCCAACAGAATGAAACTCACAGTTCCTCTGTTTGTTTCTCTGTGTTTTCCTGAATCTATATTCAGACGGTGATTCAAAAACCAAAACAAAGTGGGTCTAAAGATCACATTCAGTTGATCTGCTTATTTGTGTTTTCTGACCGTGAAGTGTGTTTATCTCTGGAGGAGGAGGAGGAGGAGGAGGAAGAGGAGGAATAGGAGGCCTCCTGTTAACGAGGCTCTGCTGGTTGAAAGTTTGACTTGGTCTGAATGAACTTCTGAACATGAATGGAGAATCACTTTGAGTTCACCAGATGATAACAACAAAGTTCATGGCAGTGATTGTGTTGCTGGTGTTACGGACCAAGGAAAGGTTTATTATTATGATAATTTTGTGTGTGTGAGTGCATGTGTGAGTGCATGTGTGAGTGCATGTGTGAGTGCATGTGTGTGTTAGTGAAGTATGGAAAAATATTAGTGTTAGTATTTTTTAATAGATAAGTAGGTATTTCGAAAAATGATTCTTAAAAGTACGGTTTGGAAAAGGATGGAAATTCCAACTGTGTAGGAACCCCGCGTGTGTGTGAGTGTGTGTGTGTGTGTGTGTGTGTGAGTGTGTGTGTGAGAGTGTGTGTTCTCACCCTAGTAGAGACTCGTCCCCGAGCACTGCAGCCCCCTCCACCATACATTGTGCGAGTGTTGTGAGAGGAAGCTTCTTCTGCACAGACACACAAACACACAGACAGTCTGTGAATCTCCTGCTTTAGTCAGTCAACAGTAAAAAGTTCTCCAAGGACTCTGAGTGAAATGAATTTAGCGGTTTGCAAATCATTTAAAACTTTTTGTTTAAAAATCAAATGTTGAAACAGTTGTGACGGGAGTTAACTTAAATTTATTACATTTAACAAATTTTAGGGCTGTAAAAGTTAAAACTCAAGTAATCTGATCTTAAAACCAACATTTTAAACTTATTTTCAGTATATTTAACTTATTTTTGGGGCTGTAAAAGTTAAATTTTAAGTGATCTGATCTTGAAACCAGCATTTTTGGCTTACTTTAAGTCTTCCAAATACATTTGTAGACATGCTGAGTTCTAGATTTAACAATCTTAATTCATGAAATCTTGTCAAGTGAAATCTTGTTTTCAGATTGAGTGTTTTTATCTTGTTTTTAGACCCCTCTTTTTTGCAGTGCACAGATTTCTCCAGATTCTCTTCAATGATATTTTAAACTGTAGATGATGACGAGCATTAGTCTGAAATTGTTGAATTATTAGCTCACGCAGTCTCTCACAGAGTGTGAACATCTTCTCATCTTCACATCAGACTGACTCAGACTCTCTTTAGAGCTTTTTTTATTCTCAAGTTTCTAACTTGTTGTAAACTAATTCAAACGTTAGGAAACGCTCCTCCAGGTGCTTTTTATAATGATTTTATATTATAAACACACCTTCACAGAAACATTTTTCCTCTGGCATTAAATTTAAGATGAGCATTTTCACGAGATTGTCAAATTTGTCATTTTCATATCAGATAAATTGCCTTTGCACAAATTTCAATCAAATAAAGACTTTAAATCACTCGCAAATCATTTTTAACTCAGAGTTTTATAAATTATGGTTGTATAAAAAGTGCACAAAGAGAGCCCGGAGGAAGAAACCATTTATCAGAAATCATTAATGTGCTTTCTCTTCATTATGATAAGGTATTTTTTGTAATTAATCTCCTGCTCTCTTTATCACATTTATCATAATTAATCGGAGTGTTTTCTCTTCTCTATCTGCTCTAAACTCTGATAAAATTATGCGTTTGTGATGTTTCATGCAGGCGGCGTTTCCGCTCACCGATGGCGACCTGACAGACTTCTTGTCCACGTCCACGCCCTGCTGGCCCTGAAGACAGGCGGTCAGCTTCTTGTGTGTGCTGTGGGAAACCTGCTTGACCAGCTCCAGACGTTTCTCCACCTGACACAGATAAGACACACAGACTCAGACGTGCACCTGCAGCCACCTGAAGACTAAAACACAGTCAGACACGAATCGTTACCTGCAGCAGATCTTCACTTAACACTTCAGTTTTTTCAGCCCTGCAAGAAAAGAAAACAGCGAGCGTTAGCGTGGAGGAGAATCATTAAAACTACATAACTACATATTCTTACACACCATTATAATTACACCTATAGCTGTTATGGTAAATGAATGTGCTGTTACAGCCTGGAGCCAATAACACACATACCACCGTACAACAGGAAGAGCCGTTCTCCAGCTCTCATCCAGAGGATTAAGCTCCTCCAGGAAAGTGTTGAAACATCACTCAGACGGCCTTTAGGGCGCAGAAATCAACCTGCCACTCTCCAGTTTCATTTATTCATTTCAACCTTGTGTTTATTTTGGATTTGCATATAGATACTGTATTTTCACCCCCTTTTTACTGCAACAATTTCTCTCAGGATTAATTCAGTTTATCTTATCTTCTGCTGTCAATCACCTTCAGGGTGGAGGAGGAGGAGGAGGCCTCCTTTAGCACTCCTCTACCTGAGGTTACTCCTGTTTTGTTCTTATTAAAGGGTCCTTTTAGTATTTACAGGTGTAAAGCTTTTCAAAGTAAATTCATCTTTTGACTAACATGGCAGCACTGCAGCGGCTGTAATCTTTAAGTAAACACTCATTTCACTCGTTTCTTGTGACAGCAGACAAAGGTTGGACTGGATTTATTACAGTAAAGAAGATCTAACACCACAGCTGCCACTTTTTAGTGTAAGAAAAAACTGTACTTAACAGCATAATTTGGCTGTTTTATTGGAGAACAAACTGTGAAACATATAGTTCCTCTCTCTGTTATAAAAACGTTTGTTTTCCTACAGCATCAAGTTCAAGTTTAGCCGCTAAATCAACATTACAGCAGAAAAGGCATATTTTTACAGCATATTTATTATGGTTCACCAAAGATGCCAGTTTTTACTCTAAAAATACAGTTTGAATACTGTTTTATTTAACAGAGAAACACTGGATTCACAATAAATCTTTAACACCAACTTAAAAAGTGTCTAATCGTCTCAGAGGGATGCTAAAGCTAGCTCACTAGCAGCATGCTTCTTCTTCTGTCTTTCATGTTAGGATTAGTGGCATCCTACCAAAAAGATGACAGTATTATTGATGCTGGCTTTTACAGACACCGCAAATGATAAAAGTCTGACTAAAACCCAAAGGCGTTTCTGTCTGAGATCTAAGAGTGAAACTAAAACTGAAATGACCACTTTAAGTCACAACAAAGTCAGTCTGAATGCATAACATTGAAACCTGCTACATCAGTTCAGCTCATTCTGGAGGAACACGAACGATTTCCAGCAAATCTAAAGAAAAATGTAAAATCCTGATGTGCATCAGCAACATCGACAAACAACACCTCCTTTATAAAGATTCATGCGTCTACAAATACCTCAAACCTAAACCAAAACAAAGGTTCACATATTTGCTTAGAAGTCTGAATGAGAAACACAAACCCCTTTATAATTCATGCTCTGGCTTATTTCTTCTATTAATTGGCTCCCACTGATGTTATAAATTATAAAAACACCTCTTACACTAGGGCTGGTCGATATGGCCTCAAATCAATATCACAATATATTGATCAGTTTACCTCAATAACGATAAATGGACGATAACTACTCCACAAGCTGCTCACCCCCTCCCACATTAACTTCGTCTACTTCAGCCGCTACAACTTCTGAACCATCCTCCACATCTATTTGAGGTGGAGTCACGTCAAAGAGACATGAGACCATAGCCTACTGACTATCCAAAACCAACTTTTATTTATTTATGTATTTAACACTGAATATACTGACATGGGAAAAATGGCGTTGGCTATAGTCATAAATTTCGGTATCTATAAATTTTCGGTTTATCGCCCAGCCCTATCATATCCACACACAGGTTTAATTGAAAATTTCAGTCTTCTCATGAGATGTCATTCAAGAAAATAGTTCCTTGTTGGGGACTGTTTTCAAAGAAGGAAAGATAGACATTTGGCGCAACAGTGAGAGTTTAACATCTGTAGTTAATCACTGTTAACATCGACTAAAACCTGCATTTATTTGACATTTCTGTTTCTACTGATCTGGATTTCAGTGAGTAATAAGATCATCAGTTCCTTCAGGCCTTTTCTGTTAAAAAACCACCTCACAGATATTGACTAAGAGTCAAACCCGGACCTTTAAACCGGCGTACAGAGAGCGAGGTGTGAAAGCAGAAGTGGAGACTGACGGTTTGACTCAAATCAATGTGGACATCAGTACAGCGAAGGCTGCAGGGAGCGAAAGGTTAATAATAAAGGACAAGATGTTCTCTGGAGAAAGATGTCCCCTGCAGTGATGTGGCCTTTAGAGAAAATTTGCTCTAATCTGATGTGAAACGGAAGAAAAAACAAGATTCAAAAGTCAAAATCTATAAAATGAAGAGGAAATAAATCAATCTCAATCAGAGTTGGTCTTTTGTGCAAGAAGGAGGAAGGCTTTACACGTGACAAAGAGTCGAACACAAAGAGAAACGCAGGTTAGAAGCTAACTGCATGAGGAAAAGTAAACACACAGGTCTGTTTTGATTTCTTTTCATAAGTAGAATAAAAGAGAAAAACAAACACCAATCGATGAAAATTAAACCCTGAAAATACAAACCATGTCATCACGCAATAAGGAACACAATCACCGATGATGATAGAGATTAACTTCGGTGGATAAAATGTCATAAAAAAAAGAAAACACTCACAGCAGGTCCAAAAGACAAACTTCCTCAGTATCTTCCTCTGTGTTTCTGGTCCCTCCCTCATCCTACGATTTCTACTTGCTTTCAAATTCACTCTGTCCTGCTATCAGCCACAAAAACAGCAGACTGGATCAACAAGTCCGTCTGAATCGCCTCGAGTCAACTCCTTTTTCAGTCCCTGAAGGTACAAACCTCCCGTTGGACAAGTAAAGAAAGTCACATGGGTCCAAACTTTTCCTCTGCTCTGTTCAGCCAAAATTTTACAATGCAATAAAACAACGAAAATAGAAAGTGTTTGAATTCTGAATAAGTCAAGTTTTGTAAAGGCTGTTCAAGTTTGAGTAAGTTTTAAAAAGTCGATCAGTGTCTCATTATTTCCTGCATGGTCAAACTACGCTTTTATTTTGAAGTACGCTGCTTATAGTAGACTGAAAGTGAGGGAACTGAATGAAAACAGTTTATTTTTCAAAAAAGGAGGTTATCATCAATGCTGGTGAATCCTGATAGCATCTTATAAACACTGATACCTTAACAGCAGTTCCTCAAAAATGTCCTTTGTCTGTTATTTTGTAAATGGGAACTTTTGGTTTCTATTAATTTTGGCACCAAAATTTTGTCACTTTTCTAAATTTTGTTCTCTTAATCTGAAAAACTTCATGACTAAAAATCACATCCTGTTTTTAAATGTGTCTCTCATTCTGAATATTTCCTGCAACAGACCCTTTTGTAAAAGTTTCAGGCATTTATAAGTATTTTTAAAATTGTTCAGTGGTATCAGTCTCAATTTTAACCTGCAGAAACTTCAAGACTTAAAAAATGAGATAAATCTACAAATATTATCAATAAATGTGACATTTACGATTCATATAATCCGAAAACTGTGAGGTAATAACGCGTCAAAGTATCAGAAAAACAGTAAAATCCAAATAATATCTTTTTAAAAGCAAAAACACTGTCGCTCACTAAAGTAAAGGTATTTGTTTCGCTCTGTTAGTCCCAAATATCCAAACACAAAACTGGACTAATATGAGTCTGTGTTAAAGCTGAACCAATGAAGTCCCCCTCACCTGGCTTCAACTACAGTGTACACAACACCCGCCTCCCCGTCCTCACACAAACATTATAACAAGTTCTTCAGGATTAAAACAGACTCCGGTTCCCTGCTGAGTCAGTGTCGGACTTACGGAACCGTGCTGTTCCTGCGTGAGGCTCGAGTCCTGCTGATCTGCAGCTTTTTCCTCCACATCCCCTCCGCTAACAGGAGGGAAACCACCTGCTTCTCAGGCAGGAGCCCAGCGACAATGAAGGAGGGAAAGTGAAGGGACAGTGGTGGGAGGAGAAAACGGGGGAGTGGGGGGGAGGCCAGGCTGAAGAATGAGACCTGACTATCTGGTCCTTTCACTCCTTCTCTCGTCACTAACTAACGTCTGTGTGACATATTTCCACTTTCTTCGACAGCTCGGACTGCAGAGGAGCAGATTTGAGTTTGGGATATTTACACACCTTTACCAAATTACACCTGTGGTGATATTTAACAAAGCAAACTTCACCATGAGCGGCTCGTCTGTTAAAAATGTATGTTTATAGGCTGTAGGTTAACCACATAACCACTAAACCAGTGCAATCAGCACATACATACAGATGTTAAAGGGATATTCCGCATAAAATTAAGTTCGAGTCAAACACACAGAGTAACACCGAGTTAGACACCCTCAAGAGATGAATGTTGCCGACCGCTTGCTTCTCTAGTTAAACCAACTTTAGTAACAACCGCACGATAGCAATACACAGCGGTCTGAGGAGCCATAAGCAAACCTCAACTAAAACGCCACTCTATAGCCACAAATAATGCTCAGAACAGCACCTAACTTCATCAACAGGACATATAGGGTCACAGACATAGTACTAGACACCAAACATCTTTTTAACTTTGACTCATTTCTTCAGCAAAGAGACTAAACACAACTCACCTACTCTCTTCCAGCAGCCGCTTGTTTGTAGCGAGACCTCGGGCCAGTCCATTACGGACTACAGGGGGGTGACACAGCTCAAGGAAGAACATTTATGATCAATTCTTCATGGAAATGCAATCAGACCGAGACGCTAAGGCAGAAGAACTACCGCGTCTGCAGTGCAAAATGATTAATATGATGATTATTACTTCAAGGAAATGATAAAGTAATGATCATAAATGTTCTTCCTTGAGCTGCGAAACTCCGCTGTAGTCTGTAATGGACTGGCCCGAGGTCGTACAAACAAGCAGCTGCTGGAAGAGAGTAGGTGAGTTGTGTTTAGTCTCTTTCCTAAAGAAATGAGTCAAAGTTAAAAAGATGTTTGGTGGCTAGTACTATGGCTGGGACCCTATATGTCCTGTTGAAGTTAGGTGCTGTTCTGAGTATTATTTGAGGTTATACAGTGGCGTTTCGGTTCATTCATCTCTTGACGGGGGTGTCTAACTCAGTGTTACTCTGTGTGTTTGACCCTAAATTAATTTTACGCCGGATTATCCCTTTAACCTGCAGGAACCTGGTGGTGTAGCTCTGCTGGCAGTAGCCACAGTCGACGTATGAATATGACATCATTAATTTATGCTCAACTTGGTGAAAAAGAAACTCTCATCCCTGCAGTTCTCCAGTGATCCTCTAGGGACACTGACAGCCTCTATGCAGCACAGTGGTTCACAGCTATAATCCTATTTCTTTGTGAAAAACTCGAGATTGATAGATGCAGATTTTCCACGCTCCCAACTGCTGACCCCATGTAACCTCATGCGCAGTACGGATTTGTCAGCGTGTGTAGAGCTCGAGCCAAATCACAGTAACACTGTCTCTGCATATTGACATAGCCTAATTTATTTCTGACAAACCCCGAGTTCATTTCCTCTCCCAGACCACGGTGACATAAGATTAACTCAGGCGTACTCGCTCGGGGAACATAACCGGGGATAATAATGATCTATATGCATCACTCACACAAGGATGAATAAGCAGGTAAGTAATTGGGTCAAACTCCTCGAAGAGGTGTTTTCACACACTCTGACAAACACAGGTAATGTAAACATGCTCACAATCCAAGGGACCATTTTTCATTTCCTCCTTTCAGTAAACACACACACATGCAAGTTTATATTACAAGTCTATATTTCTATTCTAGTGAGGACTGACTTTTGATCATTGTCAGCAACAGACCAAATCCTAACCCTGACATAGTCCAGCCCACTATAATACAAAAGAGGCAGTTTTCCCCTCTAAGACCAGACCAAGAAACACTGGTCCCAGTTAGTAGCTGCGATTATATGGGCTCAAAAAATTGTAATAACGGCCCGATCGGAATAAAACGCGCCATGTGAACATGTCGATCGGAAGATTCTGATCCAATTTGGCTCATTGGAAAGAAACTGTATTCCAATCGAGAGGGGCGGTTTACGCCAATCATCACTCCATAACGCGTTCATGTAAACACTTATTCCGATCGTGACTCTCTTACCTGACTCGATCTTCACTCTTTAGCCTTTGGTTTATTTATTGAGGCCTGTACAGGAGGTTTCATTATTAACACTCTGGCATAAAACACAACCACAGGTGTCATGTCTGCTCCTCCGATAACAACACAAGGCGTACATACGGCGTAATGATGTCAAATCTGCACGTACAGCGCAACCTTTGGCAGAACAGTAAAATAAGTACGCAAGGGCGCCATCCAGTGACAACATTTAACAGGGAGAAAACTCTTGAATTGGATGAAGTGAGCTACTACTGTGTTTGTTGGTTTGTTGACAGCACAGACGTAAATACAATTCTTCTTCTGCGGTTATTTTAGCAAAATTAGACAACTCTGCACATGTCCAAATGATTCTCATCTGAAGCTTGGCGCATAATCGGATTATTTGATTTTGCACCCATATAAACAGTGGATTCAGATGATCCGATCCCTCAAATTTTTTAATCAGATCAAGAAATTTTGCCCATGTAAACATAGCTACTGTCCCATATTCAGAGGCTTTAGTCCTTAAAGTAGGCAGCTTTGGTTCAAAGACAACCTGTGTCCCTTTGCCCCACTCTCTCCCAGTTTACAATCCTTATTTTCAATCTTATCCACTTAATAAAAAGGCATAAAAGCCCCAAAACAGACATATGAAAAAGGCCAGGCTCTCGTCTCCAATGGAAAACTGTGTCCCAGAATATGTTCTTCTAAGTTATGGTCCCCATAAGGTGACAAAACCATCACACTTGCACACACACTCATGCACAGCCACACGCTCCAACACACAAACAGTAAATCATAACCAGAAATTCAGACACGTCCTTTAAGACTGGGCTCATATAAACAAGAAAATACTGGTCCCAGTAAGAGTTCATAAAAGTCACGGTCCCCAGAAGGCGACAAAAACCACACACACACACACACACACACACACACACACTCTAACAAAAAGTAATATGAATTCCTCTCAGCGGCTGTTCTGAGCTTTTCTCCTCCTAGACAATGAAAATTCACAGAGCGCTCGCTGACTTTCTCCTGACCCCGCACTCCTGCGTGTATTATATTCAGGTGTACCTGCAGAATGGAACATAATGATGTCTACATGTAGCACATTATTTAAATGTCTTGGGTTTGAACTGTCATGTCCTCAATTACCAGCAGGAGGCAAGAGTCGATAGCGCTTTGACCACAGGTCTCCCCGAGGGAAACGGATGTAATATCAGCGGTATTTTAAAGCTACAGCTGCAGCATAATGTACCTGCAGGGCGACTGGATGCATGAATGTCATGACTGCGCCCTTAAAAAGCAGAAAAATCACCGCTTTAGGGACTTAATGTGCATAGGAGACAATAAACTTATACAAATGCTGTTGTCTAGATACTAGTGCAGAGGAAAAATGAGAATAAATAAGAGTCAAATGGGATAATAAATGTCAAGATGTTGACTGTAGGAAGATATGATTTCATATCCTAAATCTAGACGGTTTAATCTGAATTTTCTCCTCATTCTGCCTGAATAAGATCCGTGCTGCCCACATTTAGCTGCGTCTCCTTTTATCTGAACACGTGAGGGAAGAAGAGGGTCAGCTGTTGATGTTTCCTCTCCAGGGATTTAGACCTCATAACGTTGCATAAAAGGGGTCACAGCTGAAGAAGGGAGAGGCCGCGAAACACATGGTGTGTGTTTTGGTAATAGGAATAAATCAAAGCGGACAGAAAACAACGCACGGAGGGTTTAACATCATGTATGATCGATTTAGAGAGTTAAATCGAGCCTCTCTCAGCAAGGTATTCGATCTTTCTTATCACTCTTAACCGAATCTGGCGTCCTGTTTCCTCATCTCTGCATCCTTCTTGTTAATTTCATGATAGATCAAGGGCAGTTGCAGCATCAGGAAAGCAAAGCCTCGGCCTCAGAGTCGGTGCTTTACTGCAGCATCAGCTTCTGTCGTCACACTCGGGATTTCCCACCGGCACGGAGAAAAGAGAGGCGAGGCGAGGAGGCAGAGATGATGAATACAGAAGCAGCAGGAGAGAGATGATAGAAAAGGAGAAGATAGCGCATATATGAGAGAGGAGCTGTGAGCGATTGAGAAAGGGAGCCGCAGCGACAGAAGGTGAGATTACAGATAGTCCTCTTGTAAATTGACTCGGCTCTCTTTGTTTTTCTGCTTTCTGAGGTGCAGAATTTGGCAGAAAAACAGACGTTTATCGTATAGATGTGCACGAGCTTGAAAAGGCTCACAAAGATGCTCAAAGGTTGGTTTAAGCGTCCTGACGCATTGTAGTCTTCCTCTATTTGAAATACAGTGATTTAAAAATGAACTGTAAGGTATCATCTGTGAGTTGATCTGGTAATACAACACCAGGACTTCATGTAGGGCTGGGCGAGAAACCGAAAATTTACTGATACCGAAATTTACGATAATAACCGACGTCATTTTGCCCATATTGGTATATTCAGTGTAAAAAAACAGGCCTAAAGGAACTGATGATCTTATTACTCACTGAAACAGAAATGTCAAATAAAAGCAGGTTTGAGTCGATGTTAACAGTGATTAACTACAGATGTTTAACTCTCAGTGTTGCGCCAAATGTGTATCTCTCCGCCCATGAAAATAGTCCCCAACAAGGGACTATTTTCTTGAATGACATCTCATGAGAAGACTGACATTTTCAATTAAACCTGTGTGTGTATATGATAGGGCTGGGCGATAAACTGAAAATTTACAGATACCGAAATTTACGACAATAACCAACGTCATTTTGCCCATATCGGTGTATTTGGTGTCAAAATATAAATAGATAAAAGTTTGGTTTTGGATGTGTGTAGGTAGGCTATGGTCTCATGTCCCTTTAAGACGCTGTCCTACGTCAGAGACATGACTCCACCCCATCCAGTTCATGACAAAGAGGGAAAGACAGGTGAGGAGATGGAGGACGGTTCACAAAGTTAATGTGGTAGGGGGTGAGCAGCTTGTGGAGTAGTTATCGTCCATTTATCGTTATCGAGGTGAACTGATCAATATATCGTGATATTGATTTGAAGCCATATCGCCCAGCCCTAACTTCACTGTTTAACTCCACAATTAGCATGGTAAAAACTCTGCTTTAACTGCGATATCAGCGCTACAATAATCAGATTTTGTAACAATATTTTACCAGCTCTCTTCCTCACAAAGAGGACTTTGGCTGTCTACTAATCATTTTAACCGATAACCTATCTAAAAATGGTGCAAAGACAACAAATCAAATGGTAAAAATTAAAAATATAGTTGAGTTATAACAAATAAATGATCATTTTGAGTTTGGTTCCAGCTTCGTTCAATAATCAGTGTCGCGGTTCATGAAAAAAAGGATAAAAACGGTCCAAGGACAGAAAAAGATCCCCCAGGAGAACCGTTCCAGGTGAGGTCAGATTACCCAGCATGCTTTTCCCCTGTCACTAACTGAGGTGGTGTGGGTTGCCATGGCAGCAGGCGTAGCAGCCATGGATCAAACATGGAAGTGGAGACGGCGTGCGAAGATGAATGAAGCGCTGGAGTAAAGTGGAGTCATTCCTGGAGCCGGGGCCTGAGGAGCGACGCTGGTGGTCGAGCTTTCATTTGTCACAACAGGCAGAGATCTGTATCTCACACACACACACACACACACGCACGCGCACGCACACAGAGTCTTCTTTTGTCTTCAAGGTCATTCGGTGACTGTGGGAGTGGGGGAGGAATAAAAAAATCATCATGGAGCCCGTGAAGAAGATCTGGCTAAACTTGAGTGTGAGACATATTTAACGTGCCGACAGAACGTGACTGTTCACAGCTGAATAATAAATGAGTTTACTCGTCTGTGCAGATGAAACTCTGTTATTTATAGATCTTTCTATTTTCAGCTGCTTGATAAACGCTCCAGTTAAAACTCTGCACACAGGACGGCTGCTTCACTGTCGAGTCTCTGCAGAATCTAAAATCAGATTCCTGATCGTCTGTCTTTTAATTCACACAACGAAGAACAGAAAAACTGAGATTTGAGGATTTATTCCTGAAATGTTGGGAAATAAGATCTTTGTCTTGACTTGTCGGGCCGATGTGACTTTTATTTATTTAAGGAAATATTTCGACCAGTTTTAGGACAAAAATCTGCAGTTTTAATCACAATCTAGCAGGTTTAGTCCACATATTTTAGCGTTTACTTCACCAATATTACACTAACGTGGACACAAAGCGTCCACAGTCCTTTCCTGTTTCGAACCTGTGAACCTTTTCCACCGTCAGAGGATTTATCCTGAAATGAAACCAAAAGCTCAGCCTCAAAAATCCGTCTCCAAACTAAGAAATTGATCTTTTTTTTTTCAGGGGTTTGTTGCCACCCTTGACAGACAGATGACACCGTTCATCCTTGTGCTGTTTGCATGAGACCACCTTGATGCTGATGTCAGTGCAGAGCACACCCTGCATAGTAAACAGCCCCTGAACACATCACAGCACAAGATAACAAAACACGACCCGGGGGCTGAAGCTGTAACCTAAATCTAAATGCTGCTCACAGCCAAAAGTTTGGAGCATCCAGGTCTGCCTCTCTGGAGAGTTTGCTATTTTCTCAAGGAGCTCTAAATCCCACCGCTTTTCTCCGCTCCACACAATGAAACAGCCTGACTCATTCCAGATTCACCCGGGCACCTCGGCCCTGTTGGCCCTCCCGATTGACAAGGCAACAAAACAGAGCCGCGCCGAGAAAAATAAAATCAACCGTAGGAGGTCGTGCACTTCTTTAAACCTCCAAAGATTCACTTTCCACCTCCTGGGACTGGATGTTTCTGCCTGAAAGTAGAAAAGAATACGTCTTTTCTCCGCGGGGACGGCTGCTCGGAATATTTTTAACGGGGAAAAAGCTCTGAACCTTTTGTGGAGGCTTTCATTACAGAGTTGAACGATTGTAGGTTGTGTAATAGAGGTGTCACTGTGCTTCAAAATGAAGCTCAGCCTCATCCTCTGTCAGGAAACGAGGGTCTTAATGGAAACTAGGAGACAATAACAGGAGCTGAAGCAACTTTAAAGGCTGTTCTGACCACATATCGACTGTCCCACTGCAGACTGGTCGACTCTAATATCACCTCTGCTTCCATTAAAGATCATGAACAAACAGATTCTGGTGCGAGCTTTAAGAAAACAAGAGACACACACTCATGAGAGGCCAAGGAGACCAGCCTGCCCTCTTCGTCACCGTCACCGCCCTGACTGACCTCTCCCACACTCTCCTGTCAACTGTCTCCTCACTCAACACAAACACACACACACACACACACACACACACACACACACACACACACACAAGCATGCAGTCCCGGCCTGTTGCTTCATTTTCACGTCTTTACACAGCTGGTCTGAAGAAGACTGATGGAGCTTTCTGACACCAGAGACACAGAGACATGCTGGACTGTTTGGGTTCAAGACGATGACCTCCGATTCACAGACCGGACACCTGCACAGTGACGTTCACAGACACGAACAATCCCAGTCACTGCGTCTGTTGTTTTGGCTTCATAGTGTTTATGACACAAAATGAGACTTACCAAACATCGGCACAGACTCAAACAAAGCCGTACAAATGTCAGATTTTTAAAGTCTGAGGAACAATAACTAGAGATGTCCCGATCCGACATTGATATCGGTCCAATATCAGCAAAAATAAATAGAAAGTCGGTTTATATCAGCCTGCATCTAAAATCTCTGATACCAGCAGTCGTAAAGTTGACAGTGTTTTTAACACACTAACAGTATTTGTTGATTGATTTGATATGTGATTTGAAGGGATGTCCTGATCCGATATTGATATCCGCTATTGGTCCGATATTAGAAACACAAAAAATATATATATATATGATATATATCTGATTATATCGCCCTGAATCTAAAATCTCTGATACCAGCAGTCGTAAAGTTGACAGTGTTTTTAACACACTAACAGTATTTGTTGATTGATTTGATATGTGATTTGAAGGGATGTCCTGATCCGATATTGATATCCGCTATTGGTCCGATATTAGAAACACAAAAAATATATATATATATGATATATATCTGATTATATCGCCCTGAATCTAAAATCTCTGATATCAGCAGTCGTAAAGTTGACAGTGTTTTTAACACACTAACAGTATGTGTTGATTGCTTTGATATTGACGTATAGGGATACAATACAATATTGATATCTGATATTGGTCCAATACCAGCAAAAAAAACAAAAATCCCTCTCGATTTCCTACTCTCTGATACAAGCAATCCATTCCAGACTCCGCTCCGGTGCTTCTATCGAACATGCAGAGTCCACATAATCACAACAACAGTGTGTACTAAGATACAAAGTAGCAAGGAGTCGGAGTGATGTCCCTGTGGAAGTATTTTTCATTAAAATCTGAACTGCTGTTGGAGCTAATTGCAAACCTTCTCATGCACAAGTTTGTGCTAATATCAGATCAATATTGGTATCTGCCAATACTGAAGGCTACAATATCGGTATCATATCAGAAGTAAAAAAGTTGGATCAGGACACCCCTAACAATATCAGGGTTGACTGATGTTGTCTTTTCAGAGTCGATACAGACACAGATTATTAAGAGTTTAGACGACTGATGCCGATCTAGGTGTAGACAGGTCCATCACAACATCATGTCACACCAATCAGAACATAAACAGTGAGAACAGGACACAAACAGCTTCAGTGTAGAGTTGATCAATTTCAACCCCCAGATTTGATTGTTTTTAGGAACAGGAGACCTCTGAGGGTTATTCAGCCCTCCGGTAAAAACACACAAACACTGAGGAGTCGTTCTGGAAATGCATTAGTGAAGCTGCTCATGCAGTCATCTGTTCAGTGACGCACTTTTGAGTTTTGTTCCTGACCGATGATCCAAATCATTGTTCTGCTGGAGAGTTTGAGGATCACAGTCATCGTTTCTCGATCAATGAGGCCTGAAACAATCTTCACCTTTTGCCTAAATTCAGAGTTTTTCTGTCTTTTTATGACGAGCTAACTGCTTCTCTACGGTTAAAACGGCCTCCTCACAGCGACAGATGAAGTCGACAGATTCAGGACTTCTTGTTTATGTCAGACGGACTCTGCGTGGAAACCCCTGTTGGGCAATTATCCGGTCTGCTGTTAAATGGAGAACATGTTAACAAATCCAGCAGGTCCCTCAGAAAACTGAACATCTGGCGAAGCTGCAGACATGTTGTGTTTACCCAGCCCTCTCCCCTTACACCACCACCTCCTCCTCCACCCAGTCCTCACTCCCCTCAACAGGAGCTGGTTCAGAGCCAGAGATGGGCCGTGCAACACTCTCACATATTTTGGCAGGCAGGTCGCTGCTCAGGCGCTCTTCTCCCTCTTCATTCGTCTCCCTCCCTCTCTCCCTGCCTCTCTTGTTTTCATCTCCCTCCGGCTCCACTTTTCTCCGTAAAATTGTCCCGTTTCAGTCTGAGTGTGTCGTCACTCTCGCTGTCAGCCGTCCCAGCTCCATGTAGCCGAGGAAACTCACAGAATCTGGCAGGCGAGGTCAAGGACAGCTCATTGGACTTGCCTCAGTTATCGGGCCGGGGAGGCTCCTCTCCTGCCAAGTTCTCATCATACTCCACAATAACAGAGAGAGACTAATAACGGTGAGAAGAGACGGAGGAAGACAATAACACACAGATAGAAAGCAGTCCCAAAGTTAGAAAACGCACCGAGGAGGGGAGACTGCCTGCAAACAAAACACCTTTGTGATCATGTTGGCAATAAAGGAGCCGAGAAATACTCAAAACACGTGACGGTGGAAAACAGAAACAGAGAAAGTCTGCAGCTTCAGATGAGTTAGGATGGACGCACGCTGTCATCTTAACGTTTGAGCGAAAGGGTGTAGAGCTGATGTGAAGTGACACAAAAATAAGATTCAATGGGAAAGTAGTTAAAGTTTGACAGGGACAGAAAATAAGACAGAAACAGGCAGAAACCAATACAAGACACAGCCCTGCATTAAAAACAGACATGACTCTGTAGTGGAAATATCCACATCGACTCAAAAGCACCTCCAGAAAACCCGTCAGTCTCTGCATCCACAGACGGGTATTATGGACTTATAACAACCAAAGTGGCTCCTCTACTCTTGAGTTGTCATGTCTGTTTTGCACGAGCCACTGCAAACCAAAACAAGACAGTTCAACATGTGATACGTCATCAAATCATCCTTTTTTTTTATTCATTAAAAGGTGTTGTACTCAGGATCTGAGGAAGTTCCAGTTTTTGGGAGAAATCTTGAACGTAAACTCTACCCCTCCCAACCAGTTTTCCCCTCAGCTCCTCCTCTCCCCTCCCTCTCTGCTCCAGCAAGCCCCGCCCACAAACAGACGCTCCTGCTCGCTCGTATCGTTCCAGTTAAATTCAGATATAATGCAGATAAATACTTCAGATCATTACAAATGGGGCCCAGTCAAGGTGAAAGTCAAAAGCATTGGTGCTACTGTAGATGCCAACAGACTACCAGCAAACACAATGTTTGCAGGACTTCTACAACGAGGATAAAGTGACATAGTCCAGGACCCGAGGGAGGACAGTTTAGCGATGGCGCTACAACACGCTACAGCAGGTCCGTTTGACAAGAAACACTTCTGTTACAGACACTTGTCTTACTTTGTTAAAGCGGTTTACCTGTCCAGCAGAAAGGTTACAGGGTCACCAAGATCCCCAAGCGTCCCCCATCGTTTATGTTGACCCGGCTTTTTAGCTCTTGTCCGGTCTACCTCCGTTTTAAGCGCCCGTTATTCCTCCAGAGTCTCCGGTATTTACTTTGTTTTCTTGCTTGTGTCGGCAGTCGTGGCCAAAGGAGGATTCAGACAATTTTCCGAACTTTCTGGTTGGTTTCTACTGTCCGATATTGTAGCACGCTAACTTTGTTTGGGCTCCTGAACGACACGGGGGAGCAGCGTCCGCCTCACAACCAATCAGGTCGGGGGAATCCTGCCTACCCCACCTTTAACATTTTACAGTGTTCAGAATTGGGGTTGAAATTTCAGCCGTTTTCAAACTCTGTTGCTGACTGTCACTGATGAAGATTTATCGTATTTTGTACAATTACTCTCGAGTATCTGATGTTCTTAATGTAAACTGTGGTACTGAGGAAAAACTTAAAGACTCTTCAAACCACCTTTCACACCTGCTCGACGTCATTTCACACACGTCTGTCATGTGGTCTCTTAAAGCCTCGGTAATGATGCGACAGCAGGAGAAGGTTCATCACTCTCCATCTCTGCGGCTGAAGTGAACTCACTCTGTTTCCAGAGGCTCCTAATTGGAGCATGTCGAACACTGTGGTATGTCGTGGCTTTGTTCGAGTTATGGGGCCAAGGGTGAGGGTTTTGCCAGAGCATCTATTAACTCTGTGTGTGTGTGTGTGTGTGTTTGTATATGTGTGTGTGTGTTTCAGGAAAGTGACAAGAGAGTGACAGCAGAGAGAGCGACGCACTCGAACTGTGCGAGACGACAAACAGGCGACATTCTTCCAACGGGAATGTGGTTTTACATCCTGTGTTGAGTGGAGTGATGAGGAGTTAAAATAGCTAGACGTCGAAGAGGGTGGCAGCCAAGATGTAGAATTACATCATGTGTAGTTTTCAGAGTGACCCGCCTTTTTGCACCTCCAGGACTTTTGCAGGATTCACAGAAAACTTCTCAGGTATCTCGTATAGGTGTCTGTGAAAACCCTCATTTTATCAGTCTTCAGCTTCTGCCTGAAACGCTTCAGTTTTATAGCGGCTAAGCCTAAAACTTAAAATCACCTAGACAGACTGAAAGTAATCGACGCGCTGGCTACCGCACTTGTTGATTGTGAGCTGTGAAATATGACTCAGGATTGCCTTTTTCTTTGCTGCTTTCTTTATTGCTCATCATTTGACTGTGTGCTCCTCCATCCAGCAACACCTGACCCCTGACAAAAGGTTCCTACATATATACAAAATACACATCCAACACCACGAGGACACCTGCTGGCCCAATTAGGTAATATACACAAACCACAGAAAAAACTCCCCGACGAGTTTTGCTCAGGGCTGGGCGATAAGATGATAACGATATTTATCAAACATTAATTTCCCTCCATATTAATATAAAACATGGTCAATATACTTTTCAATAGTCGGCATTCTGCCATGTTCTGGTAGACTATACAAAAAGCCAGTGAAAAGGGGAGTGGCTCCGGGTCTGATTCCAGCTGAACCAATCATGTGCTGAATTAGAACCAAGTAGCGAAAGACTGCAGCTACACGCAACCATAACACTTTAACCCGTGAGGCTGAAAGCACTGTTGGTGAGAAACAAAGAAAATGAGTGCTACCCCCGACAGAAATGCAAATGAAGGCTCAACAGATGACGACATCGTCGACAACACTGGCATGAAAGCGTCGGTGGTGTGGAGGTATTTTGGTTTTTTGAGGTCGGACATGAAGTAGAGTAATGTGAAATGCAAATTATGTCGAGTACATGTTCTCGTAAAGTCGGGGAATACCTCAAATCTTTTTCTCCACCTGAAGCAGCGCCACGCCGCAGAGCAAAAGGTTACAAACACCAAGAAGCAAACGTCGAAGAGACACAAAGACCTCACAGATGCAGTTGCTTATTGTATTGCAAAAGACATGCTACCAATAATCGCTGTTAAATTTCAGTTTTTATATCTTAATATGTATCGATATCTGCTGATATGAAAAAATATATCCTGATAAACTTTTTCCCATATCCCCCAGACTTAGTTTGGCTCCTTTTCCACTGTTAGACAAGACTCGTGGGTGTTACTTTTTACACAGCTCTGTCGTTGCAAAAGTTACAGCTTTACAGAAAAACTCCAAATCCGTCTGTCGAACCTTTCTCTAGTTCTGCAAGTGGAATATATTGTGCTTCCTGGACACTTTATACTTTTCTTACTGCGCAGTATCTGAATGCATATTTTCATGATTCTGTCATGCATGAATGTTGAGAAGTATTTCATATTTTTGCACTCTGTAAACTGTTGCAGATGCTCTTTAACTGAGGGAAATATCAACATATCATGTCCGTCTTTATCTTATGAACTAATGAAGCAGATTTCACGGGTTAAAGCCTTCAGGCATCATCAGTTTCCCTGAATTAACCTTCATGAAAAGAGGTGTGCCAAACATTTTGTGCTCTCAGCGTGCCGCACAGGCGGAGGAGGCAAAAGCGTCTTTGTGGTGTTTTTTTTCTCCTACTCTCACACTAGGACACACACATGCAAACCCAGCATGACTCTTTCCTTTTTTCTGGTTTTTAACAATCCCCTTTCAGCATTTCACCCACATAAACACTTGCTCATTGTTTTTTTTTTCAGGAACCCCACATCGCCCGATGGAAGAATGAGAAGAGAGATTTCTTTTCTCTGCTCGGAAAGATGGCAGATGAAGCAACACCTCGCCCCGGGCTCATCAGTGCTCCTCTGGGTTTCCTTGGACCTGTTACAGTGAGCTGCACAGACACACAGCCCTAATAAAGCACAACCATTATAACCAGAGAGAGAGGGAGATATTTATGGCACTCCCCGCAAGGCCTCGCTTCCTCGTTGCGACCCACATTCTGCACCAGTGAAATATTCATCGCCGCTATCGCAGCTGATCAGGACGGCGGCCTCGAACAACAGCTTATGTTGTGCGTTTGGCGAATGCGGCGAAGATTTCATTCTAAACAATGTTGCTGTCATGTTCATCGGCATTGTAATCTCCCTCTAATGTACTCAATTTTCAGCATGATCGGGCGAAAACATGAACGTTGATTTGTATCTAATCGTGAGCCGGAGAAAGGTCAGTGAAGCATGAGGGAGAGGAAACAAAAGGAGGAAGGACAGAAGGATGGGAGGAGAGGAATAAAGGGAAGGAAGTAGGTGAGGAAAATCTGGGTGCTGCTGTGCTTTCGTCGACTGTTGTGCGTTTTCAAAATGTCAGCTGTGATTTCATCAGAAGGCTCTCGGACCGAGCACAGATGCCTTCAGAGGAGAGGCCTGCAGGCAACACACCCCGGCCCATCATCTGTCTCCAAACACACTCACACACACACACACACACACACAGACACACACACACACTCATGCTCGTTTGTGCGACACCACGGCGATGTAAGACAAAGGCTGATGAGGAGACGCTCCTCTGCAGCTCGGCACAAACACAGAGCTGATGGGCGGAGCGGGAGCGAAGAGACTCTGCATGACAGTCTTTGGAGGAGGACTTTGAAGACGAGCGCACCAGAGCCAGTCTGCCTCACTGCGTGCACGGGGACGAGCACCTGCTATGTTATTAGGAAGCATATGTTACTTCTCTCCGCTACAAGTTGTTTAGGGCGCTTCACTTCAGGAGGAGAAAACCAGGCAGCAAATACAGACGAGGGGAACCAACACGACCAACGGCAGCGACATTTTCAGGGTTTAGAGGAGCAGATGGAAATCAAGAGGACCTAAAAATAGGGCTGGGCGATACGGCCTCCAATCAATATCACGATATATTGATCAGTTCACCTCAATAACAATAAATGGACGATAACTACTCAGCAAGCTGCTCATCCCCTCCAATATTAAAGGGATATTCCAGCGTAAAATTAATTTAGGGTCAAACACACGGTAACACCGAGTTAGACCGCTTGCTTCTCCAGTTATACCAACTTTCACAGCCATAGTACCAGCCACCAAACATCTTTTTAGCTTTGACTAATTTCTTTAGCAAAGAGACTAAACACAACTCACCTACTCTCTTCCAGCAGCCGCTTGTTTGCTTGGAGACCTCTGGACTTCAGCGGGGTGACGCAGCTCAAGGAAGAACATTTATGATCATTTCTTCATGGAAATACGATCAAAGGAAATGATAAATTAATGATCATAAATGTTCTTCCTTGAGCTGCGTCACCCCACTGAAGTCGATGGGCTCGCCCGGAGGTCTCCATACAAACAAGCGGCTGCTAGAAGAGGGATGGTTACATTTTGGGTTTATCGCCCAGCCCTTCCTAAAAGATACAATTAAGAACATCAGCAACAAACCTGACCATTTTTGATATTAGAAAGTCCTGTTAGGGGGTCGGTGTCAGACCAGAAGAACAGCAGCCCACCTGAGGATACCTTTAATAAAACAAATACCAACAGTTAGTGAGCCATCTAACTTTGATCTGAAATCAGAAAACACCATGTTCTGTAGAGGACAAGATCAGAAAAGAGAGCAGAGGTATCATTTTGTCCACAGAGGGCGCCAAATTCATCCCAAACAGAAAAACCCACACTGGAGCTTTAACTTAAAATCAGCAAACAGTAATAATGTCTGACTACTTGGTTTACACTGTAAGGGACAATAATGGTGTTTTTTCCAACCAGCTTTAAAACGGAGTAAAGACTGGAAGTAGCATGTGAGTCCTTTCAAAATAAAAGCATGTTTTTGTCAATACAGGAAATAAAGCAACCAAGACCGTTTAAATGTCAAAATATCAGCAACTGCAAAACAAATCACGTCCAAGAAAAAGTTTCCTCATCAGTTTGGGATCTTTTTGGGGTTTTCTATAAATGCTGCAATAACACTGTTATTGTGAATTTTTATCGCCATGCTAATCCAGAGAAATACAAAGAAGTTTTGAACCAAATTAAAGGTCCGACCACTTTTTTCCTCAATCCCAGACAAGAGCAGACCAGGGTGCAAAACCTGTAGTCGGTTCCCCTCAGTCTAGGACGACTTTTCTCTCAGATTAAGAGGACCTCACAGCTGAAACTCTTTAGTCTTTATTTCTATTTAATCCCCCCTGTTTACGTTAATGCTCTGTCTCTATACAAGTAGGTCTGCTTTATCGGCTCCTCCTGCACATTTCCCCTCACTAAAGTTGGTGGTTAATTATTGTGAATTCATCTCTCGAGTCTATTATTGAGTCGAAACCACCTCCTTTAAGCAATCTCTACTCGCTTCTTTACAAACAGCATGTCCAAATGACCCGCGCCGAGGAGGGTAGGGTCCTCTTTTAGAGGAGCTTCTATAAAAAGATGTTTTTTTTCTGCCTAAATGTGCAGAAAAAAATATCTCAGTGACAACAATGCGGTACATTGATGGTTTTAGGCGCTGAAAATCGGTGATGTAAGCTGCATTAAACAGAAATGTTCCCGTCATGTAAAGGCAGCGGAAACACATTTTTACTTTCATGTAGGTGCTGCTGAAAGGATGTCTCACTTTTATGCAACACAAGCTGTTTGAACCTTTCTGCATAGTTAACATTCCCAAGATTCCCCTCATAGTGACCTGCTCCTGTATTGCAATTCAATGAAAATATAACTCCGTTTTTCACTACAGTGAAACAAAAGAAGAGAAATTATCATTTTCGGGGGGCAGCCACCCTTTTTTTCAGGGTAACAGAGCTGATTTTGCTGCATACAGCGTTATAAAAATGACGTTATTTGTGCTCATCGTGCCTCAGACAGCAGCTCTGCAGAAATCCACCCTGAGATGATAAAACCAGGCAGATACGGGAGGAGGCGGAGGGGGGAAGCCCGGCTGTGTGAGTCATCACCTGCATCATTTACCTCCCGGCTGCCTGGACACTGAGACAGTCTGCTGAGAAAAACCCAGAGAGACGTCAGCGAGCTGTCCAGGAATTATTTTAGCTCTGTTTGCAGGATTCCTCTGAAGATTTAAAAGGGGAAAAAAACGGAGATTTTACAGGTTCAACCTGCTCACAGTACTGTGAATACAGAGCAGGTTTAAAAATAGAGGTTGACATCATGGGGATGTTATTAAGGAGATCTTGGACCAGGGTTAGAAAAGGTGACACCAAACCCACTCCTCTGTAGCGCTAATATGACGCTCACATATTTATCCTGGTTCTTAATATTTATGCTCCTGAGATTCTCTATTACCTCCTTTTAATGTGTTTGTATTCATATATTTAATCACAGCAGTTTGCAGCGCACTCTATTAAGATGTTTCCAGCTGGGATTAGCAATATCCCCGATGACAAATGTTCCCCTCAGGGCAATAAAGTATCTCATTTTAATAACCCGAGATGACTCAGATGAGCTCATTATAAACGCTGATAGTAATCAAAACGGCAAATTGATTTATCAGAAGGGAGCATCGCAGCAGAGCAGACACCCAAGAGGACCTTCAGTCAAGTAGTTGGGGTTTAATAATTTCTACTTCTTTTCTCTTAAGATGGGAGTTGATCAGATTTTATTGGTACCGATGTTTTTATCAGTCCAATTCTGTATCGACTCCTTTATCAATTATAGTGGAGAAAGTAGGTCTATACAGTTTCTTTTACGAGTTTTATTACCTTCACTGCTTTTCCGAGGGGAAGCCCGGGCTCTGATTGGGCCTTGACAGGTCAGCTGATCACGGATACAGCCTCTGATTGGTCAACAGACCACAGCAAAGATGGCAGCCTTCGACTAGCAACATATGAAATACGTAAATAATCTCAGATTACCTGTAGGAGCTAAATTGATGCTTTAAGCTACTGAGATGCTTGACCCAGAGTAATCCGGTTGATGCGCCGCGCTACTGAGTTTTACCCTGTTCCTCTGATTCTGCAAACAAAAAATGTACTGTTTTTGAACAAAACCAAATTAGTTTTGCAATAGATATCCAACACTGAACAAACAAGGAAAACGCCGGCAGTTAGCGCCACGACGGTCAAAAACCTTTTGCCCTTCCGGGTCAAACACCTGCCCACCACAGTGACATGGCTACCTTTATACCTGATCGTCTCTGATCTTCCTTACTTTCTTAGTTGTTCACACTGACTGCCTTTCTGTCACATTGTTGTTTTGCCTGGCACGCAGACCTTAGAGGACAGCATCGATGAAGGAACCATGACGCATAGACCCAAATAATGTCGCTGGCTTGAACTAGTTTAGACTGTTTTTAAGTTTTCAATTCCCCTCACCCGTGATCGACTTCACCAAGACTTACAGAAGCGGCTCCATATAAAGTCAAGAAGCAACAAACTGATTTTCTGGCAGAAGTTTTAAAAAATCAAAATCACACAAGTAAAGAGTTAGATAAGTCCCTGAATATTCTACCTTTAGGGCCTGTGTCCACTGACAGCGATGAAGCGCCTAAGATCTAAATTTCAGAGCGCTTCCATGCTTTTGTAATTCATCTGTTCATTGTTAGCTGATTTTTTTGCAGTGGCAGCACCCCAGGGAAGACTTACATAACCTTTAAACGACAAGCACAGGTATGAAAATATCTACAGTGAAGGTTGTAGGGGCTGCCGGTGCAAAAAAAATGCTGTCAGTGAGCATAGACCCTATTTTTAGCTAAGAGCAAAGACAAGAGTGTTTTTACACTTCGGCACTGAAATGGTTTTGTTTGGGCAAATCAGTGTGGCTACTTAAAAACAAAAAAAAAAACACTCTTGGTGGAGTCAGGTCACTGTTAATCTCAAAATTCTGCAAACAAGAAATACAGTATTAACAGTTCTATGCAACATTTTTATGAAATTAATTCTTTAAACTTTGTGAATTTGATCTGGAGTTCCTCAAGGATCTGTATCAGGACGTATGAGAAAGTATATAATCATACAATCAATGTTGCTACTGCAATATGATTGAAAATCTGGAGGGATAGTTTATGGAAGAGGATTTTCACTTTGACTGAGAATCCTGTAAAAATGATATTTGTTGCAGTCTGTACATTAAAATAGTTTACCTGTTCAACAAAAAAAGAAAGATATACGAGTCAGGACATCTCTGTTTTTGTCTTGACCGAAAAAGTTGGACTTGTTTAATTTTGATTCTGCACTTGGTCATATTTTGGTTTTAGTAATATTCGGAATAACTGCGCCGTCTTTAATACATCCACGGCTCCTCTAAGTGAGTCAAAGTTGTGTCGGGTAGTTTGGATGTGAGAAAAGCAGGAAACCAAAAACAGACAAACCCACTTAGCCAGTCTTCAAACTGGGTCAGAGCCTTGTTAAGTATGCCAGGGGAGCTGCCTGAAGCCCTCACACAGATATTTTTGAGCAGAAAGAAACAAGGTGGTGGAGGATAAAACTTCACTTCACGAAAAGATAAATTCAGAGATTTGGGACCTTCTATAAAAATCTTTTGTTTCCATCCATGTATGATAAACTTTAGCCACCTGTGCTCTGAAATGAAGATGGTTTTAGACCCACGCAGGCTCACCAGCCTCTCTAAAGAGCCCTCTGATTAATGTTAACATCCCTCAGTCACCACAGCCTCCGTCCTCAGGTCGTCCTGCATCAATAACGACAGTGAACGCTTCAGTGACACGGCCGTCATGTACACAGAGAGACCCTGAAGGCATCTTGTGATGACACACGGAGACAGTAAATCAGCTCAACAGCTGCTGTCACGCTTACAGACAGTCAATAAAGAGAAGTATGGAGGGACATGAAACCTCTCCGCACGGCACACAGCGGCAGACGGGAGGGACTGAGATTTCAATGAGAACACTGCAGTTTACCTGTCAATGATGCATGTAAACGAGAGGATCGTATTTAACGACACTTTAACAGATAAAACTGTTCGTTGACTGACAGTCTTTTTCAGCCACAAACCGTCTGTTTTTGCAAAAATCTTTCACTGTTTTAGTTTTATGAGGTCAAGAGTGCAATGTGATGGTCAGGTGACGATGAGGGTGCCCTCTGCTGGATGGCTCCTCATCCACTTTCATCTGTCTTTAAAGGGATAAAAATTAATTTAGGGTCAAACACACCGAGTTAGACACCCCCTCGAGAGATGAATGTTGCCGACCGCTTACTTCTCTAGTTATACCAACTTTAGTAACAACCTCAGGATAGCAATACACAGCCTGTCTGAGGAGCCATAAACAAACCTCAACCAAAACACCACTCCATAGCCACAAATAATGCTCAGAACAGCACCTAACTTCATCAACAGGACATATAGGGTCACAGCCATAGTACTAGACACCAAACATCTTTTTAGCTTTGACTCATTTCTTTAGCAAAGAGACTAAACACAACTCACCTACTCTCTTCCAGCAGCTGCTTGTTTGTAGCGAGACCTCATGCCGGTCCATTACGGACTACAGCGGAGTGCCGCAGCTCAAGGAAGAACATTTATGATCATTTCTTCATGGAAATACAATCAGACCGAGACGCTAAGACAGAAGAACTACAGCGTCTGCAGTGAAAATTATTAATATGGTGATTATTACTTCAAGGAAATGATCATAAATGTTCTTCCTTGAGCTGTGTCACCCCGCTGTAGTCCGTAATGGACTGGCCTGAGGTCTCGCTACAAACAAGCGGCTGCTGGAAGAGATAAGTGAGTTGTGTTTAGTCTCTTTGCTAAAGAAATTAGGCAAAGTTATCAAAATTTTCGGTGGCTGGGACCCTCTATGTACTGTTGATGAAGTTAGGTGCTGTTCTGAGCATTATTTGTGGCTATAGAGTGGCGTTTTGGTTGGTATAACTAAAGAAGCAAGCGGTCAGCAACATTCATCTCTCGACGGTGTGTTTAACTTGGTGTTACTGAGTTTGACCCTAAATTAATTTTATGCCGGAATATCCCTTTAACATAAACCCTTGAGCCAGAGGATCAAACAATAGCGCGGGTGTATCAGAGTTCAACAGCGGATCCTGACTCAGCTCTACAAACCTCCGCGTTCAGCTTCAGCATCTTAAAACCCACAAATCTCTCACTCAAACCAAACTGAGACACTATTTCTACATCTGTCTGATCCCTACAACAACACACTCCTACTCTAAAAAATACTTAACGCTCCAAGTCCACAGAGACCTGACCTAACTCCACGAACTAGTTAATCATGTTGGTTTTTCAGAGCGTCACAGAGTTCGTCTGTGTTTTCTTGGATGCAGCTGAGACTAATAGGAGTTTCCTCTTTGTGACTCAGCAGCTGAGTCATAAAGTACCTGCCAAACCGCTCCTTGTGGTTTGATTCAGTCTGCTCTGTGTGTGTGGGATTAAAAACACACAATGCACATCACACAATGAGCATTTCCAAGCTTCATTTAGCACTTTGTTGTGTGTTGAAACAGAATCAAATGTAGTGAAAGGTCTGTTATATTTAAACAGAGTCGCTAATCCCGGTGAGAATCGAGCAGGAGACTGCAGAGATATGAAGCATAAAGGTGGAAGATTAAGGTGTTTTTAAAGCAGAATGGAACATGTCTCCACTATTTCTTGATCGTCAAATCTGGTGCTTTTCATGGATTACCATCTCTGCGTGGCTTTTGTTGTTCTGTTTATTCTACTTAATCGAATATATCAAATTTTCTGCGTCATTTTGCTTATCCCAAAGTTAGCTTGGCGCTCTGGCTGGTTATCCTTTGTCATATGGCTGAAAGCAGAAATGTTAAACTCAGTTTATGCACCAGAGTCTCCATCCAAAAATTAATTAAGACGAGTTGAGCCTAGCCATTGCGCCCAGCCTATCATGCTTGGCAGTTGGCATGTTAGTACTGCAGTGTTTCATTTTTGTGGTTACCCTTCCTCAGCCCTTCTTCAAAGCCTGAGGTAAAGAACTAGGGCTGGGCAATATGGCCTCAAATCAATGTCACGATGTATTGAGCAGTTCGCCTCGATGACGATAAATGGACGATAACTACTCCACAAGCTGCTCACACCAATATGGGCAAAATGAGGTAGGTTATTGTCGTAAATTTCAGTATCAGTAAATTTTCGTTTTCTCGCCCATCCCTAAAAGAGCTCAAACTTGCCTTTAATTCTGCAAACCTGTGTATAACTCTTGGTCGCAACGTCTTAAAAATAGAGGAGTTATAAAAAATCAACACCTGTACAGTGTGAGTGAAGGAATAAATTTGCTACATACCAAAAAATATTTTTCACACAAGTTTGTAAACATGTTTAATTTTGCTCTAAAGTTGAGCATTTGAACATGGGAGTCAATGGGGATTCTGTAGCTGTACAGCGAGCCCCAAGTGGTCACTCAAGGAACTGCAGCTTCTTTGCACTTCCTCACTGATTTCAATGTTCGCCAGAGGTTCTAACTCAGGACAAAAGTTGTTTTCTTTTTAGGTCTTTCAGTATCTCAAGCCGAGCAAAAGCTGCTCTGCCTCAGAGGGACACGGAGACAAATTAAATTCAAGAGCTCACAGGACGGGGGATAACTGCACCCCTGTTGTGTGATGGCTCGTTATATAAAGTTGTGTTATCATGGGCAACATCTTTCTGCGTCTTATCACAGCGCTGCTCCGCCGTTCGCTCTGGGATGAAACTGATTTTTGAAGCGGGGGTACGGAGAGTGCAAAGAGCTAAAATAACTGCAGGAACACAAACAGCTCACTCGGGGGGGAGTCACTGAGGGGTGCCGCACAGTCTCTGGTATAGAAATCACCCCGGTGTGTCATCAGGTGTGTGATGAAACGCCTGGATCGCACTTGAGCTGCTCGTCTGTCTGCTGTCAAATTGAATTCTCTCTGTTTCTTTGTGCAGAGGTTTGGACCTGAAGGTTCACAGCAGGAACACGCAGGCGTCTGAGGGTGCGCCGCAGTGATTCGCTGCAAAGGAACAACCTGCCAGCGTGTTTCTATCAGGAGTCATTCATATGGAAACCAAAACAAGCTGGCAGTTTATTCTGAATTGGGCAGAACAATACTTCCACAAACACTAAATGCTCTGTGCACAGTGACTAAAACTACCGCCTGAGTTGTTTTATGAAGCTTTCTCTGTGCTGCTTTAACAACGGTTTTTAACATCTCCTCATTTTTGCAGTTTAAAAGTCTGAAATTTATTGTTATTAAGTCTGAAATCTTAATATGAGTACAGTACTGGCCTCTTCAGCCTGATGCATTTCTTTATGAATATCTTATGGCAGAAATCAGCTTATTGACAGAGTTTACTTAAAGAGTAAACCTGAGCAAAACAGATAAAAATCCAATCTTCACAATGTTCCTCATGAGTTTATTCTATAGTACGGTGGCTGACAAGGAAAAACGACGTGCAATGACCTGAGGGATCTTTATAAGAAGAAATGCACTGCAAATCCAGAAAGGACACAACTTTACAAACACATGCATAAGTCCAAAACAAAGACAACAATGCAACAGAGAGAAATGTTCCTTGAGAAATGTTCTTCCTTGAGCTGCGTCACCCCACTGTAGTCTGTAATGAACTGGCCTGAGGTCTCACTACAAACAAGCGGCAGCTGGAAGAGAGTAGGTGAGTTGTGTTTAGTCTCTTTGCTAAAGAAATCAGGTAAAGCTGACAAGATGTTTGGTGTCTAGTACTATGGCTGTGACCCTGTATTTCCTGTTGATGAAGTTAGGTGCTGTTCTTATTTGTGGCTATAGAGTGGCGTTTTGGTTGAGCGCGTGGCTCTCTGTATTGCTGTCTGCGGTCATTGCTTGAATTGGTAAAACTAGAAAACCAAGCGGTCGACAACATTCATCTCACGACGAGTGTGTCTAACTCGGTGTTACGGTGTGTTTGACCCTAAATTAATTTTATGCGGGAATATCCCTTTAAAGATTTCCACTGTGCACAATTTCATCCCACGATCACTTCAGCTTTACTCAAAATACAACTACAGTTTTCTCTGACGGTGATTTAGTGGCAGCAGGAACACATAACAGAAAAAATTTCCATGTCATATTTTCAGATTTTTAAATTGAAAATCTATCATTGACACTCTTTTTGGTTTTCACCACTTCCCAAAGCAGAAGTCAGACTTTTGTGTAAATTTTTATTCACTGAACAAGATTCGCTTTTTCTGTAGGAAGAATTTTAATCATTCAAAGGGACGCTGATTTAAAGGCAGTGTAGGAATATTTAGTAATATCTATTAGGTTGAAATGCTCCCTCGCTCACCCCTCCAATTAGTGAAGCAACAGAAGCTCCTCGATATGATCTTCCTCTTGTCAAAAAACATCCACAAATTATTTTCCATACAACAGAAACCACTCTCCTCTTTTTCGTCCTTGACTTTCATTCAGTTGCATTTTACATGTCAGCTAACTGAATACAAAAACACGTATGTAACTAGATTGTCCTTTCTCTGTGGCTCTTTTCTAGATATAAAAGACTCTCTCTAAGACAGAACAGTTTTCATATTCAGGTGATTGTTCACTTAACATACTTGTGAAGATTAACTTCTGCTTCTATAAAGTGTTCAGCCAAACACTGCTAAAACTACACACTGTACCTTTAATAACTGTCAGACATCGCCTCAGTCAGGTTTTAAAGAGCTGGATTACTCTGATAAAATAAGTCCAGAAAAGTCTATTTCAAGTCTGAAACCATAACTGTGCATCAGTGGGATGTTTCTATTCCCCGAGTTAAAGCAAACGAATGAAAACTCTTCCTGTTTCTCTGGTTCAGCAGAATCTATTTGCATTTTATATGAGAACAATTAGATCTGTTTACCCACTTCAGTCCAAAAATAACATTTTATTATGGACCTCTGCTGCGGTTTGGGCTGAAAGCTCCGTTAGCAGATTAGCAGCTTGACTGCTGTTTACGACGTGTGCAGACTGGAGACGTTTTCAGGACTCCTGCAGAGAAGTTCAGACTGATTTTCAATCGTTAAAACCTGAAGGCTCCTGTTTGCTTATCCTGAAGGACGAGACAATAAAAATTCTTAGAAGAAACGCGCTGTAACGCTTTAAACAGAGATGAAATATCAGGAGGAAGGTCTTGAGTGTTTTTACAGGAGACTCTCAGACAGGAATAACTCTGTCATAATTGCACATGATTAACTCACCTTCACTATCAGCGTGTTTGCATCATCGCCTCAGCAGGTCTCTGACTAAATGACTCAACTGTTGCCAACGAAATCCTGAAGCCGTGTGGATTTAGGTCTTTCAAAGTGATCTACGGCTGAGGGAGTTAATGAAGGCTGAGAAATCACACGCTGTGGAGTGAATGTAAGGAATAAAAAATGCTTCTGTTCTCCTCAGACTGAGAGGAGCATAAACTATGTCAAACCTCCGCTCACTGCGCCATGATTACCAGACGCCCGGTCTGCACAACACTCATCATTAGAGACTTAAAGGAGTATTCACCAAATTTTTCTCTAACTCACTCCTAAACCTGCTTCAGTGGAGGACGTTTTACCATCATTCCTCACTTACAGAGAAGTCGGTGGAAACTGACACATTAACTTTAATGGTTACAATCAGCTGTGATCGGCAGATACAATCCTTTTATAGCCGTTCCGGATGTGGTGGAAATTGGGGGTAACAATATTTGTTGAGTGCTTCGGTATGTGACATATAGGGATGTCCCGATCAGATATTGATATCAGATATTGGCCCAATATTAGAAAAAAGCAAGACAAAAACGAATATCGGATTATATCGGCCTGAACCTCAAATCTCCGATATCAGCACTCTGATACAAGCAGTCCATTCCAGACTCCACTCCAGCACTTCTATCTAGCAGCGCCTGGATCCAGCATGTAGAGCCCATGTGATCACAATAACAGTGTGTACTAAAGTACTAACAAAGTAGTAGTAGTAGTCGGAGTGATGTCGGCTGTTTGGCAGTATGTTTTGCAAAAGCCAGAAAAAAGTTGTCATGCACAAGTTTGTGCTAATATCGGATCAATATCAGTATCGGCCAATACTGAACTCTACAATATCGGTGTTGTATTGGAAGTGAGAAAGTTGTATAGGGACACCCCTAGTGATGTGACACATCAACCAGGGGACAGATCAGTAAGGAGCTTTAAGAGGGCAGATCGCCACCTACTGTGGTGGAGGGGAAAAACATTTGAACAGTTTCTGAACATTAAGAGGGGTCGACTGAAACTGGGTTTTCAGAGTCAATACTAAAACCCATTATCAGAAGTTTGTGAGACCAAAAACTGACATATAAATTCACATGAAAAAATTTGTAAAGTTTGTATCAAAATGTAGATTTTTTAATATAAACGTCATCATAAAACTTTTGGACAAACCAAACTCAAACATTCAACATCAAATACAAGAGTTTTAGTTTAATGCTTAAAGGGAAAAAGGGCAGCAGAGCCAAAAGAGAGCACTATTTAATGAGTTAATTTCACTGGTGATCTGTGAACTAAAAGGTTGATACAAACAGGATATTGGCCCGATAATCAGCCATGACCAATAATCGGTCTGAGCCTCATGTTTTTGGACGACACAGGAGCTCACAGAGGTTTGTCACGTCTCATCCGTCAGAGTCGAGGCTGTCCTCTTCACCCTTTGCCCCCCGTCTCACACCACGGTCGGTGAGGCAGTGACACCTGAGCTCCGAGGGTTTGACTTCCCATTAAAGTTTAAAAACACACAGAAACGCCGAGGAGTGGAGGAGGCAACAACAACAGCAGCAGCAGCAGCAGCAGCAGGGACCGTATGATACTATAACCCAGCTCTGCTCCTCTCTGGCCACGCCCCCTCACAGCTGGCTACCTGGTGTGTTTACTCCGACTGGATCAAACGGTTGGGCAGACTTTACTTCAGCGCACTCCTCTGTGTCTTTTTAAAGGAAGTAAAAACTCCTCCGGGCTCATAAAGCTGGTTTGATTAGTATTTTTCTGCGTTATTTCACACCGGAGCAGGTGCACACGTTCGCAAGTCGAGACAAGTTAAAAGTTGGCCGTAAAACAGTCCCTGAAGCTGCTGGACCGCTTTCCCAACTGCAAGAGCTCGTGCTGTTAAATGAAGAGATGATTTATTAACTACACAAACAATTCTTTAAAACACAACTGCAAATTCAAGAAGAAATTAGTCAAGAAATCAGAAACATTGTGATGCGAAAAGGGAAAATTTTGCATTAATTACTCTTCTCCTTGTGTAATTTGTGTTTGATTGAAATATTAAACCCAGAAAATGAAAACAGCTCCTTCTGCATCATTTCCCAGAGTCTGAGATATCTCGTCTTAATCTCCCTCCGCACGCCGAAAGCTCCTCGCTGCGGGAAGTGAGAGATCTCTCTGAAGACGGATATGCCGAGGCTGAGGGAAGAAACAACGGAGGAGTAAAAAAAAAAACTTTCCCATTAGGGTCGGGGGGAAACGAATGAGTCTGTCTCTTTCTAGGAGAGCCGGCTACAGGAGATAATGTGTAAATAATGAGGGTGGATTCTGTACTCCGAGAACCCGAGTGGTAATTTCATCATTTGACACGAGCGCTGCAGAGCGAGAGATTTAAACCCTGTCGTCTGTAAATGTGCTCGACGACGACAGAGGGCAGTTTAAAGTCTGACACTGAGGGAGCAGACGGAGTAAAGACGCTGGATCTGGACTCAAGGTGGGCCTACTTCAGTCCACATTACAGTAGGACTGGGCGATAAGACCTCAAATCAATATCACAATATATTGATCAGTTCACCTCAATAACAAAAAATGGACAATAACTACTCCACAAGTTAGCACCTCCAAGTCAGAGGCCATGGTCCTCAGTCGGAAAAAGGTAGATTGCCTTCTCCAGGTCGTAGGGGAAGTCCTGCCTCAAGTGGAGGAGTTCAAGTATCTCTGGATCTTGTTCACTAGTGAGGGTAGGATGGAGCTGGAGATTGACAGGCAGATCGGAGCGGCGTCAGCAGTGATGCTTAACCGATCCATCGTGGTGAAGAAAGAGATGAGATGTGAGGCGAGACTCTCGATTTATCGGTCGATCTACGTGCCGATCCTCACCTATAGTCATGGATTTTGGGTAATGACCGAAAGAACGAGATCGCAGATACAAGCGGCCGAAATGGATTTCCTCCATAGGGTGTCCGGGCTCAGCCTTAGAGATAGGGTAAGGAGCTGAAGGCTCCTTAAGGACACATGGGAGGCGTTCAGAGTAGAACCGCTAATTCACTCTTTACTGAGAAGAAGTCTCTCTGAGTTTATGATGAATTAGTTCAGATTCAGATTTCACCGTTTCTCTCTCAGCCTGACATGATTTTAACCGATACTTCACGTCTTGCTCATACTCTTATGTTCGCACAGTCTTTATCAGTCATCCCTGATGCAGAGTGGTGCTAAAGTAATATTGATGATTTGTTGTTGTGTTTATTTCTTATATACTGCCTTACAACTTTACTTTGTTAACTTTGATTTATGATCGTTAATTAGCTCATGAAAGGTGACCAGATGCACCGGTTTGTGTAACCGAGTTTCACTGTCAAAAACAATCATTCGGTTCGGTTCGGTATTTATTTATTTTGGTATAATATGACCGAACGGGTGTAGGAACGAACGGAATCAGAATTGGAACCGGAATCGTTCAAAATCAAACGATACCTAACCCTGCTTTCGGCACTCCACTAGCCTGGCTGGGCCATCCATCCAAAATCAGTCTAGACTTCGGCCAATTGGGAGCCCTAAAAGTGGGCGGGAGTACTTTCCTTGATAGACGGACTACTGTAACCAATCACCGTAACCAAACATCTGACGTCATCACAGTGCATAACTGTGTTCCCTGCTGGGCTCTCAAGCATCAAGTAAACGTGTGCGAGCAAACAATGTCTCTTATGTCTTCTGTAAACGATTTCTGACGACTTTGCAAAGTCAACTGCAGAATTAATTGCGTTCTGAATGGACGGCGCTTTGAAAAGTCCCGCAGCATGTGTTAGACGTCACCATCTACACATGGACCAATCAGGGGCTGCCTTTCCCTGTTGTCCGGGGAACAGTGGAAACACAGTCACTGATTGGCCCGGTTATTTTCTGATCGCTAATACACGCTCCCAATTCTGGCCGAAGTCCCGACTGTTGTGGGAAGGAACGGCAAGTGATTCACGCAACTGGATGGCCCAGCCAGGCTAGTGCTCCACAGGTGACAGGTGATTTCCAGGTGAGTTCTAAATTAGTGTTATTAAAATGAACATACTGATACCTCTTCTTCAGGTTATCCAATCATGTGCAAGTCCTCTAATTCCATAATTCAAACAATCATTCAAAGAAAGTCTTAAAGCTGATCCCTTCGTCAGAGCGATCTAAATAAAGAGAGTAAAGGTGTGCTCGACTCTGACGGATCACAGCTCTGAGAGGGAGATCAGTTTTTGATGCAAATTGCTGCAATCAGGCGTCATTAGGAGCCTCTTTATGCCGCACGTTACAGACACTGCAGCGACCGCTCCAGGCGTTGAGTGGAGGAAGTCGGCTCTCTAAAGTATAATGAGTGACTCTCTGTTGTTTCTGCAGCACCTGTGCGCACCTGCCCGGCTGTTTAAACACCTTTAAGTGTTCTGGAGCTGAACTCTGTCATGTTTATTCACGGCTGCCTCACGACTCCTGTGTGAATCAGGGATGATGGGGTATTTATGACGGGCGTTTCTCAGGGATCACACTCGACCCAGCAGCAGCAGCTCTAAATGAGACATCATCCAGGATCAGGATTCAGACTCCATCACAAACCTCCAATTAGAGTCCATTACCAGAGCGAAAACACAGCAGCAGCGGCTCTGGGGACTGTTAACCCCACTTTCCACTCCTGTGATGTCATTTCCTGTGCTGCTCGGGCTCTTTTGGCGTGTGTCTGCGGCGCTCAGGTTTCAGATGACTGGTTTTAATGGTCCACAGAGGCCGAGGCTGTTTTTCTACATGAGGTGGGACCGTGTCACAGCTGAGCTAATGTTTCCAGGACAGCTCAGAGGTGGGCGTCTGACACACAGGAAAGGTGGAGTTTGGTCGTGACTGGGTGGGGGTGACATCAGCGACAACACAACTGAGGGACCCCGGTTGCTGCGGCAACATGGGTGTGTCATCGGACGCCATGTGGTCACATAAACACACAGGACATGTAGGGAACGCGCTGTGCAGCAAATCTGACTTCAGGCATGTTGGTATCAAGAAGCACCACGCGGGAAAGAGTCTGTGCAGCACCGTGTCCTGCTACTGTGCGCTGGTCTCACACCCGTTACCACGACGTCACGCTTTAGACATATTTACAGCACATCAAGTGGAACATCTTTGACAGAGTCTGCAGCGCCTCAGCGAAGACGCTTGACTCTGATTTAAAACTGGGAGAGTCGAAAACGCAGCAGTTTCTCAGCGCTGCCCTTTAAGAACTGGCAGGACCAGCTGCAGCTGCGTGTAACACAGGGTGTTATAAAAGAGAGCAGCCCAGCATCAGGGTCATCAGGTTCACTTCAAGATCTGAACCACTTACATAATAAGGAGTCTCTGCTGAAGTCCTAGTCATCTACATTTTTAAATGTTTTCTTTACTTCAACTGAAGGACATCTTTTTGTGTTCACTGTTGATCAGGAACAGACTGTGATGGTTCACAGTCTGGTTGAAAACAGACGATATTTAAAATGTTAAATCTGAATATTTGTCTTGTTTTATTTTTACTGTTGCGTTGAATCACCTCTTCTGACATTTCTGGATCATGTTTTTAATGTTCTCTGACTGTTTCAACCAACCGTGATCACAGAGAGCAAGTTTTTAAGCTCATGCTGTGATTTCCACTTCAGAGTCATGTCTGTTTTTTTAATGCAGACTTTAACATCCAAAGAAAAGAAAATCTCTTTACGTGTTTAAAGATGAGGAAGTCTTTGTTGAGGAACACTTTCTGCAGTCGGAGATGTTCCTCCGGGTGTTTTTTCACATTTCAAAACATTTCCAGATTTTTTTTTTGTCCCCAATTCAAACTTTTTTAAAACATGCAGACGTCAAATTATTTTTCACAAAACAATAAAACTTTTTAGGTTTAGTATTTGACATTTATTCTTTTTAATCTGAAATATAAGGTTTGAATAATTTTCCAAACCACCAAGGTCTGTTTTTGTCAAAATTTCACAGGTTTCAAAGGTATTTTTTTGTTTTGTACTATTACATGTCCATAAAAACTTGAGCTACTTTGACAAAATCTGTTCCTCAATCTCAGGTAATGAAACATAACAGACTCATATAAGTTAAAACACTCTGAGTCACAGGAATAATCACCTGTGTCATAGGAAGTGACTCAAATTAGCCTTGATTTAAGTGATTAACACCCAAATACAACAACTGTTATCCAATCATTACTCATATTTTCGGACAGAATAAGGATCACAATACTTAATAAGTATACAGTAGATTCTGATTAGAGATGGTCCGATACCAATTTTTCCCTCCTGATACCGATTCCAATACTTGTGCTGTTGGTATCGGGCTGATACAGAGTACTGATCCAATACCAGTTTGTTATTAAAAAATATCATACTGGATCTGCATGACTGTGATAATCATCGTGGTCAGGTCTGGCTCAGGTTAAACTCTTTGTAAAACACTAATACAGCAAATTCAAACCAATTATTTTTAAAGAGATCAGTAAAAAAAACAGTTAATGCAATTTAACTGAATAAATCCAAGAATAATTATCTAAAAAAATGAAAATGCCGCCACAATATTTCAACAGAACAGAGCTAACCAGTGAAGAAATTACTAATTCAATAAATTACATGGTATCAGATCAGACTGGACTCCAGTACTCCAGTACTTTTCCTACTTTAAATAAGGCCTAAAGGTGCAGAGCCTCCTCCTCTCTTCTCTATTCGACTGAGTGAAGCGTCCCGCTGTCTGACTGATTTCCAAACTCTGTAAATAAGCACATAACAAATCTGCGCCATGCTGCACCATCAGAGGCAGAGGAGAGGAGGAGGTTATCTGTTATCAGTCTGTCGCTCCTCAGCGGCTCAGCTATAACCTGAAGCAGCGTCTTCATCATCACACTCCAGTTACTTCAGAGCCGCTCCTCTGGCACTGACAGCTCTCTCAGTTTCACTCAAAAGCTCAAAGTCTCAGAACAACATCGACAGACGAGACGAGAAAACGTGTGAGTGTTGCTTTTTTAAATCCCACATCTGCAGCGCATTAAAATACAGGATTTAAACCTCCTGTATGTAATTAAATCAAACACATTATCCATTAAAGCTTAAAGCCGGAGTAGAGCAGAACATGCAAGCGAAATGATGCAACCCTCACTGCTGTATAAGTCAAAGCTTTTCTAGGGCTGGGCGATATGGCCTCAAATCAATATCACGATATATTGATCAGTTCACCTCAATAACGATAAATGGACGATAACTACTCCACAAGCTGCTCACCCCCTCACACATTAACATCGTCTACTTCAGCCGCTACAACTTTTGAACCGTCTTCCATCTTCTCACCTGTCTTTTCATCTTTGTTACGGACTGGATGGGGTGAAGTAGGGGTGTCCAGATACAACTTTTTTACTTCCGATATTGTAGCTTTCAGTATCGGCTGATAAGGATATTGATCCAATATTGGCACAAACTTGTGCATGAGAAGTTTTGCACTCAGCTGCAATGTCTTTTTCGGACTTTAACGAAAAATATACTGTCACACAGCTGACATCACTTCTACTCCTTGCTACTTTGTTTGTACCTTAGTACACACTGTTGATGTGATAGAGGTGCCGGAGTGGAGTCTGGTATGGACTGCTTGTATCAGAGTGCTGATATCAGAGATTTGAGGTTCAGGCCGGTATAATCCGATATTTGTTTTTTGGCTGATATCAGACAGACCTAGAGTGGAGTCACGTCTCTGATGTTGGACAGCGTCTTAAAAGGGACATGAGACCATAGCCTACCTACACACATCCAAAACCAACTTTGATTTATTTATTTTTTTTACACCAAATATACCAATATGGGCAAAATGACGTCGGTTGTTGTCGTAAATTACGGTATCTGTAAACTTTTGGTTTATAGACGGGTTTTTGTACAACGTCACGTGGGACATTTCTTATTTGTTGACTAGCGTAGTCAACAGAGAAAGAAAATGACAAGAAGCTGTTGTGCTGTAAACTGGACGAATCGGCAAAACAAACAATCAGCAAACATTACGACCCCGATCTTGATATTAGAAACATCTAAAATGACGTCACAACCTGGTAAACTGAGTGAAATACATGGATATTTCAGTAAGTGTTTTTCTGATTTTGATGCAATGAAAGACGAAGCGATTTTTCAATAAAATGACATTTTATTGCAATTGTTTCAGGGAGAACTTGCAAACGACACGGCATCAGTTCACTCCGAAGCAGGCTTTGTACACAAGAAACCCGTCTATCGCCCTAACTCTCTTTTAATCACCATCATCTCCTGTGATGGTCCAGACTTGTCAAACCGGCATCATGAGAACATGCTGTGATATGAAGGTTAAAGTGGAGGACATGAGAAAGGACTGATAGAGAGCAGGGAGGTCCGAGCAGCTTCTACATCCGCACTTCTACACCCGTCCTGTTGCTGTGTTTTCTTCACACACACATAATTAACTCTGAAGCGAGAAGAAGAGGTCGGCCTCCAACCGTGGGCAGAAATTCCTCATCAGCAGATGCTCATTATGATTAATGAGGGAGATTCGGACAGGTGGGTGAGCATTCACACATTCACACTTAGACTGATACAACCCACGCCAGTGTGTGTGTGTGTGAATCTCCTCTAGTGGACAGTAATACCTCTTTATGACGCTCATAATAAAACCTCTCCAGCATATTAGCACCTCAGAGGAGCCCGCAGAGATGCAACACTTCACACTGAAAACAAACTGTCAGGTGAGCTCGGCCTCTTTATTACCTGTTTAAGCAGCCAAACAGACTCCGATAATGCTGCGGTGAATTAGTTAAATCCTGCAGAATACTCCAGGAGCCCGGCGGTGAATACTAACCGTGTTTCAGGGCAATCAATTATCAAATCCTGACGATGTTGTAGGAATTAACGCACATGCACACACAGGTTTGACAAATGGGTTCATTATCTTTCGGCTAAACGGTCCGACAATCGAGGAGAGTTTTCAAAACCGCATCCTCATAATTTATGCTCACCTCTACGGGGCCATTTGTTCTAATCTGTCAGCAAGGGGGGAAAGTCAAGAGCAGCGTCTCTCTGCAGAAACGAAGCGCTGAAGCTCTATCAACGAGGACATGACAAGAGTGGGTCTGGAGTTTGGCCAAGAGGACATCCAGCTAGCAGGAGGTCAGGGACTGTGGGGATACAAGACTTGATTTAGCACCCATGAGGAACCAAACACTTACACCCACTGAATCCTGATGTGTGGACTTTGCTGCAGAGTTACGGTCTTAAGACTTGAAGGTCCAGGACTGGGATGATTGTGAAGTAGTACCACCTACCACCTGAGTTATTAAAATAGAAACAGGTAGAGCACACCTTCTCTTACTCCCATGTGCATGACTGAAACAGCCGAGGTGAGATGAGCAGTAAAAACTGAATTAAAGTTCAGTTTCTCTGCGTTTAACCTTCAGTTCCTGTTCATTTGAAGCTCCATCCTGCCTACTTTGTCCCCAAAACAGACATGCAGGTAAGAGCTCATAAAATAATTTTTTAAACATTTTTTTTCTTACTTCAGCAACTTCAGCCCTAACCATTAAAAAAGTAATGAATAAAAAAACGATGTATAACCCTTTTTATGCCAGTTTTTGTGCACCATGTCATATTTCTGCAGCTCTTACACTCACTGTCCTTGGACATCCCACCCTCACAGCCTCAGTCTGAACAATGTCAAACAGCCTCACACACAGCCGACATAATAACGGTGTGTAATCTCCCTCTTTGTCCCGTCTTCCCTCAATCTCAGCATCCAACTGCTCATCTCTCCGCCCTCAGCAGCAGCGACTCGTCGGCAGATTAAACCGTGTCAGAGGCCGGGGGCAGAGGTCCGCAGGCTCCACAGGGTGACGCATCATATCTTCCTCCCTCCTGCTGTCACAAAGTCATACGAAGCCTAACAAGCGTGGCCGGTTACACGAGTTACTCTTTGGATTTCACTCAGGCCGAAACCGTGATGAACAACCAAACTCAGCTCCCACTGATGCAGGAAGAAAACTCGAGAATCATCGCTCACACGTCCTCCCATCAATCACAAAGTTGATCCTGCAGGCAAGGTTTCAACGGGGGGAACAATACTGCATGAAATGACGACCAGAAAATGATGAAGCCATTAGTGGAAGCCTGTGGAAATCCTGCCCTCTTCAATCACCAAAGCTAACGCACTGACACGTGATAATGGTTTGAGTAACACAAACAATACTTCTGGAGTTCAGATGCCTGCAGCTCCACAACAGCAAAAAGGACTATCCTCCCCGCCTGTTGGAGGAGATTAAGATTTCCATTTTCAAACATCTCTTTAATAGATTCTTCCTCCTTTTCAGCCACATCCCACCTTTATACTCCAGCAGCTAAACCCCAGACTAACATGTGTTTTCTGCTTTCCAGGAAGAAACACGTCTTTATCGAGTCTAAGGAACCACAACGACAGCCACAAATATCTGAATGAGACCATGAGTTAAAAATACTCTGCAGCACAAAAGACGGAGCCAGAAGAGGATTACGTTTGTCCCCTCGCTGCCATAACCTTGCTGTGCACACACAGAGTTACACATTTTCATTGAGTCGCACAGTTTACGCAGCATTACGCAGGATTAATGGTGCAGGCCGACTGTTTGCAGGATGAATTGGACTGTGTCTGAACCTCTCTTGACCTATATCTTTAACTGGAGCAATGCAGCAATGTTACTGTGAAGGGAGAAGCTTCATTAGATCAAGGATGCCCGGCTGTGTTTGCTGCTGCACAGAGTGGAACGATAAAAACAGATGGGCGTTTAAAATGTCTCCAAAGCCGGAGTGAAAAAAGCTCCTTAACTTAATTAATTTCTTTATTTTTACGATAATCCAATGAGTTATGGATGAATAGCTGTATGTGAACAAACAGGGGCGTGTCTAAAATGAGCAGCCAGGGGTGCCATGAGCCCACCCTGGTGCTCGCAACCAAATGGTAGCAAGTGCTTTATTGGAAAAACTGACTCTATTGATCATTATTATTATTATTATCATTATTATTATTTTGGGTGATTTTGGATTTTATTATTAGTACAGGGTGAATATTGGAAATACTAATTCTACTGATTTTTTTTTTTTTAGTATTTTTTGGACAATTTTGTATTTCATTGTTAGTACAGGGTGAAATAAAAGGCAAAAATTGCCCAAAAAAATGATTAAAATTTTGAAAAAAAATTGAAAAAAAATTGAAAAAAAAGAAAAGAAATAATATTAAATAAATATTGTTCACAGTGTATATGAACAAACATACTTTAAACATGTTTAGTCCTGCTGTAAAAACTGACACGTCATATGGAAATAGTGGCTCTATTGATATTTTTTTTTTTGTTTGTTTTTTTTTTTGATGATTTTGTATTTTATTGTTGATTCAGAGTGAATATTGGAAATACTGATTCTGTTGATTCTTCTTTATTTAAGTATTTTTTGGGGGGGATTTTGCATTACATTGTTAGCACAGGGTAAAATGAAAGGCAAAAATCGCCCAAAAAATTTGAAAAAAATTTGAAAAAAATTTGAGAAAAAAAATTGAAATAAAAAAGAAAAGAAAAAATGATTCCCTGTACAGTGTATATGAACAAACATTCTTTAAACATGTTTATTCCTGTTGTTAAAACTGACACGTCATTATGGAGGTTAATGGGAATTCCTTCACTTTAGGACACAGCCTCAAGTGGACACTGGAGGAACTGCAGTTTTTTGCACTTAGCTTAATTTCTCATCACTGGAGGTTGCTGACAGGTTGCAACAGGCCACAATTAGCTTCTTCTGGCAACATCTTAATACCAAACTATGGCACAAACATATAACTCATAGTGAGTTTGCTTGAATAATTGTGAACACTTTTGATTAAATATGGAAAAACATAATTTATTTGAGCCCTGTTTAGCTGCACTCACACTTCCCAAGTGTCTGCTTATGTGTCTTTACGCTGCTTAAACATGAACCACCTGCATCCTCCATCAAGACCAGGTGATGCAGACTGCCAAGGTCATGTCAGAGGTATCAGCGATTACCCGTGTGTCCAGCAGCGAGGCGGCGTGTCGGAGTCTCTACCCTCTAAATATGACTAATTGCCCCTGCTGTTCTGCTTCTTCTGATACAGGTTAGAACTCATTACCGGGATGTTCTGCCTCGCTGAGCTCTGCTGCTCCGGCTCTCAGGCAGATGAGAGGGAAATAAACAACCACCTGGCCGAACGCTCACAGACGCTCTCACACTTTTGTTTTTATACTCACATATAATTGGTTGGCTTTATCTCTTAAAGTGCGCTACAGCTTTTGTCCCTCCGAGCTCCAGTGAGGAACAATTCCAGTAAATTTTTAGTAATGGGTAAATGTCCTCCAGGGATTTCTGATACCTCTGCCAGGTCCACTCTGCAGGGCATTATCTGCAGTAATACCTTTTTCATTGATTTGTATCAGCGCCCTGCCTGCAGACTGAGCGTGGGTGAGGGAGGTACAAGATGGCTTGACATAAAATCCTTTCAGTGTGTCAGCGTCGTCAGTTTCTGCCGTCAGCCAAGCAAAACAAACTGGTTATGGTGCACTTACAAGACCTCAGTAATGTTTGCTTTATAACACAGCAGGAGTGAACCATTCATTCAACCATTCAGCTCAGAAAGAAAGAGGGAAAAGTAAACAAGAACCCGACATGTCCACTGTGATCTCTTTGACGTCAGGAAAGTAGGATTTTAATTTTACATTTTAAGGAGTAGCAGCTGAATTAACTTTTTTTCAAAAAACTGCTAATTAAAGTTGTTTTTCAAAAAGCACAAAATTTCAAATCTCTGAGATCTGGACCATTTCATGTATCAGAAGGACTTGGTCTTACTGATATTTAGAATGGCGGCCTATTTAAAATCTTAGTTTAAATATAATTAACAGCTCTAGTAATCAGACTTAAGACATTATATTTTATTGGCTCTTTAGAATTATTAAAACACTAAGATAAGTTACAATAGTATACAAAATTATACAAAACTATAAGGACAATACAAAGCAAATCAATGAGACTCCACTGTAGCACAATCTACTTCAATATGGCGAGATAGTATAAAACATGATATGATACGATACAACGCAGGGTGTTACCGGGCAATACGATACAATCTGAAACAATATTCTATGATTCGCTACGATACAATACACCGCAGGATGTCATCAGGCAAAACTATACATTACAATATGATACAATACAGCGCAGGATGTTACCAGGCAATATAATATGATAGGATGTGTCAGGACACAAACGGACAATATAACACAATATGGTATTGTATGGTATGGTACGATAGTTTACAGTGCTTTAGGATACAATACAAGAGGATGCAATATAGCAGGATTTTAGATTAAAGGGTTCAACGGCAAAATTTTACAATACTGTCAGATTTTTGACAATATAAGATGCGAAATGATGTAATGTGATACGTGATGGCGTGACACTTCACATGGTTACGTTACATTATGTAACAGTAAGTTACATTTCATCACATTACAATACATTATGTTACATTTAATACCTTTTGTTGCGTTACATTACATTTAGTTTTTGATACATTCTTGTCATATTTTAATGCTCACTTTACATTGCGTTACATAAAATGGCGCAATGTAACATCATATTTTGTTACATTTTATTAAATGTTATCACAAATGTAGAGAAGTGTGTCTTGGACTTGAATGCTGCACACATTCACTTTTCTCCACAGTATTTAAGTACAATAAAATTAAAGGTCAATTAACATATGTGTTCATAGAAAAGCATCGGCATATGTACTCGGGCCAACTTTTAATAAACTATTTTACTCACTACTAAAACATTTTCTGTACGATGCAAATCCAGGACCACCATCACACTATTGCACAACCCACCCGGCCTGAAGAGACATTATTTAACACTCAGCACACTCAGCGTTTCAGACATTAAAGATAACCACATGGAGAAAGTCTCTTATAAAGACGCATCAATGTTTAACTCAGTCTGTTTCACAACCAAATGAAAACTCCTCTCAGGAGTACTCATAGTCCTCTAAAATCTTCTCATTTTGTCAAAGTTTATATTTACATTCTTTGGTTACTTTTCTTTTCTACAGAGCACTCTGGTAAACACCAATTATTCTGAATTAACTCTATAAAAAAACAAACCTGATTTGAAATGCTTTAAACCTTTAATTATCAGGGGGGAGTCCCAAAGAAACAACCTGAATCTTTGTGTTGAACATTTCTACAGCCCTGCTACTGGAGTAAAAACACAAAACTTCTGTCTAAACTGAAGCAGATAAAGTGTCATTAAACAGACGTCTTTAAAAAGTACAGGGACCTGACGCTCTTCTTCACACTCCCTCACTTTTCAGGCGTCGTCCTGAACCTGTTCTGGAGTTTGACGGCTTCGCTTTGTAGAGAAACACTTTAATGTTTCTATTTTAAGGTTATGCAACAATCAAAGAGGGTTAAACGTCGCTTGATCTAAATTGCCAAGGGTGCAGTGTTGACATATGACATTGACTTACAGTTGAGAGCTCAGGGCGGGGCTGACAAATAGAAGGATCTAGACAAAGACTTAGCAACACCTATTGAGAGCAGATCTGCAGCTACACCTCTCTGAGGACTTCTGTGAATCCTTCCTGCAAGAAGCTGAGATCTGTGACAGTTCAGTAAGGACACAAAGATCAAGTTGCACTTAATGAAAGACACATATAGAGCATGCTTTCAAACTATGGCAACCAAAATGGGTCATGTTTGTCCTGACAATAACTCAAAAAGCCTCAGGTCCTGACTGAGAGATTAACAAACTCCAGATTTATCTTAAAGCCTCACAGGGAAACAGACCCACAGATAACAAATAAATCACATAAACCAAAACACATTAATCTTAAGTATTCCAGCCGTACATTTGCATACTATCTGATGCCGCTTTCGTGCCGTCAGGATTTACTAAGATTAATCACTTTTACATTCATCAAGTGTGACGTGTCACCATGTTTGAATACTGCAGAATGTGAGTCACTAAATACCACTTGGACTAACTTCCAGGATTAAAAGGAAAGCCTTTTTGAAGCTTGACACCAAACAGCTAAATTTTGTGTGTGGGATTTTTAACCTGTAATTTCTTGACTCACAACAAACATCTCTACAGTCATCGCCGAGCGGAGCAAAAGCTCACATTCCCAGGACAAGGTCAGAGATTTGTCTGGAGACATATTTGACTCAGTGGTTCAGGTTGTGAGATTCAAAGAGCTGATTTAATACGTACAAAGAAAAAAAGACACTAATCCAGCGTCTTTTCATGCATGAAGGCAGTTTAAAAAACACTGTATATCATACAAAACAGAAGCTAAAGTTACTTTTTCATAGATTTTAACATTATCATTCGGAGTTCCCCAAGGCTCAATCCTCGAACCCCTTCATAAGTTATGATGTTGCAGATTTTGGGTTATAGAATCACCTGTTAAGCCTCTATTTTTGCAGAGATAGTCCATGCAATAGTCAATACAAGTCAATGTATTCTTTGGTATTGCAAAGTGAGTATAAAGGCAGCATTAATGAAAATTTCTCAAGGGGTATTTGCCAGGGTGAAGAGTTCACTCAGATGAATATTGACCAATAGCTGTCGTTGAGGGGAGATATGTAAAGTATTTATATTACTTCTCATGTTAAAGGGATATTCCGCTGTAAAATTAATCTAGGGTAAAACACACCGTAACATTTATGATCATTACTTTATCATTTCCTTGAAGTAATAATCATCATATTAATCATTTTGCACTGCTGACGCTGTAGTTCTTCTGCCTTAACGTCTCAGTCTGATTGTATTTACATGAGGAAATGATCATAAATGTTCTTCCTTGAGCTGCATCACCCCGCAGCAGTCCAGAATGGACTGGCCTGAGGTCTCACTACAAACAAGCGGCTGCTGGAAGAGAGTAGGTGAGTTGTGTTTAGTCTCTTTGCTAAAGAAATGAGTCAAAGTTAAAAAGATGTTTGGTGGCTAGCACTATGTCTAGGACCCTATATGTCCTGTTGATGAAGTTAGTTGCTGTTCTGGGCATTATTTGTGGCTATAGAGTGGTGTTTGGTTGAGGTTTGTTTATGGCTCCTCAGACCGCTGTGTATTGTTATCCTGCGGTCGTTACTTAAGTTGGTATAACTAGAAAAGCAAGCGGTCGGCAACATTCATCTCCCGAGAGGCTGTCTAACTCGGTGTTACGGTGTGTTTGATCCTAAATTAATTTTGCACCGGTATATCCCTTGAAGATGGGTAGTGGCTGCGAGGTGTGTCAGGGCCCGGCCTATCAAAGTGAGGAGCCTCTTAGTCTTCGATTGGTTGAAAATTTTCCTCTAACAGTGAGCAGAAACAGTTTAAGGGGATTTTTTCTTTTTTTTCCAGAACAACAAGAAAATGAAGTCGAGCCAGCGTAGATAATATGTTAAGATGCATGACCACTCAGGGCCTCCGTACATGTTCGAGTACTTCATGCATGTTTTATCCCCTCTAGCCTCTGTATTTACCACAAACATCTGTGCTCATGTTGGCATTTTTCCCAGCTCAAAAAAGGAGAAATAAACATATGTCACTGCAGGCATGTTGGTGGCTCTGGGTGTCCTGGCTACCCCCACCCTCACCCCCAGCAGGGTGCCCCGGACAGCCCGCCCTTTGCTGAGGTTTTATTGGTGAGTGGGCAGCAGCAGCAGCAGCAGCAGCAGCCCTGCTCCTTGGGTACCATGTCCTCTCCCTCATCCTCCTCGGTGTGCGGATCGCTCCTCCCTGCTGGGCTCAATCAATCACACAACGCTCACACTGCAACTGTGACCTACACCGACTGTTAATGCTTTGTGCAAATCAAACCAGCTGAGCAGCCAAAGCCCATCGACTGAATAACTGAACGCTGAACAGCCGAGCAAACAGCCAGCAAATGACATGTCAAAAGAAACCTCCTCCAGCTCTCAAACCCGTCTTTTCTTGAAGTCAGCTCTTACCTGCCCACTGTTTGGTTGGCGAGCTGTCTCATTCGGTTGAACTGCTTCTTCATCTTGTGTTTTTCTGCGTTACCACCGGGCGGTACAGCCACTCCACATTATCTCATTGATAGAATAAAGTCAGATCTCCCTGCGCTGATCTACGGCAGACGAGGAGGTTCAGTCTGAAAACATCCAGTCTGAGGGGGGGGACATTAAATCCTAAAAGCTCCTCATTTCGGCTGATGAAGACGGTGTGTCCCTGTCCTCCGCTCCGCTCCGCTGCTCCAGAGATGCTGGACCGATCTCTCTCCCTCTGCTCTCCCCCAACACTGACAGCTCGCTGGCGACACGACGTTCCCAGCGAGAGCATCATGGGTAATGTAGTCTATCTGGATATTTCCCACTATATCCGTGCAGGATGGTTTTAGCCCTTTATTGCCTTTTGTATCATATTTGATACATACTTTTATAGACTTCTATCAACCCGATGTGAGCATAAAATTACTAAAAAAAAAAAAATAATAAATGATAAAAAAGTCCTCTTGTAGTTTGCTTGTTTCTAAAACATCTAATGTATCAATCGAGATAGATAAATATATTTGTTAAATTTTAAGGATTTTTTTAAAATTTGGTTTTCAGTTGTAAGTGAAAAAAAAGACATTTATGCTCCAAAAAAATTGAATTTTCTGGCCATAATTTGTTGGTTCAGGCATTAAATGGATATATAGAGAAAATTTAATTCTAATTAATTTTGTAATATTTTTCATCATGCCACTCTTGGTAAACATAATAGACTACTTTTTGTATTTTACAATTTTCTACTTAATATTCTCTCACACACACATTTTCGCACATTTAAAGCTACTGTGGGAAGATTTAACCACTTACAGAACAAACCTACAATAATACTAATGGGTCTAAATGACCTATAAAAGCAAACCACTATTAACAAGATTAATCATATTCACAATATAAAGTTATTTGTGATGTCTAAAACTGCTAACAAATTAATTTCTTCTGTTTTCCATGGCAAATGTTCCTGATGAGTGTTGTAAATGGAGCAAAGTGAGACTCATAATTAGAAAACACAATTTACATATCTTGCAAGACAAAGTCAACAAGGAGAGAATAGCTATTCTTAACCCACAGGTGGCGCCAAAATCAATATAAATCAAAAGTGCCTCACAGGAGCTTTAATGCAATTAAATATTTTGTTGTACACAAAATTCCTAGCGGTTTTCGCAAAATGAGAAAATAATAAGCTAGATCAGTGTATTTACAGTTATTTTAAAAGGAGTTTAAATAATTTTTCAGTGCTAAAAATTTGTTCTAGTTGAAGGAATGTGAGATTTTTCCCATGAAAAGTTAACAATTTTATATTTTTTTCCATAATTTAAAGATTTTGTCTATTGATTGGACAAAACAAGCCTCATAATGTGACACTGGGCGTCACAGAAAAACTCTGTGTTTCAGAGCTTTATCATTTCAGAATTAAATCTCCCGTCAGGGGTAATTAGCTGGTCATGAAACAAACTGAAATTAGCAGTAAAGCACCCATGTGACACTAAGAAAGCAAATAAGACAGCGAACAAATGGTACATACTTGTCCCGGTCTTGGTGTGATTTACTACATATCATTCCCTCTTCTTTGTCACTTGCCGACCATAAATCTACTGAGTTACAGTTTCATGTTGGACCTGTATGTTAACCTTGCATCATACACAGTAGAGGAAACAGAGACTTGAATCTACTCAAGTTCTTTTCCAGTCTTTCCAAACACTCAAAGAGCTTCTCCACTACAGGTTACATCTACCCAAACATTTACACAACATGTTCATTCACTGATGGCAGAGGATGGTACAGGAGGGGGACATCAGTATCTACTAGTTTCATCTATATACCTTCACACTCTGGGCCACTAGGGGCAACTTTGGGATCAGTCAGTGTGTTTACATGTTGCTCAAAAAAAACATTCATTGTTTGAGGTTGAGATTTAACGGACCTGGTTACCATTGCACAATGAAATCCCAGACTGGCATTTTTACTGTTTGTTCCTAAAGCTTATTTTTGATTGAATTTGTCATTGTATTAAATAGAGAAATGGAGGGTGTTCGAGGAAAAAGATAAAATGCTTTGCTTACCAAGTTATTCTTGCGACGGCTCCAGTAACTGTTTGCAGAGTCAAGTTTTTCTTTTGCAGGTTTATGATCTGAAGAGTTGAAATGTCAGACACACATGACCCTCATCAGGGCGCTTTCTTCACAGGCCTGAAAGAGGAAATATCAGAATATTATAAAAATAAAGCTGTTCTTAATCATCTAAAGAGGCTGTAATGCTGCTGTAGGTGAATTTCTCTGTGTGCAGTGAAGCTCTATCTTGATATCTCTGTTTCTGATATGAAGTAACAGCCTGATTAGATGTGCAGTCAGCTTGGGTGCAGCTGCTTGTGAAGGCAAACGGCGCCCTCTTGTGGCTGCCAGGGTCAAATGGGAAACTCCTGTGCAGCTCTGGATAGAAACTCAAGAGGAGACCAGTCTGGAAGTGTCCTGTACATGCAGCTACACAAATACACTCAGATAAAGACTGTCTGCTATAGAGCTGCAATAACGCTCTCTTCAGAAGAAACATTTCAGAGAGGTTTTAATAGCTATGAGGGTGTTTTTTTTGGATATGTGTAACCGATCACTGATTTATGTTTGATTTTTCAATGACACATGCCATGGTAGAAGAGATGCATCAAAAAACAGGAGAACGATGTAAACCTGCAGCCGGACAATTTGTCTTTGAGGAAATGTTTCACCATACTCGACTCTAAAAATATATCTTCTCCTCAAAAATACAGCAACATGCAAGAGGAATCATAAATATGTTAAGAATGTGAGATTGTCTGAGGAGCTCAACAAGCATAACTTCTATTTCACACAGTTAACAAGAAGTGTCGTCTCCTTCTCACAGGGAAACAGAAGTGAGACAAGAAGAGTGTGGTAATTTTGGAGAAATGTGAAGAAATTAGATCTTCAATGAAACTGAAAGGCAATCAAATTCACCTTAATCCTCTTGTAGGAAAGCTGTAAACAACCTTCAGTACTCATTCTGATCCACCGATTCTAAATAAACTCCAAATATTGATACGGTCAGTGTCTTTTTTGGTAATTGGATAAAACGTTTGGAAACAGATATCAAAAATAGAACAACGAATGGTCATTTGATTTTTGTTTTCAGCTTGAAAACAAGCTGTATTCAAGTTTGTTTTTTCTATTTTAAAACAAAAATCAAATAACCAGTCATTATTGTGTTTTTGATACCTTTTTCCAAATGTTATATCCAATAACCAAAAGGGACACGGACGTAATACAATCAGTTATCCAACATCCTCAATCAGGAGAAAAAATTAATGAAGTAAAAAATCTGATGACTCATACAGTATCAAATTGTTGTAATCTATGTTGAAATTCCTGATTTAGGAGCGACATTAATGTTGCAGTTCATGTTTCCCCTCAGAGGGGGCGCTGGTGAGCCACTATCAAATATTTCCATCAAAGAAGAAGAAGAAGGAGTTTACTCGTTGAATGACAGTGGAGCAAAGTTTACACTTTTTACTGTTTGTTTCTGGACTTTGGAGAACCGTACTTTACTCAAGAGAGGAGTCGGATTGTTTCTGTGCCCGGACTGACAGCTTCGCCCTGTAAAAATGCGGGACCGGACTAAAGAGTTGGGAAATGTGAGTTTGGGAGTAAAGTGCTAACGTTAGCAGTTGAGTGCTAACCCGCTAACTTGGCTAAAGTCAGTCTGTTCAGTTTGAGAAGTTTTTCTGTCTTTGACAACCTCGACTGAGAGAGTAAACTTCTAAGAGCAGTAAAAGGACAACTCTTTGACTGTTTATCTGAGTTAATTTGAGCTTTAGTAACGTTTTGTTCTGCGGTTTCCGCTCCAGCCCTTTGGCCGTGAAGGAAGCGTCAGTCCGGGGAGAGGGCGGCAGCTGAGGGGCTGTCAGTGGAAAAAGATCCATTTAAGACCCCAAAACAGCAGAGAAATGAGATAAATACTAAACTCTGACCTCTTTTCTGTGTCGGTGCGCAGCATGCAGAGGCCTCAGATGAGGAGGATGAAGGCAGAGCTCTGATGATCAAACCTGGAGCCTCTTCAGCCAAAGAGGAGAAGGAGAATGAAGCTTTCCTGAAGAAGGTGAGAGAGAGAGAGAGAGAGAGAGAGAGAGAGAGAGAGAGAGAGAGAGAGAGAGAGAGAGGGGGGGGGGTCCTCTTCATCAGCACACTCACACTAACGAACCAGGCGGGATTTATTTAAAGGGATATTCCGGGATATAAAATTAATTTAGGGTCAAACACACCACAATACCACGTTAGACACCCCCTCGAGTGATCATAAATGTTCTTCCTTGAGCTGCGTCACCCCGCTGTAGTCTGTAATGGACTGGCCTTAGGTCTCACTACAAACAAGCGTCTGCTGGAAGAGAGTAGGTGAGTTGAGTTTAGTCTCTTTGCTGACGAAATGAGTCAAAGTTAAAAAGATGTTTGGTGTCTAGTACTATGGCTGTGACCCTATATGTCCTGTTGATGAAGTTAGGTGCTGTTCTGAGCATTATCTGTGGTTATAGAGTGGCGTTTTGGTTGAGGTTTTTCTATGGTTTCTCAGACTGCTCTGTATTGCTATCCTGCGGTCGTTACTAAAGTTGGTAAAACAAGAGAAGTAAGCGGTCAGCAACATTCATCTCTGGAGGGGGTGTCTAACTCTGTGTTGACCCTAAATTGATTTTACACCAGAATATCCCTTTAACTTGTGTCTTTTTTTTATCACCTACATTCAACTCTTCTCTTTAAACTTCTGCACTCATGTTTATTCTGTAAACTCACAGAACGGTTTCAGCCTGATCTGAAACTTCTGAACTTCTGTTTTGGCAACATCTCAGTCTCTGTTAAATCCTCTGTCCTTGTTCTGAGCTGTGAGGACTCAGCGTTATCTCTGCTGTCCGAAACACTGATTCAAACGGGTCAATTATTAATCAAACTGCAGTTTGGTCGACAGTAGTCTGAACCCTCTGGAGCTGCAGGATCTACACACGTGTGTTTTAAGAGAGGGTCCTGACCCCCCTGTGGTGACACCAGGAGGTGGGAAGAAGAGAGTTACCTGGCACAAAACTAGGAGGAAAAATAGTTCTATTTAACATTAACATTTCTATTTAAATCATCATCTCTTAATTAAAACACACACCTCTCGAGCCAATCAGGATGAAGCAGCTGCTTTGATTGAGCGACACTGATATAAGTTGCTGTACCAGGTACTTACCCCTTCATACATACATTGACTTGACATGGCAAAGTCTGGAAGCTCCTAATTCATACAAAAATACTTATTATACCAGTAAAAACCAAAAGAAGAAACCTTTTGTCATGTCGGCCTGAACATTATACTCTACAGAACTGAAGAAAAGTTAAGTATACTGTATATTAAATGTATTTTTCTCATCATAAACCATGTTTTCATTGCAGTTCATTTCCGTCTCATTCAGCCTTCATCTTCATATTTCCAAACTAATTCAACAAAAGTTTTCAAAAGTCATGGTAACATTCTGAGATGGCCTCTGCAGTCCAACCAGCGATCAAAAAACCTCCAAATCAATTTAGAAAATATTAAAAAAAACAAAATCTCCAGTGTAAGAAAATCAAAAAGAGAAATCAATCAAAATTTGTTGACATCAATAGTAAATAATTATTACTTTTAATTGTGATTTTGATGATAAACTTTGAAACGTCTTCTCCACTTTTAGATGCAAGAAATCCACGAGGCGCTGAACAGCCTCAAACGTTTGGTGTCTGAACTCGAGAACAAGCAGAAGACGGTGCTGGGCGTGGCGCTGCCAGAGGAGAGTAAGTCTGACCCTCGAGAGCATCAGTCAGTCTGGGTTTACAGAGGAGGAACCAAATCTGACGAGTCAATAAAGATAGAGACTGAATTTAGATGTTGAGATGTTGAATATGATCATTTTTCTCTCCTCAGGTATGAAGAAAGATCTGCAGACTCTTCGAGACGAGATCAAAACATTGGCGGCTAAAATCCAGAGACAGCTCAAAAGTGAGTAACAGTGTAAAAGTCATGTTGTTTACATATTCATTTTCAGTTACTGTGGAAACAACTTATCTTTCCACAACATCCACGATTGAACAGAAACCAAAAGTAGACTCAAGAGAGTCACGCCCATCTGTGGTTTACCTGCAGGTATTGAACCCAAGAAGGGCGACGACGACGGGAAATATGTCTCCATAAACATTCGCATGCAGCGGACCCAGGTTTGACTTCAGATTCCTGATTTACACTTCAGTACACTGGTCTAAAGTCTGAGTATCTTCACAGATGAACAGTAAAAACAGCTCCTCTGAGTCAGTCATGATTCAGCCTGAATGAAATGACCTAAACAGATGTTTTCAGAGAGAAAAAGTGTCAGTCTCAGTGAGTTACAGCCTTTTATATGCGGTGAGTGATACAGGCGACCACCAAAAGAAAGTTCACTGAAACCAAACCAACCCAAAGTTTCCTTCAGGCTTTCTTGGACCAAGTTTTTCACCCTAAAAGTCCCTCAGAGGTTCTTTACAGAGTTTGGAGGCAGCAGGACTGTTGTATGAGACTGCAGCTCATGAGAATCTTCATAAAGCCGCTCTGTGACCTTTGGTGTTTTTCCTCCTATGCAGCACGGCGTCCTGTCCAAGGAGTTTGTGGAGCTGATGGGTCACTGTAACACCATCCAGGCCCAGTACAGAGACCGCAACGTGGAGAGGATACAGAGGCAGCTGAAAATCAGTGAGTGAACGGAAAAACACCCCAAACATTTCCAAGAACACAGAATATTCTTCCCTTTTTGTGACTCTGATGACTTCCTCTCCCTCTCTCTCTTCCTGTCTCTCTCTCTCTCTCTCTCTCTCTCTCTCTCTCTCTCTCTCTCTCACTGGAGGTTGGGTCATCACGGGTTTCCCTCTGTCTCATGATATTTGTCACATGTCCTCGTCCGTCACTTTCTGCCACATTCACTTCACTGTCAGACTTTCTGTTCTCTTCAATTTGTGATTTGATCAGTTTTTTCAAACACACCACGATCAGTAATTCTTAAGTAATCAGTAATCCGCTCTGACACTCTTGGACTCACAGCTCTGATTTTTACACTCAGATTTAAGTGTTTCTGAATTCATTTAAAGTTCAGAGAAGAATTTAAAAATGAGCAAATTTAGCAAAATCTGAAGTTAAAGTAACAGGAACCACCTGCAGTGTCTAAACTCCACGACTGCACACATCTTCTGTTTACAGTGTCGTCGTATTTTTACCTCAGATTTATAATAAAAATGTTTTCTTGGTGCAGAATCTTTAAGTACGAGATCTCTGCAGTTAAATTCTTGAACAGTGTTTGTTATCAGCTCTGATTTTTCCCTCGTTTATGTCTTTAAAAGATGTCAAAAAGATTTAAAATTGATGATTGAAAAGTGTTAATTAACCCTGAAACGTCATTCCTAGTGTTTCTGACAGTGTTTATAAAATCCACAGACCTCTGTGAGTCACAAACTTTAAAGAAATAATCATACAAAGTGGAAAACTGCAGAAAAAAAATCTTGAAATTTTCCAAGACGTCTCCACTGCTGCGATCAACCTGCTCGTTTCAGCTGCTTCCTGCTGCGTGTGAATCAGTCATGTTATATAATAATACGTCCCCTCACAGTCCCATTACACCAGCGCTGAACCTGCTTATTAAGTTATTTTAGATCGACTTGTTTTGACTCAGAGTCTCAGCCAGAACTCTTCTCTCTCTGTTTTCACTTTCCTCTCCAACTTTTTAAAAATAGATTTCAAAATATAAAAAAAGTGCCGCAAATAAAAATAACACTGATCCCCTTTTCTCTCGTTCAGCTGGGTCTAACGTGACGGACGAGGAGCTGGACACGATGCTGGAGAGCGGGCAGACGGATGTTTTCACGCAGAACGTGAGTTTATGAAGACGCAGAGGAAAACCACAACACAAACACACCTGCTGCTGCTGCTGCTGCGACACTTTCTCACAGCTGCAGGTGTTTCCCAGCAGACACGAGTTTGACTGAGTAAACATCTCACTCATAACCCGCTGACAGATTCACTCTGTTGTGTCTTTTCTGATGCTAAAACTGGACGACAGAGTTGGTAAGCGCTCGATAAGGTCCCCTAGAGCACGTGGTTGTGTGTTTAGTTCTTAGATTTGAGGTAGTCATGATGACCCAACTTTACACTCTTGTCTGTTTATTTCATTTCATATTTCAAAGGAGCCATGCTCAATATTAATCCAATCGATTCAGATCCAAAATGTCCCCAAAAAACTAAAAAATCAAACTTGATGGTTTTCAAAGTTTCTGCAGAAGAGAATCATTAAACCAGAGATGTTTCCACCAACCATCTTTGCTGACTTCTCTCAAATCATTCAAATACTTCCTCAGAGCTGCAAACGGAGAACAAAACAGTCATAATCCTTCATTTCGAACATCTGTACTGTGAATATTTGGTGGTTTTGAAGCTCGTCCTTCACAGTAAAGTGAAATTTTGTTGGTTTGTAGATGAAAGAAAACACTTTTATAGAGAAAACAGCTGAACGTTGAGAAAACATGGACCAAGAAATCAGATAAATTATGTGAGTTTAGAAGAACGTTTTTGTGCAAATACTGCATTAGAAAAATTAAAACATCAGTATTTGATCCAGGAATTTAACTTGACCAGATCTAAACGTCCCTGCTGAGTTTGTTTGAGATCGTTCGCTCCCGCTTCAGCCGATCTAAACTGGTATTTGTGCAGATCCTGATCGATGCCAAAGCTACGAGGCAGGCTCTGAATGAGATCGAGTCCAGACACGACGAGATCATGAAGCTGGAGAGGAGCATCAGAGACCTCCACGACATGTTCCAGTACCTGGCCATGGAGGTGGAGGCTCAGGTAAGAATGATTTCTAAACGGAGGTTCCTCTGGTCTGTTTGAAGGGTGAAGATTTTCTGATCAGGATGTTTTTCCCTCCCCTCCTGCAGGGGGAGATGGTCGACCGGATTGAAAACAACATCAACCAGTCGACGAACTACGTGGAGAAAGCGAAAGAAAACACGGAGAAGGCTGTGACGTATCAGCAGAAAGCACGAAAGGTACAGAGCGTCACAAAAATCGGATCTGAAAATCCCCGTTAGCACATGACACGACTTTGAAATCAGCTGAGACAAACACACACACACACACACACACACACACACACACGCTCAGCTGTACTGGTGAACACCTGTTTGACTTTCTCGCTCGTGTCTCCTCTCACACAGAAAAAGGTCTGGATCGCCATCTGTCTGGCCATCCTCATCCTCATCCTAGTCATCTCATTGGTCACCACCTTCGGCTCCTAACACCAGGCAGCGTGAGTGGTCGTCTTTCCGGCTCTGCAGAAGCACATTCTGGTTTCATGTAAATAATCCAAGCCCACAGGAAGGAAGGAAGGAAGGAAGGACGGGTGGATTCTGTCCGTCCGTCTCCTCGTCTCTCTGAGTCACATTTCAGATCCATCACTCTCGTAACACGCTCCTGTTCAAACTACTTTTTTATGTTTTATTCCGGAGAGCAGAGATTCGCTCTTTCCTCTCCCTCTAAAACAAACTATGTGCCTGCATTACCTCTCCTGTACAGAGGGTGATGCTGCTGATATTCAGACCTCTCACCTCCCCCTCCGCCTCCCCTCATGTTCTGGTGTGAAACCCACAGCCCAGGATGAATTTTGAACTGTTACATCAGCGTCTCTCTCCCTCTTTAAAAAGGGAATCAGAGGAGTAAAGTGGCCTTAAGCAGAGCACACCGCAGTATTGAGAGCCGACCTGGTCGTACTGTACTCAGGAAAACTGTGCGCTGAATCGTGTTACGTTGTTGTTTCAGGATAAATTTGAGATGTAAACAACAACTGTAATAAAGTGGAGAGTCCTTTTACAGGCGGTCTAAGTAAATAGTGGATTAATTAATATAATTGTACATAACCTCTGATTGTTTGTGGTTTTAAAACTTGAAACTGCCTTCATGTAACAAGTGTAAATACAGATTTGTCTTTTTTTTGTGAAATAGCAGCGCCCCCCACACATTTTTTTTCTTTTTATTTTACAAAAGGTGTCTGAACACTGCAATAAGCCGCCCAAGGCCTTCTTTTATTTGTGGCAGCGGTTTGTATTTATGATTTGTTCTTTGTAAGCTGCTACAGGAAACGACACATAATGAAATCTTTTCTTCGGCGCCGCGCCTCCTCCTCCTCGTCCTCCTCTTTTTTCGAGTGAGCCGCTGCAGAGGAGACGGTCATGGTGTGCACTAACATTGTCAAGAAGGGACGGAGTGCGTTTTTAATCCTCGTTCGTGAATCTTGTGTTTGAATTCACGCAGCAGTGTTTCAGCTGAGGGTCCGCTCAGTGTCTCCTGATATTTACTCTCTCGTCACGAGCTGATTTTTCTGAAACTGTTTGTCAAATTCAAAGTTGTCACCACCTCACAGCACTGACATTAAAACCTGATATTTTTTTAGATTTAAAACATTATTTCAGTGTTCAAACTTTATCCAACGATCAGTATCTGGTGAAGCTCCACAAATTTGACAAACACGTTAAATAAAAGTTAACTCCTTCCTGTCTCGTCTTCATTCATGACTCTTGTAAACAAAAGTTGTAAGAGGTGCAAAGCGTCGACTTTGCTGCTGTTGAATTTTTCATCACTCATTTTAATATAGTTGTTTTTAAAATAAAAAACTGCCATGTTATTTCGCTCTGTGGTTGTCTTTTTATATATCAGACTTTTGTTCAATTTTCTGGATTATTTCTGCTCATTGAAGGTAAAATTACAACTTTTTAAGATCCCTAACCCTAACCAAACATCTTTTTAGTTTGACTCATTTCTTTAGCAAACAGACTAAACACAACTCACCTACTCTCTTCCAGCAGCCGCTTGTTTGTAGCGAAACCTCGGCCAGTCTATTATGGACTACAGCGGGGTGACGCAGCTCAAGGAAGAACATTTATGATACCGACCATGTGCATCATGCAGCTACAACACAAACTATTCCACAAAAGGGTGTTTGGCTGCAGGTGTTTCTTTCAATCAATCAAGAGCATGAAGTCTGACCAATCAGCTGTCTGAAGACTGAGATCAGCTGATGAAATCAATCAATTCTGGTGTGCAGCTGCTGCTCAAAAATACAGCTGTGAATGTTCTGAATCACTTAAAGACAGTCTCATGTTAAAACGGCGTTTTACAAAACAATTTTTTAGCAGTTATATGCAATTATAATAAAAAAAATGATTGTACTTGTTGAATAGTGTATAATAGATAAAAATACGCGACTGAAGAAGTGACTGTTATTTAGGGAGAGAGAAGCTGAGGGAGGGCTGGGGTGGAGTGGAGGGTAGTAGGGATACGGCTCAACTTACCCCATACACGGGGTAAGTTGACCATAGGAGACCACTTTTTTTTACATGCTATATTATCAAGACAGTTCTGTTTACACTCATTCTGTTGGTTTGCAGGGATGAACAACATCCTGAAATATCTGCAGATTCACTAGTTAGAGACAAAACTATGATTGACTTGATGTAGTGATCTGAAATATGAAAAATGGCTCATCTTACCCCACTCTCCCCTATTAAAGTACATTTTCACGAAATGCTCCATGGCTTTCATTTCAGCAACTTTCATCTTAAACAAGTTACAATATAAGGACTTTGTTCTCGTAAATAATAATTTTATTACGACTTTATTCTCTTAGGTTTAATTTTTTACGACTTAATTCTCGTAATGATTTTTATGACTTTATTCTCATAATTACTTTATTACGACTTTATTCTCTTAGGTTTAATTTTGTACGACTTAATTCTCATGATTTTTATGACTTTATTCTCATAATTACTTTATTACGACTTTATTCTCTTAAGTAATGATTTTATTCCGATTTTATTCTCTAAGTAATGACTTTATTCTCATAAATTTAAAAATTTAATCACAAAGTCTTAATTATTTTCTTGACGTGGCCCTGATACTCCGTCGTAGAAAACACCCTTTAATCCTCCTCTCTAAGACTTTTGATTGAGCTTCATTCTTTAAACTTCAGACCCAGAGTGAAAAACAAAAACCTTCAACACAAGGAAGAATGGCGACTTATTTTTGGTCTTTTTATTCAACTGTAATTGTCTTAATTTTTCAAGTAAAACATTGTGGAATTACAAGGGATCAAAGGAATGCAAGAAATGAAGAGAGAGACAAAATCAAAAATAAGACCATCACCAGAAACTACCCGACCCCCCCACCCCCCCAAAAAAATATCACCGTTTGATCAGAATCGCTTCGACCGGTCCAAAAGTAAATCGACAATTTACAGTCATCTGGAACTGCACCAGTTATTTTATTCACATTTTGTCCAAGTAATTTGCTTTACATGAACGAAGAGCATTGAAGTGACGGTGACAGAGAATTCATGTGGAAATAAGACGTTCAATTTGGTAGCACTGTTGCACAGGGTGACGATGCCCGTGACATCTCCTTGTGGGTTTTTATTTTAGTCGATTTTTTTGTTTTTCTTGTTTGGCTTTTTTGAGAGAAGACCCCTTCTTCAGGTGCTTCACAAGGCAATCAGAGGTTCAAACCCATTTGGCCAAAGAGGCACTCTTAATTTCAACATTTACTCGCCCTTTTAGTATAAATACAAGACAAACTGGACCATAACAACAACTGCCTTTTGGTAGATTAAGAAAGAAATGAGAGGTTTCCTCGCTCCGGGTCGGTGTGAGGAGCAAAGACTGTCTTCAATTAATACATTTCCCGACAGCAGAGATACACTGTGAGGTACCAGGAACCAACTGATTAACTGTAGTTGATGTAAAAACGGCAACACACTGTACTCGTAAAGCAGAGGGCCACGTTATCTGATGTGCAAATGAGAAATGCAAGGCTGGATTTCAATCCACTGAACAGAAACTGACATGAAAAAAGGGGGCCCAAGCAAAGACAAGCTCCAGCATAGTGCAGCAAAGATCACATTGACAGATCGGTTCTCTTCCTAATACCCTGGAAGAAATAATAAAATATGCATAACTTATCGACTGACTACAAAGAAATAATAGTCAGGACAGCTGACGAAATTCTCAAAACCAAACTCTCTAAAACCTCCAACTTACAATACAACTGGTCACTCCAAATTTTGACTGTCACACAGATGACGTTTCGGGTTCACCCCTAAGAAGAGGGCGCTGTATAATCCCGCCTCAACACAGACGATCTGAGTGTCCCGGCTCTGAAGATTACAGTACAGAATGTGAACTAACAACTTTGCTTTATTTTCTCTTGCACCTTCGTCCCCCTCGAGTCTCAGTGGTGAATTAGTCCACTGTGTCGTCTCTCAGTCTGTTTGTGGACACACATTGTCTGCGCCACGTTTTTTACTCTCAGTCCGGCGTCCCTGAGCCTTCCCCCCAGCTGACAATGGCTGAGCCGGTGAGGGGTCCAGCCGGAAAGGGAGAGGGCCCAAGAGGCAGGGGAGGTCCCTGGCTTGTGCAGCACTCAGTTCCCTTGCGTCTATCAGAGTGCGGACAAAGCAGCAACCTTGGAGGTCATCACATGCTTTCGTATCGTACACTCTAGCTCCTGTGTTTTCCCTTTGGCACTCGATCATGTCTTATTGTGACGATGTTGACCAGATGAGGAGCGGGTGCTCGCCGCCGGTGACCGGGCCTGCACTGCCGCGAGGGCAGCCACGCTCCGCAGGACTCTGTCCGGCGTCCCCTCTGTTCCTGAACTGCTCGTCACCTCCTGTGAGAACTTCTGAGACCTCCTTCCGTCCTGCCGGCCCTCCCTGTGCCAGCCCTGCTTGTCTCTCTTGTCCCAGCTCTTCGCTCGCTCAGAGCTGCGCTCGCTGCCGGAGGAGGTGGCGCGGGACTCTCTGTGCTCGGTGTTCTGGGAGCTGATGCTGTGGGTGCGTTGGCTGCTGTTGCTGCTGCTGCGGCTCCTGCTGCTGCGACCATCGCCCTCGCCATCACTGCTCATACTGCTGCAGGCGCTGTGGCCTCTGGATGAAGACTGCGCCTCTGCCTCACCCTCCTTACCCACTGACGACTTCCTGCTCCCCCTCTCCTTCTCCTCAGCTTTGGACCTTTTGTACTCCGCCTCCAGAGGAGGGACCAGAGAACCAGGACACTGTCTGGTGGAGCGTGAAGCGGAGCGGCTCGTCTGATTTGGTGTCGTGGGTTTGCTTCCACTGCTTTTATTGTTTGTTGCGTTGACAGAGTTACTCTGTGGAGAGGCGGGAACACTTTTGCTTTTTGGCTTTTGGTTCTTGTCAGAGGAGGGGGCAGGGGAAGTCCCCGCCGCCTTGGATCCAGAATCTTTTCGCGGGGTGTGTCCCGGGGTGTCCACCCTGCCTTTCATTGCGAGGAGCTTGGCTGCAGCGTTGAGTGCCGAACACCTTTTCCCGAGAACTTCCGGCTCCGGAGGCGACAAAGGCGTGCTGTTGGTTTGAGCTTTACTTTCCTGTGGAGGCTGAGATCCCGCAGACTTCCTGGTGATCCTCACTGAGGACGTATCACTGCCAGACTCTCCGCCCGTGGATGCGTTGGCGTTGTTTGATGCGTTTCTCTCAGAGCTCTTTGCAGGTTTCTTCCCTTGCCGGTTGTTGCCTCTGTCTCCCTCCTGATCGAGCCGGCGCTTCGCTGAGCGGGTTAGCCGGTGCTCCTTCCTGCTCTCACTGTTGTCGGAATCTGAAGAGGAAGAAGAGGGAGACCTGGACTGTCTCCTCCTGGTGGCAGCGGTGATTTCCTTCTCTATGCCCTCCTCTTTCATCTCCTGAACCTCGTCCTTTTCCTCCTCCTTTCCTGGTTCTGCTGCGGTGTCCATTCGCCTCTTCTTGGTCGGGTGTCTGTTTTCGTAAGTCTTCTTGTGATGAGCGTGGCGAGTGAGGGTTGACGTGGAGCACCCCGATGATGGCGAAGAAGATCGAGTGGACTCCTGGCTGCTCTGCCGACTGAGAGGCCTTTTCTGGATCAGTGTTTTCTGATCTTCAGTAGCTGGTTTCATGCCTTCACACTTGAGTTCTTCTTTTTGAAGGGCAGTCACAGGCTGTGCTTCTTTTTCGCCTACATCCTCCTTTCCTGTCTCAAAGTCTTGGGCCTCAGAGGAGGTCTCCACTCTTCTCCTTTTAGACTGAGACTTACTGATGTCCTGCTTTTGGTCATCCTCCTCCTTGCAAGTCCTTTCTTCAGCCTGCACAGAATCTACCTCCATTTCTGTCACCTTGTCAGAGTCACCTTTAGACTCGGATGAGCTCCGCACCGGCTCAGAGGACTGTTGCTCAGATGCAACACCAGAAGGTTTAGCCTGAGCTTCTGTCTGGACTGGTGTAGAGATCTCTTGGTGAACATCTTTAGGAGCAGGGCTTGGTGTTTGCTGGGAGGTGGTATTCGTGTTTGACACGGGAGGAACCGTTTGGGTTTGGATAGTCGGTGCTGCTGACTGAGATGATGCTGACGGGGTGGATTCTGGGGAGGTTCTGTCGACATTTGAGACAGCGGCTTTGACCAAACTTTCTCTGGATGATGTTGTGGTGGCTGTTGGTGGTTGTGGTGTTGATGCAGCACTTGTGGAAGTTGGTTCTTGAGGTGGTTTCTCAACAGTCTTTTCTGCACTTTTAGAAGGTGTGGATGAAGTTGTGGGTTCTGGGGTCGGTACCTTGACCGTCTCTGTGGGGGTTGATGGAGTTACCGTGACTGTCTCCGCTCTGGCTGTGGGAGTAGCAGTGATGGATGCAGCTGCTGGAGAAGGTTTGGAGACTGGGGGAGTTGCTGGGGATGTTCCAGCTGCTGGCGCTTGTGCGGCTGCTGCGATTGGTGGCGTTGGCGGGGCTGAGACTGTTGTGTTTGGAGCTTTGGTGGTTGGAGCGTTAGTTCTTGCTTGGGCTGTAGAGGATGAAGCTTGACTTGGGGAAGATGACGACACTGTTGATGCCGTAGGTGCTGAAGGAGCCTTGGCGGGCGTGGTAGCAGGGACTGTACTTGGACTTGTTGAGTCTAAAGGACCAGCTTGGACTGTCTTCACTGCTGTCACAGGTGTTGTTGTAGTTGGACAAGATGTTGAGGTTGGTTTTGGTTGGGTTGTAGTTGGAGGTGTTGCATGTGATGGGGCGTGTGGTGAGTCCTTTGCAGCGGGGGTTTCTGTTCGAGCTGATGGTTCTGGTGTGACACTGACTGTTTCTGAGGATGTAACAGGGGGAGGGAGAGTCGTAGTGGTAGCAGCTGGTGTGTCCACTGGTCTACTTTTAGCAGAGTCTGATGCTGGTGTTGCATTTACAGAAGCTGAAGGTGCTGGTTCTGTTGGAGCTTTAGGAGCTGAAGAAACCACAGGTGGTGGTTTGCTGTCAGAAGGGGTTGATTTGACATCCCTGGCAGCTGGCGATGGAGTTGTGGCCGTGGAAGTCACACTCACTGGGATGGTTGGGGGAAGTTTTGCGGAGGATTCAGAAGAAGCCTGGGCTGGCTCTGTGTCTGTGCTTGGAGCTGCAGCAGAAACTGGAACTGAATCGGTAACTTGGGCTGAGTCTGATGTGGGAGGTGCTTCAGGAAGGGGTGCAGGCTCAGGTGCCAGAACTGAATCTGAGACTGGTGAGGGAGTTTGATCTGTAGTTGTTGTGGGAGCTTGAGTAGGACTTGGATCAGCGGCTGAAGCTTCAGTCTTAGTGTCTGTTTCTTTAGCTTTGGTCGACTGGGCCTGACTTGTGGTGGTGGCGGCAGCAGCGACGGGGGTCACAGACTTGTTTAGAGACAGGTCTGCTGACTCTGTACGACCATCAGTTTTTGATAAACCAGATACAGCTGTAGTGGTGGTTTCATTTGTAGAGTTCTGCTCTCCAACGACACAATCCGGTGTGGTTGTTGAGTCTTTGCGCGGACGCCCTCTCTTTCGTTTTGGGGACAGAGGGGGTAGTCCTTCCTCGCTTGGTGAGGTGGGTTGAGGGGAAGGACTCACTGGGTTATCAGACTCTGATAACCTCGGAGGAGTCTTTGGGGGCCGGCCCCTTTTTCTTTTCAGAGTTGTTGCACCAGGGTCCGCAGACGTGTCTTTTCCCGGTGTCACGTCTCCTTTTTTGGACTGGTTCCCTCCCCGTCCTCTGCCCAGATGCTGCATTTGCTCTCCCAGCTGAGCAGCCATGCGAGATTCAGTTTCCAGCCTGCGCCGTACAGGGAGATTCCTCAGCACGGGCATGTCAGGAGAAAGGTAGGGAGGAGAATAAGGAGGGTAAGCTCTGACTGGCTGTGGGTGCACGGGTGGACTGGTAGCAGAGTCCTGGTCCTGAGGGGATTTGCTAAGTCCTCCTTTACTTTTGCTGTCGGAGCTGGAGGAGGTGTTGTCCTTGTTCGGTTCATCAGCAGTACCGGCTGTGCTGTCCTCTGCTGATGCCTCCTCTGAAGAAGCCCCACCTCCAGTTCCACTCCCTCTACGCCTCCTCCTCCTCGGCTCCTTGTCCTCCACCACAGTGACCAGCCTCCCCGGCAGCTTCCTCAGGACTTTGGCTGATGGGGAATCTTCAACCAGACCACGCAGGACTTCACCATCCGCTGACTGACGCTTGCGAGGTGACCTGGAGCTCGTGGAGGGTGGAGACATGGCACCGTGGTCTTTGCTGTCATCATCTTTTGTTTGGTGGTCCACCGGACCGCTGGACTCCAGTGAAGACTCAGACGCCCTCCTCTGGCTCTCCCCGTCTTTCTCATCTTTACCTGCTTTGGAGTTCTTGCTGTCAGTCTCCCCAACACTTTGATGTTTACCTCCAGAGGGGGAGGTTGTCGAAGGGGAAGGCACTGGACTGGGATGAGAGCGGTTTGGTTGTGTCCTGGTTTTGATGGTCTGGTGGTCCCTGGCAGGAGATGAAGCTTTTGAAGACTTGGAATCTTGAAGTCTGGTTGATGTGGACGTTTTGTGGTTGTCTGAGCGAGGCGAGGCAGTAGAGACCGCTCCAGTGTCTTTGGCAGCTCCTCGTCCTCTCAGACCACCACGTGGTCTTTCAGGCACTTCTCTCGTGGTCGTAGGTTCTGGCTCGGTTTCAGGTGAGGCCCCACGCAGCCGACCACTAGTCCTTGTAGAGGTGACAATCCTGTCTTTGTCCTTGGGTTTCCGGCCTCTGCGAGCTGGGGCTGGCTGAGCGGGCTCTACGGAGGCTGGTGGTGACAAAAAGTCATCTTCATCGTCGTCAGATGAAGCATGGAGCTTCAGCCCTTCTTCCTTGGCCTGGTCCAGACCTTTGCGGGCAGCCTCCACTTGTTCCTGAGCAGACACATGATCACACATTTCAACACTTCAAGTAGTACAAATTATAATATGATATGATTACTTTTAGGGGATTTTTATTCCTTGTAAGAATAGGACAGTTGGACAGAGAAGGGAACTTGGCTGAAACCGTGGGGAAAGGATCGAGGTCCACCTTGAGAACGCCTCTGAACGAGGGGTGTGCAACCTAACAACTGAGCCAAACTAAAGCCCAATATTTCAAAAGATTCATGAGCTTTTGAAAGAGTTTTATTTTAGTTTTCAGCTCTGTAGGATTAAAGGCTCTAATTCAGAGTGTAAAAATCTGAAAACTGTAACTTTAAGATGGTTAACCGGGTCATTCAAAGATACAAGATACATGAGGAAAAACTAGAAAAGGGTCTGTTTCTACCCCATAGTTCATCTTAGTCTGTTTCATGACCAGTTTAAAAACTCCTACAGGTGCTCTAAACACACATGCAATTATAACTCAAACCAATCAAAGGGCAAAGATGTGAACATTACCTCAGCCTGCTTCAGCTCTTCTTTGCACACGTCTTCCAGCGAGGCCTCCAAGAAGTTCATGGCGTAGCGTTCAATGGGAGTGAGCTAGAAATAGATACGAGAGAGTCACTGAGCTAACCGGGCATAAGTCATCTCTGTAGATATTACTTAGGACTACATCATAATCCAGAATAATAGTGCATGACTGTTCTTTACCTGTTCCACCAGAGCAGCGATCTCCTGCTCGGCCTTTGAGAGCTCCTCCACCTCTTCTTGCTCCCCTCCGTCATCCAGCGGGATGTTTTCATTGAACTCTGCCAGCTCTGCCACCTGCTCTGCTTTGGCCTGAGACGCTGCGACTATGTCCTCCTCATCCTCGGCACGACACAGAGCCTGCAAGACAGATGTCAGACTGATGAGGTATCTGTATTTATGCCATCACACTGGATAGAAAAGCCTCGGTCTTATTATTTTAAAATGTTTTTTAAGCATTAAAAAGAGAATAAAACAATCTGGGGGACCATGCAAGGCTAAGATATGGACTAACCTGGCTAAATAAAAATAAAATAAGGAGGAATTTGCCTTTATTCTTTCCATAACTGAAGAAGCATTAAAAGTTCTTCGCAATATTTTGAATTTGAACCCATAAATTAAACAGCTGTGGACAGAAAAGCTCTTTTGGTTGCTTCAGAGGATGGTGTGCAGAAAAATCTAGTATTTTGAGTTTGAGATTTACCAAACGCCAGGAACGATTTTCATTATATATGGGTGGATGGCTTGTGTGAAGTATCTCACCTGCTCCAGGATGGTGGTGCTCTGTTTGTTGACAGCCTCCTCCTCCTCAGCCTGGGGCACCGAGAGCTCCACCGCCACCTCTCTCTTCTCGCCTTCGTTCACATCAAACAGCTCTCTGATGGTTTGCTGAAGACCACGATGAAAAACGAGAAGAAAAAAGGGGCTCATTGTACTTAACGGAAAAACACAGAGCAGATTTAAGTGGCTCTTGAACTCGCTTAATGACCTAACGTCACAACATACCAAAGAGAGCAGTCAGGCTAAAGCTGTCTTTTATTTAAAGCGTTCGTTAATGTGGCGGTGTCGGTGCACTTAAACTGAGCGAGTGGTTTTCTTTAAAGGGAGATCAGAAAATTTAATTACAGAGAAGGAGGGCACGGCCTCTTCTGCCTCCATGAAAGTAGCTTTTCTAAATGTCATGAATCTTACAGTCTTTTCAGATATTAAAGCACACACCTATATGTTCACACCTCATCAAACCAGTGAGTTATTTTCACATTACTGCGAAACATTGTGAGTTAAGAGGAATAAAAATACTCTGCACGCTCACAGATGATGTGTAACTAGATAGCAGCGTTATTGTTTAGTCAGTGATAAACAATGAGGTATCAGAGTGACCTTCACTGTAAACCTGTACCTGTTTGAAGAAGGCGGTGGTGAAGTTTCCACCCTCAATAGCCATATCTCCCAGCATCCTCTTCTGATTGGCTTTCTTTAAGATGTTCTCCTCCACCGTGCGCTCGCTGATCAGCCTTGAAGGGAAACATTAAAAAGACATTAACGTATTGTTGATGAAGCATTTCTTCAAGATAATGGATGCCCTTTAAAAGAATAAAAGGAAGTTTATAAGCACTGAAACCACTGAGAAACAAATCGACACATACTCACCCCCTATATCATCTATTGTCTCATTGTTAAAGACGCACAGATACATAATTCAGTGGATTATTCCTCTGTTATTCTCAGAGGGATATTATCACAGTTCTGAGGTTGTAAGATTTATCTGTTGGTGCTTTTTTTCCCAACCAGTTCAATATTTTTGCTGCACGTTTCTCTTAAAGCGCAATGAACTTTCCTCCTGTGCAATAAATTTTTCTGCAACCAGTGCGATGTTTTCCTTCTGTGGTCTTCTGCATATGTGATTTCTTTTTCTACCACTACACTGCAATAAAACTCTCCAGCAGCACAGTCTATTTATATACAATATATTTCCACAGGTGCAGGTTTTTTTTTTACCTGTCTGACATTATTTTAATAGTGCAACACTTTCCTACATGTTTTTCTATTAATTCATTTAATTTTTCTGCCATTGCAATAAACTTTCTCATGAGTAATCCATTCTTCTACTATTTAAATCTAAATTACTTACTGTACTTTTCTATTGGTGCAGTTTGCAGTGTCCGTTTGTATTTAAAATCACTCTAGATATTTGAAAGCATATTTTCCAGAGCAGCAAATGTAGCCTGTGTGTCGACAGGCTTCGAGGTGGTTACCTGTAGATGTGGACGTCTCTGGTCTGGCCGATCCTGTGGCAGCGGTCCTGTGCTTGGGCGTCCATGGTGGGGTTCCAGTCGCTGTCGTAAAACACAACCGTGTCAGCGCCGGTCAGGTTCACTCCAACACCTCCGCTACGAGTCGACAGGATGAAGCAGAAAATACGTCGATCTGCATTGAAGCGCTCCATCAGGGCCTGAAGATGAAGTAAGAAGATACACAGATTAGATAAAGCAGAGTTAAGGGTACGTGTTATATATTTTTACAACGACAGCACGGACCTGTCTCTGCTCCACACGGGTGCTGCCGTCCAGCCGCAGGTAAATGTGTCCGTGATAGTTGAGGAACTGCTCCAGCACGTCTAACATACGAGTCATCTGAGTGAAGATCAACACTCGGTGTCCTCCTGTCTTCAGCTTCCGCAGCAAAGTGTGGAGAGTCTGCAGCTTACCTGCACAAAAATAAGACATAAACTGTTCAAGAAAGACACACTCAAACACAAACAAGTCAAGGGAGTTCATACACCTGAAGACCTATTATCATTTTGCTACTTCCAGCAAAATTTTGATTGAGAGGTGACGTTGCAGTTTAACACACTGAAGCAAATAGAAACAAAATCTGAATGTTTTTATTCTTCCAACTTTTCTGAACCCTATAATTTGACTTTTCTTCAGTTCAGCTCCACACATAATTTTGTGTAAACCCACATGAGACTCCTCTTCCCTCAGGTCAGACATGAAAACTTTGACTGTTATCACCTTACTTGGCGTTAAAATTGGAGTCAGTAAAAGTTCTGAGACGATGTTCCCATGACTTTGACTTTGCCTCCAGAAAAAAGACTCTTAAGATGGACCAGACAGGGCCTCTGTTTGACCAGCTCTGTTTTGAACCGGGGCACACTGAGCAGCTCCCAGACACGGAGAAGACTGCACGGACTAAAAATGATTTCAAGGGTATCAGCTTAGATAAGCATGATCAGTATCAAAATCCTTTAATAAACAGGGACATGTCTACGTGTTACGACTCGGCTGAGTCTCCATCAGGACATAGACTGATGTCTTTGAATCTGTTTTATGTTTTTATTGGTTTAACCGTCAGAAAAGACCTCTGAATTTATGTGAACTCCACGTAAAACCCTGAGAACGATGAAAAATGCTCTGTGCGTGTTATTGTCAAAAAATGCAAACTCTCCAAACTGGCGGTGATATCCTTGCCGCACAGAAACATCTTGACAACTTACCACAGTCGTACTGAATGAGCCTCAGGTCGGGGAACTGGGTCCTCATGTAACACTGGATTCGATGGAGGCTGCGAGTCAGCGGGGCGACTTGAGTTGACAGTGTGGAGGAGAACACCGCCTGCTTGTGGCTCAGGGAGGGCGGAGGATGGCAACAGTGCATGGAGATCGGAGGAGCCTCCACAGGGGGAATCACAAATGTAAACCTACAACAGACAGAATGAAAATCCTCTTAGTCACTGATCTGTTTGAGAAACTGTTGCACCTCTAAAGAAATAAACCTGTTGTCTACCTGTCTACGATGTCCTGGAGCAGCTCCAGCCTCTCCTCGATGCTCTGGATCGCCTCACTCACGGCGCGGCTCGGAAGCCAGAAGTCCGTTTTGTCTCGCCACTGTGCGAACAGACAGCTGCTGTGACCGGAGCGGCCCCATTCCTTCTGAGAGGTCAGGGCGGCCGGTGAGGGTCGGCCTCCGGGAAGAAAAGTCAGGAAGTCCAAAACCTCTCGGCCGTACACGGGCTTCACTCCACAGCGGAGCTCGTTGACTCGATGGAGGAAGTCAAGTTTGCCGTCGTGCTGCTGTTTGTGACTATCTGCCAACCATGACTGAAACGACAGAGAGACAGTGACGTCAAAAACGGCACTTTTTAATGATTACAACTGTGTGAGGAGATGATTCACTTCATACATGGAAGAATTAAACCATTAACCCCCAATTTCCACTGCATCCGGAACGGCTACGAAAAGGACTTATCTGACGATCGCAGCTGATCGCAACATTCAAGTTAATGTGTCAATTTCCACCGGCTTCTTTCCGTTCCACTGTGGATCGCCGCAAGAGTTCTATTTTTTCCAGAAACCGGAGCATGCCTGATAAAGTCAGCGCAGATTAACCCGTGCTGGAAAGGAAGTCGGGCACAGAATTCAAAATAAAACACTCCGTGTTTCAGGAGGATCGTATTTCACACCATGCAAACGGGCGGAGAAGAACAAGTGAAAGGTTTATTGGCAGCATTTCACCCCGATGACACCATGGATGAGGAGATACTTATTCTAGAAGTCTAGAAGTAGATTTCCTCCTCTGGAAGGACACAATCTACTGCTTTTATGGTTAGTTTACGTGGCTTCTTGTGAATTCTTGTGATTACCACTGTCTGTAATCCACCAAGAAATTCGCCCCACCAACGGATCCGGTAGGAATTCAGCAGACGGTGAAAATACAGTGAAAATCGGGGGTAGCATTAAGAGTGTTTTCCAAATGACCGCTCTTACCACATAGAAAGGAGAGCGAGGAGGAGGACGAGGCACTTTTCTGGGTGGAGGGAAGGATTTCGCCGCCGTACTGGGCCTTGGCTTGGTGCTGGCTGGTGTTTGATTGCTGCTGCTGCTGTTTTCACGTGGTGCAGCTGTAGTCTTGGAAACAGAGGAGGTCACCTGAGCTGGAGCTGAGGAGAAGGAGAAAAAAGAGAAAGTTTATAAAAAGGGAAAAATGTAGTGCTCCTGCTTTTACTCGCTTATCTACAGGGTTTTATCGTGCTCTTGTTAAATCAGAAAACATGTTTCCAGGAGCCTTTAATGTCCCTATAACCCTGCACACCCAAAACAAACCTGCAGGTCATAAGTAATGATTTGAATCAGATTAACTCCTCATATCGTCGAGTTAATCTAATTTTAAGTACTTTCCACAAACTCTCTGGAAACGTTTGTTATTTTAAGTACATTTTTTTAAAAAACTGGAAAAAACTTAAAATCAAATTTTAGTTCCAATAACAATCTGACCCAGTTTCTCTCGTCATGCACGCACACAGCAGTTTAGAGAGAAACCCTGGAGCTCCTTCTCTCACCTGGCTGCTCTGTGCTCGCTGGAGGAGTCTGCACTACTTTGAGGACAGGGCGAGGGGGGTGGGGCTGGTTGGGGGTGGAGCTAGGGTTTCCAGGAGGAGCTATGGTGTAGTGGGCGGTAGCAGGACCAGGGGTGCGATGAGCTATCTGCAGTGGAGCAGTGTGTCTGACAGGGGTTGTGTTGGCGTGAGGGTGAGGGTAAGGAGGTGCTTGAGGAGCAACACGAGGGGAAGGAGCAACTGCCAGAGTGGGCACAGGCCCGCCCTCCTTGCCTGCTGACTGGCGCACAACGATCTTCACGACGCCGGGGCTGCTCACCATGGCGGGGGGCACTGAGGGGACATGAAACACAGCAGCAGTGAGACTCTGGGTCTCTTCACGACACATGAACGAGACCGAGAGAGAAAGCAGACGAGACACAGACCTTGCTGAGCGGTTGCGTTGTGAGGGAGCCGGTTGGCAGATATGGCGGCGGAGGCTGTGCTCGCAGGAAGTGTGCTGGAGTTGCTCTGCACAGTGACCTGGGCTGGTTGACTAATGAGGTGGTGCTGCACCCCGCTGGACACCAGATGCATCACATTACCTGCATGAGGGGGAACCACAAAGGTTTCTTTACCACATAATCGCACACTGATTATCTGCATCTGATTAAGGATTAAGGATTAAGGTTTAAATGTTTTGAATACGATGTGAAGCTAATTTATCTAAATTTCATGATTTCTCTACCTTTATTTTCCAAAATGAAAAACATCTTTGGTTATTCTGCAGTTTTGCAAAATTCACAGGAATCACAGATCAGAAAATCATATTGAGAATTGTTTTAATCCACCAGGAATAGAAGCTTTTAAAGTTGTCAGTTTTATTGCTGTTATAGATGCATAAACCAAGCACCTCATAGATGTAACATGAAACTAACTGGGATTAAAGTAGACTTGAACTATGAGCACTTTAACTGACAGACAACAGCAGTCTAACAGTTCAGTCCTGTAGGATTCAGACGGTGCAGCTCGTACCTTGAACGGGGCGTGCAGGAGCAGCTGGGACTTGATGGATCTGCGCTCCGGACAGAGTCAGCTTGTTGCCCTGAAGCTGGAAGGTGACGGGTTTACTGCCCTGACATGAGGACACAGGTCGCCCTGCCAGAGAGGCAAGCTGAGCGATGCTCACTACCTCACCGGCTACGGATGGAAACAAAAAAGAAGAAATCATTTGAAGAGTGAAGAATCTCAAGAATGAGGTTACAACAAGACACGAGTTAGGACAAAAACAGTTTTAACTTAAGGTGGTCTTTAAGTATGAACTTTTACATGTCCTTTGATAGAAGAGCAGTTTGCACTTACAGGGTAATCTGGCCTGCATGTCCGGGCTGAGCAGAACCCTCTGGGGAAGGACGTTTCCAGTGTTTGGACTGGGATGGGCCGGGATGCTCGCTGTGCAGGTCGCAGTCGGAGGCCGTACTGTCAGGACTGGTTTTGGAGCGCTGGATCTGACTGCGGTTTGAGCCGTCAGGTGCATGGACGGGCGGGGAGGAGGGGCGGTGGTAGCCACTGAACACACCACTGAAAGAAAGCAGAGAAGGGAGACGAGAGAAATGAGCAGGAAACAATCGTGTTTAAGTTTCTGGGATGAATGTTTTTACACCTTCACACACCTTGTTGAACCACGGGAGCAGCCGCAGGAGTCGAGGGGGTTTCGGTAACCGGTGGAGGTTTAGTGGGGGTCTGAGCTGCGGGCGGCACTGAGCAGGTGGGTTTGTTCATGAGCAGGACTGGTCGATTATCGCCTTTCGGGGGAGGCTGGAACATCCTGAAAAAGACAGAGAAACATTTAAGAAAATATAGGAATATACGAATTCAAACTCCTCTAAGAGTCAGTTCGTATTCATCATCTTGTTCATATCGAATCGACACATCAACCTCTAAAGATGTGGAAAAAAGCAAGACAATGAATGCCGTTTCATTTGGTGGGTGACATAAATAACGTTAACGGACAAATGTAGCATCCGGCTCCTCCGGACTGACAGTTTCGGGCTTTAATCGAGCTTTAATCAGGAGTGCGGACACACTGTGAGGGAGGTGACCTTTAGCGATGCATCTCACTGGAGCTGCTCCTACGGTACAGCGCACAGCTATTATACATGAGAAAATGTGCAGCTGCTGGATTCAGAGGCGGATAAAGACGGGTTCAGTTTAGTGGAAGAGATCTGGTTTAGCCTAAAAGAGAGAGCATGAAATGACTTTTCGGACTCACAGGCTAATGGGACGAGTTTATGGGTAAAAATCAATAAGCAGGCTGATTTTTTTTACTCCCAGATTACAAAACTGCTGCTCATGAGAGAAAACCTCATTTCCTGTCTCCGTTTGATGTTTTGAGGTTGACTTATTTTCAAGAAGTAAAAGACATTTAATACGTTTAGAGCTTCTGTAAACAGAGAGCTCACTGAGTTGTCCTCGCTCATGGTTATACAAGCCTTTCTGTTGTGAGCCGCTCTGCTGTTTACCTGTTGACCTTCATGCGGACCGGTTTGGGTCTTGGAGGGGGTTCAGGTGACTCCATGATCTCCTGAATGAGTTGTCTGCTGACCTTGTGGCGCGGCATGAACACGTCTGTCTGATACCGGGACACGCGGCCCTCCAAACCGACGAGGTCAAACATAGAGAGGTCACAGCGCTGAAGAAACAGAGCACACCATGTTTTTTTTTCCTTTTCTCAGTTTAATGAAAAGACTCTTTTCATCCAGAGGCTTTTGTGCCGTAAATAAAAAGGGGACTAACCTTCAGAGGGTGCACCTCCAGGGCATCCTGCACCAGAGAGGCTGTGTGGAAAACGATGGGCTGGGTGATGAAGGGGGACTGGATGGGTCGGGGGTCGAACAGGTTGGGGTGGTTGCACACTTTACGGAGCTGCATGAGGATGTTTATCACGGACATGAAGTGACCACTGGCCAAAGTTTCCCGAGTCCTGAGGATGAGACGGAGAAAAGTGATGAACAGAGAGACAAACAAAGAACGAACGGAGATTTCAACAGTTTTATTTCAGCGTAAAAATTCACAATAATGACGAGATACTGAAGTAAAGCTGAATGAAAGCTGTCTAAACTCTACACTAATATGGACCCTATTTGTACGAGGTGACATCTCATGTTTTTAGATTTGCTCTTTTCACAGATTTCACTCTTATTGAACCGTTTTCATGGATCTGTCTCCTTCACTGCTTCTCTTCTTCTTCTGGGGAGGAAGTGACTGTGAGTGTCTAACTATGAGCCTCTTTACATGAACATCCTGTACGTCTCTCTGTCTGCCTGTGCCCATCTGTCTCTTCTGACGGCATATTAAACTGTGCTCAGTCTGTGATCTAGGGTCTGGATGTCCTCTCAGTTGGTGGTTCTGCCCACTCTGGACTTGTTTACACGAGAGCGGCCTCATTACAAACAGAAAAGTCCTTCCTTTGTGTTTTTAATAGATCTGCACACACAAACAACAACACCGCAAAAACAGCTGATTTGATCCTCAAACAACGCCGTGTTCAAACTTACGATGCCTGAGCCATGAAGTCGTCGTAGAGGAATCTCTGTCTCTTGGAGAGGCGACAGCGCACTACATGCTCGTATTTTTTGGGCATCTGCTTCTCCACGTCCACCTTGATCCTCCTGAGCAGAAACGGCCTCAGCACCTTGTGGAGCCTCTTGACCAGGCCCTCGTTGTACTCCTGACTCCCTTCGATCATCCCCGTCAGCGGGTTGGAGAACCATTCTTTGAACTCGCGGTGGGACTGAAAGACGTGGGGCATCAGAAAGTGCATGAGGGACCACAGCTCCATCAGGCTGTTCTGGAGAGGGGTTCCTGTCAGCAGCAGGCGCCGGTGGCTGTAATCAGGAGAAGTTAGAATACATGGTTACAGAAATTTGCCAACAAAGAAGAAATGGGACAAAAATTAGCTTTAAAATCTGTCTTTGATTGGAATTATTTCTCAGTTTTGGAATAACAATCCATAAATCCTGCATCGCCACAAAATCAGCTTATTATCGGGATCATAAATGGGCTGATTATGGGATAGGACTGGGAACCTGGCAGTAAAAAGTCTCCTCTCTATTCCTCCGGCAAATACAGGGAAGCGTTAACATTGATTTGGAGCTGTAGTGACCAACAGACAAGTCCAATACATTCACTCTTTTTCTAGTTTATTTCTCCACTAACTCCTCGGGGAAATATCTCGCCGTTAACCTGATAAATGCTCTACTTTGAGAACAGCTAGGTGCAGAAACTCTGCCTGCTGTTCGGTGCTGTGCAGGATTTATAGGATGCTTTTTCGCCTGCTTCTGCTGGAAACAGCTCTGGTAAAGCTGTGGGACGGCAACAAAACAGTAAAGTTATAAATCGTGCAGCCATCAACGGTGAAATGAAGAAGGCTGTAAAGCTCTGCAGAATCAAGGGGACCTGCGGAGACAGGTGATAAAACGCCGTGTTCACGAGTCATAGCGGAGGTTTGGTTAAAAAATGATGTGAAAACAAATTTGGACAAATGGATAAAATATTATATTTACTGGAAAAAAAACATGTTTGGGGTTGATTTCCAGTATCTTCTTTCCACGTTTAATGTCCGTGCATGTTCTCTGTTAACTCAAAAGACAAGACATGTGCAATAGAGATGTGTATGTCTATCCAGGGTTGGGTGATACAGCCTCCAATCAATATCACAATATATTGATCAGTTCACCTGGATAACGATAAATGGACCATAACTACTCCACAAGCTGCTCACCCCCTCCCACATTAACTTTATCTACTTTAGCCGCTACAACTTTTGAATCGTCCTCCATCTCCTCTCCTGTCTTTCCCTCTTTGTTACAGACTGGATGGGGTGGAGTCACGTCTCTGACGTAGGACAGCATCTTAAAAAGGGACATGAGACCATAGCCTACCTACACACATCCAAAAGCGACTCATTTTTTGGATACCAAATATACCGATATGGGCAAAATGACGTAAATTTCCGTATCGGTCCATTTTCGTTTTATCGCCCAGCCCTATATTTATCTGTCCTTTTATACTCTGAATAATCTGAACAAAGACATTAAAGAATCCCAGTCAAACATTACATTGAAAAGAATAATTAAAGCCAGTTTGTTAAGGAAATATGTGAGTTACATCTGATTGTCACACTATTGTAATTTTGTTGTTGTTTTAGTGGCATTAACTGAATTGTAACTTGGGAACTAAATGGTATGTGACTGTCTGTGGTGGCCAGCAGCTGTATTTTTATTTTATTTTATATTTTTTGTTGTGTTTTGTTTATGCTGTTGTTGCTTTTTTATATTATATTATTTTACGTTTGTTCTTTGTAAATTGATTTCTGGGGATAAAGAGGCAGATAAAATAAGATTAGTCTTCTTTCTGCTCCCTTTCGTTCTAGACAGGAGAACGTTTGTATTTAAATTAAATTGTTTCTTTTTATTTTTAAATGAATGAAATAAAGAATAAATAAATAAATACTCAACTTCTCAGTTTATCTCATTGTGTGATATCAAACATAAAAATGTAGGACTCAGAACATGAAATACAAGAGGGTGACTCCAACCACGAGAAGGTTATGCATTAAAAAATCGCATGTTAATAAACGACTTAAAAGCTTTTTTATTACCCACGCATAATTACACAGACAGTTAAACATATTAGGACACATTTCGGTCACTTTGCACGGCCCAACACAACACGACCAAACACACAAGAGTGAAAAATCTTGGAATTTAAATGCACATGCGGTATTTTTTGCAAGTCACTCATCAGTATCTGGAATATAAACGCACTGGACCTGATCTGCATGAGGATAACATGCACGGTATCATCACATTAGGGACAGAAAATTGGAAATACAGGTTGCACCAGTTTCACATTTTTGCAATGTGCTCATCCTGAAATAATGATGGAGATGTAATTGAATGTGCAGCTCTAATATTCGCTCCATGTCCTCTCATCCTACGATCGCTCTCGAGTCTTGAGGAAGAGCAGACTGAAGGAGGACTGAAGTTTATTTGGTAGTTAAAGAGTCTGTGAGCCTCTCCCTCAGCAGGAGCTCTTGTTTCAGACTAACAAAGAGAAAAATTCACCGCCAGCTGGAACGGGCTCGCAGCCAAATTAAAGCAAGTTAGTCTCATTACAACCCGCTCTGTCTGGTAAAAAAAACAAAACAGTGTAATATTTGATTATCTGATTAAACCATCACATCCACTGTGTCCTGTAAACTGTCTGCTTTCTGAAGCTCTGGTGTGTTTGGGGTTTGCGCTCAGGGTCAAACAGCACTGACGGTGAAAAACAGCTTATTTTTCTCAAAGCCGAGCGCACAATGATTCGCTGTGACAAGATCTGCTCACGAATCAGACCGGGAGGCTCATCCTTGAATGTGCTCGCAGAGAAAAGAGACTTTCTTTCAATGAGCGCTGCAAGTTTGTACAAAACTTGCCGCTACATAACACTTGCTAATGACACCTATTCAGATTTTACGCCTACGAGCCTGAAGAGAAATCTGGAGCCTCAATCATCTCAGTCTATTGTGTTCTGTCAGGACAATGAGTTCTGATAATACGGAGATGTTTGCAACTGAAATGTAGATTAATATAAATGAAGAATGGGCCGTCTGGAAAACAGCTGATCATTGAGTTCCTCCTAATCAGGGTTAGTGATTTTAGAAGAGTCCAGTCCGTGCTGGGGCAGGTTTGAAATATGGATTTTACAGGAGAGCACCCCAACACCTAACCCTTTCAGTGAGAAACCACTTCTCCTGTGACACCCTTTTGTTGCAGAAGCACACCTGAAAATTTCAGGACAGTCTAACACCAAAGATTTCTACTGTTGTTATTTCACACGTGTCCCTCAAAGCGTGACGTTTCCCTTCACAGGAGAGGAGGAGAGAGGATGTTTGAAGAGACGGGACACGACTAGCGAGTAGAGTTGAAGCGGCTTCGTTGCATGCACAAAGATCGCACTAGTTGTATAATAAAAATGTCATCACCCACTCACTAGCTGTGAATTTCCCTGACTACTACCTGCTGCTTCGTCGAATCGGCTTACACGACTGTGCAGAAGTTTTACTCTGAAGCAGGCGGGAAAAAGTCTGAATAAAGTCAGGTGAAAAGTTCAGCTGTTTGCATTCGAGCGTGCAGCCCAACCCAATCATTTCTAAGAGTTTAGCTCATCTGTGAATACAGCATGAGACACAAGTGGGTGTCGTTCAGATCAGACATCTCAAGAGGAGCTGCAGTCCGTCTATAAGTTGAAATGGTTTCGGACAGCTTGCTGACATCTGTCGAGTCGTGCTTGTGTGTGCTGATTTATATTGACACTTGTAGCTTAGAGTCTTGGACATAAAACAGGGACTGATCCATGCTGGCAGCTACGGCTGGGTGTGCATGCATTTTGTTCAAAACCCATGAGAAACAGTCCACATTATTGATGATGTGCTTCAGATCCACAGATGTTTCTGATAGCAACAGCAGGGACACTGTTAACTCCTCCAGCTCTTTGGTTTTTTTTTTTACTTTCAGCTGTTTAAAGCACCAAAGATGTGGCATTAACTGCTCACAGGTTTTATCCTTCGCATGTGTTGATGTCTAAGAATAGAAAACCCTGAGCTCCACTGACCTGTTGAAGTTCAGCAGACTCTGCCAGCGCTGGGACTTGAAGTTCTTGATGTTTTGCGCCTCATCGAGGATCAGATATCGCCAGGATTTGCGCCTGAACGCCTGGTGGTCCTGCAGCACCAGCTTGTAGGAAGTGATGCACACGTGGAAGGCGTTGGGCTTCGTCCAACCCTACGTGGGGGGAAAAATGTCGATGGGTTTATTTGCAGAGTGCATTTGAAACAACAGCAGATAAACACATTAGAGGACAAATGATAAATCAGAGTCACAGAGTCTGAGGTGTTCAGAGAAAGGCTGCCAAAGAGGTTCAGCTGCTTGTGTACGGTGTCAGATGAAAAAAACTCAGAAGCTGGAACGTTCAAGTAGGGCTGGGCGATAAACTGAAAATTTACTGATACGGAAATTTACGACAATAACGGACGTCATTTTGCCCATACCAAAAAATTAAGTGAAAGTTGGTTTTGGATGTGTGTAGGTAGGCTATGGTCTCATGTCCCTTTTAAGACGCTGTCCTACATCAGAGACGTGACTCCACCCCATCCAGTCCGTAACAAAGAGGGAAAGACGGGTGAGGAGATGGAGGACGGAGAGAAAGTTGGAGCGGCTGGTTGTGGGAGGGGGTGAGCAGCTTGTGGAGTAGTTATCGTCAATTTATCGTTATCAAGGTGAACTGATCAATATATCGTGATATTGATTTGAGGACATATCGCCCAGCCCTACACTCAAGTCTGTAACAGAGTGACAGACAGTAACATCGATGGTCTGATCTGTACCATCAGCGCCTACTACTAAAGCTCATGTTTACGTTGAAAACTAAAAAGGGAGTTTCTGCTGTCTCAGTCATCAGGTAAACTCAGACGTCCTCGTGCTCGACCTCTTTGGGTCTGTCTGAGGCTTTAGTACGTGTCAGTCGTTTTAAGATCAGGATGATCGGCCGTGGCTGTGACTCCAGTTCAAACGCTCAAGTTCAAATACATAACTATAACTCCTTACAGGGTCATTGAAAACACTCAGTCACTTTAACGATGATGACTCTCCTCGTCCAGACTGATATGATTTTTAAAATGACACGAGGACTCTCAGCCTCTCAGTCAGGGTTCGGTTACAGCCTAATCAGCCTCAAATTAATCAACCAGAATAATAAATAAATCACCACTTTTTGTGAAGTAATAGAAACATTTATCTTTGCTGCATTACCTTTTACTTTATTATGCAAAACAAAGTGAAAAATAATGAGCAGCAGCCGCAGCAGCAGGCGGACAGAACAGTTCATTTCCAACCCTGCTGCCAACTGCAGTCAAGAGTTTTAAAACGAGGAACATTAAAGTCCACCCTCCTCACTACAGGAACCACTATGACTTTATTACCTGTCTTTTCAGCTTCCTCTCCTTTTGGCTGCCAAAGTACGTCAGGATCTTAAACCCGGGACACCAGCGCTTCAGCTCCATCTCCCAGTTCAACATCACACTGGTGGGGACGATGATGAGGTGAGGGCCCCAGTTACCTGAAGAAATCAGACAGAGCGGGAAAATATCAGAGGAGGAACATGAAGAAGGATCAGCGAAGTTTAGAAATAGTACGTGGAGAGCGGGTTTTACTTTTTTCACAGGCCAGGTGGGCGAGCAAGGCGATGGTCTGGATGGTTTTACCCAGACCCATCTCATCAGCGAGGATGCCGTTAAGCTTTTTCTCGTACATTGTGACCAACCAGTCGAGTCCGATGTGCTGGTATTCTCGTAAAGTGCCGTGGAGCAGAAACGGGATGGGTGTCTTGACCTTTTAACAGAGAAAATATCACAGAGTAATGGTTTGTCATTTTTCAGCCTTAAACACACAAAAACGTGTCCAAAGTTACATTTCTCAGACTCTTAATGACCGTCCCTTTATTAAGTCTGAGTTCTGACATTGTTAAGAGTTTTTTATTGAAGAGTATTTGATAAATGTTTTCTTTAAACCACGGCTGACCTTTGTCGTAGCCAGAGTGTATCCTTTTGGCTGCAGACTCTCGGCGGTGGCAGCGATGTGGCTGATTTCTTTCTTAGGCCGTGAGCTCGAGGAAGGCGGGCTGTTGTCTCCCTCCTTCAGCAGAACCTCCATCCCTTCACAGTCATCATCCTCATCTTCGCTCTCCTCTTCATCCCTCTCACTGTCGTCTTCTGCGCTGTCTCCTGGAGAATCTGAGAGATGCACATTTCAACTTTTAATCCTTTACACTCCAAGCGGCAAACAGGCTTTAGAAAGCACGACGCAGGAAGTGTTTCCCTCCTGAAATGCACCTTTGCCTCGTCAAAGAGCGGATAAACAGTTTACAGGAGGTTAGTTTGATTCTCCAGGGAGCTGTTTAGTACCTGAGGAGGAAGTGTTGCTCTCTGCATCACTCTCATCTTCTTCAGTCTCCTCCTCCTCGTCCCCAGACACCTCAGAATCAGAGCTCGCTTTGGACCCAGACGCAGAGGGAACCTCAAAGTCTGAGGCGTACGCTCCTTTGTACTTCTCCAGCAGCTCCTCGACGCTCATATCTCCTACGAGGTGAGCAGAGAGATATTAGGTCAGACGTCTAACAGGCTGTCATGAATCTCTAACTCTACTCCACTTTTACTGGAGTCTGTTTCACTGACCCTCAAACCTCTTTTAGTTATTGATTAAGCTCTGCAGACAGTATATGGCACGATAAATAAAGTACAAATATGGAAAAGAAGTTCTTCATGTGTCGGTGCTCACTCAACAGGCAACAGCCCCTCTGTTGTAACCTGCTGTAAAAGTCAAAGGTTGTTTTTTTTTTTATTGTGGGCCCCTCTAACAGTAAATGCGAGATGAAGAGATGATGAAGCGTCATGTGATGATTCAGAGAAAACTACATCTCACTACACGCCGCTAAATCAAGGCGAGATATTAATCACCCCGCTGCACCTCATCTGCAAAGTGTAACGCACATATGCGTCATGCAACTGTGGGAGAATGTCGGTCGACCTCAGAGGTAGTCACAGAGGTGAAACGAGGAAAAGACTGCGGTGATCATGGTTGGAGTCAGAGCCGTCAGGGTGGGACAGCCCTCTGAGTGCATGTTGAAGTGTGAGTGTATGTGGCACTCCCACTGTGTGCGTTTGTAAGCCCTGCTTCTGCGACGCCCTTATGCTACATGAAATCCCACACCAAGACACCGACATTATTCTCCTTTTGTTCCCGTACTGCAGTGTGCAAAAAAAAGCTTCAAACTCCCTGATCCCCACCCTGGATTTCCTGGATTTCTGCAACACTGTTCTAGTGACCGACGCCATCATGAGCAGGTACTTCTGCTTCTCACCTAGATGCTACTTAACGGAGCAACGTCGACGCTCCTCCTGACAGGAAACCATGACAACTGAATCCCAGTGTGACATGTTTAAGTTGAAGCTGACGTATGCCGTGCAGCGTTTGACCACACTGTGATTATTGCAGAGATGAAAAGAGGGAGGTGATACCGGACATGTCTGCCATCAAACGGACCAATCACGGTGCTTCAGATGGTTTTATTTTTGGGAGGTGTGCGTCAGTTAATGTGTTTGGGATTTTTTTGGGAACACAATTTGGGCACAATTTCAGAATCTGTAGAAGCCCCCTGATGAAGGCTGCAGCAATAAACCAAGATTGTCTGTAAATTACTTTTTTTTGTCTTCCATTTTGGGGATTTTTGTGCTTTTATTCTGAGGATTAGACAGTTTGGACAGAGGAGGGCAGGGAGTGACATGAGGGAAAAGAACGACAGGCTTGGATTAAGTGGACTGTTCAGAGTGAGAGAGGGATCAGGACTCAGAGAGAATATCTGAACGAAGAGAAAAGCACTTTAGAAAAACATCAAAGCAGCAGACGAAGCTTTTCAACATGAGAATTCACGCTCTTTATTTTCAGGATAAATACCTTCTCTGGCCAGGTCGTCCAGCTCCTCAGTGTGGTTCACGTTTCCTTCCACCTTCTCCTGGGCGGCGATGGTGTCCTCCTCATCCTCAGCTGCAAAATTTTCATTACAACCAACAAATTAAACATTGTCATTTACTAATCTTTCAGTTTCTTTTCACACTTTTTGGAAACGTATCATTTTCAGACTCAAAACTTGACTGACCGTCTTCTTCATTAGCAGTGAATTCGCCGTCTTCCTCCTCTTCTTCCACTGATGACGATGTTTCATCGGAGCACTCTTCATCCGTGCCCGACTCCTGTGAAACAAGAGATTAAAATCAAACATCCATGACCCAGATATAAAAGCACGTACAGGTTATTTATAAAGTTTAATGTGATTTAAAGTCTATTTTTGAGTAGGAGTTATTTCCATGAGTTTGAACACCTTAAAGAAGTTAAAACCAGGCTGGTTATAAAATCTCCCACAGAACTCGGTCTCAGAAAGCTCGATCCTGCCCAGTTTCAGTCAGTTTGTTTGTATTTGTAACTGTTTTAACGTTTATCATACAGTTATTTGAAGGAAAAGTAAGCTGTGGTTGTTTGTTTAAGTTTGACAACAAAGATTTCGAGTCCAGATAAAACTGAACTCAGTGGTCTTGAAAAATCGATCCCGGTTTTTGGAGGTACCTGTGGCATTTTAAGGGTGCTGAGTAATTGGTCGAGGGGCAGCATGCCTTCCTCCTTCAGCAGTTCAATCTCCCTTCGATGGCTCTCAGCATCGTTTCCCTCCTGCTGCTCCTCCACCTCTATAGTCTCCTCATCATCCTCTTCCTCACAGGGGGGTTCAAAGTCTCTGTCTGCATAAGGACAACAAAACCGCCTCTTAGTGAAAAACACCTCTTCACAAATGACAAACAAGCAGAAAAAGACACGAGATGCATCAAACCAGCTGGATTTATGAAGTGCTATCCACTAAAGATGATTTTATAAAGTCAAAAAATACATCAGGCCTCACAGCCTTGAGGATCATTGTGTTTAAACAGACTTCAATTCTGGGAATCAGCATTTAACTGAGCGAAACTTGATGATCCATATCTGCAGGGCTGGTCGATGGCACTCTACGACACACTTACAGTCATAAGACCAACAGTTATGGGGTTAAGAATCTCCCCTAAGGACACCTCTACATATAGATGGTCGGATCTGGGGTTTGAATCCTCATCCTTTCAGTTAAGATACATCCTATGAAACCACTGAGCCAACGTCGCTCAGTGAATGTGCTCTACTGGACGTCACAAGACCTGAAACCTGATTTTTTAACATGCTCACACTGAGAAACTTTCGCCTGAATATCTATATTTTTTCATGAATTCCAATTTGAGAAGCTCATATTTGTACTTTGGTCGTTTTATTTCCCCAAAGGAAACTTGAACTGCAGCCAAAGCGATCCGAACAGAAGTGTGCTCGAGTCCAAGTTGGAGAAGTCTCCCTCGTAGAATCCTTGAAGCAGAGAGAAACCAGAACTGGACTGCCGACCCTCAACACAGTGGATCATTCTCAGTGATGGATCAAAACATGCAAGCGTCTGTTTCAGCGCCATGTTTTTGATCAAACCGGCAGCAGACCTGTCTGACAGGTTTGACAGGTCTCACACCTGTCAGTTACAGAGCAGTACAGGGTAGGTACATCAGTCTGTGAACGTCTGACTGCTCTGACAAACAGCAGAACAGACGTCTTCTTGGTGGAGACGGGTTTCTATGAGCTCGGGTAAAAAAGTGGGTGTTGTATGGAAATACGAGAACATGCTTATTTTCTCCTATGGATGGCATAACCTTGAAATGACAACCAGCTTTTTGTTTCCTTGAAACACTTTCCTACTGCGGACACTTCAGAGGAATCAGTCATTGGTTTGTAGCTATGACAACGTCCCTCAGTGAGCCAATGATTCAGACCTGAGAGCAGTCTCAGAATATTACACGGGGACATTAAGCTTGTCTTATTAAAGGGTGCAGCTTTTATTAAAGGGAAGAAAAACTCTCACCATCCTCGTCTGCTGGAGGAGGAGCCGATTTTGGGGGGGTCAGAGGGACAGTTTCAGCAGGTCTGATAGGTGCGAGTGATTTGCTGAGGAGGTCCGAGTATTTCTCCGTCTGGCCGACGATGAAGTCCAGCTGAAGGTCCAGAGCCTTCTTCCTCTTTTCCTCCAGTCTGGACTGCTGCTTGTACTGCACCACCTTTATTGAAAAAACACACATGAGGATTTTTCTGTGTATATTTCATGTAAAAACTTAAACCTCAATTCAGAACCTACATTCTTGGCACTGCAGGAGCTACAGGTCGAGGACCGACAGATTTAAAATCACACTAGACCCTCAACCCACCTCTGCAACACACACACCCACTATGTAGAGCAGCATCCCCTCTCATACATACTTCTCCTGTGCATAAACCCCATTTCAAGAGTGCAACACTGTTTTCTGTCACTATTTTACTGTGCAATAAACATTCTCCTTTCTTTACTTGAGCGCTTGTTTGTTACTTTCAACATTTGTCATTTCCTTCATTTGTCATTTGAGGCCTTAACCTCCATCCCATCATGAGGCTCCTTTAACTGTGAATTCGCTGCACTTCACTCCTCAGCTCACGTACATTTGTCTGAAAAGTTTCATGTAGTTTATCTCCTCCACGAAAGTTCCCAAACAAAGATCATGAGCTGTTTTTAAACTCCTCAGCTGAACCAGAATGCTTTGTTTGCTTGGTTTTTTTCGAGGCTCGTCTGTACCTTCTCGACGCTGCTCCAGAAAGCCCGGACCTCCTTTGCTATAGAGGAGGCGACTCTTCTAATTTTAGCGTGTTCGTCTCTCTTGGCCTTTTCTTCTTTTTGCCTCAGCTCCTCGTGGTGTCGCATCACCATCCGAACCACCTAAAAAGACGAAGAACAGAACACATCCGGGTGAGAGAGGGCGCGCAACACATCATGGGAAATTAAGTAAATAATTAACCTTTTTTCTTCTTTAATTAACAAGCTGGGTTAGGGTAAGGTTCTCAAAGTTTCCATATTTTCAACCAGAAGCTGCAGAACAGTAGAGTTAAGGATCTTGACGTTATTTTCTCATTGTTCACGGTGGTTATGCTCCAAAAACATTCACATTTGCAGGATTTGGTGAACTAGCGGCTGAAGTTGCCCTTCCTGCCTGTTATGTTTCTTTTTGCTCCACCCTCCATCACAGCAACCACACCTTGTAACTCCATATTCACGGGCTTGAACACACAGATATGTAATGAGGTTGTTTAATGTCACCTGGTCTCTATATGTTTATGCAGACTTTTGACAGGGAGCTCTACAGCACTCAACCTCGATCGATGCACATTATGACTAAGTTAGTATAAAGATATACATCCAGTTTGCTTTAATTTCCATAGTCAAATGATGATCCGTCAAAATTCAAAGGAGTTTATATTTTTGTTGCTGTGATTTTGAAACACGTCTCAATTTTGTTTCAAAGTAAAAACTCCAGTAAACAGACAAGCTCTCATACTTCTGCAGCAACAGAGTGAAATATGAAATCACAAACTGGGACCAGTGTTAAACCACTGCAGGATCAATACGAGCTTTCACACCTTTGCTTTGAAACCACTTCTCACCTTTCTCGCCACGCCTCTCTTCCACCGCCGCTCCTGAGCGAAGTCGGCAGACAGCCACTGCATCTCCTCGCACAGGTAATCCCAGTGAACTTTGGGTCGCGGCGGCTCCGTCAGCCGGGTGAGACGCTTCATCGACCAGAAACCCTCTCGCTTCAGAGCCTGGGTTCGATGCTCGATGTCAGCTTCCTGAAAGACGCAGAAGGCCGAAATAGTTAGTAAATCCTGTACAGCACATTTATGTTTTCAAGTTGTTTTAAAAAAAAAGAAGTAGATGCCATATACAAGCATGATCCAGAAACTTTCTCCTGTTAGGATGGACCAAGGCCACTCTATTCACTGTCCTATCCCTAACAACAGGCACAAAAACAGCCAGAAATAAACTGAAAATAAAAAGAAAACTATCTGCGAGTCGGTTTGTTTGAAGAAAACAAAAAACACGAGATGACCAGGAGCAGGCCGGAGAAGGTGTGTAGAAATTAGTGCTTAAAATGCAGAAAAGAGAATGAGCGTTGTAGATGTAAATAGGTGTGAATTATTCTGGAATATTCCACGTCGTAATCAGGAAGTGTATCTTCTTGATTGAGACCTAATCTTGGTTTTCTCTGGATTCCTCTCTTTGATAACATAATCTCTACATGCTATGGCTCTCCTCGGTTCCCAAGTTACTAAAGTGGAGCAAACTGTGTCTCTGATGACAATTAGAGGTGAGGGAAATAATCTCTGAATGCAAAATCTTTTGTAATCTGTAGATACAGTAAAAGGCACTTCAGGGGGGGGCTTGACGTTTGTGAGGGACTAAAATAAAAAAGAAACAGCAGTTCAGATCCAAACCGGCTATAATCTGTGAGGGTTATCAAATATTTAAAATGTGATGACGTGCTTCACCATAACTTTAAAATTAGAATACTGACACTGCGGTCTTTTATTAACCATGGGCGCACTCACATGCTTAGCCAGCTCTGCCATGTCTGCGTGTCCTCTGGGCCGCTGAGGTGTGGTCTGGTCAGGTGGAGAAGAGGAGGAGCTGTACCCGCCCACTGAAGAGGGTGAAACAAATTTCCCGTGAGGACCCCTGAGAGGTGAGGACCTCTCCCGTCGGGGCGTCGACCAATCACTGCTGGGCGAGGGTCCGGGGTAAGGAGATGACGTGGAGGGCGAGGCAGGAGATGAATTCACGGTGACCCTGTCTGCGATCCACTGCCGTACCTGAAGGGTAAGAAGGATGACGAGGAGATTATTCTTTAATCGCACCTTCGTGAAGTGACAGCAGAAAGATTCCTACGGATAAAAGCCACATGCATGAATAAGCATAAAATCAGGGTTTTGAAGAAGCAAGTCCAGCCATGCTTTAGACTAAATAACGGCCCATCTGTGATTTTCATCTCATGCAGAACTACAATCATAAGATAGCAGAGTAATGCCTTCTGAAGTATAAGTGCTCCAAATGTTCGCCTGACTAGTGAGTGCTCATGAACATCCTGTTGAAAGTGAACCTGACTGAGTGTCTGACAACCACCACTTACCTTGAGGAAAAGTGCCTTTCTGTCTGTCCTGCTCTGTCCATGCTGGAAAACACACATGGCTTAGCATGCGGCCAACTTAAAAGAAAGACTAAATAATAATGATGATGATGATGATAATGAAAACACTGCTTCACACCAGTGACATAAATAAGGACCACATGCAGGAGGATGCCATATTTAGACACTGACAATGTGCCGACAAACAGAAATCACAGAACCATGAAGGTGTTTCTCCTCGAGTCATAAATACTCTCTTTTCTTTCATTTAAATCACTTTACCCTCCTCAGATTAAAGGACGGACCGATCAATACATCGAGATAGAAAGCTGATTCTGATCTGCAGAGAGTAGAAGTGTTTCTCCAGGATCAGCTGAGCTAATATGGCACGCTTCATGGATAAGTGTAAGGCATCTGAAACACATATTCAGGACAACTTCCTGGTGACTTAGAGGGACGATTGGGCGAATGCTCGAAACGCCGGACAGCTAACTATTTAGTGTCACAGAGTCACTGTATCTGGATGACGACATTATCTATACATCGATCATTTTTAGATTAAAATATGTAGAAGAAAATATTTAAATCGGGACTAAAATGACCTTTTATTAAGATGTTTGGCTTTATTCTAACGTCACCTCTTCTACATTTCAATTGTCTTTACAGCTGATTATATCTCTATTGGGATTTTAACTCCTGATGGAAATACAACTTGATAATTCATCTAAAACAGTGTTTAACTAGAATACCTCTGGAGATAGAAAACCTCTTCATGATCGTCAGTTTAAACTCTGAAGCTACAGAGTGTCCGTATCTCTAACTGTTCTTACTCCAGCTTCTCTCTTCATTCACACAGCGTCTTTATCTTAGCATCCAAGGACAAACACTTTTATATTATGAAGCACACAGAGTTTCAGAGTGTCCTGTTGTTGTGTCTCACTCCTGATAAAACTCTCAAATCACTTTTCGTCCATCTAGCCTTTCTCTTTAACTTCACAGAATTTGACGAACATATTCTTAAAAAGTACCTTATGCGAAGAGCCCGGGGCGGTCATCTCACTTTCTGTTTTGTCTGCATCAGCGTCTTCATCGCTGCCTTCCTCTGGACTGCTAACCTGTCCTGACGCCGCCTCCTGAGCCTCCATTTCTGCCATCTGATCGTCCTGCTCCATGTCCTCGCCCTCCTCCTCCATGTAGAGGGAGTCGGGCTGGCTCGCGGGGTCTTCGTGGCTCGTTGATGCCATGACTTCCCCTCCCTTTCCCGCTGATGCCGTTAGGGTGTAAAGGGTGTTTGGCGTGGCAGGTGAGGCGATGGCATCTTTGGGCACAGGCTCGCTTTGTCCACGTGTTGAAGTTTCGGTTACAGTTAAGGCCTCTTTGTCAGATTTGTGGGTGGCTGATGCTGCCTCGTCAAGGTGAAGGGAGATGTTACCGCTCGCTGTCACTGGAGTTTTATTGACTGAGCACTGCGTCTGATTTTTGTCGCTGCCAGGAGCCTCAGACGCACATAAAGAGTCTGCTGCTGCTGCTGCTGCTGCTGGGACAGTTAGGGGAAGGCACTCCTCAGACGCCGTGCCAGAGCAAGAGCTGTGGGCATTGGCCAGCTTGCCAGCCGCGCTCTGTTGCTTGGACACATGTGCCAAAAGGGAGGGTGGGTGCTTCAGGAGTGGCGTTCCTCCTGGTTTAAGAAGGAGCAGCTTTGGATTAATCACACCAGAGACGTGTGTGGTGCAGGGGGCCTCTGGTTCGGTTTCTGTGGGCACATTCTGAATACTCTGTGATGGAGCCACTGTGGTGCTCACAACAGAGTCTCCCGGGGTCTGGTTTTCTACGGCAGCAACATGCTCTGAAACGTCCTCGCTCGTAACCACAGGGGATATGAGAGATAATCCGCCAGCTGTTGCTTCTGCTTCCTGTTTTTGGGGAGCCGTTGAAGCTACAGGGGAATCACTCACCTGTGTTTGCTCTGCTGCATCAACCTGTTCATTAATGAATGAGTCAGATGTCACAGCAGTTACTTCGACTAAACAAACCTGGCTTGAGTTAGCCACTTCACCTGCTGGGTTAGCTTCCAACACCAAGTGCCGCACTGTTGTTGTGTGTCCTACAGTCAAACCATGAGAGCTGCTGTTGTTTGAGCAAGCCTCTGTTTGATTTGCATCATGTGATAAAGGCAAGGGCTGCTGGGAAATGATTACAGTGTCACTGTCAAGATGCGTCTCCAGGTGGTCATCAGAGTTTTCTAGTAGCGCGTTGAACAGGTTCACCTCGTATCCCGGAGAGTGAGGTATCTGCACGCTACTGCTCGCACACACGGTCTCCTCGGCGACCTCCTCCACCAGGCCGCAGAACTCGTACACCTCCACGGGTTGTGAGTGTAACTCCATTTCTGTCTGAACACTTTCTTCATACAGCTTTGGTTCACCGCTAGAAAGTTCGGCGCTCAAATCATTAACGATGGCAGCTTCACAGACGCTGCCGTCCTCCTGCTGTACGAGGTAACTCTGAGTCAGGTGCACGTTGGACCAGTCCCCGCTGATGTGAGCCCCCTCTCTAACGACCACTATTTCTTGGGTGGTCAGGTGTGTTTCTGTCGTGGGGATCTGGTCAGAGGGATGAGATGTTTCTGCTTCTACCACCTGCTCCTCCTGCAGCGAGACGACTACGCCCGTGTCAAACTGAGGGGGTGCAGGTTTTGGAGAACTCGGCTGCAGAGCAGAGCACTCTGGCAGCACTGTGAAGTCAGAGACGGAGACGTCAGTTTGCTCTTCTCCTGTGCTGCTCTCCACATGCCGGCTGGACACGGAGTCTTCGTTTTCCAGAGAGACGTATATTCCAGGAAGTGACTCTCTCGGCTTTGGGGTCTCAAGTATTTCAGCTGATGAAGGCTGTGTTTCTTTGTAAGAAGTGTCAACAAACATCTCAACCGACTCCAAAGAACTCGGTGTTTCTCTGGCATCATTTGAGATCTCTTTGATGATTTGAGGTTGTGTTTTTGACAAGTCAGTTTCTTTAATCTCGCTGCTGTTGTCAGCTGACGATAAAGCGGGCGGAGATGATTTTGAGTCCTGGTGACCACCTGCCTGCTCCGCAGCCCCTGATGGAGGTATATGGCTCCCTTGATCTGCCTGAATAAGCGTGTCCCTCTCAGACTGCTCCACAGCCCCGTGTTCTGCTGTGTCTTGGTCCCGATAACCGACACTTGATTGGGGAACAGATGGACAGGAGGCTGTGAAACAGGATTGAGTTTGGGGTTGAGGGAGAACAATCCCGTCCCTGTGCTCTTTTCCACTAAGCTCCACGTTCGTTCCAGTCTCTGGTTTGTATTCCAATGTGATCGCCTTTGTCCCAGTAATGACCACAAGTCCAGCAGCTTCTCTAGGTGACTGGATCTGGTATGTTTGACTATTTGAGAGGATTTTCTCTTTATCAGTTTGTGACCCGTATTGCAACTCTTGCACTGTGCTGTCGATCTGTGTATCTGAGGTGAGAGGTGGACAGAGGGGAGTTTGAAGCCTTCGCATCTCAGCCGAGGAGCTACAGTCCTCGCTGAGGGATGTTGGCAAAGGTCTCGAAACTCTGACACCTGCAGTGGGGACTTCGTTCGATACGCCATCCTTACAGACGCTGATGATCGAGAGACTTTCAGGGCAAGCGGGTGGAGGTGCGTTCTCCATGCCGGGGAATGCTGAGTTGTTGCTCGCCTGCAGTGGCACAGCGGACGGGTTGGTGAATGGAGGGACCGGGCGGGGGGCAGCTGCAACCGGCTGCGGGGCATGCCGAGGTGACTCCCCTGCCACATTCTGTGCAGCCTGGGGGTTGCCACCCAGCACATCCACAGCCGGAGGGGCAGGCTGCCGCTCCGCCTCCTCCCCAGGGCTTCCTTCCTCTGTGCTGCCCCGGCTACACACAGCACCTGAGGGGGAAACAGACTTTTAACAACGCGCATGGACCAAGCGATTATCTGACTGAGGACATGAAAAGTATTGGGACGTGTGTGGAATAACAAAAACAGGTTATGGTGATGAAGTGCACAGTTATCGTGTTGTAGCTGTTTTATTCTTTTCATTTAAAAAGATACTAGACTCTCCATCTGAATCACTGTCCTAGGAGGTGCTGATATCTGATTTGAACTCTGGCATACACAACTATTTTTCAAAGTAAAGCACACTGGGTCCCTCCTGTTCCATGATTCACCTGTTACTCTACAGAACGATGGTTCGGGAGATACTAGATTTGATAAATAGCGTTAAAAGAGTGCGGAGTACATTACAGATAGCTTTTTTCTGTCTGTTTCCAAAACTTAAAACACTTCTTTACAGCCGATTTGTTGGTGTGTGTGATCCCTCATTATTTGCACCAAATGAACATGTCAGCTTATTGGCCGTACATACTAGGAGAATTTCCATATCTGTTAATATAATAATAAAATTTTAGGCCAGTAAAAGGGATGCATACTTGTCGTTCTGTCCTATCTCGGTCTTTGGAAGTTTAAATCATTGATTTTCAGTTACTAGTTTAAAAAAAATGGATAAAAATGTCCTAAGACAAAAAGTATACTGTCTGCTTGTTATCACAGGAAAAAATAAGTATGTCTACCAGATCAGTGATCTACCAGAACACTGATGATACTAGTGTGCAGAGATACTGGTGCCAGTCTCAGCAATCTCTTTGTACTGACTACTGAAGTGTGCAGCTTCACTTAGACTTATTTGGGCGAGCAATCTAATTACAAATACTCTCATAATTAGCTCATATCCACCATACAAGGTAACCCAAAAACTGCCCAACACCCCACAAAAATCTCCCAGATTTTATAACCCAAATGTTGGCAGGTATGATTGCCATCCAGACAGATCTGCATCAGGCTAAATGTACTTATTGTATCAGGCTTATGAGTCTTTAGGTAAGCTATATGAAATGTTGGACACGATACAATATTCACAGTTACAGTGTGTGTTTGCAGCAGGAACTTCTCACCTGTCTGAGGTGTGAGACACAGATCTTCTGTGCTTTCTACTTCCAGGATGCTGAAATTAGGCTCCCCTCCACATATTCTGAGGAAGCAAAAATAAAGTGATTGGCAACTTTATGGTTCAAACTACAAGAAACTGCACATACACTTAAAAAATCTGTGTCTTAAAAGGTAGCTGCTGCGCGTCTAAAACAACAGGAGTGATGGGATTATGCGAAGTTATGGATGTGATATCGGTAAACAGAAATATCACAGTGTGTTCTACTGTGAGTAACATGTCACGTCACGAGAAAAACTGCAACACAGAGACAGCCGGGCGAGGAAACAACTGTTGGGACTATAGTTAATGTATTTGGCTGAGGGGTTTTTAGTGCGGGTACCTGCAGTGCTAATGAAAATAGTCCGTAAACGAGCAGCTCCGTTAGCTAGCTCCAAGTTGCTGCAGTCGCCCACAGGAAGACGTTAGGAATTCTGCAGCACGCGCTCTCATGCTAAAAGCCGGTGACCAAGCGCGGGCCTCCAGTCATTCATTTCACGCGCGTGTGGACGTTAATTGTGCGAATTAGTGCCTGTAATTAAAACAGTTAAGTGTTTGTAGATCCCCGCTTTACAAATGAACATCTTTATTCAGCTGTTATGTGTTCATGTGCTGCGAGCGGAATGTAAAAACACCAAAAATGAATCGACTTTTCATCCCAAGTCCAATTGTGGCGATATTTCAACAAGCTCGCCATCGTGTTCCTCCTTAAAAGCCCTCACATTTTAACCGGTTACAGCCTCCAATACTGTCTGTTTTAGCCAGAGTGGCTAGCGAGCTAACGTTAGCTTTGACAAAAACACTGCTTGGGTGGCACTTAGGGGAAAGCCTGCTAACTAGCGAGGTAGAAGAGTTAGTAGGGTGCGTTCATTTGATGCGCAGGCGCCCCATCCCACCCGCAGTTATGTAATGCTGCTCCAGCTTCAAAGCAGCCCATTTAATCCGACTATTTTCATAAGTTACTTCGCAATGAGACAAAACATCTGAAAGTCGCATTAAACCCCGCTTCTGCATGCACTACAGAGGGGGACAATCACTCGTGACGTCATTGCGTGGGGTCAAATCTGTATCTAAGAAAATAAATTATTAAAAATTATTCGTTTTTAAGCACTTTCGCCTCTAACTTTTTGCTTGAATACAAAAAAGAGCCCAAAAACAATGTTATAAAGTTCCATATAAATTTTGCAATGATTAGACGGGGGAATTGGGGGGACCTCCACTGTGCAACGGCTGGCTCCGTAGAAGCGACATTAAGGAAATGATCGCTCTGGGGTGATCTATTTGGTTATGTGCAGTTTCGTTTAAACGTTGACAGTGTTGTTTCTTTTCATTTCTTCATTCCGACTTGGTTCGTTACAATGTCAAACAATTTTAACGAAATACGGGCATAAAAGACTATCAAGCAAAAAGCTGTGTGATTGTGTCTCTTCGTTGGTCTGAGCCCCCCTTCAATTCCCCCATTACTTCCTCCTTGCCCCCCTCCCTTTCAAGGCCGCCATCTTAAGTTCCCACCTACCTGAAATTTCCGACCAATTTTCTTTTACTAAATTCTCGTTGAAGGAGTCGTCATCCGCGTAAAATCGCACTCAATCCGTAATGCCAGTAATCCAAACTGCCTCCCGGTACCCAACGAGGTACCACTTGGTCTGTGGGAAGAAGTTAAAATACGGACCGGGAGAGACTGGGTTTCGGCGCAGAATGTAGCGGTCGCGGGGAGGAGACTTTACGCAGCGAAATGGTGGAGGATCGCTGCTGCTGACAAAGTACAGAACACACTGTCATCTCGCGAGATGTGGTGAAGCGCGCCACTTGAAATGTTTAAAGTCAGTATTGTAGTTTGTTTTCTAAAGCCCCGTTTTTTAAAATATAACCTATTAAACTGGTCAATATTTGCACTATAACAGATATTTTTGACCTAGTGAATAACTCATTGTATATAAAAACTCAACTTTTGTTAAAGATATAGTACTAGTTGGTTTTTAACATTCATTCTGATATAGATGTTTCACTATTTTCTGGTAGGCTATTGTTTCAATCGATTCCTGATTACATTGTTAGACAGCGATGAGGACAGTTTTTCATCATCTAAAAGTACTAAAATGAGGCAGATAATCGTTTAGAATTGTTATATATCTCAGTGTTTGATGGTGAAATGTAACAATGAGTTGACTATTTATAAATTATTACATTTTTGGATGTAATGGGGCTGCATTGACAGGTGTTTTAACATTTATCCTAAATTCTTGAACATAAAGGGTAGAAATGCTAGTGTTTTAGTCTCATTTCCAGAGATTTGTGAAAGTAGACTTAATATAAGCCGCCTTTACTTGACAAATTTAGATTTACACCTTATTTTAAGACATCACAAACCAAAAATAAGACCTGAATAGCATACAGTGAGTGTCCATGGAGTAAGAAAAAATTTGAGATTGCTTTTCTCAGACATTAAGTTTAGTAAGTAATTTTACACCATGGACAGACTTATCCACTTATTACAAGCCATTCAGGTTTTACTCTTTGTTTATATCTAAATGTAGGCCATTAATCTGGATTTCTCAGGTGAGTTTGGCTTTAATAAACTCCTAAAAGACATTTTAAATGGAATTAAATTTTCAGTTTGTAAACTATGTAACTTTATGTACTTAGCTAGACTATTTTCTCCACTGTTGTCCCCAGTGGGAGATTGAGTCTTCAGCTACAGATTGCTCTCACTGTTCTGCTCTACTCATGGGATTTTGTGACCAACCCAGCATTTGGTGCGTTGGTCATTATTGTGGTGAGGTCAATTTAATTGATGGTGGTGATGACTAGTTGCTTTATTGTTGATGTTTATAGCAACAGAAAAAAATAATAATTCACCATGTGCATTGACTGTAACACTTCTTGGCAGTACCTGTGTCCAAATGGACTTGAAGCTCTTACTGATCTTGTTTCTTCTTGTCTAGATCTTGGCTTGTGTTTTTCTTGCTCTTGAATGTACATCACTTTGGATAAAAGCATCTGCTAAATGTCATTACAACAGTATGTTTTCCTGGTTTGCAAACAGTTATTTGACTACCTTGGCTCTTGGTTGAGGAGAGATTTAAATTTTTTGGAAACCTCTCCATTGAACGGTACAAATAAATAATCAAAAAGATAGTGTGCTACTATTATAAGACAGAGAAAAAAGGACCCACACAACAAAGTAAACAACAATTCATTTAATAATTAATCTTTGTGGTCTCTAGGGGAGGGGTTTGAAAGGTATAAAATGGTCATATTAAAATAATCGACCCAGTCTTTTCCCTCTCAGGATGCCCACTGTCTAGTTGTCCTTTGACACAAGTACATATATTTTTTCAGTTCTTCAGCAGATGTCCCACTTTTCCATGTATATAACTTATTTTTGTTGATGAAACAATTTTGACAGTTCAATGTACAAGGCTCCCAAAGTCCCAAATGGATATAACACACAACCAATGACACACAGGCAAACCTCTCTCTTTCTCTCTCTTTCTCTCTCAGCATAAAACAGTCATAGATGAGATCCTTGAAGAGGCCAGAGGTTGCAATGGATACGGCTTCATGTTCACAAGCACTGAAAAGTTTCCGTGAGACAAGCCTTTTGCTTTTGCATGATGTGAAACAGATCACTACCTGGGGAGAGAGTATTGGTTGATACCCGAAACAAAGACAAATAACATAACAGTGAATATATTTATTATTATAGAAGATAATTAATGTTAAGAATAATAATTACAAAGGCAATTTCTCTAGACTACTATAATCTGGTCCTGCACATATATAGTCAAGAGGAGACTGGGAAAACAGTAACAGGAAGCTCTAAAATACTGTGTTACCGCACACAGTTTAGCACAGTTCATTTAGCCATTCATCATTTGAAACAAAAAAACGAGCCACATCATCAGTGAAGCTTCGACGGGTTTGGGTTTTAGATTTTTGGGTAAAGCAGGAAACTGAGGTGTGATGCTTACCAATCTTCTTTAAAATGGTCTCATCGATTATCTTGTCTTTCACAATGACAAAAAGACACAAAGACAGGAACAGAAAGCACCACTTTACCACTGGTTTTCTTAACACCCTCATCCACAGTAACTAATCAGGATTGATTTATGAAGAATAGGGCTTTACTATATCCCAGGATGAACCCTTGACTTGTTTTCACAGTGTACATCCCTCTGGAAGTCATTTCCAATCCACCTGGAAAAGGCTTGTGATCAAAATTCACCTGACAAATGAAAATAAGCTGTCCTCTGCCTCTTCATACAGCTTCAGAAATCAACTTCTGTAATAAACAGCCAGTATAAAATAAAAATACACCAAGGATGCACAGAAACCATGTACCTTTAAATTGCACTGTTAGAACCATTGCGCATATTCCAAGTCTTGCATTTCCCTCCCCAACATCACCCCCAGCCAGTCTTAGTCACCCTATTTTGGGTTGTGTAACTGGGAGGGTTTATTAGTCTGCAAGAGGAAAAGGGGGCAGGTTGAGAGCAGCACGGTGATCCTGACATTTCCCTTCATCTCCTCCAGTGTTGTCCCTGTACTATCTGGACTCACCGTCTTTGTGAGCGCTGTACAGAGCCAGCTCACCCGGCCCTCCAAGTCTAGAGCTGCGGGGAGGCGTGGACGACCGGCTGGTGAGGGACGGAATGAGTGGAGGAGGTGCCCCTACTGACAGGGCTCCCACTAAGCCTGAAGGGGTCTTTGCCAGGATGCCGTTGGGCACATGGTGAGGATTCAGAGGGCCGAGGCGGGCGTAGAGGCCAGGGTGGTGCTGGGTGGCGGGGGAAGCTCCATGTTGGAGCGAGTGGGAAAGAAAGCCAGGGTGGAGCTGCTCCAGGTGAGCGGCAGTAGCAGCATGAGAGGGGCTTGCAAGGTGGGTGCCGGGAGGGAGGTGTGGGTGCATCCCAAAGTAGCGAGCACGCTCAAAGTCTTCCCTCAGGATCTGGGCACGCTGCTCCTCATCAATCAGCCCTCCTCCCGGGGGTCCGAGGTGAGGGGGGCGTTCAAAGGGATGAGCCATTAGACCAAAGTCCTGGCGGACAGCAGAGGACGAGGCAGTAGAGGTAGATGTTGGAGGGTGGTGAGGGTTGGCTGCTGCCGCCGCTGCTGCTACAGCCGCCACCCTCTCTGCCTCCAGAAGGCGCTGATGCTGGAGCAGCCGGGCCAGGTGTGGATCAGACCGCAGGGCAAGGTGAGGGTCAGTACGAAGTGCCAAAGCCTCCCTACGGTGTTGATGTTGCTGCTGAGCCGCCAGCTCCCTCCAGGGGTCCCAGGTGTAGCTATGTGGACCCTGTGGTGGTCCCTGGCCTGGACCATGGGGGAAACGTTCTCCTCCTGGACCCATCATCAACCCTGCAGCACCTGCTGTGCTCCCCAGATACGCCTCGATGGCCCTGGAGCGGTCCAGCAGGGAGAGGTGTTGATGATGAGGAGGATTTGGAGTGTGTTGCAAAAGGGGGACACCAGGGGTGGGAGTCAATGATAAAGAGGAAGAGGAAGGGGTGCCAGATGTGGGATGGTGAGGGTGGCTGTTGGGGCGGTCGAAAGTGTGGTTGGGAGCCGGGGGAGGCAGGGTGATGGGGATGTGCTCTGGCTCCTCTTTCCGCTCCTCTTTGACTTTAACAGGCGGGAGGAGCAGGGGAGGTTTGGAGACGGGTGTTGTAGTCCGGTCAGACTTCTTGGCCTGAGACAAAGAAGTGATGGAGGCAGAAGCTGCTGAGGAAGAAGGGAGGCTGCCGTCTCTTTGCGAGTGGGATGAATCATTATGGTGGTTGTGTGCCGTCGGGGCGAGTGAGCGGGGGTAAAGGTCCAAGGGAGATGGAGCGGAGCGGTTGGAGGGTGGGGGAGTGGTGAGCACAGAAGATGAGGAAGACCGGGGTCTGTCCCTGTCTGCTACTAAAGATGAAGAGCTGAGAGGAAGACCCCGCGAAGACACCGTCGGTGGTAGCCTCTTCTCTCCATCTCTGTCTCGCTCGCGGTCTCTGTCTCTGTTCAGGCTGCGGGTCAGGTCCTCGATGGGTCCACTGCTCCCTCCCAGGGAGCTGCTGTGGCCATTAATGTGAGACACTGGGGTGCTACTGCGGGGCTTGAAGGAGGGGGCGACCGGAGACATTCTCACAGGTGGTCGGCCATACAGCATATTATCTCTGTGAAAGCACATCCGCAGTTAGATAACAGAAGATACTCATACAAAATGTCACTATACACAACAGATACATAATGGAAGTCATACTGATGTTCCCGACATCAACCTCTCTTTAGTATCTTAATGGTAAATGTGCAGAAACCACGAATTCACGTAAAGTACATAAAAGATGAGGCTACGTCCACATGTGCAGATACTTCATTTGTTTTTGGATATTTCTCCATCGCCAAGAAAGGACAGAAACAGAACCATGTAGGACCAGAAGGAGGCGACATGTAAGCATTCAGTAGCGCCAAACACAACAGCATCTGACCTCGACCTCTCACTATATGCTGGTATTGACGATGAAGGGGTTAATTTAGAAATATGAAAGACTGATTTACACAAGCGTATGTACACAGAAACTAGCTGGTCCATTGTGGAGTGTATAGTGGTTTTTTTAATGCTGGTTTCCACCTGCTGTGAAACAAGGGGAAGGAGAAGCAGCAGCTGCTAACTAGCTAGCTGTAGCATCCCTTCAGAAGATGATCAGACATTTTAAAAATTAATTTCATGTTTATCCAAAAGTGAAGATTTTATACTTTTAGCGGGTCTGTTTTATTTCAGTTTCATAACTTGCTATCTACTAGAAGGAGCATAGACTTAATTTCAAAATAAAAGCACATTTTCACAATAGAAGAAATAAGGCATCCTACATTTTAGAGAGTAAAAATACCAAAATAAAAGCATCATAAACAGTATTTTTATGTCACTAAAGACGTTTCTATCACAGGGCTGCAGACACTAATTGAACATTAATTTGAAAATCTTTAGAACTGGATGAAGACGTAAGTTGGCCGGATAGATGTCTGTTAGTTGAGATGTCTGTAGGATCTTATTCATCCAGGTGTGTTTGTTAGTGAAGTTTATGAAGTAATATTCTGTCTTTGCCTTAATTTGATTTACTGAGTTGCTGTTTTTTCTGGCTTTCCACAAATATATCCAAATATCATTTTTGAGTTTTTATGGCCAATAATCGTACAGTCAGAGTGTGATATCATGACTGTTCTAATCTGACCTGAAGTTGACAAAAATAAATAGACTTTTCCTTGAGTCATCGTGAAATTTTCAGTTTTTGTTCCTCAAATATTTGAAGTTGCTTTACATTTCTTGAAAATCAACCTCCTTCTTGAACCTCAGATATTTTTTTTTATTTTGTCACATGTCCCTCTTACAGTTTCGCAACCATTACTCAACTGAAGCCACCCTTCACCCGCTGCCTCATGATCAATTTTTCCTTACATTTCCTGCTCCGTTCCGATGCTGACTCACCCCATATTCTTGCATAAATTTCACTTGTAGGGTTGGTAAAACCCACAAAACAGTTGGGATGAAAATTTCTGCAGTTTGTTTGCACACATGCCGCTTGCCCCGGAACCTTTTGAAAGTTTTATGCATGTATGAAATCGGCTTTGATTTTTTTCCTGATAAAAGCAAAAATGTCTGTCCACTGTGACTCCACAAGCTTGCTATCTGACTCAGTATCTGATTCCCCCCCAAACTGATGTCAAAACAAATCAGCTGAATTTCACACCTGTCCTTTTCATCCTTGATGTGGGGAATCTCTCTCCTCTCTCCATCCTTCCCCCGGTCCCTCTCGTCCCTCTTGTCTGCGCCTTTAGCCCAGCTGGGACCCGCGGGGAAGCTGGATGGGCCACCGTGTAGGCGGTTCCAGGGGTCGTGATGGTTGGGGGTCGGTAGGCCTCCGACGACACTGGCTGATGAATCTTTAGGGCCGAACACAGAGCCCGCTGTGGGGAAAAAATATACAGAACTTAAGCAAATGGACAGACAAAAAAAATTACACTATAAAAAAAGGTCAATATAGTCCCAGATGGTCTTGTTTTTCTACATCATAAATAGGATTCATGATCAGTTTTAATTTATCTGATAAATGTTAAAAAGTCGGCGCAGAAGATTGAAGAAAAGGAATTCCAATTTTCCCTCTGGATCACCTGATGGTTTGAGCAGAAACTATTTCCTTGTATAAATCCTATCACATTCTATACAATGGCAGCTTTGATCACAGCTTCTCTGTCCTTGCTTCACCCTCTGTAACCCTATAACTAATATGCTTGAACACTGAGGACTATAGCACACTGCTAGTCCCGGCTTGTTTCTGTTTCAACACAGCCTAACACTGGGACAACCTCCAAATAAACCAGTCGTGTTTTCATTAAACAGGAATGTTAACTACTCGCTTTCATGTTGGTTATTTGTTTGAAGCGCTCCCAGCCATCACATCTATCATATTAATGGATTCAATCATGGTCTGCGCTTGTGTGTATCAGTAAACCCAAAACAGCCACAAACAGCACGTCTGCGGCAGTGACGGCTGACGTGTAGCTGTGCTTGTAGTAGCTTTAAATCAGAGAAGAGAAGTCTTAGAGGAGTGAAGCACCGACAGATGGCAAAAATGGCCGAAACTGAGATTAGGGGTGAGTGATATTGATTAAAAACATTGAGAGTAGGGGTGTGGGAGTGAACCACGATCGTACACTCTGGGAGTGTTCAGACATGACAAAATAACCGGAGACGAAATGGAACAAGTTTAAAAAACAGTTTTAAATAAAAGATTCGACTGATTTAATATGACTGATCATATTTAGTGAATGAAGGTGGATTTTCAGGGCGTTCTGATTGTTTTCTGCAAAATAAGAGACATACTCGATATAGTCATTTTGCACCTCATTAAAACAGAAACTAAACAATATCTAATACAGGATATATCACACACCCCTAATTGACAAATAAATTAAAAAACTAACAGGTGTTCTGCTCAATCCCTTACAAGTTATTCTGATTGTGAACTTCGACGATAACAAGACAGTGGAGTATTTTCACACGGAGTATATTTAGGTGAGCGTCTCCGACAGGGTTTGTGTAAGAAAATGTTCAACATCTGAAACACTTGCTTTGCTTGGAGGAAAAAAAAAAAAGGTTTTCATTCTCAGCAGTGAGTTCTTAAAAAAATGAACCGGATCGATACCCAGGCCTGGATCAGAGCTGCACTGGTGGTAGTAAAAACAGGATGAGGGAAGCATTAGAGGCTGTTTCAAAGCTCTGAAATGCATTTACGACTGCAGCCTTATCAGAAGTAGATCTCAGCTCCTTACTAACCACCCACTGGAGCGGATCTGCTATAATACAGCCGAGTGAGAAGACTTAAATGTCAACCATCATTCAGGAGAGATGAAGCTGTGATTTCATAAAAGTCTAACATTATCCTGTGACTACTCTGTGGCATGAATACCCCTGATAAAACATGTATTTTATCGGTTCAGATAGAGGTAGATTACAGACCACCTGACCAGTGTATGAACATGTTGTACAGCTGATTATCTACTGATCGATGTGATGGCTGCTGCTTATCGCCTGTGATTTTGTGTGGAACTTTTTAAGCGGCTGCCTCAGCCAGGACTCACTCGCAGGAGAGATTTTCTCTCTCACTGGGAATGATCCTGGTAAAATACATAAAAATAAAATACTCAACTCACTATTGCTCACTGTGAACTACTGCTCCAAGCTAGTTTGAAAACCCACTGCACACTTAGAGAGCAGCTGTAAAAATACAGAGAGCGGTAGTTCAGATCATGTTTTCGCTTCATATGAAGTGTTTCTTCGAAATATTCACAATATCTGGTTTAAAAAAAAAAAGACAAATGTTTTATCTTGTCTTAGTTGTAAGTTGTGAAAGCATCACATGAGCATTAACTGCTGCATGGCTTTGGTTTGAATGGAGCTGATCGGTGATTTAAGCTCGAATAAGAGCGAATCAACAAAACACAACAAGCTCTTTGTTATTTTTCTTTAACGGCGAGATAGAGAGATATTTAAAAATGAAAACCGACAGCAAGAGGACAAATAGTCTTTTTTTAAACCCACATTTCCTTATTAAGTTAGAAAGGGGACTTTTCATTTGATTCAAACTGTGTTTTAGTCTATTACAAGTCTAATTACAAAGCCTTCAGTCCTATGTCTGAGTTCAGTGCTCATACGCCGACTGAATATTGATTTATTGGTTCCCTATTCATCTCTCCTTGTTCACTGTTCCCTTCTTAAATGATGGGGAACCAGCACATCCCTGGATGCACCAAGAACCTTTTGAGCGCACTAACAACAACCTTAGTTTGCACCCATATTAAGGTTGCAATAATCTGGTGTATATCGTAGCTTGTATGCAGAACAGGAAACGGCGGGGACTAGAAATCAAAGCTGAAATAGCTTCTCGCTCTTGAGCGTGACCACAACAGCTCTGAGGGTCAAAAAAAAGTACAGATTTAGCAGCTGCACTTGAGAGAACATCACCGTCAACTGGAGGCCTTTTTCACACTTTAAACTTAGATCTGAGAGATAGAAGTGAGGTTAAAAAAACAGTCCTCCAACAGGTTCAGTTTGTTCTGGCCTTCTATCAGAAAAAGATTTGAAGCGTAGAGTCAGGGAGGTGATGACGATGTGAACGCAGGAAACAGAAAAGTCGGATTCTGGACATTAGCTTGTTTTATGTAGCAGGAAATTATCTGGCAAAATGGTGTCGTGTTCGATCAAACACATTTAAAGAGATTTTTCCACTGAAGTTTAGAAAACGCAACAGTGACACCGAGGTTTCAAAGCTGTAAACAGTCATGATCTTCGTAGTTTGAACCTCATCGGTTTATTTTTGGATTTGATGAATAGATTTTGATTTTGAAACCTGTTGTATTTTTCTGAAGTAGGCCATGTCTGGATCAGCTCCTTTTTTAAGTTCCTGACAACAACATAAATCTTTCAGGTTCAAACCTCAGTGAGAATCCAGCAGCCCACAGAAGTCATATTGATCTACTTCATTAGGTTATTTGTGACGTAGTCTGTTAACCAAGTTTTGAGGGGACGATGACAGTCCGAGCTACTAGAAGTTTTGGCAAAGCTTCACTCGTAAAGTGCAACACGCGGTAAAAGGCTTTTCAATAATAGCAGTTTCAAGGTGGGAAATTGAAGCCTGCACAAATGTGACGAGCAAAGGCCCGGGCTGACTCTGATCCTCCCTCAGGAGTAGTAACAGAGGCGAAATGGGGACAAAAAGGTGGTGATGTGTAGATATTCAATATACTGGAAGACTGACCCAGTGTTGGGCTGCCAAGTCCTCCAAAGGCACCAGAACCAAGAGCTCCAAGTGGGGTGAAGGGTGGGGATCGTCCATACGGATCTAAAAACACAAAAAAACGGATAAACATCAGAAAGAAATTAATAAAACAACATTTTTACACACAGACCAGATCCAGAAAACATAGAAAAAACCACTTTATGAAGAGGTTGTCTAAGTCATAACTCTAGTGTAAGTATTTATCAGTGAAGGAGGTTTGAGTAAAACCAGGACCACAGTGACACTCTCTGGTTGTGGTGCATGAGCGGTGTACAGATGGGCCTTTTCAAAGCAGCTCTTACCCAAATGTGCAGTTGGTGGGAGGAAGGAGGAGTGGGGCGTTGATGGAGAGATGAAGGGAGCCGAGGACGGATTGACAGGCCCTGAGGGAGAAGAGTAGTAGTTTAATAATTAAATAAAAGGAAAATGTCATAAGTGCTCAAATCAAATGCATGGAGCTGCCGCCACACTTTATCTTGTAAGTGAAGACGGAAATGCTGTCAAACCGGCGCTACGTGAGGACAAGACGGGTCAAAAACTACTCTATATGAAAGATCGTTAAGTCGTAGCTGTCTCGCTGAACTATGGAGCTCTTCCCTGAAAAGATGTTCTCTGGATGGCAGCAGATGTCGCTCAAAAACCTCTTTACGGAGCAGCGTCCGTGATTCCCCTAAACAATCTTTAATTCTGACATCAGGACAGTTTTCCCTTCACTTCAGCCCGTCTTTAACAGTTTTCACCTGCATCTGTAGATGCAGCAGCAGACCGTTAAGAGATGTTGTGGATGCGACTTTAAACCTACGCGGTGACTTACACTACAGATTCATGTCTGTTTTAACGGAGTGCTGTCTGAGGGCCTGAAGATAAAGACCATCTAGTATCTGTTAAAAGTATTGTCCTTCCCTGGAACTTTAACTATTTTATGTGCTGTAGATGACGAAAAGTGGGGTCACTGATCTCCTGAATCGATTTTATTTCTATGATAAAAGATCGATCTTTGAGTAAAATGAATCAATATCTAAAATTTTAAATATAAATCTGTTAAACTCTTCTCATTAACCTCTGGGAGACTCAGCCTCTCTGGAAAACCTTTTTTATATCGACCCCTACTACTACCCTGTTGCAAATTAACCTCATGAGTTAGGAGATACTTCTTCAGGTGTTTTTTAGCTCAACACTTCTCTATGTTTTGTTGTTCCTATCCTGACTGTTTTAAAAATGATTAAATTATTAAATATTCAATACAATAATTCGGTTTCAACATCAGATTTTGTCTCTGAGTTTAAATGATTTGCAAACCAAACTCTAGTTTCTTCAACATTTGACACGGTATCCTCACTCTCATGGATTTGGGGTTGTAGATCCACACGTTTATATGCAGAATCAGAGAGCACTCTGCTGGTACTGAGTTGGAAAAAAATAAAACACACAAGGGAAATAAAAAACACCTGCTGCTGAGAACAGACTGGGAGGTCTGGTCAGATCGTGAGTAGGAGGAAGAGGCCCCAGTGGACCCAGACCCCCAGCTCCAGGAAAACGAGACAGCAGGTCACTACGGAAGTCCAACTTGTGAGGATCAGCCTGCATCAGCTGGAAGACAGGAACGGAGCCAGTTATTGGACATCCAGGTAACAAACCTCTCTGTCTCCTGACCAATCATCTTGTTCATGAATTTGATTTGATTCATTACAAGAAGAAATACGTACCTTGACTTTTTTCTGATGGCTTAGAATCATCCAGGCCAAATATACATGCATAGCGCACCATTTTCCTGGTTTCTGCAGGGGAAAAGATCACAGGGGTTTCGTGAGTTACTCCATTAATCTTGCATGTCAAACTTTAAAGCCTTTGCACACAGAGTCAGATGTTCTTCTCCAGTACAGAGATATCTGCTCTAGACTTCACACAAGATTCCAGATTTCCAGCTGGAAGTAAAGTTACCTGCCGGAGCTTGGCGTGAGTTTGGCATCTTAAACAAAATGTGAAACTTTTACAAGCAGAGATACGAGAAACAAAATAGAAGGAGGGAAATAAAAGCTACATATTGTCTCTCATGTTGGGCTAATTTCTTGGTCTGAAATATCTAACTGGGTGTGCAAGGGCAGAGAGAAGACCAGCAGCAGTCAGGATTACAAGTGAGATTAGTGCAGAGAGTGATTGAAAAAGTGAGAAGGTAAAAAAAAGGCTGAAGGGTTTGAGGAGCCAAGGGATTCAAGAACAGCTGTTTTTGCTTACATTACTGACTTTCAACGATGTCCCAAATGGATCAGTTAGCTACAAGAGAACAGAAGTGTGAAACCACTTTTAATCAACATGTCTCACTCTGTAGGAGGAATACTTTTGCACTCTTTACTGCACTGACTAGCCCCACGTTGCAGCACATCCTAACTTTAAACTGCTCTACGCAAACAGAAGGACATCATCTCAAGAGTAATGATGCAAACGTACGGCTCTGAGTAAACGTGATGAACTCACCCTGGGGTCTTTGGGCTGCAGGTGGTGAGGGACAACCCCAAGTCGTGCAGTTATGTCAGGACCCGTTCCCTGAGGGACAAGAGGCTGTCACACACACAGAGCAGAATATCAGACACATCCAAGTGAATCACAGGTCAACAACTGACACTTTCCTGTCTGTTTTAGCTCAAAATTTTTCAAATGCAATCAATACGGATTCTAAAAGAGCACAACATGTTCTGAAGTCACTTAACCTTGTTTACAGTTGGTTTTAAAATGCATTTCAGGGATCAGAAAAGAAGACAAGGTTATTATTACGCTTCTATTACTCTTCATTCGTCATGCAGAGAGCACAGAGTCAGTGAGAGGGCGTAACAGAATCAGCATCAGAGCTGAGAGAGCGGGACGTCTGTGTCTGAGAGCGCAGGTTTAAGGGACGGGAGGATTGACCGATCCCTTTACACACAGACACATGCAGGAACTGTGCAGGTGCATTAGTGGGACAGCTGTGTAAGAATGATGCACTTTTTTTAAATTCTACCTACATGCACTGATTTTTCTTAAATTAGAAATTTCTCTCTGCTGCTCACAGCTGAGCCTGCCGGGGTGTAAAGCAGGTAGTTTGTGACACTGCACAATACATTTTAAACCATTAATAGTCAGACTCAGTCAGCTGCAGAACACCTTTCTATTACACCGAACCTCACTGAATCCCGTTGAGTTCCGTCGTGTTGAATCGGATTGTCATGACATCATGATCGGGGTGAGAAACTCGACGTCCAGCATCAACAGCTGCTGCTTACACGTCTTTAATGTTTCGTGAAAAGAGTTTTGAATCAGCCTCACACCTGAGACGCCTAAACCTCAACACAATACTGCAGCATGATGTTATTGTGAAAAGGGCTTAATGGAATCTGGCTTTGGGTTTTTACATCATAAGCCACTTCCACCGAGGGGTCAAAGGGCGGCATGCACGGCTATTACATCAGTCTGTTTTTTTTCTATGTCATTTTATTAATTATCTCTGTTCTTAGTCTTTTTTTTAATTCCTGTCATAGAGGTTTTTATTTCTTTTACCCCTCCAATATGGTAAAGAGCTCTTATCTGTTCATTTAATATTATTTTCTTGTTTCAGTTCATCAGGTTTTACTCTTTCTTTTTACCATTTTTATTTTTATCTCCAGTGTTTTACCTAAAGTAGCTCTTTCCTCACGTAATGTCTCAGTTTCAGGCCATGTCTTTTAAACAATATATCTTAAATTCTCACTCTGTGTGCGGTCGGGTTTTATCGTTGTTTTATTGTTGTTTTTAGCCTCTGTGAGGCACTTCAAACTACATCTTTTGGTCTAAAAAGTGCCACACTGATAAAGTTAAATTTGAATTCTGTTGAATGTCACCCCCACCTCTTTCTCCCTGTTTTCTACTTGATCCATTAACTTATTCAACAACTATTTTCCTCATCAAAGTAATCAAAATGGCTCAAAACTGCGACAAACATCAGGCGGGGAAATGACAGCGTGTTTCTGTGTTACATATTTGACACATGATGGAGTTTGTACTCTGAGAGATATTCTGTGATCAAATGTGTCGTAAATCAGCTCAGCGCTGAGTTTGAGTCTTAGAGGCTGTTTGTACTTTACTGTTTAAAGTTGCCGGCCTCTCATTCATAAAATTCTCTGTGATCGATTTTTGGAGATTGATAAAATGAGTATGTCCACATGGTCGGGTGTCAGCATTTTTCAGTGTCAGAAAACACTCACTCAGAAGAGGCTGATGTTTCTGGTACGCACACTGCATACTCTCCAAGTACGCTCTAAACAATTAATACCCTAATGCTTGATTAAAAGTTAGGAAGTATGCATTTTAAAGCCAGGTGTATGCAGGATCCGAGTCAGGTTTGGGTTAAATCCTCATGAGGGCCCGCTGCTCCCCTGCTGTGAGAGCTCAAGTGTTTGTTGACACTTCCTCATTAATCCTAATTGTTATCAAACACTTCACATCTCGCTCGTCGGCGCTCGGTGCGAGTGCTGAAATGAAAAGTCACTCAGGCAAAAATTGCACCAGGTGATGTGAGATGCCCTCCTGAGGTCTTGTGGACACCAAGAAGTAATTAGTACGAGCATGTAAGGAGAGCGTTTCTCACCTTTGGCTGAAATGCTCCTTGCAAGGAGCTGAAAGGCCCAGTGGGAGGAATCACAGGCTGGATACTCGGCACTGAGGGCGGAGGGTACTGTGGGAAGAACTAAGAGGACACGCACACCTTATTATCTCAGTTACTACAGAAGACCTGAACAAAGTGATCCACATTTCAAATTTGGGTAAAAGAGTTTTAACTGTTTAGTGTTCACAGTCTTGTTGTTTGACTCTTTAATCAGTAAGATAACAGCAGTACTCACAGAGTGCCGATACAGCCCATCCATTTTGCCTGGATACTTATCAAACTGAAACACAAAAGCAGAGTGTGGGTTCAAACATCACGCAACAACACCAAACTGAACACAGTCCACATTCCAGCCACACAGGAATTTCAAGTACGACACAGATGTTCAGTAATAACAGCGGGGAGGATCTCACCAGAGGCGGTGCGGTGGCCGTGGGGTGCAGGAAGGGCGTGAAGTGTTGGTGCGTGTGCGTGTGTTGGTGCTGGTGGTTGTGCTGATGAAACTGGAAGGCCAGCGGCGGGATGCTCGGCTGGTTCTGAGACGTCCGGCCTGAGGAACCCGCTGTGGAGCTGGATGCTGATGGACCACCGGGTGTGGAGTGGCCTGCAGCTGATGTGTTGTTTTCAGCCCCGGTGACGCTGCGTCTCCCCTCTCGCTCTGGTGAATTCAAGAAGAAGGAGTTTTAGTTTTGATGCAGCATTTCTTTTTCAAGAGAGGAAAGTTTTAAAGTAAGATAATCAGGTATTTTTTAAAAAGCAGCTTTCCAGTGATTTCCATACAAACCTGTAACGGTGTGGTGACTATCACCCCTCTTATGACCCCTGAAATCTGAGCCGCTAACTCAATCACACGGTTACCCCCAATTTCCACCGCATCCGGAACGGCTGAGAAAAGGCCGTATCCGCCAACTGTAGCTGATCATTTCCATTCAAGTAAATGTGTCAATTTTCACCGGCCTCTTTCAATTTCGCAGCTGATCACAAGAGTTCTATTTTTTCCAGATGCCGGAGCCAGACAAATTCAGCACAGATTAACCCGTGCTGGAAAGGGAGTCGGGCACAGACACAAAATAAAACATCTGACTACTTTTCAAAATAAAACACTTTGTGTTCCAGGAGGATCGTATTTCACACCATGCAAACAGGCGGAGACGAACAAGTGAAAGGTTTTTAGACAGCATTTCATCCCGATGACACCGTGGATGAGGGGATGCTGATTTAGAAGTCTAGAAGTAGATTTCCTCCTCTGGAAGGACACAATCTACTGCTTATATGGTTAGCCTCTGTGGCTGTCTTTATAGAGACAACTTATCACGCGATTGCATGTGAATCTGCAGGTTCTTGTGAGTTCTCGCGATTCCCGCTGTCTGAAATCCGCCACAAAATTCGCCTCACAGACGGATCCGGTAAGAATTGGCAGACGGTGGAAATTGCCGCCGTTCCAGATGCGGTGAAAATTGGGGGTTAGAGCATGCAGGGGGCGGGGCTAACATAGACAAATAATCGTTCTCATGCTCCTATTTTGCTCCCAAAAACAGGAAATTGTTTTTGTAAATGATGATAAGCATTTTCTATCAATCAGCAGATCACAGCTGTGACTCGGTTCACCACGAGTCATGTGGGAATATGTTCAACTCTGACTTTCAAATAGCAGATAATTCTCAAACTTTATCATCAACACAAATCTCATAGTGGTTCTGTTTGAGATTCTGCTCAGGTCCTCAGGAGCTCATATAATACAATCAAACACGCAGCATCTGCTTTAACAGAGAATGCAGCATCTGCAGAGCTGACATGATTAAACCAAAGTTCATCAACGTACAACTTCCTCAAAACCCCACTCAGAAAACCAGACACTGGCCAGAGGAAGTCTGTGTTGGGTTTATTTTAGTCACATGTTAGTCACTGTGTCCTCAACCACCGTCTGCAACAGGAGAGAAACAAACCTGCTGCTGAGGGGTGTGAAGGACCCTGCAGAAGAGGAGGAGGAGGAGGCAGGCCGGGTGAAGACGTGAACAAGTTCCCAGAGCTGGCTCGGGATGGGGGTCTGAGGGGCCCTGAGGATCCTGAGCCCCTGATGTAGGGCAGCGACACACTGGTGGAGGGAGTTGGGGGGCGCATGGAGGATGAGGAAGACGCGATAGATGAAGCCGATGAGGAAGGTTTGACAGGAGTGCTGCTCCTGGAAGGACAGAAATAACAGGTGATGCTTCGTGTCATTTATTCAGCACAGACTGAGAAAGAGGAGTCTTGACAAACTCACCTGTTGTTGTACATGTGAGGTCGTCCAGGCAACGTGAGGAAGGGTTTGGGTTTGGAGAGTGGGGGACTGCCGTTGTGGCGGCTCCCATTGCCGTTGAACGGGCTGGGCCGGGGTACGGGGCCTGAGGTCGTGACGGGGGAGTGGGAAGGCAGACAGAAAGGGGCAGAAGAGGTAGAAAGAGAAAGAGGCTCTGGGAAATGCGGCTCCAGGTTCTTCTCCTGACTTCGCTCCAGGCCGGATACTCTCGGGGTCACCATCAACCGCGAGACGCCGCCACAACGGGCCTGCAGAGGGGGGCAGTTTTTGCCCATAGATGTGCCCATGTTTGAAGGAGCAGGCTCCACGACTGCAGAGGAGAGCGACAGTCAGGCTTTGAAACAACTGAACATTACAGAACAGAGAGAAAGTGATGCTGGGTTTAAATCAAACGTGTGTGACTCCTGCATGTTTGGACCAAAAGATCATCTGTGTCTATTCTCTAAATCGCTCTAAAGCACATCTGTTCTGTGTTTTCGATGTCTGTGATGTAAGAGCATCAGAAACAGAGCCGAACACAGCCTGTAGCTTATCATTGTTCTGCAGATTTTCTCCAGGATCTGCACGCAGCTTTGGGAAAAACGGCGAGTCCCACAAATTTTTGGACCCGAGGCGCCCTGCTTAAACCAAGCCGTTCTACAGCAGTAACACAGTCAACACGCTTCCCTTGGTAGAAATGCATCATAAGATAACACTCTGAACTAGGGTTTCATGTTTTTTTCAAGGTTTCAGTGACTGCAGTGTGTCGTGGTCCTCAAATACCTGCAGGTTATGAACTGAACCCAACTGTTATATCTCATTTATTCAAAAAGTACGACACCAAAAATAGACGTTCCCAGCGACTGATGACTAATTTTCCTCAAATATTAATGGCAGCATCAAAACAGTATCTCATACCTTTTCTCGTACTGACTGTGAAAACTGGGTCCATGTCATTGTCAGAAGCCTGGATGAGGAGGAAGACAAAGATTTCATTTCTCCTAAAGCAAGCAGCAATTTCTTACAGCACATCCAGATTGCATCATGAGTGAAGGTCCAAAAAAGAAAAAAAAGACCCCAAAAACTTAAGAAATACAGATGTTTTATACCAGTAAAGGTTTGTGGAGTTCCTGAACCGGCAGTGAAAACTCTGTAGTGCATTAACTGCCCATTTAAAGAGATGAATGTAATCAATATCCATAAGATAAAAAACTGCAGAAGTACACACCTTGTCTCCCGTGTCACTCTCAGTGTCACACTATCAAAGAAGAAAACAGATTTTCATCAATCAGAATATTTCAGAAAACACACACACACACAGCTTCAAAGCGTCTGCAGGCATATTGCACAGTGTTGCAGGACGTTAACATCATCATGACTCCAATATGAGAAAACTTACAATGTAGCCGGTCTCCAAAGGATGTCCCTGAAAAAAGAACAATGCACAATATAAGCTCCAGAAGACAAACTAATAACAGAGGAGATGCAAATATCATCACTGACACCAGCTGAGCGATCGAATGTGAACTTTCTTCATCTGATCAGGTTTTTCCGGATTGTTCGGATTCACCTCGCATGGCTTGGTTTGCAGAAACACCCTGACATGATTATGTGTGTTTTGAACCAGTTTTACAAGGTCATTACTGAAGGCAGGATGCACAGGTGAGCAGCGTTACTGAAATGCAAACACCTCTATTTGATGAACAATTAGCTGAACATCTCACATGACAAGATGAACCCACCACAACATCAGAGCTCCACAGAGCCCTGAGTTTACCTCTATCCTCCTCCGTTTGTTACTGCTCTTGTTCCTGCAGCTGCTGGAGTGGCTGTGCGGGGCGCCTTCCTCCGGCTCCGACAGCGGACCTCCGCCGTTCTGCTCCGGTCCTCTCTTCCCCTTGTTCCTCCTTCCCGGCATATCAGTGCGCTGACTGGGCTTCAGAGAGCAGTCCATCTGATAAAAGAGGGAAAAAAATCTGTGTTTACATGCCTACCAATCAGTATGAATGAGTCTGCTTCAGGGCAAAGACTGTGGGGTAGCTCTGTAATGATTAATGTCCTGACAGAGTTCATTTCTGAGGTTTCTACTCTGAGTGATCGCAAAATAGAAACAGCAGAAATTACGAACTCGATCACATGTTGTATTCAGGGTCAATACTTTGAACTTGTATTGAATATTTTACTAATATTTTGTCACGAATATGAGGAAAGGCTTTTAATGCTGATAAAGAACAGTCCAGCTTTTTATCCAGAGAGATATTACAAACTATTACTCCTTTATTCCCCCTAAAATAACAGGATAAAAAAGGCAAAAACCTTAATTACAGCAGGACGCTCATATGCTTGGCCTTTGAGGGTCACATGTTGAAAAGGTTGTATGAAGTGTTTTTAAACTCAGAGAGAGCGGTGAAGGAAAAAAAAGAGAGGTAACCGTTCAGGGAGGATTGACAGTTAGTAGTAAGTGAAATGTGACAGGCCGCACATTCAGATAAATACATTTCAAACAGACAAATCAAGTGCAATCAAACGCAATTTTCTGGAAATAAGATGAAACCGCTGCTGCACAGGTTCCACTTCTCATCTGTATGTTTTTCAGTTTAGTTGGCCCAGAAATCGACAGTGGAAATAAAAGGCGTAATCTCTGGACTGATGCACATGTTTTACTTGAATGGTGTTGTGAGCAGGTTTTGTTTAGAGACCCATCTTTAAGTCCATGAGGTGTTGCTAACCACTAATTAATTTGATAAACTGATTTTTTATTTTGAGTCATTTTCTCTGAATTATGAATCTAAAATGAGATTTTTCTGGTTTTATTCCTCTTCTACAGTTGGTGGGATATCTTTGTATTTAGGACGTCAATAGTTAAAACTGATTTTCCATCACTCTACTTTGAAACTCTACAGCGCTGTTAAATAACTTCAAGATTGATCAACATTAAAAAGAAAGGGGAAGAGGCTTTCTTTGGTTTGATTCTCTGAATTTAAAGTATTTAAAGTTAATTGCAGAAGTACACAGCAGCTTGAACACATGCGAACATTAAGAGTTAAGACTACATGAAACTCACAGGGAGCCGTCGTCTGACGTCTGCAGCTTCCTGGAAGCACCTGTAGACTTAATCTGCTGTATGCATCAGTTTGAACTATCACTTAAAAATTAATGACTAACTTTTGAAGATTTTATTCCTGGTTTTAAAGCAGATAATATTGTTCAGGCTGGTAAATATGACCTGAAAATAAAATCTCTTATTTTCACACACTTGGAAAATCAGGTTTCATTGTTTCATGAAGGCAGTCTGATTCTGAGGTGCTGATAACCTCATGACCTTGTAAGGTTTGACACAATTTGTCTGGTTAATTCAGCGTCATTTTACATGTCATGGGTCATGGGTAGTGCTGTATTAATTTCTTTCAGCTGCCAACATTCAAAAGTTTGTCTTTGGTGTTTTATTTTATCAAGATAAACTTGTTTGTATGATGTTAAGAAGCTCTTACTGTACATCTCAAACTCCACTTTAACTAAGTCGTCTCCTGTCCTAAAATATTTAAACAACTCCCTGGTGTTAAATTCAACTTTAAGGTCACTGATTTATTCGTTTCTTTCTTCTTCCATTTGAAAGCTCATCAACACCTCACAGCATCAGAGCATCAATAATTCAGGCCTCTCCAGAGCCCATCAGAGGGGGATGCCTTGGGGGTTCAGGGTTTGGCCTGAGAGGATTTCTTCCTTCAAGCTAAGAACAGTGTCAGAGTTGAGGAGTTCAATGTGAAGCTTTCTTTTTCACAATTTTAAACAGAAAGAGAAATGTATGACACCACTGAGAGAACTAAAGAGGACTATGACTGAAAATAAGACAACAAGGTAAAAATGAACTTTCTACCACACCATAATTTGGCAACACTGACAAGTCCAGGGCCCCCTCATTCAAGGTGTGGTTGGTTGCAGCAAAAGATATTAATATTGTACAATTGTAGTTAACCAGTGTCCCCATGTTTCAGGAGATGGCTCAACAAAATACTTCCTTTTGCTTAGAGAGGACAGACTCAGAAGATGGAGGTTCAAAAGTTGTTTTCAGGAAGCCATTTTTGACACCAACTAAAAAGACTCACAGTGAGACTCATAATGTTGTTTCTCTGCCTTAACTCAAATACTGACGGATATTCTGACTAATCTCCCTGACTTTTGCTTTTTTGTTTCATTTTATTCTTGCCTTTTTTTCAACCAGGATCTTCTTTGGAAAAGGAGTTCTCTGCGTTAAATGTGTCAAGAAGAAGTGACTAATAAAACATGGAAAAACCCACTGCCAAACATTTCAAAATGCATTCGAGGAAAGATTGTGCAAACTGTCTGTCACGCTATTATGTAGACAACACGGACAATAAATCAGAGAGGAGGATTATAATTTAAGAAGCAATTTTAACTTTAAGAAACTCTGCAGTCAAACTACAATAAAGATGACTGCATGGGTGGGTTTCTGTTCAGAAATTAATCACAAAATCTATCGCATCTATTAGGTTTGGAGAAGAGGATAAACTGTGATCGCTGGGTTTGATATATTGATTTGCACCATTTCACTTCCCGCTCTAAATACAATGGAAGGATGTAACCTTATCAGCCCAACCATGAGCCCGTATTACCTTTCAGAAAGGTGTGGCTGTGTCAGTCTGAAACTATACTCAGTTTGCATTTCTCACATTAGCATACAGAAAAATGCAGATTTAACTCATCTGAATGTGTGCATGGACATTATGGAAATGTGGTCTTTAATTACACATATTTTACTTTTGCAGTACAAGTCTGCTTAATTAGTGGTTCTACTTGCAAATCACTTGGCCCTTTTAACATTCAGTTATTAATCCTTCCTATCCTTATTCAATGACTCATAATTTTCTTAATTTTCTGGCTTTTCAGGACTGATGGGAGTTTATAATTGTTTATAATTTCCTCTTTTCTCAAGAAAGTTGAAAATGAAATTATTGACCTATATTTTCATTTTTCTTTGGCATTGATACTTGTCGAATAATTTGGTTATAGCTGTTGAAAACTACATGAAGTTTACGATAAGATCAGCATGCAGCCTTTTGACCATTTAGGCTACTGTTTGCTTTGTGTAACTGTGGTAGCTAATATTACTTTTAAAAGGGGGTAGTGACTGAACAAAAACCAGGCAATATGCTTTGTCCTAACTTGGGCAAAACAATAATCCTCAATGCCAAATACAGATATTTTGATCTGAGATGATATGCCGCCCTGACAGACTTCCGTCTCAGTTTGAGTCACCTTCTCTACCTCGCTACTCTTGATAAAACCGGTAAGGTTTACATCAGAAGTAAATCTTTAGGAGGCGTTTCATATTCTTCTTTTAGTCAGATTATTGTACTGTAACATCATATGATTGCCATGTAATTACTGTCAATATCTGCTTTTTCTTATCCTAATAAGTTATCTTGCCATTCCAACCGTTTACTGTATAGATAACCATTCATATCACTTTTGTTGTTTATGACTCTTTTATTTGATTAAGATTATTTAAATTAAGACATTAAAATCTACTTGTTTCATGAACGACAGCTGTCTGTTGGCCAAGCTATGGTTTTCAATTATTTGACTATAGCTGACTGATCAAAAATAAAATAGTTAATGTATCTATCGGATCTTGAAATCTAGTGTGTAGTGTGTTTTTATCATTATTCTACCAGGGCCTCATTTTAATGAGTTCAGGCCCTTTACAGAGGCTGCAGGCCACCTGACAGCTATTTTAATAACAGTAGAAGAAGGATGCAGAAATGTCTGGTGTAGTTCTGAGATATTTGGAGCTGGAGAAAACTGCAGATGCTTCTTCAGAGTTCTGGGAGGAACTTATTCATGAAAACAAAGCTGTGGTCCAATTCAAACTTCATAAAACTGGTTTAACGAACATTAATCTACAAATATGCACAGAAAGAGAGGCACCTAACAGAGGTAACCAGGGGGGAATATTCCATTAATCGTTGAATAGTCCTTGGTGAATAATGACTAATATTGTTGGTGAAGATTCCTGCTGAGAAATAAAGATATTTACCTCGAGAGCCTCCAAGCTGATGAAGCTCGCAATAGCAAAGCCGTCAATGATGTCTTCCTCACAGGACACAGACTCTCTCTTCCTCCGCCGTGGAGGCCTATGTCTCCCAAAGCCGGGCCGGCTCTCTCTCCCACCGGGACCCAGCACATTGTTTGTCCCACAAGCCTCTCGATCGGAGCCTGAGGACAGGGATGTGGCCCTCTCCACCGCCAGGTCCACTCTCCTCCTCCGCCGCTCCCTGTCGCGCTGTGATCGGGACCGTCGGCTCTGCCTGAATCCAGTGCTCCGGCTCGGGCCCTCCATGTTCAGACGATACCTCCTTTTGTAACTCCAGTGAGGCCAAAGGCACTTTGTTCAAGTCCCGGTCCGGTGAGAGGCACCGAACCGCAAATAAAAGCCCAGCACACAGGCAGGCCCTCCCAGTTAAAATGGCGTTAATGGAACCAGTGGCTATTATTTACCGTCCTTTGACAACAGTCTGTTGGCATCCGTGCCTTTCTTTCGGCGAAATTTTAGAGTCATTTCAATTAATCTGATCGAAAACCTTAATTAACATCGGAATTTTAAACATCCACGACCCTCACAAATGTCAGGACATAGCAGACTGTTTCTGGTAGACGGCTAACACCAGTTAGCCAGCAAGAAAATCAACCCACATAAGTTATACGCATGTAAACAAAAAAGGACAAAGACAAAGCAGACTAAATCACCTTTAGATTGATCCTAAAATTAAACCCACGCTTATGTTGGCATTGCTCAACACAACTCTTACACCCAGGATTTCGCTAATTTCTGCACACGGTGACAAATTTATTTGCCTGTTAGCGAAATTATACGGTTAGCTTGTTAGCAGGGCCACAAATTATCTACATATCCGACATTATTACACTGCACAGTGGCATCAAACCGTGTTAGTCTTAAATTTAAAGTGTTATTATTAAATATAAACCCCAGTCGGGTGAGTTAAGTGACCTGTCCGGTGTGGGAAAAACAGTCAGAGCTAACGCTAACCAACGGTAGGTCAGAGTAGCCGATTAGCTTTTAGTTAGCATCCACAAAGCTAGCTCAATACAGTACAATATATTCACCGAATTGAGCGAAATTCTGAAAATGTGTTTTTAAAGACACACTACACAGATATCATACGACAAAGCTAACAAATCTTTTTCTATTTTTGTTATATTTATCGTCAGCGGAATTGTTGACGGCCGACAGTAATTCGCCTCACATCAAAAGAAAGACGTAACGTTAGCTCGTCTCCGTTAGCCGATCCAGCTGTTAGACCTTTCAGTTTTTTAAAGAACCAGGGAGAAAACGCAACATTTAACCAACAAATCGACAAATAAATAACGCTATGTCTCTTCTTTACACAAAAGTCTTCTTTCGATCCTCCTCCATTATAAAGAAAATAATCAAGGCCCAAATTTAAAAGCCTCGGTGTCGATTTCCATAATCGAGGGTGTCGGCCGAGCCCCCGTCGGGCTGGGCAGCTCCTTCATGCAGCCTCCACTGTGTAATCCACTGTTAAGGATTAGTTGGACCCCTCGCCGACGATTCCAGTCAACGATGATTTATTCTCTTCAAATCCAGGGTGTAAATAAATGAAGAGAGAAACAGGACGGCTCCGCTGCTGCCTCTTCACAAGTTTCCACTGAATTGGAAATTAATCGTGAAAATCAGGGAGACACAACCCTTGTCAGCCGTGCAGTGCATTGTGTGCGCCTCTCTTCTTCCTCACTCACCGGACTGGTTGGTTGGCAGCTCTGTTTGTGCGCACTGCCACCATGTGGGGATTTTCTTTTGGGTTATTCTCATCTCATTACTGTATTTGACAACTTTCCAGATCATCAGCTGACTTTTTAATGGTCTGTCATAAACATTTATTTGCAGAAACAAGCTGGGGAATATATCACTGTGTGGGTATTAAAGCGACGTGGCCAAAAGTATGTGGACACCAGTCAACAATTGTATGGAAGCCCAAAGTCTCCGTGTATTATCCGTCCTTTCAATTATTCCATTCAATCTAGTAAACGAAAAACGAAAAAAAAAGAGTCAATATTTTGTTCATTTGATTTTCTTTATAACGATTAATGCTTGTTTTCGGATTTTCAGTTCAAAACAGAATATATAATAGAGAAGAAAACGAAAGCAAAATAATAAATCTACTTTTTCGTTCGAGCGACGCAATCCCTGAACACCAATAGGCTGTATCAGGTGTCAATCAAAGAAAACATGAACCCCCCAATAACTTTTAAAAACAGAGCTTCACAGAAAAAAGAGGACTTGAGCACAAACCAGTCTGACGGTAACTACATGTCAACACCGCAAGCAGGAGGGAGAAAAATTTATGTTCTGTGTAATAAATTTCTTAAGTTTGTCCACAGCTCCATAAGCTTTACTGGCGGAGGCGGGATTTATGACCTATACTGCAGCCCGTCACCAGAGGGTGCTGTTCTCGGAGTGGCTTCACCCAGCAAGGAGGCAGACGCTGTCCATTCTATATGCAGTCTATGGTTCGCACATGCACATTGCGCCACAAAGCAGCCAACAACGTGGACCAAAAACTCCAGGCCAGAGCGGTAGAAAAAGGCTAACCTGCTGTCATGGGCTGTGTTCACACTGCAGGTCAATTACGATTTTTTAACCATATGTGACACATATCTGATTTTTCCATGTAAGTGTGAACAGTGCAATTCTGATTTTTTCAAATCCAACCCAGGCCTCTTTTGTATGTGGATATAAATCGGACATGAGTCCGTTGTGACTGCAGTGTGGACGCTCAGGTCGCATTTATCTGACCTATATGTCATCAATATGCGACAAACATCACCATTGTTTGACAACACAAACAGGCGCCGAAAGCAATTTGTGAATAAATAAATTCCCCGCAGTTTTCTCAAGTCTTCAGTTGATGTGTTCTGTAATCTGGAGAAAACAACATGGTACAATCATGTTAATGGATTTTTTTTTTCCTGGTTGGTAAGTTTGTTTGTGTACCACATTCAAGCAACAAGGCAATTCAAAGTGCATCACTCAGAAAAGAATGAAATAACTGAGAAAAGCAGGAGGATGTGGTTTTCCCCCCTGAGGAAATCAAATGCTCTCAAATGCCACTTTGGTGTGAGGCTGCTGGCGTGTTGAAACTCCATTTAATCCCATCCTGAACTAGGATGCCCTGGATTTTCCCATTATTAAAAGCAGCAAGGCTTGACTTTAGCTCTTTGTTTGCCCCAATAAAGTTTGTGCCAATGTCAGACCCTTTAAGCACATCATTATTTGAGATGCATTAAACCACAACCAAATTTACGTAACTTTAATAAATCTACTACTGAACTTACTGTCCCTATTTACATAAAAAAGAGCAATCCTGCTTTCTAACCTGGTTTTATAAGTTCTTTCTGTCCTGAACATGAAAGTTTCTCGGTGACCTTGTGTGTGAGTGTCAGAATGATCCAACTCTGGAGAGCAAAAAAGTATGGAGAGGTTGTGCATGTGAAGTACAAAGACTTTGACTCCAGCTGCCACAAATATTGAATGTGCAAAGACTCTGCAGCCCCAGCACTGACATTCTCACCACCACCCACTGTCCTACAGTAACAGGTGGGGAGAAAGGAGGTGTGTGTTTGTACTGTCTGAAGGTTACAGAGGAACAGGTGTGTTCCAGGGACACTAGGAACAGTTTATCCTGAGCAGGAGGAGAGAAAAGCTTGAGGTGATAATGAGCTGAGGTGAGCATGTCCAAGCATCAAGAGAGTTAGGGCTGCGTGGTACGGTAGCCCTGAAGGTCAACTGGATGAACATGAAAAATGCAAAAAGCTGTTTCACCAAACACATACACAAATTCCAACATACACACAAGCACTTAATTAAATCAGAAACAATAATAAAACATTTTTTTTTTTGTTTTGTTTGCAGAAACATAAAAAAAACATTTAGCCAAAATTATTTTAGTGTTAAATTGTTCAGGTCAATATGGTTCGCAGTAAAATGAGGCCTAATTTGATATTTTCAGTGGGCCAGAAACTGTTAGTGCACTTGGTGAGTCAAAACTGTATCTGTCCCTGCACACCAGAGCGGTACAGTGGATAGCTGCCTCAATCTTCAGGTAAGACACCCACCCTTCTCACTATGTATTTTAAGAGTTTTCCATCTGGATGGAGGATTTTACAGGAAAAGTTGTGTTCCAGATGGGCAGGCTGCTCCTCACACACCACGCTCTTTACTTACTCACCACACCAGCCCTCATGCACACCTGACCCACTGACTTCCACATCTCTTGACTTTTGTTCAATAATGTGCTTTTTTGTTAATACATTCATGGTGTTTTGTATTTGTTCTGTCTCCTCTCATTTCGTATCATCAGCTTCTAGGCAGCCATCATAAGTGATATTTGCACAAATGACAGAAGCATCTGTTATAAGCACTGTTTATTTGGTTTACACTTATTTTTACCACCAGAAGTTATCTATTAATTTGTCTGAGTAGTTTTCATTTTTCTGATTTTATTCTCTCTCTTACTTATGCTCTAATAGGTTGTTTTGCATAGTTTTGTTATATTTGCTACATTATTTCTGTGATTAAGTGCAAGTAAGTCAAAAGAGAAGGAAAATTAGAAGACATATAAAGCCTTTACACGTGTTGTTTACTCAATATTTCATTTTATTTTTTGCTTTTCATGGAAATTGCTCTGAACACAAAGACAAATATTGGATCTCACAAGCCTTGTTCTTTCAAAACCCTTCAAAATACTGCAGTCAATATGGGACTCCTCAGCCAAAGATAGTCACATTTTCTTGGTTCAGGTTTAGGGAAGTGTTCACCTGTTGGACCTCCTTGAGAACAGCAGAGTGTGCAGCAGGATCCCTGTAGCTACAGACACATTTAGAGACTCCACACCTGGGAACAGTGCTCTACCAGCCGGGATAGTGAGGAGAGTTTGGCAGAGAGAGAGCAGCTCTTTAGACAGTCCCTCCCCCTCTCCGCCCATCAACAGCATCGTGGGTTTGGTCATCTGAAAGTCTGAACACTTTGACACCCGGGAAGCCTGAGACTCTTCTACTTCTGCTCCCACTGTCCCGACCACCTCCCAGCCCTGTTTCACCTTTGACTTCAGCATCTCTTCCAGGTTTTCATACCCGTACACCCCCATCACCTCCATGACGCCTGAGCTGGCCTTGCTGACCACTGGAGACAGCGGGCAGCTGTGCTGAAGACTGCTCGCCACTCTGTCCACGCCGAGGAAGTATGCAGAGCGAAGGATGGCGCCCAGGTTCATGGGGTCCTGGATTCTTTCTAGGACCAGCCACAAAGGAGGGGATGGGTTTTTTTCTCTGGGTGGACGCTCTCTTGTTTCAGTGAGGTACCCCAGAGGACTGGCCTGCAGACAAACTCCCTGATGCACTCGTCCTGCAGACATCTTGTCCAGATCTTTCTTGCTGACTCTGTGGACTTGGACTCCTCGATTATGAGCCTCCTCACACACTTTAATCACAGAGTCTCTGTGGGACGTCTCACCCTCCTTTACAAACAGTTTCCTCACCTTCCTTCGACCCTGAGTGAGAGCCAAGAGGCAGGGGGAGACGCCAAAAACAATCTCATAGCCCTCTGATTTGGACTCCTGTGCTGACTCCTGTTTCTCCGGCCTCTCCCTGTCTGAGTGGAAATCCTCAAGACACAACTTCCTGAGCTCAGATGACACCCTGTAGTCGCCTCCCCTCCTCTCGGTGGGCTTCAGCTGAGGTGGGGTCTCTTTTTTCCATGCTTTAGTCCGGACAGTCCTCTTAGGATCCTGATGCTCATCAGACACTGATTGAGTTCTCCTCACTGCAGGTTTAAAGCTGCTGATGTTCTTTGGGTGTGAAAGAGGACCTGTCACGTGGTAACAGGTAAACTGGGAACCTATCCTTGAGAACAGACTGTTACTGCAGACTAAAAGCTGCCTGTTCTGGTGTGAAATGCTGAAAATCCACATACTCCAGAGTTAGCTAAGAGGCACTAAGATGGGCAGCTGTCCCAGAAAAGTCTCTCTTTAACTGCCAAAAAGCCAATTTATCCCTAATTACAGCCCCTGTTGATAAAACACAACATTAACACCCTTTGTTCAACCTTCAAAACGAGCTTCATCCATTCAGAAGTGAGGCGTGAGTCTCCAATAGTGATCCGCACGTTGTGGCACTACCGCATCAAGCTAGCTAAAGCGTAAGCGGATATCAGGTAGATTTAATACCAAAATAAAAGAGTGAATTTGTGTAGGAGAAAAAACCTTGTTACAAAACACCCTCCAGAAAACAAATAAAATGCAATTGTAATAGAGAAGGTCAAGAGATCACTTCAAAGAACATAATAACTCATGTTGTTAAGTAGAACAGTGGAAACGTCTTGAGGCATGTTTGAATATTATGCTCTGTGACCTATTAGTGGAATGTTTTTAAAAATTACCTGACAGTTATAAAAGTAAAGCACCTCAATTATATCTTGCAATTCAAAAAATTAAAGGTAGGATGAAGTATTTTACAATCTAAATATATATGCTATCATAAAATCTCAAGTCAAACACATATGTCACCAAATGCTACATTAAAAAAAGGGAATAAAGTGTTAGGTATTATATGTCTTATTGTTATTATTAGTTCTATAAAATTTACAATTATATTTTGGTTTTAAAAAAGGAAGAGAAACATTTGCAGGATGTCCAAGTTAGTAGGCATAATGACACAGATATCAATACCAATCTTTGGTTATATGTTATTTTTCCCTGAAACTAGTCAATTTTGATTGTACTAGGGCACATTCGTATGCAACACATACACAGATTTATTTTCTATTCAAATTATTAAACTGTGCTGGTAAAAAAAATACACTTTTGTTCATTATATCTTTAAATGCAGCGTTTGTTCTCGATGATTGAAAACACTAGTGTAGCAAATTGATTGTTTTATTTTGAAGGCGTATTTCTTTCTCTGTTAGGTGAACTTGACGTACATGACGACGCTAAAGTGTGACGTATACTTTCTTTAACGTGGTTGCGTCATTTCCCGGAAGAGAAACCATCGCAACACGGAAGTGTAGGAAAGAAAACAAATAACCGTCCGAAACTGCGTCCAGTTGAAGTCCGAGAAGACGCCCTAGACAACGATTAATCGGTGGATTAAGGTTTTCTTTACGTCGAGCAAAGTACAAGGTAAGAGTAACACACCGGGGGTTGGGTTTTAGACCGTAAGGTTAGGTTTGTGGGGTTCGTGCTAAAGGCTAACTTGTCATCATGGCAGATCCAGATACATTTAAGGGGGACAGCTGATCCAAAAGGGTCCGAGAGTAGACTTGAGTACTCCCTACAGGCCCCTGATCCCAGAACTAAGGGCTGAGTCCGGTCCGGGCTGAGTTAAAGAGGTCATCAGCAGGACTAACATGGATGAATCACCTGAGCTGCTTATTTAACTGCGTTTATTTCAGGACTTTTAACTGAGAAAACTTCCCTTTTTCTTTATAAACAAGCCTATTATAATTAAATCGTTATCAGGCACCTGGACTTATAATAGAAATGAAGTTTAAACAAGATATGGTACTGTTATAAGTAACCAAGGTACAAGGCCTCAGAAAGCCATTAAATCAGGACACAGATGAACAATAAATACATGATAAAAACAAGAAAACTAAGTTTATGTCGAGATAAACAATTTCAAAAGAATGTCGTTAGGAATCAAGACATTTAAGTCACTTAAAAAAGTTTTTATAAAGTAAGATTAGAATGACTATTACAAACAAAAGTTTAGCCATTATTATTCAGGCCGGTTGTGTCAGTCAAAAGGACTTTTCTCAAAACAGGTTTGAAAAGTGCCGACTGAACATGACAAGCATATTTTTAAACAGGAATGCAACTTCATATTTAAAGACGGACTGATAAAGTTTTTTTTTTTCAGGTGTTTTCCAAAGAAGGAGGAAAAAACTCAGAAAAACAGAGTAATTAAAGGGATAATCCTGCGTAAAAGTATTTTAGGGTCAAACACACCGGGTTAGACACCCCCACGAGAGATGAATGTTGCCGACCGCTTGCTTCTCTAGTTATACCAACTTAAGTAACGACCGCAAGATAGCAATACAGAGAGCCACACGCTCAACAAAACGCCGCTTTATAGCCACAAATAATGCTCAGAACAGCACCTAACTTCATCAACAGGACATATAGGGTCCCAGCCATAGTACTAGACACCAAACATCTTTTTAAGTCGGTGTTACAGTGTGTTTGATCCTAAATTAATTTTTTGCCGGATTATCCCTTTAATGCCATTAACAAAAGGGAAATTGCCTCTTCAAGAACCAAACATGGTGTCTTTAAATTTTATCATGTGACCAGCCATGAGTCCAAAGCCCAAACTTCTTTAGGTCAGAGCTGTACTGACTGTACTGATATGATCCCTAAACAGATGGAGTTCTTGTTTGGGAAGAAGAAGACACCGGATGAGCTGCTGAGGCAGAATCAGAGGGCGCTTAACCGAGCTATCAGAGAACTGGATCGAGAGCGAAGTAAACTGGAGCAGCAGGAGAAAAAGATCATTGCAGACATAAAGAAAATGGCCAAACAGGGACAAATGGTGAGACAAATGGTGCTGTGTTCAAAAGAGACAGCTAACAGAGGAAATCATAATATACTAATCCTATGATAATAATAATCTAATAATCTGTAATCCTTTTATTAATTATAATAGGATGCTGTTAAGATCATGGCGAAGGACTTGGTCCGCACAAGGCGTTATGTCAAGAAGTTCATCATGATGAGAGCTAACATTCAGGCTGTCAGTCTAAAGATTCAGACGCTCAAGTCCAACAACAGCATGGCGGAGGCGATGAAGGGGGTCACAAAAGCCATGGCAACCATGAACAGACAGGTCAGTGTGTGACAAGGTTCACTCACACATTTTGAAACATTTAAAAAAGAATAAGTCCCATTTATTAACGGTCTTACATGTTTGTTTCCACAGCTGAAACTGCCTCAGATTCAGAAGATCATGATGGATTTTGAACGACAGAGTGAAATCATGGACATGAAGGAGGAGATGATGAACGATGCCATAGATGATGCCATGGGGGATGAGGATGATGAAGAGGAGAGGTGAGAGATTAGAAACAGACGAGTTACTCTTTAAACCTGTCGGCTCTGCTGCCGTGGCAAAGAAGACTGAGGAAGAAGATTGACCAAATGCATGTTTGGTTTTGTCTCTCTTCAACTTTTTTAATAAAGGCAAATAAACAGTGTGCAGCTACTCATGATAATGATTGACTGACTGACATCCAGTGATCTCTGGATAATGTAACAGCCTTTACACTTTGGTTACTTTCTTTGTTTGCATAAAGCCATTGTTCCCCTGTAAGTAATGACATTGAGGCTTTCGTGATGTTGTTGCCTGTTTGTCTCAGTCTGATTAGCTCCACCTGTATGCTTAGTTCACCAGTGGTCACAGACACTTGACGTATTCCTGGCGATATCTTGATTCCATTTTATGTTTGTTTTTCATGTGCAGTGACGCCATCGTGTCCCAAGTCCTGGATGAGCTGGGTCTGAATCTGTCAGATGAACTATCAAGTAAGAACAGAACAACATTGTGAAATTCTCTTCCTCTATCTCTCTGTCATTCCTGATACTTAATCCCTATTTTATCCTCCATGTCCACTCTCTGTTCACTTCAGATCTCCCAAGCACTGGAGGGAGCTTGTCTGTGGCTGGAGGAAAGAAGGCGGAGCCCCAGGCCGCCCTGGCTGACGCAGACGCTGACCTGGAGGAGCGATTGAACAACCTCAGGAGAGATTGAAACCGTCAGACACTGTGGGAAGGTTGTTATTAAAGAAACAAGCATACTCGAATTTCTGTGTTTCGGTTCTTTTGAAGGGTATTACATGGCTGAACGACAACTGACTCAGAAAACTCTGTGGGTTCTAAGGCTTTCTGTTTGAGGTGTTTTCTTTTTATGAGTGTTTTATCTGTTTTATCAAAGATTAAAAACTCAAAGTTTATGGGTTGTTATCCTTCATAGGTCTTATGTCTCATATTTGACATTGCCAAAAGACAGAAATGAAGAATAAGTGGAAATATATTTCACAGTTTGTGTAAATACTAACTCCTCTTCATATTGTTTTTCACATTTGAATTAACACTAAAATTCAATGTTTAATGGAGCCCCAATTAAAGTTAAAGAAGTGGATGTTTGACAAGTGTGAGCGGATACACATCAGCACTTTTTGTACATCAGGCTGGTTCATTATCATAAAACCGACAATTCTAGCTCTGCTGTTTACTTTTCTGGGTTTTTTTTGTTTCTTCATTGGAGCTAAAAAATGTCATAGTCCAGCTGAGGATGTACAGAAAGTATGTTGTTGACATTTGTCCGTCTAAAGAACGCTTTATGTGACAAGAACATATAAAGGATGAGTGACAGAGAGAGAAAGTGATGTTGAGCTGACTCTTCACCAGCTGAAAGCACTCCTGTATACTGCTGAGTAATCGTTTATCGGAAATGTTTCTGACACCAGAGAGATTTTCACCAAAATAAGAAGTCTGCAATGATTTATGAACTGTCCTGCTTTGATTTTCTTTTCTCAATAAACTTTTTTTCAATTTAAACTTTCTGATTGTCTCATTGGGAGAATTTAGAAATGAAATTTAGTAGGTTTCTCGTACAAAGTAGCTCTCAGACAATGAAAACAAATGTCCAATTTTTTTTCAATATGCTGCATTTGCTGTCAGAGTATTCAGAAGAAGATAGATAGATAGATAGATAGATAGATAGATAGATAGATAGATAGATAGAAAGATACTTTATTAATCCCAGAGGGAAATTCAAAAAAGGGGAATGCAAGCTTTCCGTGAAATCTGAACAAAATTTCAAGGGGGTAAACTTGGCATCATGTTAAATATGGCAAAAGAAGGTGATATGGTCACTTTTTGGAGAAGGGGTGGCTAAAAGTCTATTAAAATCACCAAACAAGGGGATCTAGCAAAGTGTAGTCAACTGTCTGAGAAGCCAAAACTGTCCTAAAATGATCAAATAAGTTTCATAATTTAGGTTAAACTAGATAGCTAAAACGTCCAAATAGTAAAAGTGCTTTGACTTAAAGATGTTGTTCGGTAAATAACGATAAAGACGTACCAGGAGGCTAAAGTTCTCATGCTAACGGCTCGGCTCTTCACTCCCATGTAGTTCACCGATTGACTGTCAATTATCCGGTCCTCACTCAATTAAAAAAAAAACAGGTAAAAAACCCCCAAACATTTTTAAAGTGAAAAATTTAAGTAACGAGTCTGTTTTCTGCAATTTCAAGTGAAAGAAAGCGCTTTGTAAATAAGAAGTTTTGGCTTAGCTTGTATTGTTGTATGCTAACTGCCGTTTTGGAATTTAAAAATGTAGCCAGGGTACGTAAAATGAGCAGGCTAAGGTCGAGATGCATCATGGAAAATGTAGTACTGCCTGTTTCAGGCGTTCCAATAAAGCCAGGGGCCAAAAAAAATCCACCTTTTTTCATAGACTTGTGCCCTTTAAAGAACAAGTTCACTCTTACGTAAACATGTAACTTTACATAGTTTGTCAAAATCCGTTGTTGTTTGCATTATGAGTAATGGTTGGATACGAACACTTAACAAGTATGAAAGACAGAATTGGTTGGTTTCCTCGGCTGTGTGAACCCTAATAATGTGTTTTTCATTAAGAGTATCCTTTGTTAATATTGACACCAGCTAAATATAACCCACAAGTATCTAAATATCAATCTTAAGAGATTGTTATTCAGTCCGCTCACATTGTGCTCAGTTTTCTCACTTGGAGCCCCTGTTCAAGTTACAACAATTTTAAAGTGGAGTTATCTGACATATTTATGTGTTACCTCCAAATATTCCTCTAATGCCAAACAAAAAATCATTTTGGATTTTAACAAATCAAGCCACAGACATTCATCATAGACATGTTAATTTTATTCCAAAAAAATTTAACTTTCAAAACTGTCAATTTTTCAACATACAATCATAGAACAATATTGAATGTACTGAACACTTTCAACATTAAATAATAAAAAAATAACAGCCATGTTTTATGTACATTTGTTTCTGAAAGCTATGTACAGTAAAACAAAATCGACTTTGTATTTCCAAACTCGGCCTACACGTACGCTCGGCGGTTTGAAGTACTGAAGCTGCAGAAAGCCATTGCGTCATGAAAAACAGGGTTTAGCAAACGCAGCGGGGGAGTAAATCAAAGATTGTAAACTGAGATGAACTCAGAGAGGAGAGATTAACTGGCAGCATGTTAGAGAGCATACTAATGAACATCGCTACAACTACAGCTAGAAAGCTTATTTATTATCCTCTAAGGTGGTTCCTGTGATTATCTTCAGGAGACCAGTGCATACACAGAACTTGCCTAATATTCACTGGATGTAAGCGTTAAGATTGGAGACACGAAAATTAAATTCAAGACTGTACTTTAGTTATCAGATTGCATTATGAAGAGGCTGAATGCTGCACTTCTCACTGAACACAGCAGCCAGAAATCATGCTTTCAAGAACAATATTTTGTCGTTTTTGTTGCTGGATGAGCAGAGATTCTTTTATTCTGGGGTTAAGCCATGCTACCTTTTTTTAAAACAGCTAAATAGAGTCCATGCAACTCACATAGAAAAAAAACAAACAGAAACAGAACAGGGAAAAGAACAATAGGAACCACGCCAAGTTCGCCACCCGTCCTATTTTCCGTGCCATAGTTTTCACAACCATGGACGCAGAACAATCATATGCTTCCTTTAATTTTTTCTTACATTAGATTGGCTGGAAATGCTTTTTTTCTCCTATGAAATCATGCTGCATGTGGCTCATAACTCCTGATATCACATCAAACATTGATAAGTCTTATTTGAAGTATAGGCATGACACAGCACGATACAGTCTGATCGACTTTTTCCCATTTAGGAGAGACTGAGCACAACCCAGGACAAAAAGTTGTAGCCATATTGCTCATTTCTTACACTTTCAAGCTCTTTTTTTAGTCAAAGAGGTAACCAGGACTTTTTTTTAGCCCACACGAATGAGCTCAAGATTTGAACCCAGTTTATCTTGTCTGCTGATTATGTATTCAAAGTGATGGAAACTCCATTTTTTGTGAGAAAACCCTTTTTTGAATGGCACGGCTGCTACAACATGTCACAGAACATGCACAGAACTGCTAAGCTGCAAACACGTGGACTGAAATCTTGTTGCATCAAGCGTTTTTACCCTTTTAGAAATGTAAATGAGACCAAAAATATCAAGTACACCCAGTGGTGCTGCAGTCTCATTTCTATAATATTCTGCAGGAGGTGAGCCGGTCTGTGGCGACACGTTTAAACTGGCGATTGGTGAACTCTCACACAGACTGAAAGCAACAGCAGATATATTGTATATACGCAGCAACAGGTGACGGCATGTCATGGATCCTCCCACACATGAGACAAATGTTGTATTTTCTAATCTGGGCATGAGGAGGCGTCTCTGATCTGTGAACGCCACATGTGCAGGTTTCACTTCCGACAGGTCCGGTGGGGTGTGTGTTTCTTGGGCACCTCGATGCGACATCGACTGCGGTCATCCAGCCAAGGCAGCTCGAAGTTCCTGGAGGAAAAAGAAATATTTACTATTGTTAGACACAAATAAGAAAATAGTATAACAGTCGAGGGTTTGGTTAGGATTCAGGTGGGCTGAGACTGACTGTGGAGCACTCTTGAGGTTTTGTGGCCCAACTTAAAGAAACAAAGAAACCCTCTTTGTTAATCCATCAGCATTCATCAGTGACTTAATTCACTGATGAACAAAGATCACTTGAGGATACATCTTTTGAAAGAAAACAGGCTGCTTAAACTTGTCTCCTTAACTCACCTTTAAAACAAATCTCAATTTTTTTAAAACCTCTCACTTGAAAAAAACCAAGACTATTTTAAGACACCGTAGTTTAAAAATCTTGTCTAAAACTTTTTAAGTATCAGCAGAAGAGACCTTTGGTAAGAGTGCTGGTGTTACAGCTGTCTAAAGGGTAAAGAGAGAAATTTTTGTCTTCATTTAGAGTAAAAGAAAAACCACTATGAAATCCAGTTAGTGCAGCCAGAGAATCTGGACTGACACGTTTCTGTAGCACTAAAACTGAAGCTCATTTTTAGACTGCCTCCAACTTTGGCTTGAGGCTTGTCTGAAGAACTTGGGTTTCATAAGGTCTCTCTCTCTTACTATCAAGACTTTTTGAAGACGTAATCTCAATGCACCTTGGACTCTGGCGAAGAGTCTGAGCAGGGTTTATGACATGGAGCATTAGAGCTTTTTGAATTTCATATATTTCACAATCCTGTTTCCGACAGAACTGTTACCAAAAGTCTGAACATAATCAAGTACCTCAGAATTTACTGAAGTTCATAATCACCGAAGTAAACCAGAAGATTAATCAGTGAATTCACAGATCAAGTTAGCTTCTGCTAAACGCAATGAAAAGCAAAAATTTTCGACTTACGATTGTGACATTTTGGGTAACGGCCGACCAAACGCAACCACAGGCAAGAAGGGAGTGATCACTATAGTTTCAACTGGAAAAACAAAAACAGAAAAGAAAGTTAAGTAAAATTCCTAAAAAGCACATTTAAAACATCCAGATAACTCTGCAGTTTGATTCATTCATGCTTCTGTACCATCTTCAGTGTCGGGGTAGAAGGATGAAAGCTCAGGCTCGGTCTCTGTGACCACTTTCTTCCTGTTCATGCGCTGCTGCAGACGCTGAAACATTCGCTGCTCTCTGATTCGCTGGATGTCCCATCTGAGGAAAAAGAAAAAGGAATATAATCAAAAACGTCAGAACAAGTGACGAATCGCAGCACCTACCTACACAGGACAACAGAGCAGCTGAGTCATGTGTTTGCGTTACTCGAGGACGAGATTAGTAACGGTTTGTCACCAACAAATTCCACAAAAGGCCGGGCGGTTCACCTCTCCACTCTTTTATCAGTCCTACGCTGAATTACCAAACATTACCAATACGATCAAATCTCCAGATTTTACAGTTGAGGTACAATCTGAAGACTGATAATTCCTTTTTGATATTTTCTGATTCGTAGTCAGATTGTTTTTGTTGTTAAAACTTTGTGTTGCTGCTTTTCTTGGCCAGGTCTCGTTTGGAAGAGAGCTCTCTGATCTCGATGGGACAAATATTGGCTGATTATAATTTTATTCATCATTTTCCTTTCAGTGTTTGAAGGATATCAAGGGGAACCTGTAAAAAAAAGGTACATTTTCACCTTCAAACCATTTCAGTTTAAATAAAACTCGGTCTGAGATCCAGAACTATAAGACATTTAAATAAGAATATGCTTCAGTGAGGGATTTATACCTTTTTCTCCTTTTCTCATCCAACTCCAGCTTCATGTGTCGTTTTAAAAACACACTGTCGTCCAGCGGCTTGAGGAAGACAAATCCACAATTGTTATTCATGAGTTAAATGCTGAATGCAGACTTGTGACCATTTCAGATCGGGGGGGTTGTGTCTCACCTCAGCAGGGTTACAGGAGTCTTCATCCTCCAGGGGCTCTATGTGATTTTCCCTCCAAGACGGGACTGGGATGTAGAAAGAAGGTATGAAAGGTAGTTACTCACTGTGAGTGTGTTCAGGACATTTGATGGATATAGTGATTAAAGATGGGATATAGGTTAGGCTTACAAACAATCAGCATATCATGTACTACATGAGGAGTCCACTCACTGGCCACCTCTTCCTCCTTTTTAGGGGAAGTCTCACGCAGAGGGGACAGAGGAGGTTGGTTCCAGCAACAGAGGTACATCTCTGTAGTAGACATGAAGGGCAGATCCTCCATCTGACAGTTGAGCTCAGGCTCCTCTTTGCACGGGAGCATAATGTCCCTTTCTGCCCCTGACCGCATGGGGACGGCGCTCTCTGGGGTTTCCTTACTGCGCAGCTCTCTTTGATTGGGAGAGCCCGGCTGAAGCTCGGGCTTCTGAGGGCTGAGCTTGGCACTTTTACCCCGGGATTTTTGGACTTTTGGGTCTCCAAAACAAGATTTCCTAAAAGTGCAAAAAGAAAAGAACTGAGCACAAAGGAAATAAAAGAAGAAACTTCAGCGAGGGATTCATTTTCTTTCTACTTCTCTTTATTTAATATCACAAGGCTAAGAAGCAAAGTCCACGACTGTCAGATGTTGTTATTTTACCTCTTTTGACCCTTGCCACCCCGACTAAAGGGGAGTGGAGTGGCCGGGTTGGGCTGTGGACTCTCCTCCACGTCCAGATCCCACATGTCCTCTTTGTCAGGGGTCCATGGCTCCAGGGGCTGGAAGAGGCGCTTGTCACGTGGAACATCCTTCCTTGTGAGCTGAAGGCGACGCTCCATGCGCTCAATACGTGCAAGAAGCTGCAGTAGAAGAAAAAACAACCAAAATAAATTGATGACTGCAAAGTCAGCGTATTTGACTCCAGAATGGTTTGAAAAAGTACTTCAACATACTGTCTCCTTGTCCGCCTTGAGCTCATCTATCTCCTTGTCTTTTGACTGCAGCTGTTGTTGCTGTTGCTCGATGAGGTCCAGTTGGAGGAGGAGGATTTGCCGGAGGCAGTTGGCCTGTGTGTGGGGATTAGCAGGGGTCTTCCTGATGTTCCTCCACTTGCCCTCAGATGAGAGTTCAATGGATGCGGTGCCAAGGACTCCAGGGACAACCCCCTTTACACTGTCATCAGCACCTCCATCCTTTGGGTTATTGTTCACAGCCATCTGAGGGTTATCCATAGTGTCAGCAGAGAGGGGTTTACCTTTCACTGGGGTTCCCTCACCCCCCATTTGTCTGACAGGGGACAAAATCCCCACAGGTTTATTGTCTCCTTGAACTCGTTCTGCAGCTGTAGCAGCGAGGGAAACTTTGCTTGTCATGTAATTCTGCTCTAAGTCTTTTGATTTGCTCGGGATCTCGCCCCCATGCACGTCGTGAGCATCTATAATGAAGTCTCGGGACTCCCTCTTGAGGCTTACAGGACTCACCCTGGCGGCCCTGAAATGCGTTTTGTTAAAGTCAATGATGTCGGTGTCCTGCTTTAACCCTGTGTTTGGGAACAGTGTGGCTCTCAGAGTCATGGCGATCACGAAGACTTCTCATCCTGCAGCGCCTCGGCGACGCATTTCAACCTCTGCAGCCTCCCATGAGGAGAAACCAGCCTCTGTCCTACAACACAGACAATAAAGACATTTATGTGATACTCTTGTCTGTTTAACTGCAGCTCAGTTGTCTTATGACTACTAGTACAAAATCTGCATCAGCTACTAATACTTGGACAAACCGGGAAAAAAACTATAAGACAGTCGTGAGTCTAAATCTTCCTAAAATTATCCTCCGAGTTTGAAATTCCAGCCCCGCTCCGTTAGCAGTGCAGTAATATTACACAGGCGCCGATTTTTACACGGAATATACATGTTTAAGAGAGGAATGAACTCACTGGTGCGTCATGGTGGACATTTTACAACGAGGGGTTCAAAGAAGGACTCGGGAGTGGCTGTGTAGGACACAGGCAGCAGCCATCTCCTCCATTTTGGTTCTCGCGAAATCATGAAAAACAATAACAGCTAGCTAGCATGCTAACGTTAGCCGACTGCTTTAACGCGGAAAATGCGGGTCCGGAGCGAAATTGGTTTACTACAGAGTCGACAGCGGAAATTTTGTCCTGAATTGTGTCTAAAAGCGTGCGTTTTTCAATTTCGCGCTTACCTCGACTATAATTCAAGCCCACCTGCGACTGCCTTCATGTTCCCTCCTCAAGACTTGTTTTAAAGCGCCGACTACTGCGCATGCGTAATTTAGTGGATGGCCATTTCTTGTGTTTTGAAGTTTTTGATCTAAAGGAGACCAACAGGGGGCGATAATGAGCGACAGTGCAGGGTTGAAAATAGTGTTAATCTTTTAATTCCATTTTTTTCTATATTCTTTTTGTTATTAGTTTATTTCTGAAAACATTAATTTTTTGTTTACTTTTTTGTTTGAGACTTAAGAATAGTTATCATTTTTACTTTCGTTTTTTAATATTCTTTTTGTTATTAGTTTATTTCTGAAAACATTATGTTTTTGCCTTTTCATTGTTTGAGCTGCAGTGTAGGTTTAAAATAGTTATATTTTTAATTTCCATTTTTTTTTCCTGTATTACTGCGTTTCTTTACTTTTCATTTGTTTGAGCCAAATTGCAGGGTTCAAAATAGTTATGATTTTTTTTTTTCAATTTTTTTTCTATATTCTTTTTTTTCTTAGTTTATTTCTGAAAACATTACATTTTTGTTTACTTTTCATTTGTTTGAGATAGAGTGCAGGGTCAGAAATAGTTTTTTCCCGATATTCTGTCGTTGTTGTTGCTCTCTTCCTTTTTTATAAATCTATTTAGCAGTTTTTCATTTACAAACATACCCCCCCCCCCCCCAAAAAAAAAAAAAAAAAAAAAAAAAAAGAAAACGTTATTTCAGTTTGTCTAACGAAAGAGAAGATAGTACATTCCAAAATCACTGCAGTAATGACGGGGCTGGTTTTGATTTCCAGTGTGTCTGCATGCAAGATTATTTTTTTTTCATAACCAAAACTGTCCTGTAATATTCGCCAAGACACCAGGGGGCAGTGTGAAATTTATACATGAGGTGTACCAAATAGGAAAAACATGTTTCAAAAACAGGAAGTAGGCCTTGTACTCAAAATGGAAACGGTTGTGCCAAAGTAGCAGAAAATTCCGATTTAACAACCCCTTCCTTCACCGAAAACTGCTCTTTTTACCGTCTTTGCCTTCAGAAATGATTGAAGATTGCTGATGTAAACGCTTAAACTGGAATACGTCCGTGTCGACTGAGGATTTTGGTGAAAAACTGAGGATTCACTCGGGGTTGGCGTTTTCCTCAGTTCTGTGCTGCCTTCACCAAAACTTAATCTTCTTCTTAATGTACTCCTTCGTAGTTTAAATTCTCCTTTTTAAAGTTTGCCTCTGTATTAATCACAATGAGGAGAGGTGTAGGAGCCGGAGCCATCGCCAAAAAGAAACTGGCAGAGGTGAGATTAAGAACAAAGTGTACTAAATGTTTTTATTCTTACAGTAACTTGTTTTTTAAGAAGAGTTTATTTCACGTATATCTTTTTTCAGGCCAAGTACAAGGAAAGAGGAAATGTTCTTGCAGAGGACCAGATTGTTCAGGTAAGTCCTTTTCTCAACAGAATTTTTCAACAGCAAATAGGGGAGAGTGGGGTAAGTTGAGCCACCCCCTGTTTCTTGGAAATGGTCAAAGAAATCGATCATGTGACCAAATATTTAGGAGATGGGCATCAATTCATGGAGTCTGTGAAGGTTAGAAGCACATGGGTGAAAGAGTTAGGCATTTATTTACAAAAAAAAAAAAAACATTTTTCACTCTTCAGATCATTTTAAATTTGTTTGAAACATCAATTGTGGTATCTATGAGCTACAACATGAGGTCAAAAACCTAACAAAAGTCCACCATTTTAGCTCAGAGGACTAATAAAGTCAGTATAGTATTTCTGGGATAATTGAGAAAGTAACGGAGTCTGATGAGAGATCAGAGTTTCAGATCAGATTGTTGAAATGTTTGACTTTTTCTTTTCTCAAAAATACAGCTGTGAATGTTCTGAATCACTTAAAGACATTCTCATGTTAGAATGAGCTTTTTACAAAACAGCTTTTTAGCAGTTATATGAAATAATAAAAAGTATTATTGTACCAGTTGAATAGTGTATAATAGATAAAAATACACATAAATGTGAAGAAGTGACTGTTATTTAGGGAGAGAGGAGGTGAGGGATAGTAAGGATACGGCTCAGTTGACCATAGGAGACCACTTTTTTTTTGGCATGCTATATTATCAAGACAGTTCTGTTTACGCTCATTCTGTGACTGACCAACATCCTGAAATACATGCAGATACACTAGTTAGAGACTAAATTATGATTGCCTCGATGTAGTGATCTGAAATATGAGAAAGGTGTCATCTTACCCCACTCTTCTCTAGAAAGAAACTGACAAAACTTTGAGTTCGATAGAAAAAAAAAGGGTCTGGGCTGCACTCTTTGTTACGTTATTTACTCTGTGGCCAAAACATTTGGTGCCAGCAAGGTTTTAAAAACTCTGTTTTAACAGGCAGAGACCTCAAACAGAACCAAACTCTCTTTCTATGAGCAGGTGGTCTTTCTGCATCTGTTCATAGAAACTAAAAAATGATTGACATTGACTTAACAATATCTTCTTTTTCTCTCAGATGTCCAAACAGTTGGAGACCTTCAAATCAAACTTGGAGGAGTTCGCCAGCAAACACAAACAAGAAATCCGAAAGAGCTCCCAGTTCAGGGTTCAGTTTCAGGAGATGTGCGCCACGATAGGAGTTGACCCTCTAGCCTGTGAGAAGCATTTCAGACTGGTATCTGCAAAAATGAACCGGAGGTCGTATGTTTGGAATTAGATTTTTTATTTTAACCACTATCATCTGATCTTTTTCACACAGCTGGCAAAGGTTTCTGGTCTGAGATGCTTGGTGTCGGTGATTTCTATTATGAGCTCGGCGTACAGATCATTGAGGTGTGCCTGGCTCTGAAACACAGAAATGGAGGTTTGTCAGTCTTTAGTAACTTAAAGGGATATTCTGGCGTAAAATTAATTTTGGGTCATACACACCGTAACACCAAGTTAGAGTGATGAATGTTGCAGACCAACTTTAGTGACGACAGCACGATAGCAATACAAAGAGCCACGCACTCAACCAAAACGCCACTCTGTAGCCACAAGAAGCAAGCGGTCGTCAACATTTATCTCTCATGGGGGTGTCTAAACTCGTTGTTACAGTGTGTTTGACCCTAAATTAATTGTGCGCTGGAATATCCCTTTACCTAAAAACTACAACAACAGTTTAATTAATAATGTTACCGACTTTTAAATGCTCATATGTTTGTTTGTTTGTTTTTTTTCCAGGGCTTATTACTCTGGATGAACTTCACCAGAGAGTGCTGAAGGGAAGAGGGAAATATGCCCAGGATGTGAGCCAGTATGTGCCTAATTTTATCACCCTTTACAGAACCGTTTACATCTTATTTGCATCGTTTAATGCTGATGTTTCAGTCCTGTCTGGTCTGATTGTTGATTATTTTCTTCTCAGAGATGACTTAGTGAGAGCCATAAAGAAACTGAAGGTGATGGGGAACGGCTTCGGGATGATTCCTGTTGGAGGTTCCTACTTGGTTCAGTCGGTCCCTGCAGAGCTCAACATGGATCACACTGTCGTTCTACAGCTGGCCGAGGTGAGATGCTGCCCTGTTAAGTTGATTAAACACTCAGAAAGACCTTCTGTAAGCATGGTTACCAAACAGGGAGATCATATTTGTGTCTTTATCTCGTGTTATCTTCAGAAAAAAGGTTACGTCACTGTGAGCGAGATCAAGGAGAGTCTGAAATGGGAGAAGGAACGGGCCTGTCATGTCCTGGTAAGTGAAAATCAGCTCGTTTCAAGTCAAAACAGGAAGATGCAAAATTGCAAAATCTGCTGCTAAATACTGGCTTCAATAATCTGAAACGGCCCAGTCTGACAGTCAAATGTCAGAAAACATGTTTGAGAAAGATTTTAGGTGTTTTTTTGGATTTATAGTTTGTCTTTGTCACATTTGTTCAGATAGAGGAGGCAAGTTCTGCAGTCTGTCAGTAGGAGGAGCTCTAGCTCTTCTGGCTCCACCCTTCAAAACAGACGAGTCCGTCTTTTCTTGCATTTTCATTCTCTCTCCCTCTCTCTCTCTCTCTCTCTCTCTCTCTCTCTCTCTCTCTCTCTCTCTCTCTCTAGGATCACCTGCTAAAAGAAGGCCTGGCCTGGTTGGACTCTCAGGCGGCTGGAGAGGCTCAGTACTGGCTGCCCGCTCTCTTCTCTGAGCTCACCTCCCGTGACGTCACACCCGAGGAGGCCAATCAGATGACTCCTTAAGAGATGCCGACAGCTTTAAAGACTTGTTGGTAAACAAAAGGTGCCTGGTGGTGACGTCTCATATGATAGAGTTGGCTGGTTCACTGGGGCTTGAAGGGTTCGGGTGAATCTCCTCTGAGATCATTTTCTGGACACACGGAGGGGAAACTTTCCACATCTGCTCCTCGGTGACATTTATGCCACGAGTCACTGAGAGCAGCTTGATTTTCACAACACTGCAGATGAATCCAGTCTGCCTGGTATCACGGTTTGTGGGTGTTTATGGATAACTCTTAATGTACAGATGACGAAGATGTTAAAATTTTCTTGTATGAATAATAAATTTTAAAGCTACTCTGAGGAGTTTTTTTCAACTGGTTATGAAAAAATGACTAACACATTTCAGATTCAGATTTTTTTCTGCAAAATCAATGAGGCTGATTATTAATGGTTATCTTTAATATCTGATGCTGTTGTCTGGGGGTAGATGTCAGATGAAGTGGTTAACTTTTAAAAAATACTTGCTATGGCAAACAATCTCAGCGGGTGATAGTTGGACTGTCAAAAGAAAGCAGGATTATACTTTTTCTTAAAAAACAAATCAAACCTCTACATTCACACAGAGAGGACAAAACCTGCAGGTTACAGTAGGTACAGCTCTGTCCACAGAGGAACAGCAGAGCCAACATAGAGAGTTCCTCTCAGGAGTTTAGCATTAACCAGCAGCACAGACATCATTGCTTTAGCTCCACTCTCACTAGATTTATGTGTTTGTCTGACAAGGACAAATGCACAAGACATTGTTTCATACTATATAAAAGGTAGATGCCATGCACAGATTTTCAGCTGTGACTAACTTGCAATTTGAAACCTGGTTAGGCTTTAATAAATGAATGTAGAAATTGCAGACTGTTGCAGACCGATTCTGAGGTCAACAATAACGACACATGGCCATCATCAGTTCCTGCATGAGGCAGCTACTCTATACAGCGGTAATTAAAAACAGACAAGAACTGAATTTATTCTTCAAAATGTTGAGATTTATTGTTAATTGTGATACAACATACATGTAAAAGTTGACAGCATCCACCCACAAAGTCAACAAACTTTAATATGAGGTGTTCCCGCACAGAAGAGACTCGACCTGCTATATTTCACCAGTTTAAGGGCTTCTTTGAACCAGCAAGATTATTAATGCTATTACACTGAATTTTAATTGTTAGTAGACATGGTGTCTTTGGTTACTTGATGAACAATTATATACACAGTAAAACTAGAGGAAAATCAGGTAAATTATCACTTAGATTGTCATTACTTGGTTTGCCTACAGGGGCTAAGAAATTTAACGTTAAAGTAACATAATATATATCAAATTAGGATTATTATATCCATCACAATGTTTGACTTCATTCATGACCATACACCAAACTCCCAGCTGTTCATTTTCCAAAGCATACCAAAGTTTTTAAGAGGTCCTTGTTTTAAACTAAAGAGCAAAGACCTTTAAAATGAAATAAAATGGTCTTATTTCTGCTAGTCTTAAAAGTGAATATCATGTTGTTTTTATTTAATTAGTCCAATAAATGTTTTTACAAAGGCTGGGTAAGATCAATGCGCTTTAACACTGACTGAAATTTGTCCAAAATATCCAACCAGAAGTTGACATTCAGACGATCTCAGTTTCCTTCTCTAGTTTGTGATTTCAGCTCAGGATAAGCCAGGAGGGAAACAGGTGTTCAGACTTTTGAGTCTTTTTTTCTGTTTTTTAGCAGGGGTGTGTCCAAAATGTTATGATTCAGGGGTTAATGACTCAGAGAGGGGTCGTTGAGAGTGTAAAGTTAATCACACCCAACTTTTTGAAGAGTGGTGAGGCACATGTCTTCTTAATTAAACTCTTTATGGACTGAAAAAAAAGATACTTGACACCAAGAAAAGAAAATGTGCTGCATTTAAGACAAAGAAATCTGCATCCTACCTCTTAACACATCCTAAATCGTCACTCAGCTCACAGCCAATCATAGTTGAGGATTCAGAGAAGTGCTAAAGGTGGCCAGTCAGATTCCTAAAGGAGGGCAGAGCAACTCCTCCAAACATTAGTGATTTTGTAAATATAACTTTTTATAGTTTTGGTGGTTTATTCTCAACAGTTTTTACTGACCATCCTCTAAAGTTTGTACTCAAATCAGTCTCCATTGTTCCACAGCTTTGACTTTCACTTTGTCAGGAAGGAAAGAGGATGTCGGATGTGCGGGGCTGTTATTTGTCCTCATGACCCGTCAGACACACCCAGTGCGTTTACAAAATTCTGGACGTTAAACTGTGTGATGATCTGCACTCCTCAAGTGTCTGATTTGATTAAGATTGTAATAAAAAAGGTTGTTATAGTGCCAGAATACAGAGGAAAGGGTTTCACTTGACTTTTCTCTGGGTGCAACCATCCAAAATCAATCAATCTGAAATTCGCTGACATGTAAACTCAGCAGCCAGTTTTTAGACACTGAGAACTTTGGCCTTTTTTGCTCTTTGCCTTTCAGAGCAGAAACTCTAAAGGTCTCTGATTGGGTACAAACACTTCTGCCAACTCTAAATTTGACCCCTTGGTGCACTGGGACTTTGCCGGCATACCAGGACTTCCTCCCCGATGCTATTAACCCTTTTCTCTCCTCTCTGTATTATAGCCGTTCATAGTAGCGCCTAAAATACGTTACCAGCGGCGCCTTATGTGATGCTTTTCTGGGCTTAAAATGAGGCTTACTCGTCTCAAATGTTGGATAAATGAGGATAATGATTGGATAGGAGCAGGGTGATGCAGACGTCATTTGTTTTTTTATAAAATAGATGTATGTTGTACAAATCGCCTTTACTTTTTGGTATATTTTAACGCCAGACGAGTGAAAAAAAAGGGGGGAGTACTTTCAGCTGTGAGTCGAAGAATGTAAACAAGTCAAATGAGAGCCATCCTAGTTATGTGGATATCTAAAACAAACCCCGTTCACTGACATGACAACATAAGACCAAAATAAACCGGGACATCATGTTCACGGTGATGGATTGCATAACTCTGGATGGTTTCAGGTCTCTGACAGCTGATTCGTCCCGCACAACGGACCCATTACCGACTCTAAGGTGAGAAATCAACAAAACTTCAGTATGCTTTGGGAAACGTTTACAAGTTTGTGTGTACGGTGGTTACACACCTGACCACCCAGCATGTAAGTCAATATTCTCCTTCTGACATATACATGATACCCTGCAGGCTGTATTTAACCCGGTGTTTTCCTCACAGCTCGTGACCGTAGACGTGATCCTCAAACACAGACTGCTCCATGTTGTCACAGATCATCGTGCAGAACGGACAAACTCGGTGACTCTGCTCGTGCTGCTCCAGTTCCTCTTGGGTTATTCCAGGGAAGCTTTCCTGGCAGTGTCGACACACCAGCGCCTGCCGCGACGCAGAAATAGAGAGAGAGAGAGAGAGAGAGAACATTAGAGGAGGTAACAGAAGACGGGCTGGATTATGTTTTAAGTCCGCTGCGAAAAATAAACTGTAAACAGACGAAGCACTTTCAGAACATGTGCGAGAGAGAGAGAGAGAGACAGAGAGAGAGAGAGAGAGAGAGAGAGAGAGACAGGATTTAGGGGTTTACACCTGGGCCTGAGTTTACATTTTCAATAACAGTTTATTCCCAGAGTCAGGAACTTGTCACTCTGATTGAGGAGAATTGAATGTTTTCCTGGATGAGATTTGGCTCACTCCAGGACACAGGGATGTATTAGCAGCAGATCATTCTGGCAAAAACACCAAATTAAGATTTTCATCTATCTTATTTTAAACACCTGGGACACTTTAAAATGAGCGATTTCTTTGCTGCACTTTCCCCAGACTTACAAAAAAACAGCTTTCTGTAGGATTGTATAATTGCCAAAACAAACGACATTATCACAAAGCATATTCTAATTTAGGAGAAATATAAATCTGTTTGCAGACACGTGTTCCTGGAAGATTTGAGTAAATTTCCCCCTGACCCTGAAATTGTTCAAAGTTCCTAATTCACTCGTAACAGTATGAAGTTTTTCCTGTCAGATCGTAGGAAGTTTCAGGTTTACGTGGGATGCTGTGTTTATCGTTACATCTATTTTTATATGTTTATGAATGTCAATGAACTCTTTAAGACTATATATAGATTAATTTGACAACAGTCCTGGACTAACTCTGCCCACTCTGGTTTGACTCACCTCTTCCTCTGGATCTGCAACGCACCCTGCAAGACAAGAGGACACGGGTTAGCGTGAAACGGCACAAACATTCCTCATTAGTTTATTTAAAAGCTGCAGCTGATGGTTTCATTCATTTACATAACTCCTGAGACGGTTTTTTAGAAATGACTCATTTATTTACAGACACGAGGAATGACCGTGTGATGTGGATTCAGCTCCCAATCACATGATATGTCATCTAAAGAGGTAAGGATGTATTAAGGCAACATGTCAAACACTTTAATTTCACGATAGCAGTCCTACTGATAAAGAATTTTAGTAAAGTTTGAGGTTCTAACTGTCTGAATCATAATTTTCCCCCAAATGAATATTTAAACTCGTTTGTCGCTGCAGAGATCCAAGTATTTTGTCAGTTTGAACAGATTTCTCAAACATGAATCCCTCGTTTGCTTGTGTGACTCTCTCACCGATGCTCTCGTACTGCGGCTCCTCTTGCTCAGGGATCTCCAGCTGTTGCCTTTCAGGTGTGGCTGAGGCAGTGCGTGGCGGCGGTGTGGGGTCGGGCTGACTGTGTGTTTGGTCAGCGGGCGAAGCTGCTTGGAGGTCGGCGTTGAGTCTGCGCAGCCCCTCGATGTCTCTGTTGAGAGTCTGACAGAAATAAAAATAAATAAAAGTGTCTGAACTCAAAGAGAGACTTTCTGAACGGAGAGGTTGTTCATTGATGTACCTCGTTTTCTCTGGCCAGCCACTCTTTCTCCTGTCTCTCCAGCCTGATCATGTCTTCTTTCTCCTCGATGATGGTGTCTCTCTCTGCGATCAGCTCGTTCATCTCTTTCAGATTCAGCTGGAAAATAAAGCCACAGTTTTCACAACCTGATTTATCCACCTTACACACAAAGGTAAGGTTATCTGAATATTATGTTTTGGTTCCTGGACTTTACCTCATGTTTGCCGGTTCTCTGCTCCGCCTCTTCACGTAAACACACCGCTTTCATCAGCTGTTCTTTGATGTCCCTCAGCTCACGGTCCAGAAACTCGGCTTGTCTCTTTGCAGCTTTGGACTCTTCCTTCTCAACCACCAGCTTCACCTGAGCGTCCTGGAACTTCTCAGCAAGAGCCTGATACTCCATCTCAAAGAAGACAAAGAATCACAGAGTAAGTACAGCGGAGAAAAAATAAATTTCACCCCTTTTTGAGAATTGAAATAAAGTATTTTTCTACCCTCAGGTCGTCATCCGGACAGCTCATGGCCTCCAGGTGTGAAATTTTCATGGTTAACTCCTCGTTCGCTCTCTTCAGGTCGTCCATGTCGCGTAAGGCGGTCTGCAGTCTCAGCAGCTCCACAGAGAGGCGTCCCTTCTCTGTCTCAGCGCTCTGAAGATCCACCTGCACAGGTAAGACACACGTGCTGAGGACCTGTATTGTTTGGTTTGTCATTTATTAACACAAGTTTCTACTTAAAAAAAAAAAAGAATGAAGATTAAATCAAGTCAATCGAAATGATGTGTGCGTTAGTTTTTGTTTTTTTTAACTTTATAATTGATAAAATAGTCTTTAATCAAAGTCCTTTCTGCGGTTTTCTGGGGTAACCAAGAACATTTCTGAAACAGGACACGAGTTTTTAGCGACCCTGCCACCCACCTCTCCATAATATTCTTATTTCTGATCAGGCAGATTTTACACCCGGTCTCATGATGGCACATGGAGCAGATTATGAAATCTCTACTGTGAGGTTATGACTTAAGGAAAGCTGGTGACTGGAGCTTTCTGATTTCAAAAACAAAGACTTGATCTGAAATACCACCACCACCCCAGTGTAGCTCAATACATGACAAAACCAGAGTTAAATAGCAGTGAGGTCTTCACATCTCTGCAGCTTCACACAGCAGAAAAGTTTTACCTGAAGGAGTTGGACGCTGTCTTTCATTTTTAGCAGCTCTCTGTCTTGTTCTCTGAGTTTGGAGTTGAGCCTTAAATTCAGAAAATCAGCTCTTAGTATTCAGGGAAACTTTCAACATCAACATGATTAAAAAGGAAGAACTGACTCACGTTTTGACCTCTGTACTCTGAGATTCGACCGTCCCTCTCAGCTCCTCTCGCTCGGCTTTCAGCTGGTTGATCTTCATCACAGCGCGGTCGTATTTCTGAAAAAGAAAAACCCAAAAAATTGTTTGTCCTCCAAGCTTTTAAAGGTTTTTAGACTTTTTTAAATAGGATAAAAGATCTTAAACTTACTCAAAACAAGATTGATTTACCAGATCTACTACAATTTCTTATCCAGATATTAAGATTTGAACCAATCAGATAGCTTTAATTTAATTAATCAACATTCAACAGGACCCTGATGTTTCCTTGGAGAAAATTCGACACAGTCCTGATTCCCAGTAAGAATTTTTCTTCGTTTCTTCAAAATATTTTTAAAAATGTCATAAAACACTCAAAAAGAGAGGTCCAGTTGTTTTTCTGTTCTGTGGATTTTCTGCAAACACTTTTCCCAAACAGTGAAACTTATCTCACCTCTTTCTGTTTCGTTTCGTCCTCTAATCTCTGACTTTGACTCCGCTCGTCCTCTTGCGTCTGTTTTGTCTTCAGGGTCACGATCTCCTCCTGAATGAAACACCAGTGTTTAAGTTTTACACTGAAACAGATTTTTAGATTTCACACGTAGACTGAAAACAAACCTTCAGCTGCTCCGTTTCTTTCTGCTGCTGCTGCAGGATGCTGTTCAGGTTTTCATTCTGCTCCTTCACTTGATCCAGCTCTCTGACCAGCCGACTGTTTTCCTTCTCTTTCTCTTCGTTCTCCTCCTGTGAATAAATCACTCCAGTTAAAAATCTGATTAAATGGTCATCTATTGTTCTGTCAGCAAAACTAATGAGTTTTTAAAATAAATGAGATTAGAAACCTTTAATTTGGCAGCGTCTTGCTGTTCCTGCTGGAGAGCGTTTTTGAAGGTTTCCTTCTCTGCCATGATCTGATCCAGCTCTCTCTGCAGTTCAGCTTTCTCTCGTACGCTCTGATCAACCTGCTCCTGAGTTCAAAAACACACGTAAAGTCAATGAAACCTCTTATTTACTTTTGTCTTCTGACTTCGATATAAAAAGAAATAAATCAGTAACCAGAGTTAGAGTTCAAAAACACGGTTTTAAGATGACACGGTCTACTTTAGTTATTTATTACCATCGTACAGACGGTCTATATCTGTGATTCACATCTGATACCTGTGTTGTAATAACCAGGAGGTCATCATCCGGGCTGCTCTCCAGGCTCGTCTCCACCGGGTTTCTGAAACAGAACGGCGTGCTGGCTCCTCGCACTTGGCCACTGCTGTCCACGTAACAGAACTGATAGAACTCGATCTCATCTTTGGGCAGGTAGTAATCTGACAAAACGAGAGACACGCACCTTTAATTCACCTTTCCGACTATCACTGTGCTTTTGATACGTTGCCAAATTGTTGGATTTTTGGTATTGACTGAAATGGTCACTGACAGTCCTGTAACTCTGTCTTCAGGGTGAAAATAAGAACTAAAAAGAGACATCTAAATAACGTGACTGTTTTTTACTCTTTTTATCAGTAGGTTGGGTCATATGGTCCAGACACCAGACACTTAGTTATTATTTAGATAAATAGATAGATAGATAGATAGATAGATAGATAGATTTTCACTTACATCTATTAATTCTTTCGTCTGTAAAATGTGCAAATCTTTTAAATTAAATTAAACTTCATTATAAAATATTAGCGATCAATATTAAAGCTCCTGTGAGGAGTTTTTTGACCTTTATGAAAAAGGGATTTTATTCATGATGAACAAAAACAAACAAGACTGAAGATTCTTATGTTGTAATTTTTAATCCCTGAAACTGGTTCAAGCGGGGCGGTGTCAGCCATAACAGCCTGTTGTTTACACTAACTCTCAGTTCCTCATTCATCCAGGCATTTATTACACTGTCAAGTTTTCACAAAACAACCTTTAAGTTCAGAAATATATACATTTTTGAACAAATAGCTGCTTTAAAAACCTCTCTAGCTGCTTTAATTCCTCTTTGAGCAGTTTAATAACAATAAATCTAAAATATCTCATCACTAAAAAATACAAAAACCTTACAGTAAATTAAAATAAAGAGCTGATTAGCTTGCCATTATCTAATTACTGTGAAACAACTGGATACATTGACTGTATGTGAAAGCGAAACTAGAGGCTGAGCTGATGTATTGATAAACCCCTACAACCTAGTCTAACTAATAAAAAATAAAGTGTAAATAAAATGTCCTTATCTCTTTATCTATAAGAAACTATAATTAATGACCCTGTGTTGGACACGTCAGCTTTGTGGACAACAGTATCTAACTTTAGGATCAGACTGGCCCAGATATGAAGGCCCTGAGAGTCTGTGTCAACAACACTGAGCCAGAGGATCAGACTTACGTAACGTCAGCTCATGAAAACAGATTGAAGAGTCAGCGGTGTAAAGTAAAGCTTCGACTGTTTACACATCAGACCCAGAGTTTTCAGAAGCCCCTGACAGGACGTGTACGTAACAAATATGACCAAACTTCACCCTGTACAAAAGTGAAACTGGGTTTCTTACCCTTAAAAATAGCCTGCCGTGTCACTGACTGCTGGCCTACCACATCCAAGCACGGCTCCACCCACACAAAGGTATGATAGTCTTTTGTTGTGCTCCACCCCACCTGTAAAAGAATTCAGAGATAAACATGAGGAGTTGACCAGTCTTGGGTTTTCAGTGTTACAGTATTAACTATGATTCCTCTCCAGTGTTTATTCAGGTCATTGGATGAGTGAAAACTGACCGAGTAGCACATTTTTTATTCACTCTATTTTCTCAGTCATAAGTAAAATAAAACTGCATGACTCATAATTAGTCATAACAGTATAAGAAGTTGTTTAATGAGACTCTAAAAGGCTCATTTACCTTAAAAACCCCCACCCAGTCCCTAGGATTTGGCTGTAAGGTCTCAGTGAGGGTGTAGCCGCAGGTGATGGAGGTTGCTGGTGGGTATGACTTAGGGATGTCCGTGAACACCACCTGGGAAAAGCTGCGTGCTGCAGGGTCAGCTGCCTCTTTAGGGATCTCCATGCTGAGTAAATATGATAAGACTGATGAGGAAACAACATTTCATGAGTCTGACTGATGACAGCAGGTGCGACAAGCTGATCTGTGTCCTCATACCGAGCAGAAGCGCTGTGGTCTATGATTAATACTTCCTGATCATGTTTTTATGTTATCGCGCACTTCAAATCTGGATTTTCACCTCCTCCCAAACTGAATATATATCCACACCTGAGTTAAAGACGCTGTTATAGCACTATAAAAGTTAAAAACAAATATGATAATGATTCCCTTTGCTGAGAAATGACTGAAAATCTGTTGTTGATGGTTTTATTTTCAGGTGGCTTTGCGAATAACAATCATAAAGAAACCGAAAGTTAGAAGAGGTCAAGATAACACCCGATAAGACTTTAAAAGTTATTCTTCTGCACAAATGACTTATTTTAACATTGACTTTGTTGATAAAGCTTTAAAAAAAGATGATAAAGTTGGGATTAAACAGTAAACTCACATGTTTGCGGTCACTTGACGCAGCAGCACCGATCGGCCGTCAGCTCCACTTACTGGAATCAGGCGCTGTGCTGATGCGTTCAGGTGCAGCTCGGATATTAGTACTGCCGAGAGTTTCAATACGACACAGCACTTCCGGCTCATGAAGTCCGACTGAAAAAGATTAAGTTTTCAGAAACTTTTTAAAAATATCGTAAAAATCTGTAAAGCAGACTATTTAAGCCTTTTCGAAACTTGAAGACTTTTAGGTAATGTGAAATTATTTGTAAATATTTTTCCCATTTGTTTTGGTCTTTGAAAATATTTTTTGTGATCTGCGAAATGTTTGTTTAATGATAGAAACTATTTTATAATTTTATTTTCGAGGTATTCTTGCATTTCATACGATTTTTTAATGTTTTTTTAGAATTTCTCTCAAACTTTATGAGATATTTGTGTGTTCAGTGTAATAATGTTTGTATTTTATTCAGTGACTTTGAATCAAAAATGTTTTTGCATTTGACCTAGAAGGCTACCGTAGCTGACATATTTTGAATAACCATTTGTTATAATTATAGACTGTATATAGAATAGTATATACAGTATAATACTATACATAATAGTAAAGTATATATATATATATGTACTGTTAGTATATATATATGTATATGTATTTATATGTATATATAGTATATAATAGTATATATTAGTATTTGTATATATAGTATATAATAGTATATATTAATATATACAGTCTATGGTTATAATTTATTGACCTAGTATAAACTCTAAAAACATTTTTTATTTATCATAAAATTCTGTTATTCGTTTCTATAGCCAACAACAGACAAAAATAGTAAAAAAAAACGTAAATCTTGATAAAGTCAAAAATATGATCAAAGCAGGTGAAAACAACTTTTGCAGTTCTAAACGTAAAAAGTGATAATGTCAACAAACAGTGTAAGGTCATGACAAAAAAGCTTACATTAGTCTCTACATGAGCTACTAAATGAAAATAAAATCAGTTGTTTGTAAACTATATGTCATCTATATATCACTGTAGAAATAGGATTTATTTAAGTCAACTCAAAATCCACAAACACAACTGCTCATAACTTAATCGTTAATCAGTTGCAAGTGCGCTCAATTTAAAAGAACGAGTGTCTTATTTCCGATTTTACTTGAAGGAGTCGGCTCTTACATTGTTCTTAAAGAATTCGGCTGCATCATGGGAAATGTAGGCCTCATTTAACAACTCTACTTTCTCTTTTCTGCCGTGTGAAATATTAACACAAGAGGGAGCCACACTCTTCACGTTATTTCTCCCTGTAAATATGTGAAATTTGAACTTTAATGTTTTAGTAAAGGGCTCTTTTTAGATGAAATCAAACGGGAGAAGCTTCAGTTCTCATCCCTGTTAACAATTCAAACGGTATAACTTGAATATTAAAGAGTTCGAATAATACTCTTATATATCAGGCTACGTACAACACCTAAAATGTATGTATTTAATGTATTTATACTAAAACAAAAACTTATAAAAATGTATGATTAATTACCTTTCTAAAATGAGGAGGAAAACTCACGTAAAATGTGTCATTTCTCCTTTTCAGATTCGATGAGACAACCGTAATTTTTTTTTTACAGCAGGTGCACCTGTAGTTCATCCTGTGACATCCTCTATTACCGTTGGGCCAAGGACCAATCAGACAACAGAACTCTCACACTGCTCGCTTTTGATTGGCTCGTTGTTCAATAGGGCCGTTCCACTGAAGGGGCACGCGCGTGTGTAACTCGAGTTCATTCATGTTTACATTTGTAAGGTAACGTCTTTTTCGTCCTTTCAAGACCCGAAAACTCACCGGAAACAACCAAAAATTGAGGAAAAGGAGCGTATTATTCGTATTTCTGGTCCGGTACAAAGAATGGAAAGTATTCCTAGAGGTAAAGACATGTTAAAGGGGGTTTCCGTCGTAAAAAAGTGGTCAACGTTTCTCGCGAGCCGTGGGGAAGTCAGCATTACGTTACCATAGAAACAGCACTGTACATATAGCATATATGCTAGCTTAAAGTCACGCGTTAGCAGCGAAGTTAAGCTTGTTTTCTTGTTAAAATGTGAGATATTTGACAAACACAAACGTTCAGACAGGGTCGCTACTTTTAAAGTGTAAATTATTGATTCTTTGGGGTAAAATACGGACAAGTTTCCTCTTCATGGAGGCTCCTGATCTCGATGGGGAGGGAGGGTATTTAGCTGAACCGCTGTATTAACTTGATTAATGTATACAAGATTAGTCTTATAAGATATAGAAGTACTTGAAAGACTACAGCTGCAAAGTAGTAGTTGTAAAGTTAAGTTAGCAAGAGATGTAATCAGCTGGTATACGTTTTAATAATGGTTTGTTTGTATGTGTTCAACTTTTTAGCAGAAATGTAGTCGTTATCCATGGATGTTGGGCAGGTAGGTTTCACTATCTAAGAACTTATACTATATTATATCACTTATATAATATCTTCTAATAGTCTTAAGAGACTGTTGATGTTTTTAAGAAGAGGCTCAAGACTCTCCCTTTTAACCAGGCTTTTTACTAACTGCCTTTTTCTATTTCTCTTATAGCAAATGTTCACTTTAATCAAAGTTCTTAATGTTTCTTTTATGTAATCTTATTAATTATCTCTGTTCTTAGTCTTTTTTTTTTAACTCCCTCCTTAGAGGTTTTTACTCCTTTTACCCTTTTTATATGGTAAAGAGTTCTTTTACTCTTTCTTTTTACCATTTTTATCTTTTATTTCCAGTGTTTCCTAAAGTTCGCTCTTTCCTCACGCAACGTCTCGGTGTCAGGCCATGTCTCTTTAACAACATATCTTAAATTCTCACCCTGTGTGTGCTTGTGTGTGACTGCTTGTGTGTGTCTGTGTGTGAGTCCATGGGTGGGTGGGTGGGAGGGTTGGGTTTTATTGTTGTTTAATTGTTGATTTTAGCCTCTATGAGGCACTTTGAGCTACATTTTTATCATACCATATATCTACATTTTATCTTACCATAAAAATAAAGTTGAATTTGAATTTAATTTTGGTAAAGGAAAAAAATAATTGCTGTTGCCGTTAAAGCTGATACCAGGTCAACTTAGGTTCTGCTACATCTTTCTTTTCTGGTTTTGTTGATGAGTTTTCAGGCGTAATAATTTCGTCTTAGTTAACAAGAAAAGTTAGAAGTCGAGGAGCTGCCTTAGTTTTTAAATAATAAATTTCTGATTACATTGAGCAGAGTTTGGAATTGCTACCAAATAATTTAAAAGAATTGCACATCCAAGTTTGTTCTGAGACTTAACTTATCCACAAAACTTTTTTGATAACATACCTGGGACTTTTTGTTTCCTCTTATTGATAAAAGAATGAGTACATTATCATTTCCTATCTACATTTAATGTCTCCATAAAAATACACCACTGTGACATTAAATTATAATTACATTGCTCTGTAATTGTATGAGAGCTCGTGTTGCTCGTGTAACTCTCTCTTTTACAGGCACACAAAGGGTTTGCACAAACCTACAGTCATAATGTTTAATAATTGAATTAGTAACTGATATCAAAGCTGGGAGATTAGTAAGTGATCTCTCAAGCATTGTAAGGACAACAACAGGGACATAAGTGAGTGTGGAAGAGAGTACGGTGTTAACCACTGAATAATTGATGTAGATTATGTTGATTAGTTATTGCTCAACCTGTTATATTCAGTCTTTGTTCATCATACTGATAACTGTGTGTTTTGACATCCGGGCGACGTGTTTGTCTGCTACCTGTCTCACCAGCAATCCCCCTCCTACCAGAGCTCCATTTTTAATGTCCGCAGTGGAAAGCTCAGCTCCAATTGGGGATTCTCCATTTCATCTTGGCTCAGACGATAGATGTCCAGCCCGTTCACTTACACCACAAAACGCTTTTCAGCACAGATTTAAATTTAACAACTCTGGGTGTTGAAAAACACTTCTCCTATTTCAGCTAACAAATATCAGGGATTATCCCTCTCTGCTCGCTCCCCGCTGAGGTCCACCACTCATTTTCTCTCCATCATGTCAGGAGGGATCAGGTGTTTTGTCCCCTCACCTTCTAATTGGTCACCAGATCCACTGCTGGGCTTGTTGCTTGAATGTGTGTAAGTCAATCTGAACTAGGCCATTCTGGTGCTGATACAAATCTACTCTCTTTTTTTTTTTACAGGCAGACAGTGCTGGAGGACAAGATGTGTCTTACTGGTTTGTGTGCTCAGGAGTGTGATAGTGTCATAAAGGGCTCCTGAGACCAAGATTGGTGTCGAGGCGACAAAGGAGTGATTGACGAGGTCAGCAGCATTGTTGCCACGGATGTGGGCTTAACAGCAGGTGAGTAAAAGCAACTAATCAAAGAAGACTTCAAACTTCGCTAACAATACTTTTCCCTGGTCGTTGTAATGGTAGATGTGCTGTTGTAAAAATATGTTCCTTTAATTTTTTAAGTGTATTTTTGTGCACATACTGTATGTAAACACGTGAAGACAGATCAGAAGTGAAAGAAAGCTGAATCAACGCTAAATATGATCATTTTCATTAATGTGTCAGTCTGAATTGATTCTAGACAAGTTTATTTAATGTGATTTGACTGAAACAAGAATGACTTTCAGTAGAGTTTTGGAGTCTGTTAATGGTGGTCACCATATTGGAAATGCTGACTCAGCGTTACTTTTGGTTAACCCAGTAAGAGACAAAGAGGTGAAGTTAAGGTCAAGGTTCCTACGCAAGTATGGAAGTAATTAGATCAATTTCCAGGTCTTAAAAAGTATGGTGAATGAAAAATAATGTATGGAAAAATATTTATGTTTCAAGACTTTTACCACAGTCATAAAATTCTGTTTTCTAAAATTGCAAAGTAGGTATTTCAAAAAATTATTCGAGTAAGTAGGGTATGGAAAAGTATGGAAATTCGGATTGTGTAGCAACCCTGTAGGTGGACCCTTCCCACTGAGCTTTTTTTGGTCTAAAAGAGGTCGAATAGACGTCTAAATGTAGCCGAGACGACTGGTCTAAAATCAGGCCACCGCAGGTCTAAAACTGAAAGTTTAGACTAGCCGGCTAACAGAGGTCTAACTGTATATTGCTTTACAGCTATCATAATTATTTTGGTTAAATACTTGGAGATCAGGTATGCAACTCACAGTCGCTTTTTTAAATAAATAGTGATCGACTAATGGGTTAAAGTGCAATGTCTAAATTTTGTCTAAAAATATACAGAATCTAGACGGTTGAAATTAGGTCTAACAAAATACTAGATGTCGACGTAAAAAAAAATCATTTCTTGCACAGTGTTTAAAAATAGAGAAAAGACCTGTTCAGTAAAATTGACTGTAAATACGTTCATTTTTACTGTAAAGATGGGCTGCTTGAACAGGTGTGTACATAACCTTTGGTGCTTTTGCAGCCAGCCTCAAGTAGAAACTGCAGTTTTTAGCACTTCTGCATTGGCTTCGATCTAGACTTGAGGTTTTGCCTTGTTTGCACTCACCACTCTGGATAAGAACACCTTTATGCGCAGGTGTATGGTGTCCTTCAGCTGAAAAATAACCTCTTTGTTTGTTTGGCTCTGCAGTTTATTTTAAAGCAGATGAGAGAACACTCGGCGCCAGCTCTACGTGCCAAGATGTAGTCTGAATTTAAAATGCGATGTCATGACACTGAGCAATGAACAAAGTCTTTTACACTGAGTCCAGTAATTGTTCGCTGAGGACGGGTCACACACAGGTATTATTCACATACCTATTGTTGGTGCTGCACGCCGAGGGAGAACCACAAAGAAATCCTTTACAGAGCGGTAACTGTATCCGAGCTGAGGTCAGCGGGGCTTCTCAGCCTGATGTAAAGCTCACAGTTCAGGGTCAGGATTATCCTCATCGTTGGATCAGAATACTGTTACCGAGCACCGTAACCTCCCACAGGCTAGCCGGGGTGTCCCTCCTTACCGCCACCACCACCAGCCTCCCGAGCGTTCTGTCACGATCGCACTTAACTTGAACTCACCTTGACCCCGCAAGACACCAGATAGGAGGTAAAGGTGAACAGCTGAGACGCTGCTGTGAGGATGTGCTCAGGTCAGGGTGCAGACGGACACAAACAGGAGAAGAAGTGGGACTAAGCACATTTACATTCTTCCTTATTAATGAGAGTGCACTTTGCTCAAGATAAAACGTCTCAGTCTCTCCAGAGTAGTTATGATAATAGGAACTGTAAGACACTCCAGGGAGAGTTAGAAACAGGGATGATGAATGAGTTTTATTAGAAGTGCTACTTCATTAAACACACTGAAGGCATGTTGTTCTGTAACATATCACAAGTAGATATAAAACATGAGGACTGGTGAGTGATTAATCATTATATGTGTGGATGAAATGGTACAAAGTGGACCGCTTTTCTCCGAGGGTGGCTGAACTGAAGAAGAGTTTGAAAAGACAAGCGTGCATTTTAAGACTGAAAATATTTAAAGGTGGGGTAGGCAGGATCTGAGGAAGTTCCAGTTTTTAGGAGAAATCTTGAATGTAAACTCTACTCCTCCGTAACAGTTTTCCCCTCAGCTCCTCCTCTCCCCTCCCTCTCTGCTCCAGCAAGCCCCGCCCACAAACAGACTCTCCTGCTTGCTCCTATCATTTTAATTAAATTCTGATATAATGCAGATAAATACTTCAGATCATTACAAATGGGGCCCAGTCAAGGTGAAAGTCAAAAGCATTGGTGCTACTGTAGATGCCAACAGACTACCAGCAAACACAATGTTTGCAGGACTTCTACAACGAGGATAAAGTGACATAGTCCAGGACCCGAGGGAGGACAGTTTAGCGATGGCGCTACAACACGCTACAGCAGGTCCGTTTGACAAGAAACACTTCTGTTACAGACACTTGTCTTACTTTGTTAAAGCGCCCGTTATTCCTCCAGAGTCTCCGGTATTTACTTTGTTTTCTTGCTTGTGTCGGCAGTCGTGGCCAAAGGAGGATTCAGACAATTTTCCGAACTTTCTGGTTGGTTTCTACTGTCTGATATTGTAGCACGCTAACTTTGTTTGGGCTCGTGAACGTTATTTGAGGACGTGGAGCAAGCCTCAAAATACGAGGGAGAAGCAGCCGCCTCACAACCAATCAGGTTGGGGGAGGCGGAGAATGCCTTTGTTTACAGTCAGAAAGAGCGGGCCGCTCAAAAATTTGATGACTACACAGACATAACAAAACACAGCGATATCGCGATATTCCCAAATGTCATCAATGACTAATAGCTATTGACTGATATTAAAAGTTTTTTTGTTTATACACCACAAAAAAAGATGCTTCTTTAACGGATTCTTGCCTACCCCACCTATAATTACTGATGAGTAGCTGATTGTCAGAATAGAGTAGCTTTGGCCCTAGTTGTAGCTGTAAATAGTTGTAGTTTTGTAAACGGTTATAATGCAGATTACAGTCTTTGGGAAGTCTTAAAAATAATGAAGCATTCTTGGATTTATAAGAGTTTATTCTTTTATATCACTGGCATAAACCCACCAGCAAACACGCAGCCCAGTCTCCTCTCAGTCCAGGCTGTAAGAGTAACATTTAAAATCATGTGTTTGTGTTAGGGTGCTCATCTCTTTAAGTAAACCAAAGGATTATAAAACAGACCTTAAAGACTGAGGAAGCAGGTTTGTTTTCAGGTTTATCTGCACACTGAGTTCCCACTAGCACGCCTGTAGTGCTCTTAATCTAATCTAAGCCGTGTCTGTCATGACCTATTGTTGTATTATTTGTATCCGTGCTGCCACAATAACTCTTGAATGCGGCCGTGCCACAGTGCTGACAGCCAGAGCACTCACCTGATGAGAGAAATGGAAACGGAAACATGAGTCCATCCGAGCAGTAACGGCGTGTACTTGGCTCTGTTTGACTGGATTTTATGGAGAGGCTGTGAAGCACTTCCCATTAAAAAAAGCCAACATTTAAAAGACTCTTTCAGTGTTTTTCCTCCACAGTATCACAGAAAGCTTTCTGCATTTGTTTATGTTGTGCTTATCCAGGATGGGTTTACCTGTGGACAGCCCAGACAGAAACGATGATGCGCTTAAATACCAGCAGCTCGTCGAAGGAGAGGGGGGTGAAAGCCAAACTGAAGTCTGCATCCGAATCCCCCCACCCATCAACCCGAAGAAGAGGAGAAAAGGCAAGAAGAGGTACTTTACTGCTGGATCTCCTCCATTTGCACTCCTGCAGTCATTTCCCACTGCAGGTACATTATGTCTAAGCACCCTGACAGTTATGATTTTATAACTTTGTCCTGGAGGCTCTGAAGTTTGTCTTTCCTGGCTCGTCCTCATCGTTTTAAACGGGAAAATGGGTGTATAATGAGGTTTTTGTAGGACCTCGCAGCAAAGCAGAAGTCTGTCCTTCTCTCTGTCTCTCCTCTCTTCCAGATGACTGTGGATCAACCTCACCAACTGCAAATATGAGAGCGGTACGTTTGGATAACAAATCAGGAATGACCTTTATTTTTCTCTCATTTAGTGTGAAGTTTAACGTCAATCTGCACTTGATTCATATAGAAAAACTAAATGAGTCAAATTATCTACAAAGTGCTCGACACAGACATGTCAGAAAACGAGTAGAAATACAGTATGGGTGCAAAAACAGGTGTATGTGAGGCTACAATCTGAGTGTTTCATAGTTGAGTTACCTGAGCTTTGTACAGACGTCAAAACCCCTGAAACTGTCTCAGTCTTGGAGCTTTACGCTGTCACACGGACACTAAATAATTAGTGTGAGTACATTTGCGTGCTCTGCAGAGGATCTCGGGATTTTATGGGTAATAAAGCAGGAGAAGGTGTCTCTCTGCATCTCAGTGTAAACTAGTAATCCTGCCATAAAGCCACCCACCTGTACAAATCTGCAGGCTGCGGGAGGTGTGCGTCAGAAGATTACACACTGAATATGTGAGGAAACATCACTGCAGCAACAAGTGACGAGGCTGAAAACAGAAGAGTGTCACATCTGAGCATCTGCATATTTTTGGTCACTTAGTGTATCATTGATTCCTGGAGTTTTTATACATAAGATCAGCTTTTACCTTTTGTAAATAAACATGAGGTAATTTTCTTCTTTTTGCTTGTGTCAGTGCGTCGTGCTGCTCGCCGATATGGCCTCCGGGAGGCGATGGACGGTGAAGACTGGACGCTTTTCTGGACGGACTGCTCGGTGTCTTTAGACCGCGTTAAGGACATGAAGCGTTACCAGGTATTCCACTCAATTTACCCGCACAAAAACACCTTCAGCACATTAGTCTGATCACCATAGAGGAGCAATTAAGCCGAAATCAAATATACAAATTAAACTGAAAATGAAGCTTGAGGGACTCGTCGTCCTGCTCCGTCTATTTGTTATGTCTTAAGTTGTAATTTAAATTCTTCTGCTCGATATGCCCACTCACCAACTCATAAAAAAGTAGATTTTCATTGAGATTATGAGATGGGGTTGTTTCTTCAGGGCACAGTATTCATGGCTCAGGTGATCAATTTGTAATCTAATTGGGTAATTCAGTTCAGGAACCGCTCTGCGCCAAAAAATCTCCCCTGGAGGAGAAACAGGGATCCGTTTATTTAGTAGTTATCTAAAAAAAAAACACCTGTGGAGACGTTCCTCACATGCTCACAGAATACCTCCTCCTGTGTGTGTCTCTGCAGAAAATAAACCATTTCCCAGGGATGAATGAAATCTGCAGGAAAGACTCGCTGGCGAGAAACATGAATCGTATGTTCAAGCTTTTCCCCAAAGACTACAACATCTTCCCCAGGACGTGGTGCCTTCCTGCAGAGTCAGTGTGCTGAGATTCTCCTCGTTCGTCGACTTATCTCGGATTTAATCTGCGAATTAACTTCCTCTCTGATTGTGTTTTGTAGTTACAGCGACTTCCAAGCTTTCGCCAGGGCCAAAAAGGGCAAGACTTATATCTGTAAGCCAGACACCGGTTGCCAAGGGAAAGGCATCTTCATCACCAAATCCAGTAAAGATATCCAACCTGGAGAGCACATGATCTGCCAGGTCTACATCACAAAGGTGGGGGAACGTTTAAAACACCTGAGGTTGAATCTGCACATGAGCAGGAAGTTCAGTTTGTTTGATTTTCTCTCTCTCTCCTTTCAGCCTTTCATTCTCGACGGATACAAGTTTGACCTGCGGATCTACGTGCTGGTGACGTCATGTGACCCGTTCAGTATATTCATGTTCAGGGAGGGTCTGGCTCGCTTCTGCACCACCAAATACAACGAACCGACGCACGGGAACGTGGTGAGCTAAAACAGAAACTGCAAATGCCTCACAAATCAGAAATATTCATCTCTGTAAACCCCATCTCCAAAGTTCCTGTCCTTTTCCAACTTTGAAACACACGTGCACTCTAATTAAACAGCAAAGACAACACGCAACGGCCACAGCAACTCAACTCCTCATCTAGATTCCTGTTACATGACACACAGCATTTATTACAGACGAGAGATTTATCGCAGCATCCAAGCGTGAAGAGGAAACACTCATCCTATTACAGATATACAGTTACAACATGAAGAACGGGGATGCTGATTGGCCTCATAAGCAGAGTTATCAGCTCTCTGAACAAACTGAATGTGTCACATACAGATGAGAAGAAAAGAAACCTGGTATTACAAAAATAAAACAACTATTTCATAAAATAAGAAATCACATCTTCTCCTCTGTTCAGGATTATTTTTATCATCGGTGGAAAAGAGTTCATCACAAATTTCCCGACCTTATGATGACTTGATACTGAAATAAAATAATAGAAAACTGTAACGTTGTAGAGCTGAATAACAAAAAAAGGACCCAAATACAGAACAAAAAAAATATTAAAAAGAACAAAATAAAAAGCACCAAAAAACGAACACAAGAAGCAAAATCCAAACAAAAAACACCAGGAGACAAACGATGAATAATGACGAGCAACAGATGAGGCAGACGAGACACAGGTGAGGCTCATGAGTGATTAACGAAGGAGGGAAAACTAGACAAGAAACACAAGGAATCAAAATCCTACAAAATAAAACAGGAAATAAACACTGAAAACTGATCTAAAGAATAAAATACAGAGAAGAGGAGGGAAACAGGGTCAAAGACGAACTGAGAACTCTCAAGACTGGACTACAGGGGAACAGGAACACGAGGGAAAACAGACCAGGATAAAAAAAACCAGGGTGTAAAGTTTTGATGAACGGAGGGCAGAAAGGGTGTAGAGCAGGATGGCAAAATAAAGAGCACAAGACAACAGGTTCCAGAGCTCTGGTTTTTATCTTTAACTGACACTTTACACTCAAAAACCACTGAGTCTCGATCACCTGCAGCAAAGAAATACTCCTGGTAAACGGCCACACTCCCAGGTGGAGCTGATCCCCTTTAATTACAGCAGCAGAGGAGACACAACCTGCCCCTCCCCCACTGCACACACTCACTGCCCCAATTCTCACCTCGCCTCTCTCCCCTCAAGTCAAGTGGCCTTTAAAACATATTTACACAAAACAACATGTACAAGTAACAAACACAATTCAATTGACTGATATACTAATACAGCTGAACAGAAATATCTAAGAGACTGAATGAAAATAGACCTCAGTGGGGGGGATGCTGTCCAGCTCCGTCACACTTCAGGGAAAAAAACTAAAGTAACAGAACATACCATGACAGAAAACTCCTGCGTCATGAGAATTTGATCTTCTTTTTTTTTAATATTTGAGTAAATAATCAATTTTAAAGTGTTTTAGTTTCAATCTTCACAGTTCTGGATCCTGTAACATGACATAAAGATGTTTTTTTACCACCATTCTTGCTTTATTCACTTCTTTCTCATCTATTAATTTATCTGTTATTTTTATTTGCTTGTTTTTGAGTCTGCCTCCATGCCTCCTTCTCCCTCCTGCGTTCCCTTATTTGTTAATCAATTGTATGTGCGTGCCATTTATCGAGTCGTACAGCTCTAATAATGAGATGTCACCCACGTCTCCTCCTTCGTCTTCATCAGGATGATGTGTGTATGCACCTCACCAACTACTCCATCAACAAGAACAGCGAGAACTTCGTCCGTGACGAGGACACTGGCAGCAAACGGTAAAAACATCCGCCACGCTTCTCTTGTCGTCTCTCTAACGCTCTTCATTCATTTTAAACTCAAAGATTGTTGTTTCTTTTTGGATCTGCAGAAAGCTCTCGACCCTGAACAAACTCTTAGAGTCCACCAGCTGCAACACGGACAAGATGTGGAGCGACATCGAGGACGTGATCGTGAAGACTCTGATCTCTGCTCACCCCGTCTTAAAGCACAACTACCACACCTGCTTCCCCAATCACACCACCGCCAGCGCCTGCTTCGAGATCCTGGGCTTTGACGTGCTGCTGGATCACCGGTTCAGACCCTGGGTGTTGGAGGTGAAAACCAGAACCCTCATATCAACCTTTAGTTTCAGAAAAGTTACAGTAAACACAACATGGCACCGATAAAAATTGACTTTAAGTATCTTAAACAAGACAGTCAGTCGCTGTATTTGTTTGTGTCCAGGTGAATCACTCTCCGAGCTTCACGACCGACTCACAGCTCGACCGCGAGGTGAAGGACGCTCTGCTTTACGACACCCTGGTTCTCATCAACTTAGGGGCCTGCGACCGCCGCAAGATCACCAAAGACGAGCGACGCCGGGTGAAGGACAGACTGCAGCAGAACAGCACCAGAGAGGCCAGGTAGGGCTCTGTCAGGTACAAATGGGCATGCGGTTTTTACGACTAAGGTCACACACCCGCGACTGAACGCTGATCGTGTGATGCGCCACCAGGTCAGAGGAGCTGCGCCAGTGCCAGGCAGCCACGGTGGAGCAGATGGAGAGGTACGAGGCCAAACACCTGGGGGGCTTCAAGAGGATCTACCCCAGAGAGGGAGGAGAGAAATACGACAAGTACTTCAAACACAGCAGCTCGCTCTTCCAGGAGACGGCGGCGTCCAAGGCCAGAGAGGAGTGTGCCAGGTACCTGCGGTTTAGGACAGAGCTGAGAGCATGAAGGTGTCTTTGTCTTGATGATGGTGGAAAACTGTGACGAAAACAGGAGGAGAACAAACTGTAGAGGTCTCCACCGTGTTCAAAAAAATCACATTTTTCACTTATAATGAGCCAACATTCATTTTTAAATCACTTTGTATGAGGAGTAATGAGTGCCACACGACTTCTTTAGTCTTTTTTTGATGGTTCATAATGACCTGTTTACTGGTTTGTTTCCAGTTACCTCACACTGGGACAGCTCCACTTCTAAAAGAGCTGGAAATGATAATGTTGATACCTCTTTATGTGACGTCACATTCATCCATTCACACCTCATTCACACACTGATGATGGCAGAGGCTCATCTCTATAGAGACCTTTAGTATTTGACTTAAACCATTCACATATAGAGTCAGGTGCAGCCAGCAGGATCAGATCAGGTCAATAATCCTACCCAACGACACCGACTCGACCCCTGAGCTGCAGCCGCCCCTGAGTAAAACGCTGATAAAAAAAGATTTTTGTAGTTTGCTATAAAATATTTAATCAAACATCAAAATCAAAGACAACATCTTTAATGTTTAAACTGATTGATTTTAATTGTTTTATGAAAAATCTATAATCGTTTAAAATTTGATGTCAATAACGTCTTTCAAACGAGTCGTGACGGGAGAACACGACTCTGAAAAGTTTAGTAATAGTGAAAAAATACCTGTTGTTTGTACATCATTCATGCTGTATCCATACTGTGTGTTTAAAGTCAGAGTCTCATGAATTAATTAAAATTAAAATAAGAATATATTATTTCATAAAACAATACAATTTAAAATTTCAGCATCTAATTTAAGAAGCTGTCTTTAAATTTTGAGGCTCAAATGATTCGTAAACACTCAAGTTTTGTTTTTATTCAAATGTATAAAGAACTTTTTTGGATTTTTGGATTTTTTTAGTATAAAGTCTTAATTCTTATAATAAATACAGCTGTCAAATTAATGTCTAATTAACTCAACTTGTACATATGAGCACTTTATTAAATCTCTAATTGAATAAGTCAATTTAAAGAGCAGATTTTTAGCAATAAGGCGGTTCAGAGTGAATCACAAAAGACTCAAAAATACATTTAAAAAACATACATTTATTATCGTTGTGTGTTTTTTGTGTGTTTTTGTGTGTTTAGACAACAGCTGCAGGAGCTGCGTCTCAAAGAGGAGCAGAAGGAGAGAGACCTGAAAGGAGGCCGCAGGAAAGAGCTGCAGGGGGAGACGGCGGGGGAGAGAGTCAAACCGCCAAGACGAGCAGAAACTGTTCAGGCCCCCCACTCAAACCCTGACCCTGAGCTGCAGCCGGTGAGACTAAAGGTGCAGTTCACATGTGTGTCCACAAGAGGGAGTCAAACAGCCTCTGGTCCTGTGATGAATGGATCATAGTCCAGCTGACCCCCTTCTGGATAAATGTACTTTAGGAGAATCTAAATAAAGGTGGAGTCATATTTGACGCCTGTTGTTTGAAATGAAAATATATTTTCTGGTTGATGCAGGTGGAGGAGAAACAAACTGTGTTATCAGGGTGATTCAGTGACAGTAATGGACAATACATGTTACACACCAGTGAGAGTGAGGCCGTAAAAATAAATCCAGACTAATGTTTCTCTGCAGACGCCTCTGTCCGGAGCGGAGGGGAATCCTGGAGCTGCAGAAGTTCAGGAGGAGGAAGGAGAGGAGGACGACGACAAGGAGAAAGAGGCGGACGAGGAGGAAGAGGAGCGGGTGGACGCTCTGCTCCGGAGGAAGAAACTGTTGGAGGACCTGGGAGTGGTGGACCAGATCCATGAGCTGCTGAAAAGCCAGAGAGGAGGACGAGGAGGAGGAGGAGGAGGAGGAGGAGGAGGAGGAGGAGGAGGAGGAGGGAGAGGAGGGGGAGTCCTCCTCCAGAACAAAAAAGACCCCTGCAGCCACCAGCAGAGTAAAGCCGCTCAACAGAGACAACAGCAGACCAAGGTGAGACTGGACTGCAGGGTCCAATGAGAGATAAAATCATGAGAATATTTCTATGAATTATTCTCTGAATTCTTTTTTTTTTCTGTAGGTAATAACTGAAGTTCATTTTTTCACTCTTCCCTTGTTCACTCGTTGTTTTCTGGTGTTGCAGTTGGACTTGTTGACTCAGTTTTCTCAGAGGACAAAACAACAGACTCCCTGCATCCAAATCCCACGACAGGTACCTCAAAAACACCCCATCAGTCAAAACCATCTCAGAATAATCCGGTTTATATCATGAAATTAGGATGCCTCGGAAAATTTTTAAACTGTGACTTTTATTATCAAAATTCATTTTTAATTTTAAGCCAGAAAAAAAAAATTGTTGTAAAGAAAACGACAAAACCAGAACCGACAAAACATCTCCTTAAAAAAATCTGAATAAATTCTGAAGAAAAAAGCAGAAAGGAAAAATTTTCTCTGATTATTTTAGTTTTTTTATGTTTTTATATGCTCTAAAGTAATTGCAAATGAATTTCTTATTAAACAGTGTAGTGAAAAGGAAAAGAAAAAAATCATTTTCAGTTTTTTTAATTTTCCAACTTTTGTCTGCTTTACATTTTAAACCCTAAAAACATCAAATTTACAGCCATACCTTAAAAAAACAGAAACCAAAAATTTGGCAAAATCAACAATATCTCACTCAAAATACAATTATTACAAATATCTGTTTTTTAGTTATAAACTTGGTTCACTGTTCGGTGGTTAAAGTTAAAGTGTGTCCTCATATAGAGGCTGTTGTTTCTCTTTGCAGCGGTCACCGGTTCGATTCCCGGCTGTATATCATCCCCCCTCTCTTTATCTGTCCTGTTGACTAAAATCAAAAATTCCCCCTAAAATAACTTAATAAATAAAATTATCATCTGTGAATCAACACGTGTTTTTTACTTAAATTTCAACACTTCATAATATTTTTAATTTCCACGCAGAAACATTTAAAACAACAAAACAGTGAAAAGAATCAGAGGAGTGACTGTTTTTAATGACCAGTGTTCAGTTATTCTGATGTAGATTTATAACAACTTCACTTATTCTGAATATCAAATATAAAGGCTTAAAAAAACATAATAAGCAGATGAATCAGGAAACATAAAAATCACATGTTACTCTCTAGAACGTCTGAAACTGTAAATGTAAATGTGACTGAAATGTCTCACAGCAGCAGCAGCACCTCCACTCTCACGTGACTCAGCTGCGCCCCTGGCCCACCCTGGACCCAAGGAGCCTGAACGAGTCCGGCTACCTGCAGACCGAGCCTGAGGGCCCCCATCATCATCATCATCACCATCACCACAGGCCAACAGAGGCAGACAGGACCTTCAGCGCCCAGCGACACCTCTGGCCAGGTAAGCAGCACACACCTGAGACTGGAGCAGAAGCAGGTTAAACAGTTTTAAATATTTTGGATGTGAGTTTTTTTTTCCTTTTGAGGTTTTTTTTTCCACAATAGTTGTAGTTTTATAGATTTTTCTTTGTTGTAGCTTTATAATTTAGAATTTTTAGTTCTTCTTGAGTGTTATATTGAGAAAAAATGTAGAGATATGGAACCAAAACAAAAAGGAAGAGTGATCTGCAAATAAAACTCGCTGATTGAATCAGAAATGTTAAATATTTTCTAATTTAAATGAAGTTTTTGTTGTTTTTTTGTTCCTCATTGTTTGTCTTGTCTTGTAAAAGCTCTTCTCCTGTTTTTGTTAAATTAATTTCACACAGAATCCAACATTTCTCATCAATAAACATCACTTTCTCCTCAGCTCAACAGATTTTATTTTCTTTGTTGACTCTCGTCTGAATTATGTTTGGTTTTATCCTCCGTACCTCTGCGTTGGTTCCTCCCTCACCTCTCCTCCTCCTCTCTGGTTTCTCCTCCTCAGCCGGCAGCAGCTCTCTGTCTCTGCAGGACAACAGGAGCCGCTCCCACGCCGAGGCTCGCCCCCGTCCCAGCGTCCCCGTCATAAACCACCACGTCGTCCCCAGAGGAGGCCTTCACTGCAGCACCCACACGTCCCACGACCCCGCTGCCCTGCAGGGCCTGCTAGTCATCTCCCCTTTAGTCCAGAGACCTGGTTTCTCTCACATCGTACCAAACTCCTCCCGCAGAGCCCCCCAACACGGGAAAAAACAGTGAGCAGGAGGTCTGGATTTGAGCCGTAGACCCCCAGAGTGGAGGTAGAGAGGCCTTCAAACTGTGAAAACACACTTTGTGCCTGTGATGAACCTTCATACCACCATAAAACCATCACCGCTGTGTGTGTGTGTGTGTCGCTCATGTGTGTAAAATAACCACAAACCTGAACAGAAGAAGACCCCTTTAGTGCCAAAACTAGAGCAGAAACCCCCCAGAACCACAGCAGGTCACATCCAATAAACACACCGATTATTGGCTTCTGATCAGATCTTCTGTATTTTTGATTAAACAGCATGTGAGTGAATTTATTAAACATTAAAATCATGTTTGAAGACGAGGAGGGGAGATTTAGACTAACAAGGCCTGTGAGGAGGAGGAGGGGGGGTCTCAGTAGGTTTTCTCTCTGCACTATAATGTAAAATAAATTATCTTTTTTAATGCAGTTTAATCTACTTTAAAATGGTTTTATTTAATTTTTAATTTCAGGAATTTAGTTTTTGGATTCTGTGAAAAATAGTCACGGAAATTCTGCAAATGCATCATATTTTTTTACTGTTAAGGTAATGTTTAGGTAGGTAGGTCATTTTTTTAGCTTTTCGTTTTGAAATCATTTTTTTCTTCTGTGTTTTTATATTTCGAAGTTTTAAAGTTTTAAAGATTTCTTCAGTCGGTTTCTTTGTTTCATCTGCAGACTGAAAACCAAACCAGACAAAGAAACTAAAGACTAAATCTGCAAATATCAGGAAATATAAAGGTGTTTTAAAAAGAGATCAGAAAACAGTTGGATGGTATTTAAAAGAACAGAAACGAGGATTTGTAGCAGCTTTCTTTAAAAATACCGAGTTTAAATCTGTTTTTCAGCCTGAGTTAAAGAAATCAAAGATATTTTTAAAACGAAAACGATTTAGTAAAATATGTTTTAACGCAAGGCCTCCGTCTGCAAGAAAAAAACCAACTTTCCTCGAAATTCTGCAAAAAGAAAAACAAAAAACCCCAAAAGGCCTCCAGAAAAAAATAAAACAGCTGCGTAAAAGTCTGATCGAGTTTATTCGACTAAAAAAGATCAGAAACTGGATCAAAATGTTTCGTTTTATTTATAATTCAGATTAAATCGTAAATTTTAACAATCTTATCTTATTCCTTTAATCTAAAATAATCCCATTCAGGACCAGGACGCTCACAGTCTTGAGGTTTTCGTTTTTTTTAGAACAAAAAGCGCAATTGGAGTGTGATGAGTTTGAGGAATTTATGGTTTTATTGCGTCTGTAAATGTCGGAAATCCTCATTCGGAGTCTGAAAGAAGCTTTTCAAACAAAGCAAAGCGGAAATTAGCCCAAAGAAATAACAGAAATTAAGAGCCGGACTCAGTTTTGAATAATTGATTTGAGCCTGAATGAGTGTAGAGAGAGAGAGCAGGACTTCATTTAGTCCTAAAAATCTCATTTAAAGAAAAGTTTCCCTCCCCTCAGGACTGAAATCACTCCGACAAGGACTCCAATCTCCGGCCTTTGTTTGATCAAATCATCTGCAGAGACGAAAATCCGCAAAATCAGAGTCTTTAACGCAGAAATATCTCAGCCTGGAAGCAAAAATCAAACTCAACCCTCGGCGTTTTGGAGATTTATCAAAAAATATCATCTCAGATTCAAAGAGAAAGACGAATTAAACCAAAATAATCCGGATAGAGAGCTGGATTAGACTGAATCTGACAGGAAGAAGCTGTACAGACCTTTGAGGCAGGATCAGAACCAGGCGCACATGACGCACAGAGTCCCCCTCACACTCCCCACATCCTCACCCTGAAGCCTCCACAAAAGTCCTGCCTCACATCTCAACATCTCAGGCCGCGGATCAAATAAAGATGGCGATGGGAAAGCGCGTCTAAAGCACAAAAACGGCGCCTGTTTATGAAAATTTACAACTTTGCCATGGAAGTTTACGACTCGCGCGGCTCGGGGATTGGTTGCTGGCGGTCATGTGGACAGCAGGAATGGGAACTTATTTCCCATGAGGTTATATTGCAGCTGCTGTTTTTTCCCCGCTCATTCACTTAACACTTAGTAACACAACCTTTTTCTTGCCTCTTTGTATTTGCGCTCTTGTTTTTGGGGGACGTTTTTGGAGATGTTTTCGTGCGTAATTTCATCCCAAAAATGGGCGATGGAGGCTCCGCGCAGCCTCCTCTCTCTCCCTGCGCCATGTTAATGTGGCTGAAATGGCGTGAAAATGAGGGATCATCACACTCCTGGATGCTGGGATTAACTTTCAGGACATCTCTTGTGCCAAAGTGGGGAGTTTGGAACCGAGAGAGGAGGAGGAGAGAGCGGCTTCTGCAGGAGTGGCACCCACACAGCGGAGCGGATGATGGATTATCAACAAAGGTAAGGGCACCATGTTTATAATATGCCGTAGATCCAGTCTGCAGCGCTGTTTGTGGCTGGACTGTGAGTGTAGGCCTGCTGTTTGGATTATAGAAGGAGAAGATCATCAGTCTGTAAGAAATGGAAATGATCCAGAGTCTCTTTTTTCATCCTGAGTCTCTGAGAAAATCACAAGCAGTTACAGTTTGTCTGTTTTAACCCGTGAGTTGCTGCAGCGCCTTCAAAAGAGGAACATTCAGAGGGTTTAAAGTGTGTAAATAATCCGGAATAATCCGAGTTTGAGGCCTACAGGAGCAGGAGGAGGAGGAGGATAATGATGTTATATAATCAGGGAGACTGCAGGCCAGACAGGCTGATGATGGTGATGATGGTGATGATGATGATGGACATACAGGGCCGAGGCTCAAACTGAAACAGAATTTGACTCTTTAATCCATCTAACTTAAATTCATTTGATTTAAATTCTTTGATTTGTTGTAAAAATCTCGACAAAAACACGTTTTTGTTTCATTTCGCGCGGTGACGCCTCCTCCTCGAGCTGTTTCGCCTCAAATATTTTAAATTTTACGCATTTATTTCCTCTCTTTTCCTCTTATTTCTGATCCTTTAAATTAAACTGATGTTAAAATATCTGTTTGGATATTTAGTCATATTTCTGATTCACCCTCCGTCTTTGTTTTCCACCTGCTGTTTTCTGCTGCAGTGGTGTGGAGTGCTCGTATTGTGTAAATGTGTGTGTTTCTCGGTCAGAGTCAGAGGCTGTTTGTGTCCAGATGTAGCAGATGTAGATGCGGCCTGCTGCAGACTCTGATCACAGCTGTTTATCTCTCATTCATTAGAGACAAAATGAAGATTTTTTAAATTTTAATCCAAATATAAACTGATTTTTCAAACTTAACGCACAAACACTGAGGCCTAAACGTGTTTTACGCGCTGAATGTGAAGAAAGAAAACCAAAAAAAATCCTCAAATCTGGTTAATTTTCATTGGAGATATTTATTTTTTATTTATACTAAATTTAAAAAGACGAAAATAAACAAAAAATTTCAAAAAGAGATCCCAAATTTATCCTCCGAGGGATTATTGAAGCACTTTAGATTATGAATATGAAAATAAACGTCTCATTTCGTTTAAATTATTCCTCTTTAACCTGTAAAGTGACTTTTCAGAGAGGAAAATTTGACTGAAAATGAGCGAAAGAATTTATTTGTGAAATTTTACGAGTTATGAAAAATAATCCTGAGATAATCCGAGGATTATCACACAGGAAAATCCAAAAATATCCATAAAATCACTGCTGGAAATGTGCTTTAACAGATTAAAAATTAATGATCATGATTGAAAAATCAAATGATCTGATTCTGGGCCGATCAAATGATGTTGTTTTCTGCCAATAGTGACAAATATCGATCTGTTTACAAACTCTTGACCCAGTCCTCCTCTTCTTCTCCTTCATACTCACAGACTTTATTTTTGTTTAATGGTTAGTTTAGTTTCCATTGATCTCAAGACGCTGAAGATGATGATGATGATGATGATGGTGATCTGATTAGAAGCGCGTGTGAACCCTCCTTCTCTCTGCACGTCCTCGTGAGCCTCTCTCGCACCTTTAGAGAGAGAAAGAGAGACATGATGAGGGTTAGAGACTCTCTCCTCCTGTCTGTTTCTGATCACTCTGGTTCCTCTCAGATGTTTTAGTTTCTCAGTGTGTGGAGGAGAAGAAGGTTGGAGGCAGAGGAGGAGTGTGTGTGTGTGTGTGTGTGTGTGTGTGTGTGTGTGTGAGTGTGTGCGCTTGTGTTTCTGCGTAATGGAGATGATGCGCAAAGTGTTTTTTTGCATGTTTTTTTCCTTCTGTGTTGCATGCTGAGGGTGATTTTGCGCACACAGGAGAGAGGGGGACTTGGTGCACATTACGCAGCTGCACAAGTCCGTCTTTGTGCTCCTTGAATGCAACTTAAAGTTCTCACACAAACATATAATGTATATATATTTATATATTTTTGTCGATGAGTGTGGAGGTGTGTGTGCGTAAAAACCCGGACAGACTCGAGCGCTTCATTTCGATTCACCGGGGACCCCTGCGCGCAACAAGAGCCCCCCATGGGTGCAATAGTGCAAACACAGGCTGCGGTGATTGGCCAGAGGTTGATCAGATGGTACACTTCCCCTCTGTATTCAGTGGCACCTCGCAACCCCCCCTTTCAGCAAAAACCAAATCTCGGATAAAGTAATGGCAAAACCACTTGGACTATAAAAGACAACAAATCATATTCCTCCGGAGTATATACACCCCGTTGTCCACCCAATGAGTTCCTATTTTGTTAACTCAACTTTTCCCGTGTCTCTACCGGGAGGACAGGACTCTCTCCTGGGTCAGATACCGCTCTATTCCTCGGGATACACCGATCCGTTAAGACACTACTCCAACGCGGCCACATATGGAGCCGCCAACATGCAGGACAAGGTTTACCCCGCGTCCTACTACCAGCAGACGGGCGCAGCAGCCGCGGCCATCTACGGCCGAGCCGGCGGAGGAGCGCCCTGCGACTACAACCCGGTCGGGACTTTCTACAAGGACGCGGAGGGCTCGTGCGCTTTCTCGAGCCGCGAGGAGCAGCCGCTGTTCGTCACTCAGGAGCATCAGCAGCGCAAAGCGGAGTGCGCGGAGCAAACTGTCAGCATGAGCAGCAGCCTCGACGACAAGTCCTCGACTCTCATCTACCCGTGGATGCAGAGGATGAACGCCTGCTCCGCCGGTGAGTAAACCCACACAACCACACACCACACACCACTGTACGCTTTCTCTCTCTGTGTATTATTGTCACGCATGCAGCCTGGAGGGTAAAAACAGTCCCGCGCCGCGTGATGGAGTGAGCGTCCCGAGCCGCGCAGAGTTTACCTGACAGCTCCCCACAGACTGATCCGAACTTTACGCGCAGAAACGTGAAATAATCCGAGAGTTGGAGAGTTTGAGATTATCGTTAATGGATCTTTGTGCGCCTTTAGGGCTTCCACTGCTCCTGATTCATCATACATACATACATACACGACCCGCACGCGCACTCACACGCACGCACACACATGCAGACTTGGCCTACATCATCCAAGATCCAACTTAAAGCCTCACCAACTCTTAGAAACAGGCCTTTATGAGGCTGAAAAGCTACTTTTAATCATCCAAAAACGCACCAAATCCTTCAAAATAAACACAAATATATCTGAATTTAATTATTCATCTTTACTCTATTTATTTTACACATTTTACATCCTGACTGTACATCTTTACTGTAACGAGAACAATACAGAGATACAGAGAGAGATACATCATGAGGCCACTTTTACGCACAACATTTCAGCCTCTTTCTTACAGTAGCCTCCATTAATCACCTCATTTAGGACTTTTTTACAAACAAAATTAATCCAAAGCTTAAAATAAACTCACTTTAATGCGCAACATGGATAAAATAAACAGACATAGTTGAAAAATGTTGAGAAACTATTTTAAGATTTCTTTAAAAAGAATAAAACCTAAAGTGTGCCAAGGTGAGGCGTTTACGCACTGTGGGAAGATGCAGATAAGAAAAGAAATTAACTGGATATTTTTAAAAAAGATCAGTCAGATAGTGTTTAATATTTATACACATAATATTGTCTTTTTTAAAATGTTGTTTTGTTGTAAACAGCAGATCTGTTAACGTGTTATGGTATTTTTCAGACACACGCCTTCAGATTTGCAGTGTACTGTCAGGTAGATCTTCTCAGGCACTTTGGAAATCACTTCATTTGACTCCTGAATTATTCATCCCTGAGATTTAAATCATTATTATTTTTTTCTTTCAGGACCATTTGGCAACAGTGGCCGCAGGGGCCGACAGACCTACACCCGCTACCAGACCCTGGAGCTGGAGAAGGAGTTCCACTTTAACCGCTACCTGACCAGGAGGCGCCGGATAGAGATCTCCCACGCGCTGTGCCTCACCGAGAGACAGATCAAAATCTGGTTCCAGAACCGCAGGATGAAGTGGAAAAAGGAGAACAAACTCCTGAACCCCTCAAAGACAGCGGAGGAGGAGGAGGAGGAGCAGGCGGAGAAAAAGAGCTAAAAGGACACTGAAGAAAGAGAAGAAAGAGGAGAGAGAGAAGAGAGAGAGAGGGGCACGTGTGTGTGTGTGTTTGTGGCACACTCCTAAAATAAAGTGTATCATTGTAGATAAAGTGCTGAACCTTCTGTTAGAGATAGACTTGATTTGAGTCTGTGCACGGTGATCCTGTCTGCATTAGAGTTTCAACCTCTTTGTCTTTGTGCTCGTCTGTTCATTTAGGGGACTATGCAAGAAGAAGAAAAAACAGAAAAAATCCGCCAAACTGTAAATAATTCTGAGTGTTTAGTTTTTGAACATGTTGTTACCTCATCTACTGACTCTAAGTTTGATTGTTTTTGTCCCCTCATGACATTAAAAAGAGACTCTCTGTGTGTCTCTGATGTTCACCTCGTGCTGTAGTTGTTCTATAATAATATAAATAATAATAATAATAAAACTAGTCTTTAGGCTTGTTGTTTATCCACATTTGTACAGATCTGTTCCATGTTATTTATTGTTCTTCATTTGGATATTGTGTGCAATATTTTGTTTAGAAAATTGTACATAGAAATAAAGGCTTTTTGATGGATATTGGAAACGTCTGTGGCCTCATTCCTGCACGTGAAAATCCTTTTTTAACTTTTTATTGTCATTAAAAATTAAAAATATGGTGCATTTGGACTCCAAATAAACCCATAATTTGGCACAAAAGCGTGCGTAAAGATCGGGATAATCTCCATTTTGACGCCCGGCACGTTAACCTGCCACCTCCGCGTGGATAAGTCAGTGTTATGGTCTACCTGAGCCTTTTGTGGCCTACATTATCAGCGTGTTACATAAATGATGGATGGCCCTCCGCGCGGCCTGGAAGGAGCAGTACCAAAAGCGTCCGGAAGATGGCGCTCTCTGCCTGCGCGGCTCTCGGGGGCGCAGCGGGGAGGCACCATTGACTGGAGCCTAACGACCATTATTTCGTCATCATTTGTAACCATGGAGCATGAATTACCTCTTGAAGTCATCAGTGAGGATTTACGACTGGTCAACAAAGGCACGTGATTCCCGAACGCTCTCCCATATTTGGCCGCATACCTGGCAAAGTACAGTAGGGCTTCATTGCTTATAATTCATGATTGCATCCATAAATCGTGCAAGCACACAGGATTATAGCGACAAAGATCTACAAATCGAGGCTTTAAAAATCCAAGCAAATGAGCTCTTACTTTGTAAACTCGTTCTCAGGGCGCTATCCAAATGGCTCCGACTATCAGTTACTAAATTATGGGACTAACGGCGCTGTGAGCGGCTCCTTCAGAGACCCTGGCACCATGCACTCCGGGTCTTTCGGCTACAACTACAATGGCATGGACCTAACCGTGAACCGCACCAACACGGGCGGCCACTTCCCGGCGGTGCGCGACGATGCCCGGGGCTTCGGCCCGGACGCCCGCTACAGCAGACAGACGCCCAACTGCTCGCTCTCCTCTCCAGATCCGGTGCCGCCGTCGTGCGCCTCAGCCAGCCGGGAGCCGCTGGAACTAAAGAGCCCTTCTCCTCCCTCTGACCGGAGCGCGACCTCGAGCGGAGGCAACAAAAGCACGGGCGCTCATTTCACGGAGATAGAGGACGCCACGGTGGCTTCTGAGACCGAGGAGGGCGCGCACAGCAGCGGCGGATCAAGCTCTGCTTCCCGGGCGCAGCAGCAGCAGCAACAGCAGCAGCAGCAGCAGCAGCACCAGGACCCTAACGCCACCTCCTCCACCCCTACATCAAATGATTGCCAAACACCACAAATATTCCCCTGGATGCGGAAGCTGCACATAAGCCATGGTATATCCACACTCTGCTAATATTTATATTTGAGGGATGTCACGCTCGTAAATCTGTCAGGTGTTGCATGAGTGAGCAGCTGGCTGGAGAGGAGCCTGTTTTTGCGGAGTGGTTTGCGGGGTTTGTGGCTCTCAGGTGAGGGTTCGAGGTTCATGAGAGGGAGCTTTAGAAATGTGGATTCTTGTGCGTAAAAGAGGAGCTGTTGGAGAGCAGCAGGAGGAGTGTGTGAGTGAGTGTGTGTGTGTGTGATGTTGCATGCTTTTCTTCTTGTTGTTGGTGGTGTTGTTGGTGTTGCAGTGCAGTTCCTAATTGTGCAAAAATTCTCTGTAAAATTGTAGATATGACCGGACCTGATGGAAAAAGGGCCCGAACCGCGTACACCCGGTACCAGACGCTAGAGCTGGAGAAAGAGTTTCACTTCAATAGGTACCTAACCAGACGGCGGAGGATAGAGATAGCCCACGCCCTGTGTCTTTCCGAAAGACAGATCAAAATCTGGTTTCAGAACCGCAGGATGAAGTGGAAGAAGGACAATAAACTGAAAAGCATGAGCCTGGTGACGGGAGGGAGCGCCTTCCACAACTGAATAACTTTTTCTGTTTTTTTGGATTTTTTTTTTGGAGGGAGTCAAAAAATAATAAAAAAAAATAGTGAAAACACGTTAAAAAAAGAGAATCCATGAGTACTGTAAAGCTATAAAAAAGCGCAGCACCTTCCTTCCAGCATGCTAGTATTGTGATAGAAGAAAAGAAGAAGAAGAAGAAGAAGTATTCTGTGGTGTCCAAATGCCATTTTTAGTTCCTGTTGTTGTAGCTTCGTAGATGTGGAGAAAAAAACATGTAAATATTACCTTGGGAAGAGGGGGGTTGTTCATTATCTGTCTCTCTTGAAGGTGTTTCAACTTTGAGCTCTTTATTGTGAATCTCTCTCTCGGTCTAACAGGAGTAAAATTCATTGTACAAAAACAAACAAACAAAAAAAAAAAACACAAGAGTTTCCAAACCATATGCTGCTCTTCATTGAATGTACCTGATGCGCTTTAGTGTAACTTTTGATGCTCTTTTTGATCTTGTGACCAGATCCATCCAAGAAGAAGAAGAAGAAGATGAAGCCAGGTGTTGTAGCTCTATAGGATATTTTGTGCATCTGTTATTATGATTATTATGATTATTATTATTATTGTTTAGGTCTAATTATGAGCAATGCAAATGTATTCAACCTGTCAATGTGATAAATTTTTAGTGCAAAGGGTTATTCTGTGCATATAGAGGCAGTGATGTAAGCTTTTTTCGCCAATAAGCTTTTTGTATTTGTAAGTGAACTCATAGCGCTTGGAAATAAAGTTTCTCTCAATTGCTTTGAGCGTCTCCTCGCCTGTGTTATCACGCAGAAGAATCCCAAAAAAAAGGGCTTGGAGATAATGCGCGCAAACTCAACATTTCAGGCTCCATTTTGCAGCAAAGAAAACAAACTTTTTCTCAAACTTACCTCCTCTGGTTTCTCCCAGCGAACAGGGGGGCAGACTTTCCAGGAGAGGAAATAGGCAGTCAGTAAAATCCAAACAAATCAAAAATTAAAAAAAGAGAGAAAGAGAGGTTGTCTTTGGCTTTCAGGTAGGATATAAGCAAGGCTCAAGTTGGTAAAAATCTCCCCTTGCCAAAGATTGTATAGGCCTATATTACTTACAGACTGTGAAAAGTCACGTGAGGTCCATAAAGTTGGTTTTATGGTTTTGGGGAGTAGACAATGTACTATATAATTCACAACCTTGAATGAAAGTGACGGCTTAACTGCGTGGATGGGACTGGAAAAGGCTGGACTGCATGAGGAAGGTGGAGATGTCCGGTCAGATCTGCAGGGCGAACATGGACAGAGATGACTTTTGACTAAAATAACATGGCTGCTTAGGAAATTAAAATCATTTAGGTGGTAAATTTTCCCAAATATGCTGCTTACACTCCTCATTTTCATTTTCATTTTTTGGAGACTGATATTTTTGGCGTTTATGCGCAAAAGAAATTTGGATAAAAATATAAAAACTTTCACTCTTTGGACACAAAAAATCAGATATTAAAGGATATTAATATTGTTTGTGTTTGGTGAAATAATTGCAAGATAAAAAAAGACACATTTGTGAGTCACTGTGCGTCTTTGTGCAGCTGGCATGAAACGAACTTGAGCGAGCTCCTGCAGTGATTTATCCCGGTGAGAGGAGTCACAGAGCGGCCAAAGGTGAAGTCTCGGACAGCCCTGTTCTGGACGCAGGCTTCACTGCTTCAACATAAAGACATCTCCCTCCTATATGTATGCATTGTCTCCCTCTCCTCCTCCTCCTCCTCTTCCTCAGTGCAATATTTTCCAAGTCTCCTCAAACTCATCTTCTCAGGTTGGAAAAAAAAAAGTTAAAACCAGTGGTGGGCTATAAGGGTCCCAGACATTTTGCACATATTCATAACTATTAAGTGGCAATTGAAGCAGCGTAATGAGTATTGCATATTGATAGGGGTAATCTGGAGCCGGATCTCATGCATTATTCATGGCGGCGGGGATCATGGCAGGGTCAGGAGACGGTGCAGGAGGCTGCTGCTGCAGCCGCAGATGCGTCAGGAGGAGGAGGAAGGAGCAGCGCACTGCTGCCACACTTTGCACTGTCACGATGGAGAAATCTGTGTTTTGCACTGAAGGGAATAGACTTTTTTTTACACCAGATTTTGATTTTTAAAAAGAAAACTGCTGCAGAAAGGTGACAGAATTTAGATCCTGGAGTTTCTTCTCTGCTGTAAAGTAAAATTTTAAAATGTGTTTGAAAATTTTTGGAAATTAGGTGATTAAAGAGTAGATTTTTTTATAATCAAAAACCTAATTTTTAACCCTTAGACGTCTGTTTCATAAAATATTCTCCTGCAACCTCAAGAAATCAGCTCAGTAAATCCAAAGTCTGAATTAGAAAAGTGCAGACCTGATCATTTTGCAAGAAGAATGAAAAAAAACAAAACCTTTTTTTTAAACCTCAAACTTCCTCTCAGTGCCTCAATAATTTCATCCTAATGACAAAAAGATTAAAAATAATGTCCCTTCAGCTGCTTTTTTTTCTTTTTTTTCTGGGGTCAGTTTGTGTGTCATGATGCTGAACATCTGGCACTCACCGTGTGTGTGTGTTTCTGTGTGTGTTTTGTCTATCTGTGTGTGTGTGTTCCTCACCTTTCTGTTACCGGCTTTCAGAGGACTTCACGCTGCAGTTCAGCCGCTCCGCCAGCAGAGGGCGCCTCAGACCGAACCTCAGGATGATGGATGAGTTTTTCCTTCCTCAGCTCGTGCGCTGATCATCATGGAGGGGCCCGGTAGGTTACAGAGCACAAACAACAGAGACACAGACACGGGTTTGACACAGAGAGCATCAACTCAGAGGGAAAATACAAACTTAAATCCTCGAAAATCTGAGCTCTGGAGGGTTTAAGATTCTGTTTTTTTTACAACTGAAAACCAGAAAAGCAGCTCTGACTGTTTCTGTAAAGACTGAACTCAAGTAAAATCTCAGGTCTGTTTTTTTAACCTCTCTGAAGGGCTTCACATAAATGTTTTTTAAAGACACATGTGGAATAAATACTCAGGATGTTTTTGAGTACTTTTTATGCTTTTTTTCTGAATTTTATCACGATTATTTCTTGAAACACTTGGATATCCTAAAACAGTATATTTGACTAACTTTGTACGGTGGCCCTGAGAGGACAATGCACAAATATTTTCGATGCAAAAAACAGTTTGCTGAAAACCAAAAAGATTTAATGAAAAGCCCCCCAAAAATCACAAAATGCAGAAATATTTCATGGAATCCAACTACTGGATAAAAAGTATATACAAGTTTTTTTTTTTGTTTTGCAATTTTATGTGCATTTGATGAAATATTTTGTGTTTGGCCAAGTGGTTTTAGGTTTCACAGAATATTTTTAGAGAAATCTTTTTTTTTTTTTGCATTCTAATAAAATTGTTTTTCTTTTTTTTTTTTGCATTTTTTAATTAGACTTTCAGATTTGGTAAAAATAATTTAGAATTTTGTGAAATATTTTTGGGGATTTTGTAAGACAGTAAAAAAAATTGTAAAATATTTGTGCTTTTCAACATATATAGTCTCCTTTTATGGAACATTTTGTCATTTTAAATATTTTTGAAAATAATTTTTTGTCATTTGTGAATTTTTTTGACGACATATTTCTAGGTAAATGAACAGTTTCGTGAGTTGAGAAATCTGTTTTTGCATCGTAAAATCTTGATTCAGTTGACCTTCAGAGCCACCGTACTTTTGTTGAGTCTCAATAAACTTTTGTATTTTTTTAATTTAAAACTTATCTCACATTAAAAAGATTCTCAATTTGACTCAAAAAAACAAAACAATACACCAGTTTAAGAACTTTTTTGTCGTAAATTAATGGTTTAACATCGATTTATCTGCTGGGCAAAGTGTTTTATCTCTGAATGCACTCAGCACCTCTGATTCAACAGCTTCAATAAACTCAGAGATTAAGAGTTCATAAAAAAAACAGATAATCAATAAAAGACAACAGCTGAATAAAATCAGCAGAAAAGGAAACATGACACAGATGAAAGGATGAATATGAGCAGGTGAAAAATGAGACCTGAGATGATCAACTTTAACTTCCAAACAAAGAAAGAAAAAGATGAAAAATGAGACATAAATAAAAAAAAGATAACTATTTTATTCATGTACTTTAGCCAGCAGAGATTTAATAAATAAAGTTTAAGTTTTAAACTCAGTCTTGTGACGGTCATGTGACACTGAGAGTGATGGTCAAAGTTCAAACATTGATATGATTTGGATTTATGACACACTGAGCTGTTAAAGGTTTGTTTGTTAAAAATAACAATTATAATCATTTTAATCAGTTTTTCTGTGGAGTCTTTAAAAAGAAGGGTTTGAAACAGAGCTGAGCAAAAACAAGAACAAAAACAGGAAAACCCTGAATTTGATCCTGACGTCTCTGCCTCAGTCTCCTGACAGCGCTCTGATTTACCCGCTCACTCTTTTCAGGAGTTCAACCCATAAATTCAAAACCGACTGCGACTTACAGTTCATCACTTTTTCACTGAACATCCAGAAAAATCAAACATTTAGGAGATAATTTCTCATGTGCATGTTTTAACCTTTTCACAGACGTCTTATCTTTGGATAAAAGTTAAAATATCCTCCTCAGTTTTATTATTAAGTTTTATTATTATTATGATTTTAACTAATGCTGTTCGGCTCAGATGTGGATAATAGAATTCTTATTTATGGCTGACTTTGGTGTTTTTGAAAATAATGTGTTTTATTTTGAGACTGTGAATTATAATCTGCAGTATATTGAGTTTTTTTTACACTTGTGAAGACAGACTTTGTTGTTGACATGCTGAAAATGTATCAGAGTTTGTATTAATCAGGTCTAACTTGAAGGTTTTTCTCTCTAATATACGAGTGTCTGCGAGGCTGAGATCAGGTTCATTTTGGTGGAGCTGCAGCTTCTGTCCTCCTGACGACCTGTCATCTATATAAACCCTGTAGATCCGAATTTGTGTAAAAATAACAGCAGCCACAAGTTCGCATCTTTGGGAGTATGTAGGTGATGACGCTTCAGCTCAAACGGACGAGAAAAGGTCAATAACCTTTGAGTAAAAAGATGTTTTATAAAGTTTTCAGGCCTTCACTGTGTTTTCCTCCCTTCTTCTTCTTCTTCTTCTTGCAGCAGCACTTTGTGGGTGAATATGACATCTGTGAGAGTTGCAGGACAGGCCTTCAATGTGGGTCATTGTTCAGCACATCATTTATCTTCTTTTCACGGCGCCGGCCTGCGGTCGAGGAGGAGTTTTAGTTTGCAGGGAAACGTGAGGAGGACCTCAAACAAACGGCTCCAACGGACTCCAAACAGAGAGGACTGAGAAAAACCCGCTCCCTGATGACAGGATGAGACCCACAAACATGTAAGTTTAAACCAAATATGTGTTTTTATTCTCAGTTTTATTTTTAGTGTTGTTTTCTGAGCAGCAGCTAAAATATATACGTGACTAAAAATACTCTGAAAAAATGGCTGTAAGCTGGTAAAAAAAAACGTGCTGTATGTAGATAAATGTGGAGGGAATCAGACTTAAAATTACTATTTATTATGATATACGTTATACAACCACAACTGTGTGTTATAATGAATCATATTTGGATTTATATCCAGATTTTGTGTTACAGTTTAAAGCCACAGTCAGGGTTTTTTTGCTGGCTGTAAAACAGATAATAAATTAATACTGAAGATTTTTATGCTTTTATAATGTTTTTTTTAACCTACAAAAGCAAAAGGGACTTTCAGCAACATGCCTGAAACTTTTTTTTGGTGATAATTAATAATTAAAAATTGTAATAATTAATTGGTTGGAGGGGTAGGCGACTGACGACACTCTGAAAAAACAGCATTTAAGAAAGTGAACATTTACAGATATCTTTGTCCGTTAAAGAAAACAGGAAACAGTTGTATTTGTTATTTTTGAATGCTCAGAACAAGATCAGTGAAACTGTGAGATGCTCATCTTTGTCCACAGGGGGCGCCAGAATCAAAACAAACCAAAAGTTCCCCACAGGAGCTTTAAGTAGCGCAAGAAAAAGTCATGCAACGAACTCTTCGCATCAAAATTAGACTTAAAAAAAGTAGAATTTATTAAACAAGATGTCCTTTATGAAAATATTTATGGATTGGGGAGTGGGGATGGCTAAGGAGGTCAGTGCGCCCCATTTTCCCGCACTGTTCTATCCATAAAGGTAAAAATCGCTCAAAAAAATACTAAAAAATAAAAATGAAAAATAATCTTAGATTTTAATTTTTCCTCTACAAAAAGGTGAGAAGACTTATTCATTTGACCATAATAAGAGAGCAGAGTGAGGTATTTTCAAAAATAATATTGTTTAGACACATGCAGAAAAATTAAAGCAGAGACCTTTTTGTCCACAGGGGGCGCCAAAATCAACCCAAACAGCAAACTCCTAACAGGAGCTTTAAGGTGGAATTTCTCTGAAACTTCTGTACGATGTTAGGCGGACTATCCTTAACAAGGTTAGAGCAATAATATTAATAAATGTGTATAAATGTGTGAATCGCCAAAATGTAGAATAACACAAATACTCTTGATTTTTTTTTTTTTTTTTTAGAAAGTTAAGTTTTGGTATTTTTTTAATTAAATGTTTCTGTTTGAATTTGAAAAGTATGAACTAGAGCTGATAATAACTCAAAGACGTCAGTATATTATCAGGGTTTCTTAACTTATTTAGTTCCTACATACTGTAAATTTATCTGAGATTAGAGATATATATTCCTTATAGGAGAGACCTGGTCAAAAATGGCCAAAAGTTTTTCAGATTTACACAGCAGACCTACAAAAGTCTGTTAAACTGCACACAGAAAACCTGGTTGCAGACTTGAACAGAACAGCAAACAAAGCTGCTGAATCTCATCCCTCAGTGTTTGGAGGGAAGAAAGTGAGTCTGTTATTTTACACTGAATGGTTTTATAAATAAATATATACTGGAGACCAAACTGGCGTGTACTCAAAGCAGTCCAACTGACAAAATGAACTTTCTACAATACTCTTATTCTTTGAGAAGCACAAGTAAATTAAAGTTTATTTAATTTAAGTTTAAAGTAATGTGCCTCCAAACTGTGAAACTGTGTAAAAGTACTGAATAAAAATGCACAAGTTTGACACAAATCTCTTTAAATTAACATTTATTTTTCATGTTTAGTGTTCAATTCTCCTAGTTTCCTCTGCTGTGAGTGTATAGCTTTAAATTCAGTAATACTTTTTGATTTTTCCCTTAATTCGAGACCAGTGTGTGTGTGTTTTTTTTCTTTTTTACCTTTTGACTCCGCTCGTCCTGCTGCTTCACACAACATCATCACGCTGGTCAGCTGTAAGAAAATATTAAACATATTATTATATGATTGGACCAAATTAACCGTTTTAGACTGTTATGTAGAGAAATGCTGTCATTAAAGATAATGCAATAAAAGGACGTGTGCAAAAAAAGTTACTGTGAGGAGGTTTTGGTTTGTGTAAGTTATAGCGCCCCCTGTAGACAAATATTCGCATCTTAAGAAACTCGTCACAGCTTTTAATTTGAAAGTCTTTTTCCTCCAGCCTGCCGTCAATCATCTGCTCTGACACCTCCCTCCTCGGTGAAAACATTCAAAGCATGTCGCTGAAAGTCACAAAAAAAACGGACCAGTCTTAAATGAAATAGTTTCACACTGTTAAAAACTCCTTACTAGAGCTTTAAAAACACTTAAAAGGTGGCGTTAACGTCCACTGATGCTCAGTTACAGCTCTTTAAAAAGGACCAAATCACATCGATCTGCTCACAGCCACATTATAATGTGGTGTAAACCAGCAGTAAATGTTTATGCTTCTTATAAACACCACATCAAGTAGAGTTTTATTGAGGTGACCTGGTGTTTAAAAGCTCCCACTTTGTCTGGTTTATTTCACGCTGAAAATTCAGATTTCTTTTTCTGACTTTTTCTAAATTTTCCTGTATTTTAGGACGTTTATTTTTGTTGTTTTTAGTTTATTTGGTTTGTCGCTGAAGTTCTCTGAGCTGTAAATCCTCTCGGAGTGAGCATGTGGCTCCTGCAGATAATTGAAGGAGAAGTTTCAGAGCGAGGAGGAGGAGGAGGAGGAGGAGGGTGTTCATGTCCGTCACAAGTCAGACAGGCAGCATAAAGAGTGTGGAGCTCATTGTGGCACAGCTGTGTGTGTGTGTGTGTGTGTGTGTGTGTGAGCTCAGAGATCAGACATGAATTTATATTTATCCAGTTCGTCTTCATCCAGCACAGACTTATCGTGTCGCTCCATCTGCATGTTCCCTCCTCCTCCTCCTCCTCCTCTTCTTCTTCGTCTCCTCTCATCCATCACCGAACATTTAGACTCTGTGAAGACAGCGCACTTATTGCTGATTTTCTTTGTATTTATATGACACTTTTTATGGCTCTATAAAGGCCATCGGGCAGATTGATGTCTCTGTGTATGCTAAGTTGCCAGTTTAATAGGTACACACCTCTGTGTCTCGATGTTTCGCTCTCATTGTCCGGGGAGAAAAAAGAAAAACACAAGAACATTTTCTGCAAAAAGTTATCAAGCTTTAAAGTCACGTCTCGGTGCGTTAGTTTTCTGTGTGTGTTGGCTCAGTTTTCAAACAGGACAGTTTAGTAGGACTTAAATCTTCATATTACGGAAAAGTGTTTCTTTCTACAGTGACAAAAGTGTCTGTATTTTTTGAGATTTGTCTCAGTGTTGATCCTTTTTCATAAGCTGTTAAAGACATCTCTTCTTTGCTCTCCCTTCCTGCAGAGTTATTTTTAACAGGAAAACTGATCCTCTGAAAAGCTGCTTTGCAAATAGGTACAACCGTCACTCCCCAAGCTTTTGAGCAACATATTATGGCTTTCCATGTTGCACATTGGCTCTGTTTTTATGGTTATAAAGGCTCAAAGCTCCTCTCCAGTAAGTGGACCTTGTTTTGTTAACCTACTAGTTTAGTATTTGAAAAATAAATACCCAAAACTTAATGAAATATCAGTTTTAAGATGTAAGAAACTAAACTATATGCTGCATGATTTCAGGGCCAGTTTGCATGAGTTTCCTCGACATTTATCCAAACCTTTTTTGAGAGGCGTTAGAGTTAAATATGTCTGTAAATGAACCTTATTAAAGTCAAACTTTCATTTATTAAAGAAGAATCAAATAGCGGCATATTTTCAGGACATTAACACACATCTCTCATCAGCTCATGGAGCTTTGTCGTCTCTTATTCACGTCTGAAAGCTCCTGAAATGTCTTGTAGTTCGTCAGTTTTATGTGAAGACTTAAAGTGGTTATGTTTGCTGTTTCCTTAAAGAAATAGTACTGACATGTTTTTATTAAAGTAAATAAAACTTTGCTTAATACTCTGCTTTATGATAACGATGCTAAACATGAACTAGCATGTGAGTCCATGAGCATAAATGTCTTTTTATGTTTATGAAATCTTGGAGAGTCTTTGTCTCCAAAACTAACTTTTAAGAAGGTTGAATCTCTGACATTAGTTGAAACTTTAAAAGCTTTTAAACCTCCTCTCCTTGTCGTCAACAGTGTGTGGAGTTAGCTTCTTGTTTATTTATTGTCTGTTTATTTAATTCACGATAGAAACTATAAACTGCGGATGTGGCTGAAAGCTCCTGATTATTCCCTGTGAGTTGACCTTGTCCTGTGAGTTAGTGTCTGCTATCATTACAGGCCCAGCATAAATCTTCCTCTGAGGGCGCTGCCTTTGGTGACTTTGGGCCTCGTTGAAAAAATATCAAATTGGGCCTCGCCGCTTTATTGATGAATATTTCGACATATTTAAGGTTGCTGTCACTCATGAACCTTCACTGAAGAATCATCCTAACTTTCCGTGTGGTGTCGCTGCTTACAATCAAAGATAATTGTATGATTGCAGAGTGCAGTAATCATAACCATGTGTACCTAATAAACTGGCCAGAGCAGGATGACATATTTTGATTTTGATGTCGGTTAGGTCTGTTTTTCATCGATTTCAGGAGACTTAACAATAGAATGACAATAAAATACAGGTGAAGAGAGGCGTAAAGTAAAAAAACATGCAAAACTAGAAAAGATACTGTGAATATTTTTTCAGTATTGTTTTTGTTTTTCATTAGTCAGTGAAATAAACATTTCAGCTCCACAAAAATGTGAATTTTCAGGCCATAATTTGTGGTTTTGGGCATTAAAGGGTTAAACATAGGTTTAAAAGATTTGCATAACCACCCGTTCACTATACATAACGTGCAGCTCGAGTCAGTATTGGGTCGGTCCGTCAAAGACCACATCTAGACGTCAGTGTGACGTGCAAAATAGGTTAGAAATTTAGGCATCCAAATTGGACCTTTTTTTTAGACTTTGCTCTGACGTTTAAAATTTGGACATCATCTGAAAACCAAATCTAGACGTCAGCACAACCGCAAAATGGATCCAAGATTTAGACGTTGTTATTGGACCTCTTTTAGACGTTAAATGATGACGTTTGTACCTCATCATCGAAAAAACAAAACAAAACATTAAATAGATGTCATTCCGACGTCGCATCACTCATACATACAAAAATAAAAAATATGTTACATTTTTTTTATTGCTCTTGGGGGCCCCCTACTGGCCACGAGGCCCTAAGCAGGCGCTTAGTTCGCTTTGGCCTTGGGCCTAGTCCGCCTATTCATACCTGCAGTAACCAACACCATGTATTTATTTCTAGCATATTTACTGCACACACACTCATTCATATATAAAGTTCAGCTAAACTGCATTTTGTTGTTCCTGTACTTGTACTGTGTTCAATGACAATAAAGTTGAATCTAATCTAATCTAAGATCCTGCTCACCCTGTTGGGGATTCTAACATGCATAACCACCCTTTCACTGCGCATGCTCCCTGTTAAACACATCATCCTGACCTTATATTAAAGAGGGTTTTTTTATCTGAAATGAACAAAATCAGACCCCGCTGCTGCAGGTCCTTGTATAGATCTGTTCAATCTATATCCAAACGCTCTCTGTGGCTCAGAGATCAAAGGTGCTCCGCTGCATTAATTAGTTAAATATTACCTCTCTGAGCCAATCAGAGCGATCGAGCTGAACGTGAAGATGAGAGATCAAAGCAGGCGCATATCGATCACCTCCTCCACCTCCTCCTGCTCCTCCACCTGCAGCAGTCTGACGGTCAGCCTGTAAAACAGAGAGTCAGGGCCTTTATTCTGACAGGCTGAACTTGTGACTGCATGCTCCACATTTCCACGCAGCCTCACTGAGAGTTAAATTAGAAACAAGACGTAATGCAGCCGCTATGTGAGTGTGTAAAAGGAGCAGACCAAATACTGATAGCTTTCTCTGCCGGGCTTATTTATGGGCAGCTCTGGCATCGCTCCTAAATGGGGATGTTGAATTTATTATTACAGCGTTGGACACGTTCCCAGGAGTGTTTATTATACACAGAACAGAGACGTTTGCATGCTCTCATGGGTGATTTTTTTAGGCTGGAAATGCGGCTTAATTTCTCCAGGATAAAATCACAAAAAAATGATTATTTTCGTATTTAAATTCTTGTAAAAGTGGCCTCTTTACGTGCAAAAAAATCTGCTTTAAAATGAGCTTCTAAATTCTTTTAATGTAGATTTAAAAGTGCATGTCTTATCTTGATCTCAGGGGCTATTACCATATATGAGCGTGCATGATCAGCAGAAAGGGTCTCTTTTTCCCACACACACACACACCCACAGTCACACACACATACACACACACACACACACACACAGGGGCTGACATTGTGTGCAGAAATGCTTTGCAGGGCGGTGTGAGCTGCAGAAACACTGTCCACTCTGCTTCATGCAAAGCCACATCCAGCAGCAGCAGCAGCACCTCCACCGTCAGTGAGCTGCTGCAGCCTCCTTCCTCTGCAGGGATTATTATCCGGGATTTTTTTTTTTTTGTTCTGAAACCAAAAAGGTGAGAGGAGCACGAAGAGGCAGGATGTAGTGTTTGTTTCCGCGCGGATTGTTTCAGGTCGGGATGAATGTGTGCTGTGGAGGTACGGCAGCCGGGCTGGGTTATGTGTCTTTATGATTTACGAGCCTGACTCCAGCCGCGGTTCAACCAGAGTTCAGAAAGCTGCATGCCTCCAGACTTATTCTCTCTCTCTCTCCTTCTTTTCTGTCTCTCTCTCTCTCTCTACACTTCTGCTCGTCTTTGCTTAATAATTCTGCTCTGTTTAATTTCATATGAAGAGAGAGAGCTCTACATTTAATCAGAGATAGTCGCTGCGAGGATGTTTGCTTTGTTTCTGATCCAAGCTGCAGCGCACAACACACTTTTGTTCTTATTTGTGTGTGTGTGTGTGTGTTTGATGGATGACTTTTTCACCAGATTCTGATGCAACATTTAATTTTCTAGCTTGAAAATGCCAGAGACAGGATTATACATTATTGAATAAAGGCTGTTATTTATTAACAGTCAGAGGGCTAATTTAATTTCTGGAAACTCAGTAATAAAACCAATGCTTTATTTATATTAAAAGCACTTTTGTTTTATGGGCTTATTTATGTTTCCTTTAATTATGTGTAATGCGTTTTCTTTTTTTTTTGGGTGTTTGTGTGCAGAATAATTAGAGACACAATCCTTCGAAATAGTCTGAAATAACTGGATCTTCTGTTTTAACAGAATAATTAAAAAGGAACCATGAGTTAGGCTGGTCTGCTCAGTATTCATTGTTAATTTCTGCACTGAATTTGCAGCATTATCCTTAAAATTAAGGTCTTATTTCCCATGGCCTCTCAGTCCAAAGAAAGCTTTGTGCCAGCTCAGTGAGGTCAACCTTTGTTGAGGAGAAATCTTTTTATTTGCAGGATTAACCTCCAATTTCTTATTTTAAGGTTCCTTTTTTGTAATCACAACAAGCTTTAAATGCAAGTGGGGTAGCATAATTTTCAGATTTGGTATTTTTAGAGAGTTTATCCCTAAATGCATTCTTTTATTTTCTGTGGCCTCTCAGCTCAGGGGAGAGAAATGAGGTTCACATTTAATTTTCAGAGGAAAATAAAAAAGATTTTGCAAGATTATCTTCAAATTTTAGATTTTTTTTCACTTGTGACTTGAGGAGAAGCTTTAGATATGCTCGTACTGTTTTCAAGAGGTTCAATAAAAACAAATAATTATATTTCTCCATGTTTTGCAAGATTTTTGAGAAACTGCTTGGTTGGGATGTCCTTTATCTGCATTTTTTTATTCCTGTGGCCTGTCAGTCCTGATGGGCCGGTAAAGTTTCTACAGAATTGAAGGAAAATGGTTTTATTTCTTCACATAATCTGCAGGATTAGCCCCAAATCTCTCATTTTTAGGGGAGGTTCCTTTTACCAAACTAGTGGCTGTTGATTTCTTGGCAAGCCAGCGAGGTCCAGGATACATTTTCAGGGGTAAATAATGTAAAATAATTAAAAACCTGCACAAATTAAAGCAGATGTTACTCAAACATCTTGTTTCAACCAGTTTTTATTTATGTGGCCTTACAGTCCACCAGAGGTTTGTAGTGTTTACTCTGAATTTTGGGGGTTTATAGAGAGTAAATTATTTAATTTCTGAACATCATTTGAAGAATTAGCTCCATTTCTCTTATTATAAGGAGTTTCTTTCCAGCAACTATTTTCTTTTTACTGCTTTTGAGAGACTTGTGATCTCTACTTTTATCTTTTTATTGGTAAATAAAAGACAAATAATCAAATTTTTGCTAAAAATTAGTTTCATCCAATCCTTTTCCCCCATTTTTTCTTCACTAAACTAATTTTCTGTTGTCTAGTAGAGAGTTAGTAGTCAAGTAGTGAGAGCTACACTAATTTTGGGAGGTAAATAAAAGGAAAATAATTAAGTTTCTGCACAAATTTAGCAAAATTATCTCTAAATGTCTTGTTTCAGGGGGGTGTATTTCAACCAGAGCCTTTCTTTTCCCTGGCCCCTGTGTCCAGGAGAGGCTTGCTATTCATGTCAGCAGACTATTGAGTTGATAAGATGGATCATGCAGTCTCCTCCCTGATTCTGTCTCCGTCTTTTTTTCTCCCTCTCAGGCCAGAAGCGCAGGGCTTTCTGGAAACCTGCCATGTGACATTTGGCTGCCGGCTCTCCGTCAGAAGGTCAAAGGGAAGGGGGCTGCACGGTTCATGGAGATGCAGAAAACCAGTGAAAACCTGCAGCACATCCAGCACCACGACTTCTACAGCGAGGCTTTGGAGGATGTCAGCGGGTTCGGGTGTGATCGTCAGGCGGCTTCAGACACGTTTGAGCGCTCCTCGTTCCCCCGGAGGTCCAGACTGCAGCAAAAGTTCCCCATGAGCAAAAAGATTTTCCCCTGGATGAAAGAGTCCAGACAGTCAGATCAGAAACCCGGCAGGAGGATCACAGGTCTGTATATGAGGCCTTTTCATTTAGTCTGCCTTAATTAAGAAAATGAGCTTTTATTTTCTCTTTGTCAGGTTCAAAAGGTCAGCAGGCCATTCATCAAACTGAGGACAGGCACAAGGCAGGAGGATAAATACACCTTGGCTCAGGTTAAAGCCTCTCAGCAGTCAGCCTACAAGATGTCAGAGACAAATAACATATAACAAGAATTAAAATAGGAAGAGTGGCCTATTGTAAAAAGATAATAGGAAATAGGCTAATGAAATAAATTAAAGTTGTCCTTCTAGCACCAATTAGGTTCAGGTAAGAGGTTAAATTCTGATTTAACCTTAAACATTCATCAAATAGCCCACCAACTTTCTAGTTCAAAACACCAATAAACAATAAACAAGACGCCAACTGTCATTTAAATGGCATATGACCAGAGATAGCAGTTAGCTACTCCTATTTTTAAAAGCCTGATGATATTGGACATTTTTTAATAGTCCAAAAATACAAAATAAAACAAGAATTAGAATAGAAACAGTAGGCTACTGTAAAAAAGGGGGAAAGGGAAAAAAAGGTAATAGTCTAATAAAAATAGAAGGAAAGCTGTATGAGGTTAAATTCTGATTTAACCTTAAATATTCAATGAATAGCCCACCAATTTTCCTGTTCAAAACTCCAATAGACATGATGCTAACTGTCGTTTATAGTTAACATCCGGGTATTTGAGCCTTATAGTTATGGCAGCGGCTAACCATTACAGTAGCAGCACCTGCTAGTGGTGGATGGTATCACTACAGTTAACACACACGACTGGTACTTTGGGCCTACAAATATAAAAAATGTTGATGATTTATCTATTCAGTGCCACTAGCTAGGGTGACGGATTTTAACAGATTCAAAGGCACCTAGCTAGCTTTATTCACCCGGCATGACCAGAGACAGCCGTTAGCTAGTCCTATTTTCAAAAGAATTCGAATAGAAAGAGCAGCCTACTGTAAAAAAGGTAATAGTCTAATAAAAATAAAAGGTAAGAGGTTAAATTCTGATTCAACTTTTAATATTCAACAAATAGCCCACCAGTTTCCCAGTTCAAAACACCAATAAACGATAAACAAGACGCTAACTGTCGTTTATAGTTTATATCCGGGTATTCGAGCCTTATAGAGTTATAGCAGCAGCTAACCGTTACAGTAGCAGCACCTGCTAGCGGCGGATGGCTTCACTACAGCTAACACACACATGACTGGACTTTTGGGCCTACAAATATGAAAAATATTAATAATTCGTTTAACTGACTAGTGCCGTTAACTAGGGTGGTTGTTTTTAATAGATTAAAAATGCACCTAGCTAGCCTTAATCACCGGGTGTGACCAGAGATAGCCGGTAGCTAGTCCTATTTTTAAAAGCCTGATGATAGAGGACACTTTTTAATCGTCCAAAAATACAACTTTATTCTACTATTAAGCAATAGATGTAAATATTAGGCTACTAATAACCTCGACCTTTATCCATAGGCTAAATGTAGAAAAACCCAAGGTGTCTGATATTGGCCTATTAGATCTAAAAAATATGACAACGACCACATGAGATAGACCTGAAACTGTTTATCATAAAGGCCAAAATTTTTGAATCCTTCGTTTTACGCCGTATATCCCTGCTTTCAGTGTACTGTTTTATTTATTTTGATATTGGACACCAAAGTCCAGGTTCAGTCAGGTTGGCCGAACGCATGTGCCCTAAAAACGTGAAAAAGCCAATTAATAAATCATTAACTCGAGTGTAAACTGATAACATTCCCGTAAAAAAAAACAACAGTTTCACTTTCATTCCCCCTTTAGGAACTGCAGCCAAAAAAATATTTTTATTAACTTCACTGTTTTCAAGATTAATCGATTAGTTATGTTATGTTTGAAATAATGAAAAAAAAAACGTGAACAAAGCCAATTAATAAATCATTAATCAAAGTGTAAACTGACTGCATTCTCGTTAAAACACAACAGTTTCACTTTCATTCCTCCTTTAGGAACTGCAGCCAAAAAATATTTTTATTAACTTCACTGTTTTCGAGATTAATCGATTATTGGTCGAAGTTATCAGGCATTGCTATGAGTGTGAGAAAGAAAAATTATCCACAGTGTAAAGCTTGAATCACAGAACTTTGACTGTTTGTATTCAAGTATTCTTGGAGATATTTACTGTAAAACAGATATAACTTTAAATTTATTTTTTAAATCAGCTAATAACTGCAGCATTTATTCGTATTTTTAGTTGACTCGAGTTAATTGGTGCTTTTCTTGTCTTTCAAATGAAGTCTCATTTGTTTAGTTTTTAAAATGAAAGTGCATGCATTGCTTACTTGATCTATATTTTAATTTGGACCACTGACAGAGTTCTGGGTTTGACGGTTTGTGACAGTAGCTATAAAATACAGACTCGGATAGAATAAATAAAACAGGCAAATTAGTTGAAATCTAGATCTCAGAACCGAGAAGGATAAATAAAAATGGAGAGGCTTCCTGTGACTGATCACCAGTTTTGTTCTCCTTGCTCCTTTTTGTCCGTCTCAGCAGACTGCACAGTCAACGAGAAGCGCTCTAGTGCGAGTCCGGCCTCTAAGAGGTCACGCACCGCGTACACGAGCGCGCAACTGGTGGAGCTGGAGAAAGAGTTCCACTTCAGCCGCTACCTGTGCAGGCCGAGGCGCGTGGAGATGGCTAACCTCCTCAACCTCCACGAGAGACAGATCAAGATCTGGTTCCAGAACCGGCGGATGAAGCAGAAGAAGGACGAGAGAGTCCAGGGCCTCGTTCACTCCACCAACACCGCCTCCTCCTCCTCGCCCCCGTCCTCCCCCTCCGCCCCGGGCAGCCCCACTCTGTCGAGCCTGGGTTATGTTCATCTGGGCGGGGATTACCAGCCGGCCTCTCCTCCGCTCAAGTCCCAACAGCACCATCAGTCCCAGCCGGCGTACTCTGCTGAATACTCCAAATATGCAGCTCCAGGCTTCGCGCACGGCCCGCAGCTTCACGTGCAGTACAACACGCACCCAAACTCCCACGCAACAGACCCAAATGTGGATGTTAGTGGGTCATATTTCCCACAGAGCTGCACTCAGGACAGGATCATGCAGGCTCCAAAACTGACTCATCTGTAACGCGCAAGATTCCTCCACCTTTCATTTCAAGGAAAGACTCCACTGACCTGTCGTGATGCATGCATTATTTATTATTTATTGAACTATTTAAGCTAGATACAATTCTCAACTCTTGGATATTTATTTGAATTTACTTATTTACCTCGTGCTTTTTCGTGTTACCCTTTTACGCATGGGCCTCATCTTGTTTGCAGGAACATAAGAACATGTTAAACGCAGCCCTGTGTATTTAAAATTAAAATGTGAGCCGCTGTTATTTCAGCTACACAAATAAAAACACAATTTGTTGACACCAGTCTCTCCAGAGTAAACACTCCCTCAAAGAGCCGGGATTGAAAAGGTCTCCAAAGCAGCCAAAACGCATAAAAAACTGCCAAATATCTTTTTTCTTTTGTGCGTAAAATCCTAACGAGCACCAAAAGTCTTTAACATCACATTAACTCTTACTTAATTACAGGCACCTCACGGATGAGTGTAGACGTGATGGGTTTATGAAGGAATCACATTATAGTCTAGGTGTCGTTAACTCTCCAGCACGAAACAAAAAGAAGCGAGAAAAAAAACTCTATATGGTTCTTAAATGTGTCTTTGTTCTTTTATGGGTAAAGTGGGCCACACGGGCTGTCAGTGCGTAAAAAGAGCGCATGATGGATCACTGAACTCACTGCGCTGCTCTTCAGCCTGTCTGCAGGATTCATGTAGTGGAAAGGAAGAAATGTTTTAGCGAGAGGCAAAGGGACATTTTGACCAAACTCATTTTTGGATCATTTCATGGCAGATTCTTACAATTTCCTTAAAGTTGATGTTTAATAGAAGTTACAATAGAGGTATGCATAGTGAATAAAAATACAATCACTCTTAATTGAGGCTAAAAATGAAAACAAATTAAATACTAATAATTCAAATATATATATATATATATATTCTTTTCAGGTTTGGTCACAATAATTTTGACGCTCTTTTTTTAACCTACATGTATTTTTGTCATTTTTATGAGGGCACTATTTCTGCTCTGTGGAGGCCACTCTCATTAAGATCAGGTTTACTGTTTAAATCTATACACTATCAACTCCAGTACAACCGTTTTTATTGTCATTATGAGACATTGATAGTGTGATTATTGTTACATTTCGCCATTAATCTGTCATTCTGGGCTCCCCACACACCCAGCCTGAAAATGTGTCCTGATGTTTGTGTTCTTATCAGATGGATGAGCGCGTTTGATTGAAGCATTTGTCATGTAAATGCGAGCCGTTTGATGGACGAGCCCGCAGACTTGACAGAGTGCTGTAGGTCCTTTGCCATTGGCGTTTAGCAGGTCACATGGTGTGTCAGGAAGGTGATATGAGGGTGGAAGGCACTTTTACAGCTTTGACATACTACCTAGAAGGGTTAGGGCAAAGGGAGCAGCGATTAATGACTGCTCTGTCTTGATCAGCTCTGAGCAAACATTAGGCCCGGCTCCAGGATGAACTCCTACTTAGACTACCCTGTGTGCAACAGGGGCGCAAATATCTTCAGTGCCAAGGCCGGATATCACAATTTAAACCATGGATACATGTCGTCCAACTCGTGCGCAACAAGTGATAGTTACGCACCAGACGGGCGTTTAGTTGCTGCAACTTCTGCGCCACACCAGAGCCCGAGTCTGCCTCTGCACCACCAGACACACGTCAACTTGGACCTACAGTTTGCACCACAGGGTAACACCATGTATGGTTCCCCTCTCGAGTACGGACATCACCAGTACGGCCTCGCACCCGAGCAGGACCGGAGCTACATTCATGCTCAAGTTTCACCCCTGGGAACAAATATGGCTCCCTACACCGGGGACAGCTGTGGGCCTGGAGTCTCAGCCGGGAGCCAGTACCTACATTTTGGGAACGGGGATCAGAGGTTGCAGGACTATCCAGAGAGTATTTACACGAGGTTACCGATCCAAAGTAAGGAGAAAGATCTGGAACACGTGGAAGAAACTTCGAAAACATTCGACTGGATGAAAGTGAAGAGGAATCCTCCAAAAACAGGTTTGTTCAACTTTAAAAACATTCAAAACTAGAACTCAGAAGACCTTTAGATAGAATATTGATTGTGCGTAAAACGCGCGTAAAACGCAATTTACTCCTGAAATGAAGCTTGAACTGTTCTGCGAAAGAAAAAGGAATTTAGTGACTAATGTTCTGCTCATATTTTCTATTCATCCTCACATTTCTCTCCTCATCTCATGGCCGTTCATCAGCTCCATGACTCATGTTTTTCCTCCATCACCCATTCATTCATCCATTTCTCTCCACAGCTGTCCTCTCCGAATTCGGGGTTCCCGGCCAACACAACGTGATCCGCACCAACTTCACCACCAAGCAGCTGACCGAGCTGGAGAAAGAGTTCCACTTCAACAAATACCTGACGCGGGCACGGAGGGTGGAGGTGGCCGCCAGTCTGGAGCTCAACGAGACGCAGGTGAAAATCTGGTTCCAGAACCGCAGGATGAAACAGAAGAAACGAGAGAAACTGGGCTGTGTTCTGGCGAACACGGCGGCCCCTGTGGAGAAACTCCCAGGGCCTGACACCTCTCCACAGGGGAAGGGAACAGACTGATAAATGAAGAGACTTTAAAAAATCATATGAATGTGGGGGCCTCAGAGCAGTTTCTTTACCTCAAACGCACCATTCCAGAAAACTATGAAAAATGCATGTGGACTCGTAAAGTAAACAGGGTATGTTTGTGTCTGCTTGTACTTAAAGTGCATTGTTTTTATTGTTTTTATCCACAGCTGAGGATCTACTTTTTCTTCAAGTTTTATGTTTGAAACCTTCTATCATTGGCCCATGTTTTGTTTTGTGTCTGAGCACTGAAGTACTCAGTGTCATTGTTTGCACTATTTATTTACAGGGTACTTTCCTACAAGTGTTGAGAGGATTTACTTTAATAAAGTTTATCAAATGAAAGAACATGTTTTTATTCTTGTTTTATGTAAAAAAGTACATTTACTTTATTGGCCTTTTACTGAAGTAAAAGTAAAACTGCTGCTCTATCAATCAACTCTTCTACAAGTAGAAAGAACTTTATTAGAGATGCATTCTAAGTACTTTTGACAAATGTGTCCTCTTCATTATGCAAAAGCAACTTTTCCCAAACTAGTTATTGTCCTATAACCAAAAGCATCAATGTTTCGAGTAATTTTGATTCTGCACCAATCCACGCTTTAGTTATTGAATGTTTTGCAGCTTCTTTTGTCAGAGCTGCAATTTCTTGATCCTGCACACCAAAGTCATACAGAGAGGCTCATAATTACAGGCCAAAGATTAAGACTTAATTGACTGTAATGAGTAAAAATAGCCGCAAGCACAGCACGCAAAATTTCTTAAAACATGATGAAAACTTATTTTGAGAGTTCATCAAGAAAAATCTGTCTTGAAATAAGTTTTAAATTTGGTCTGTCTATTTAGTAAAGCTAAAATGATGTGTAACGAGATAGTCTGACAACATCTGAGGCAAATTTACAGAGTATGAACAGATATTTTTACCAAGTCAGCACCATCCAATCAGCTGCCTGTCATCCAGTTGGTGGAAACAGTTTTTTTGTAATTTTGTTTTACTGAAAAACTTAATCGTTACTGTTTCCACATAAAATAGTAAAATAAAAGTGATGCAAAAATCTCTAAAAAAGTTGAGAAAAGTCTCTAAATTACAGTGATGTTAGTTTAAGTAGTTTCTTTCCTACCCTTCCTAAAACCAACATGGTTTAACATGCCCTCAAACAAACTTTGACTTTTAGTCCAAAATTTTCTCCCCTACAAACATCTTAATGTAGTTCAAAGATCAGCTCTAAAAATGAATGTTATCGAGGTCCATCACAACTTTCTTTTCAATATTTATTATCATTAAAAGGCCCCTTGCATAATGTGACAAGAGGAATCTTTCACAACACATGGGGTGGTTCCCAGTGACCTTTTCACCTCCAAATACCTCCAGGGGCTCTAAACATGACAACAAACTCCAGGGGACCAGGTCTCTCCCTTGATTTGTTACTCAAATTCTGCCTGGATACAGCTGACACAGGTTGCAAAGACGTCCACTTGTATTTAGAAAAACTAAGAAGTTGATCTGTCTACCGCTCATAAAGGGAAAAAAAACAAAGTAAAGTTTTAAACTCGAGGGGTCATTCGGCTTCGGCCCGAGTCAAACGTTTGCAGGACCTGACCACCTAGTTTCACGTGAAGTTGAAGGGGGCAGCAGGTTCAATATTTGCTCTGGGTGTTGGGTTTGTGCACACAGTTTCTGCCCCAGCAGCACCGGCCTGTTGGTGCCCTTTTTCCTAAAGCTGAAGGTTCACGCAGAGTTCAGGCACAAATGAATGCAGAGTCAATCTGTCAAGACACCAGAGTGGTTTGGAGAACTCTCTCGGCCTCTCATACTTTGGATTTTTTTTTTGTGTGCAGGTTTTGCTTTTAATATTTAGGCTTAAGAGAATAAAGGTCATTTAGTTAATGTTCTGGTTTGTAGGAACTAAAATTTATTCTTGGAAAAAGATGTTTCAAGGAAATGGAAATCTGCGATCATCTGAAATATATATGCATGAGTATGCAGTTCTCACCCAACTATATTAAAAATTAATACAGCTCCACTAATAGAAGTTACAGTTGAAATACCATACGGCCCATTACTGTAAATTGGAAAAAGGCTGAGCGGGTTTGTTGTCATGCATTTCTTTACAAAAGCTTCCTCTTCAGATGAGTCACAAGGCCAAGGACTGTGGAGGTGACACTAGCTGTGGTAAAAAGTGACAGATTCAACAACAAAGAAAGAGGACGGTGCAGAAAACAAGTGTGGGGCTTCATTCCAGAGGTGTGATCCCTGCCATCTCAGTGGGTAATACCTCAGCGCTCCCAGCGGGCTCTCCATCTGGAGGTGTCAGAGTCGGTGCTGCAGCCAACACTGGGAGACAGATGTTCAGCTGGGGAAGAGGAGGAGGAGGAGGAGGAGGATGTTTTTCACCTTCAGATCAGCCTCTTCGCCTTGTTCTGGAGACACAGGGTGAAGAAAACGGTTAAAGAGGCGGTCTTATACTTTTGTTTTTTTATAAACAAATGTTGGAATGTGGAGTTTGAAAAGGCACATGAGAACTTAGTGAGATCCACATGAGATTTGGTCAGATCGAGACACCACTAATTGGTGAAAACGCGAGGCCATATTTCATAATTTGTCATTTTAGACAGAGAAATTTTAACCAATGACGACTTTGTAGAATTGCAACAGTGGAGGAGGCTTCTGGGGAGCCTTGAAGAGATAGTAGCTGAAATTAAACTTTTCAGAGAGAGGCTGAATTGCGTTTTGAGATAAAGATTTTTGAAGCTGTGAAAGCCCCTCTGTAATAATCACGAAGGGACAAGAATGAAGATCCTACATGGCGACAAAAATAATCATCAGCACCAAAATGTCAGCTGATACACAGCTGCCATCCCTCTCTCTCTCCCTCCTCAGATATCTTGCACATCTTTAGCCTGCTGCCCCCTCCCTGCACTTTGTTAGGGGTCAACCCAGTGCTGTTTGTACCCCATGCTGCTCGCAGTTGTTGCAGGCTCTTTTACAAGTCTATTGCCAGGCTCACTTCCTTGGTTTTCTACCAGTTCCTCTGTCGCATGTCACTCTGCAGGGTCCCAGCACTTCAAAGACGGGACCAGATACAGTATTCATGGAGTAAAGGGGGGGTTGGTGATCTGAGAGATACCACAGGAGTCATTTTTAGTGGCAGATATCAAACACTACACACAGACTACTTAGGTCTAAAACACTGATCTGTCAGGAAGACTAGATACTGGGATAAATGGACAATAATGGGGAAAGAGTGTGGGACAAATGCTGTCCAAACAGAGTGATATGTACAGTATTTATTATATTTAGAGAATTAAACTTAGAGACCTGCTCAGGTCCAGAACAGTGCTGTTATAATCCAATCATTTTCCTGGTTGTTTTATTACAGTCCATCAACATTTATCAAGACGGAGAACGGCATTTCATGGCCAACCGAAGAAGAAACAGCAGGTAAGACGACGGGCTGCTACAAGAATAGTTTTCAATATTGATCAATTTTTCAACAAATCTTTTTTTCGTTTTAGGAAATGAACGAAAAATGACGGAGAGAGAGATCAGTAACACTGACAATCCAAAATGTCACTTTTTTCAATTCACCACAATATCAGACGACAAGACTTGGTAAATTCTTATGTTTACAAAGTGCAGTCTGTCATATGTTTGTAATCTGACTGATAACCTCATCACAGTCCAGGACAAAGAAAAGAAAAAGATCTGTAGTCTGTTAATTTGCTTCAACAAATGCAAGAGTCCCACCTTTACAACAGTGGACGATGCTGCTTGAACTACCTGTGCTTTACAAATAGCTTTGCGGTTTGTTACCGATGTATCAAAAAACTTTTGTACATGTCAGCTGAACGACTGTACAAATCAGCAGAAATGTTCACACATCTCACTCAGCACTGTGTATCCCTATCAATAACAATTACAGGGATCTCCAGCCTTTAATCACTTACAGGGTTGCACCTATATGAGCGTGTATACTCATTTTTTACTTAGTAAATTCAAACTGGGATTTAAATAGCTTCCTGGACTTGATGTTGTTTTTACTCTTGAAGTTTTTGGAATTTTTTTTTTGCACATGCATGTTTATGTGATTTATTAGGGACCAAACTAATAAAACAATCATGAAAAATACCCAGAAATACAAACTGGAAATCTACTTTTTTGTGAATATTCATTTCTGTGATTTTCACTCCTGCCTTGTGGAGGATCACTAACTAGTTGTGTGCGGCACACTCTCCTCTTTCTTTGTTATGAGGCTCTCTTTAGCCCAGACTAGAAGATTCTTGACAACCATCCCCCATCCGAGTCAGGCTCGATTGGATCTGAAAGCGCCAGCCGACCTGAAGCCCGAGCCTCTTGGGTCCTCCCTGCGACTGCATCCCTTCCTCTCTCCATCAGCATCGTAACTGAGAAAGACAAGTGACTTGGCCAGGGTTAACGTCTTAATACTCCCTGGGATTGCCTCCAGGATCCAAATGGCTACCCTTAATAGTTTTCCTCCTCTGTGTGCCTGTCAGACCGCCATGACTATATGCTGTAAGAAAAACAAGAGCAGCTGAGAGGCAGAGTAACGAAGCAGCACAATGAAATAATGAGGGGTGGTGAGGAAGAAGAGAGCGGCCATGAAGGGTTGTGTGGAGAGATTTTAGGTTTGAAAAGGATGCTCGCTGATATCTCTCTACTTTGATACTTTGCATGGAGAGGGTGTACGCGCCAAATTAAAGCGGCCTCATCCTTTGGAACCCAGGAGGAGGAGGAGGAGGAGGAGGGGGGCAGAACTCAATCAGTGTCACGTCACATGGTTCAAAGCGGCCAATTCGATGCTGCCAGGAGGTTGAGAAATGCAAGGTGACAGTTCATTTTACCAGTGACAGTGTGTCGGTCTCGCTTGCTGGTTTCCCCAGTCAATTCCCAGCGAGCAGTGAAGGTTGAGCGTTGCTGGAGACAGACAGCAGCGGCTCCCCCCTCCTCCTCACCAGCACTCTCTCATCGACCC